CCCTAACCCTAACCCTAACCCTAACCCTAACCCTAACCCTAACCCTAACCCTAACCCTAACCCTAACCCTAACCCTAACCCTAACCCTAACCCTAACCCTAACCCTAACCCTAACCCTAACCCTAACCCTAACCCTAACCCTTAGAGATAGAGTTTTAGGCATCTGCGGCTTAAGTAGCGGCAGTTTAGTGCCTTTAGAGTTAAATAGGTTCTAAACACCTATTATAGAGGCGCGCGTTTGTAGAGCAGTAATCTATTTAGTGTAGGCTTTTAAGTTATAAAGCACTACTTAGTTGTTCTTAGCTAGTAGAGCTATATTTAGCTTAGTTAGTAGTATTGCTTGTTGCAGAGGCAGTAAGACTCTTAATTATTAAATATTATATTAATGCGTAGTAATAATAAACTTAATAATTATATTAATTATAATGTGTTTTAATGTTGTGTGTTGTTGCCCACCCCTCTAAGGGGGTAAGAAATATTATCTAGTGTAGCTAATCCTTATGCTAAGCACTAAGTTTTTTCTAGTAGCTAGTCTAACTAGGCGTTACTTTAAGACCTTATAGTAGCTTATAGTAATTTATAGTGCTATATTTAACAGTCCTACTATATAAGACTTATAGAAATTTAGTTATTTCTCTTTAGTACTTTTTATCTTTATGTAATCTTTTTATTAAGTTAATTTATAGCTATATTAGAGCTGTACTGTGCTTGTGTTGTTACAGTTGCGCCTTTGCACTTTATTATATTTTTACTTTTATTAAAGTTAAAATGTTTAAGTAAAGTAGTATTTCTAAAGGTAAAAAGTTATATATATAAGTTAAAAGTTTATAAGTTAGAATTTTTACTACAGACCTCTTGCCTTTAAAGGCAAGCTTATTAGCTTTTAGTATATATTTTTAACTACTTTTTTATGCTTTGCCTTTAAAAGCAGCTTTTATTTTTACTTTTAGAGGTAACTTAACTCTACCTTAGTAGTATAGTTTAAGAACATAGTATATTAAAATCTAGTATTATAGTAATATAAGTAGCTATAAAAATACTTATAGTAGCGCAGCTATTAAAAAAAGTATATTATAATAGTAGCTTAAAAATAGCTTAACTAAATTTTTAGCGCTGTAAAAACTATAAAAAAATAAAGTATAACTATTAAACTTACTAAAATAATATAAAAAAAAACTTTTAAATTTAATTTAAGTGTTAAATTTATAAGTTTTTTATTTAATAGTAATAAAGTTAAAAAATTTTAAGTTAGTGTTAGTTATGCTAAAATAGTTTAGGCCTTTTAGTAGTTTAGGCTTTTTAGTGGTGCTTTATATTATATAAAAAGTATATTAGTTAATATTTATACTTTTACTTTTACTTTTTTTTTTAAATATAAAGTTAAAAAGTAAAAAGTATGCTGTACTTTTGCTTTAAAATATACGTTAACCTACTATGTATTCTAGAAGATTTATACTGCTATTTGCTTATATTTAAATAACTTTCTATAGTATAAGTTAATCTTCTGTTCTTCTTCTAATCTCAAATGCGACTTTAGAATCTACAACCTTATAGACCCCTATCTCTAATGGCGTTGAGACGTAACCCTTCTTTAATCTAATATTATACTTGTCTAGCACATGCGCCATCGCTATCTTCAATTCATTTCCAGCAAAAAACCTCCCAGGACAGATATGTCTCCCACCTCCAAAAACACTATAATCGGGACCTGACTGCACAAATTGGCTAAAGTTGTCGCCTGCTTCGCGCTTGCGGAGGAAGCGATCTGCAACAAAAGACTCAGGGTCAGAGTAGTGCGCAGGAGAGAGAAGCGAGGTAGAGTCGACCATGATGTGTGTGCCCCGCGGGAGGGTATGACCGGTTGGGAGTATGACGTCTTTTAGAGCGACGCGTTCCAGGGCGACTATTGGAAAGATCAGCTTCTCGTTCTTTCACTCAGATAGTCGTATGGAGGCACAAATGAAAGGAGGGGAAAACATACCTACGGCCGCACTTCTTCTTTGACTTTCTTTCAAGACACTGTCCATCAACACCATTCCATTTGCCGCAGCGACCGAGATGCCATGCTTAGCACTCTGTTGCTGGTATTCTTCCCGCAGCGGTGCGATAATGTCCGGGTGCGATGCCACATCGATCAGGGCCTGTCTGAACAGCTCGCTCGTAGTGAACATGGCCGCCATAGCAAGCGACAGCTGCAAATCGCCCGCCTCGACTTCTTTGCCTCCTGGAGCAGCCTGTGTCCACGCAAGCGCATCGTTCCAAACGGGTAAGTCTCTGCCATCTGCTTTCGCTTCTTCAACTCGGCGTTTCCGGTCGGCGACGACGTCTCTCATGATCACTCTTGCGCGGGCGACGTATTTCCGGCATGCAGATGCATTGGGTGAGAAGAATCGCTGAACAATGCGTCGCGACCATGCTGGGTACGCGTGCAACTCGCCTACCGCAGAGAAATATGCCATGACATATCCCTGCACAAGCTTCAGCCATTCCTCATCGTCACACTTCTCCGGCCCAACAAAAACCGACGAAGCAGCGCACGCAATTATAACCGTTGTATCAGCATGCCAGTCCAGCGTACGCCACTCCCTCTCTTCACCCCAGTGTATACGCAATGCAGTCTTCAAATTCACGTCTAGAACAGACATAATGCCATCATTCTGCCCCAATTTCGTTTTGATAATATCGAGCAACATATCCCCACGCGCGTGCAACACATCCTGAGCTTCGAAACCGGGGTATCCTGCGTAGAAGTCTTGACGCACCAACTCCCTGTGGTCTAAGTCTCGATTCGATTTGACGAAATTGGACAGACAGGCTGGGAGGATAATCTTGTGGGCGTTGGGGAGGGCGAGGGCGAAGGGGGTGGTGGGGTGGGTGGTGAAAGCGGTGTTGATTAAGGCGGAGGCATTGGTGGCGTAGTCCTGGTTGGCTTTTCGGTGGAACAAATCATTTGCGTGGGTATTGATTACAGGGAAGGGTGGGCGGCGTCGGTGATTCTGAATGTAGATGTAGACGCCGCCGAAGAGGGCAAAGAGGGTCCAGATGCGGATGTTGAGGAAGATATCTGCTATCATTCTGTTTCTTTTATTCTTTTCGGAGCTGCGAGCATCGGAATGGACGAATTGGGAGTTTATTGGATGATTGTTGAATTCCTCCCACATTGGACGCTCGCTTTTATATTTGGGTATGACTGAATGTTGGCCGGAAGGTAGTGCGAAATGACTCATCATGTATCATTTCGACTGGCAGAACGCTAGCAGCACTTTCTACCATAATAACGCCAGCAATGATCGCACCGCCGAGAAACGGTCGGAATAGAACTTAGGTTCTTTAGGTTCTTATACACATACCTGGGTACTTGGCATCTTTGGCGTGACATCCCTGTCAACTTTACAATACCATGATGCCAATGGCCCGATGCAGATAAGCTTTGGAGGCTGAGCAAGCACCTCGTAAGAGACAGATTTGATCCCTAAATACTAGTAAAAGTTGGCAACATCCAGATTGTCGGAGACATAGTGGAAAGATGGAAAATCCAAAACTGTGCATCGCAACTCTCATATGGGTGGAAACTATGTCGAATATCAGGTGATTTTCAAGAATGACCTCACCGGATAAACAATTGCCCGAAAGCGGAAATATATCCAGATGGTCACCCACATCTAGGCCATTTCGGGAAAGAACATCTCGCTAGCTCTATCGCAATGCAGGGCATCTGAGACAACAACACACGGGAATAACGCTTGTTCTCTCAACATCATCTGTTTCTTCGACGCATCATTCCTCGCTCTGGGGGCGCTCGGCCAGTCTCCGCGTTCACATTGACAGTATTCTTCCAGCCCTATGATCTTCCTTCAGTCACAATGAGCGCTCCTCCCGCACCCGTGGCGACTCCCATGAAGAACGGGAATAATACACAGTCGGAAGTCAGAGACACGGAATCAGATAGCGGTCCGGACACTGAGCTCCAACGACAACCCTCCGGTCCTCCATACACGGTCTTCACTCGCCGTGAGAAGAGCTGGATTACTTTTCTGGTTTCCGTTTCGGCGCTCATCAGTCCCTTCGGGGCCACAACCTTCTATCCTGCCATGAACCAGCTCTCCCAAGTCTTGGGCGTGAATGCTACGGAAACGAACATCTCGATTACGACGTACATGGTCTGTTCTTGTTCCATCCATCCTTAGTGCATAGCAAAGCTTACCCGCACAGGTTGCTCAAGCCATAGCCCCGGCCATTATTGGGGGCATGTCTGATAACAGTGGTCGTCGACTATCCTTCATTACATGTTTTGTGATATACATCGTGGCGGCTATCGGTCTGGCCCTTCAGACAGACTACTACGCACTGCTCTTCTTGAGAGTCCTGCAAGCTTGTGGAGGGAGCGCCGCTATTTCCTTGACAATGGCCGTCGTTTCCGATATTGCGACGAGTGCAGAAAGAGGAAAATACATGGGGTATGCTACATGTGGAATACTGTTTGGTCCCGCTTTTGGGCCAACGATTGGGGGATTGCTAGCCCAATACCTGGGATGGCGCTCGATTTTCTGGTTTCTCGCGATATTTGCCGGTGTTCTGTTGATTCTTTTTGTGTTTCTATTCCCTGAAACGTGCAGAGCCGTAGTAGGCAACGGCTCCATACCAGCAAGGGGTCTGAATCGGTCTGTCATCAGCTACCTTCAAGAGCGCAAACAGCGGAAGGCGGATTCGTCCTCTACCCAAAATGATATTGATGCGACGGCTCCCTCAGCTGCGAAACGACCATTCAGGCTTCCCAATCCTTTAACGACACTCCGGATTCTAGGCGAGAAGGAATCCTGCATAATCCTGCTATACAACGGCTTCTTCTTCACCGGGATGATGATTGTTTCTTCCGCTATACCCTATCTCTTCAAAGCTGCCTACGACCTCAACGAGATCAAACTGGGGCTTTGCTATATTGCCCTAGGAACAGGCTCCCTTACATCCTCACTGTCTACCGGCCGTATCGTAGACTGGAACTTTCGCCGTCACGCCAAGCTCAACAATCTCCCCATCACTCGAGGCAAGCAACAAGACTTGCGCGATTTCCCTATAGAAAAGGTCCGCCTCCAGGTTGTTGTTCCGGGCCATGTAGTTGGAACGATCGGTCTTGTCTTCTTCGGATGGTCTGTCAGATACAAAGTCCACCTCGCCGCCACCGAGGTCTCGCTCTTCCTCATTGGCCTCGGTGTCTCGACCGCTTTCAACAACTCCAATACTCTTCTCCTCGATCTACACAGACACCAACCCGCTACTGCTACCGCGGCTGTCAACTTTGTACGCTGCCTTCTATCAGCTGTTGGGAGCGCGGCTATTATTCCCATGTGTCGAGCAATGAATGCTGGCTGGGCGTTCACTCTGATTGCGCTGATCTATGTCGTGCTGATTGGCGTTGTATTCTGGTTGATGAAGAGTGGCATGCGGTGGAGACAAGAGTTGGAACGCAGGAAAAGCGAGAAAGAATCAACAGAGCGTGCTACCGCTGCGACTGATAATTCGGGTGGGAGCACTACCGAGAAGCGAAGACTCGGAATGGCTCCTTGAACACTTGCACAGAACAACGCTCCGCCGAGAAGAAGAACATTCATATCATTATTCGTAACGCAAAGATAGATCCTCATCCAATACCATCGTAATCGTACAAATACTACTCGTGTATCGCCAAACAATGTCCAATCCACCTTGATCAATCTGCGCACAACATCAAACATTCGCAACAGCACACGCCCTTCTCGGCATCGTTGTTCCTCTTCTCCTTCTTTTTCTTGTCGTCCTCCATTTTCTTCTTCTCATCTTGTGGGGTGTACTTTGGCATGTCGGTACGCTTTGGCTGTTTGGCCGTTATCGGCGCAGCACCATTCGTGCTCTTTTCGGGAGCGATGTACGCTTTCGGTGGAGGCGCTGGACGGTAGTCATTCGGGTTGTATTTTGACGACTTGGATTTGCCCATTTTTCTCTTTGCGGTGTTTTTGCGGAGGTTGATTGAAGAGGTCGGGTGGGGAGATAGTGGTGGCTGCAAAGGGACGTACGATCGAGCGCTGTGTTTGCACCGTGACGATTAGATGAAGTTGGTTACCCAAGAGTATGTAGAATCTGGGGTACACTGTGCGTACGTACGTTGAAGAGGGGTGTTTGTGGGTGATAAGGCCCGCTCCAAGCTACATAGCACCGTACATACATGCACACCCAAAGCGAGGGGAAAACGCCGCCATCGTCATACCACATCAGTTCCCCAGAATGCTTATCTGCGCTCCCGTTGATTGTCTCGTATATTTTCCATGCCCAACAAGCTTTCTTTCTCGTATTAAGAACGATCTGCAAGGTTATTTTCCGTGTTTGGGAGCCACGAGCGTTGGAAGGATGTCGATGACGTCACAGGACTTGTGGTTGACATCAATGGATCGCAGATGTGCAGTTGCTGCCTATCGCGGAGGATGCGCGGGAAAAGACTCGTGCGAGCAATATCAGTATGGAACAGTTGCTGTTGGGGTGTGACGTGTATTGTTTTGAGGAACGGCGACGGTTTTGCCCTGGATTCAAGCTGCCTACCTGCACAGTGCAGTTAGGAGTATCACGTGACCGCATATACCGACATTATATGTGAAATTGATCTCAAGTGCTCATACGCTGCCAGTACTAAGACATATACGAGAGAGGATATCTGCAAACACTTGAATCTCATTCGAACCTTTTTGATGAACCTCACTTCCATTATATTCCGACCCTGGCCAAATCTCTAATGTAAAAATGAAATACGAGCAGCCTAGCGTCGTTGAAACAATAGGTGACACTTCAGAGCGAATATGGGTTCGGGAAGAATGGTGTGCGTAACTCAACCAACTTCTGCCATCAGAGTGTGTCTAGTAGAAACCATACGGGCTCTGTCAGCGTCTATAGTTATGTATAATTTCCCTAATGAGCGAACGATAAGATTTCTACAAGCATCGGTGCACTGAACTCTGTACTATACGAATCATGAATTGTAAGCTGTAGTAGACAATTTGTGGCTGGGCTGAAAGACAAGGACGGCTCAGGATAAATAAGCGGGTTTCGATTCGACTGGGAACAGCATGGAGTATCGTTACGGGTAGCAGATCCAGTCAGCATAAATGATGGGCTTAAATAAGGATTACTCATGACTTGATATGTTAGAGAAAACAACGCTGGTTGGTAGCCACCCAACCTATGTGCTTCAGCTAATAGTCATCTATCACGCAAGTTGGCGAATGGTGCACTCAGCCATCAGCATCCGCCATGCTGACGATATCCTCGATAGAATGACAGGCATAACAATACAGCTGTTGACCACTGAACATATGTATATATATCGATCGAAAATTCAGACCAAGGACTTCCAAAAACCCATTCAAAACTCGATATTCAAACGCTTTATCAAATATTCCAGATTTTTAGCCCATCATCTAAACCATGGCAGACCAACAAGAAGCTATCCGCTATGCTGCTGAACTCTTCCCACCCTACCCGGAGAAGCGCGCGGACTTCCAGGGTACCCCCGGTGAACAGTGGTACGCAGACCAACACTACGACTTCATCGAGAAGCTGAAGGACGCGGGGTTGTCGGAGCCAGAACAAAAAGAAGCCGTAGCTATGCTTGACAGCTGTGAGTGCCATAACAAAACCCCCCATTCTCTTTGGAGGGGATCACAATTGATGTAAATAATTTTCTGATGTTGGAATGGTATAGTGCTTGCGGCCGCTAGGAAGTATGGCGCAAAGTCCAAGGAGTTCACCACTAGACAGTACAAGGTTGCGGAGGAATGGGGGGCGAAGCATCCTGTTGCGATGACTTTCATCAGCAATGTCGTGGGCATCGTGATTGGAAGAGCCATTGCGTGAATTACTGAGTGTGCCATGTTGAACGAGCTCTTCGTATTCTGCGGGGGGGGGTACGAATAGAGGTCAGATATTTGTTTGCGGGCGGTACAAACACCTGAATGTGAGACAAGACACTATACGAAGAACTACATGTGTAGAAGTGGGGCAAAATTGTCCAAAGAATTACGCGACGCGCTGTTGTTTCCAGATGAGTGAAAAGGAAAATATATCGAATGCCAAAAGGACAAGCCGCTGATGACTGCATCTTGGAAGACCAGCGCCTAAATGTATGTACAAGGTACTTAGGTAGGTACATACCTAGGTATGTATGTATCTTCCAAGGTTCAAATGTTGACAGAGTTTATGACCACGTGATGTCAGTGACGTCCCAGGTTCTTCTCCAGGGATTCGCGCATCGAACAATCTCAAATGGAAATCTACATCTCACTGTCTTTTTCAACTAGTACACTGATCTACTGATCATTCCAAGAGAGTGGACAGGCCGCCCGGGCCAACTTCGGCCTTATCTACTGTTAGTTAAACACTCCACCAGACCGGGATCTCACCATCCGGGATGATACGACATTGTTCACTCCCTTCCCGCGTTCCGCCCTGGATCTTTGCCTTCGGCCAATAGACGAGCAATCATTGTGATTTTTTTGGCCAGAAGAAAGTCGGGCTTCTTGCTGTTACTGGATTGGTAGCAACAAAATTGTTTATCGGGATAGTTTGTGGGCGTACGGGCGCGGCAGCATGCAGCCTTGGTGAAGAGTAGACTCGACTAGTTTAATGTGAGTGGTATTAATGCATTTCAGTTGAGGGGGTTGGTATTTTCATTTGTATTCCACCTACATAGGATTGGTGATTAAGGAAATATTCGAAGCGCTCTTTGCTTGTTCTTTGCAACCCTCGTTTCTTCAACACTGACGAGTGCAAGATGACCTTGAGTGTGGTGTACGGCGGCATAGTGCTGGTAGCGCTGCTGTTCGTTGCTCCCAAGCTACAAGCTTTGCATCGGAACTACCGCGCAGCGCGCGCCACCGGTCTGCCCATCGTTGTCTTTCCCTTCGATCCTGATAGCGTGAGTCGCTCCCTGACCGTCCACACTATTCCCAGGCCTCCCCCATAAGATTGATCAAAAACCAGACTGACCACCATTCCTTTGAATAGTTGATCCATACCATCTTCTCCGACCCACTGCGCCCAGTTCTGCGCCGCCTTCTTCCAGCGTCTCTCTACGCGACTTTCGAAATCTCCACGTTTGGCTGGGAATTCCGTGATAAATCTGCCGTCCATGAGCGCCTCGGCCCAAACTTCATCTTGGTATCCCCTGGGTTGAACCGATTCATATGCGCAGACCCAGCTACTGGGCAGAACATACTGGCGAGGAGGAAGGACTTCGTGCATCCGGATATCTCGTTGAAAGCAATGAACTTCTTGGGAAAGAACATCATCACGGTAGGTGACAAGCGGAAACCATTCGGTATTCAGGGAGAAGTTTGCCGCTGGGGATTACGCGTAGACTGACCGAACTTCAGAACAACGACGAAGCTTGGTCACGCCAACGCCGCATCGTAGCCCCGGCTCTCAGCGAACGCATCAGCGAAGAGGTGTGGAAAGTCAGCGCAGAGCACGCATCATCGCTCACTGACATCCTACTTTCCAACGGCCCATTAACGACAAAGACAATTCCTGGGCTACGTGCGATAGCAATCAATGTCCTGACACGGATTGCTTACGGCCATAAGAAACCGTTTGCGCTACCCTCGTCGACGTACGACCCAAAGGCAGAGCTGTCATATGTAGACGGTATTTGCCTCTGTACCGAGTTTCTTGTTGTAGCGGCATTTGCTCCTTGGCGCATGTTGAGATGGTCCGTTATGCCGACATCGATGCAGACGCTGGGTGTCGCATTGCAGCGATTGCCAGAGTTGACAAAGAATATGTTGGATCAGGTCCGCCAGAGTTCTGCCATGGTGACTAGTGTAGATTCGACTACGCATGCTGGTCCGCATAAAGGTCCCGATCCTATCCTGAAGACGTTCGCCCGGCTCTCGGATGAACAAGATGACAATGCTGCAAAAGGTGACGGGAAAACCGGCAGGTCTTATCTCACGGAAGAAGAAATTGCGGGGAACCTGTTCATATTCACCGCCGCTGGTTTCGACACGACTGCTAACACTATGGGCTACGCGACCACCCTTCTAGCTGCGTACCCGAAGTGGCAAGAATGGATCCAAGAGGAGATAGATGGTGTACTGAGTCGCCCGCAAAACGATGAAGAGAAGTCATTGCCAGACTACGCGACGGCTTTCCCACAATTGAAACGCTGCCTTGCAGTCATGGTGAGTTTTCTCATTTCCTTAGTTCGCGATTTGAGGTGACGGGTGCCGCGTGACTCAGCGAGCCACCGAGTATCATAAGCTGACGTTGGGGTTATAGTTCGAAACTCTCCGCCTGTTTCCTCCGGTGACCACGGTGATGAGGACCACGACAACGAATCAGCTAATCACGACAAGAAATTCTGCGGCCAACTCTTTCACGCTCGGGGCACCGTGTGCAGTCCATGTCAATATTATGGCCTTGCACACGTCGGCCGCGATCTGGGGTCCAGACGCACTGGATTTCAAACCTAGCCGCTGGCTTCAACCCGCAACGAACAACGACACACGGGAAGATATCATCACACCTCCGCGCGGGGTGTTCCTCCCCTGGTCCAATGGCCCACGCACTTGCCCCGGCCAGAAGATGTCCCAGGTGGAGTTTGTGTCTGTGATGGCGACAATCTTTGGCCAATGTAGAGTGGATCCGATACCAAAAGATGACGAGAGTGTACAGCAAGCGAGACAAAAACTGTTGGATCTGACTCAGGACAGTCACCCTGTATTGACTCTGCAGATGAGCAGACCTGAGGAGATACATCTGAAGTGGGTGAGGCGAGACATTGGCAGCCACTTGTAAACAAGCGGTCAATCCTCAAGACACCGCGTAGCAAGCTGATGTAGCGCACATGCTGTATCGCTAGAGAAACTTATTGGGCTGCTAATGCGTCGTGAAGTCTGCATGCGATGGAAGAGGGGAATGTCGAATTCGAGTGCTGTTCTTAGTTGGCAATCATCGTATGATCAATTCAATGCTCGAAGATCCAGTTCATGACGTGCACAAGTGGCCAAAAAACCTGGGCATACACATGATGCTCAACGATGTGTTCTGTAACTGGTCTTACTTGGCTGACGATGCGATATGCGAGCCACGACCGAGGTTAAGCAACATGTCTTGAGAGTGCCGCACAACGGTTGCTTCTGTGGGGATCATCGGGCACTAATACACAATCACGGGGACGGAAAAAAAGAGGGGAGAACTGAGATTCGCAGGCGGATAGATTGCGATGCAAAAGAAGATGAGAAACGATGAACTGGTTTCTTCGTGATGATGATGATGATGATGAGATTGAAGGGGGAGAATCAGTGAAGATTGATGGAGATGACCGGTTTCGGCCGTGCGCCGATCCAGCTAGCGTCTTGGCGAGAACGACCGGGAAGGTCTTTCCGAGCCGTCATCATTCGACGACGTACATATGAACATCAGCATACGCAACATCACAGTACTCGCTTTTTCCCCACAGTCCCTCGCCTTGGATATACTTACTGCACCTACATCCTCTGCACCCTTTCGACAGTCCATCATGAACTGCCCTTCACGCACCGACGAGGATATCCTCCTGAATCCTGGCTGGAACCAGAATCCGCCGCGTTTTGCCGCCGATCTCACCACCCGCCAGGATTTCAATGGCATAGCGAATGCCAGAGAACTGGGTGACTCCGAAAAATGGGGTCAAATGACCCATCTCAGCATGGCAAACTGTCAACTCTCTCAAGGTTTGCGCGGCCAACCCGACTCGCTGGAAAGGACCAGCTTGGGTGCCAAGGATCCTCTTAGAGGTGCGTGCGCTTTTACTCCCAATAGGAACCATAACAAACTTACTTTTTATGCCACCGCCCTGCAGGATCCTGCACCCGTATGAATCACAATGATTTTCCATTTGATCCATCTCAAGCTGGACTATCTCCCCGAGACTTGTCTCACAACAACAGCAACAACAACACCACCATAAAGGCGTGGATTAACTGGATTTCGTCCGTGCTATGTACTTCATTGATGATTTCCTTGGTTCAATACACCCGTTTCATCCCTTCCCTGGCTCACATTGCATCCGAGCGCTGGCCTGCCAAAGGTGCGTGTATTTCATATGAACGTGCACTGGTTATCTAACTTGTTCAGCTTCCCGCGTTTCCCCCGATGGTTCTCCAAGTCGCGTAAAAAGAGACAATTGCGCGACTGGTGGTGTGGGTGCCAATTATGACCTCAACCTTCATGTTGGAGCGCTATTCATAATTCTCTTCGTTTCGTCAACCGGTTGCGCGTTTCCAATGCTGGTCATCAAATTCCCTCAACTTCGCATCCCAGCCTCGTTCTTATTTTCAGCCAGACATTTCGGAACTGGCGTGCTCATCGCCACTGCGTTTGTCCATCTTCTTCCGACCGCTTTTATTTCGCTCGGCAATCCGTGTCTTTCAAGTTTCTGGACAACTGATTATCCTTCGATGCCTGGCGCAATCGCCCTAGCGGCCGTTTTCTTTGTTACCCTTGTTGAAATGATTTTCTCGCCCGGGCGCCACTGCGCAGGAGGGCACGCCGACATGGCCGCTGTGGCTCGACATGATTCTCACGGACCTGCGGAAACCGAGCACCAAGCTCGTCCGAATTTTCCCAGAGAGACTGTCGAGGTACGCAATATTGGTCGTCCTCTCCAGGGCAGGACTACCAGTATCAGTCGCACACTCTCGCGAATGGGCGAGGAAAACGAAATTCTAGAAGCCGCTGAAACGCAGAACAGAACAGACACACAAGCCCCGAGAAAACTCGACGAATGCGCCGGCGAGGATTCCGAAAGGAATCAATCCATCTTGACCGTGTCGGCAGAGCAAGCGCATAAGAAGGCCGTGATGCAGTGTTTTCTCCTGGAAATGGGGATCCTGTTTCACAGCATTTTCATCGGAATGTCACTGAGCGTGTCGGTTGGCAGCGAGTTTGTTATCCTCCTCATCGCCATCATCTTCCACCGTGCGTGTGATACTCCCCCACGACTATAACCCACAACTCACACGCTGCAGAAACATTTGAAGGTCTTGCACTTGGTGCTCGGATCGGAGCTATCCAATGGCCCAAAGGCGCTCTTCAGCCTTGGCTGATGGCCGTCGCGTACGGGTGCACGTAAGCACCCTCATGTCTCATCTAGGTATAAACAATGCTAAAAGTACTCTCCAGCACCCCCCTCGGCCAAGCCATCGGTATCGCAACCCATACTTTGTACAGCCCTGACTCGGAGATTGGTCTTCTCATAGTTGGCATCATGAACGCGATTTCTGCTGGTCTCCTTATCTTCGCATCCTTGGTCGAACTCATGTCTGAAGACTTTCTTAGCGATGAAAGTTGGGTTATCTTGAGGGGCCGGAAGCGCATCTATGCCTGCATCTTGGTGTTTCTCGGTGCTTTTTTGATGAGCTTGGTGGGGGCTTGGGCATAGATTTCTGGGCTTGCAAGCTCGGGCAACATGAAGGCGGAGCATCTGAATGCTAGCGTTATGAATGGTCATCTGTGAGGTTGCGGCAGTCACCCTTAGACGGTTTGCATAGTACCGAGGACGATGTGTATGTATCATGTCAGACTTTCTCATATTATTATACGTAGATCTGATGGTTTTATCAATATGAAGTTGGCTGAGAATTTGGTGTCCCCGCTCTGCGCTTTCTTTAGGATTGATGGGGTAACAAAAAGTTACACATGTTGTCACATTTGATAAAAAGTCTCACAATACATCCCTGGGCTCATCAAGTGTAATATTCTCGATCTTCCACTCGGGACTACTAAACACTGAAACTCAGCTCAATTTTCTTTAATTCCCAGTGTTCTCTATAGTTTGCACTCTCATATATGGACGTTGAAAGGATCTCATATAAACCCGCTGTTTCAAATCCAAACAACATATCCTCATGTCGATTCGTAGCCCGGGACAGGCGACTCATCCTCCCGCTTCAACAACTTGAAACTGACATATGGCATAGATCTTCTAGCATCTCTGATATCCGGCACGAGTTGCCCACCAGCCATGACGTTGAGGGCTACACCACTTTTCCCCAATTCAGGCCATCCTCCAGCCGGTTTATTACCTTCAATCGAATATGCATCGCAGGCATTTAAGACCGTCCAAACTATAAGCAGGGTTGTCAGAAAACGAACGCGAAACCTGTGATGAGTGAAGAATGCACTACTTACTCGCTATCTGATCAGAGCCGAACATTGCGGAGCAACTATTCGCAATAAGTTCGAGGCGGTGCGCCAGGGTATCACTGCCATCTTTCAGTCAGCTTCATAACCTAAAGGAAGTGAAGTTTCGTTTAGGCAAGGTGTGCTATCTTACCAATGCCACGTGACTTTCCGAACCCCCAAGTTGATGTCATCTAGTGTCCATAACAAATCGGCTCTGACGCCATTGACATTTCCCATGTTATATTTGTAGTATGGGCTATCATCTCCTCTTTCCATGACGCATTCCTTATTCCCACGAATTTTCGAGGCAACGGTGAGGATGTCAGCTTTGGAGGCTTTTGGTCCGTCCCAATACTGTGTGTCCCAGCAAGAAGAATTAAATTCGATGACCTCGCCTGCGTGTGGTAGAGACTTAGTATCATCAATGTAAAGAGTGGGTTTTGGCGATAGGTGATGAGTGAAAGTAAGGAAAAGCTGAACGGAATATTCGGGCATACGTACCACCTGCCAACGTCGTCACAGGGTCACTCTGTGGTTTAGGCAAGCAAGCTACTAGAGAGGAAAAAGCCGACAAGGCCAAGTAGAATTGCTTCATTGAAACATACATGATGGGATGAAATGATGGTGCCTCGAATCGATGGATTGAGCGCGACAACTGGGGGTGATGAGATCGAACTACTACTATGCTACTTATAATCTGCTGATCGTTTCTTCCTACCATTGCCACTGGAGCTCGGCATCAAATCCCATCTAGCTTATCTCCCGGGGCTGCGTCTACTTCTCCATGATTCCCTCAGGTCTTAGCAATTCAATTTGGCCCCAAAGTTCACCAATTAATGCGAGGCAGACGGTTCGTCTTTGGCCCACTGTTAAATGTCTTGGGTTACATTTTCCACGCCTCAAAATACAGTCTTCACTGCGTGCAGCATTAGGCTTTCAATCGCAGGGTAACAAATGAAGATTGAGAAGTGGTCAGTTCCAGAACACGAAAGGTGGACTTCGCATAGCCCGGAGCTGAATCATCTCACCCCATCATGCGGGCAACACAATTCGAAGTCATACAGATATATCCAACCCGCGCATGCGCATGCACGCGAGGGATTGCGTTTATGATTCCCCCCACTAAGACAGCCGTTCCTTTCCCAGGGGAACTATATCAGCCGGAAAGCCCCTTCCAGAATGCCACCCGATTGGAGAATGTATACAGCTGCAGAGCAATGTTCGGTCTCCGTTCGATGTTTGCACAATAGAAAACCCCAGGTCTTTTTTTCTTGGCCTTCAGGCAACTGAACTAGTAGTAGGCAAACGTAGTGTTTATCCGGTTTGTATCTGCAAGTTTACAAGCTGGTCTTGGTATTTCCTCATTGATGCTAGAGCATCGGAATCATTTAATCCGGCACGGCACAAGTACGCCAACACCGTGATTTGCTCACGTGCTCCAGCCAAATCTATGATGATTCGCGGGCATGATATGATCTTAGACGTAGTTCTCGTATTTCGGGGTCGGGGCGGGACGCTGATCACCTTAGATTTTGGTGTGCCGTTTCTTTAAAGGTGCCCGCTTTTTCATTCCGCGCTTGCATGCATAATGTAACAGGGATTATTAAGCGTATGTACAAACAAACTTTGCGACACCTAGTCTGCATATACGATATGGTTTTAATCTATGCCATGTGAAAATGAAGGGGACATTGAAGGGTCTTGTGGTAAGACCTGCATGTTTCGTGTTTCCGGTACTCAATTGCATAGGGCCTCGTCAAGGACTTGATCGCGTGGTGTATGATAGCTGCCGATCGTAGGAGACGAATTCCAGTGGACAAAAACCAAGCTGAATAGTTATTGTGTTGTTGGCGAAAAGAAGTCGAGGGATGGGCCGATACAAGGCGGGAGGGGGCAAACGATGTTCGCGTGCGTTGCTTGGTGAAGACGGCACTCTACTGGTCTCGACTCTCGATTCCCAGTTGTTTTGCAAGATCACATTGGCAGAATTAGCTGATAACACGGCGTGATGGACGAACTTCAAGAGTATGACTATGATGATAATGCGAAAGATTCCATTGGCATTCTACAAAATACGGGAGTTCTGGTTCTTTGGAGGATAACAACCGTGCCGTACATCAGTGCACTCTTTCGAATCAGCCATCTCACATAACTTCGACGAGGCTCTCCAAGCTCTGTTCTTAGTCTTTCAACAAGATGTGTTGGTTTTGGAAAGTGACAGAGTCGTCGCTGTCAGCACGCTTGACCCCATGAAATTTGGAGTCCGACGATGAAGACCCAGTTTTTGTAGTCCACCAAGTTTTGAAAGTGTTTGCAATGTTCGTGCCTTTGAACAAGCCTGGTAAGGTTGGCAGGCATGCCGCGAGCAACCCGACGTGGGCTTCAATCGTAAACCAATAGTCTGAGATGGTGGTCATAACTGGATATTGTGTCAGTCTGCGCTCTGCGGGCCAGCGGTATGATGGTGACGTATAACTATTGCATAGGGTGTACTCACGCCCCTCGTCTAAGGCTGGGTCGAAGCCGACTTTGAATGACCATAGCATGAAAAGCATCCTGAACAAGGAGCAGATTGACGCACTGGACTTCAATTAATGACGCGAACCAAGCAAACATATGGGTGGAAACTTACAAGATACCAAGCAAGAAGACCAAGGTGATGACACCCTTCTTCTTCCAGCCCAAACGCAGCCTCCAAATCTGCCAATCTGAATAAGCACATGTGATTCATTGTACAGGCAGTAGATCAACTGTCCGCTTGGCACAAATATGTGACTGGACTTACAAAAGGCACTGGAATCATGAGGACCAAAAGATCAGTCAAGAAGTCCGAATACATGAAGAAATGTCCCAACTTCATGAAGTCCATGCATTGATCTAATGCCTCCCATGGTGGAGCCCACACTAGGTGCCAGCTAAGTTTGCATACGAAGAGGTATGATAATGTCAGCCCCAAACCCCAGAGACTAATCACTGTGATTGTGAAAGCAAACAGAAGGTTGCGCCTATCCAGCAGGTTGTGCTTATCAACAACAAAGATGCGACGATAAAGGCACAAGCAGCTTAGCTTGATAAGTGAAAGAGCGGCAGGGGCGAGAGTGACCGAAACGTAATCGTGCTAGAGAATTTTAGTCTAAGTAAAAGCCGGAGGCGGTCGGATTGCAAGTTGTGCTTACAATTCGCGTTGGGACTCCCCGGGACATGTCTTCTAGACTATTGATCTTGTAGCCCAGCTTTTTCGTGTGGACAGCTGGGTATGGTCAATACTATTTCCGGTAACATCGTTGGCGGAAGACATTTCTTCGCGATCGATTGTTTGATATGGACAAGAATACATGAGCATAGAACGCGTTTGACGTACCCCAAAACATGTTGATTGCCATCCCCATGGTAACGAGCTAAGTATGATCAGTATCGCAGAACATGTAGCATTGAACTGAACAAAAACTCACGAGCGCAGGAATAGTAAGCCAGTCGTCTGCTTGAAAACCTTGCTTGCGCCTCTGACGCGAAATAAAGCGCAATGCGACAGCAGTCACGTCGAGAACAAATAGGAAAGACAGTGTTCCAATAATCGTAGCCGGCGATGGCACGCCTAGAAAGTAGTACGCGGTCATTTTTGCACAGAGACACAATACCAGAGCTTGCCCAACAATCTGCGAACAGTTGGAGTGGAGAACGATGAATCGCGTGTAGTTTAAGAACTCAACACAGCAGATATATATCCGCAGGTCATGGTTGGGTTCTTTCCAGGGCAGACTATTCAACAAGAAACACTCATTCTGACCCAAAGGTTGGATGTCTATCGGGATTCAACAAGCACCCGCATCGGCGGGCATCGACGTGAACGGTGAGACCATGTAAACCGGCCAATCACTCGGGGTAGGCTATCGCATTTCACAATCCGGTCCCACTACACACTAGAAGCCCGTGCGTTCCAAGTATGCGGAGTACTTTGTGCAATTTCCTAATTCAAGGGCCAAGCCCGATAACGAAATTCTAGTACTGCTGCTCGCCGGTAGTGCAACGGATAGAGAACCTACGATGTACGCGGGAGGGTTCTGGGGAGCAAGGCCTAGCCGAGCCGCCCCCAGAACCCTCCCTTTCGCCATGCAGTCCCCTGTCTAGATTACTCCACGGGGTGCGACATCTACAATCTAGAAAATTCCGGCACGAGGATCTGTGCGCGTAGAACCCAAATCATATCGCACCCGCCGTATCGCCTTGACAATCGGTCCTCAATCATACGAGCTCCGACAGGCACTACTGTCTATCTTCTATCTGTGGCTTTATTGGCGTCAAACAAGCACTAGGCAAGGTCAAATTACTTGGTTGCACTTCAGAAGTTTGAGGCCATCGTGGTGATATGATTAGATACAGCGCCAAATACGACGATACAGATATCCTTCTCTGGACTTGGGGACGACTATTTCCACGGTCTCTTTGAACCCCTACCTCCACCCGAGGAGATGAATTAATCTATCAAACGGTATCACCAAGGGCAAGAGATACTCTGTGCTGAAACCCAGTCATCAGTTGTTGCTTCTTTGACTGCAACTGTTTTCCCGCCATCCAATTTCACTGCGCGACCGTCAACAAAGGGATCGAAGACCTGTGTCAATTCATTGAACTTACAAACAGGCTCTTCGCATCGTTGCACAAATTCATTCGCTTTCTCTGCTTTCTTTTCAGCTGTTGAATTTGTCAGGAAAGTAGGCTCGATTCTTCTGCGGTACGTCGACATACATTTCAAAGGCAGAGCTACAACAGTGCTCACCAGAGCGAGGAATCCCAGTGTGAAGATGCGGAAGGGCAGCATGGTGACTCAGGTATGGCAAAAAGTGGTATTCGCTGAGACAGTAAACACACGACGGAGATCGGCTTTAAGGTCCCCATGATATACTTGTGGGGGTGAGAGATACGCAGTGCAAGCGAGCGCATAGCAGGCCCCTGCCGCCACAATTAATACATACAAGCTGGTGCAGTGGCATGTCGCTAGTGGGTGTTCGCGTATGCGCAGCACACACCCACTTGTCTATATCTGAGTTGAACTCAATGGGCGGCTGATAATATCTTGGGCTATTTGCCTTCTTTTGATGCAACATAATGTACTGCCACCGAGCGCGTTTTAGCCTTTTCTTCCAATGCAATTAGTCCCGGAGAAATTAAACCGCATCTTGGTCGCGCAGTACTGGCCGGAGCAGATATCTCCGTCTCGAAATCGGTGGTGGAGGGGCCAATACCACGGGGTTGCAATGCTGAGCACAGACGACCATTGTGTATTACTGCCGCGTCAAGCCATTGATCACGACTAAACGCTTCAAATTCTAGTCCATTACAGATACATCTCTTTTCTTCTCGGTGTGGCCGCGTCCTCCCAGGTTCCGAATCATGACCATATGTTCAGTATGGTAGTCGCAGAAAGTCAACAGTGTCTATTGGATGAAACATCCTACTCCGAGGGTGTGATCCCCAACTCATCATGCTTCCCCCAACGAACGAAAAAGACAACAAGATCATGGAATATTATGTTTTTGCTTTACATGGTTCTGTTACATATGATTCTCGTTGCGATGCCGGTATTGCTCATACACTGTCCCCAGCTTTTCCATCTGTCACCGTTCAACTACAATCCCCTCGGTACGATCCCGAGAGTCTCTTTAAGTGTATTTTCTTCGCTGACAGATAGATTAGCGGCTGAACTTTCAAAAATAATGCAATACCCGAAGAGCGAGGACACCATTATTTATTCCGAGTCAGGTCTTTATACAGGATCACCTAACGAGCAAAATAACAAAGCTTGGAACACTATTACTGAGCGTGGGTTCTATTGCACCCTTGACACTCCGACCATAGGCCGCTAAAAAGTTCTCAGCCATCTATTTCAATGCTACTGAAGCGGAAATTAACCTTGCCATCCCCTCTGTCGACAAATCACGTGCTGTACAAGTTGCAGATGGTGGGTATTTGGCATCGCTTGAGGTGTATCATCATCTACACTGCCTTGTAAATACAAACCCTAGACTCGTTCATTTACAATGCTGACATCTCGTGCTCTAGAAACAACTACGGATGTGGGTATACAAAGATACATTTCTTTCGGTACCTACAAACGCGAGCACCAATCGTCTCACACAACACCTAGGTAGATGATACCAAACAATAGTACCATTACAGACGCTAACATTCGGTGAAGGACATTGTATCAATAGCCTAAGACATACGATTATGTGTAGTCCATCTCTGCAAGTCAACTTCTTCCTTTGGAGAGACGACAGTAGTGCCGAAAGCAATCTTGAAAAGCCTTTCGAGCCTGTAGTTCAGCAGAGCAAATGTGTAGATTGGGGCGCAGTGGATACTTGGTCTAGGGAAAGAAAGATCTCGACGACTCCAACGTTGATACGCCAAGCTCGTGGAGAATGAACCTGTGGCGGTCAACTTCACCTTTGACCATATAGAGAGAACCAATGATATGTCGGGCGATTGCCCACCCTCTGGTTGCATTGTGATGGGTTTTGAGAAGCCAGTCACCTTTTAGAGTCACGGCGCTTTCAATTATACCAAGAAGAACGAATCATGATGTGCATTGTCTATTGGTCGAAAGTCATAAATGCTTTCTAAGCAGACTCTCAAATTCTCGGTGTCCGTGGATACCGAAACTCTCGCGACAAGCGGCAGCTAAGGCTTCGAGTGGAGACAACGAAAATCATCGAGATTGAGAAAGAAAGCTCAGACTGTTAAATAATACGTCATTCCACATTTTTCACCTCTGTCAGGCCCCCACAGTCCACGCGTCGGGACGTGGGGTATAAACGTGACATAAACTCAGGCATCTCGTGAATCACGTGATTATATCCTTCTCGGTCGGCGGAAATCTACCAGAATTGAAGGAACGTGTAATGACCACAGCACTGTAGCTCTGTCGCTAGAACCTGATGTCAATGGAGATGACTCGGAAGATTGTCGTAGTTTGATTGCCTGGCCGACTGACAACATCTTGATTCTCTCATCCTGCGCAATGACGGCGATTCACAATCAAATATTGGAACTCGGCGTTCAATCCGGAAGCAATTTCCCCAACGGTTTCCGCGGGCGCCGATGAGTTTTAGGTGCTGTTGACACAAGCGCTTGCACTAGGCGCAATGCGGACCTGGGTTGTGGAGACGCTAGAGAATTTAAGTCGCGCGAACTCCCCATGCGAACTAGAGCATCCATGATTTAATGGTCATCTAGATCGATTCATCTGATGAGACCTAGGAAGCGAGCTGATGGGGGACATACACACATTATTCCACCTGCAGCGAGCTTTCTACATTCACCATGTGAATACCATGCCATGTGTGATTTTAGTTGTAGTCGCGACTGGCAATTTGAATTGGCATCCAAATCACATTTGAACTATGCGGGATAGGGTAGCTATGAAAGTCATGTTTCACATAAATGTTCATAACGGATCTTCAGCCTCCGAAGACGGGCTTCTGTTGCGTCCATCTCCATCCTCACTTCTTCAGCCGACGACAAACGATCTTTGAGAAGATGGAAGATTACAGTAGCGAATAGAATGACGGTAACCGAGACAAGCGGCGACCATTGCCCTACCTGCTTGATGGTCTCATTCGTGGATCCATCGTTGCGAATGTACCATTCGATCCAGACCACAAAGACCAAGACTAGTGGACCGAAGAGGCAGAATCCCGCGATAAGATTGAGCAGAGTGAGTATGTCAATTAACATGCGAGGGAAAACAAGAAGATCGCGAAATGATGCTGCTTGATCTGGCTGTTCTTCGGGTTTTGGTTCCGTGCGTGGTCCGTCAAGGGAAATGTTTTCTGTGGTTGCAGACCGCTGCTTCATCAGGGCTCGGAGAGCCACTCGTCCATCGTGTGCATCTCTCCTTAGCTGATTGCGGATTCTCCCCCTGCACTTCCATAACATACGAGGGTTGTGAATAGACTCTCTCATCGTATCACTGCACAACCGCAAGCTTGAAACGATCAACATAGAAAATTGCGCAATTGTGAAAACCACAAGAGCGAAGTATATCCTGTATCTGAACCCGTCATTGTCGCCTCGACCTGGCGCATGCAGTTTGGCGAAAGTCGTCGTTCCGTCTGCTACCACGGCTTTCAACGAGGTGCTTTGCCGGATTGTCTGGCTAGTGTTGAAGCACGGGTAAAAGCAACTGTTCGACATTCCATTCCACACGGTATTATCCGAAATGTCGTAGATACGGTATATCGTTTCGTTCCACGTACCGCGCCAATACGACGTATCCCAGCCATCGCTGTTCTGCGACAGCAGATCCCGAAATCCAGCATAGCAGAACCGGTACTGCGGCGCAGCCAGATTGGTAGTGGGCCAAGAGATGAGTGCACAGATTGTTGCGGCGAGCATGCATAGGTTCCAGAAAATGAGTAGGAAACGCGTGATATTGCTCGAGGTTATCGTGCGGGACCATAGCTGGAGCGGTAGCCCAACCAAATATGCCGTGCCAACTATAGCCATTATAGGGTCGATGTCCAGTTCGACGGCATCAGGCTGTATCACGAGGGTCGATGTATCCAGTTCGAGGGCGCTGATATTACCAGTGAGCGTCGAATTAGATGGGATGAACGGGATTGATACGACAGCTCGATTCTGCACTGTCGGGGATCTAGCGGTGATGATGAGTGCGTGGACCGCAGCGCTCGCGGCATAGGCAACTGCTGCCCCGAGAAACATGTGGGATACCCATCGATGACGCAGAGTCGCAAAGGTCAGGAGTAGAAGAACATAGTAAAGGAATCGTGGTGTGGGCGCATAAATGTCCGAGATGGGATATGCGCACATCTAAAATGTATATCAGTGTCTTCTTCTGCTTGGTTCTCCCGTTACCGGTGAGTGTACTAACCACATTCTGTGCTATTAATTTGAAAGTATCGTTATCAGCACTGGCGAGAGGATATGTCAAATTTGTAAGACTGGTCATGATGATGGACTACTTCCGCCGCAGTCTGCAAACCGCATTTGTTTAGACGTCTGCAATAGTAGGTTACTCGAAGAGATGATGAAGACTGAAAAACATTGAAGACGTGGGCTATTCTTCTCTTTTAGCGCAGCGCAATGCTTTAGTGTCCCAATAGCAGATTTCGGCCCGAGCGAAGACCCTAACTTTGAAACTGACAAAAGCCACCGACGCTGTCATGCGTAGCCCTGCTTTTGTCTCGAACGTTTTACTCTGCGACTGATGAGGGGTAAATTAAGCCCCATTAAAAGTTATCCAGGAGTATACTAAGTCTATTATCTGATCATCGCATGTTCTATGCGACTCGCGAATCAAGTACTCCAGGCGTTGCTGTAGGAACATCGATGCGTAGAAATTCATTTCTCTTCTTTTAAGGATACCAGCCACAAGGTGCTGCGTGTTAAAGCTTCTAGGCAGGGGTGCTATGAGATCTGCGTGTGGCAGACTCTTTCGTTGAAGCTATACGTCTGTTGCGATATCGCCGAACTCATAGCTAAAGATGTTCATATTCCCCGGAAGCCACTTATATTATACCCAAGCAATAGAGCATGGTATGCTCAATTACTGCAGGTGAATACCACTGGGAAAACATTAATGAATAAATGATGTCAGAATGTTCTTGATGGGACGTAAGCGTAGTGGTGATTCATCGCATTTCCATGCGGCACGAACACTGGGTATTGAAAACACGATAAATTTGCCTTCGAGCTAACATTTACTCAGATATTCATGAATATATGCATGACGTCATCCTATGGAACTTTTCCCCACAATGATCAATGGCTTTGATCTCGGCGATAGAAACAAGACACTTGCACTCACTGCTCCGCCGTATATTCTGGGTACATTAGTATCGTTCATCGTTGCATGCTCGTCTGATCGAAAGAAGGAGCACGGTTTCCATATCATGCTAAACAACTGCTGCGCTACCACAGGCTTCATCTTGGTAGCGACGCTTAATACCGCTGCACGATATAATGCGGCGTTCTTGTACACAACTGGAAGTTTCTTGACTAACGCATTAGTCTACTCGTGGGCAGTTTCGTTGCTGTCGCAGACATTAGAAAAACGAGCGGCGGGGGGTGCTATCGTGAACATTTGAGGACATTTGGGCAATGATATATCGCCATACTTCTTCTCGGATATCGATTTAACGAGATTCGCCATGGCAATGATACTGCAAACTGGATTCGCCGGTCTTACATTGTGCACGGCATTTGGCTCCAAGACATACCTGAAAAGTAGAACAAGAAGTTACGCGCTGACGCAGACGCTGACGGAACTAACTATACTTCTTTACCATATAGTCTTTGCTTCTGATACATTTTCATTGTGGATCTTTATTACAAGAAATGCGCCTCTCAACCTGCTGGCTTGTGGGAGGAGTTGACTCAGTCAAATGGTTATATAGTTGTTGCTATCAAGCGGCAATTACTCTGCTTGCAATATCCTTCTGGACATATATCTGACCAAACATATCCGTCACGTCTATGAGTACTTGTAGCCGATCCATGTATTGCTGCGGAACGACAGAGCTCAATCGTTCCTTCGCAAGCTCCATGCTCGCACGCTCGAACTCAGCCAACGCCATCAAGCTATCCTTTGCACTTGATATCTTCTGATTTTTCCCTTCGCCATTTGTCACACTCTGGCGTCGCCTCTTCTTTCTGACAGGCTCAGACTCCGATATATTCCCGACAAGTACCCCATTGTGGGTAGCCTCGACAGCATTGGACGATGTGTGTTTGCCACCGACACCGTTCTCAAGGCCATTCCCCATATCATGGAGACCTAGGAAATCGAGGCTGTTCAGATTACCCTCTGCCGCGTCGCGCGTCGCTGAACCGTAATCGTTATACTGACGGCACATGGTGGCCAAGTGGCGACATAAACTCTTACTAAAATACTGTGCTAGTGCGCCATCGAAGCAGTGTTTTTGGGGTATGCTGATCAAGCATGCGAAGAATAAAAACGAAAACGGGCAACTAGTGTCGTCAGAGGCGGTGCCGCGGGCCCAATGTATGTAGCTTTGTTCGCGTGACGTTTGGAATTGCACAGCAGTATCTGTGGCGCCATTTCCGGCATTTCGGATAGCTAGGAGGGCGTTATCGCGGTTGTGGTTATTATGAGCTTGAATGAAACTATACAACTCAACGGCCATTTCTCGCTGGATGGCAACTGGGGATTGTTTCACCGACCAGTGCTGCATAACGTGCTGCACAAACCGGCTCAACGTCATGTACGCTTCGTGGGCTGCTAGATCATTTGAAAGATCGACAGGTGACTCGGAATTTTCGTGGCTCAATTCATTCTCTAGGTTTGAGCTGTAGTTCAAAGCGGACATATTTGCCGAGTTATACTGGTGTTGTAAGAGTTTCATCAGCATCGATATGCTTGACTGCGGCAGTTTGGCAACGATTGATTCCATATACTCATCGACCTGGAAGTTGAAGAGGGATAGTAGACACATTTCCCACATCGCCTTGTAAGACAAGGATTGGTCGTTTTTCTGATTGCACAATACCCATATCATCGGAATGAACTCTAAATATTTGTCCCCAGTCATGGGGATGTCAGAGCGACTGAATAGTGAGTTGCGAAATGTCTTCAATCGTCCAGCCACTAGCTGCGCTTGAATAAGATTCAGCTCCAGGAATGGGATTGTAGCTTCTCGAAATAAAGGCAGATTGGCCAATAGGTACTGTGCCTTCTTCAAGCTGCCTTGTGGTAGAGTGAAAGCGTCAATGACGGATGCGATCCATGGCACCTCAACGACGTGGAAGTACAAGGCTGCCGAGCAGTAGGAGCAATGGAGAAGCATCGATCTATAAGACACCTTCTCGACCCAGAGGTAGTCCGTCTTCTCAGGGCTGTTGTAGTGTCCACGCACATAGTCCTGGCCGCGCTTTAGGCTGTCATTTAGGCGGTTTTTGACACTAGCACTCCACGGTAGCGAGAGCGCGTAGCCCACCGTGATAATACTGTAAGACGTAATCTCAAGAGAACGATTCCACGAACCATCAGGCTGCTGGCCCGCTAGTGTTTGGTTCAGCAGACGGCAGATGACACCTAATAAGCGATCCACAAGCCCTTTGCTAGCGAGATTCCCCACTTGATTGGCATTATGCTTCTCGAGAATGAGAACTGACGCCTGCATGAATAACATTCTCGAATACTGAGGCGACAAGTTCCATTTGTCGTGAATCGGTCCAGCCTCTTCTAGATCAAGCAGGAAAGACAGCGCTTTTTCGATGTTCTCCTGATCTAGGCCCCCTTCAGTATCCCCCAATAAAGCAAGCAAAACATTGCAATTTGCACTAAAGCTAGCGCTCCCCTCTTGGCGATATGTGCGAAAGTGATCAACAGTCTGAAACATGTCAATCATCCCTCCTGTACTCGGACTCTTCCCTAGACAACGCAACGCCATCAGTGATCGCGCAGTGTCGTCCGCATCTTCCAAAACTCCTGGGGCAAAACCAACAATATCTGACTGGGCTTCTAGCACATCCTCGAAGCCTCGGGCGAGTTGTTCCTTCTCGCGTATCGTCAAAGCCTTGGAGGTAACGCGAGGAGTGATAAGTGTAGACAGCGACCACGAGAGTTCGAATAAGGAGGTGGGGTACGCGCTGGGAACATAGCCCGTTCCCCCGGTGGAAGCGACGACTTCACCGAGATAGTACTCGGCATTGGAATTCCAGATGGTGCTATGGATGAGATAGGCGGCGGTCGCAGAAGGAGAGCCAAAGATGCCAGTGTCTTTCTTGCAGTGATGACCCACACGATCGAAATCAATGAACCCCACGAGCGCTTCGAGAGAATGAAGCAGAGTGGTAGATTGGTTTGAGTAGACAGTTGCAGGCTTGAACTTTTGCAACTTTGTATTGTGAAGCTGCATCAACGTATGATAGCCAGGGAAGTCGAAAACAATGTGCCATGCACTCAGCTGCTTCAACAAGCTGGGGACCAAAATCTCAAAACCGACGTGCAAACTGTCTTTTACATTCCATTTTTCGAGCACAGTTTGGACTGCCACTTTTCCTTTCTCGATACGTCGTTGTAAGTTTTCTGATTTTGATGAATTGGTTGTTGAAATTGAGTGTTGTCGATTGACAAGTGCCAAAAGAGCGGCCAGACTGTTGAGGATAACGTCGATATGGGCGCCACTCATCCCCCATATGCCGCTATCTTGCTGTGCTTCGAGCAGATATTCGAAACATTGTGGAAACACAAGTTGAGATTGGTCTGTTTCTTTCCTCGTAACCATCGACAGCCATGCGGTGTCGTAGATAGCCCCACAAAACGAGCCAAACCGACAAAAAGAAGACTCGGTGCTTTTGTCATCTAATGCGAGAATTTCTGCAATGATCTCATCGGGTGATGGGCATGGTTGAGAACTGCTCTTTGTCACATGCATTTTTGCGCGTCTAGTAGGGTCACAAGTGACAAGTCGTGTCGGCCACGTTTTTATTGTCGTATACTACGCCAGCTGTTGGTCAACGCTCTTACGTGATGGAATTTTCGGCGATTGAAGAGCAGACTTCAATACATAATTGATCGTCTTCAAAAGCTCTTGATTATTCAGCATAGGCCTTTGGTAAAGAGTTCTCTCTCCAGCCCTTCGGCATTCAAGTCGCCTGACGTGCGTGGATTCATCGGGCACCGAACGATCAAAATTTCCTATCTAATGTAGTCCTTGTGCTCTATGAAGTCATTTCATTCCGATTCTATAGGTAGTATACCAGCGTTACTTTGCTTGCGGACCCGAGAAGGGTGCCCACTTGGTACCCTATACATCCTCATGCATATGGCAGGGAAAAGATAAAGGGGTGGCTCATATACATGGGCGTCATATCCAGTGAAAGGTTGTGATTCAGTATGTCCAATTAGTGACTAAACCTTTCTCTTTGGGGCAACAGTATTGAGCGGAGAATCCTGGAATGGGTCCCGGTGAAGTCATCGATGCTCAATCACCTTGTCTCGGATCATGATTTCTTCATCCGCCCAAAGAAGTAATTAATCTGTAGATACTTTACCTTCCCAGATGGTCGAATCATCATCTCCCGTCGAAGCGACCTACGCGAGAAAGGCAGCCGTCGCCATTACAGTAATCTATGCAAGGGTGTATATGTGGAATGTCACCCGCCGGAAGACAACGAGGCACAATCAATGCAGTAGACGATGAAGCAGATAACTCCCCAGACCCTTCCGTTACACTCAGGATAGTTGCAGCTGACTGCATATGTCATGCGATATCCCACATGCACGGACGGCAGAACTATCTTCATGCTCAAGCTGATCAGTAGAGGTGAGCCACATTCGGTAAGATTATTAATGGCTGCGAAGAGAGAGTATAGGGATTTCAGACTGTCGACCACCAGTGATTCTTATCACGTTGCAGCAATGGATCTTCGTGTAAAATTTCACATGCTCTATCATTAGATAAGAACCTAGAACAGAGGTTAGACAATTGGTTTTATTACACGGAAGAGTAAACACTGTACAGCATATCCCGGCTTGGTGCCAGGGCAATACTTGTAATCCATGCCGCAGCCAACTTTCACGTCGATTGATAGCCCTCTGCTGACCCTGAATCGAAGCTATCTGGACGCGTGAAAATAAATTGAGAGTTCCACAAGTGGAATAATTAGGCTAACATGAGTTGCGAAGGCTTGTCGCAGAACAGAAGGTTGATACGTTTCCGACATGTAACACATTTCCCCCACATATGTTTGAGGTATTTCGAACACTATTGAAATTTTGCGAGAGAATTTATCTAGGCCTCATAGCAGTAGCAACGTCGCAGACGATGTGCAAGGAAGATTCATGCCAATGACAAACCAAAAAGCGAAGCGGTGCACAAGGAAGCGGACTTTTAAATGATGATCACAAAACAATATTATTGGGAGATAACTGTGGCGAGTTAGGGAAAATCTCTGGTCGTCTGTGTGGCAGTGCGGTTGACCTGTCGCCCATAAGTTTCGTTGCGGTTCTCCTCCCACCCATCCATCGACAGACTATTGCTTTCGATGGCACTACTCAGATCCCTTAGCTCTATTTCGCTTTCGGTCATCGCTTTCGGGCTCGTCTTTGAGGGTGAAATCCCATTTCCTGTACCCTGGAGGTATACATTGGATGTGGTGCTCCGCTGCGATTTACTACCGTGAAAGAGAGGTCTGTAGCACGGAAGACTGGCGGCTATGATGCTACAGTTTGGTTCGATGACACCCCATATAACGACACGACTTGTACGAGCTATTGTGAAGTGATTAGCTATGAAGATTCCGATCAACGTGATGTGGGATAATTACCGATGCCCACAAAGCCATTCTCCTTGGAAGCCACGCTTTCAGCGATTGCTTCAAATACTAATGAGAGACGAACCGCTGCTGCTATGCAACAGAATCCCCCCAAAGCGAAGATAAGCGCAACTGTCATCTTCTTTCTCGGCGACATTTGAAGACGCATGATTTTTCCCGTGGGCAACAGAAGAATGGTGATGTCTAAAGCGAGGGAGCCCGCTACGCACGCCTTGCTCAAAGCTACGGGATCATATCGAAAGGTACCAAATCCAGTCCAGGCTGATGAAATGGGGTCGGCCTGTACGATATACAGCTTTATAATAAGGCGTTAGTGAGTGTTCATAGCAATCTGAACCTTCATCGCGCAGCTTATGCAGGGTTACTCACAACGCTGGTGATGATTCCCCAACAGCTAACGCAAGCGATAGAAAACCAACACACAATGATGAAATTCGGTGTAACAAATATTCGTTTGTAAAAAAGCAGGAAAGATATCTTGACAACGGCGAGAGCCACATTTGTCAACACCGTCACGCTCCATACACATTTGGCCGAAGATACGGTTGACGGTCTAATCGGGTGAGTGGCATAGTTGACGCCAATATGAGGGGCGAGAGCCCAAATGTCAATGGAAACGGCAAAAGTAATTGCCTAACCCTGTCAGCAGCTGTGGTCGAGCGGGGAAGCATACACCTTACCCATGTAGCTAGGATGGCCCAATCATCACTCTGCCACCCACTCTTCACGTTCCGTCGTGAAGCCCATCTCAGAACAACACTGAGTAAACTGAGAGCTGGAAATAATGCAGTGACGACGAGAAGGCTGGTGGTGATTACAGAAGGCACTTGCGGCGCGGTCGTAGCAGTCATGATGAGTGCTACTGTACGAACTGCAGTATTGTTGGTTGATGAATGGTAAAAAGGGATGAGTGAAGCTCGTGGGTTTGCCGATATATTCGTAGAGGCCGGTCCCATCATCCATGGGGCGACTCCTGCCGGCCGACGGGCTTCGTTGCGAGTATGCAAGTGCCAGGATCCGACGAGGCGTTGTTTTCATTCGTTGCCGAGCGGGAATCAACTCAGCTTTTTGATGGAATACGAGAAAAGATAGTCCCCGGCCATACATACATCCGCAAGACACCCTGTCCCGCAATTTATCCCGACGTTTCGGCGCAGTCCCCTAGGAGCGGCCCGCGAAGAGGCGACCAGCAACCCAACCGAATTTGATAAGTCGATTGGATGTCCCCAAATCGCTGGATAAATTCGTGCAGTAAGCCGCGGGGGCACCCCTGACTACGCCACCCCGTGATTGTGTCACAGCGATAAGGTCTCAATGCAGTCAGCGAAAGCAGTTGGAAATTCATCTGCGCCCACACTGCCGATTTCACTTTACGTGCGAAAGCGTTAGGGTGGTGTTATACGAGTGGCAAAATATCAATCTATTGTCCTTGCGGCCACCAAGTCAAAAGGCTTCATTCGTTGTCTCATGTGCATGTTGCATGCAGCTGGTACTAATATGTTCGCCGCCATACAGGATCAAGATGTAGCATTTGATCGCCAAGGCCTCCAACTCTCCACAGAAAAAACAAAATACAGTTCACCTTTTTCCGGGACATCCTTTTCCCCTCCCTTTTACTCACCTGAGGCGGCCCGCCCTCTTCTCTCGCGCTGATTTGTAAGCAAATCACTGCTTTTATTACCCCCTTTCGTATGTAACCAGCCTCCATGGGTATTGTGCAGTCATATTTTTCAATAGAACACACAAGAAGCTGCCCAAAAGTGATTGGAATACTACCAATTACGTATGACAGTATCGAACATATAGTAAGTGAGCACCCGTGATCGTCAGGATTGTCGTAGACTCGTAGTAGTCTACTTTGTCGGACTGAACAAAAGTCTTCACTTAGATACTGATATCAGCTTTCCAATCTTTTATAATTACTTGCACGATTTGGTTGCTGGAGATTTTTATCGGGCATCAAAACAGCGGTACTTCGTGGTCTCGTTCTCTGTATCCCACGCCAATGCATTGCGCCTTGGCCATTATGAAAGACTCCGGTAAAGTAGGGTAAAGAAACAACCACCAAAACTAACAATAAAAGACTAGGTTTAACTATTATCTTAGGCCCCAGCCCATGTTAAGTTGCGAGCGCGCTGATCAAGTATCAGAAACTTTTCATGTGTCCCCACGGGTTCTCAACACGCGATTCCCTTGCCCCAACTTTTCTGTGCCATTATCACTCCGCCATCATATGAATCGGGGCTTTAATCAAAACCAAACAGAGATGGCGTAATGGGTGAGACGGAGTATCATCTGTCCGTTTTAAAGAGGGTGGGGCGAGCGTCGTTCACCAATCACACAAAATGTCGATGCGCGAATACGAATCCTGGAGGAAGCGCATTCGCAGCGCACCTTCGTGTTCTTGGAATCTTCCCGTGTGTTCTCGTTGAAAATACTAATATCATAACGACTGAGATTCAACTCGTGGTTTACTTGGACAGGCAGAACACGGTCGCTTGTCCACATCTTGAAGAGAATTTCGAACCAACTTCAATCACTCAACTATGTTGTATCTCGCGCTAAGCGCGACTACGGTCATTGCTATTCTTGTTGTCCACAGGCTCTTCACCTGGCAGAGAAACTTCGGGGTCGCGAAATCGGCCGGTTTCCCAACTTTCTATTCTCCGTGAGTTACAATTGTGAATGTTAATCAACAAGCGTTCATTTTCCAAGAGTTCATACCCAGGAAATATGGTGGCTTGCGATACAAGGTTGGATCGGCCCGTATATTGAAAGACTTCCTCGTACTTGGACTAGACCATGGCTTCCGTAGGTTTTCCTTGAATCTCGTGTGCTAAGGAAAAAAGCTAAAAGTGATATCTAGATTTGCTAGGTTGTGGAGACTCTGGCATGTTGGGCATGAACCATTTTCGGAAGTCGGGAGTGATACATTACTGCTGGCTTCTCCTAGCGGCAATACACTCTGGACGTGCGATGCTATGATTGCGAAGCAACTTTATTCGTCACCGACAGTACAAACCCCAGTGGAATCCTTGAAATTCTTGAATATCTGGGGCCCATCGATCTCCACGGTTGAAGGGCAAGAGTGGAGGGCTCACCGAAGAGCGGTCACTAATGGGTTCAATTCATTCACTTACGAGATGGCATGGGAGGAAGCTGTCTTCCAGACCATCGGGTTGGTCGAAAGTTGGAAGAACGATGAGAACAATTCCATGGTATCGAATGTACAACACTGGACTTTACGACACGCGTTGCACGTGTTGTCCGGCGTGCTTTTCAATCAAAGAATAATGTGGCAAACAGAATCTAGGAAAGAAATGAATCAGCCGAGGGGTAATGATCGACAGAGCTTCTCAAACGCTTTGATCACGGTCGTCTCCCGAGTTGGATTGATAATGGTCACGCCACGAATCCTATTGCGTTTACCCGTAAAGGGTCTGCAACAAGTGGGACAAGCACTGGCAGATCTGACTTTTTATCTAGAGTCGATGAGAGCCAGTACAGTGAAGGAATCGGAGATTATCATGGCACAATCCAGAAAGAGTCTTCTAGAATCTATCGTTCTGGCCGGAGAATTTGATGCTGGTAATTCTGACTCTCCACACAACTCGCTTCCAAAGGATAGCATTCTAGGTGATATCTTTGTCACTCTTCTGGCAGGTCATGATACGACAGGAAATACACTCGCCTTCACTATTCTGTTACTAGCCGTTTATCCAGAACACCAAGAGAGCATACAAGCGGAGCTGGACGAGATACTGGGCGACCGGGCAAGCGATCAATGGAGTTGCGAGAAAGACTACCCAAGTCTTGAGCAAGGCATTACGGGGGCCTTTCTGAAAGAAGTGCTTCGATTGTATTGTCCTATTGAGTTTGGAATTCGTCACACAGTTGCACCTACACAGATCACGGATTCATCTGGAAAGCAACACACGATCCCGTCCAACACTACTTGCGTGATGAATCTTTCAGCAGCAAGTCAGAATCCAAGCATCTGGCCAAGATCAAATATTTCTGACGATTCCCGACGGAAGCTACATAATTCTCATGCGATTGATTTCAACCCAAAGCGATGGTTAAATGAAGTTAAAGGTACAAAACATCAGATGTTCTGGCCTTTTGGGAAAGGATATCGAAAGTGTCCAGGCCGACGTTTTGCTCAAGTCTCAATCATGGCTACTATAGCAACTTTGCTCAAGAATCACTCAATCAGACTCGTGGTAGATGAAAAAACTATTCTTGCTCACGGTGGCAATGCGGATCAGGCACACATGGCGACAAGAGAGAAGACCATTTGCCAACTGGAAGATGAAGTTGAAGTGTACTTGAATGTCAGTATGAAAGGCTCCGTACCGGTCGAGATTGTGCCTCGTACACAATTCTAATGTGCAAGCCCTTGCTCACATTTCACTCCATGTTCATGTTGTATAATGACTATATGTTTTGCTGTCGCAGCAGCAACTCTGGGATTTGGCCAAGTCTCCCGCATAAAGGTGATCTTGAGATAAGTACCGGTTATAACTTTTCATTGATTGATTATAAATTCGTCACCCGCAGCATGTATCCATACATGGCATATAAGCAATATTCTGAGGATTACCTAAGTCATCATTTGAACGTAAGATATTACATATCCATTTCTGTTATGATAAACCCAGTCAGCCCGTGTATGGTTTTTGCGACATGGTAGCATGTTTTCTCGCTACTTACCTGGTCATGGCCGCAGCACGAGGTCTCGGTAAATGCAGTATGGGAAGTCTAGTGCCCAACCATTCCCCTGTCTTTGAGGGTGGTCAGCCGGTTCGGATCCGCAATCACTGCATGACAGACACGGAAAGTCCAACAGGATCATCCATGTGATACTCGCGGTGTTATTACTTTGTTGAGAAACTGATTTCCTGACAAAGCTGAAACTGTTACTCCGTTGTGCTGTCTCCTCTGTGCCTTCGGCGTAAGCTGAATTACCCTTTGAGGCAGTCGTTTTCTAGTCTCTCGTCATTTTAATTAAATGCGCTTTCATCAGCTGCATGCCAATGACCCCTCAAGCCGCATTGTCTCTGTGCATTGGTTCATCAAAATTCGGACACCGATCAACATGATGTGATCAGGGTAGCGAAGGACCAGCCAGCCTGGAGAAACTAGTCTTCCTTCGATCGAATTTATGCCCGCGATCATGACCAGTAATAGTAGTGTGCTCTGCAATATACCTACATATGTGCATATGTATGCAGGCATATACATGGATGCAACGTACACATCCACGTGATCAAATTAGTGAAGAACACCACAGAAACAGCATCGTAGAGTGACTGAGTGTATGATGAAGTGCTACTCGAAGCGGACAGTTTTGACCAAATTATCAACTAGCCTCATTCCCCATCATGGACCACCCACTTAGGCATCTATCTACGGCAAACGAAACCCATTCAAAGCTATCATGGCTGCAGTACGACGTTCCGGTTTCTTATACTCACATTCTGATCATAACCTCAATCACTGCCTATCTATACGCTGTCTATCAAGCCCAGCGAATCGCGAAGAATAGCAAAGTTGCTTTGCCTATAGGACAATGGTCACTTTTGATGCCTCGCGTAATGCACAACGCTCTGTATGGCTTCCGGGCATCGAAGCTGTTGGACAGCGGCTACACGAAAGTATGAGTAGGCAGTTCTACAGAATTATGCTACCGCTGATAGAAACTTAGATCAAAAGCAAGGCATTTCAGTTGATTCAAAATGACAGAAACATCATAGTACTCCCGCATACCCTCCTCGATCAGCTTTCATCGCTGCCTGCTACTGTTGCTTCACCTCACGGTGCCCTCGAGCAAGATCTTCTTGGACCACATACGGGGCTGAATCTCATATTAGACAGTCGATTGCATCACTCGATCGTGCAGAGGAAGTTGACACCAAGGCTACCCATAATGGCACCTAGGCTTCAAGACGAGTTGATGAATGCCGTCGACTTTCATTTTTCCCATGTCGAGAATGAAGAAGGCAATGGGTGGACCAAGTTTCAGCCTTACCAGGTACTTGCGAAAATTTCTGCACAACTTGCGGCAAGAGCATTAGTCGGGCGTGAGCTGTGTAGAAACAAAATCTGGCTGGATGTCTCTGTCAATTACACCGAAAGCTGTAAGTTAATCGGGGTTTAGCTCTGACTGTCATTGATTATCGAGCGTGAAGAATCACTAATACTATCCGTCAGTATTCCGTACTATCGTGGTCCTTCGTTTCTTCCCCGCGTGGACCCATTCCACACTGCGCTATCTTCTTCCCTCCTACTGGGCAGGTCAAAAATATGTTCGCACCGCGAAAAACCTCTTAGGCCCTATCATTCAAGACATGATTGACAAGAACAACGTTGGAGAATGGACATCGGCGGATGATCAGGAGCCTAGTGTTTTATCTTGGCTTGCTGAGACAGCTAAAGGCCGCGATCGGAATGCCGAAACCCTAGCTCATGTCGAAGTACTGCTGGCACTAGCAAGCGTACATACCACGCTTTTACGCATGGTCAACGTGCTTTATGATATAACAGCCGATTCAGCTTGCCTTGCAGAACTTCGTGCCGAGATTGAAGACGTAGCTGTGGCGGAGAAGGGCAAGTGGACATACGCTGCATATGCGCGTCTTGAGAAACTTGACTCAGTAATGCGTGAAAGTCAGCGCATGAGCCCACCTACAATTCTAGGGCTTAAGAGGCTTTTCAAAGAAAGTTTTACCTTCGAAGATGGGACGCATGTCCCACGTGGTGCCTATGTTACCTTGCCTATCTACGCTATCGAGAACGATGCTTCCGTTACACAAAATCCGGAAAAGTTCGACGGGTTAAGAAGCTATCGTTTGCGTCATATGAAGGATAATGAAGCTCAAGGAGTGAGGAATGCCGTGGAAAGGGAAGAGTACCAATTTTCTTCCCCGGGTCCGACAGTGCTGAACTTTGGCTACGGAAAGACAGCATGCCCTGGGAGATTTTTCGCTAGTTTGGTAGTCAAGATGGTGTTTGTCAAGCTACTAACTGAGTTCGATTTCCGATACACGGGTAAGGAAGTCAGACCCCAGAATATAGTGATGCACGAGTTCTTATTTTGTTGGCCTTGGCATTGGATGGAAATGAAAAAACGGGCGAACGGCGTGTGCCCGTTCTAAGTCATCAATTGAATTCAATTCTACATAGGCTTTCTGGCAATCACAGTAAGAAAGCTATCTACCGATGACACGCCTTTTGCGCAGTCCTCTGCTACTGTAGAGAAGTGCTTCTCCTTGAACGTGTCGATAGCCTCACTCAAGCCGGGTGGAACATCTATCAGTGCCAGCATATGCATTTCGTGCATCTGCGTGAGCAAACTCTTTCGCGTTTGGATTCTTTCCTCCACTAGCACATCCAGGCCTTCTGCACTCATTGCTGGGGCGATAGAGTTGACCCAACTATTGACTTCATATTAGTGCCCAAAACAGGTTTGGAAAATGGGCACTTACGCATGGTTGTAATTTGGGAACGGGTGTTTCTCCATTTCAATGAGAGCTTCGACAGATGACGTGTCCTGGTTTTCAGATACTGTGATAGGCCTTAGACTCGTCTTGTCATGTTCAATCCACTGGACGAATCCCCCAGGCTCTACCGGTGATGTCAGCTCGGCAAGCATGGGTCTGCATTTGTAACAACAGACAACCCACTTAATAACTCTATGGCGTTCTTAACCATGGATCGAATTTTTTCTTCATCCAACATGATGAACAAGCGGAAATGGACCACGTCAAAGGTTCCCAGCAGGGGTTCGGGAAAGGAACTTAGAATGTCCTGACTGTGCAATGTCACATTCGACGGTAGCCAAGCTGCCGGTGGAAAGAATTTGCTGTTTACATCGAATCCGTGGACGTCGGCTTGGAGTTTGGGATCTTCAGCTACGTCAATAGCCCAGATGCTGCACGTAAACCGCGTTAGCAGACGTGCAAAAGAGAAAGTACAGCGCATACGCAGTCTGGGTACCCATGTCTGCAATTCGTGTTGCCTGCTTGGCAGGGACGCCGATATGAGGGTGCATCGTCCATCCGGTCAGTTGTTTGAGAAAGTAGTGGAAGTAGTTCATCCTTGGGTGGTTAGCAGGGATCGAAATAAACCGCCCGTTTCGTTCGGGTTGCCACGGAAAGCTTGTCATTACTTTGTCGCCGAGATGAAATCCGTGCCTGCACTGTATTGTCTAACAGCGGCCATCTTTTCCTATTTCGGGTGTGTAGTATTCAAAACTAGGAGGGTTGTGACGAACTGGTGATGACAACAGGCAATCAAAATGCAAATCCGCGGGCTTGAATCATCTTGCGCCGGTGTCCGAAGCTTTATCAGTTGCCTTGCGAGCGAAATTGAACACGAGCAATCGGTATTCCAGTCTCCGACACCGTCCGGCTAAAGACCCAAAGCTCTGGGAAGAAACAGGTGCAGGACGTGCATTTCAATGTATCACAGCATGCACGATGCTCTTATCAGTTGCACACTAAGAGTGCAGTACTGTCAAGCACTGGCGAAGGTGTGCTAGATTACGTTGTCACGCAGGAAAACACGGACACCTGCCCGTCACGTTCTCCGCCCCTAGAAGATTTTTCCTTCGTACCCTTCGATTATTCAACCCTTAGCCTTGGAAGCATCATTTTTCTCCCGATTTTCAATTTCTTCTTTCGCGGCTCCGAGAAAACGTGCAAGAGGTATCGCAATGTCTGAAGCGTCCGAACCAATCCGCACGACCACACCTGTGGACATTATCGACAGCGGCGTCAACAAGGACTCAATTGATTCTTCAATCGATCCTGAAAATGAGGTTACTGGAGCTAAGCTACAACTCATACATATGGGAATTTGTCTATGTACCTTTTTGGTCGGCCTGGTAAGTTGATATGATTGGATGATTCGACGGACTTCCCTTAGATAGCCAAATGTGTGGCTAATGCGACAGTAGGATTTCAATGTCATCGCGACCGCGGTTCCAGTTATCACATCCAAATTCGACTCTCCCAATCATGTGGGGTGGTACGGATCAGCATTCTACATGACACTCTGTGCGTCCCAGCCGCTGGCTGGTAAAACATACACACTTTTCCCCAAGAAGCTCAACTACTTGATTTACCTGGCCATATTCGAACTCGGAAGTCTAGTATGCGCTCTCGCTCCATCATCTAGAGCGCTTATAGCGGGGCGTGCTGTCGCTGGATTTGGTGCTTCTGGCGTGTTTGCTGGCGGTTTCGTGCTCTTGACTACCATCATTCCGCTACACAAAAGAGCCATATACACGGGAACAATGAGCTCAACTTTTGCAATTGCTAGCATTATCGGGCCAGTCCTGGGCGGAGGTCTCACACAGCATGCCAGTTGGCGTTGGTGCTTCTACATCAATCTTCCTATTGGCGGTTTCGCAGCCCTAGTCTTCTTTCTTGTTTTTCACGTCAAGCCCGCGGTCACCGAAAAGGCGCCTCTCGCTGAAAAGCTCAGGGGTCTTGATGGCGTCGGATTTGTCTTGTTTTCAGCTGCTATAACTATGCTTCTCCTAGCCCTTCAGTGGGGTGGCCTTGAATACTCTTGGAAATCATCCGTCGTCATCGGCTTGTTTGTTGGATTTGGACTGCTCCTTATCCTATTCATCTGCTGGCAAATATACATGCAAGACAAGGCGCTCATCCCGCCTAAGCTATTCAAAAATCGCAACGTGTGGCTTATATGTACCAGCAGCTTCTTTGTAAACGGCCCCTTCCAAACGATAGTTTATTGGCTTCCCATATGGTTTCAGGTCGTACAGGGTGTTTCTCCAACACGATCCGGCATTCATTATCTTCCTACCGTCATCTCTGATGTTCTTGCTTCATTCATCGGGGCTGGCATAGTCATGAAGCTTGGGGTATGGAACCCCTTTTTGTTATTTGCAGAAGCAATGGTCTGTATTGGTGCTGGTCTACTGACAACCCTCGTTCCCGGAATATCGCAAGCGAAGTGGATTGGCTTTCAAATCTTTGGTGGTATCGGCTATTCTCTTGCGAGCAATCTGGTGTGTCTTTCCCGAATGCGCTTTTGGGAGGCCAGACTAACATTCTCCCATAGGCTCACCTTGGAATGCAAGCGTCTTTACCAAAAGAGCTTGTCCCATTGGGTGCCACAAACCTGCTGACAATCATTTCAACAAGCTGTGCTATATTCCTTGGAATCGGGCAAGCCGTATTTGACGATAGACTCATTGTCAATCTTGCGGAAGCTGTAGATTCTGAAGTGGTGCATCAAGTCATTTCAGTTGGCGCCACGAGGGTCAGGGAAGTGACCAGCGATGTCGACTTTGCGGCCGTCCTAAAAGCGTACAGCAGTGCCGCAACGCAAGTTTTTGTAAGTGTTGGTCATACCTCAGCTGAATTTCTAAATCTAATAAAGTTTCAGTATATTCCTGCTACTGCGCCAGTAATGTCCTTTGCGTTGGTGGCACTGTGCAAATGGACCTCAGTAAAAAAACCCGAAACGACTGGAGGCGAAAAGACCGTCGAGAAAGACGAAGAGCGAAAGTCACGAGTTTGAGTGAGTCGGTTATCTTATTTTAGACACGCTATATGTTCATGGCGTATGTCCTCCACGCCATCAATTGATGGTTGTAGGGGTACAAAAACATCTAAATAAGGAAACTCGTCCCACCGCATCATTGATCAACGATGAATATGTTTTATAATGGTGCTCAGAGTTCTTAGGCAGTGAAGATAACTTCGTAAGCTATTGAAGACGGGAATCCTACGAAGGAACATTCCAAACCCATGTTTCTAATGATAGATACTTAAAATAAGCATTTGGGATTCTTGGAAATCTTCGCAAGTGCTCTTATACGGACGGCATTTGACGGCAATTCGTCGATCATCAATACGATTCCACATTTCCCATGCAGCAGCTAGTCCTAAAACGTCCATGTACGATAAGGGACGGTCCGCGCCTTACCCAGTACTCCGCCCGCCATGCATACCCGCCCCTCTGCTACTGCAATAGATCGGTGAGATGACTTACCTCCTTCTTGATTAAGGATACGGCAATTGAGTAATCAACTTACGTACATATACACCCGTGGGCTGTAACTCCATGATTGGGTAGAATGAACAGCAATGTGATGAACAGCAGAAAAAACCGGGGCCCATAATATTGATTCCCTGTTTTTATGCGGCGTTATATTGAAAATGCTTCTAACCTTGTCCAAGACACCATCTTCTCCTCAACCCACATCGCTCAAATGGACCAGCAAGATTGGGTAATTTCAGCCCCCGGAACTGGTCACGCGGTCATCACACCAGACAGCATACGGCCAGGTGGTCAATATGCTATTCCAGAATTCTTCGCTCTCCGACGAACCAACATTTTGGAGTCAGGACTCATGAAAACAAACTCGTGCGTGATCTGTGTGGCTGGTCTTGTCGGCACACCTAGACGGTTGGCCACAAAGGAGAACTCGTATTCATCCAGCAATTTGACGAGGATGACCTTGCTTACCAAGCTGGCAATCGACCTTCCCGGACATGCCCACCGGCCAGCGCCCCACCGATGGTCCTTGCTATCGACGCTCCGGAATGGCTGCGCTCGATGCACAGCCAGCCCCTCCTCGTAAGCACGGAGCGCGTTATAGACACGTGGGTTAGGGAAAATGTCAGGGTCCATGGCAAGACTATGTCCAGACGTAGTGATGAATTGTCCTGGTTGGAGATGTAGGCCTGTCGAGAGCACGATAGGCTCCTCGATAAAGCGAGAATATACAAGCATGCTACCCGGGGCAAGGCGGGATGTCTCCTTCAAGGCTGAATCGAGCTTATCAAGGGAATTGAATGCTGCGACATCCCACTCTCCCCCACAGCGCTTGTGCGTTTCCTGTATCTCCTCGCGTATCTCCTCCAGGAAGTGTGGATGCCCAACAAGGTCAGCAATGACACCAGTAACAAAGGCCGCTGAACTGTAGGTGCCTCCAGCAATAACAGATCCCACCAATCGAGTCAACATATATCCGTCTCTCTCTTCCTCGTTTTTAGCTTCATATATCATCCAGGATATCAAATCGGGGTTTTTGCAGCGTTTTGATGGGTCTTCCCTGCGGAATTCAACCTCGGGTACAACGAAGTTCTCCAACGTTTTCCAGCTCCGCTCCAGTCGCCACTTGAAAGGAGTCATCCAAACAAGAACTGGCTGCATGAAGCGTGGAACAAGGCGCATGAAGAACATGATTGAAAACACTTAGGTAATGTATAAGCAATTGCTAATGATGGAAATAGTGAAGTCTTACCATTGAGCGTATGCTCATAACATAGGCGAATAAGTTCGGGATTGTCGCAGATTGGAGGACCAAATGTAGTCAATGTAACAGCTTGACTGATGCAGTGAACAATCATGTTGACTGGCTGAATTTCCGTCCACGATTTTTCTTTTTGTGGGAGATTTTCAGTTATCGTTTGCTGAACCCGCGTTTTGATTGATGGCAGCAGGCCAGGAAGAGCGGGGGTCACACGTGCAAGTAGCAGCTTGACATGGTGATTTGTCTCTTTTACCACATCCATACCGTTGAGATAGCCAGTCAAAGAGGAAGAGTGCGACTTTCTCGAACTAATTGCGCTCTGGGGAAGCTTGTTCAGCTCCCCAATCATATCATCTGGAAGGACCACTATGTCTGCATCTCCGCGAGCTAGTCGGTAAGGCCGTCCTTTATACTATGATTGTTTAGCATGCAAAATTTGATTGGTAAGAGCCAGAACTTACCCTCTCGTATGCTTCATCAAGGATCTTGTCGGAGCGGAACGCCCAGCGCCACCGAGAGAAAACTCGAGGCTCCAGAGCGAAACACCGATTCACAAGAGGCAATCCATCCTTGTAAGACAGATGACGATTCAAAGTATACAAAATAGCGAAGACAATAGAAATGATGGAGAAAACTCTCAAGGGAAACAACTGTTGAAAACTGAGTTTGAGTATCTGAGCATGTGAGAAGCTCGCATTGGAATTGTACTCTGTGGTTGCCGCCATGATCTCATGTGCAGATTATCGAATCCGTGATGTGAGAAACAACTCAAATTATCAAGTTCCTCAGGCTATATATATCGTCCCTCAGAAGCAATTGACGACATTGTTATCCATCCAAATATAGGCCGGCAGCAAGTTATCTGCGTCTAGCCGAAAATCAATTCTCGAAAGTTGCCACCGGACTTCTTTGCACCAAAATCCTAGCCGGGATGGCATATGGCAACACTCTGCAAGAGCCATATCTCTCAGTTTGTTCCGAGGATCGACTCCTGTCCGTCTTACTCGCAGTAATTTGGTTTCGGACTACGAAAGAAGTGGGCCGTGAGGAATTATGAGCAGTGCAACGATTGGTTTCCAGAGTGACCAGCGCTTGTCGACCCTTGAGGTGCTAACAATACATCTGCAGCATGGAAAATCGAGGCGGCCCTCCGAAAGCCCGCCAAGTGACCTCAGCCTTTCGACCACCGCAGCTTCTGAACGAAGGCCGCGCCCAGCTATTTTACCCAATCCTTGTCCCCCTACTACAACTTCCAAACACATCACCATAATTCATCACACAAGTTCATTGCCTACTCTACCAAGAACACCATCTTCAATCATGAGCACTCAGAAGCAGTCATCGTTGATCACAAGCGGCCTGTTAGTCGTGTCGGTGATCTTCCCCTTGCTTGCCTTTGCCTCCATTATCTTGCGATGGAAATCAAGGCGAGTATCCAAACAAAACTTCGGCTCGGATGACTGGTCTATCTTAATCTCCTGGGTAAATCAACGATTATTGCTATGATAAGAGAGAACCTGCTTACACAGTGATAGATCACAACATTTGCTCTCAGTGTACATGTGTGGGTTTTCACGCCAATGATTGGGATTGACTACTACTCAAACCCATCCTCAGTCTCAAAATCACTCCAGGTTGGTCACTTGTCCTCTTTTAAATGTGATACAGTCATGCTGATATGCTGACCACTGATACTCAGTGCCTATTTCTAGCCAGCGCTCTGGTCCAGATCCCTCTAGCATCCGTCAAGATATCCATCCTACTTTTCTACCGACGAATATTCAGCGTGGGAATCTTCAAGCGAATTGTAATAGTGGTCGCAGGCCTAATAGCATGTTGGGGCATTATAATCTTCGTTCTCATGCTCAACATGTACGATAACATAACAACAGCCTGGGGCAAAAGCACAGGTTCACCACGCTATGACCCTGCGAAGTTCGGCTATGCGCAGGTTGGAAGCAGCATCGCGCTAGATGTTCTTGTGTTGTGTCTCCCATTGCCACTCGTCTCTAGATTGCACTTGGAGTGGAAAAGGAAGGTTGCGGTTGCCCTCATTTTCTGTCTCGGCTTCGTGTAAGTCGGCAATATTCCCCAACCCATTGAGCGGTCAAGGGAAGCAGAACAGCAGGGCTAACAAAGAACAGGTGTGTCATTGCTGCTACAGCGCGTTTTATTGTATTGCATCGGTCGCTACATCTAGTGCTAGAGTCTTCAGGAAACAGTGCTGTTCGTAAGTATCCCGGCTGTTCCTGCGGTCTGTCGCCAGCCACTGACGTGCGTACAGACTTACAGTCGCAAAATTTCATCTTGATGATCATAGAACCAAATATTTCTGTCGTTGCAGCCTGTTTACCTTGCTACGGCCCGCTGGTAAAAGGTGGACGTTCCCAGATGTCCCTTATCAACAGTGTGCGCTCTATGTTCTCGCTGCGCAGCCGTCAGGACTATGCGCAGTACGGTAGTGGGAGATCAGAGGGCAACTCAGCTACTGAATCTCAAATTGAACTTAGAAAAGGTCGAATGCAAGCAAATTATGTTGCAGAGCGCTTCTCCGACGAGGGCGGAGAAGTACAACAAGGCGGCATCAACGTTACAAGGAACGTACAGGTGGTGCGCAGCTGAACCGCATTACCATCTTGAATGGTAATGGTCAGCTAGAGACAGCGCATACTGTCTGACAGAAGGGCAAATGAACACTATCACTATTTGATAATAGGGCTACAAGTAGAGAGATCACATAAGGGAGATTGACTCGGTAGATCGAACTTTGCCTGGAATATCTTGTCCACAACATCCTTCCTCTTTTCTTGTTATTTACTGGTGCGAGACCGCAAGGAATAAAATTTCGTTTGGCATCCATACCGTACATGACATATTTGACCGCCGTGACCGTACAGGCAGTGCATGCAGCACGACTCCCACCATACCAGAGTGCTGGTACCTTTTCGGCCGCATTTTTCGGCAAATCTCATAACCGCAACTAATACGAGATTTCGTGTTATCGGAAAGTACAGCCCAACAAGATTGCATAATACATGCCCCGCAGCGGGCAAATAGAGTACATATAGCCATCGACTAGCGAATGTTCCTGCAAGTAAGACGGCACAATTCACACATTCGGCCCCCCACCTCTTTGTTAGGAGATCCAACGGAATTAAGAACACTGTCGGCTTTGATTGCTGCCTGGTTGCCTTGTTGCCCGATGCCCGATGCCTGATGCCTGTTGCCTGTTGCCTTGGTGTGAATTGTGCGACAGCAACCTAGGGTCAGGTTGAAGTCCTTCACCAGCCCCGCGGGGTCTATTGATAATTTCTACTGTTGTCTTCACCATTCAGTCTGAACACCCAGATCTGCGATAATTTCTTCATTCTAAGCAATGCAACCCATCAAAGTTCATGTCATTCGTAAGTCGCTCATCCGCTGCCTCTCTAATTTGACGGACGTATGTTTCTGTGGCGTTTTTTTGTCTGTTGTTCACCTATCGTCAACATGCTCACCCGTCATTAGCTGCGGGACCCAACCCATGGAAGCCGGTCCTGATACTCGAGGAACTCGGTGTGCCGTATGAGCTGAACTCTTTCAGCTTCGAAGCAGTGAAACAAAAGCCTTTCATTGATATAAACCCCAATGGGCGTGCACCTGGTATCCACGATTTTCCTCGCCCTTCTTCATACTCCATCCTGCTAACGTGGGCCAGCGATCGAGGACCCCAACACCGGGCTTACCCTTTGGGAGACCGGCGCAATCATTCTCTACATAATCGAGCAATATGATACCAAAAAGATACTGAGCTATGATTCACTGAAAGAGAAACATCTCAGTCAACAGTGGCTCGCCTTCCAGATCAGTGGTCAAGGCCCCTACTTCGGCCAGGCAGGCTGGTTCAACGCTCTGCACCCGGAAAAGCTCCCGTCTGCGATCGAGAGGTATAACAACGAGCTGAAGCGGATCCTCGGTGTACTTGACGGCGCACTAGACGGCCAACAATGGCTCGTTCCTGGTGACAAAATGACCTACGCGGATCTTGCTTTCACTGTCTGGAATGATCGAATCGATGCTCTTATCTTCTGCGCACCAGACAAGAAATTTGAAGGGTTTCCTAATGTTCAGGTCTGGCATGAACGGATGACTAGTCGTCCTGCATGGAAGAAAATCATGGATACGAGAGCGCAGTTGATGGATGAGCAAGGTTTGCAACCAAATGGGATGCCCAAAGGCATTAACTCCTTCCAAGAGTATGAAGCTATGATGAAGGCGAAGGCGGCTGGAACACCTTGAGGGCAGTCGTTCAGGAGCTTTCTGTTTGCGGTCGTATGCAGAAGCTTCCGGGCGACCTGAAAACGGGTATCGTTTAGCACTTTAGGTAGCAGTTTTACAGCCTATCTATCATCAATTGTCTCTTCATCACTTATTCATGAACTACACAGTTTGTCGGTTCTAATAAAACCTAATGTGCGATTTGCATCGCCACTCGTTGTCGCATGATCGTCAACTAGTGCTTCATCACAAGCTTTCACGCTCTACACAATACGCTGACACTAGCTCGATTCGTTGCTAATCTGTGGCTCTATTCCCAGTATTGCGATGTTACGATTCCTGGAGTTTTGATGTCAAAAAATTCACCGCACTGACTAACCATCGGACGACGGTTCCAGGCTTAACGTGACTAAGGCAATGTAAGGTTTACTGCGGGTCATATCATAATCATAGAGCTTACAGTTCCAGTTGCTTCTCCCATGAAGACAGTAGCACTAGAACGGTTAGAATAGCACACTGAGAATCTAAAAACTTTTACTGGGGGAAGGCACAATGACGAGCGTAGAACCGGTTCCTCGCATGGTTCTCGTGGCCCCAGACGATTCTAATTTACGCAATGACGGATTCTTTTCGCTTGCTATCAGAGCGATCATACTAAGAGTCTTCCCCATACCCATATCGTCGGTGAGGATCTCCCCTCTCCATATAGGTGGCACTGAAGATCCATTTTGGTCCGTCGAAGTATTGGGGAGTCTCCAACGCCATTTTCAATTAGATACCGAGATCTCAAGACTTGAATACATACGTTGGTACATGGTTTTGACTACTGGGGGTGGGCCAATGGTTATTATTCAGAATAGATTGTTGAACAACTGCCTTACCTCTCCGCAAGAATGTCAGTGCTGCCTTTTGGTGCCTACGTAAGTCAGTCAACATATAATTCTATTGCGTGGCCAAACCTACGACTGCAGCTTGATAGCAAGCACAGAGGTAATTATTGCCCTTTTCAGTTTTTCGGATGTCTCGAATTCAGCAACTGCAACCGCGATTTTGCTTCTCAGTAACCCCGTTTTGCCTCGTCTCGGCTGTTGAATATCGAAGGTCATTGGGGGAACTCTGAACATACCAGACAGTCAATGGGGATTAAAGTAGGGGACACTGCGGTCACAATCACAGGGATCCTGAAGATGATAACCTTTCTCCTCCATAACATCGCCGATCATATCGGCCATTTGTAATCTTGCATTGACCCATAGAGGACCACTTCCACTTGACATGCTGTAAGTTATCCAGGTCCACATCCTCTGACGTTGATAATGGCATCAAGTAAAGATAATTCGAAAAGAACTGATCTGAATCAAGGTACTAATCTCACTCAATTAGCAAGAAGACGACGCTAATTTTCTCGGATTGTCCGTGCTACCTTTGTCATGACAGCATTAGTTCTATTTCGATTCGAGAAAGAGATATTATTAGGTTGTTATAAATGTGAATACGTAAGACCTCACTTGTGAGAGCTAGGCACGATAAAGTATCCGTGGCTGTCACGAAGCTTACGAGTTTTTACTCAGATTCATAGCAATGACACACGGAATCCTCTGAAATTGGGCATCGAGATGACGAAGTAAGTGATACAGTAAGATGAATTTCAATTAGTGATTTGATTGCATTTCAAATGTAGGTAGCCGTGAGCACGGTGACTAGCTAACTTCTATTAATATCTAGAACTCGAATCTCTCGCCCACAAGGCTCTCGCTCAGCTCCCAAAGCTTGTCTGCATCGGCATCATTGATCGCATAATCTTTGGTCAGAGCGTAGATCCCATTTTCAACGATGAATGCGGCAGGTTTGCTGCGAAGCTCTGGATTTAATGCAGTGTAGAGCACAACCCCAGCGGCCTGCTCAATCGACACCATGTTTTGTGGAGGAAGCGGCTGCCCGTCATTGCGCTCAATGGCAAGCAGATATGCTTCACCAAAGTACTCTTGGTCAATAGCAGAGTTGGCAAGCAACGAGCTTTCGAGCGTGACACCCGGGTGCGCCACGAGCACTGCGATACCCTTGCCTTTCAAGCGATTCGCGAGACCGCGCGTACCTAATAGTTGCGCAGATTTCGCTTGTCCGTAAGCTTTCCAGCCATTGTAAGATTCGCCATTCTTGATTAATATCAGCCTATGTTCATGATTATGTTGGATGTGAAATGTCGTACCGAATAGTTGATGTTGTCGTACTGAATGTCACTCATCTGGTAACCCAGACTGCCAATGTTCAGAATAAGATCCCCTGCCCGAATAAGGCCGGATTTCAACAGCAAATTCGTCAAAAGGAAATGACTGAGGTAATTTGCTGCAAACTGGCTTTCTACACCGTCCTGTGAAAGTAGGAATTTCCGAGGAGCCATTACGCCAGCATTGTTGATAAGAATATCGATGTGATCCGTGGCCTCTTTGACTTGTGTGACAGCATCATGGACTGATTTCTGAGACAACAGGTCAAGTTGTACAAACTTGACTTGGACTCCGGGGTTGGCTCTGTTTATCCCCCCGATCACCGGTGTAATCTTGGATTTGTTTCGACCCGCGAGAATGAGCAGTTTTGGACCAGCTGTAGCTAGGGAGACTGCGACTTTACTACCAATTCCCGCCGTGCTAGGGCCAGTGATGAGTACTGAGATGTGTCAGAGCGCAAATTTCTGATGTTGGAAGAGGCATAAGCTTACAGGTCTTGCCTTGAGCCTCCTTGCCGAAAGAGCTCAACACCTCAGTATCGGTGGTGTTGATGTCGAAAGGCATAGTGCTAGATTGAAGAGTGGAAAGTAGGTGGAAAGTAAAATGATTGGTAATGCCGTAGTAATGCTGTGATGCTGTGTTGTTGCGGGCTCTAGTGGGCGTGAGACGGTGGTGCTTACATGGGAGTCTTATACGCGACAAACATCACGCATCATGGTGCTGTGCCGCATCATGGTGCTGTGCCGCATCAACCTGCGTGTCTCTCGAGGCAACAAAGAATAAATTAATCGCTCATTTTTGCCTCGCAGTTTGCGCTTTCCGCGTCTCGGGGTTTGCTCAGCACGAAATAACGCTTTCCAAGACAACATGTACGTCCTTAACGTGGTCCGAGGGAGGTGCTGTGTTGGTTTCAGACCATAAAAGTAATATGGATGGGGTTTATGCACATCGAATGCACTATTCGCCTTTCACACGGCAGCAACAGTCCAGAGGACTAGAGGTGCATGCACTTCGTGCTGTACTCAGGGCTTATCATCTTTTAAAAGCATGCTGTGACTATGTTGAAAGGTGGGTGAAAATCATAATATAGCACCTACCAATAATACTTCAATTCAAGCAGGTTATTAGCAGAAGAAGCCACTGTGGTTCATCTTAAGATAGAAGGCTCGTGCGGACACCGTTATGGGCTCAACTAGGAGATGAGTATCTCGGATCAGATCGAGCATCCCGAGTAAAACTGAGAAAGAGCACCACCGGTTAAGGGGACGACTTCGGATCTGGCTCTCTTACTGGCAGCTCAGGTATTGGGAGTTTGTCACAGTAAGTATTCAATCTCTCTACGTAACCGATACAGAACTCATACATTTTTTCAGCTTCAAAAGATACGACCGGGCCGAATCGTAGACCGTGGCATAGATTTACCCGATTCTCTAAAATACGACTACCCCCCACGTCCGCCGAGGAGCACGGCAAAGGATCCATGGATATCTGACACGAACTTAAAGACATAGTCGTTTAGTCATCAGGTTGACCCGCCTTTTTAAAACACCCACACGCAGGCTTTTTTAAAACACCAAGTTTTTTACTTCAGTGCTCACTCAGCACGTAAAACTCAATAAGACATAGTCGACTCGTGCATTTCCACATGCTGGATGATTTTTTTTCTAAATATACTTGGGATCCATGACTGCGCTTGTCCCGAGGGAGACGCTAAGCGCATCGTGCGTGCATTACCAAAGAAGGGCTCTGAATTTCAAATCAGAGCTCCTAGCGGGACGGGCGACTATGTTTGGGGTATTTACGCGAGATATTTGGTTTCTTCAATCCGGGTATTTGGGATTCACGTAGCGATTCTTGCCGTCACTATAGGGTTATGGGTATGGTGGCAGATAAAGCATCCAGACGACCTGCAGGAGGCATTTGTTCCTGTCACCGTTGCGGGCATCTGCATATCTACATTCGGGGCTAGTACGGGGATCTTGAAAGGCATGCGATGAAAATCTGATGTTGGTGATTTTGGAGGCACGCTACATTTGGAAAGCTGACCAGTCAATGAATTTGATTCTATGCTTTGATGTTCCGCAACTCTGAATGGACACACTATCTGTTTACAAACTAATACACACCCCATAATCATCCATACTAAGAAGCATGAGCATCATCTTTCAGTACCTCCCCTTCTCCACAACATCAACTTGTGCCTCTCCCTCACTCTTCCCCTCAATCACGCCGTCTCCAACTTTTCCCTCCACCACAGCCTCCAAATCAGGCACATCCGAATGTTTAACCCCATCAAACAATCTATTCACCTCCTCCAACGTCAACCCCCTCGTCTCAACCCAAAACACAAGCACGAAAACCACCATCAACACATCGACACTAGCATTGATAATATAAACCTTCCACCCAATCGCCGCCAGCCCAAATGGTACCGCCATAGTAACAAACAACCCACAAAGCTTCGTCGCAAACGTATATATACCCATTCCTACCGCACGGATATCAAACGACAGAACTTCAGGTGGGTACAAAACGGTCAAGGGGGTGATTCCCCATGCGTACGTTGCGTTGTAGATGAATATCATAGCGATGGTGCCGTACACTCCGGGCGCATAACCCGAGGTGCCGTATTTTGCGGTCAAGCCGGCGAGGATGTAGAGGGCAATCGTGCCCGCGGAGAGGGCGCCTGCGCAAAGAGTTTTGCGCCCGACTTTGTCTGCGAAGAGGGAGGCGATTACTGCGACGACTAGGGTCCAGGCTGTCAGGATGACGTTTATTTGGAGTTGCGTCGTTGGGTCTGATATACCAGCGCTCTGGATTATGTTATTAGTGGGTCACACGGGTAGAGAGGTGGAGGGTGGGAGAGTAAACTTACGCTGAGCATGTCGCCGAAGTAGAACTGCACGATGTTGGTACCGGGAAGCATGACCATGATGCTGAAAGTGGTGGTGATGAGAAGACGGCGACGATTTGCGGGTTGTGCTAGGGATTGGACGACGGAGAGTTCGCGTTCTTTCTCCCAGCGGAGCGTGTCTTGGATTTCCTTGAACTGCAGTTGAACGATGGGGGAAACGGTATCACCGTCACTATTTGCAATGGCGAGGATCTGCAGGGCTTCGTCGTTGCGGCCTTGACTGATGAGCCAACGGGGGGATTCGGGTACGAAGAGCAGGATAAACATGCACCATATTGATGGCGCAGCTTGTAATAGTGACGGAATTCGCCAGGCCCATGTAGATGACATAGCTTGGGTCTTCAATCACAGTTAGCATTCGCATCCAGGGTATAAAGATAGAGAATGCACTCACACCGTAGCATACTCCGCTGGCAATCAAGGTACCGCAGCCCCAGCAAGCATAGTACAGCCCCAAAGCAAAACCCCTCCATTTCACTGGCGTGGTTTCGGCAACAAGCGTCGGCGTGCTGACTTGGGCCAACCCTAACCCAAATCCAACAATGAAGCGGCCAGCAATGAACATACCAATGTTCTGTGCTGCACCCTGGATTACACCTCCGATCAACGTGATGATGGCTGACCAGATGATAGACTCTTTACGCCCTCGCCAATCGACAATGGATCCAGAAAAAAGAGACATGAAGCAACCGCCTACATAGCTGATTGCGGTATTAAGCGACTTGGTTGTGGTGGTGAGCGTAAAGTAGTTGATGTAGGCTGGCATAACGTTGAAAGACCCCATCAAGGATGAGTCGTACCCTACGAGGACCGAATCTATCACGCTGGTCATGATGATGACGGCCAGGAGGACCTTTTGGTTACGGGGGACCAGTTTAGAGACCGCCATAGCGAAATTATTCGAGAGTGCTCTGTCCGATGTGTCTATGAGTCACTGGAATTGTCGGTGTTTGCGCGCCTTTGTGTAGAAGATGGGATGTATGGAGCTGATCAATCCTCGATCGGAAATACAGGACCCTGGTCTCTTTCTTATCCCCCACACGCACAAGCGCTGTTGATCAGGGGATTCTCAGTGGCCTCGAAGGCTGGCCTATCTCGACCCCAGGGTACAAGCCAAGATAGACTGCTAGCGGCCCAAACTAAAGCACAAGAATGGGGGAACCTCGACTTGGGGCTGTATTGTTGCTTCTAATCACTTGTATGAGGACTGTACTCATGACTAGACGCCTAACTCGCGTGGAGAAATTTCTCCGGGCGCTGTCGGCGAGGCAATTCAGATGGCTGGGTGCGCTAGGTAGAACCGATACCCCGCGTTTTGTGAGAGTGGGTCAGAAGGCACTTAGCCGCGCGAAAAAATCGTACATCGCCCGATCAGGTGAAATTGCAAAAGTGGCGGTCGTGATTCGGACTTAACGGTTTCTATCAGGGCCGATAACGTCGATAGCCAACTTCCGCAGTGACATTTATCCTCAATCTCGTACTTATCAGATCGTGGACTATCAGCCAGGTTGGGGGTATTTTCAGAACGAATCCCGGATCACACCACAGCGCTCAGTGCTACTGTAACCTGAGAACAGGCTTGCTCATCCATTCTAGTCTGAAGATATGGCAGCAGAGGCGGCCGACATAGCCTTTGTGTCTTTCGAGCGGTTCCTTAACGGCGATGATGCAGCTCAAAGGGTTGTCGCGAATGAGATATACGACGCATTCAGCACGGTCGGCTGGGTGTACATCAAAGACCACGGCATCCCACAGAGCAGGGTAGATTCGATCTTCGAGCTTGTATGCCTAGACATCAATTCGTAGAAGTAGCGATAACTAACAGTTCGCCACAGGCAAAAACCTTCTTTGCATTGCCGCTCGAGAAGAAATGCTCCTGGCGGCTGAAAGATGCGGAAGTGAACCAAGGCTATACAGGCGATGGCGACGAAGCAAATGGCGGTATCGACCACAAGGAATGTTATGAGCATCGCCGCTACAACAATGACTTGTGTCCGTCAGCTGCTGAACTACCCGGATTTCGCGATACCCTAGACGAGTTTTACAGTCAATGTCTCACGTTGGGCCTCAATGTCCTAAAATGTCTTGCCATGGCACTAGATCTCGGTGATAATTTTTTTGAGAATATCACGAAATCGGCAGATCCTCAATTGCGTCTTCTCCATTATCCGGCTATCGAGAGGAAGATTGTGGAACAGCAGGGCCACGCTCGCATTATCCCCCACACCGATTTCGGATTATGCACGCTTTTGTTCCAAGACCAGATCGGTGGACTCGAAGTTGATCCATTTCACAAGGGTGAATTCAAGCCTGCGCTGCCTGTGCCTGGAACCGTTCTGATAAATATCGCCGATTTAATGCAGCGTTTAACCAACGGTCGATGCCGCAGCACTATCCATCGCGTGGTTAGTCCAAGGACCGCAGGCGATATCTTACCCGCGCGCTTCTCGATACCGTTCTTCATTCATCCTGACCCGGATGTCTTGATTGATCCGATCACCAAGTCGCAGGATGAGGTGAAAAAGTATAAGGCTGTCAATGCGGGGGAGTGGCGAATCTACAACACGAAGAAGAACTATACAGCCTTCAAGGAATCAGCCCCTGAAGCCATAACTGCTGCCTCTTGATGCGCAAACATTGTTGGTTGTCATCCAAGGATGGTGAGGAGAAGGAGACTGCACGGATTCTCATCTTTTTGTATAGGGAGGACTCTTTTACCGTACATAGTTTTTCCAGCCGCTAACGTACATAACTACATTTTTATCGCTCCATCTAAACCAAATCAATGTTCGTACAGATAGTCGATTGTTGGATTATACGTCAGGAATGTGAGAGCCTAGATAGGTGTCCCCTCCGGGTTTCGGATCTTGAGCCGCGGCTCAAACGGCAACGCGAGGGGCCAGAATTGGGCGAGCTTGAAGTAATATTAGCTGTACACCAAGAATGCTTAAAAATTCACACCAAGCCATGTTCCTGAGCCAAGTGCGAATATGAATGAAGAAATGAGATGAACGCTTGATGGAGCCTGCCCATAGACGTTGTACATGGAGATGTCCTTGACAGCAACGAGCGAATGAACTGGATGGCCTTTCCATCGAAAGAGCATCCCATGCCTCTTGCCTGCTAAGCTTCCTTCAACTGTTCCAAGGCCGCGAGAGATGCAATTTAGGTATAGAAGCTTGGACTAAACTGTACCCTGGATGTGACTGTATCGTTACCCTTGCCGTTCAATCCGACTTGCCGTAGTCGTCCTACAGAAAACTGGTTTGAAGGTTGAGCCATTTTGTAAATTATCAGTAATCCTCTCGGTCCGCTCAATTCGATCACGCATATACCGCTACCCTGATCCTGCGGGGTGAATCGATCTGGCCAGCACTGTGCAGTGGAGACCTCCAGTTGAGCATGTGAACTTCCAAGGTTTCCAACATTCAATGTTCAAATGTTTGAAGCTGCGCTTGATCACATGACCGAATAAGAATTGTTCCTGAAATTTTCATCAGACCTGCGGGAAACGGATCAGGTGCCGAATCCTACCAGTTCCCCGTAGTCTGGAGAATAAAAACATATAAGGATGAAGGACGTCACTGACGTCAGTGTAAATCGCTAAAGTTTGCATTTTCCACGTGTGCCAAGACATTGCCGATTCCGAGCTCTAACAAAACCTTGCCGGAGCCTCCATACGGTTACTAGTTCCCGTACATTCGCATTCGACTTACGTTATATATTGCGGTTCTGCCTACGAAAATGGGTGCTAGAAGGCTCGACATACGTCGTCCACGCCGGAACCAACGGCCAGAGGCCGAGCTCGAGCTTACTGTGGGAAAAGGGTTCCATTGACGAATTTTCCCTTAGTTCTGTCGTAACCATCTCCAATTCTTTTTTCGCCCCGGTATATATGCTGTTTCCCAGCTCCTTTGCGCAAAAATGAACGTCTCTCCACAATTCCCAGCGAACTCGCAACTTTCTCCGCATCCTCCGATCCCATAGTTCCCAATGGCGCCTCCCGAAGCCCGTCTCATCACCTCCGAGCACCCAGAGAAAGTGCGCATGCTCGTTCTTGAGACCGACGACCCTCATCCCGATACAAAACAGGAAGAGGGATCATTTGGCGAGGTCCTCTCCAATCTGTTGAAGCGCGCCGGAGACCAGCATGAACCCAGTCTCGGCATAGAAACCGCGATGCAATACGTAGTCGAGCCGGATGGCGGCAAGATCCCCTCACCTGATCAAATCGGCGACGACATACACGCGATTCTAATCACGGGAAGCGTATACGATGCACACGGCGACGACCCGTGGATCCATAAGCTCATGGATCTCATTACATGTACGCGCGGGCCCATCCCTCACGCATTCACATAAGCCTTAGCTTCAGAAGAACCAAACACTGACAATATACACCCACAGATCTATGGAAGAACCGACCAGACATCCGCTTCACGGGTATCTGCTTCGGACACCAAATCCTCTGCCGCGTCCTCGGCTCCACCGTGCGCCCAAACGAAGACGGCGAATGGGAGCTCTCACACACGCCCATCGAACTCACAAACATCGGTCGCTCACTATTCAACCTCCCTTCCACCGAATCACATATCGGCCTCCACCAGATGCACCTAGATACTGTTGTGGATGCGCCCGACGCGTCCAAAACGGAACTCCTGGACAATAACACGAAAGTGTATGTATGGGGCAGTAGTGAGCATACCGAAGTACAGGGTGTGTATATAAGGAAACGATTATTCACCACGCAAGGTCACATGGAGTTTGATCAGCATAAAGTGAAGAGGCAATTGGAGATGAGAGTTAAGAGCGGGTCGGTGGAGGAAGAGGCTGCGGAAGAGGCAAGCGAGAGGGCGGATTGGATGCATGATGGGTTGATTGTTGCGGAGGCTGTATTGAGATTCTTCCATGGGGATGATGATACTGTGGAGTAATTGTGCTCTCTCACGAAGGATGACTGTACGATAGTTATACGATACGAATTGCATAAGACGTTGGCACACCACAATTAATCAGGGAAAAGTATAATCGTCAGTCTTTCCCAGGACTGTTGGATTAATTCGACAATGGCACGGCGGACTGACAGCGAAAGGATTCACTTACCAACACCTAATCCATTTGCCTTATTGTCTGAACCCCCCACCTACACTACCCCCAGTCTTTATCATTTCGGTTCTAAGCAGCAAAAGGCCACCCACCCAAACCGATAGTCAAGAACGCTTCATCCGACTGAATGCGCTCTGCCATAGCTTCAAGCTCCTCAACGTCCCAATTCGCAAAAACCATTTTGCCATTGAGAAACTGACAGGGCCGCTTACCATCTCCAGACGACCGAGAGCACCAGACAAGAAAGTCTGCTGCAAGATTGGCTACGGTGTTGCAAGGTCTTGTCAGCAGTGATCCAAGCAGAAAGACCAAGCTAATATCGGAGGTGTCAAGTCACACAACGCATCGAGAAAAAAAAAAACAAGTCGAGATGAAATGGGAAGAACATACCAGTATCCATAGGTAACTTTGCCGGATCCGCCCCCGCTCCCCTGAACACCGCCGTATCCACCATCCCCGGATGCACAGTAATTGCCGCAACCCCTGGATTTTCAGCAGCAATGTACTCGATCAGTTTGGTCTGTGCGATCTTTGATACCAGATAAGCGGAAAGAGTTGCCGTTATTTTCGCGCCAAATGCGAAGCCGCCGGCGCCCATGGCGTATATGATGGCGCCGGGGTTAGAGTCTGAGGGTGGTGGTGCCGCGGTGGGGAGGAACAGTTGAGTTATTTGGATGACGGATTTTACGTTGACCTAGGGAGCGAGGGATTAGTGAGACTGATTGTGGTTTCGCTGTTCGAATGATAGTATCACGCTGTGTTGAGCAGGTCGGTTCAATGTAGATCCATCCAGGATACAAGGAAGCGGAAAGATGAAATTACCGCACAATGAGAATGATAGGAGCGAAGTTGAAAAAAAAGGGAGGGGGGGGGGAGGGGGGGGGTTTACCTCATAAGCCTCCCAGTACTTGTCCAGGTTGTCACTTCCCAGCGGCCCAGGTGGTGGTATACTGGCAGCACCCAAGACCAAGACATGCCATGCTCCCACTTCATCCGCGATTTTTCGCATGGCATTTCTGTCAGTCACGCTCGCGGTATACACGGAAATCTTGGTCGAAGCGTTTGTAGCCGATACAAGATCTTTGGTGGCAGACAGCGTGGAAAGCGTACGTCCAATAAGCACCAGGTGCGCGGCGGACGCTTTTGCAAAGGACAACGCGGTTTGCTGGCCAATACCTGTGCCCTATCCACGCTTCTTGGTTAGAAATGGATCATGTCGATTCCAATTTGGCAGCGCAGAGGGATTGTGGATCTAGAGACTCACGGGAGAGGACGGGATGGAGGGCTTTAACGTACGGCACCGGTGATGATGATTGTCTTTCCCTCTTGGCTCAATCCATCTTGGGTGGGTTCAATGGCTTTGTAGGTATCATTGTGCCATGTAGCTGTTGGGCAGGGCAATGGGGGCTGCATATTTGCTGTTGATGTGATGTGATTCTTTCTGCTGTTCGGTCGATTAAGTCTGGAGAGGTCTAAAAGCGAAATCCGGATTGTAGGCGGATAGGCAGAGTAAAGAGCGATTTATTTGGCTTCTTTCAGTATCTCCAGGATGCGCTATCCTTCAATCCTATCAGTACGGCGTAGCTTAGTGTGAAGCATTGCAGGCGAAATTGATGACCCGTCCCCACAACAACACTCGGAAGCGGATCTAAGCATGAAAAAGCACCAGCATTCGGAAGAAGATTGGTCCAGCGGCCTATTGTTCAACCGACTCACTTACGTAGGTAAGGGTAGAACTGGAAAAGAACAATGGCAGGGCACTTTTGATATCGTGACTGCATCACGAGCGTCGGGCTGACTTCTCATTTGACTTCCCATGTATACGCGGATAATGCGTTGGTACATTAACGCATATAATCTCACGACCGTGCCGCGGACATCCCTACTATTAACAACACCGCTCTCGTCCCTCCCCGCGAACAAGTCCCATCCCCATCTCCCTCCTCCAGAGCCCCACCCACGAATCGCCTCATCGCCGCCTTCGAAGCCCACCTACCCACTCTCTCAAATCTCAGACGTCATGTCCTACCACGACACCATCCACGTACCCCTCATTCAAAAGCTCGTAGGCGAATCGTTCCCGATCTCCCACGCGCGCCACGGCACTGTCTCAAGTGTCAGCACGTCCCCCGATCCTTCCAACGCCCCCGTCATCATCTTCGGAGGGAAGCCCGAGGATTATTGATTATAATGATATCGCGAACATGGCGTTTGAGAAGGTGGCGCAGTTGCAGGGGTTTTATGGGAAGGATTGGGATGCGGAGATTTAGGGAGGATTGGGGAGAGCGCGGGGAAGGTTATTGTTGAGTGAGGGGGTTGAGGGTTGTGGGGGTGGGAGGAGAGTCCGCGTGTTGCGTATAGGTGAGGACGGGTAGGACTTGTTGTTGCTGTTGTTGTTGGCTGGCGAGTTGGGGGTTGGGTTTTGTATTGTATTGGGGGGCTTGCTTTATGGGGCTTCTGGAGAGTAGGTGGGAGGGATGAGATGAGGGTGGTTTAGATTTTGAGGGATAGCGCAGTTTTGCGAGGACGGCAGGATAGATTGGGATTGATTGGATTGAAAACGCCAATCGAAATGCGAGGATAGAGCAGCTTATAGTTTTGTACTTGAAGGTGAATATTTACGATGTGGGATTATAATGCTTCTTGGACATGATGTTAGAGAAGCAGGACTGAAGCTCGCTCACATGTCCCGCAGGAAGCCTTCGTAATATCTATCGAGCCACTCAACAGCCTCAGCACCACTCTCCCTCCCTCCGTCACTAAACCGCCTCAGACACCCAACATAGCCATCCGGTCGAACATTTACGACGACGACCTCGTTGCCCGCCAAGCCATCGAGCCACTTCTGTCTACAGGACTGGCCACGTGTGTCTTTCTCTGGAATGTCGTCAAGGTAGATACTGAACGTCGACTCGCGGAGGATGTGCGGCAAATGTTCAATCTCCAGTGTTCCGCGCTCGGCAGTGACGAGCGCATATGTGAAGACGCCGCTGACGGGCGTGTAGCGCTCCGGACACACAAACTGGTCGTGCGGGGCGGCAAGTGGGGGCTGAGATGTATAGGACGCGTTGGCGACCTGTGTGACGCGACCAACGTACGAAGCGGTAGATATGTGAGCGTTCGATACAGTGTCTAGAAAGGGAAGGGCGGCAATAGCGTCGTTTGCGAAGAAGTAGATGCGGAATTGGCCGAGGGCGGGGATGTCGGTCTGGATGTCGACGGGGTTCGCGTCGATGAAACGGGTGACTTTTGCTGGGGGGAGGAGGAATCCTGGTGTGAGGTTGCCGCGGTTGTTCCATGACGAAGAGTGCATATTAAGGACGTTGAGACCGTAGCTTACTCCGTAGCCCGAGATAAAAGCCACATTTTTGGCGAAGTTGTCAGCGAGCGCTTGGGAATCGCCTTCGGCGAAGGCGTTGGCGTGCTCATAGTCGAAGTCGATTAAATCTTGGGCGATCTTTTTGCGCTCCTGTTCGTATGTGTCCATCAGGACGGGTTTGGCTAGCTCGCGCACTGCGAAGTTGAGTTTCCAAGCCAGGTTCCATGAATCGTGCATGGACGTGTTCATGCCTTGAGCTGCTTTGGGTGAGTGCGTGTGACTGGCGTCGCCGGCGATATAGACTCGTTGTTCCGGATCTGTGAAGCGACATGCTACTCGTTGACCGATCTGATAGCGACCGAACCACTCGACACTTCTCCACTTTAGCCGGTAGGGTTGCATGATGTCTTGGGCCCTCTGTTGGACAAACTCTTGTGTGTGCCGTTCCTTGAGATTGACCTCGTCCGAATTCGGCTTCATTTCGATGTACAGGCGGGTCAGATTTCTCTCGCGGGGAATCATCAAAACAGAACCGAGCTTATCTGAGTGTATCACCACTTTACTCCAGATATCGGGAAAGTTTGTGTCGAGGACACCATCTAGCACACCCCAGATTGAATCCGAGGAAGCCCCTACGGGTGTGGAGTTGGGGATGCATTTCCGCACTTTAGAGTGGGCGCCATCAGTGCCGACGACGTACCGTGCACCAAACGACTTGGTAGTCTGGCTGACGTCCTGCATACAGTCCACCGTCAGTGGGCGCACCTTCTCAGGCGTGTACCTGACGTTTGTGAAAGCCGTATTGCGCGTAACCACGACACCACGCTCCCGCAAGTCGTCCTCGAATGTGCTCTCCACCATGCCCTGATGAACAAGCAGGATGTAAGGGTCGAGAAGATCTACGACTGGAGGATAGTGGATCTCGCGGCCAGCGCGATGCAGTGGTTTCTCTTTGGTTGATTTCCAAAAGGCAATATCGTAGACGCGAACGCCTTTGCGCAGAAGCGGTTCAGCCAGACGCATCTGTCGCAACGTCTCTATAGATTTGGGTTGGATGCCATCGGCTCGGCCAGTTGATGTGCCACCGGGCCGATCATCTATGATTCGGGTTTTGATGCCGTACCGAACAAGATTGTCCCTGCGGGGTTGTCAGCCATGAGCTTCAGGCCAATCTATCATTTCAACGAACGAGTTTGTGAGCACGTATGAATTGATGCATGGGAGATGCATGAGTGAGTTGGCACGTGAGTGACGTATGAGATGGATCACATGACTTACGCCAGCATCAGCCCCGCAGGACCGGCACCCACGACCAACACATCGCTTAAGAAAGTGGAATAGTAATCGCCCTCGGGCTGCACGGAACTGAGTTGCGAGAACGAGGTATTGGTGGAGTTGTGGGAATGGGATGATTCCGAGGTTGCTGTGCTAGGAGTGGTGAGGCCTGGAGCCATCTTGACGGCCTTGTGATGATTGGAGGAGCTGTCGGGCGTTGAGCGCTTCATGATGGACCAGAAAGACGGGGCCATTCTATAAGACGGTTGGCCTCTGGCAGGTCGACTGACACGGAATGTCGGAGGTTGGAGGCGTGGCGCCGAAGATGGAAAATGGGGGTGAGGTGGACAGACGTGGTCGCTCGAGAGTGATGATGGCGCCCATTTTCAACCGCTGCGCTTCAGACAAAGGGTCCCACCTCCTGTGTGAGGAGGCGAACATTTTGCTGTAAAATTTTGCTGGCAATGGGGTGATTCAGGTCGAGTGCATTCTGGCTCTTGTGACGGACGGAGCGTCGTGCTCACAGTGTGAGGAAGTGAATCGGCCCTGGCTCGTGCACTGCCGGCCACCCCCACCTTTCCTCTCGCGGCAATTGTCTTGGCAGATGGTCCGTGCGGCGTACCGTCCTGAAATCCATCCATCCACCCATCCATCTGTCCATCTGTCCATCCCATCCCCAGTCGGCCAGGTTCAGCATCTCCCATTGCCTTGGGCTCACCATGACAAGCTCCCAACAACAGCGTCGATCCATATCATGAATCCGTATCTGCGCCTTATCGTGGGTCCATCCTTAGTAATCTGGTCAAGTTCCTCAGCGTGCGTCTCGTGTTGCAAGTCGACCGTTTCTAACCTTCGCTACCCTGGAGCGCAATATATCATCCCATGTATCATTAATACTCGATTGATACATTCTACCCCCTGCGTTCTATAATTTTACTTCTTGTCCATTGCTTTTTACGGCTAAACATGAACACAATGTCTGTCCCTTCAGAGCCTCAATGGCTGCCAACAGTCCGTCGAAAGCGCCAGCTCCGCGACGACGCCATCCAACTATGGTCCGCAACCCACAACAGGAACTCTCCAAACGTGACATCCAATGAGACGACAAGGCTCGATAATACTGACGAGATTCTTCACGCTATTTCATCCAACGCTGTGACCGCTACTGATCTCTGTGAGGCCTATATTTCGCGGTAAGACGAGACTATTCCCGACCCACCGCTCGTTTGATCTGCCTCTCGTATCATTCTCACGCCACCTCGTTTTCTAGGGCTGTTACGGCACACCAAAAGGTAGGAAACCGCACGCGAAAAAAAAAAGAAAAAAAAAGAAGAAGAAGAAGAAGAAGAAGAAGAATCCTTACAAAAATAGTATTCGGCGTACTGACTATATTCACAGACGAATTGGTAAGGCGGATCCCGCGCAAGTAATCATCTGGGCACCAAAGCAATTTACTAAATCCGCCACTACACAACAGCCTCACCGAGATCTTCTTCGATGATGCTTGCAAACGTGCCGGGGAGTTGGATCAGTTTTTCAAAGACCATGGTAGATTGGTGGGGCCGCTGCATGGTGTTCCCATGACGCTGAAAGATCAATTCGACGTTGCAGGCTATGACAGCACCCTGGGATATGTCGGGCGTGCGTTCAAACAAACATCGGAAGATTGTGTCCTCGTGGCTCTCCTGAGACAGATGGGCGCCGTTATTATTGCCAAGTCAAATCTCCCACAGAGCATCATGGTACGCCTGATTTGCACACGTGCGAGACTCCCCATCAATGTCGAACAAATACTTAGTTCTGTGAACAGTGGTGCGAAACGGAAAATCCCCTTTGGGGGTTGACTGTACATCCAGAAAACCCCGATTTTACGCCTGGAGGATCAACGGGCGGCGAAGGAGTGCTTCTTGCCTTGCGAGGATCGGCTGTGGGCTGGGGCACAGACATTGGTGGGAGCATACGAATACCGTCCCATATGCTAGGTCTATACGGCTTGAAGCCGAGTGTACGTACTCATCCCCCCTGTCTCGGGTTGTGGTGTCCCGCGACCATGGGTCCAACTAGCAAGTTGGCAAAAAGGGTTTCGACTGTTACAGCGTTGACATGCCAGCATCATAGAGCACCCGACTTCCATACCAAGGTGTATCTGTATCTACCGATGGTCAAGAGCATATACCCTCGGTGATTGGTCCTATGAGCCGCAATCTCTCTTCTCTCGTCGCCGCTACCAAAGCTGTCATCGACGCTCAGCCCTGGACCCTTGACCCCAAATGCTGCCCCCTCCCATGGCGCCAGGACCTCTTCACCAGTGTTCAGTCTCGCCCTATGGTGATAGCCATTATGCGCGACGATGGCGTCGTGAAGCTGCATCCACCTGTAGCTAGGGTGCTGGAAGAAGTCGTGAGCAAGCTCGAAAAGGCCGGCCACGAGCTAGTACCTTGGACGCCTGGTACTCTCCACCAGGAAATAATCGATGTCATGGTACGACAATTTATCCCACACCACAATCTATTCCTGCACATTTGAGCATTCCACTTACACGTGACACTTGCCAGGATGCCTACTACACAGCGGATGGCGGCGAAGACATCAAACGCGATGTTTGCGCCGGCGGTGAACCGTTCATCCCACACGTAGAAGCCCTCGTCAATAAAGGCCAGCCCATATCCGTGTACCAGTACTGGCAACTCAACAAGCGCAAAGTCGCTCTTCAGAAGCGCTTTCTCGATCTCTGGAACGCGACTCAGTCACTCCAACATCAAGGTAAACCGATTGACATCCTCCTCGCCCCTGTGATGCCGCATTCGGCTGTGCCTCATCGAACTTGCCGTTGGGTAGGGTATACGAAGGTGTTCAATGTAGTGGATTATCCATCAGTAGTATTGCCTGCTGGCCGCGTGGAGAAAGGGCGCGATGGCGATGCGGCAAGGGATATGGCTAGCTATACCCCGCGTAATGCTCTAGACCAGTGGAATTGGAAGAACTTTGATCTAGAGCGCATGAATGGGATGCCGATTGGGGTGCAGGTTGTCGCGAGACGGTTGGAAGAGGAGAAAGCGCTCGGGGCCGCGGGGGTAGTGGAGAAGTTGTTGAAGGAGTGAGGTTTAGCTACAACATCTAGCTCATCACTTCTGGTACTGAGCTCCGCATCTCTCCTATCAGCGCAGAATGGGGGCCAAGGTCTTCCGTCACAACGTTCGCGCAGAAATACATCATGAAGTCTATACACCGCGATAATTCCAGACGACAATATGCAGACCATGCGCCAGCTGGGACGACGATTGCTACCACCATCGACTTGTACGTCCCCGTAATGATACAATGCATTTCAAGATGTTCGGTTCCTGTGTCCGAGAATTGGTGTAGTTACCCACCGACTCCACCCCCACCTTGAGCTCGCGATAGCTGTTCGCAAGCTTCTCTCGACCCTGCATGGTTACATACGCGACGTGCATGTCGAAGCTAAGAGAGGGGTAGCTCCCAAGACTCCAAATCCCCTCAATCCATATCTCCCCTTCTGCCTCGACCGATTCTATTTTCTCGTTGTTCTTTCCTACAGATCTAGCCTTCCGCTAAACCAACCTATCGGTGCCATATACATCTACTATCAAATTCTGCGACAGCATCCACGCACAGCACGACAATGGGCAAGAAACGCGTTCTCGTAAGCTACGGCGTAGACATCGACGCCGTAGCCGGCTGGCTAGGATCCTACGGCGGCGAAGATTCCACCTCGGACATCAGCCGCGGACTCTGGGCCGGCACAGTCGGTACCCAGCGTCTTCTCAAACTATTCGACAAATACAACATCAAAGCGACGTGGTTTATCCCCGGGCACAGCCTCGAAACCTTCCCCGAGGACTGCGCAGCCGTCCGCGACGCGGGCCACGAGATCGGATTGCACGGGTACTCGCACGAAAACCCCGTCGACATGACCTTCGAGCAACAACGCGACGTCCTCGATAAAACGTACAAAATGCTGACCAAGTTCTGCAACGGCAAACCACCTCGCGGCAGTGTTGCGCCGTGGTGGGAGACGTCGAAGGAAGGATGCGAGCTATTGCTCAGCTACGGCATCGAGTACGATCACAGCATGTCGCATGAAGACCATCGCTGCTACTGGCTACGCACTGGCGACAGCTGGACCAAGATCGACTACTCCCAGAAAGCGGAGACGTGGATGAAGCCGCTGGTCAAAGGCGAGGAAACGGGTCTCGTGGAGATCCCCGGGAGTTGGTATATTGACGATCTCCCACCCATGATGTTCATGAAGAAGTCTGCAAACTCACACGGCTGGGTAAATCCTAGGGACGTCGAGGCGATATGGATGGATCATTTCGATTACTTTTATCGCGAGTACGATGAGTTTGTCTTCCCCATGACCATCCATCCCGATGTTTCGGGACGCCCGCACGTGCTCTTGATGCATGAGAGGATCATCGAGCACATCAATAAACACGAGGGGGTAGAGTGGGTGACGATGGAGCAGATGGCAGATGATTTTAAAAAGAACAACAAGGTGCCTGAAGGGGCGAAGATGCCGGCGCCACCGGGGGAGATTTTGAAGAAGCAGCAGGACGGCACAGCTTATAATCCAGGCTTCTAGGGCTCTTTCATCCATCACAATATTGTTTTGATTGATCGTCTTGTATTCCATGAGTGTTTATGCTGTCGGTGACTTGTTTTCTTGTTCAAGTGTTGACGAATCTAACATTGTTTGTTTCTCCATCCCCAGTTCGGTCCTTTGCTCCTTACATATTGCCTGCTGTAATTATCATCGCTCGAATCCAAAAAAAATCCAGAACGAACTGTAGCAAGGCGACCTGTGTCTCACAAGAGGCCAGTCGCACCCTTCTCCCCATCTTCATCCCTCCGAACTCCCCGCATATCGATTCCGACCGTCCCGAACGGCTTCCGAAAGCCCAACCAATCACAAGCCAGCTTGCCCCGCGGGGATGAGATTACGACCACCCACCCCCATTCTTGCCCTTCACACCTCACCATCCACTTATGCATCGCTGTCATCAATCACCCTTCCATCTCATCCATCCTATCCCTGCGGATTCTTCCCCATCTTCGATTTCCACGCTTCCGGGTGTGTCAACCCCACTATCTGTGTATGACGCCCTAGATGAATGCATTGGCAGGGATGTGAATGCGGGGCCCTCCCCGAACATGAGCTACGTCGAGCTCCGTGTCCAGATACCGTAGGTGGGCAATATAGGGTGTTCGGGAGCTAAGTTGTCATGAGGATGATGTGGTGTCCGCTGTTTGGATCTATCTTCTCGTGCTGGCTTACATACCCGGATTCTCCACTCCACTACATTCGAGGGTAAATGGATTTGATCGCGTGTCTAACTCTTGGGATCTCTTCTTCGGCGACTGCAATTTTTGATACCCTTGAATTTTCACGTGCTGAGGGCAGGAAGTAGTGGGACGTCATTCCATCATAAGAGCACATACTTCGCCATGGCGCCGCGATCGAAGCCGGAACCTATACAGCAGAAGACCAGAAATGCGGAAACCAAGCTGGATGTGAGTCCTACCACGCTTTTGACAATTTTGTACGCTTATTCGAACTCCTAACTGATATACCCAGGTCCTTATCATCGGCGCAGGCCTGGGTGGACTAGGCGCCGCAATCTCCATCCTTCTCCAAGGCCACAATGTCCACATTTTCGAAGCTGCGTCAGAAATCGGAGAAGTCGGCGCAGGAATCCAATGTCTTCCCAATAGCACACGGATACTCATGTCTTGGGGGCTTGAAGAGAAGCTGGGCAGACACGCCACGCATCCCAAACAGTGCAACTATTTGGGCTGGAAAGGTAATAAGCTCGCGCACATGGACTTTCACGCCTACTCGGACCAGCTAGGTACCCCGTTCTGGGACTTCCACCGCGCGAGTCTGCATGGTGAACTACTGGCCAGAGCGAAGGAGCTGGGTGCCGAAATCACGACCAATGCCAGAGTAATGGATATCGAATACGAGGACGCAGGGAACGGCACCACACATGCCATCGCAGTATTAGGTGACGGAAGAAGACGCAGTGCCGACCTCGTCGTTGGCGCGGATGGCATCAATAGTCGCTGTCGCGAAATCCTTCTAGGGAAATCCGACCCACCCCTTCTTACCGGAGATCTGGCCTACCGCCTTCTCCTCAACACGTCCGACATGCTCGCCGACCCCGAACTCCGTCCGTTCATCGACTCACCGCAAGTCAACTACTGGATGGGACCAGATGCACACGCGGTCAACTACGTCCTCCGCGGCGGCAAACTCTTCAACATGGTGCTACTCGTCCCCGACGATCTCCCCGCCGGTGCAAACACGCTCGCAGGAAACGTCGACGAAATGCGCGCACTGTACCAACACTGGGACCCGCGAATCCCCAAACTGCTTGCCCTCTGCGAATCCGTCACCAAGTGGCGTCTCTGCATTCGTCCTGGGCTCGACCCAACATGGTCGCACCCATCCTCCGCTTTCACGATCCTAGGGGACGCGGCGCACGCTACACTCCCGTACCTCGCGTCCGGCGCGGGCATGAGCCTCGAAGACGGCCACGTCCTCGGTCTCTGTCTAGGCAGGCTAACAGGCACAACGGACGCGGACAAAAAACTCGCATTGGCCGTGTATGAGCGATGCCGACGGCGTCGCACGGAACGCGTCGTCGCGCGCGGAACCACACAGCAGCACTTATACCATGTGCATGACGGGCCGGAACAGCAAGAGCGCGACGACTTGCTGCGCAAGTACTCTGCGCTTGGGAATCAGCCTGCCACGACGGAGGAACTGGGACTCAAGGGATTGAAGGAGGAAGGGGATCCGTTTCCGTGGCGGTGGGAAGGCTGCGGGAAGTGGTTGCTGACTTATGTCTGCGAAGACGATGTCGAGGCGAGGTGGGGAGAAGTCAGAAGCAAGATATCCGACGACCAATCTTCTTTTTCTTCCTCCTCAACGCAGGACATCGAAATCAGATCTGTGCTGTAGTTCCCGTTATATCTCCCGTCTCACAAGCTAAATCTGAATATTCTTTTCCCTTCCTTTTTTCCCCCTTTTTTTTTTTAGTTCCGCGTCCCGTTTAAGAAGTCCATCACGTAGGTGAAAGAAAAGAGGCGCACACTGGGATCAGCTGTCACCACTCTATCGAGGTTTTATTGCGTGTTCGACATTTATTTAATGCCTGCAAGATGCACATTGCGACGCTGCTTAATAGTGTGTTGAAGTAGAAAAGAGCTTCCTTCGCTCTATTCTAGAGCTAGCATGTTAAAATCAACTAGTTATAGATTAGAGTTATCCCCAGCCTCCAACCACCTGATTTAAACTATTCTGGGATTTATAAACGTGTATGTTTAGCTATATACATGCAGCGACACTTGGCTGAGCAACTGCGCAGCCCCTAAGCATAAACGAATAGGCATCTAAGACTGTTTCTGCTCCTTTTTGCTCACTGATATAGATCTATGCTTAGCTACTGCCACTTAAGATCTGGTAGTGGCTCAGAGGCCAAGCCACTCAAATGGTGGCGGCTGAGTTGCCCTGCTCTCCGGCTAACCGCTCAATCTTAAGCCGCGGTGGCTGAGCCTGTTACTGTACATATAACTACGTCATAAATAATATATCATACAATAACTGCCTTAGCGCTGGCCTACCGACTTGGACGTTATGGGAAATCCTTCGAGTCCAAAATTTACTCATTTTGTGATAGCTTGCCGAGATAGGCTCTGTGCTTCATCTGGCCTTTCCTGCGGATTCAGATCAGATTCTTTCCTAAGATGGCGGAAGTTGCGCTGGCTGCAACCGTGCTAAAGCTCGCGGGTTCAGCCAGCCAGGTCATAGCCGAGTTGTATGTATTTGGAACCGCTCTTGGAACCGCTGGCTTGGAAGTGCGCCTAATGGCAGGCGACCTCGAGTGCATGTCTCAATCGCTCCAATTTCTGGGGAAGATTCTTGAGACAGAAGGCCAACACCAACCTGAAGCAAAATCCATAGCCGAGCGGCACGTCACCTTCTGCGAAAAAGTTCTGAAGTACAGCGAAGGTGTTATCGAAAAACTTCGCCCGCTGGTGGAAGAACGTAAACATTGGTGGAATCTGAATCTCGACAAACGACTGAAATGGATGTTCAATAAACCAAAGTTTCTTCTTCATCGTCAATCGATTGAATCTCTCAAGTCATCTTTGAACCTCCTGGTCACAAGTATGAATTACGTGGAGACGAGAAGAAGTGCCGGCCTCAGAGCCTCTTCGTAAGTGATTCAAGATAACATGTGTCCAGTACATCAAGCTGATATTGGTCTGTCTCTCCCAGTTCTGTGTTTGAGTCCCAATTAGAGCGCGCGATTGCTCAAGCGGAAGAGTCGGCGGCCAGTCCTTCCCAGCGCCTTCGCATTGCCATGTCTCAGCATGATTCCCGACCTTCTTCTCTGCTGTTGATGGAGGGTGAGAGGATTCAGAATGCCAACAACGCAATTATGGGCCCTGAAGCGGACGATGGGCATAGGGCTGAACAGGGCCTGGAAAGTGACGACCGCATGAACGCTTCGACGAATCCGCATCAGTCTACCAATGTTACGAATGCAGCTGACGGGGAAGATGAAACCATTGATAACGATAGGTCTAGTATTGCCGATACGTCTAGTATTGCCGATACGTCCAGTATTGCCGATACGTCCAGTATTTCCGATACTATCGACTTGACGAATATACCGAGATCGGGATTTGCTACACCTCGGGCTGCAGATATTCGGGAGGATGTATCGGATTATATGGACACTGAGGACAACTCGCAGGCGCTCGCGCTAATAGTCGACATCAGTTCTCTCGAGCGAGACACTGTAGCCATTGCCAAACAGGTCGTGGCAGGATCATTACCATCTTTGAACGCCATCAAAAAGAACAACCGAAAAATTGGCTGGTTATGCTTCACATTCGAAGATTTTGTCTTTGCTCGATCTCTGCTTGACGAGGAAACTTCGAACCCCAACACAGTGTTCATACATGGGAGGATCGGCTCGAACGACATCATCATCTTCTTTGACTTGCCGCGAAATCACGGTCCTTCCGACCCGACTTTCGGCTACCTTGAAAATTCCTCTGAGTCCATCGCCTTATTGTTGGTCGTTGGCAACGGGATGGAGATTTCGGACCCAAGGCTAATAGACTATCTGCCTTTTGGTAGCGTGGTTGTTGGAAGAGCAATACATTACCCCAACGGTGGGTGGTTCGACACGGATGACGTACCCTGGCTCAAGCATGCTCTTTTGAAGTTTAGGTCAGAACTACTTCTGAAGCCGAACATGACGACAACAAAGACCCTGCTGTCTGAATATAAGATCGATTCCGGTATTCTCGATCTTTTCCACTCCCTAGATCCAGATAAATATCTCGAATCCGGCATCGTTTTCGACGGGGCAATGTTCATTGCCGACAGCAATATGCTAGATAAACGCATAGAGAAATCCAGCCTGGATCATGTTGTGCAGGGTATGCAAGATGAAACTTGGGTCCTCACGAAAATTGGCTTCTGCGATTGCAGGAATCTCCCTCGCTTGATGGTCTGTGGAGTAGGAGACTCCCCATCAGACAATGATGCTAAGAGGAACGCTGCAATCCTCGTGAGAGCTTTTCTCCTTTCGTCCGATATCAGTAAGATGTCAGAGGGAAGTCTCTTAATGTAGCAATACATTGAGGACCTTTTAATTGACTACCTTCATGTCTCTCCTATCACACCCCCAGACTTCTTCCTGGGTGTACCACTGACTAGCTTGAAATTTGACACGAGGTGCATCTATAGAAACTTCTCTTTTTCTACTGCTTTAGTATAGCACTTCAATAGAATTTATTAAAAGCTGTCTTTACTATATCTAAAAGCTTATAAAAATTTTGTGCTGACTTTATAAAAGTAGCTCAATTAAAGCTGTTCTGTACCACATTATAACATATGTAAAGTAACTATATCTTGTCTATTTCTATATTAATCGTACAGCAGTGTCTAAGCTATGAAGCTAACAAGCTATAGAATAATCTAATTAGCATATGGAAGGCTTCTATACTAGAACAAGCGGTTTAGATTATTATAATAGTTATGAGAAGAAAGACAATGTTAGAGGATGTAAGAATCTGTAAAGTCTCTGTTTAGATTGTATGCGCAGAGCCTTTACTGCTTCCTATAGTTTCTCCCTCCCTTAAGACTAATTCTAACAAACTAACACCCTTCTACCTATAATTGTCACGATCACTCCCAAACGCGATGAGTTAGGCAAGTATCGATCTGATCCGTTCAAGATCAACTTCTCTAAGCTCCAAGGCCCGTAACATCACGGGCTAAGCCTGGTGCGCAAACAATCTGGCTGATGACAGTCCCACCAGGAATAATCGAGTGGTACTCTTGCGTATTTCCACCTTCCGGGCCATAACTGCGGCCACCTCGAAAAATCCCAAGAATGTCGCCCTTGTCACTCTGAGCCTTGCAATCAGTCTCTCCCGTGATAGTAAGGTCCATTTCGGTATATTGCTCCTTGACGATGGAGAATGAAACGTTCTCGCCTGTGTGCTTGTAACTTGCGGCAGCCTTGTCATTCTTGTAGAGCTTGACGGTGACAGTGGGGACTGGATCCTCGCTAACGTCGCGACGCTCATATTCCCCAGAGATATAAGCAAGTGCGTACGAGCATTTGACGCTCGCGACTTGAATCGGCCCGTCGAAGCTCCATTTTTTCCCAGCCGTGAGGGCGGTGTGGGCCTCGCCGTTGTGTTTTGCCACCATGGTGTTGCCGGCTGCGTCGAGGACCTTGCATGCGGAGTAGCCTCCGCTCACGTCGCGGCCTGGGATGACCTCGATGGTTGTGAATGGTCCTTGGTTGGTGAAGGACGCTGGTTCTTGATCCTTGCGAGCGTTGAGGTATGCCACAGAAGTCTTCCCAGAAGTCGGGTTCTCGAGGATAACTTTCACCTGTTTCTCTGGGGGATAGTCTTGAGTGACAGGGGCAGCGAGGATAGGGCTGAGAGCGCTGATAATGAGGAAGAATGATGCAGTGTACATGTTGGTAGTTTGGTGTGGCAGTAGAAAGTACTGAAAAAGTAATATAGCTAGATAGTTTGAAAGATAGAATGCAAAAAAGAATGCTGGAAAGACTAGTTAACGAGAGTGATGAATGTACTGAACGAATGTAAATTGCTGTTTGAGATGATGAACCTTTTTGCCGTCCATATAGTTACCCTTATATATATTTCTCACTCTTTTCAACTCCGCCGTCTTGCCAACACACAATTGGCCAGATTCCAACAAACGAACTTTTAATTCTCACTCCGCTGCCGAGCCCTTGAATTCCTGTTACCGGCAGTAACACGATCGCAGAACCCTTAAAAAAGCACCGCTTTGATGCAGCGATGATGTGACAGGGAAGTACGGGTGCAAACGAGGTGTTGGGCTAACCATAGGGCGCAGGTGCAGGGAGTCGCCGATGCCTCACGCCATCTGCATTACCCGAATTGTTACACGGAGATTATCGAATAAGGAATCAAGAACTCGTATGTACAAGGCTGTGTTTTCCGAGCTCTTACGTCATCAATCTACGAAAGGATGATTTAGAACCCGTGTTAGTACTTCGGTCTCGTTTGTTTAGTGCGCGCGTCTGCCAATGTTGTTACAGTGTTCTATTTTACCGTGTTGTGGGGAAGCTAATGATTTTGATTGATTTTGAGTTGGAGTCGAGGGGTTTCTACACACAGCGATGGCTTATAACGATGGATGTACAAAAAATGAGCGATTACCACGAATTCAACAGGGAAGATTCATTATTGTTTATATGTGTTGAAGTCCTGAAATTGTTAATGCAGAGCCCCTACCTATATATACCAGGGTCCATCTAATATGGGAGGATGGTCATAGCGCGTGAGCTTCCATCACATGACCTTTCATCATACCACGGCACAGGTATCAATTTATAGATGACAACATCGTAGTAATAAATCCCGTTGTGAAAAAAATTGATTTGTAGCAATTCGACGAAAGCTAGATTCCAACGTTTCAACATCTCGGCTACTATCGTGCGGTGGTGATACTGGATGCGTGATGAATAAAGGAGTCGTTTTTCTTTGGCACGGCGATTCAGGTCTGCTTGGTGGAGCCGATAAAGTCAACAACAAATCCGAACATGGCTGTCTACGCAGAAGTTTGTAGGAACGGATTGTCCAAAATTTTATTGTTTGAACTGAGTGGATTGGAATAGTGGTAGTCGTCTGAGGTGAACTGCTTAGCCTATTAGGCAATGCAACAGCAGAAGAGCATAGTTTTAGTCTTGTTGTATTAGGTATTAGAGAATTCAGTCTTTACATGCCCAAGTCGCAGAAAGACCGCGCAAGATCGATTAAACCGTGCGCGGTGGTTCAATAAATCCCTCACTCCCTTCGATGAATGAAAATTTCGTCCTTGAGCTCCTCCCCTATCCTGCTCAAATGCTCTCTGCGCTCTGCAGCTTCATTCCTAGCGTCGCGCTCCAACTCGACCAATCTAGACCCCCTCGACTCGACATCCCTCTCAATCTCCGCGCCTTTGCTCAAAACCTCCTTCTTCCTCCCATCCAGCTCCTTCTCCAGCACACCCAACCTCTCTTCCTCCTTCCTCGCCAACCCATCCAGCAAATCCGCAACCTTGTGGCCATACTTCATCTCCAGCTCTTTCAACCTCCCCTCAGACCCATCCGCAATACCCTTCAACCCCGGGAGCCTCGGCATCGGATTCGTCCCCGCCGCACCCCGCGCCCGGATATCCCCAACACTGATATAATTATCCGGCGTATTACTCTGGATATCCGCCTTAACCTCTTCGTACATGCCCTCGACCACCCTCACGATCTCATAAACATCCAACCCGCACGCAGGGCGACTGAAATCGCGCTCACGCTGCTCAATATACTCGCGCACGCGCTTCCACTCGTTCTCGTAGTACCGGATGCGATTCGGTAACCCGCTGCCCTTGAGATACGTCAGGATCCCCGCAATCATGGTGTTGATTGCGCCGAACGCTGTGACGGCGGTGTGGGACGAGTTTGCGGCGCCGAGAGCCGTCAGCGCGGCTGCCACCACGACTTGCGTCCCCAAACACGTGTTTATGAAGACGGCGGCGAACTTGTAGCCGCGCTTTGCGGCCTGTTCGCGGTGGCAGACGCGGTTGTAGATGCCGAGATTCGGGGCCGCGCGGCCGTCGAAGTGGAGGTTGTTGTGGGAGAGGTCTGGGAGCGTGTCGCCGCGGGTGCGGGACGGCGCGAAGGAGCGTGTGCTGTGGATTCCCACGAGGTGGCGGAAGATGGCGAGTTTGTCGTCAGTAGGGACCATCTGCGTTTTGAGAGGGTTAGGATATGAGGATTTGTTTAGGGGTTTAGGGGTGGGTCATGTGTACTGTTGCTTGGCTTTCGGTGATGGCGGGAGGTGGTTGGTATGTGCTGTCTGTCATTCCTTCCTCGACTGATCTCACGCGGTCGCGGGTTCCGTGGCGGAACGCTGGGGGGATGAAGTCGGCGATGGGCATTGTTTACACCTCACGCAGGATCGGAAGAATGAGTTGATGGCAGGGAACAGAGATAACAAGATATCTCGCGAAGGCTGCTTCCCGACAACACACGTTGATTATCAAGAGGCGTTTTTTCTTTTTCTTTCTTTCTTTAAAGAAAAGAAAACAAAAATCCAGCGCAAAAGATCCCACTGAAAATGTCGTCGGACACCGCAAATATATACACATTAACGAGAATACGAAGGGGGTCGTATCCCACCACACCCCCCTTCCCTTCCCTTCGCATCCCCTCCCCTCCCATCCAACCCAAACGACCTCAAGAAAAGAAAACAAACTTCAGAGAACTCGGAAACCACCCCAAATCCCTCAGATAACGAAGCTCTGTCTCTTCGCTCACTCACCACTCACAGCGCGATGGATCCCTCCACCGCGCTCCATTAACCCCGATAATCCCCAACGCGCCCCGATCCGGATCAAAAAAGCGACGGATCTACGTTCGGGCTGCCGAAACAAGTCGAGAAGCCAGCTGCGCCCGTCCCGTCTCGGTTGCGAGCTTCAGCTGCTGTCAGCGACGCCACAAGCGAGATCACGTCTAGGATAGGATGGATGGAGGGGGAGCTTCGTGGTGACGTGCATATCGCCGATTTGAGGCGGGCTTTGATTGATGGGAAGTTTTTTTTTTGGTCAGGAGGGTGTGAGGGATGGCATTGGTAGGAAGGTACATAAGTATAGGATGGTTGCATTGGGTTTTTTTCTGTCGGTGAGGTAGTTGCGCGATGGTTGTTGATAGGATTGAGTTGTTGGCTGGGAGGTTTGGGAGCTTGGTTCGGAGTCGCCGGGATTTATTTCGATGGTTGTTGCAGGTTTTGAGCGGGTGTTAGATGTCGTGATTAAGATGGCGTGGTTGAGAGGGAAATGCAGAGACATGCATCGCTTGTTGGCTGATCGGTGCTTGCATTGGAGTAGTTCGCCATGGACTCACCGAGTTCAAGTGTCCTACAACCTGTGAACAAACCCTTCCCATGTGTTTCTATACACGTCGAGGGCCTGCGACGTCTGCCCAATATTATGTTGTGCGTATTGACCAACGAGAGTGAAGTACCGGGGTGTGGGCGATCCCTCAGCATATTGACTGCAATATACACATGCATGCAGGCACCGGTGGGCCGGGACACGACCGGGTTCTTCTCTTGGATGTTCGCCGACTTCTTGATTACAGACATACGTGGAAGTCGAGTTACTGCGTATTTCAGAATGGGTGTAGTGCACACAAATATCTAGGGGCCGCAAATCTTTCTCGCTTGTCTGGGCATGTGATATTTGTATTCGAATTTTATTCGCGTATACATACCAACGTAGAGATCTCTCGAGTCAGTTGGTATTCATGCCGAACTATAGCAATCCGTAGTATCTAGTGAGCGCGCCATCTCATACTCAAATGCTGTTTCTTTTACCCCACATACATTCAAATGTTGCAGGGGAAGGCCTACCTAAGGATTGAGTGTTGCCTGCTCCTTCTACTTTAATACCCTGTTAAATAGCATCTTGGAATTCTAGTTTCTAAAAGGTGTTAATAGGATCTAGATATAATTTAGAGCCTTGAATGAGTGTTCATAGCAGACCCTAGAGTGGGCCCGCCCCTGTGATGTACCTACCTAGGTACCTTTAAATGTTTAAATGCTGTACAGAGTCTTAGTCACGTGAGTAGCACCGTTCTGCGAAATCTTTCATGTCCGCATGTTAATAATGGAGAAATCGGTTTGATCACTAAAAAGAAATGATCTCAAAATCACTGACAGAATCTGACAGAGGAGTCCAGGCTTTTATCAGCTAAGGTAGTGATGATCTGGTACGCTTAGAAACAGATGCGACGTCTGTGGTGGGTTTGCAAAAGGACCACTCAATACGTATCATCTGATTGATTCTTCTTTCATTATGAAAAAATTTATTTCCAATGAAAATCTAGCAAATTAAGTATCGACCCAAGCATCTGCACAAACGGTGATATAAAAGGATCGTGGGCGCCTCACAATTACTACGCGCAAAACACAAGCAGCCCGGATCACTTAAGAGTAGTCCATCAACCATTACCATTTTTTCTCCCAACAACAACCAAAACGCTCTTAAAATTCGATCCCAACTCTACAACATTAACACCAGCGTCCATCCATCATGCCATCGCCACAAAAGTGCAACCGCGAAGAACCCACAACCTCCCCACCCCCCGACGAACGAACCAAGAAGATCCAAAAGATCCCCGAGAAACAGCCCCAATGGCTGATATTCAAGATCCCCGCCATTCTACCAGCACAATCAACGCCAGACCCAACAACCACACCACCCGCCTCCCTCCGCGCCTTGCACCTCCTAAACTACAAATTCAACGTACTCCTCTACGACCTCCACTTCCCCGCCCCGACCGCCCCTGCGGCATCCGAAGCCCGACTCCTCGCTTTCCCGCTCACGCCTGCCACGCTCCCGCCATCGTGTGGGTACTTCTCGTGCGAGGAGACGCGGATTGTGCTCGATACGCCATCGCTTGCGACGGGGAAGACGATTCGCGAGGATCTGCATGCCAAGTACGAGGAGAAAGATGGGGTGCTGAGAGGGATGTGGACGAGGAGCGATGTGAGTGAGGTTTTGGAGAATGCGGTGGGGAGGAGCGGCGGGGCATTGAGGGACGATTGGGGGTTTATGAGGATGGTGGGGGGTAAGGGGTTGGTGTTGTTGGAGGGGGATGTTTGGACGGGCTTGGGGACTACTAGGAGGGTTTAGAGAGATGGGTTGTTTGGGATAGATGGTGGGGAAGGAGATTTTGGATTTGATGATGGGAATTGCGGAAGGGTTGTTAAGAGAGTTTATGGGAAAGGATACTTGTCTGGGCAGGTCGAAGGGTGGAGATGATGTGGCTTTGAATTAGATCGCAGGTCGCATATGCTTGCCTTCTGGCATAGTTGGAGGTAATTTCACGACACTGTCTTAGCTCTCGAGAAAACGATATTCATTTCAAGCGTATTCGTTGATTATACGTGATTGACCATTTACGATTACTAATCACAGGCGAATTCATTGGCTAGTCATAGTCTCGAGAAGAAAAAGCGAGGATAAATTGAAACTTTTCTTTGACGTGTGCAGGACAACAAGCAACAAAAGCGGAAACGAGGTTGAGACTAAGGTTAGAATGAACGATGGTCGTTGTTGTATACTAACGCATTCCACCTTCCACACATGCGAATGCCATAAAATGTGTTTCTTTTCAAATTTTGGAAGAATCAATCGTACACACGCTTGTCCGGTGTCTCCGAGATCTCTAGAAAGTAGCAAATCTTATGCTCCGTCAGACCCGCGATTACCTGCGCAGAAACCCATCGCATCGGTACTGCAAGGTTAGGAACACGCGACTCGTCCAATAACAGACTCGTACCCCTCGCGGGGATAGTAGTTGGTTTCATGGTCTTTTTGGAGAAGCCCGCCCAGGTTGAAGTATCTGGAGCCTGTCCGTCTTGAGGCCATGCTATGTTGTCCTGTACAAGCTTACACCAGACTGTACTTCGAGAGCTATCTGCACCAAAAGCGACCTTGCAGACCTCAGTTCCGGGCCCGTTTGTGTACTGCACCAAAATTTGTGCGAAGAAAACGAAGTTGTTGGCTTGGGGCGGAATCAGCACCATCTCGCCGTTGTGGTCACGCGTGCTGGGGGCCACGTTCGTCCAATTGCCAGGCGGTTGCGCTCGTTCGGGAAATGGAAGCGATAACAGTACGCTTCGGCGGTGAACATTCTGGAGGGAATTTGGGGTCGATGGCTAACGTAGATGGTGGAGTATCTCTTAATCTTTCTAATGTCATGCGTGTTAACAGCATGTGTGGAAACCCGCGCGCAGCGTTTCCCAAACTCGCCGCTTTCTCCGGGAAGACCTCTGTGGAGGACATGTAGCATGATTGCGCATATCAATCTTCCATCTTTTGCGTTTAAGATGCCCAAAGAATGAGGAACCTTGCCTGATGACATTAGCCCTTCGAATCTCAGTCTCAGGCTGATGCCCATGTTCGTGTTGGATACCAACACAGGGGGTCCAGCGGTAACGTTGCCACAGTCTTTGAAAGCACTGGGTGAAGGAGCAAGGAGCCCGCGACACGTGGCGCTGCAGTCTGTATCTAACTTCCAGTAAAATATCGAATCATCCGGTGTAGTCCTCAGGATCTCTTCTTGCAATCTCGCAAAAGCATTCGCGCCTTCCCCATAGAGCATAGGAATGTTGACCCCAAAAATTCCCAGAAGACTATATGCGCGGTCTTCTAACCGAGTCGTCGTGCGATGCGCAGCCCATGACATCTTCTGTGCGATTGAGGAATTTCCCATGTTCCCTGTTTCCAAGACATATCGTGGAATGCCAGTCGCGGCATTGAGCTCCCCCGAGGCTACGCTTTTAGTGGTCAGGAATTGCCAATCTGCGTCCACAAAGTGCATTCTCCGTGGTGCTATGAGCTCCTGTAAAGTCCAGCCTCTTGTGATCCAACGTGTTTGAGCAACCAGGTATCCAAAGTTAGCGTCCGCGATATATTCGCGCCCACCAACTCTCACATCCTCCAGAACAACGATGCAAAGTGATGCCTCTTGGTACCAACGATACATTGAATTTATCGCCTCTTGCAGCTCCGAGCTCGAAGTTTTATCGATGCAGCACGTATCAATCCAGAAGTATTTATAATCTTTGTCCTGCGCGGCTTTAGCAGTTGATACCACTTTTCGATACCCAGCTGTGCTTTCGATATCCTGTTTGGAGACGCGCGAGGTGCCAGTGGCAAGTCCAAGTGAAAACATGACGATTGCGTCTTGTTGCATGGCCTCCGGGAGCGTTTTCAGTCTCTGCAAGTACCGCATGTCCTGAAAGGATACCTCCTCACTTCCCCATGTATGCGACAGGATGAGATACTCCGGTAAACTCTCTTCGTTGAAAATCTCGAACTCGAGTGTCGCTGAATTCAGTAAACGCATGGTGAATGACACTTGTGCAATCGACCTAGTACTGTGGGTCGAGCGCGATAGCTGCCTGTTGCAGATTGCAGATGATCAAGATGCGGTTGAGCATACACGTTTAACCGTGGTCCAGTGAGGACATCTTTTATGGCATTTACCCGTGGTTTTTTAGTCATCAGGTTGACCCGCCTTTCTGGAACACCATTTTTGAAACAATCGTTTTTTTTTACTTCAGTGCTTACTCAACACGTAAAGCTCAGCATACACGTTTAAGGTGTTTCAATATTTGGAGAGGTGAATTGATTGATTGGGCGATGGAGCAGCAGAATGGGCGTAGGCCCTTATATATGATACATGGGTTGGGTCACGTGACCTCCAGAATCGCCCTTCAAACATAAGGGGGGTGTCTCCCGATCCCACAAGCTTAATAAGCTTGGGTGAAGGCAAAATTCGTTTCGTCCTTTTAGTAATCGCTCGTTATTTCGGTTTATTCATCGTTGTCACCCATCGCTGTGTGTAGGATCAGCTAAACTCCAACCCAAAACAAAAAAAAACACGTTTAAGGATCCCAGAAGGTAAACCAGGTAACGAGGCTAAGTGATAGAGGCGAAGTGACCCTTGACAAAATACCCTAAGAAAGGGCAGTCGTAGCCTGCCCATTTGTTAAGTTTTTTTCAACGTTCTTTTGAGTACGTAGGTACTATACTTAATTTAGTTACATGTGCTGCAACATGCTGCGCAGGCAGGAAAAAAAAAGTAAGACTTAGAGCTTTAATATACCCCTATTCCACGCACCCCATGCTGCTCTAGAATAATGTGATTACGCCCCGTACATGCTAGCACATAGCCAGCCGGTGTTACTTTCTTACTGTGCTCGCGTTCCGTTTCAGTAGAACACGTATATAGTACCTAGTACTTACCCCTGTACTTACTCCTGTCAGCAGCCCCACTCATCATCACCGAACCCAAGTGGTACATACGAACAACGATGAACAAAAAGACTACGGAATTTTTCAAGGCTCTTGACGCGAATTTCGCTACATGCGTAGTCAAAAGTATATAAGGGTGAGATCTGGACGGTGAATTAGTCCCTCAGCAACTGTCATTCTTTCAACTTCTTCTTCACTTTCGTTGATAGCTGGTACATCAAGTACTTTTAGCATTACTTTCTTCAAACTTCAGATCTTGATCCACTATATTCTCTTGCTATTACCTTATTTTTTGCTATACTACGGAAAATATCAAAATGCGCACTTCACTATTCTATCTCGCTCTTACAGCTGCGAGCACTGTCCTGGCTGCTCCTGTTTCTACAGAGCTCACTAAGGACAATAGCATTACCTTGATTCTCGGAGACCCATTTCGGGGAGAGCCCTACACAAAACTCATCAGCGCGACCAACTTTGACGAAGTGCCCCTCGAAACCGAAACGTCATTCAAGTCCGCCGAGGTCCGGCTAGGCAAAGACATCAAAGATAAAATCATTTCCTGCGAGCTTATCACGGACGTGAGAGACTGGAAAGTCATAGGAGGTCGCGACGGCGAATGGGTCCATGAGTTTCTCGCCGAGAATGACGCCAAACCCTGGAAGTTTCAGTCGGCAAACATTGCTAAAATCAGGTGCAAACCCCGGTTGCCGATGCTGGTTCAATCAAAGGTACCTGCTGATGCTCCCCCGAGTGTCGTCGCCCGCCTTAGTACGTATTGCCCGTGTGTGTGAAGTAGACCAACAGACCATATATTATAATGGGTGTCTTGAAACTACAGAAAAACCTTTAGTAGCATATCTATTTCAAATTAAGCTGACTTGATTCCGCCCGATCTAGTCAACCCGGCGGGCAAGATCGCAAGGGAATTCAAGTCGGGCGACAAGAAGGCAAAGTTTGTCGTGGAGAGCGAGGAAGATCTAATGAGGGCTGAGTTCGAAATCCAGGGTATATTTGGTTGCCAGGTTCAGGACGCAGCCGGCGGGCAGATTGTCGCGGCTATGAATAAAGCCCAGAACATGGTGAGCAAAATGACGCTCGAAATCGCTGCCGGGAAAAGGGTCCACCAGATTGTCTGCGACCCTTCTTTCACTAAGCTCGAGGTGGATTGGTAGGGCGAGGTGCAACATTGCAGGGTGTGGATGAAGGTGTGGGTTTGGTGGCGCGTTATGATTCGTTTGTTCTTGCTTTTTTGTTTTAGATTGACTTTTACACTCCTTTGAATTATATGGTTGTTGCTGTTTGCTGTTTTTACTTCTCTCTCGTCTTGATATTAAAAGAAAACAAAAAGTATAATTGATGGAGATCGACCACGTCCGCCCCCACTCGATCAGAATCATATCACACCCCCGCCACCACCCGAACTCCCTCCATCCCCAACTAACCGCCAACACACCAACCCCCTCAAAACCATCATGGCATCCCTAACAACCGCCCATCGCACCTTTGCAAGACGCGCGGAAACAACGGCAGCCATACCGTTCGCTCCTTTCTTCGATATTGGTATACATGTTGTTGAAGACGAAGAAGAGGAGGAGGAAGAAGATAAGATGCGCGAAAGAAGTCTGCGCATCTCCGCTTCAGGATTCCATATAATCTCGTCTTCATCATCATCATCGTCATCATCCTCAAGCTGATCATAAATATTCCCAACCTCTCGTCCCCCATTTTCAGGGCCATTCTGACGGTGCGGAGGCCGAGGCGCCTCGGCCTCCGCACCCCGATGATGCCCAGAAGAAAAAGAAAGAGCAACAGGCCGCGCATACCCAACCCCCCACACAACCAAACTCCCCAGGTACACCGTCCACCCCAAATGCCACACCCGACCCCCCGCAAGCACATCTGCCTCTTTCGCTCGATCCTCGCCGTTGCTCCCGTCTTCGAGGAACCCGATCCCGCTTTCGACTAACCGCGCTGCGTGGATGACCGCGTTTCTGGCTTGCTGTGGGTGCTTGGATACCCAGGTTTTCACGACGCGCGAGCTGCGCGCGTAGTCTGCGCGGGCGACGGGGCGGCCTAGGATGTGGCGCGCGCCGGCGTAGATTTGGAGGTCGAGGAACGGGGTGTGCAGGAGGATGTGGGCGGCGTGGTAGAGGGTTGTCAGCGACGCGGAGTGTGCGTGGAATTCTGTTACTAGGGGGTTTTGCACTTTTTGGTGTTTCTGCTTTTGAGGGGGGAGGGTGGATGGCGATGATGATGAGGAGGTGGTGGTGGGAGGAGAGGGGAAGTGCGAGAGATATGTGGAGCAGAAGCTCTTGTAGTCTGCGAACCATGCCTCGTAGGAAGATGCGAGACGTTGTTGCCAGTTGCCTAGGACGTTGGAGGAACTATCCAACACTCCTAGTGAAGTCTGGTCGCGGCGCTGCATGTCCCATGCTATACTCATTAGTCCATGTAGAACGAGCGCTCGGCTCAGTGCGTTCAAGCTCTTCGGAACTAGCGATGCGCCACCAACTGTGGAAGGATTGAGGTAGATTTTTAGAATCGAGAGGAAAAGAGGGGGAGGTGGTTGTTGTTTGTGGAGCTTGTGCCAGGACTCTGCCGAATCGGCTTCCCAGAGGGATTGGGAGGAGGGGAGGTTGGAGCGGAGCTCGAAGGCAGACATGCAGAGGGATTGGCAGAAGAGGACCGCATGTTGCGTGTCCCACATGAAGCACAAAAACGCCAATCTACCAAGTGCGTCAGCAAATCTTGCATAAGAAACAATTCAGAATGGAAAGGAGGGTTTTACCGTTTCTTCTGTTCGGCTTCGACCCAGGTCCGCCAGTCGTCTTCTAGGTCATCTGTAGCGTCTTCCAAAGTCGGTGATCGAATGGTTTGGCAGTCACTCCGTCGAATCAGATTGATGAGTAGCCCATGGAATAGATGCGACATGTCGTGCTGCTTCTGCCCTGCGCGACTCTTGCCAAAGCACTCGACGAGTAGGATCGTTTGCAAGACCCAGAGCCCAGGTTTCGCTGAGAACCCCGCGTTTGCAAAAATCTGTGGCCGGACGACATCGTGAATGCAGACCTGCAATTGCCGTTGTCAGTTTCGCGAGGCATGAAGATTGCGGGGAACTCACAGCTACTTGGTGCGCATCCTTCTCCCCGTACGTTGCGCCGAGCAAGAGCACAGAGGTCAGGAGCAAAGTGTCAACGTGCGAGGGATCGAACGTCGACATGTGAATCAGTGGGTATACAGTGTTGAAGCGGGTGAAGAAAAGGTCGCAGTATGTTTGCAGACAAGACAAAGATAAGAGAGGGTTTTCACGGGTGACGACGCTACCGTCGGGAGCAACGGGCTGGGTGATATCGACGAGATCTAGAAATTGAGCACGGGCTAATTCATCTATAATTGGAAGACAGCGTGACGGTTGTAGAAGAGACATGGGCCGTTCGAGATCTGATGGGATTTGAAAAGTCGTAGGTTGCTGGTGCGGCTGGAGTAGGTCGGGGTCGACCTCTGGGTGAATGGATTCGCGGGTTTGAAGCTGGTGTGGGTCACTCATCGAGTCGTGACGACTAGGGTGATGGTTTCCGTCGGTGAGTGGTGGAGTTATCAAGGCAGTAGCTGCATCTGGCGGCGGTACTTCCTGAGGCGAGTCCGTCTTATGCGAAGCAAGAGAGCCGTAGTGTGCATCCGTTGACAGGGGCTTATCAGCTGCCATATGATCGAGCTGGAGATCAAAAGCATGGCTGGGCTGATGGATATTTTGGTTGAACTGGAAAGAGGCAAAAGGGTCGGGCATCATGGGCTGCATTTGAGGATGTGGTTGTGGCTGATGTTGTTGCTGCTGCTGCTGCTGCTGCTGCTGCTGCCTGGAAAGATCCATGTCGAACAGCCAATTGTAATTGCTCATGGTCGTAAAGGGGTTGTTGAATGACGCAGCAGTATCCGGGTTAAAGATGTCGTCGAATGGTGCATCGTTGAAAGTAGGTGCAATGAAAGGCTCCGGCTCAGGCTGAGGCAGAGTCGCGGGCCAGAATTGCTGATCAATAGGAGAATAAGAGCTTGAAACCGACAATGCTTGTGGATCGAGAGAAGTTGGCGGGTATGTTGCGATGCCTGAGTCGTGATCTTCAAAGGTTGAGTGTTCAAGGGAAGGATCCAATGAATGAGGTGGGGATATGGGAGCACCGTTATCGTTGTGCTGTTGGAGCAGATGGAAGTCGGCGATGGAGTGGAGATGATCATCAATGAGAGGTATGTGACCTGGAGATAGGTGGTGATGATAAGGGGGAGGTGATGATGGTTGATTGCTCCTGTCCAAAGTAGGCTTCTTGGTCACGATATTGCCTTCGGCATCCTTCCACATGCGTTTCCTGGTGTTCAGGATGCCGGTCCCTTCACGGCCGGCTTCTTCGTCCTTTTGTCGGTGACGTGCCATGTGCCTGTCTACATAGTGTTAGCTGTTGTATCCAGGGCTTTGGGTCTCAACGCATGGACCAATTTGCTGTTGAGAATTGTCGAGAAAGTGCGGTAAGTGTCATCCACTCTTGCAGTGCAGAAATGGTAGATTGCAGCAAGAGGTGATGGGAGGGTACAACAGCCAAGAGACAGTGAGAAGAGCCTGCATGTGATCTGGAGACATGAAAGCGAGGGCTAACATCTCAAACAGGCAAAGAGCGACTAGAAGAGCAGCATACCCAGCAGATCCCTGCGCTTGAAATGCGCCCTACACCTCGAGCAAGTAAAGTCTCCATTGGAATGATTGAGCAAATGGCGTTGCAAATGCTCTGCCCGAGTAAAGCTCCTCTCGCACCCCTCGTTCTGGCAAGCAAACTTCTTTTCGCCAGAAGCTCTCGTGACGAAACCCTGTTTGCGCTTCCGGCCTCTGGTGGTGGGAGCGGAACACGATGGTTCCCCATTTCTGGAAGCGGTGAGTGTTGCATTGGCCATTGGGAGAAAACAGTAGCTTGGTACCGGGAGGGGACTAGAGTGGTCGAGCTGGTGTGTCTGTGATTGTGTGTGACGACAGAGGTGGACATTGAAGGTTGGGGGGAATGAGGGTATAACAATGGGGGTTCGGATGGGAGCTTATCACGGAGTGGATCTGGCGCCCCACTCTTGGTGGAGACGACGGACTGTGTGTAGGAATGCGGAGGAGGAGGTTCGGATAACTGACTGACTGACTGACTGGCCGTCGTCACGTGGCGCTAGGAAAACCCCGCATTCTGTATCCACGTGCATCTCCGTCGCTTGTCGAGAGCCGCATCTCTTCCGGCCCCGTCAAATGTCGTTCGTCTCTGTCATATCTGCCCATCTATCTACCGTCTACCCGTCCATCTATCTCGATTTCCTGGAATCATATTTGTTGAACCATCAACATAACTAACAACGTTGTGTCCTTCTCATCCATCCTCTCGTTGTCGCACTCCCCAGAAACATGGTAGCCCCTCCATCCATCGGCTTCTTTCCACCCGATCCCTACCACGCCGCGCGATAACACTGCTCCACCCGCCGCGTCTCTCTATATATACTTATCTGTGGAGCGTATACAGCTATTGTATTTCGAAGCAAGGCTAAGGCGTGTTTGTTCCCCGCTCAACGATAAGTACACACATGTGCAAGGAACAGGCGCTGGTGTTTGAAAAAGAGATGTGACGAAGTGATAGCGCCTCTAGAGAGATAGAGACAGACTGCAACGCACCACTTAAGAGGGAGACATCGCTGTCCTGACACATCGCTTTCTCGCCGTCGCCGACAATCTATGCGTTATCGCTGCTCTTCCACTGACCCCTGCCATCGCAAATATCAATGCAGACGTGTTATCGTGTCGGTTCCTGCTGAAAGGGCATTCTATCTTGGTTGAATTTATCGTTTGTTGTGTTCAAGTACGCGTATGTGACGCGGTTACGTGAATTCGTTCCCCTCATACATACATGCATCAAATAAACAATTGTACTCCAAAACAAACAACAAGAGGAGAGAAAAAAGTGATTCGGATCCAAAATGATGTACAGATCCACACAATCATGCAACGGCCACAAAGAAATTTGTCTCCCCTTCCTTCCTCTTAACTTCAGCCCTCTTCACCAAGTCATCGCCGACAGCCAACCTCAGCTTCTCCGCCGTAGCAGGACTATCCAAGCACCACTTCCCCTCCCCAACCCCGCCCTCAATCGTCGCTCCATTCATGACTCTCGCCGCTTTGACTGCCTCTCGAAGCGCGAAGAAGACTGTGCACCCCAGGAACAGCGGCGGCTCGCCGATGCCCTTGGAGCTCTGCACAGAACGCAGGTGGTTCCAGGAAAGCGGGTTTCCGTCATTGTCGTTGCGAAGGAGCGAGACGTTGAAGACTTGCGGGATGTCGCTGAACCCTGGGATCTTGTAGGTGCCCGGGCCTTTTGTGAAGAGCTCGCCGGTGCGCGTCCAGAGGGTTTCTTCCATGGTGAAGAGGCCTAGGCCTTGGGTGAAAGCGCCTTCGATTTGGCCGTAGTCTATGGCGGGGTTGATCGAATTACCGACGTCCTGGCGGCCCATTAATTGAATATTCCGTGTAATTGTATGTAGCTGCCAACTTACCATCATCAGATCGGTGCGGAGGACCGTGTGGTCGCCAGTTAGCAGATCAAGCTCTACTTCCGTGCATCCCGCCCCCTGTGTGAAGTAGTAGTACATGGGCTTGACTGTCTTGATATCGTAATCGCCCCATTTGTATCCAATCCGAGGCATCTTCCAGAACCCATTTGCCGCTAGATTAACGCGGTCTAGATATGCTGCGTGCGCAATCTCCTTGAGCGGCGCGTCCTTCCCCAACTTCTCGCGATAAGGCTGCAGACGTTCATTGAGTTGATCGCAGGCATTCTTGACTGCCATACCGTTGAGGTCAGATCCCGAAGAGGCTGCAGTGGGCGATGCGTTTGTGATGGAGTAGGTGGACGTATCTTGGGTGAATATGGCATCCAACGGCGTGCCGAGCTCTTGGGCCGCAATCTGACACATTTTGGTATACAATCCTTGTCCCATTTCTGTTCCACCATGATGCAGTAACACACTGCCATCGGCAAAAATTTGTATGTATGCACCTGCTTGGTTGAGGTGCAGCGCAGTGGCAAAACTTAGGCCGAATTTGGTGGGGACAAGACAGATACCGCGCTTCTTCCATCGATTCTTGGAATTAAAGTCTGCGACAGCGGATTTACGCTTCTCATATTCGGCTGATTTGCGCAGTTGATCCAGTAGCAAAGGCACGTGCCAATCCTCATCGATGAACTGAAGAAATGGGGTATGCTCCCCAATTTTGTACAGATTCTTGGTTCGCACTTCATCAACATCCATCCCGAGACCTTCCGCAATGTTGTACATGAGTGTCTCAGCAAAGTACATTCCCTGTGGCGCACCGAAGCCACGATAGGCGGTGTTGCTGTGAATATTGGTCTTGCAGACATGACCCCGAAGTAGCACGTTCGGACATTCGTACGAATTGTCAAAGTGGGTCAAGCATCGATCCATGACGGCTCCGCTCATGTCTTGGGAGAATCCAGCGTTGTCGTAGACATCCGCATCCATGGCGATCAATTTCCCGTCACTCGATACACCAACCTTCCACCTTGCCTGTACCGGATGTCGTTGGCCACTGAGAAGCATATCTTCATCACGATTCAACATTAGTCGCATCGGTCGCTTCTCTTTCTTGGCTGCAACCGCGAGGTAGCAGGCGAATGGGACACTCCTGGACTCTTTCCCGCCGAACCCGCCACCCATGCGTTTGACTCGAGCATTGATGCGGTTGCTTGGTACCCCTGTTACAGCGGAGACGAATTCCTGAGTTTCCATTGTGTTTTGTGTCGATGACCATACCTCCATGCAGCCATCCTCGCCTGATGGTATCACGAGCGCGGCATTAGTTTCGAGATAGAAGTGCTCTTGGCCGCCCATCCGTGTCTGGCCCTCGAAGATGCGATCGCACTTTGCCCACGCCTCCTCCATTCTGCCTTCAAGAGCAAGTCCTTTTTTGAGCATTTTTCCGTGCGGAAAGTAGCTGTCTGCCTCGATCGCCTCATCTATGGTCAGGATTGCAGGCAGAGGCTCATACTGAATTGCGACCGCTCTCGCAGCAGCCTGGGCCTGGAGAGCAGTTTCCGCGTAGATCATTGCAATCACTTGGCCATGATGTCGGACTTCCCCATCTGCAAAGAAAGGCTCGTCTTTCCTGATTGATCCCCATATGTTCTGTCCTTCCGGGAGGTCATTCTTATCAATGTAGCCAACAACACCGGGCATGGCCAAAGCAGGCTCATAGTCGATGCTGAGGATCTTTGCATGAGCTTTCGAGGACAGCACTAGACCACCATAGAGTTCCTGACCGAAATGAGGCATATCATCAATGTACTCTGCCTCACCGGTACATTGCTTCAGCGCGGAAAGGTGCGCAATCTGCTTGCCAACTATACGTTGCTCAAAAGGGTTGTAGTCATCACGTGTGCCAGTGGAGATGGAACGATGGATTTCATCAATGACTTGCTCGTCAACGTTGCCTAGGCCCAGCTCCGCCGCGGATTCGTGCCAGAACCGGAAGAAAAGAGACAGTGTCAGAGTCTTGCGATATTCGGCCATACCACCAGGGACGCCATATGGTAGGTCGTAGTCTTCGAGCAGGGCAGCTAATGCGGTGTCCAAAGTTTCCGAGTGGAACCATCGCTTCCCCATTAAGGCGTTCTCTGTCTTTGGTGACGCCTTCGTTGTGGGGGCCATTCCGCCGTAGACCAGACATACATCCTCTACACATCCTTCGGGATCCAGCCTGACTCTGAAAGCGGCAGTGACAATAGCGATGTCATCATCCTTCCTCTTCGCCTGTTTGTAGGCTTTGATGACTTCTTGAACTTCGGGTGCCGGAAGTGGTATCCTGATGCGACTCAAAACTGAATCCGGGGGAAGAGTGGTGGTTCTGTAGGCGACGAAAAATTGTGACATGGGCAAGTCAATGGAGCCTTGAGACTTGTTGACAGCTTCTAAAGTTGCACCAGCGGCCAGCAAGACGGGATTGGCGTCGGAAATGGGCGAGGCAGTTGCGATATTGCCGGCGAGTGAAGCAACGTTGCGAATCTGGCGGCCAGCAAAGTACCGTAATTGCTTTCGCAGAGCTTCCAAGGCCATGGCCCTTTTCCCCAGCTTGGCGTAAACTTTCTTGCAAATGTATTCTAATTCAGTGAGAGGGGTGTTTGCTGAAACCACCAACTCGTTGGCCTTCTCCAGCTCAGCATCTGATGGCAGGGTGGTGTGCTTCAGCTCTGCTATGTCGGACACGTAAACTGATACGGCGAAATCTGAGTTCTTGAAACGCACTTCGACTTGCACCTCGCTAGCACCGCCAACAAGTTTTGCCGAAGGGTACACATCTTTAAGATCTGAAAGCTGCTCAAGTGTCGTAGGGCGGAACCATATTTTCCTTTCATTGCCATAACAGAGTGGTTGTGGGTTATATTTCCAGAGTGCGGGTGGGAAGATCAGTTCAGTATCAGGAATATATTCTTGGAAGTGAATCACGGGAACACCTTTCTTGGAGTCCGCTAATGGGGCATCTAATGAGGTAGCAGTCTTGTTTTCGTGAGCCGCTTCTACCGACTCTTTACTCTTGAGGGGTTTCGCGTAAGATGTCCCGCTGACAGTAGGGTCCTGGCCGGAGAGACCATTGGCCCCCACTGAGATGACCGGGACAGATTCCTCGTCTGAGGTTACGGCGGCTTCTGTTGGCGGTGTAGAATTCACGGATCTTGTTTTTGTAGAATCGCTATCTGACGGGGTATCGCGACAGCAGCCGCCTGGACGTCCACACGAGACCTTGGAAGGCCCAGCACAGCCGCTGCGCACCAGATCTACTACCTCTTTCTCCAGTCTGGCATCCTCGGAAACCTGCGAGCTGGGAGCAGATTCTTCCGTCAACTGGCCTTTCAAATCCTCAAGGATGAAAGTTTTGGCTGCTTGGAGAATGGGCTTGTAACCCGTGCATCGACACAGGTTACCATCAAGGTGACCTTCCATTTCGATGTCGCGCTCGCTTAGGGAGAACTTTCTCGAGTCTGGATCGTATGCATTTCTAATCATGGCGTACAGGCTCATGACGATGCCGGGGGTGCAGAAGCCGCATTGGCTGCCATGCAGCTTAGCAATCCTCTCTTGCAAGGCATGAGGCTTGTGGACGTTGCCAATGCCCTCGACGGTGATGACATGCTTGCCATCGATGCCCACAAGAGGGAACAAGCAGGCATTCACGGCCAGATGCTGGATCCTTCTTCTCTCACAACGCGTGTCAGGGGCCTGAAGCACAACGGTGCACGCACCGCAACCGCCCTCACCACATCCCAGCTTGGTGCCTTTGAGACTGGGCTGCGCGCGAATATAGTCGAGCAGAGTCCAGTGGGGATTCGGATTATTAATGATAGTCCGACGGCCGTTGATGAAGCAGGTGATGTCGGGGGAGGTGTAGGTCGAGGCGATGAGAGGTGTGAGGGCGTCGGCGGCTGACAAAGCGCGGGGGGGTTCCGCTGCCGTTTTGGGCGGGACGGGGAGGGCCATGACCATTCAAGCACTTGAGTATCTACAGGTAGGTGGATGATGTGTGTGTATTATAGATGGAATCTCTCCCTGTATTTGAGGCCCCTCAATAACAATAGAAACAAAAAATAAAGAAAGGAGGGACAGACGAACGGCATATATCACACGAGCAGTGGCAAACAAGGATGGGACGAACGGATAGTTGTAGCTGGTGAACTGCGGAGAGCAACCAGCTGCCTGCCACGACTGCTACATCGTTATCGGTATAGTTGACGGGATGAAATGCAAGCTGGCACGGAACAGCAGCCAGTGGATTCAACTGTCAATACGACGGGCATTATCGTGATGGATGAATAATGCATCCAGAGGCACACGTAAGACCCACGATGATGTTCCCCCCCACTCTTGACACGTGACGCCCCCGGTCTCCACCATGACCCCCGTCCACGACATGCATACAAACCCCTCCCCCATTTCTGCATCACCGCTTCACCACCACCCCGGATGCAACATGTTGCAGGACGGGCAGGGAACCCTGAATTGAAGAATGGGATCTCGGTTGTTGATGAGGTGAGCAGCCACGCCCGACTCCCTGACGTTGGCGTGCCAGGCACATCAGTCTGCACTTAGTCACCTAGTCGGGCGCACTCTTGGCTTCATACAAAATAACAAATGCCACTTGACGTACCTTTTCTTTCTTCAAAAACTTCTGCTCATTGTCTTTCCTCTCTTCCACTCACCTCCTCAAAGTCGCTCGTGACAGCTCCATACGTGCTACGTTTCTCTAACCAGCCGCAAAGCACCTTCTTCCAGCTTCGCAGACACTTCGCCAGCATGCCCAAAGCAGACACCCCACCAGGCTTCAAGCCTCTCAAAGAGACTGCTCTCTTCACACCCTTCCAACTTGGTCCCTTGAAGTTGGAGCACAGAATCGTCCAAGCTCCCTTGACGCGCATGCGGAGCACCAAAGAGAGCGACGGCGTGACAGTTCCCAATGATCTCGTGGCCGAGTACTACAGCCAGCGCGCGTCTAAAGGTGGTCTACAATTGACCGAGGCCACCGATATCTTCAAATATGTAAGAAAATTCTGGGCCGGTCCCCATCCTCAACCCAAAACTCATTGGTTTCGTCTAGGCTGGAAACTACCCTGGCGCCCCAGGTCTCTTCACCGACTCACAAGTCGCCGCGTGGAAAAAGGTCACAGACGGTGTTCACGCGAAAGGCGGATACATCTTCTCTCAATTGTGGCATACAGGCCGCGCCACCCCACCTTCGTGGCGCAATGGCCAGCAAACGGTCAGCTCCAGCAACGTTCCCATGACCGGCAAATGGATGGACGGCGTATCCTGCGAAGAAAACCCACCCAGATCCCTCAGTATCGAGGAGATCCACGACATCACCAAGCAATGGGGCGTTGCTGCCAAGCGCGCCATCGAGGCTGGCTTTGATGGTATCGAGATCCATGGCGCAAACGGCTACCTCCTAGACCAATTCCTGCACGACAACGTGAACACGAGAACAGATGAGTACGGAGGTTCTATCGAAGGTCGTGCCAAGTTCCCACTCGAGGTCATCAAGGAGTGCTCTAAAGCGATCGGGGCTGGCCGGGTCGGCATCCGGTTATCGCCTTACAACTACTTCCAAGACACCAAAGACAGCAACCCTAACAAGCACTGGGATGCTTTGTGCGAGATGATTGCTGCGCTACCAGAAAACGAGAGGCCGGCCTACGTTCACATGTAAGCTTTGCTCTCATCCTCTCGAAGTGATTGCCCTGTTTACTAACCTCCACTCTCCCAGGGTGGAACCCCGCTTCGACGAAGAACTCGACGAGCAAAAGAAAATGGACGCCCTCTCAGCCTACACCTCCACCGCCGGCGTCGAAGCTGAAGCAACCATCAAACCAAAGCACAACACGCTCAACAACTTCCGCAATATCCTGCGCAAGTCCGGCATCAAGTTCATTGCCGCCGGCGGGTTCAACCGCGACAACGCTGTCCCCAAACTCGACTCCAATGACGCTGACCTGATTATCTTTGGCCGCTGGTTCATCGCCAATCCTGACCTCCCGCGCCGCTTGGCCGAGGGTCTCGAGCTTAACGCGTATGATCGCGATACGTTTTACGGCGCCGATCCCCCACAGAAGGGGTATACAGATTATCCAGTCGCTGTGTGAAGTGTGCAATTGGGACAGGGGAGCTATGAATAGAAGATGATGACGGCTTTTGGGTCCACAGAGCAAGAATGTACTTAGCATAGATCAACGCTATCTTAGAGCACTGACATCCTCATCTCAAGCCCATCAAAAAAATACAAAATGAAGAACACTATCATCGATGACTATGAGCGTCTTGCCGCTTCTTGCAGATATCCGCGTGAGTGTTTGATCCGCCATCCAATCGTGCGTTTGCGTACATACCTACCTGCCAGTAAGTATGCATGTAAGCATGCTTACACGGTAAATGCACATGAACCAATCAGATCGAGCTTTCCCCGCGGGGGAGACGAACTGATGGCTGCCTATCTAACCGCCTTCCATGGTCCTCCTACATGAATCTCTACACTTATAGCCACTTAGTCCGCACTTAACATCAAGCCACAAGGCTCTAATACGCCATTTCCCCAACCATCACAAAGCAAGAAATAAAAACAAAAAAAAACTCCACAGCTCATTTCATAGTCTCCCTCTACTACTCACTCCTACATAGAAGCCGCGACATAAGCACCAAAAAAAAGATTAAAGAAGAACAACTAGAAAAAGAAAGGAGAGGAGGAGAGAAGAGAGAAGAGAAGAGAATGCTCCCCCGCCTTTCCGCCCGTCAAAAAACATACTCCCCAATCCCGCAACCCTACCACGTTTTCAATAACACCTCAGCAACGTGGGATGCTGTTACATCTCCCTCTCCCTCAGCATTACCACATCCACCTTCGACGTCGAATACACAGTCCACCCGCATCACGAAACTAAAACTACTCACATGGAATATTGATTTCTCGACCCCCTACCCCCGCGCAAGAATGGCAAGCGCATTATCGTATCTCCATACGTTGCTCACGCGGATTTCGGCGCCTGGTGTAGCGGTTATCGTGGTGCTGCAGGAGATGATGCAAGCAGAATATTCTTTTTCAGCGTGGGGTCGATCGTCGGAGTTGGAAGAAGGGGAAGAGCAGAGAGCGGATGATGTCGCGCAGATCATGGGTGAGGCTTGGGTAAGAGAGAGGTTTTATGTAAGCGATGTGCGATCTGATACCGTGTACTGGAATCCTCGCGGAGCTGAGGATGATGATGAGGGAGGGGATGGAGGTGGAGGTGGGTACGGGCAAATCACGTTGATTGATCGGAGGGTGTGTGTGTTGGGGGTGGGGAGGATGAGGTTTGTTAGCGAGTTTGGGAGGAGTGCTTTGTTTGTTGATGTGCGTCTCGGTCGTACTCCGCATCCTCCTGATTCAAACTCCCACGAAGAAGAAGACAAAATACAAGAAAGGATAGAAGGGAGGGAGGAGGAGGAGGAGGTTCTGAGAGTTTGCAACGTGCATCTAGACTCGTTATCTGGGTCGCTGAGGCCGATTCAGTGGGAGGGGGTGGCGCGACATCTCATTCCCCACCCCTCTCCACCTCTTCCTTCTTCTGAGAACGCGGAAAATGAGATAACTTCTCTTGTTTTTAGATCGCCGTTTTTGGGTTTGGAAAGGACGCCGCAGCCTCCGATTATCAAAGCGGCGATTCTAGCGGGCGATACCAACGCCAATCGTCCCCGGGATGTTTCCGCACCGCAGATGCATGGTTTCACGGATGCGTATCTAGCGCTTGGAGGTGTGGAGGGCAGTGATGGAGGTGCGACGTGGGGGTACCAGAGCGGAGAACATGCGAGGCGGAGATGGGGGGTTAAGAGGATGGACAAGGTTGTTTTTTGGAGTAGTGGGGATGGGGATGAAGAGGTCCTAAGGGTGAAGAGTATTGGGAGGATCGGAATGGGGGTTAGTGCTTCTGTAAGAGTGGCGTGCGAAGGAGAGGGTGATGATGGAGGTAAGAGGAATGGAGATGAAAATGTCGGAAGTGAGGGACGAGTGGAAGAAAAGAAAGTTTGGGTGACGGATCATTATGGGCTGATGGCTGGATTTGAGGTTGGTGCAGGGTGGATGCTGTGATTCAGGTATACCATTGTGTCTGCCTGAGGGGATTTCCAGTAGACTTGTGGTGAAGGAGTAGTGATCGTGTCCTTGGTGTGGAGCTGGAGGTTGTGTTGTTGCGCGCGGTGTGATACCAAACAAAACAACTCAAATGCTGTTGTGGTGGAATTTTCTAGATTGCGTAGTACTGCGTAGATGGAGGTATGTGCGGAGAGAGTTGATATGTTCGCTCACGATCCTCCTAGTACTGTGCTAGAATTGCTGTGCTGACCGTTGATGTTGCTGTGCACGTTCAGATCAAGATGCACGTGTTCAGATGGACCTCGGGAGATTTCAGAATGCGGCTAGCTCAGCACGTGACCTCGCTTATCCACATGTACGACACCCCGCCCCACACGCTATTCATTCACGACATCAATTGATCGTTTTACACTAGTCACATATATCATCCGTACCCACAACCCATCCTTGATCATGCCTGCGAATAACGCGACCATGGATGGTATCATGGATGCCACGAGTGACGCGACCTTGGATGGCCCGACCATGCCAACTGTACCAGAAAGCTTGTTGCAATTCTATGGCGCTGATGTGGACTGTGGGATCTGCCACGAGCCTCTTCCTGCTCCTGATGCGCTTAGCGTTTTAAAGCCAGGATGGGAGCAGTCGGAGGAGGCAAAGACTCATAGTCCGGTGCACATCCGTTGCAAACTAAAAGTAATAATAATTTATTACATTTCTATGCGGCATAAATACTAGGTATTAAATAATATAATAAATCTGCCTTTAAGCTCTAGGCAAGATACATATTTTATAGTTATTATAAAACTAATAAGCTATTATTTAAAATAGCTAAGTGTAGATTAAGTCTAAAAACTTTAATACTATAACTTAATAACTTAAATTAACTTATTAAATAATAATAATAATAAAAGTTTAAAGTAATTGCTTATTAATAGAGTATAAAGCAGAGAGCTTTCTTTTAGCTTTTTTATTTATTTTACTTTAAATAATTAACCTATAATATAACTTTTAAATTATAGTATAACTATTTAGTTTTCTACTTTATATAATACACAACTTATTATAGCACTATATACTTTTTTATAAAATTAACTTTAAACTAATAAGCTAAATAATGTTATAGCTGTAATAAACTTAAATAACAGTACTATACGCGCAACCCTAGGAAATCTAAATAACACAGAATACTAAAATTAACCTGCCCTGTAGATTAGGCTATTATTAGAGGAAGGCTAATACAAGGACCTGTGTAGGCGTATCTATAGGATATGCAAGGAGGATCTTAAGTCAGGTAATCAGCGGATCGTTGCTGTATTACTTAGTACATAGAACTTTACTCATAGAGAGACAGGTTTCTGCTTACCATCCGTTGCAAACATTGTTTCCATGAGAGATGCCTTTTCAAGTTCGCCATGCATTCATTTCTTGACCCCGGAAAACCTCGCTGCCCTCTGTATAGGTTGAGCTTGATGACTGTCGACGGAACATGCCCTATCGGAAAGATTTTTGCGGGCGGCTCGATCAGCAAGGACCTCGTTTTCGAGTTTGACCTTCTGGACACTATAGAGCTACTGCCCACGCCTGAGCCAGTCCTAGAAGCAATGCATAAAGTGGTTCGTAGTTCCCTCATATCCTGATCAGTTCTGATCAGCACTCATGTAGTGCGCACAGGTAAAAGCTACGAAACGTGCCACACACAAACGAAGGCGTCATTTCTTTGAAAAGATGGCGACCCAAGAATTCCAAGCGGCTAGAATGCTACTTGAAGGTTTATCAGAAGATCACGAGCCAATGCATCCGGATTTCCTTTGGGTACACGGCCTGTCGGCCATGCACGAAGCCGCGGCACGCGACGACAGTTATGCCGTCATGTTCCTACTTGAACATGGCGCAGACAAAAATTTCAGGTCCGAGGCAGGCCTCACCGCACTTGAATATGCTGAAGCGGCAAGGGCACCCTGTTCAGTCTCTGTATTGCGAGGCGAAACCGACTTTTAGGCTGGTGGTGTCTCGTGATCGACATCATGGCGATCAATTACATCGAGCACAACACAACAAGAAGAAGACAAGTTGAATTGCCCAAGGTTTTGGACAACAGCGAATGCTTTTGGGTTTTCTGACCGCTCGATTTCGCGATTGACCTGGAGCACAGAGAGTCACGAACCTGTAAGAGTCGAGGGGGGTGAATAGCCTCTTCGCGTACGTACCCTACTATTTTTTTCATTCAAGGTTTAGATAAGGTCATTGTGCAAGCACCTCGAAATGGAAAAGTGCATAGAATATGTTCAATCGGAAACGACTTGTGAAGAGTGAATAGCGATCATTGTGCTGTATAGACAGCTTCATTCGACTACAGTTACTCTGTTACTAAACGACTACGACCACACTGATTCTTTAACGCGCCCTTCAAGGCTTCTTCTTGCGCTATAAAGTCGACCACTGTCAACTCCAGCAGTGAAACTTCCAGATCAACTCTACCAAATCGACTTTAGAATCAACCACAACATCAACCGGGACAAAAAATCTTGGATTACTCGAGCACCAACTCCACCGAATCACCTCAAGAAAAATCCAACCTCACACAAATCTTCGAAACATCCGGGTAGAACCCCCCACAAAACAAGATGCCCGACCTAATTGAGACTCGCTTCCCACCAACTCCAGGCGAGGAAATTTGTGCAATCTGCTACGAGCCTCTGCTCCACCCTAGCACAGAAGGCACAACCTTCCAAGCCTCTTCGCAGATCCCCATCTACCGGCATGTTCATTTCAGCATCGACGACGTGGAACTCCCCTGCAAACACCATTTCCACATGAACTGCTTGAAAGACTACGCAAAAGTCAACGTGAAAGCAATCGTGAGCTGCTCCTTCTGCCGCAACATGAACATGTCGTTCCCATCAGAGCTAGTCATCTTCACGATGAGAACGGAAACCGGCCTAGAATTCACCGTCGACTTCTACGCCTACATGTATTTCCAAACGCATCATCACAACGACCTCGATCGGGAGATACCAGACCACTTGCTGGTCGCCTTCACCGAGGCCGGAGATGGATACCTTGTCAAGACACGCGCAAACATCGAAAAGTGGCGTCTACACGGATTCTTCGTCTCGCTAATGTCAAAGCATTATAATTCCGCCGAGGAATATCTCCGGGGCGAGGATCCACATGCGCCGGGTCCGATTGATCCAGACTCTGTTGTGAAGGATCTTGGTGTTCAGGGCTGCACCTCGTTGCATTCTTTGGCGTACATGAACGATGCTCAGGGCGCTGAGTTGCTGTTGAGGTATGGAGCCAACATGCAAGTTACGACTGTGGATGGTCATACACCGCTTGACTTTGCGATCCGGTACAAGGCGGATGCAGTGATCGAGCTGTTGCAGAGAAAGAAGCGGGAGGCGACTGAGGGAGAGGGGGATGATGTCCCTACGTTGGTTAGAGATGAGTGATTGTTTGGGATGCTAGGAGTCTTGTTTTTGTCTGTTATTCTTTATACACTATGTATCTTAGAGGCATAGCGATATAAGTTAAGAACAGAGATTTCTAGATATATCCCCTCGATCTATTGGCCTACGAAATATAGGGAAGATTCCGCGTCTCTATTCTTTCTTGCCTTCAACTTTCGATGCATGATGGAAATACCTACGCAAAAGCGTTTCCCTAGCAGCCTCAAGAATCCGCCGAGTAGCAATTCAAACCTTTTTATACACTTGCGACATTTCCGTGGGACTTCTAGGAATCACACGATCCTCAAAAGGCAATTGAAGGGTGAATGCCACCCATAACGAGATCCAGGTTAATACAATATACTGACTATGAGTTTCCGTGTGAACAAATAAATAACAAGCATATAAACAATCTAGCCTAAGCTCACAATGATTGTCTATTTTCTATCCTTGTTTTCCTTGAGTTGTCTAGATACTAATTACTCGCAAACACACAGTGCTGCATTCCTATGTTGTAATCTATGTCTTATATTTTGTAATCTTTTCGTGCTATTTCAATGATGGAATACCTAAAATGCCCAGAAGTAGTGTTAGATGCTAAAGTCCATTACAAGGAACAGATAGTCTATTGTATCCCTGCAACGATTCGTAACATCGCTTAGCATGTAGTGAGATACACCTTGTGGGAGCGAAACTCTAAGTACTTATACTCTCAGATAGCTCAAGTTTGCTACCACCGAAATATATACAGTATACTATTTACTAGGAATACAATAAGGTGGATGGCTACAGGGGGCAGCCAGCTTCGGGAGGCGAAGGATCTAGCGTGTTTTTCTAAACAATCTGGTAGTCCGTTGATTGGTGCGTTTGCTCCTCCTCTATTAGGTAGTTTTCTTGTCCAAAGAGATTAATATCAAGGAAGCGTAGCTAAGATGACGTCAAGTCTTGAATGAAGGTTCAGTACACACCAAACCGCACCTTACAGCTCCTCTACTCATTTTCTCCCTGTCAACTTCATCATTGTCAGCGCAGCATTCCGCAATGGCAGAAACTACGCCAAGTCCCGCACAAGCCCCTCCCCAGGAAAAGCCAACAACCGAGAAGACTCTTTACACAAACTCTGCAAGTACAAAGAATCAACTTACCTTGCGCCAATGGCTCGATACGCGGAGGAAGACTGCGATTGATCATCTTGATCTCATGATTTCTCCCGAGGGTCAGGAACGTGCGGGAAACGTTTTAATATCGCCAGAAGCCGACGTGGAACTCGTAGGACGAATTGCCAACCAGGTCTCGCTCTTGCAAAACGTTGAGGAATTATCAGCGATTCTCTGCGATTTACGTGGGAGGGCTTGGGAGCGAATCAAGCGTGGAGTAAAAATCGCCTATGGCTTGTAAGTTTTCAGCATAGTCACTTATTATTTTGCTAACAATTGACAAAGTTGTTTTGTATCGATCTTTATTAATCCGAACTTCCTCGGTCTAAAGTTTTTTCCTGACAGCGATAAAGGTGAATGGCTATTGGTATGCGTGAGTATTTCACAGATGGCATCAATTTTGTACATAATTTTCGGTGTCTTTGTTTGGGGTTTGATTGTATCGCGCCAGCGGAAGGTTCAGCGATTTCACCATAAGTCAAAGCATGGCGGCTTGTTGGACTTCAACCGGCGAGACTTTTATGGGTGGCCGTGGAGTTTCTTAAGTATTGTAGGCTAGTCTTGGTAGAGTAGCTATGTGCCGCAATATCTGTCCGATGATGTCTCATTAGCAATCAAATCAATCTCACTACTCACTTCTCTATATTTCAAGGAAAACCAAATTCATGGGATATCGAAATGGGGAAATTCACGGAAACTCCAAAGTTGCACTCCTCTCGATTGTAACATCTATGCCTTAGTCATCAACCTTTGAGCTCTAAAGGTTAATAACCATTCCAACGATAAGCGCTTCTAATTTCTCGCTAACCATCTCAAGAGCGAAAGAGAACGTTGGTGTGACAAGTTGCTACGAGAGAAGACGGAGGATGATACTCTATGATTCTCAGTGATAAGACGTTCCGATAATTCTCCCGTTTGATATATGAGACAATACGTGACGTTGCGGCATTGTCAAAGATGTATTTATTACTTTTTCAGATGCAACAGATGACAATAGAAAATATTTCATGATGTAGGGATGCAGCTCTCTTGCAATTGCCCTCTCCCTCACAATTGGAGCAAATGTCAGATGTCCCAATGCGCGAGCACACTCCCTGGAATCGCGATATTCATCTCGATCGCAAACTTGGAAGCCACCAACCAATTCAGCGACTCCAAAATAGCCACCAGCGCATCGTCTCTGAAAGAAGAGGCGTTCAAGCTAGCAAACAAGTCCCAGACCACAATCTCTACAAACAGATAACAAATCGCACGTAGATTTTCTAGCGCCTTACATCCAAACTCCCTAATGGCCATGCGCTCCGCAGGAAACACTAGGTTGTCACTCCCATGGACCATGGTTTGAAAGCGGCAGAAATTTAGCTGCTATCTCCAAATGCCGAGTCCTCTCCCATTGAGGGGCGGGAGTGACGGAACGGAACAAAGCCAGCCCGGTACTTACCTGGACGCTGAACCGATTGGACGCGTAGAGCACATCAAGAGCTTCAATATAACTGAATCGCAACGAGAACACACCGTCGGCATATGTATCATGTAACTAGTAAGTGACGGCAGGTAATGAGTTTTAAGCGCACATCTTATGGCAGGTCAACACGAGCCCGAGTAGTTGATTACACTCGTTGAAACTATGCATCTCCTTCACTCTTGTACTGCCTCTGGTGAGCCGCTGCCCGAAATATGTGTGATGCATAGTGGGTCCCTTGGCATCGGGAACTAAGCACCGGTGGCCTTTAACACGATCTGACCTGTCGTTGAACGGGATCACGTGCATAAGCCGCGTAGAGTCGTTGAAGACGGCTTCGTAGATGGCCAGGCGGAGTTCAAGGAGAAACTTTGGAATGAATCAAGGGCAACCAATCTGAGTGTTGTGCGGGCTTTGAGGTATTGGTGAGCGTGTTGGGTGGGGTGGTTTGCAGGGATTGGGAGAGTCGATGGGGTGGCGCTGGCGGTGTTTCCCATTGCTGGGTGGTTCAGAAAATTTCATAAACGTATTGAGCCTTTGAAAGTCGAAGAATAAATAATGTACGGTGTTGCTGCTGTCATTCTTGGGAGTTGGTCTGGGGTGCATGGCGTATCTTACTGTGCACCGCCACCCGGCTATTGTGTAGCAAGGCTACCGATAGTGTGCCTAGTTGTGAGGCTGACTGCATCATTGTCATAAACCTGCGAACATTTCATTGCATTTTCAGCTTATTGTTTTGTTTGCGGAAGCTGTGAACCTTGTCCTTGCTGGTATCAATAAAGTTTTCTACCGCGCGTTCTCAGTAGTCTCTTTGCCATGGATTGTATGTACAGCTTTCGGGGCGCCGTTTAAGTGGGGCGCTCACTTGTGAACCACGCTCCTCACTATCAACGAAAGAGGATAACGGTAGGGAGGGAGTGATTTAATTAGCTAGCAAAGTATTAGGGTGACCCACTCCGCTTCCTGTATCAAAACTGACCTATTGCTTGCAGCAGTGGACATTATCGCGCATTTTTCCAGTTACTCAGTGCTCCCCTTGTCACCGTGGGTATGTTCTTTCTTTATGTTCAAATCCCAGCTAAACAAAGTAAACTTCCGTGTTCCCCAACCGAGCTGGAACTTAAAGTGACTTGACATGCCTCCGGTACAGGCGTCCGTTCGGTCTTTTGGGTCGGGTACAACGACCCACTCCTGCCCACAAACTTTGCCGTCATCCTGGCTTAGACGCTGCGTAGATGATTTTCCTGGCAAAGCAAGAACATCAGAAACTAATATATGTATTCAACTGCGCATTCAGATCGCTACATGAAGGCGGAGATAGGAATAATGGTACCTGGGTTCTTGTCTGTACTCAATCTTCTGTCCGTAATTTCCGGATCATCGTCGCTATGCGTCGAGAACTTGGTCTCAGACTGCGGAGAATTGTCTCCACCTGTTAATCTTAGATTTTACACTAAAAGAATATTAACGAAAAAAGAATCCCTGGGAGAAGGATACCTTGTGGGAGACGACAAGTACCCCCATTCTGTGACATATGGAGAGTACGAAAAGTGTCAGGTTCTTTTCGCAAAGTTTATGTCTAGGGTAAGAAATGCTGCTATCGAAATCGAAATGATAGGTTACCTGAGACAATGATCATGAGGTGCGAGCCGTGTAAAGGACTCTATGACGTCAGTCATGTTCATGAGAGTCCGTGGCATTGTTGCCTAGAAGATCTCAGGATATAATTGGGTTATCGGATGGTCGGCTAGTGAGGCAGTGTTGCCTGCATAAGGCTGAGTAGCATTATTGGCCGAGCAAACTCTACGGGATCATCCTTGCGCTAGGAAGTGGGCGTTCTCTGAATAAAAACCGAATAATTAAGAATATCAGCTGATTAGTTCACAGCGTTCATGGTGGACAATTGTTATTGGTGTGAAGGGTTGTGGATCCTAAGCTTGGAGTGATTGAGCGCATTTGGGAGTGATGGACGCTGATCTTTCTATACTCTTGGCCCCATTGGCTAGTTTCACGGTGTTTGTAATGGGTTTCGGCTTAACGGTGAATAATCTGCTGGCAGGTATACATTTCTGCTCTGTCAGAGTTGTGGTGCCATGTGTATCCCACATCTCTTCAGTCTCCTGGCAATATTTACTCGCGATGAAGAACAGCCGTTATTTATTAATACATTCCTCCTTTCTTTAACTCATCCACAGGTCCTCCCGAAAACGAGCAATGACCCGACCCATCCGGATTCTCACCAACCACGCCCCATTGCAACTTTTCCTGGGCAAGATCCCTGCCTTCGTCCTCTCCAGACAACAAGGGGTGACAGGCGGCACTTATCGCGATACTGCAGCTTCCAACAAGAATGGTATTGTGGGGGTGGCGTAGATTTCCAACCACAAATGCCACAAGCAGCAGTACCACTACAACCACGAGCCCTGTTATGATTGCAATCGGCGAAAATCCACACTTGAAGGATTTTGTGTAGCCGACTAGATTATAAGCAGAGTATCTGTCAAGTGCGACAAAGAACTGTTTGCTACATCAGAATTAATCCATAGAAGGACGTGATCAGGATACGTACAAAACTTTGTGACATAACCCAATGCATAAGACCACTGTCCAGACGAAGGTACAAAATCAGCATGGCTCTCAATTCGGAATGTATCGCAAAAACATAATCAAATATAGAACTTACCTTGCTATCATCATTGGCAACGCGAATCGATACGGCAGAGATAGGAAATAGGATGATCTTTGATCTCCTTTGGCCTGAGTAGTCACCCTCAGTCCTTTCTTCTGGTAAGCGTACGTGGCCCATTCGTATCCTAGAACCATGTTTGTGAATAGGCTATTATATGAGAAATAAAATACTGAGACGGCTAGTTGTGCGCTGTTGGCTACCAAAGCGTTGGCAAGCACGTTTGGAGATCCGATATCGATCATTGTTCGAGGATCGATGGCCCCGAAACCTATCTCAGTCCAATTTGCCAATTTTTCTCTGTCTGAATCATTATAGATTTGGATAGACTTATGGAGTAAGAAGCTTATAGCTGTGAGGATAGCGAGAACCCTGGCAACCATGTTAGCGTAGTCGCTTTATCAAGCGGGTATGGCACACAGAGGGTTAAGTAGAGTGGAAAAACTCACAGCAAAAAGAGAAAACCGGAACGAGGACCGCTAACAGCATCTTTCCATTTGTGTCTTTGACCGTTCCAACGCCTTGCCCTAATCTTAAAACTCTTTTTTTGAATGAGTATCGCATCATCCATCGACACAAGACACATATCTGTAGTCTGTGGGTCCTTAATCGTCAGAAATGATGCAACTGCATCTCCCAAAGCTAGCAATGGCTCTCCTTTGATAACAAATATAGTGCAGAAGATTGCCAGTACCTTGAGGAAATTAAGCAACACTACCACCATTGCAATTTCCGTGCTCCAACGAATTTGGCATTGTGGTTCTATCTTTTCACTTAAGCAGTACTGGATCGGGCCACTTGGGCTTGAGTCGTCACACCAGTAGTCGTCGCAGGATTCGACAGTCCAGTTTGCAGGTGAGTTTTGTAATTCGTTGAAGGTGTTTTTGAAAGGTGGTGGACTGATCCATGAGTAAGGAACGGGGTCGTAAAAATGCATGCTGTGTGCCCAAAAGACAGGCGATGCTTCCGAGAATGTAATCCATCGTACGATTGGAGCATCATCGTCTCGAAAAACCAGGAACAAGTTTCGGCGGTCAGATTGTATTAATCTCGCGTATGCATTGATGCAGTCAAGATTTTCGAGTCTCTCTAGACGGCCTTCATAGGCTTGCCGGTGTAGGTTCTGGAGTAATACAGTGTTCTCGTATTCAGATGATGGCCCATCCTCCACACGGATGGAATCTGGTCGGTACATCTCGGAACAACCCTCACATCCAGAACTATTGATGAATGATTGAGTTACTCCAAACACAGAGTACTCATGATCTGTAATAGACATGTATACAACGGAGTTAAACCTAAGGATATTAATAATACAGTCTTCCATTTTCTGATTTGTCTTACATAAGGTGTAGAGGGACAGAAGAAAGCGCTAGAAGAGCCCATAATGCAACACGCTTTTTGCTAATAAACCGCAGGTTGCGATAGCTCATGATACCAATATCAAGCCATTTATTCAGAGCATGCGCAGCATCCACATCTTTTCTTGTTGGTGCTGACAAGCATTGCATGCAGTAATTGCTTGAACTCAGCAGAACTGTGCTTAGTATGTTGATGAATATGTGTAGTGCGGTGTTGATTTGACGTGCCCTCTCGCAATCGCCCTTGTACAGCGGCTCATCGCGGCTGTGTCGGGTACAGACTATTGTGGCCACGAGATTTACGAGGAAAACCACGGAAGCCGCAATTCCGCAGTTAATGGCACCAAATCTCCACCCTTGAAGATATTTCCGTCTTGATGGCTGGGGTGACGGGTCGTTTGGAGGCAGAATCATGTATGTAGGCTTGGCGTCCTGGCCGGGCTGAAGAATCGCATCGAAACCCAGCATTGAGGCGAAAGGAGAATGGGTGGAATATCGCAAAACTAGAAGAAAAACGGACAAAACAGCTAGATATAATGGCTTTCATACTTGGGGGCCATTGCAGCTCTGCCTCAGATTGTTCCGATCGTTCCTGCTTGGCCCAAAATATCTCCTATTTAGAACGCTTTGCAGGTAAGGATTGACTAACATCCTTCGTGGCACCCTATGATGTTGACCCCGGGCGAGATACTTATGCCGAGGAGCCCACAAAATGGCCCCCAAATCTCGGCACATGCTCAGATCCTGCTGAGACGGCTACCAACATTTGAATGCGTGACATTGCAAAAGGAAAGAATTTAAAGCAGAATGAAGTTGAACAACATCAATAATACATGACCAAGAGTTTGTTTTTACCTCTTTGAGCGCCCGCATATTCGTTTGCACCCGCATATCCTCATGCCATTCATATCAGCTACAAGGCAATCTATCGTACCCACAACCCGAACAGAGCCTTCTAGATGCATTGTATCCAAAGCAGGGTACTTGCGATAGTGGCATACCTTGTGAATGTGGATGGTCTGGAGCAACTCTCCGCGACTGTGGTGAATGCAGTGCTCTTGTAACGAGTCGCTGGTTGCTTGACGGCACTATAGTCGTGACATCTGGGCATGCAAGGATTGGCTCCTGTGGAGCGCCTAACTGCTTGTCTTAGCGACGGCCCCAAGTACAGTTAAAAAGACCATCTTGGAACTCCTTCTGGATCGTTGTGGCGCAGTCGTTCAGACTCCCGAAGAGGTAGGAAAAGCTGCTGCGGGAAACTGCTGCAGCATCCTCTCCGTGCCGCAGCCATCGAAGTTACTAAGGCAAGCATAGAACCAGCTGCTACCAAAAAAAAACCATAAACTAGCCCTTTTTTCAATGAAATGGCTGGTACCGAGGTTGTAGTACATCAACGAAATCTAGTCGCGCACCTTCAGGTTGCGTTTATTCATAGGGACGCGAGATATGCGACTCCACTATGACTTGCGGCATCAAACCTACATTTGGAAACTATCCAAATCTCTTCTTGCAACATACGCTGTAGACGAGAATAGGCACATACTGCTGTGCTGGACTGCAGTATTTCTAGCAATAATAAAATTGTTGACATTTTGTCACTAAGATAATAAAATTGTTTCTCGATTATAGCGCTGAACAGTAGTACGTAGACAGAAATGGAATATCGCTGTGTATAATTGCGCAGTGATGTAATTAGAGCAAGGTGTTGAGATTACTCGCTAGCAATGGCAACTAAATTATGGTCATCCTCATTGTCACACTACACCTGCGCTATGATTAGTAATAAGACTGCCCAAGAAGTGTCATCTGTTTATATATAACGCGAAACTTCATTGAGAAGTCGCTGTAAGCCTTGTAGGCGCTGTGATATGGAGGTGTGTATAAGAGCCCAGAGTTAATTAGAACTTCTAGATCAGAAGCACCGGAGAATCTATTATAACTGAACTAAAATATCAGGCCTAACTACTTTTCATGCTTTTGAATCATCTCAAGCAGTGCATGGAATAACTGGGACTTCGGATTGTTACAGCTGGCGGGGAAGATGGCCGACCCGATCTTGCCCTCACCCTGTGTGAAAGGAGTTAAATGTTGGAATATCATGTGATGTAGAGAGCACAGAAAATTAGAGCAGTTTCTATATTCAAAGTAGGATAGAAAGTGATCTCTGAGTTTATTGCGTGTGTGTCAGTAGAAATTGTAGAAGACAAAGACACGTGTGATGTACGGCACTGCGGATTTGAGATTGTTGTTCATCATCACCAGGGATTTTAATTGGTGCTAAAAAACTTTTTTTTTTCAGTGAAAACTTTTATTATTTCGGTAAGGGGGTAATATCTACTCCATGTCGGAACGTGGAAAATAGGGTGTAAAGAACAAAGAGCGGTTTGACCAGTCAAGCGCAGAATGTTCTATGCAGCAAAGATCAGGATTGTGTTATGAGGCAGAATGTGCGTATCTACCGGGGTCATTGTTACTCGGAACGCTCAATCTGCTCTTCCCCGGAATCTTGCTGTCATTGCGGGGATCTGCCTCCTTTTCCTCATTCGATTTCCCCGCTATCCTACTCATCGTCGGACTCCTCATCGCTATCTTGCTCATCATCGGATTCCTCCTCATCCGACATCTCATCGTCCGACATTTCCTCGTCCGAAGAGTGAGTTTCTTCCACAGGGATATTATCCTCGGGATGCAGCGCGATCCATTCCTGGATAATAGCTGCTACTTCATCGACAGCCCAGGGACCGAAAATTCCGTCCTTGAGAATAACAAACATCCTACGAGCAAGAATAGCCTCTGGTGCGAAGGCGAACTTCTTCCACTCGTCAGAAGCCCCAGCCATAAAGATCGACTTGAGAGCGCACTCGCGCTCGCCAGTGGGTTCGATAGTTGCTGACCCTTCCAAATCGTATACGTGGCTGGGGGTACCGTCGTCGAGCCAGAGCCAGAAGGGTCCGCGGAAAGCTAGGAACTTGGGCACAAACATGGCGAAGTCCCAGTCGATGACACCGGTGATCTCGACTGTAGATTCGTTTTGAATGGTGCAAAGCATGTTGTATCCCTTGAAGTCGCCGTGGGCGAGAGAGAAAGATCCGTCGAGGAAGCCACGCTCGTCCAGAGAGCGGATGATAGCGGAAAAGCCGTCCCAGATATGATCCCAGTTGGAGCCCTTGGAGTTTTGGTATTCACGCCAGCGCTCGCATTGCTCGAGCATAGAGGACATAACGCTCTGAGGTTGCGAAGGCCAAGTGCTCGGTTTGGTGAATTCTCGGCTAGTCATTCCCTTGCGAGGAACGTGGAACTTGTCGATTGACACAGCCGATTGAGGGGTCGCAGAAATGTTATCCTTGGCGATCTCCCCAGACGACGAGGACTCGAATGCCGTGATTTGATCATTGAGCGAAATGATGTTCTTGATAACAGACTCCCATTGCTTCAGGTTAAGATCTTTGCCAATATCCGAGAGGAGCTGGCCTTCAAGTCGGGTTTGGATCATGTAGGGCTTCTCGAGAACATTATCAGTCGATGTGTCGTACTTAAAGACCTTTGATGTGGGCAGGGATAGTTTGGCGGCCAACATATTGAGCACCGCGACCTCCTGCTCGACATCGGAGTCTTCAATATCGCGGGCAATGCGGAGAACATACTTCTTAGCAACGTTTAACTTCTTGGAATAGAAGCGTCGCTTGAAGCATCCGACCAAACGTGCGAAGATGTTTTGAGTGCGAGCGTGAACGGTAACCCCGACAACCCGGTTGAATGAGCCGCCTTTCATGCGTTCAATATCAATTTTGGAAGCTTCGGGGAAGATGCTATGAGCCAGCTGCGCGACTTTGTGTTGGAAGGTCTCCCAGGGCTCATGATCCAAATGCTCGTAGGCGACGGTCGAAGTCTCGGAGGCAGCATCATCATCGTCCATCTGGTCGTCGGAATCTTCGTGCTCAGACCGCTCGTGCGCGGGGTCAACCTCGGAGATAGGGTCGTCAGAGGTAGCCATGGTTTGGTCCGAAAGCGGAGGTGATGTGGTAATAGCATCGGCGGTCTGCGGCTGTAAAGACATGATGGTTGTAGTTGAGGTCAGTCGTGTTGAAGTGGAAGTGAAGTGGTTATGGAGGGGAGTAAGAGAAGAAACTTGAATCTAAATAGTGGTGGGGGTGTGATTCAAACAGAGTGGAAGTGCGGGCGTGTGCGTTCACATAGCAATGCCCTTGTGTAATGTCTTTGTTGGCTATCTTTGTTTGTGTGAAGCTCCCTGGCTCTTACCCTTTTAGGTCGCGCTAAAACCACGTTAGCCGCATTCCTCGACAAACAATGGCCATTGTCCCTCGAAAAAGGTGTTAAACATGCGGGACTGAAAATGGAAATTCTGTGGCTTGATTGATATAGATACGCACAATGTAATGTTCATTCATGGGCCATTGGGCGGCAGCTCCATCCTGTGGAAGACGCCAAATCAAAGAGGCATTCTTTCACAGGCGACCAATCAGCATCTCTGCGTGAGGTCAAAGACATCCAAGATGCAGAGCGCTTCTGTTCATGAGGTTTTCTTTGTTCTAATTTTGAGTATTCTCCTTTGCATGTGGTGATGGGATATCATTCACTCGGGCCAAATCAAGTCATTGTGTCGTGATGTTGTTCGTTTCCATTGTTTCGCCAATTGTAAAGGCTGTTCATTCACTAAGTATCCAACGGTGACTGGTGTTGACTTCTATAAAGGTTCCCTGGTTAATTGATTTACTCTCCTTTACAGAGACACCTACAACCACATCCACGCAACTGACAAAGTTCGACCTTCAACTCACTGAGATCAAAATCTCCAAAACACTTCGAACAACCAACTTCACACAACAAATATCAATCTTCAACTACATTCATCATGGGGAAGACTGGTACAGGAATGGTTCACCATTGCCCCGGCAAGAGCGTGAAGATTGGCGACATCCCCGCCGGCGGCTGCCGATACATCACCAAGAACGGTCTTAGGTACTGCAACAAGCACGAGCAGCCTTGTCCTCAAGGCTGTGAGGACTGGCACTGCCTCAAGAATCAGACTGGCTGCGGTCAATGCAAGCGTAGAGAGCAGATGGAAGACAAGCACGCGCACGAGGCCGCCCAAGCCGCGAAGAAGGGCAATGAGAAGTCTGCTTTCGACTCCTTCATGGATGTCGGCAAGGAGCGCAAGAAACCTGGAACCAAGAAGAAGGATTCTACCGATGACTCCACTTCGTAAGCTTCTCCACCTCACTGATCTCAACTGTGGTGGCCTTTCTAGGTCCATGTTGCTCTCACTTGCAACCACTATTTCAAAGGAAGGCGATTTAGTCTTCCACATGCGACACATGAATGAGCATCATGACCCTCTGAGCAATTTCGATTGGCGAGTGCTCGATTCACACTTATGAATACTGGAATCCCCTCCCCCAGCTAACCGGAAATTGTACCCCTGTATGCCTTGTTGTATTCTTCCATTGGACAAGGTGAGCTACGAACTTTAGAACCTTGGTCCAAAACAAGCCCCAAGAATGTTCAAGAAAATGGATGGGAGGCAATGGATAGATGGCTGGTTGGATCAAATCCGGGAAATATGATATGGAATGGAAAAATATTGTTAATACAAAAGAGAGAATGGTCCTACGTGAGTGATGTTGCCAATACGATTTCATAACCATGATGAATTTAGCGTCAGATTATGAGTAGTCATGGCAGTGGGTAGACGTATATAAGAGATCTGATCAAAATTAGGATGTGCAAGGGGAAACATTCTCTCCGATATGTGAAATTGTAGAAGTGTGATGGACACCACCATTCTGTATCCATATATGGGAAGATTATGTAGTGTCATTACTGTCATGTGACATTATTACGTAAGCGGCCCTGGGTCCTTGGATTAATTGTTATGTTCCTGGTACTGTATTGTTTTAGCAGTCATCCATGGCTACCACCTTAATCAACTAAACAGTATACATGAGTCAATCAGATCATCATTCTGGATATTAAGCATTCCTACCTAAGTAGAAAGAATCTAGGAATACAAGGATCATGAAACAATCAGCTACTTCATTCTCGGACTCACTTCATGACTCGAATAGTTACAAGGAAAGCGGATAAGCTGAAATGAAACTAAATCTTGTATTAATCTCAATGCAACGAACCAAACAATACTTGTCTGTCTTCATCTCGCAAGACTTGCAAATTCTGTCTCGCCAAGCCTCTGGCAGTCATCCGTGCAAATGTATTACAATAGGAGTGCAGATATCGTCAAAAAGTCCAAGGAAAAGCTAATCATCAATGTATCTAAGCTATTCATAATTATGAATCACCAGTTCCGTGATAACCACGAAACATGTGTGTCCTGTCTAGAGCTCAAAGGCAGATTTATTGTGTAATTTTTAATACTAAGTGTTTGTGCCGCATGGAAATGCAATAATAGAACAAAAGACTTAGTGACTGGACAAGCTATCAGCATTTTAACTTTCAGTGACGAGAAAGTTTACGCGGATATCACTAAAAGCTCTAGGATTCGCGCGCAAGTATATATTGAACATTGCAATTGTAAAGCTACTGAAATTGACTAGTCTCCAATAGGAAATGGGTGTCGTGAAACCTGGCGCAGCTGGCTTACATGCGCACGTATGTAAGCCAGCCGCGCCATGTAAGCAGGGCAACCTTGTCTGCCGCACTGGATTTTGATCGTTTCCCATTGGCTCAAAACACCCATTTCCTAATCGAGCCTCTAAATCGAAGGCGAGGGAGAAGTTTAGACGGAAATAGGAAGTGTATGTATTACCTAGCTGGATGAAGATTGGAAATGCATTGTCTTTCGTCACGACTTTGAAGGGGATCGAGCAACAATATTTAAACGTTGGATTGCTCTCAAGAAAATCTCTCCTTCACAACTACAGCTCACCTCATTTCGATAACTTCAATTTCAACAGTAGCTGGTGCATATCTCATTATTTGATACTGAACCCTCACCACTCATCATACCATGTCTATGCCATCAATCCTTCTCATCGGTGCAGGTGGCTATTTCGGCGGTCCTTTGACCCGAGAATTGCTAGCGAATCGTTCACGCTTCAATCGCATGGCTATCCTGACCGAAGAGGCCAAAAAGCAAAAGTTCGCAGAGCACGAAGCAAAGGGATTTGAGCTCGTTCTAGGGGCTTTTGATTCTCCGGATTCCTTCAAAGGTACCACCTGCGATTCCTCAGTGCGACATGAGCTCACAAGACTTAGGGTTCGATGTTGTGATCTGCATGGTTGGCAACCATGCTATGAAACTTCAGCCTGCCATCATCGATGCCGCCATAGCCGCAGGCGTGACCGAATTCTATCCATCCGAGTTCGGGGATGACATCGGGCAAGGCGATTACCTGACAAACAGATACTTTCGCGACAAGCAAATCACCCGCCAGCATCTGCGCAATGTTGCAAAGAAGAATCCTGGATTCAACTATACGTATCTTATCTGTGGAGGTTTTATCGAGTTTGCGCTGCATCCGCTATTCGGCATGGATGTTGAAAAGCATACGTTCACGTTTTATGGGCCGGCTGAGAAGCAGGAGGCCCTTACTGCTGTTCACGAGTAAGTCTTCTCCTAGAGTGCGAAGCTTACTGAGATAGTTTGCTGAATGCTTTTGAACAGTGTCGCGAAGTACTGCGTGGAGTCGGTCTTCCTCCCTAAATCACCCTCGCAAGAGCGCACATTCCGCATTCCTGAAGCAAATTATGCCTGGAAGGACGTCGTGGCCACCTTAGAGAAAGTGCAAGGTGTTAAATATACATGCACCTATCTCCCTCAGCAAGACGCTATTGATGCGCAGAAGGCGTGCGAGGAGAAGGGTGACGTGGATGGAGAATTGGCCTTCGCGCTCAAGTCTCTCCTTGGTGACCTCAGCGTGGTGAGTGTACCAGGACCGTGGGACAACGACAAGTTTTCGTTCAAGCCTGCAACGTTGGAAGAAGCGGTGAGGAAATATTTCGCGGATCTGAAACAGGTTAAGAATTAAAACGGGGCGAGGATAAGCTGGACAAGAACTTTACAATGCCTTCACAGTCATAGATGTAGTGGCCGTGGTGGGTTTTGAGCGTTCTTGTAGATAAGGGATCTCTTACTCGATGTGCACGAGTGGTCTCAGAATATCACACTCCCTGTCCAAAATATCACCTACCCAAAGTAAATTTGAAGCGTACACGATAATTTCGTCCCAACTTTGCAGCCCCATGGCCTTTGCAGTGTTCCCGATGATGTCGCAGAACCACAGTCTGTCTTCGTTGTCTGCCTCGAGTGCTGCCAGGATGGCTGTCCAAAGCAACATCTTCTTGAAACTTGTCCATCCTTCACCATAGATTTCCAATAAAGTTCTCAATCGCTCAGTCTCCACTTCAGTAAAGACTATGCGTGCTCCGAAGCGTCTTCTAATCTTACTTAGTAGGATCAATGCTCCTAGACGACAAGACTCATTCACAAAGTTTGTCTCGTCGATATTTTCTAATTCTGCGCCACCTTCCAATAAACGGTGGGTCAAAGGATCGACCCAAGTCTTTAAAAATGACTGATCTTGCCACAGCAACCTCTTTTTCAACTCGCTTTTGATTGCCATGGAAGTTATACTCAAATCTTTGAATATTCCTGCTAATGTAGGATCACGGGGAAACGTAATTGACCAGATGCTTGCTTCGTTAACGGAAGGATGGGGGAGCCACCAGGGTATCTCTTGCTCATCGTTCCGGAGGTCGGACAGGGTGCTGATTGGGAGTGGGAACCTCGGAGGTTGGCCGGTGAAGCAGGATGCGGAAACGTCGATACTAATTTCGAATGAGCCACAAGATTGAGTCGTAAGAATGATTGAAAAGGAGACTTCAGTCATACCCTGACAGCAACAGTCTAAGAATTCTGTTGTGATCGATAGCATGGACTCCGCCTCTTAGTGTTATGATAGTGCGGAGACCTTCTATGTGCATGTTATAGCTTGTCCAGTCTCTGTCTGAATGCTGCATTTCATTAGCGTAGTAATCTCGAAAACCAAGTAAGCAGCTTACACTGAAGCACGCGAAGCCCAGGATTGTTGCGATGATCCCATCACTAACACTTTCAACTGGATCCGAAAGGCGTTTGTTGACCGACTGCAGCGCTTGGGAATGGAATGCGAAAGCTTGTTTCTCCTTTGCGTACCCAGGAAAGGACGCCGTGATGTCGCGCGAAATGTGTGATAATATCTCATAGAACAGCGCGGGATCTGACAGACTCATGGGCAGCCATGTCTCCTTGATTGGTTGGAGTCGGGGTTCCGACGAGACTATTACTACACGAAATGTTCAGTGGGCTAAATATATATGAAAGATGAGTAGTTACACTCACAGTGATCGATCAGGAATGATGTCTCCGAAGTCATATGTATAGGGAAACGCGCGAAAGGATCTGTTCTACATCCACCTGAGACTAACCGGGGCACCTCCGCACTGGGCCCTGTGTAGGCCAGCCCTTGTGCAGATGTTGTAGCTTTGGTATGTACTTTCCGGATCGGAGATTTCTCAGGGTGAATTTTGGGGAAAATATTCCTGAATGATGAAGCTTCGCGCTTCTTGCCATCCCTAACGTCTTCAAGTTGTCTCTGAGGCCGAGGCTGCCCGCGCCGTGCAACCCCAATGTCTCGCATAACATGCTTTTGGATTGCAGTGCGTATATCCCTTCGTGGTGGCACTTTCCCCGTTTGTTGGACTTCGACAAACAAAAAATTGGGGCTAGGCATCTCGGGCGTTGAAAATGTCATTCGAGGACGATGCGTGAGATGTTCTTCGTGGCCACTTCCCAATTTTAGCGTGTTGCCTCGGTGCTTACAAATCGAGCAAAACGATGCGATGTGTATTTCCCATGGAAGATACGTGAAGTTGAGTGTCTATTCTCATATAAGCATAACATTGAGGTTTTCGATGTTCGTAAGCATTTATTGAGTACGGCTGTTGGGTGCAGGCCAATAATAGGTCGTTGACCTCCATAGATAGAAACATCGGAGATGATACGGACCACCCCCAACAATGGCGGGCGTCGTGTCTTACTGATTAATAAGCCAAGATATATCGTCTAGATTGAATGTAGAAAGATCATCAAGGTGATAGGAGAAATCCTGAAGAAAATCCGGATAATTCCCACTGATGACGTCTTGATTAGTCGAGAGGTTTTTATGGGACACAGGAGTTGACGTAGGAACACTCTGTGTCTTTGTAATCCTCGAATGCATTCGTTGCAAAGCCATCTTACACACTTGGATGGACTCGCTTAAAGGCTCCTGTGCCTCAAGGAGGGCCAAAGCGTTCTCCCAAGCATTTTGGGTCGCCGAGCGTGGGAATAGATCCAGTCGCAGAGTTGATACGGCAAGTATCATGGCAGCAGTGTGAGTGTAAAACACCCGATACCACCAAGCTGGCAGCATGCTAATATTTTGCGTTTGATGTTGATGGACAGCAGAAACAGTATTTCGCGCTGCTGCAACGCATTCAAATGCGCACTGCTCCATTAGGTACCGCGTCAGGCTTCCTCCGGGTGGGCTTTCTGGTTCCGTCCCTAAACAGCACCGCGCTAGTATTGGTCTGAATAGTAGGATTCGTGGGTGGAGAAATCTGATAGTGAACTCAAATTAATTGATGCTCACTGTCGATAAACTGCAAGTTTTCTGTAGGGCTCTCTTACCGAAGATGGAGGACGGTTGCCTGTCTTGTAAAAATTTCGTCCCGGAGATGCTCCGGGCTCTCATATTTGAAATTAGCAGGCAACGAGTGCTCCCATCTTGCTAAAAAAAAAAAAAAAAAAAAAAAAAAAAAAAAAAAAGAAAAGCCCCTCCATTGGACTCCAGCCAAGGATTCCAATACGATCCTGGTTCATGTTTTGTAATCGCGACGGTGAAAAGTATTTTTGGGCCGCATGAATCCATACTTGCAATCAACTGTGTCATTATATATAAAAAGCATCTAACGCTACAGCACACGACACTCGATCAGCACGACAACGATTAACACGCTTATGGTACTTATACCGTGCATACATAATAAAGCTCATGACTTCCTAGCCTCGAGAATGATGACTGCTATTTTTGTGTTTCTATGTCTGTACTCCTCGTAACATTCTTCCAAGTTTCTAGCGTCGCCAACGTCGCTTCGCACTTCTCCTTTACGTCCGTGTAACAGTCGACGCCCAATGGAAGACGGAATGGCACTTCCATGCCCTGCGCGACACCCTCTCCTCGCACCAGGTCCAACACGATTTCAACAAGCTTCACCGGATCGCCGGGTTGATTTTGGTCCTCCCCAGCCAAGCCTTCCATTTGCGCTCTCGAGCGCTCCGCATACTCTGGGATGTCTGATGGACGAGACTTCATACTCGAGCTCGATAGGAGGTTTGTCCGAAATCGTCCAGGCTCAATGAGAAGAGTCTTAAGACCGAGATGTGCGGTTTCCGCATGGAGGCCTTCGACAATGCCTTCCAACGCGAATTTGGATCCAGCATATGCGCTGCACCCGGCATGTCCGATCCATCCAGACAACGAGCTGATGAATACCATTGTCCCCTTTTTTCTCTCTCTGAAGTGTGGCAACAGTGCTTTGGTTACCTTGATCGTGCCAAAGACATTCGTGTCAAATTGTGCAAGCCAATCTTCATACGACAGATCTTCCCAGGTCCCGATAGCGATATATGCAGCGTTGTTGATCAGGACATCGATCCGGCCATATTCAGCGAGAACTTTGGAGATGGTGGCATTAATGAATGCTTGGCTGTCGGTGATGTCGAGCTGAAACGTAGGCACTCCGAGTTGATTGAGGTGCTGTATCTTGGAAAGATCCCGCGCTGTTGCAACCACTCTGTCACCGCGTGCGAGAATGCTGTGGACAAATTGATTGCCAAAGCCTGAGGAGCAACCTGTCACCAACCAGACGAGCGGTGCCATTGTCGGATTTGCGAAGCGAGATCAGATTTCGGTGCGGCGGTCGACAATCTTTCCTGAATCAAGTCCTTAGTAGAGAATACCGTCCATTATATAGACAGCCAACAAGTTCAACTGCCTTCTAAGAGATTCTATGGGCATTAGAGAAGTTTCGGATTTAGAGTATGTCCTAATTCCGACCGCTATTTCCGGAAAGAAACATTTATATACAACGTCAATTCATACGACTGAGATTTGAAATACCCCGATCTCGCCCGTCAAATGAGGAAATGACTCAACTACCAATTTTCCAGTATTTTATCACACCTGTGGCTATTTGATGAGAAATCGTATGTCGGTGCAAAAGGTGTGCAACAAGGGGCACAAGTTGGTGGGGTAGCTGAGCAGATCGGTGTACCAGTGCAAGGCTGAGCCTCTCTAACAGTCATCTCGTATTACTTTGGCATTAAGTATTTGTATTTATTCATCTAACCAGCAACTATCACCCGAAATTCCATATGCCATGGATGAACTGAAAGCCGACGGGATTATATTTACGACGCGTTACGGGTCGGAAAACCACTATCTTGGCCACGCCGACTTCATTCCTATTTGCTAAGAGCTCAATACTCAAAAATCCATTGTTTTCGTCCATCCTGCCCATGCCTTTGACGTCAGCCTAGTTAACACATGTCTCCCGCAGCCGATGATGGATTACTCCCACGAAACAGCCCGCACTGAAATGGATCATGTTCTCAGCGATACTGATAAGCACGGAACACGGGTTGTTTTGCCCGGAACTGTAGATCAATACCGTGTCATCCAAATGGTCCACAAGATATAGCGCAGTTCCCGCACTAGAGTGAAATAATTCGTGGGCTGTTTGACAGAGCAGAAGGAGCTCATAGGTAAGTTCTCTCAGCAGCGGAGAAGCGGAAAGGGGCAGAATTGGAATATGTGGCTTGTTGATTTTGAATTGTAAAATTTGAATTTGCATAGATAGTTGAGCCTAAGAGAATTGTTCAGGTTTGGCACAGCACAGTGAAAAAAGAACAAAACGAATTTTCGTAAGAACGCAGGCAGAAGGAACAAGATAATTTGTGCACAAGGTCGTGGCTGGCAAAGTGTGGATGATAAGGGCATCATGGGAGGCTAAATCATGCGCGAGAATTAACCGCGAAGCATATAGAGAATGGGATTAGGAAAAAAGGAATTTTCGTTATTCTTATCTCAGTACATGAGTTCTGTGATGGAAAATTAAGGTTCAGATATTGATTGTTTCTTGTTGACACTTTGCTCTCCTGATTGGCTAAGAGTACTCTCAGTGTTCAGACCAGAGATCCGAACCAACCGTTGGGAAGGTGCAACATAATAGCAAAGAAATCGGAATATGGGATAAATGTACAAATGTGATGAGAATGGATGATATGAGGGAAAGAAATACGGTGGGTATGCACAAAAGGATATACCCAGCGTTCCAGTCGTCCGCACCGACGAATGCCAAAACAGTTGACCATGATTTTCAAAGAGACCAATTTGGTATCGTCATCAACGCTGTATTCCCAAGTTAGAGAACAGAGCTTGTAGATGCCATCATGCTCCTAACTTCCATTGAATTCTCCACCTTCGTTCATCCTCCTCTTCGGAAAATCCCATAAGGACCCGGCGACACCTTCCGAAAAGATGAACTGACTAGAAAGCGCAATATGATCATAAGAAACCATGGAGGCCGTTCCGGGCACGTCAATCTCCCACAACCTAACCTTATCTGTCTCATCATCCCACGTGCGGATGCCGGGGGGCGCTTTGTTAAACGGATTGATCTCGACGAACAGCACATCCAACATCTTCCCCTTGTACAGGTCAAACACCCGATCGATCTGGCTCGCATCAAGAAAAAATGGTCGCATACACACCAAAGTCTCTAGCGAAGGAATGGAGAAGCAGAAGTGGCGCACACCGAACCCGTCTACTAGATTCCCGGAAGTGATTGCCAGTTTCTTCAGGTTCGGCGGTGGGTCTGGAAAATCATAGACCACGTCACCGCTAGTTACTAGCTCCACCAAGTTCTTCATATCCAGGAATATGTTCTTGGACGGGAGAAGGTAGGCATTGTAGTAATTAGAGTTGCTGTTGGCGATTGGTTGCATATCCAAGGCGAGGCGGGTAAGGTTTGATCCAATCGCGCGGCCGAGATCGATGATTTCCGGGAGGCTGACCAATGGTGTGCCGCGTGCTTTGCAGCTATCCGCCTTGGTTGGCGAGATGAAGACTGAGGTGATACGTTTGGGTATATCTGCAGCCTGGAAGAGAAATCGATTCAGACCCGCTTCGCCGTAAGCGAGAGATTGGGGGTGGTGTATGCTCACGGGCAGGCACATGGTGCGGCGGAATCGCGTGAAATTGGTGCAGGTGTCGAGGTAAATGCATGACCTGTAGAGGTAGGGGGAGGCGAGTAGGTAGCTAATTCGCGAGACGAGTGTCAGAGCGCGGAGGGCGCGAGTTGTGGCTGACGAGGGTGCGTACGCGATGGGCTCTATGCCATCGAAAGTGCTGACGAGTTGGTCCAGGACTAGGAGAAAGAGCTCGGGAGGGAGTCGCCCAAAGAGTTGAACAATCTCGACAGACGGTGGGGCTGTTGAATTTTCTGAGTCCATCGTGAGTTGTGCAAGTCGTCGTAGTTGAGCCTGTGGTTGAATTGTTGTCAACTGGTTGCTGGGAAGGTGGGTCCAGCTGCGCAAGAGGAATTAAATATATATACCTCGTGGGTGAGAGATTAGTCATGCCTTTCACTTCTTACCCAACTTGTGCGACGCAAACATATTATGACAAAGTGATTGGCTATCAAGACGTCGGAAAGTAGCAAATCGTGGGTCAGGTGATAGAGCCAAGGTTCAGTAAGAACAGCAGTCCGAACCAATCCTTTTGCACGGCAGATGAGTCTCAAAAGATTCCTAAACTTTGTTTTGTGAATCCATCGGGCCAGAATAGGACAGAAGATGTTTTTGAGAGCATCAATGTGAAGTAAACAACATGGTGATATGGGAGTATTCATTCGTTGCGTAGGGTACATTGCAGCACGCTAAACCCAAATTGGGGGTCCGTGACCCCAAGGTCCTGATCAGTCCAATAACGCAGAACTAAACAGCCAAATGCATATGCGTACAATCCCTAATTCGTTACCAAATTTGGCAGTATGGCTTACTCTGGCTCACCCAATGTAGCTATACAATGAGGGATAGAAAACGATGAGCATTGACGGGATTGTTTCACACAAAACATACCGGTTGACACGATCAGACAGCCTTCCAGCGCCGCAATGTAAACGATGTAGCAAACTAGAAGCTATTCTGTTTGTGCCACATTCTATCATGTAGTAATTTATACACAGTGGTACTCTTGAGTCGCGAGGGCCACCACTGAGAAAATAAAAGATTACACAAAAATTCCCCTACGCCCAAGGAAACGTTTCACTTGAGGGTCCAAAGGTGGGGGTTCTGAGCAATGCTTGGCCCATCCAGTATCTTGAAGACGGCAAGAACATGTAGCCGAAGATGTAGCGACTTCGTCTTCCTGTGGTTTAGGAGAACAACGACCACATTTGAAGCATTCGAAGGTTCCTGAGCTACGCCGTGTCCAAGGTCTGATCCGATACCGCTGCAAAGGCTCCTTAGTCTCGATCAGTTTACAGGCATGAAATCCATGTATGGGACAGGCCTGTTGAGCATCGTATAATGCTTTGGGGAAGCGAGAAGAACCGTTACGCGAGTACCTTTCTGACAATAACGATTGTTGTATTTTTCGCACTTTGTCTTTGTCAATCTTGGTGTCCCCTTTGCCTTCACCGACCTTGGTTTTCCCTTTACCTTTGTCGACCTTGTTGCTCGCTTTACCGCCGCATGCATGATTTCTGTTCATATTAATTCGATCTCCTTTCTCACGGTCGTTGTGAACATCGTCCACATTCTTCTTATCTTGGTCGCTATCGTCGTTTGCGTGATCGTCATCCGAATCGTCCTGTTCTCCCGTTGAAGGGGCTGCTCGTCGACGTGGTGTATCAATGCGCGCGTAGTAGTCTTTGTCAAGCGTCAAGTCATCGTCCGGATGTAATTTTGCCCATGAATCCACAATACCCTTGGCCTCCTCCCAGTCTTGGTCTCGAAACCGGGGGAGTCGCAGAAAATCGACCAATCGCCGCGCAACAATGTATTCAGGTGTGAATGCATAGCGCATCCACTCCGCTCCTGCCTCGCTTACGAAGAGATCCTTAAGGCGCTTGGATTCCGGGTCAGTGGGTGCGAGTAAGGCCTCCTCTTCCACTGACTCATAAGATTTGTCGTTACTAGACGTCTTTCCCTTACACCAAAAGTACCAAGGCGGTCGATAGGCATAGAATCTAGGAGCAAAGAAAGCATATTCGGCATCGCAACCAAGTATACCTGAAACATGGAGCGAAGATTTACTAGGGGTCTCGACGAGCATGTTGTGCGGGTAAAGACCGGAGTGAACGAAATGGAACTGCTCGCTATCAGGGATCAATCCGCGTGCGTGAAGGGCGTGGATGATCTTGCGCAGCAACCAATACTCAGGTTCAATATATTCGCGCTTCCAGTCATCTATACGGCGATTGACCAAATCCAACAAAAAGGTGAATGTGGTTTGCGGAGTGCTGAACGTCGAGAATGTGCTCAGCTCGGGAGTGTGAGAAGGGTGACTGATATCGAATTTGTCGATCCGATCGATGAGATATTGCTCTAGCTTCAGGTCACCGGAACATGGACGGAGGACACCTCCACGGTCGCTCTGCATTGCGTGAAGGCTTTTAGTGATTTGCATAACTTCTTGAAGGGCCTGAGTTCGGTGAGCAGGTGTGAGACCACCCCAGATAGAAGATAGTTTCCTTCCAGGTAGTCGCCCATGTACCACATAGGGGCTGCCTAGAACATTGTTTTTGGTATTATCGCCACCAAGAACCTCGGGTACCGGCAATTTCGTATTGCCACAGATGAGGCTGAGAGTGGTGTCATCATGTAGGATGTTGTAGTTGGTGTCACGTGATCGCTCGATGCGGCAAACGTATTGAATAGGTTTTGGGTCGTTGGTAAGAAATTGCCGGACGATGGAGCGGAATGGTATCTTGTCTTTTGCAAACCATTTGTGCTTCTTTGGTCGTGATTGGCCTTTCTGTGACGCAGACGGTCGAACCGTGAAGCCTATGACGCGATGAGAGCTACCCCCATGCATGTACTCGGTGGTAACATTGTGGAATTTGAATCGATCAGAGCAGAGCTGCACGATCTTGTGCTGAAAAGTGTCGTAGGGCTCTTCATCGAAGGGTGGCGTAGATGACTGACCCGCAGAGTCCAGAGGACCCGTGCATGGCTGTTCGCCATGGCCAATATCGTGCTTGACGGTGCAGTTTGCCTTATTAACCATGGTATTTTGCGATTTTGCAACCGTTTCTGCTGGTGTATACGGCGAGCTGTTGAAGTGGTGATGTTAAAGAGATGGCACCTACGCTATCGATGATGAAAAGTGATCGAGCGCAGCAGTAAGGTGGCATTCGTGAGGTTGTGTGGAGGTGCAAGCGCATTGTATGATGAAGAGGCGAGGTGGGTGAGTGGTAGGTGAATGGGTAGCGTAGTCAGAGAGATTCATTACTAAGTGTGCACTGTGCAGGGGTCCGGCGGAGCAATCAAGGCAGAAGCACGTGCAAGCGGCCATATCGCTTCCGAATTTCAGTGCTTCAAGACTAATGATCGACTGTGTACCTTCACGGACCTCAATCGGAGGAGTGGTTATTCTGCTAGCTCGTGTATTCTGTTTGCTTCAGCATACTGTCTGACCCACGTCCACGGAGATGGATGCATATAACACCTACCCAGGTATGCAGCAATCGTCAGAGAACTAATTTTCGGATCTTGAGGAAATAACTCATATAATTTTGGGATGTTCCAAAGGACTCATAGTCATATTTAATTGTGGACGTCTCACTACCGATTATGAGTCTGGTCCCCCGAATCGTGATTCTGGGCGCATTGTGCGGCCATGACATCTGGTGACATGTTGCCGGCTCGGAGCTCACGCAGGTTGCGACCATGCTGACTAAGTTTGCAGGTGCGTTTCGCGCGCAGTCACCAGTGCCAAACGTGAATGAATTATCACGTGATACCTGCAAACACCCTGGCGATTCTAGTAACCATCAAGTAAGTACAAATGTAGCCCACGGGATAACGCCAAAAGGTATGGATACCTACTTAACTAAGTCCAAAAAAACATAGGGAAGTACTTGGGGAATAGGAGGTGATGAAGACAAATCAGGTTTTCTATCTATTCTGTAAAGAGTTCTCTTAAATACATGGGCAAGTTGGTGCTAGAAAAGGCCATATACATACGTATCTATGTATCTACCTAGGTATCTAGGTAGGTACAGTTTTCTCCTTGCTGAGCTACGTCACGTGATACTCAACATCACTCAACCTCTCAGAAACTTGTTCCGCTTCGTAGTTGGGCCAATGAATAGTGAAGTCATATTTCTAAGTTTCTTATTAGAGCCTGAAAATCACTCCGCTATTATGATCGTATAGCTTACTCAATACCATGTAGTATCACACAATATCATCTACGTCATAGGGGTTTTATTAATTCGGTTCTAATTTTATTCTAACATATAGCAACCCTTTTTCTAGTCGATTTAATGATTTGTAAACCCACGCCAAGAACGAATAGTATTAAAGTGGGGAAGGATCTAGAAATTAGGAACCCAGAGAATGGAGCCTAAAGGCAGGCCGCTTATACTTGTGATTATGAGAGCACGCGCTCTCTAGATGATCCTCTATTTCCGTATTCTAGAATAGTTGTGCCATGCGCCATTGCAAATGAGAAAGTAAGAAGAAAAAAAAGACATTAACCTTGCAAGGGGCATTTCTGTATTGTCGAAGTAACGGCTTCGTTTCCTTGTCTGCAGACGCTAATGGTGCATGAAATAATCGTCATCCGCTGAATTTGAGATGGTGTTCCGTTCGTGTTTCCTTTCAGGAATGCTCCAAATGCTCCAATGGTCCGATGATGTACGAAACCAGAGCATCGACATCCACACCAGTACAGGTTGCCGCCTTGTAATTAATCTCCAAGCAATCGATAATGGTGTTCAAAATGGACCAGATAGGCATAAGGCTGATGATGCTCATTTGAGGGGATTGTGTCGGGATAGCAGAGAAAGTGTGGAAGCCCGTGAGCCGTAACGTCCAAACTACAAGTATTCCGACGGTGGATGCAGCATCTAGTTTTACCTAGACTGAAGACGTGTCTCTCGAAAAGTGTGTGGGCCAACTGGGAGAGAAGTCTGGACTCGAAGCGGAGAGATCTTCGTGAAGATGTAGGGAGAATGAATGCACTGGGGTGCACATTAGTTCGGACAAGACGCATAGCCCTCCTCGTAGTAGGTCACCGTTGCCGTCTGATCTACGATCTTCATGTCGAACACGTTTCCTAAACGTTTCAACTCTGCGTTTCGGACCACACCCCCATTGATTCCCTCCTTGGAGAATAAATCTTGTACATCTTCTGCATCGTTGTGTTCCACACCATTACCCTCATCGTCGTTAGGATTTGGTACATTCTCGGGAAGCTGCAAGGATATATCAGAGATATCATTTCCACCGTCGTATACCAATGACTCATCGTTAGCGTTCTCATGCTCGCCATCAATAGTCTGGTTAGAGAGACTGGAACAATCAACTTCGTTGTCGTCCTCAACGTCGTCAGAGTTCGAACGAAGAAAGCCACCTTCATCTATGCCAGTTGCAAAGTATTCGCTCTCGAGCTCTTCTTGATGATGTAACAGTCTCCAGGCTCGTATAATATCATCGGCTTCGTTGTATACGGCACCGTCGCCGTGATCATCCATCAACCACCCAATGACACGCCGAGCAATCACGAATTCAGGCGTGAAAGCATAACGCAACCATTCCGGGCCGGCACAAGATTCGAAAATCTTTTTCATCTCTTTGTCCTCATCACCAGAAGGCTCAACTAGGGCAAGCGATTCCGTGCGCTTCTCACTTATTATTGCGGATTCCGGGTGCCAGAAGTAGAACGGGGCTCGACATGCGATAATCTTGGGTGCCAGGAAAGCGTGTGAAGCATCCCAATCCAAGATTCCAGTAATCTGGACAGTACTATCGGAAGTTATTTGCGCGAGCACGTTCCGGGGGAAAAGGTCTGTGTGGGCAAAAGTGAAAAGATCGCTCTCTGAAAGAAAGCCCAGATCGCGAAGAGATAGGATGATCTTCCGGATTTTATAATATTGTGGCATGACATAAGCATCGGGTGTTTTCAACTGGCTGTCAAGTTGCTTTTCCCAGAGCTCCATCAGGAATTCGAAGGTCGTCTGCGGAGTGCTGATGGGTGCAGGCTGCGACCAATTGGTGCGTAGCATGTCGAACTTCTCAACCTCATAATCGTCCGGGCCCTCCGAAATCTTGGAGCATGTTTTCAAAACCCCAGCACGGTTGCTTTCGATGTACTGAAGCTGGTGGGTCATCAAGGTGATTTGTCGTAGGGCGTCGCCTCGCTGCTTGTGGGTAAGCTGCGTCCAGAGTGACTTGAGGTTTTGCCCGGGGAGACACGTCTGTATCATATATGGGGATTCCACACAAGAATCGGTGGAGTTACTGAAGGCGATAACATCGGCAATAGGTAGCAATGTATGCTTTCTAACGAAGTTGAGGGTGGCAACATCGTGGCCAACAGAGTACGGCTCTTCAGGGCCCCGACGCATACGCACAACGTACTTTCTCTCTCCTTTTGGCACACATCCATTGCGGACCATTCGATGGAGTCGAGATCGAAGCTTGGAAAACATGCCGCGAAAAAAGCTTTTGCTCGGGGTGGAGTACTCGACGCTGATACCCACGACGCGATTGTAGCTGCCGCCCTGCATACGTTCGGTTTCCATGGGGAGCATGCCGAAGACGGACTTGCATAACTGCACAATCTTGTTCTTGAATGTCTCGTAAGGCTCCTGCTCAAACATTACGGTGGAAGTTGGTGTGCCAGGCTCTATCATTTCACAGTCCTCCTCGCGTCCGGGTGGGATCGCCGTGGCCGGCGGATGCGCAGCATCCGACATGGCGAGCTGCGAAGTGTAGGATGGCTAGTGGGGAAGCTGGCTGACGAGCGTTGCAAGCGCGATGCGTAGGACAGTGAGCATGAAACACTGATGGTGAATGTGGAAGAAAAGGTGCAGGCGACAAAGGTGAGATTTTTCGCTAGTAGCCTGTGTTTCGGGGGGAACAGGTTGAGTGTGGTGGCTATGGTGGTGGGTCTATAGCATATGGTACGGTACGCTGGGCAGTAGAAGAATCAAGGTATAGAGCGGGTATCGCTGACTAAGGCAGGAGGGCCCGAGCAGCGATGTGAATGCACATGCAAAATCCAAACACACATTGTTGGTGTTACGACATTCACGTGGTAGCGAGGCTAGTGCGCGGGATAAAGAAAGGACATGGATTGCCAGCGTCATGTTTGCATTCGGCAAATAATCAGGTACTATCACGATCTGTTTGCTTGAGGCTTCCATGGATTCCACGATTTCGATATAGTCGAGCCATAAAAGTGGCTGTTTTCCCTCCGCGAATCCTGCGGACTGTGGCTGGTGCGACCTGTGATGCGGCGACCGTTCCCGATTAGGCAATGCACGATGCCCGTTCGCCCACTTCAACATGCGAGCGGGCGAACGCTCGAGTGAACATGCCATCCCTAGCCACAGTTACTGTTTGCAAAGATGGCTTATGCTTTTACATTCACATTCGCATCTTCCTACCCCTGCTATATAATGCCTTTAAATGTTACCGTCTACAACTCTCGACCATCGTCTTGCCCTCACTACCACGACGGCCACAAATATCAACCTACTTTTTACATAAAAGAAAAACACTGAAAAAATCGACGAGGATTGCAACACAATGCCCAGCGCGTAAGTTTACGGGAGGAAATAAGGATACAAGTCATTTACACCACCTCGAACCGATTCTGACTTTCCTCTGTTTCATTAGCTTATCTAGTCGGACGCAGCACCATTGTCCCGGTGCGAATGGGCGGGATGGCTCCTGTGTGATGGTTGACATTCCCGTAGGCCAGGGCCAGAAAAAGCTCGCTCCCTACTGCTCCACCCATCAATGGTTGTGCCAAAAACACCTCCTCAAGCAGCTCAAAGGCGAAGATTGCAACAAGTGCAAGGGGAATGAAAACCGCGGAAACCTCCTTGCACAGCAAGCCAAAGACGCCGAGAAGGCTAAGGCGGATGCTGCTAAGGCTAAGACGGATGCTGCTAAGGCTAAGACGGATGCTTACAAGAAGGATCGTAAGTAAGTATCGACTCCTCTTCGTTCCTCGTGGGAAGTTACATATTGATAATTATACAGACCACGCTCAACTCCTCACAACAAGAAGGACGATCAGCGGGATGGTGCTCCGGGAACTGCTTAGGCCGCCCTGCCTCTCGGCCACCGGAGAGTCTCCGGTATAATGGATCACACGACACGACTCGTGAAGTACATGAAATGATTTCATGGTACTGACACCGTAAGTTTGTATAAGAATCCTACGATCAGAATACTGTACTAACTCTACCATAGTCTGCTCTGAGGACCGAGTCCAAATTAGGTATTGGAGTTTTACTTGGTCATTTTTTTCCTCGTTCAAGCGCATTCATTAGACCTCTCCCTTAGAGAGAAGGTACATGGGATAGAATGTTCTTACACTAGCTAGAGGAACCAAACTGTTGTACAGAATTAGCCCGTAGCCTAATTTCATTCATATTTTCTTGTTGAGATCTAATATCTACTGTCTTACATGATGGAAACACTTGAGTGTTTGTGAACGAGATTGTGACATCCGCAAACGTAGCTGCGACTATACCGAACCGCTTGTGCAGCAACGCTTGTGACTCCAAATTCTATTTATCTCTATCAGTACTCCCCGTTCCACAGAATAGAAGTGGTCTAGATCTACAATATATTCAGATCGCGACCGACAGGTCTCAACATAGGTCTAGAGCCCGAGACTGTCGAAAGTATATACGTCCTGCACGAAGCTCATTATCAATTTTCTAGAAATGAGTTCTTGTCTCTATTTACAGAAGCAACTCTTTCTTAAGGTCTCTTATAAGAGTAACCTTTACTTACAGTCCCTTACACAAGTAATTTTTACTTTTAGTCCCCTTTTCAACTCCCTCCAAACAATATATATCCTTCTCAGAGATAGCAAATATCGGAAGTACCCTACAGTTCTATATAGATTCTTCGCTTCTGCTGTTTGGCCTGATTGATCAAAACTACAATCAAAGCAGAAATTGCAGCTGGGTGAGAGGCAGAATGCTAAAAAGATTACCGCTATTTGAGGGAGCATAAAAAAACAAAACATCTTTGTGTGGCAAGCCTGTTGTATCTCGCGATAGCCTAAGCTAAAGTGCGGTGTCGTAGCGCATTTCCTTTGGTTATAATTGATATTTTTCGTGCATTCCTAATTTGGCATGTTTAGGGTGGTACTGACACATGTACAGACCTCGCACCGATGATCACAACAAGAAAGATGAAGACTTTTGAAACTTGACAACGGTATATTCAAGGATATGTTAGACTTTTTCACGAAGATAAATTAAACTCTATTCTATCAAGATCTCACGGATCTCAGAAGCTTCCCCTAAGAGAGCCACTCCAGCCCGAAAACGCCGTCATTTGGTCATTGTTCTGGCCACAAGTTGAAAGCATCATATTCGGATGGAATCAATGCTGTGAAACTGTGCCTGGAAGACCCCGTTAAACAAAGAAAAAAAAACCATGAGACGTTCGAGGTATCAATTCTCGTACGCCTTAAGCTAGCATCGAAGGTATCCGCGACTGCCTAAATCTGCATGCCGGTGCGAGTGATCTCACCGGAGCGCACTGCGCGGGTGCAGGTACGGACCCCACCACCACCGTTCTCGAGTTCGACTGTCTTAACGTACTTGCAGTCTCGAGCAATGTGACCAAGCTTACCGCAAGTGTAGCAGTTGACTCTAGGCTTAGCAAACTTTTTGGCCTTCTCGTTTGCCTTCCTCGCCTTCTTCGCCTCCGCAATGCGAGCATAGTATGCTTCGCCGCGAGGGATCAGGTAAGCGAGTCGACGGTGGATGCCCTTCTTCAGAAGCTTGCCGACCAACTTGTTCTCATTTGCCACGTCAAGGTAAGAGTCGTGGTTGATAGTAGACGGCTGCAGTGCTGTATCAACCAGGGAGGGAATGCGAGCCTTAATGAGACCTTTCACACCGGCCATCAACTCAGTGTACTGGATATGAGCAACGAAGTCGTGTAACTTGCACAAGTCCGCCAGGCCCCTATCCTGCAGCTGGAAAAGGTCGTTGCGCTTCCCAGATTGATCGGAGGCCATGTGCTTCATAGTCCATTGCACAATTGCCCGATTGGTATCCTTGATGGCAAATTGGGTAGACTTGGCAGGGTTGAGCTTCTCCTTGGCAAGACCAGAGTGATGAACTAGTAAGGCCATTGGGAAAGATTCGAGGACAATTTGGCGGGTTTCGCCGTCGCCCATGACGATGTTGACTTTGTTGCCGCTCTTGAGTTTCGCAAGCTCGGATGCCGACATGTGCTTTGTGGGGTGTTGGGAGCGATTGAACTTCGTGGTTGCGCTCATGTTGATGGTGGATGGAATGTTGGTGGTGATTGTGGTATTGAAGTTGTGAAGTGTTTTGGTTAAGTGCTTAAGCTGGAATTGGAAGTTGGTTGAGTTGAGAAAAGTAGTGTGGGAGTGTGATGGCCGAGAGCAAGGCAAGTGAAGCAAGCTCTTATATAGACTATATCGCTCTTCTGTTCGTTCACACAATGTAGCTAGGCCCAATCAACAACGATTGCTAAACATGTACAACGTATGTAAATTCTTTGTCAAGAACAACCGATATGAATGATCTCACAATGCTCACTAAGCTGAGCGTGAAATTTAATGTTGGAAGCGTCTTCGTTGGCGGAACCTCACATTGTGATGGCTTGCACAATGACATTCCAGCAGTCAGACTGATCTCCTGCCCCTATGGACTTTTTTGTAGAATCATGCGGTATCTAACACCATGTGTGCAACGTAAGAACCCCGTCTATAGATTCGGGACAATAAATATACTCCCTTGGACTTACGAAGCACGACCTAGCAATTCCCTCCCGCACTACTAATATGCCGCCGTCCACGGCGCAGCCGAGGCTTCTGCTGCTTGGATATCGCTAACTCTTGCGACCTTGCATTTTGGCAGTACATACATTATTTAATCTACCCAGCGCGTGAGCTTGGATACCTTAGCAGGTAATATCTTGGCGCAACCTAGGTCCGCATCGCACCCATCGCTTCCACGCTCTTATGCCATTGATCCCCCTCTAGCGTCTTCCTATGGGCGGGCATCTAGCGATATGCAATAAGCATGCCGTGTTTAGAGGGCCCAAGTCATTGGGAAGGGATAGACCGCGTTGAAGAATCAAACAACGGCATGTTCAATTTGGCGGAAATCTTATTCAGATATGGAAGTGCGATGATCATATGATGAACCGATCTTGCTTAAGCAGCACATGTATAAAATCATCTTCATTCTTTGCATGTATAAAATGATTTTCATTCACTACAACTTTATTAACTTGCGTGATCGATTTTCCGAAGGTCTGAATTGCAAAGCTCGTCTCGGGGTGCGTCCTGAGTCATAGGAAAGACGAAAACGTTAAATTGAGAACGGAAGAGCCAAAATAGCAATCGAAAATCATCTGCTGAAAGTGGTATATTGAAGGGAATCAGCGCGTCACATTATTAATTTGAATTGCAGTAGTATAAAAGACAACACAATATATGATGTTCAATGACTCAGAAATATGAAATTATAAAATTTCCCAGATTCACCTTGGGTGAAGGAAAGATACCCAATAATTGAATCCCAGAATTATGTATAGAATTTGAGAAAAAGCCCAAACGCCCCTGGAAAGCTCTCAGTTGTTATCATATAAGACTCAAGAGCCAATATTGTATGTCCTGAGAAGCCTTTGCTGCTGGTCACAATCTATCGAAGCCACAAGAGTTCCTCAACTCAGATGATGAGGCCTGTACGCGTGACTTCTCCAGGGCGAACCTGGCGGGTGCAAGTTCGCACGCCGCCATTGTCGACTTCCACCGTCTTGACGTAGTTGCAATACCGGGAAATGTGACCCTTCTTTCCGCGGGTGTAGCAGACCACCTGGGATTTGTTGTGCTTGTTGCGCTCTGCAGCCCTATTCTTCTTGGCCTGTTCGATACGCGCGTAGTAAGCCTTGCCTCGAGCAATTCGAGCAGCCAAGGCGCGCTGAACAGCATAGTCCAGGAGCTTAGCAACAAACTTGCTGTCCTTGGCAAGTTTCATGGTGGGCTCGTGGTTCTCAAGATTAGGCTGGAGGATAAGTATAACCATGTCCGAGATGCGAGAACGAATGACTGGCTCTACACGGTGGACCAGTCGAGGGCACTGGAAGTACTTGGCGAAATCGTGTAGCATGCAAACATCGGAAGTCTTCATAGCCCAGATCTGAGCAAATTCCGACTCTAGCTCTCCAGACATCATGTATTTGAGAGTCCACTTGACGATTGACTTATTGCTGTCCTTGATAGACAGAGAGTTGTTGGTATTCTGGAGTTGGTTCTTGGCCAAACCGGAAAAGTTCACCAGCAGGTCCACGGGAACGCCTTCGGCCACAATGATTCGGTTGTTGGCTTTACCCATGTAGACGTTTACTTTTCGAACGCCCATTGGCTTCCGGAGCGAGGTAGTGTTGGTGTGCATTTTGGTGATTCTTGGTATAATGTCGAGTATTGTGGGGCGTAATTGAGGTTTTGAGGTTGCAAGATCGCAAAGTTGTAGTCAAGTGGGGAAGTTGTGAAGTTGGAGATGTGGTGAGTGAGAGAAAGAAAGGTGGACGATGGGCTTAAATATACATTTCCCTCCCCCTTATCTTGACACAATGTTAACTAACAGATCCATTCACAATGACTCACCAATGCAAACAATCAGACACCCGATCATTCACTCTTCACTTACACAATATCAGCTTTGTTTTCGCCATACTCGAAATATTTGAGTCTACTCAATCGACCTACCGGCAGCAAGATCACACAATCATCACCGTTCGTCACTTTTCCATCGCCACCGGATTTCCGTTGTATATATTGACTTGTTGGCCGTACATGGGGTTCCGGAGATGACGGTAAGCAGCATCTGGAGGGTATTGTCACTACGACTAACGGACTCGTGATTCTCGAATGTATGGGCTATTTTTTTGTGGGGTATATATGACTTTTGTGCTTCCGGCTCGAGGGGCATGGAACATATGTCTCGTATAGCACTGCAGAACTCGTGAGAGCTTCTGAGATGGTTCACCATTTTCCCCTCGTAGACATGGCCGTGGTGCTTAGTATACTCAGTAAGATACTTTGCCATGCTTTTTATCTTCATGAAACAACGATAAATAATTCCTTTTCGACGCATGAGACCTGTCGGAATAAGTAGTTGCGGCTGTGTGCCATAATATCATAACACGCTTGTTGCGGCATCGTACGCCAGACGACGTGAGTGAGTTTTTATATGCAACGCGCAAACTATCATGATTCCGTACTTCCAGCATTTGTGTGGTGTCTAGCCACAGTGAAACCTGGGAAAATCAAGAACGTAGCAATCAATTTGGCCATTCTGTATACGGATATGTCTAGAAAGCCATGCATGACTTAGAATGCGACAACACGTGGTGTGTGTGCAAGCCACTCTGCGGCTCTGGTATCCTTCTTGTTTAGACATCAGCAATCGAAAGATAACACGGCCGCAACGAGATCATTGGCGACACAGCACTATAAACAACGACAAGCATCTTGTCAGCTGTTCTAGCGAACCTCCAGGTAGAAAAGACAGACCAGAAAAGCACTACTGAGGATGGCTTGTAGTAAACAGGAGTTCACCGTTTCTTTTTCCATGCCTTCATCTCATTCTAATTTTGTTTCACGCCACTTGGGGAACAGAGCATGCATCACCGCACCACAAGCCAGTCACGATTGTGTCGAGAAAATTCTTTTTGACCGATCACACAAAGCGCGCTGATTTGGGGTCCATAGATATTAGACGTTATGTGGAGTCTAGAAAACCACAAACCACGTGGGTTGAGCACTGACGCGCTTGAGAGTGGTGGCTATGTTGGGGGCTGCTCGGCATTACTTGCAGCGGCAGGATGGATACATCAGCAAAATCTACACGAAGGGAAGCTTGAGACAGACAAGAAAAACAAAACTGTGTTAACTTGCTACTCCTGTGCACAGCAAACTCATCGCAAAAATGTACTTCTCAGTTTTCAACTTAGTATGCTGTGTTGAACCCTTCAAGCACACCGCCATGTTTTCATCGGGCATGAAATTTGATATAAAGGAGAGCCCTAACTCACACAAGATAGGACAAATATGCGTTTATAGAATAGTCCCCGTAATTCCAGTGTCCGTGCACGAGTGCATCGGTAACCGTAGGATGGTTCTATGGCGCACATGCGAACATGTTGGGGCCTTTTTTGGGGGCTGTTCACTGATTTGGCGGCCGCCCTTTCGCTTCCGCGCCCCCCTTAAGTCCGCCACCATGTAACCTTGCGGCGCTTCTAAAGCTATATCTTCAGGTGATGGTTCCTAGATTTATCGATCACATTGTTCTCGCAGTGGGACTTTTGTGAGATGACCAGCCAAGATGCATTTTCATCGTCGGTTTTTCAGTATGGATCGCAAGATCGCTCAGATTGAGTTCAACAAATCCATTGCAGGATGCTACCGCGACGGTAACGCCGAATACGATTCCGTTGGGGTTTTGCTTCTCACGTGGAAGGATGATGATCTGGATTGCAAAGAGAAAGAGGTATTTATTGCGCACAAAGCTAGGGCGAAGACTCCGTTGACCATAACCGCAGGTTGATGAGTTGGAAAACGTGCTCAAAGAAAAATTCTATTTCAATACTGAGCAGTATGAGATACCATCAGTCGACTCAGAAAAGTCGCTGCTGAGTAGATTGAAGGCCTTTGGCCGCTGTTACGAAAGCCCCTCGAAGCTAGGAATAATCTACTATGGCGGGCATGCGGAAAGAATCGAGACAGAACACGGTGTCGATCTGGAAATTTTTGCAAGGCGGACAGCGCACGATTTCAAAATACCATCCCGAAACAACACCGACCTCAGCGACATCAGTGTTTCTGATTTGTCGATAGATACACAAAGAGCACCGAGTTCCCCACAGGTGTCGCGCATTAGCTTCAAGTCCATCTATAAGCAGATCAAGCACTCCGAGTCCGACATTTTGTTAATCGTCGACAGCTGCTTTGCTGCAGGGGCGTTCTCCGGCCAACCATTCAGCAGCAGAAAAAGTGAGCTTATGTGTTCCATTGCAGAGGGATCATATGCACGAGCACCAGGCCAGGAGGGATCTTTTACGATGATGCTTATCAATGCGCTCAGAGAGATGATCGAAAATTCTCCCGAAGGCTTCAATACATCTCATTTATACAGTAAGATCTACATGAAACAGCATCACGCTCGCAAACCTTACCATTTCGTGCAATCTAAACTGGACTACGGAAGAATCTGGCTGAGGCCATGCCGGACCAAAGAAAAGACTACGGAAGAACTGGTTGATTCCGAGTACATGATCGATGTGCGATTCCACTTCACCAAAAGTCTCGACACCACAGAACTCAACAGGGTGGCCAAATCACTACAATGGATACCGTTCGTGCAGCAAGTAAAAATGCAGAACATGCGCGGTCCAAACGACAAACTGGCGGAGTTTATACGGACGGTACATTTGGCGAAACGCCTGCGACCTGTACTCGCTCGCGTGCGCGAACAGAAGGAACTAAAACGAGCGCGAGAGCTGTCCAGGACAGACAGTTCGACGCCATCATCTCCGTCTGACAAACTAAAGCTGCCCCCAAGTAGCGAGCGATTCCACGTGAAAAACCCTCCAGATGTGCAGCTGTTTGACTGGAGCAAGGCTGAAGCCATCACCCCGTCTGACGAACGCCTGACCTCCGAGGAGTATTTCAACGGGAAGAAAGAAGTCTTACCTACCCTCAGGGACCTCAAGTTGGCGATCAGTAACCGCAAACGGAATAAGGGAACGATTGCGGCTCCGCACTCATTTACCCGGAGAGCATCACAGACGGACGCACCAGTGAAACCCGGGAAAAGTTTTGCACTCTGGCTTCTCAAGCTGTGCTTATCTCAACGCTTCAAAGACGCGCTATTCTTCTTTGCGATGGGCATTCTGGCCCCCAAAGTTGTCCGGTGGGCGGTGGGGCGCAGCGCTCCATCACCGTTCGTAGCGCTTTCAGCTGCGGCGCCCCAAGCGCTAAATCACACATGATGTTCGTTCAATCTCGTTCGTGAGACTTTCAGCCTTGTTGCTGCCTGGAGGTATCTTTGTAATGTTACGGCCGGAGGAAAGGTGCTCTTGTAACTGATCGATATATAAAGCAAGGCTGAACGAAGAGTTTCAGTTTGGAACCCGCTTCTCACCTGCAGCGAAAAATGGAAAGCAACAGTGCCGCCAACACCGAGGAGAAGGCAGATATGGGAACAAACGACAGTCTCGATGTAAGCGCGGAATCGAATTCATCCAGTCATGCTTGCTAACTGGAACAGGACGTCGAAACGCCCATCACTCCGGGCACCCCCCAAGAGCAGGATTCCAACTTTCCCATATATCGTGCTGATGTCGCGCGAGGCGAATGGAGACCGGTACGTACGAATTTAACCTCATTCTCTTTTCCTCTTCTCGCGAGACGTGTCTGCACAGCGCTGACAACTACACCAGCCTCGACCGAAATGGAACAAGAACGAACGCGTGTATTTGAGGATGAACGATGGTACGCAGCGCGGTCCGTTCACCATCACTGCCCGCCACGCCCCAAGAAATGATCGTGAAGTATGGAAGTATGATATTCAGAATGAGAAAAAAGTCGAGAAAAAGGGAATTCCCGAAACTAGATTTTCTTGACCGGCTTTCCGCTGGTAGGCGCACAGTGTTGTTGGATTGGGCGGCAGCTGACAGGGCAAAATTGTACAAGGGTGTTTGTGGTCGCTTTTTTCTCGTTTAGCATCGTGTTTTGTCAATGGAGTTTCGTTATACCAGGGCTGGTTATTGTTGATCAAGAATCACAAAACTAGATAATCGGGGCGCCCCGGCGTGTCTCGTTACTTTCGGTTTCGCAAAGAGTACCAATATTAAGGGACGAAGTACAGGTGGTTGAGTGAGATCAGCAGACGCAGCATGTACGAGTGTGAGCAAGCCCCCGCCTCTTTTGTGGCTGTCACACAGTGGCTGTGCGATGGGACTGTTCATCGCTTGACCGGTTCTCCAATCTATGACACCCTATCCAATCGCTTGCCCCTGTAAGGATTACACGGCAAAAATGACACATTCCTGAATCGGTGATTCCTCAGGGCCTTGCTTTGCCCCTCAGCAGCTGAGTCGATGTTTAAGAAAGCTGGACCCCAATATCTCTCTACGCCGTTTTCTTACCTCACCGGACTTCCCATATATCATAATCGCAGGTGCGCGAAGCTTCGAGAAATCAGGAGTTGTCGTTTCCATTTCATTCGTTTGTACATATTCATTTCCAATGGAGTCTTCTAATGGGGCCAAAACGCCACAGCAGCCGGCATCGCCCGTGAGAGACCAATACACCTCGTACAGCAGCGACGATGCCTCGACGGTATGCGCCAGCGAGTTCGACAAGAAAGATCTAGAAAGTCAGTCAGCGAAGCCGCAAGATCGAAGTATCAGCCATTATCTCGGGCTATCGTCTCCAATCAGTGATGATCTCGATGATATTGAGGAGGAGGAGTTTGCGGACTCCGACAACAATCAGGTTGCGGATGTCAAATCGCCAGATTACCAAGACAGTAAGCCAGAATAATCCCCAGGACAGAAACCCCAATCCGAACATTTAGGCGAAGGGCACAAGGCAAAGGGTACGAGATAGATGAGGAAAATAAAAGTGCAGACATCTGATTCGTATGCAAATCACAGTCGACCATCATCCACAAGGCTACCCACGCCTAGCGGCTTTCATGAACAGCGATGAGAACTTTCTGATCTGTCGCCAATACGGAAATCTTCACAACCGTGTACTCCTTTACCGCCAGGACGAGCTCCGAGAGCTCGAAAGTGAACTCTTCGAAATGGACAAGAAGGCCCTGGCCACCGACGAGCTCCAACTAGGTTCCCGAACGCGCGAAGAGCGATGCTCACCGGAACGCCGCGGTCTAATTAATCGTATCGATGAAAAACTGAGAGAGTACAACGACATTGTGCAGCGCACGCGGTCGTTTGCCACTTTGCAGAAAGCGACGGAGCGTAATTACCGAAGTGTGAAGAACTGGATGGATATGGAGGGCCCTCTTGTGCAAGAAGAAGCTGCTACATTCAAGAAAGATCGAGACTTCGTAGCTGTAGTAGATGCAAAAGAGGGGAGTTGGTTCGATGGCCGTGTAGAAACCGCTTTAACGAAGTTCGGTGGACCAATCAGTAGAGTGAGCAACGACTGACCCCCTCTTATCCCAGTTTTCTCGGACCTTAACATGATATCAGCGTATATTTGTTACGAAACGCGACCGTGATTCCACAGCCAACAAGCTCGTGCGGCTCTATTCCAAAGATAAGATCGACATCTTCTCGCGCCTGATCATTACTTTCCTGGCAGTTGTACTGCTTATGGCCCCCGTGGTTGCGCTCTTCGGTCTAAACAAAAACGGACATATCAAGATCCTCATCATCTTTCTGTTCACTATGGCGTTTTCGGTTGCGTTGAGTCTGTTCACAAAAGCAAAGAGACATGAGGTGTTTGCTGCTACTGCCGCGTAAGTGATACCCTGTACTATCGGTTTGTTTTCTCAGTTTTGTATCTACAGTTGTATTCTACTTTCTTCTTTGGAGGCGGAATGGCTGTCACGCGATGTACTTTAATAGTTTCTCTCCGTACGCCGCTGGTAAAGCGGTCAAACGTCGAACGATTCCCGTTTCCCTTCAAAAGGTTTCTGCCGTTCACCATATCTTTTTTACGACTGTTTTCGGTGACTAATTGTCCTCCCACAGCTACTGCGCGGTTTTGGTTGTTTTTCTTGGTAATATGGATGGCTAGATTGTATTCACGATAATGAATTTACGATGACAACGAATGAAAATCATGACTATATATCAATGATTGCGAATCAGAAAGATGATTTTCTATTGATGACTGCGAATCGACAAAAATGACTGTATATCGATGATTGCAAATGAGAAAACATGACTAATTAACAATGACTATATGACAATGACTCCATAACCACTGGCAGTGACTGATAGCGGTATTCGTGTCGAGTGTCTTCCTAAGTTTGAATCACAAATGATAACTGACCCGACGATACGTCATCGACTTTGTCTTCATTCTAATCCTAATGGCAAAGTTTGATGATTTTCGTACTCTATCACAGCGCGTGAATCAAAGCCAATTTCAGTGTTTGCAGAAACACACAATAAGTAATGTTCTGATTACTGGGTGGTATTGGCGCGAACCCCACGGCTTCCGCTAGACTAAGCAGGCAGTTACCCAATCCTTTTTCAATTCAGGTTGAGAACTATTAGGGGAATCGACTTTTGCAGCTGTTTCTCCCTCTGGCTTGTATTCGCGCATGATATCTCTGAATCGCTCCCCTGACAAAATATGGCCAAATTTGTACCAGTCCATTTTCATGAACAGACTGCAGAAAGTGACTAGTCGAAAAGTTGGCCCAGCGTGGCCGTTTTGAACTGGTCGCAAGATGACTGGCCCACTAACCCCACGGATGTGACAGATTTCATCGTTTGCTCGGATTCTTCCCGCATGATATAGCATCACGATGTCATTTATTGGGCGGCTGCGTAGAATATCCAAAGTTACCATGAGCCGTGACCACGTTTGGCTGGACAGCAGTCCCTCGTCACGTTTGATTTTCTCGATGTATTCCGATACAGTCGCATCTCGTAATAGGCTGACTTCCATGGCTGGACCATGATGATCATGATGTTTTGAGGTACAGTCACGCTTTACAGGCTGACTGGACTTTTCGATTTCTGATTCTTTCTTTATTCCGTAGTAGATGCCAGTTGTGGGCTCAGTTTCGAAATCCAGACTGGGCAACCATGACGGAACTCTCGACTCTGGTTCGAAGTTCTTTCTCTCGGGAATCATCTCGCCTTTTGCACTATTGGCAGTCGAATGTGGCTCTGGTTCAAGCCAGTGTTCTTCAGGTTCGGGTTGATGGAATCGCAAGATGTCCAAATGGTTGTAGACCCTGACAAAATTCTGGACGAAGTCAAAGTAGACTTCTTCTACCGATTTGTTGTAATCTGGAACTATACCATGGCGGACTGTCGGTTTCAACAGTCCAAGCAAAGCAAAAACCTTGTCTCTTGGATCGGATGCATGCGTGTTCTTAGCGAAATGAATCAGCGTATAGAGATCGTTGAATGGTCGTGGGTCGGAGTCAGCAAGTAGTAATGTCGGCGGGAGGCGGAATTGGCGCCAAGCAGGAAATCGTGATCGATATGATGCAGTATCGGAGTAGATTCGTATCGCAGTGGTGGAAAGTACCTTCCAGTCCACCGATTCGGTTCCCCATACCAAAAGCGCTTTTTTGCTGTTGGCGATCTCCTGTAGGACCCACACACGAGAGAACCAGGGCATACCAACTATTCTCGTCAAGTCATTCCACATCGTCTCTGGACCATGCTTTCTCGTTGTGCGATGCCATGAGAGATTTGAATTGCTCATTCTGCGGAGGCGGCAATCTTCGCATTTGTGGCAGTATCCGTCGCCCTCTTCCAGATGCCGGAAAGTATCGCGGGCGGTTGCGAGTAGATCAGGCCCAATATATATGAGGGTTCGAGAAGCAGCTGCATATATCTTACTCATGAGGGGTACTTGATGGTTTTTCTCGTCGTTGCTTTCCTGATTGATGCAAATTGCATCTATCCAAAGAAGACGGCTTTCATCCTGGTGTCGCAAGTCTCTTAGCGCGTCGCTACAGTTTTGAGTAACTCGTACGATCCCTTCAAAAGTATGGATAGTTTGTGAGAGAACGGTACTACCCCAAGCATATGAAAGCGCCTCGAAACATAAGCCGCGGTGTAAGGCTGTGTGTGTTATAACGCATTGGACATCGTCGTCCCGATTCTTCGCAGGTAATAAGCGCACAAGCCGTATCTCATCCGAAACTTTCAACGACTTGTATCTATAGATACTGCTTGACTGGTGAGATAATGTCTTCAGAGGGCTATTATGATCAATTCTGCGTCCGCAGCCGATACAGCAAGGCCCGCCAATGAGATCCAGGACGTCCGGCCGCAAGCATGCGCAGAAGCTTTCTCCTTGTTGCTCATCGGTGACAGCCTGCATTTTCCCTCTCTAATTACGGATGATGGGTTTAGATGTGTAAAGGATGAATAGTGTTCAAAGAGATAGTGGACGAAATCTGGCAACCTTCCGAGCAATTAATATATCGCGCACGAGGCTGAGCCGATTAAGCTGCATGCCTGCTGTGCACTAAGTGTTCAGCCAAGCTTTTGATTCGGCCCCCACCAGAACCAACGCGGGATGATGAGTACATGTTCTAGTAGTCCTTCTATGCGTACCCTCAGATAGTTCATATTTCCCTAGACGCCTTCTGATCGCGCTGCATTCATTATCACTTTGCATAAATTTATCACTCTGTGTGAGTTTTTCATTTGCGCATGTAAGATAGATCAGCAGCCAGCTTGTGCAAAACAAAGTGCAGTGTCGGTACCTGATCTTACAATACTGAACCATATGATCTCATATATGCAAGCTTCCACTTAATTTAGTTTCTCTTCGAGGCATGAAATCGAGCTGCTCGAGATCAACGACGGAGTAGTGGCTTTTTGAGCTTATCTAGGTATCTATATATGCTTCATATCTGCTTGATATGAGCTAGCTCACCACACGATCCATGAGATCTGGCACAAGCACAAATCAAACTTGTTGGACTACTCGAGGACCCAAATGGTTACACATATTACGTGAGGTTCTGTGGCAGAGTCACATACTCTACTAAAAGTAATGATGATTCATCGCATTTCCATGCGGCACAAACACTGAGTATTGAAAATCACACGATAAATCTGCCTTTAAGCTCCAGGCAGGACACATGTTCCGTGGTTCACGAAACTAATGAGTCATCATTCTGAATAGCTGAGTGCGGATTGGGTCTCATCACATACTCTACATTGATATGTACATTGGCAACTCAATACTCATTGGCTCGAGCCCCGCATCACATGATCCCCAATCACTCATCAGTATGCTCAAAATCCGCCCTTTTCGACTAAGCACAGCATGTCTACTAATATATGTAACACGCAAGAACCTAGAAGGTTGGAAATTTAGATTTATACGATTGATAATAAAGTCTTGGGCCTTTCAGTCAGGAAATCGTGGCTGCTGCTAAGACAGTTCATGGGAAGAAGAAGGATATGTTGCTAGAGAAAGAAACAATACAGCAGTACCCATTAAAACTCAGCCCAGATATATTAAGCTTGGTATCACTTAGACACACGCAGTTATATCCCGTCTAAGCAACAACAAGATCTACAATATCTGCGATAAGCTCAGAACAGCGAGAAAAGTTGGCTTCGATCGGATATTCACATGCAAAGATGTTCTTGAATCGTCCAACACATTCTACAGAGACGAATTGGTACCTAAACTCAGTATGGATGATGATCGGCTTGATATATTTCAATCTGAGGGTAGATTATGCCAAAGTGGGAGCGTGAAGACCCTGAGCACCTTACAAAAGACGAAAACAGAGCCCGTACACTACTGAAGAATAATGAATAATCAGATTACACGGGATACTCTAATTTTGAAAGAGATATCATCTTCTAGTTCATGCATTGAAGTTTTTATTTGAATAAAGCTAACTGACAGATGAGGTGACCAAAACGCCTTCCCACTGGGATGTCTCAGAGATGCGATGAACAGAATGCCTTGAAACCTTACCGAGTCTACTTTCTTTAACCAGCCCATGATCATGTAGACTTGGGTTTGCTCAGTCGCTATCAACAGACATTTCGCTCGGACTATATTCCGAGCCCTCGTCTCCTTCAGGCACTAAGAACCCTTCGAAATCTGCCAACTTCACGAGCTGGACGTCTTCGAATAGAACCCTTCGACAATACGGACAAGTATTGCTATGGGAGTCGTCGATCCATGTGCGGAGACAGAGTCGATGGAATATGTGACCGCAGCCCCTAGTGCGACATAGGTCACCATTTTATGCCTGTGGAGGTCCCATCGAATCAAGGCAGATGCCACAAACGTCTTTAGTAGAGGTGAATTGTGTCACAGGCTCAGAGTATCGGTCATCCTCAATCCGGAGAGCTCTACCTTGCGGATTATAGCCGTCCAGCTCGTATTGCGGTCCACCTACATGGAGATCATCAGCTGCATAGCCGGCTTCTGAAGGTTCATCTGAAAAGAGAGTATCAAAAGCTTCAGAGTCGCTGCCAATGACTATTCTCTGTTCTGTGCCGCTGGGGACGTTGAAAAGCTCTTCTTCATCCGAGCCACTGTCTCCCGAATCACGGCCTTCAGACTCATCACTTTCATGATCTCCATCGGAATCATCATCCAAGCCATCGCCTCCAGAGCTATCATTATCGAGCTCACCATCATCATCGGCGTCCCCTTCATTTTCCTCGTCGTCTTCAAGATCAGAGTAGTGATAGACATACGACCTATGATCGTGAGGTGTGCTTACAAAGGGTGGCAGATCATTATGATGATCGTAAGCATCGACTGTTGTTCGAAACCAGCGATCCATCTCATCAAGCTGTAACGGGAGGAGCACGGCACCGAGGTGGTGTTTTGCGATCGCAAGTATCGTCGTTGATCACCTTGCATGAGCGACTTGTGACACGGACGGCCCAAGCCGGATAGATCTCATCGCCGTGGTCGAACTCATGGCGGCTGCTATTTCGGACGCTGGCAGAAACAGTTGATCGCACCTTGGTTTGCACGTATGTGCGCAACTCATTGATGAACGATATCTGATGGCCATCGTCGTCACACTCAACCAGCACTTCCATCTCGTTTTCGTCTTCATCCTGTTGAGCTCGAAGCCAAGCAAGATAATGCGGCTTGTACGCTCGGTGCCAGTTAGACGGTGGTTCCGAGGGATTGATGCTGTGGGCTGCCATTGATTTAGCAATGGTAGCAATCACAGCCAGAACTTCCCCAGCCCGTGAGCCGCTGTTACTATTCTCGTCCAGTGCGGCAATCAGGGTGGGAAATGAGTTCTGAAATCTTCTATACAACCTCTGTGCTACCTGGGCGGAGCCGGTGTTGTATGACATCTTGTGAAGGTTAGAAAAGATCTTTTGATAAACTTGCGATTGAACGGTTGTGGTAGTTAAAACCCGGTTTTAAGGTTGAGAAATGCTAATTCGGCTTTCTATTGAGGTAAATATATAATAATGAGGTGCACGATCGCGGTTTTTCAAACGATCGATTTGCACACTAACAATGTAGCTCTCATCGTGAACATTGCACAAGCGACGAGCACTCACAATTTCAATGTGCTGAGTCATCCTTGTCCTCTATGTGCTCTTGCACACGCCATATATACAACAGATGAGAGTAGACCGACATAAGAGTAGTACATTTGGAATAATATAATGCATGAAACATCGGGGTTATGTCATCTGTTCACTGCTGTCCCGAATCTTGAGATGAAGTAACACATTCTAAATATGCTCAAACAGACTTAACGATGGTTCAACAGACAATCGTATTGCTGCCAAGATAGAGTTTGGTCATCGCTTACTTTAGGCTAGCTTTCTTATATATCTGCATTGAGGTATTCAAGTGATATGATATATATTCGTTGAAAGACATCGCTTTTTTTCAACACTGTAGAATTATCTGGCTTTCGAACACGAGGGGGCTGACGAGATTCCATTTCCCACATTAATTGCACGTCTTGAGAACGGATATCGAGAATCTCATAGTAGGGAATAATCTTTGAATTCAGTCTATAAGCTATACACTGGGGCTCCTCAATCCGTAGTCATCCTTTGTTCACTGGAGTCAAGGTGTCAATCCCTTCGATAACTCTCGCTCCAGTCTGCAAGCGATTTTCACTGATTTGATTTGATTCAGTGAATAGCACTCCTCGGCACACAGGGCATGTGTTGGAATGGGAATCATTCACCCACTCGGAGAGACAAGCACGATGGAATACATGGTAGTTTCCACACTTAGCTCGAGACATCTTGCCTTGCGACGGCTCGAACAAACCATACTCTTCATGGCAAATGGGACATTCCTCCCCAATTCCAACATACTCTGGAGGTAATTGGAAATTTGGTAGGACTTCCATGTATAGATCCTCGCTGATCAAGATACTCCTTTTCTGCGAATTAGAAGGCACTGGTGAGTATTCCCGTTCGAAAATTCCATTGCCTTCGCTTTGATGATCATAATCACTTTCTTCTGTCTCGCTCACATTGTCATCGGAGGATTCCTCATCGGCAGATTCTTCATCGGAGGATTCTTCATCGGAGGATTCCTCATCGGAAGAGAAATCCTCGTCATCTGCTGCAAGTGTAAATGGATACGTAGACGAGTGTGGATCTCGAAGCCAAAATGAGAATGGCCTGGATTTGTAACTGCTTCTGTACCCTTTGACAGTGAACCGAAACTTGCGTTTCAGTTCATGCAGATCTTCTGCTTCGTAAGCCCGCGATGTGGTTAAATAATGTTTGGCTGCTGCGAAAAGCTCATCGTCAATGACCTGGCAGATTCCACACGTCTTCTCAAACACCTGACCTGGAAAGACTAGTGATCGAGGGAGACTGTTTCGAGTACGAAGTAGAGAATTAGGTATGTTAGCCCCGACCTTTTTCTGTACGTAGACATATATCTCGTCCAAGAAGCGAGCCTGGCGCCCTAGGGTATCTATGCGGCCCCGGTTGCTCTGGTCTTGCAACCAAGGTAGGTAACAAGGCTTTATTTCGCGAAGCCAACGTCTCCGTGAAAATGCTGGATTAACAGAATAACATACCATCGAAGTGGCAATAGCTGACACAACAGCGAGGACCCGGTCAGTGCGTCGCCTGCTGCGGATATTACTCTCTAAGATATCTAAGAGAGTTGGGAATTTACTCTTCATGTTTTGATAAAACCTCGGATCCCCGGAGCGTAGATTGATTCGAGATGGCATGTTGAGATTAATTACTAATTCTTATGCTTGCGATCGGGATTATTTTGACTGGTGTCGTGTGGCGTGCTGATGAATTAAATGATCTCAGAACGTCGATTGTCTAGGGTTCATATGTCATGAAGTTTTGGCGTTGTTCGAAGTATAATGCAGCTGTGCAAGAATGGAAAGTGATACAATGCTGGCATACGCGTGTGTAGATGACACTATCCGTCACAACGTCAGCTGGCATTCAGTGTAGCGGTCAACCAGAACCTACGGGTTATGATTACGCTTGGGATTCTAGCGATCACACCAAGGAACAGCTCGGGTATTCGATTATTTAATCAATTGTGCGGCGAAAGAGTAAGTAGAAGTTCGTCGCCAGCGATAGTCGAATGAGAACAAATAATAGCGTGGAAACCGTAACTCTTCTCCTCAATTGTATCAGCCGTATTCTGGATATCGTGGAATCCAAAGGTAAAGCCAATCTGTAGTGCCGAGTCGGCTGGCCTAGTCGGATCGAAAACTAGGGTTTGATCTCGTCGTTTAGTTTTAATGAGTGCAGGACGCGCTCGCTCTATAACATCCGGAGTAGCGGTCTGATTGGAGTACACAGCAGGTTTATCAGGACCTAGAGTGAAATCTAGGAGATTGGTTTTCTCTATATCAGAGTCTCGAGCAAGACGGTAGTTGGATGGATAAGAGAAATAGGTTGGATGTTGAACAGAGGATTTTGGCGATCGTAGAGATGCTGCATGGAAATGGAATGACTTAAATAAGTATCAAGAGACGCGAAAAGTAGACGTAGTTGCAGAATCAATTGATTCATGTCCCATAATTGCTTTTGTTTCACCTGTATATGTGGTTCAATCTCATGCGGATACACTGTTCATTGCTGCAACTGAAACTTTTGTGCGAAACGAAAAGTCCATGTAAGACAGTCAAAGCATTCTGTATGTACTTGGGTCCCTGTCTTGCTTCACTAAGCGCAACAGAAAGCGAAAATCGCATGGAAAACGGCAGAGTAGCTCAGATTGATGGATTTATCGGGAAACATGACTGTTGGTTGATTGAGTTAAACCTCAGAACATATATACAATAAGACGTTTTCCCCCGTCTACAAACAGCCTGGAACTAGGCGCAATTGTCGGCAATTTGTTTGCTAGTTGCAATCTTACATATTATCGACCCACTCACAGCAAGAGCACAATACTACAAGTAGCATGAAAGGCTCAGATGCGCAACTATAGTAATCTTTGTCTTCAAAAGCACGGCCATGTTCCAGTCTGTGGCAAGTCAGGCCTTTGTTAGGGTTGTGTTGTCACTTCAGAAAGGGGTTAGTCTAATATAGGGAGCCAAAGACACAACTCCGCACAGTCAAACCTTGTCTTAGAACTTGGTTATCTAGAAGTCTTGAATACCAAGCGTAATAATAATTCATCCCATTTCTATGCGGCACAAACACTAGGTATTAAAAAATTATACGATAAATCTGCCTTTGAGCTTCAGGCAGGACACATGTTCCGTGGCTTACAAAACTGATAAGTTATCATTCTAAATAGCTGAGTGCGGATTGGAAGTCTTGAATACAAGTTGGTGAAACAGATCGCCCCTACGGGTCGTTGGTACAATCTTCAAGCGTCTTCCACTGGAAGTTTACCTGTAGTCTAATATAACATTCCAACACATGTATGGGTCTTAGCTCACCTTTTTCAAGTTCTTCCGCTCATTCCAGTTCTCATCAAAATACTATATGAGTAGGCAGTGGTGTATTAGAACATATGAACCGTGAAACTGCATGCCTTACCAGATTGCGATACTCACTTTGAACAGCAAAGATGATAATAAAACAAATGAATCTCTCAGCGTATTACAATGTAAATCTGCCACGCATCTATTCATGGCAGTCCCCTTCTTCATAAATAGAAAATGACCCCTTTCAATCCTATCCTCTTCGTCTCAATTAAAAAAAAATTGTAATTTCACTTTCCTTCCTCACCTTACCCTCTCAATCCCCTCCACCCATCCAACCTTCTCTTCCCAGCTCCCCGCATCATCCAAAACCCCACCCTTCATCCACTGCTCCCACCACCCAACATAAGAAAAAGTCACCAACGCCCTCCCTTCTTTGTCGAAACTCTCTTCTTTATCAAAACCCCCCCTTGACCCCATTCCCAGCAATCGCGAGTGCGCCGCAGGTCGCCCTGTTTCGGGATCAAGACACTGTTCCTCGATCTCGATGATGCGAGCCACGATTGCGCGTTGAACTTCGGCATCATAGAAGGATTCGCGCGCGGGGGTTCGCTGGAGAAGTGCGAGAGAGATCCGCCGCGTGGTAGGGCAGCGGCAGCGGGCAGCGGCGAAGGACAGGGAAGGTATGAGGGAGAGTTCAAATGTGAAGTGTGAGTTTTGAGTTTGAGACGATTTACCAGCTGGGGACGAGGGGGGGTTCGAGAGAAGAATAGAGGCATGATGGTTGATTTGCTGGAACGTGGGGATGTAGTTGTCGTAGTTCATTTGGCGGAAATCGAGGGCGCAGGCGATGATGATGTAAGATATCCAGTTTGCGACTTTCTGCGCTGAGGACATGGTGAGCTCGGCTGCAGATAGTTGACGAGAGTTCTCGAGGTCGAGGAGGGCGGCGAACCAGGCGTTGTGGTGGGCAAGGAGTTGTTGCTGGGAGGATGTATCTTGCGGGGTGTAGGGTTGTTTGGACATTGTTTTTACAGCGGCATTTTGCGCGAAGAAGACTGAGGCGTTGCGAATGTGATCGCCGAGTAGACTGAGATCAGCGATGGTGCATATTGTACCCGGTGCAGGCATCGGAATAGACGGGCTGAGGATGTCTTGTACAGGGACGATGGTGTTAATTGGAATGCCTTTGAGAAGTGCTACGATGATGTTACGTCTGAAAATTGGAATTATGGTTTCCTCAAGAATTGCATTGCCCTTATTAGAGGAAGCTGGAAGGCCTTTGGCCAGTTTGCGAGATGTTTTAGAATAGGGTAGCAATTCTTGAATGGATGTTAGCTACGCACTTCAGATACCAGGAAGTACGGCGGGCTATGACACGAACCGTTCTTTGCACCACATCGCTCTGCAATCAACTTGATTCCACTTTGAAAATGTTCGACGGCCGAGCTGCGCTTGTCTTGCAATAGATCAATGCAGACAAATATGAGACAAGCGGTGAGGCTGATCTCCAACGTGCAAGACGGCTCTGCCATGCGTCTGGCGAGTGATCCCACAGCTTTGCTGTAATAGTAGTAGAACATGTTGGAAGGAGCTGCTTTCGCATGCACATCTCGTACACTAGTGGGCAATGACTTGCTGAGATAACTCAACGCTATCAAGCCATGGCGGATAGAAGGCTCACAAAGGGCCAGTTGCAGCGTGGTACGAGACCAGAATCCGTTATCGAACTGATTCGAGAGGGTTTGGGCGGTGGAGTGATGGTAAAACTCTAGATACTCGACGCCTTCGGCAAATTGCTAGCATTATCAACGTCACTACGGTTTTACGATTGATTGGGTCGAGCCACTCACAGCATATTGAACGGGTTTGATCAGCGAAATTGGCGTGGCTGTGGCGTATCCATCACACTTCCTACCCGTGCTCGTGCATCTGCTTCTCGTTTAGCATTGTGACATTTAGGAATTTTCCCCCGGTGAGTTACATGGATATCATAGTGCATAATCTGATTAGTATAGCGACTTACCGGTGGCATGAGGGCTTCTGTTCGTCGCATTTAACGTGTCGAACTCTATAGGCACGTGTTTAGTAACAATCCAAGTGCAGGTAGTACGATTCCTTGATCAACTGAATAGTGAGAGAAGTAATACTCACTTGCATGTGATGCAACCACTTTTGACTTTCAGAGTAGAGTTACGAGTCCTTTTGGTCGAAGGTTTTCTTTTTGTGGACAACACTGCTTGCGGCATGTGGGATTGATGTGTAGCGACAGTGGAATTTCAAGTCTAGAGTTCTGCGGGCTTCAGTGGTATGGAACTATATGCATGCAATCCGGTGAATGGAGTCACTCGATATCCCCTTTGACAGTTGAAAGTAGGGCTGTACATAATGGCCCCCATCGGTTAGTGTGCCTTTTTCGGTGATGAGCAGGCACGTGATCTTTACGAGCTCGCCAATGAACTGTCTGCAAATGGCACTTGATTACGATATCCCTGACCTGCAGTGTTAGAAAGCGGAACAGATAAGCTGGGCGTGGAACACCTCGGATTATTCCGGACATATATTTCGTGGCTGTGAATTATGGGCTCAAGTGCTATTAATGCGCCGTCAATACGAACATTTGAATGTTGGCGATCAATCAACACATAAAAAATAATTGGTCATGCAAGACATTGTTTCTTCTGTGAATAACTATCATGGTATCTTCAACATAAAAATAGATACAAAGAACTGGAGGATATAACAAGAAATCTATCAGCAAAACCTAACGACACCCTTCTTAATGAACCATACTCTTTCCAATCTCACTCTCCCAGTTTGCCGCCCTCTCAAACCCATTCGAATGAGAATGATAATCTTGCATAGCCTGCATAACCTCATCGCGGCTCGTCACTACAAAGGGGCCGTATTGCACGATTGGCTGGTCCAGAGGCATGCCAGCAACCAGGATGAACCGCGACTCCTTCTCTGCACCCTCCTCGACAGTAGCCTCAATACTATCACCGTCTTTTGCGAAGACGACGTTGTGGTACTGCTCGATAGGGCGCGACACGCCGTCTGACGAGAAGATTGTTGTACCGTTCAGTGTGTACGCAAACGCGTTCCAACCCTTGGGTAGCGCCTGCTTGACACTGCCGCCAGGTTGAACTGTGAAGTCCAACAACCATACCGGTGTGTATGCCAGCTCCTTCAACGAGTCTGTGCCAAATGCGCGTCCAGAGATAACCTTGACACTGACTTTGCCGTCGTCTGACGTGGCGGTCGGGATCTCCTTTGAGCGCAGGTCGCGGTAGCGCGGCTCGCAGGATTTGAGCTGGGCAGGGAGGTCAACCCAGAGCTGCATGCCGACATTGGGAGTCCCATCGGCGTTCTGCTGGGGCATTTCAGCGTGTACGATGCCGCGGCCGGCCGTCATGAATTGCAGGTCGCCCTGCTCGATTGTGCCTTTGTTGCCTGCAAAGTCTTCGTGGTCGACGGCGCCGGAAAGGAGGTAGGTGATTGTTTCTTGACCCCTAGTTACATATAGTCAGTACATTGACCCGTTGGAAAGGACAAGGGGAGATAGCATACCTGTGAGGGTGGTCAGGGAAGCCAGCGCCCGGAGGAATGGCGAAGTGATCCAGCATCAAGAAAGGCGAAAAGTTGCGCAGCTGAGGGGTTCCGATAGATCTTCGCACCCTCGCGCCAGCGCCTTCAGACTGTTCGACGGCAAGGAACGATTTCTGGATCTTCCTGGGCGCAGTCGTGGTCAAGGGCTCGTCGGGTATGACGGGCAAGCCCCTGAAAGTCGTCGTCGCAGGGTTGGACATTGTGCGCGAGGAGTTGGTGGAGAAGAAGCTCTTTGTAGCTGGCTTGATTTGCTTAGAAAGCTGCGAGAAGCGCGAAAGCATGTATTCGTTGTTGTAGATGGTTGCGATTGCGATTGCGACAAGGGCGAGAAAAGTTGAGAGGAATGTCTTCATCGATGGAGGAGCGATGGTGACTACTTATAGTGGGCAGAGTGAGCAAGTCGAGAAGATTCGCTCGACAAATTGATCGTGTACAAATAGCTTCTGGCCATGATGGCTAACATGTTGTTAATGGTTTAGGAATCAGGCGGGGATGCTTTAGCGGGGACTTGGTGCTTAGATGATTCTTACCAAGCGGCAAAACTTGGATTTTTGGTCTATCCGTTCCGGGTAAGATCGGCGGTGACGAGGTTTATGGGCCGCCGTAGCAAATGACAAAGCAAAAAACCTCTATCCTTTTGCATACCAATGAGTTTTACGGGGATGAATATGATTCAGAGTGGACATTGGATAGATCAGATCAAGGTGCGCGAGTAAACTATAGTACCATCTTGAATACGATCGGGAGATCATGGAGAAATGTATCACGTGATGTTCTGTTACTCGTGTCTCCGCTGCAATACTAAGGAGTATTCGGTGTATTGCTGACGTACGTTTTCCAAAGAGATGGGACAGCGAATGCTAGCTGTGATTCAATTATTATATTAAATACTTGCCATGAAGCGATCATAAAAGCCACCATTCCCTTTCCCTGAGCAGTACTCATAGATTGGAGGGATTTGATAGGCCTAGTTTAATCGTCCAAGTGCATTCTGTTCATGCTCTCAGTGGGCGCCGCGAGTAACTCCATTGGAAACCGAGCGATTCGAGTTTCTACAGTAGTACTTTCTAACCCGTGTTGAACGAAACTGGCTTCAAGCTGTGGCGCCGCTTCATTTGTTATCCCATTCTCTATATTTTTCAGGAAAGCGTCTGGAACTTTTACGGGGTCAGTTGGGATTCAAATACACATGAGTATAAGAGAGGGTGACATACGTTCCATGGTAATTGATGTCGCTAACGAGTTACCCTGCAGAATCAACCTATGCAACTTTGATTCTGGGTCGAACGCTACTCGTGCTTTCGGGCTGCTCAGATATGTCTGGTCGATCAATAAATCAGGGCAAACCCTAGAAATATTACTCGGTGTGTCATCACGGTAGATATCTGCACCCACGTACCTTTCCGCTACGACTTCTTCGCCATATCGAGGGCCTTGCAAGTAGTGGATTTGTGATTCTTGTACGACCGATTGGAGCAGCGAGAATAGTTTTCGGGCCACTTTTCTTGCGTCAGCCAAAATCATCGAAAGCTTTGAAGTGTACCTGCAATTCTCTGTGATACACTCAATCTCTATCTTGTCGCAATGTACGATATCTTTTGCTCCTCCTGCATCTTCTGTTTGACATGGTGCCTCGAAGACTATCACGGTTTTAGAGGCGTTTGCCAGCTCACATCTTGTTGTTCTATTCACTTATTCCTTGTCAGCCCGAAGTACAAATATTCTCTTGTTTGACAAATCATCAAACTCACTTCGAATAGTCAGTCTCGATTCTCCATTGCTGTCAGACGATATGTATAGAACCAATTCGGAGTGGTTCTGGTGTAAAAGGTTTAGTGCCTCATATTCCTTGTTTCCTGCTTCTTGCCGACGATTCAATCGGTAGTGCAAAGTTTGGATAGCATCAACTGAATACTGAGTGAAGTGCCGACCATTGGAGTGGAAGTTCACAGCCGATACAGACCCTTGGAAAGGAGACATATCACTACAAAATATAGTCAGTGCCTATTCAGAACTTTAGAAAACTGAATCTCAAGGATTAGTTTACCTTTTTGAATCTAAAACGGACGAAACAAGGTCGTCTTTCTGCTTGGAGTGGCACACAAACGATGTGCTTGAGTTGAGGGTAAGAGACCGCATTGCTTGTGCATCAGCCAGCAGATCAACTTCTTGCTGGAACTTGCTTAACACTAGTGCTTTGATTAGTCCTAGATCTCTCAAATTCAATTATGCATCATTACCATCGCCCGAAACATCTGTAATGTTAAAAGATGTCAGGCCATTTGCGTCGCAAAACATGTGCCACGTTCGTTCCGTGCCTGCGAGCTGCACCAGCAGACTAATGGGAAGTACTAGCTATAAGTTAATACTCCCCAATGTTTGAAGGCGAAAACTGGTGGTATATACAAGAACATCGCAGGTTGTCAGCGTGAGGACTTCGGCCTTGCAACCCCGCTGGTCGCGTACAATAGCACTGAAACACGCCGCTAAGACCTCGATCAGTTCCAGCGATAGCATAAGTCCATCCCTCTCGAAACCAAGCTTGTGGGCATAGAATGACAGAACCAGTTCCCAGATTGTGCTTTGCCGAAACTCTGAATGTCGGGCTTGATAGTTCTGGCTCTGACCCTTGGGCCCCCACATTGTGTGAATTCGCTGCGTTCTGACGACCTTTGAGGTTTTTATCGAACCATCCATGAACATCCTTCAACATACCATGCATTTCATGGACGTATTCCTGCATGGAGTCTATCTGCGAACTGTTTCGGCCTACGACCAGGAGATTTAGGGCTGCAATGTGCACGTTCAACCTCTTCCTGATGTCATCTAGCTCCTCGCCTTCCATTGTCCACCTAATCTTCTTCCAATTGATCTTGAGGCTATTTTTCCATCTTTCGGTCGCCAAATCCTCACTGGTTCTTGGCAAATGCTCTTCGGAGACCGCATCGTATTTCTTTATCAATTCCTCCAGCTCACCTAGCGTCAATCGACAGCTTTGAATTACCTCTTCGAGAGCATGGTCGTCCGATCCTGCGTTGAGTGCATGTTGCGCTTTAGGAACTCCTGGATCTTCATGCGTAGAACTTTGGGTCTTGAGTTGTGCCACGGACTTTAGGGCGCTGCCTAACGAATGTAGCTGGTCTTGAACCTTTTTGATATTTGCTGGTGCTTGTTTGCGCCCTATGGTAAGCGTGTGAGCTAGCCGGTAAGCCAATTTGGAGAGGAGTATCGCGTCTCCTATAGATACAGGGGACGCCATTTTAGTGAACTATTGGTAGGGAGACTACACAGTGTGTAGCCTGATTGATGTCAGCATCAATGGGGACCGGTGTTCTCTCGATCGTATTTACCTGCAAGGCTGAAGTTTCAGCTGACCAAGCACCGAGTATACTTCTAATCAGCCTATCACAACCTTGTTGCAAGCGCTGCGCATATTAATGCCCAGCATACCGGTCAGAAATACCGGTGAACGCAAACCTGACGACATATTATTCATTGCTTCCACCTGTGCCTTTCAATGAGTTTGTACTTTTACTCCTGCGATCAAACTAGCGAATTGCTGTATTTTACAGAATGCATAGAGCACGAGCTGGAGTATTTTTTGAGCCGCGGCAGCATTATCGCGAGTTCATTCATGCAGACGGAGTTGCAAATTCATCAGCAACACTTCAGACGGAACACGTCGAGAAATCGCGTGAATTTCTCCCTATCGTCGAAGTTTCTGCCCATGTTGAAATTGTCAATACTACATGTCGCACGAAATTGACGCAAGTCTTTTCCAATCTAACGCAGAGGGCAATCGAGCAGGCGTCCTATTGCTTTCCTCTCTACCATTCCTCCATAGTTACAGGTTATCGGCATTGGCAGAATGGGGAGAGTTTTGAAGGCAAGATAAAACCCAAAGAAACTGCTAGGCGAGAATTCCAAGAAGCGGTCAAGAACGAACAGGCTACGAGCCTTCTGGAAGCTCATACGTCCGAAATATTCGAGATCGCAATCGGGAACATTGCCATGGGCCAGGACATCAGGATCGAGATCATCTATCTCACAGAGCTTAAATTCGACATCGGGGGAGATAGCTTGGTGTTGACAATACCGTCTTCCATCGCTCCTCGTTACGGTGATCCGCCGACCGGTTTCAGCTCCAGTACTCAAGCATCGCTAGAGCGTGGCATGGCAATTCAAGTTGATGTATCGCTCCCAGTTCCCATCAAAGGCTTACGAAGTCGTACACATCCAATCAGCGTCGAGCAAGGCTTTGCGCACTCGAGTTCACTGAGCGCTTCGTTAAGCGACTTAGCACGGTCACCAACCAAAGCCAAGTTTGATATCACAAAGGCTAGGGCGGAGCTCTCCAGCAAAGAGGCTACCTTGAACAGAGACTTTGTCCTGGTAATAACAGCTGCACCCCCGGATGGATCTGAGAATCTTGGACTCCTCGCACCACGCGCCATATTGGAATCCTGTGATCGCCATCCCGACCTTTCGGTATTGCAAGTAGCTTTTACTCCACGAGATCTTTTTCCCCTCCGCAAGAATCTTCCGACTGAGAACCTGGAGATAGTGTTTCTCGTAGATCGCTCCGGGTCCATGGACTCAAAAATGAACTCACTTCGCCGTGCACTCAACTTACTCGTCGGAAACCTACCCCGAGGCTCTCTACTCAATATTTTTGGATTCGGAAGTAGTGTTGAAGCGCTCTGGGAACAGTCCAAAGAGCTAAATCCGGCCACTCTAGAGGAAGCTGTTCAATATATCTCCACGATTCAGGCCAATATGGGAGGCACGAAAATTCGAAATGCTCTCAATCATGTAACTGATAACACTCAAGCCAACCTCTCAACTCAAGTTATCGTATTGACAGATGGGCAAGTCTGGGAAACGTATAATGTTGTGAATTACGTCAACACAGTAAAAAGACAGCGCGGCGACGCTCTCCGTTACTTTGCACTTGGAATTGGAGACGAAGTGTCACACGAGTTGATCGAAGGAATTGGAAAATACGGCGGCGGGTACGCAGAAGTTGTCGCTGTTGATTCACCCGATCAGTGGGACGACCGCGTCCAACGAATGCTGAACGGTATCTTCACTTCGTCTGCATGGGAAATCAAGCTCAGTCTCAAAGACGAGCTTGGTACCATGCATGACAGCAACGGCTTTTTCACCCACAAAAAAAGTCCCCATGATGAAACAGGAAGCGTCATGCAAGTTCCTCACCTGCTCCCCGCTCAACACGGCTTCTTACGCACGGTCCTGTATTTCCTTATCAATCCGTCTGAAAAGCACTACACGTCTGTGCATATTCAAGGGTCGACTCCAGACGGCAGATTATTTGAATCCGAAATACCAATCGTTCACGCAAATGTCCCCGAGCCTCTTTGTCATACGCTGGCCGCTAGAGCCCTTATTAATAATTTGGAGATGGGAAATAGCTGGCTCCACGAAACAAAACGCAAGTCGACAATGGAGACTCCTGAATTCTTGGCGCAACAAGTCGATATCGAGGCAGAACATGTCGCTATGAAATGGGGCTTAGCAAGCAAATGGACCAGCTTCATTGCGGTGGCGGAGCAATCGCCAACAGTGTTGCCAGGCAGCATTAACCGATATAATCATATCACGCGCGAGGCTCATGAACTCATGAAACCTCGCCGTGACTATGTGTCGTCTGCCATTCATAGAGTAACGCACCAAACGACAGGTAATGGCAATTTTCCCAGATTGAGAACTCTCGGCTTCCGAAGCCAAGGCTACAAAGGCTCAGATTCTGAACAAGAAGATGGTTATTACAAACCGAAGATGCTTCCGAAAACAAACACGTTGGCTCCTCAGTCGCTGGGTGTCTATTCCGATAGAAGCCAAGCGGAATATTCTGCACATTCTCTCAAATCCCCTCAAACAGAAGGTCAATCCAGTATCAGCATGGCAGATCCACGCATGTTTCCTAGGGCGAGGAAGCCCAGCAACCGATACAAGTCCCACAAGCACAAGGGCGCAGTATTTTCAGTAGACGCTGAGAGTGATGACGAATTGACGACGCTTGGCACTGACTTGAAAAACGCCATGCCGACTCCCCAGTCGCTGGGTGACCGTTCCAATAGAAACCAAGCGGTATATTTAGCACATTCTCTGAAATCCCCTCAAACAGAAGGTCAATCCAGTATAAGCATGGCAGATCCACGCATGTTTCCTAGGGCGAGGAAGCCCAGCAACCGATACAAGTCCCACAAGGGCTCAGAATTTTCAGTAGAAGCTGAGAATTATGACGAACCGACGACGCCTGTCACTAGCCAGGAAGAAACCATAGAATTTTTCCAGTCGATGCATGACCGTCTCACTAGAAGCCCGAGTCACCGTGCAAGCTCAACATCTTCTCTGACATCCTCTCAAACAAAAGGTCAATTCAGTCGCGATTACGTAGAGACCATCCTAGCGCCACCGGCACCAGTCCCACAAACAGTTGAAGCCCTCCGCCCGATCCCACAAGACCTATCTGAAAATCGCGTCTTCCAAAATATACTTCAGTCATTCGACGCAGAAGCTTTGGAAGCCCTGGAGCGCGCATGCATCGAGGTTTCATGTCCAGAGACGGAGAGGACGAGGGTGTGCCAGACTATACTATGTACTCAATACATGAGGCGAATTGTCTCAGAAGTGGGCAGCGATCCCATCCTAGATGAGAAGCTGAAGCGAGCAGAGCAATGGCTAGCAACCATCCTTTCCGAAAACTCAGCCCGGGAAATGTTGGAACAAGAGGCACAAAGACATTGGATTGGTGGGATCAAGCCTCTCGGTGAAAAGATACTAGAATTGGTTGCATTGACTGATTGGTGGGACGACATGACTGAGACGATGTCAGGTATATCATGGGATGACATTTTCTCAAAAGAACGAGCCACACCACAAACACCCCCATCTCCAGTAAGTAAATAAACCCTCATCCATCCATCCATCCACAACCAACTCTCCCAAATCCCAATCAATGACGCAAAAACTCTCACACAACGCGAAATCTCCCGCGCCTTCGCAAAAACAACTCAAACACTAACACCACCAGGCGTCCCCTCCACTAACTTCCGATTCCTCCAGCAAAAATACGCAACAGCTGACTCCGGAGACACCGCACACAGAATCGACTGAGAGTGACTCGACAATGCAAGACAGTGCGCATTCGCAACTGCCACACCATACTCAGAATAGAACTGAAGATCTGCAATCTATGCAAGACTAGGACTATGTTGCTCTTAGGAAGAATTGGGCTCAAGCAGTATAGAATGGGCTATAGTTTTCTGTGGAGCGTAGTTTAGCTATGACTGTTATGATGGAGTTTTTCTCCTCTGGAAGACTTGGTTGGTTAGCACTAAACGCTTGCTATATATGCTAAGTTTATAAATATTTTAGTATTTGTATATACATGTAGACGTTAGTAGACAGGAATCCACGCCTGAGTGTTTTGTTCAGAGACGGACGTGACATCTCTAGCGCCACTATCTCATTACTTCTATTCCATAGCAATTGATGGCAAAATCGTAGAAATCAGGTATAATCGTATCCATATTTTATATCATCCTCTTCCCCAAGCACCCCGAAGTTGCGTGATGGACAAGAACTCGGACTCGGAGGAAGAAGATGCGCACCGTCATGACCCCGCAGCACTCGCATTCGCACCTGCGTTTGCGTTTGCGCTGCCGTCTTCGTCCATCTCATCCCCGCTATCTGCCTGCTCCGTCTCCGTCAGATCATCGCTCATGATGTGCAGGATCTGCGAAAAAGTCCGCGCTTTCCATCGCGCGATGCCATCCATGAGGTCTGCGCAGTGAAGCAGCGTGCGCCGCGCGGCGAGGTACCCGCCCTCGAGCGCGATCCCCGTGATGCTGAACGCGCCGCCGTTGCGGATGAAGTTTACGACGGGGGAGTCGCCGTAGCCGGGGGCGGTGGCGGCGCCGCGCGGGGAGTGGGGGTGTTGGTCCATGTACCCGATTTGCCCAATGTGGGACCAGTCTACGATTTCGAGGAGTTCGAGGCAGTTTGCATCGGAGAGGGAGGAGGGGTTGGTGTTGGGGGAAGGAGGGAGGGTGAAGATGTAGAGGCCGAGGACGAGGGCGGCTTGGAAGAGCGCCATGACGCTGTGGGGGTTGACAATGTCGGAGACTTTGCGGTCGAAGAGGAGTTTGTAGATGTGGGCTGCGTGGAGGACGGCGCGGCGGGCTGATGCGGTCTGCGACCAAGCTGAGATGTCTTCGAGGGCTGTTACGGCTGGGCCCGGTCCTGCGCGGCCCGCCGCGAGCTCGAAGTAGGAGATGTTGGCGCCGAGCATCATGCATGAGGCGTGCCAGAGGACTGCGGAGTTGAGGTCCGCGGTGCGGAGGGCGTCGATGGAGGAGGATGATAGGTTGACGAGGAGGGGGAGGAGCTCTCGGCTTCGGGCGTCCTCAGCGTAGACGCGCCATGGTTCCAGATGTTTTTGTGCGCCATGGATGTTCGCTAGGCGGTCATTGGATTCGTAGATGCGGAGGAGGAAGAGGGTGAGCAAGCTTCGCAGGGTGCTTGTGTCCAGCTTCAAGCCTGCGGTGGGTAGGTAGGAAGGGGTTATTCGACTGGAATGGACTCTGGCACCTCTTTGAACCAGTTGAAACCATTTTGCGGCTGAATTGGCGTGGTAAAGTGTGTACTCTGACGGAGGGAGGATTTGCACCGACTCTGGACGGATCATAGGCGAGGTTGCAAGATACGCAGCGTACCAGCAATCTGCCTCTAGCAGCCCAAAGATGATTCTGATTGCTGTTAGAATTGTACTAGGAAGCATGGAAAAAAATGACTAGCCTTTTCGCACAATCTATCCGACACCACGCTCTCCATCGCGCATCAATGTCTAGAACCTCTTCCAGGTACGATTCGGGTGGCGCGCTTTCGTTGGCAGAGAACAGTCCATGGTTCTGTGCAGTCTGCATTTGTCAGTAAGGTGTGGTGGCTCAAGAAAAGACTCAACATACAGCTATCAGATCGCTGTAAAGCTTTTCGGATTGAGTGATACGGTTCTTTCGCTGCGCCGTGTCAGTTCTGGCATGTCTTGGATATTTTAGTTTTCTCTTACGCCTGTCATCGACGCCAAATTGAGCGCCAACAGGCCCGTAGCGAGGACGCGGAGCTGCTTTTCTGGCACTTCACTCTCCTTGGAAAGTGACTGCACCTCGTCGGATACCATCTGTAGGACAGCCTGCACTATGTTAGAAGCGATCACTGTGTGCGCTTAGTATAAAAAGCCGAAACGTACCGGGAAGGTTCGTGAGACGAACTTGGACGCTCCAGCCGTGCCCAAGATGCATAGTCCAATGAGACACATGCAGAGAAGCAGCGGCCGTGGAGCATTCTTTGCCGAGAAAGTGGGAATATGAATGATGGGCAGGGTCGGGTGGAAGTAGTATAGGTACATCTCCAGCGCTATGTCGAGAATCTCGGCAGGCGGAAACGGGATGCTCTCGCCACCTGGACTAGCTGCTACATCCCCCACTGACGAAGCAGTATCTCCGCATGATTCAGAGTGTGAACTCGCTGCTTGCGAGACGTTGTTCACGGCTCCTTGTAGCACTTCTCTGCATTCCTCGTCCAGACCCCACCTCGAATTCCTCCGGTCGCGCTCGCTGACTGGGGCTTCGGATACACCCACCGGGATCTCAGACAAGATGTTCGCGCATTCGCTGGAGACCAAGCTCGACCACAAAACGGGCATCAGCCTGGATGCTTTGCGACTTTTCGAAGGCCAGCAGTTTTCTACTCTTGCGAATCTTTCACGGGGAATCCTGCTGGCGATGGAGGCACTGCTTCCGGATGGACTCAATCGATTTTCTGGATTCATGCGGAACGCCTCGTGCTCGAATCTACTGTCCATGGCCATCTGGTATGCGCCGCCATTGGGAAGCTCGCCATCCATTGGAAAGAGCCATGTCTGCAAAGCATCGGCGGGGGTCCGGTTTGGCATCGGGTGGTTGCTTTGCACCAGCTCAAAGGCCCACTGGTCCAGGCTAGAGACGTGACCGTGAGGGGAAAAAGACATCATATCGATGGCGGGATCGATGGGTGGGGCCATAGCGTCGTGGTTGGCGCGGGCCATGAGTCGTTCATTCTCGACCTGGAGATTGATGGGGGATGGAGACCGCCACGGCAGATCGGCTGGAGTTCCAAGGTGATGGGCAGCGTTGATGAGGGCTTCCAAGCGGGTGTCGGTGGGGGAAGTGTGCTGCAACGTCGACGGATGGCGAAGGTGGGCAGGAGAAAGGTGGGGGTTAGGAAAAGGTTCACCGGGAGAGATGTGCTGTGAATCTCTTCGACGCTTGGATAATGGAGAAAGATTGGGATCCTGCTGGTTCCGAGTGGTGATGGGACCAGGTTCGTTCCGGGGAGTGGTTGAGTGGGGTGTCTGCTTATCGGGGTGTGAGGGCTGACTTTGGTCCTGGCCCTGCTGGTTTTGCCTGCTGGTGCTGAGTCGGTTCAAGGCGGTTTGAGCGTGTCCTTTGCAGTGCCGGAATAATACGTCGCTGTGGAAGAATTAGTCAGCGGGGAGGTTCGCAGACAGACAGGAAGAGGGTGAGTGGGTGGGATGGTTACCTGCGCGAGAAGTGTTTCTTACACGTGGGACACTCGTAGGGGCGCTCTCGGGTATCTACCAACGAAAAAAAAAGAAACAAAGTCAGTAATCATGTCGACTTGTGATGGGCCAGCGGGATAGGCGTACGGGATCGCTCGTGACGCTTTACATGTTCGAGCTTTGTGAATTTGCGATCGCAAAGACTGCATTGTTTCAAGGCCATGTGTGAGGAGGGTTGGAGGTCGCGGATGGCTTCGCAATGGCCTCGATCAATGGCGAATGTTGCAATAGTGCGGGCAGGAGGGATACTTGAGGGGAGGGTGTGGCAGAGTGCGGCGAGGGGTGAGTGGTGAGGGTGGTGGTGGTCGGGATCGGAGGTGCCCAGTGCAGTGTAGTGTAGAGTAGTTAGTGTAGAGCTTGGGAGCGAGCTAGGACTGCGCGGCGGCCACAGAAAAACCGCCATGCAGACGGTGCGGGGAACCCCATGACGACCGACGTGACTCGCGACAGGGCAATCAATCCTCCCACCGCCAATATACTCCATCTCATCTACGCCCTCTTTTTGCCCTGCAGGCTGACGCTGGACAGATGGACGCGCTGCTGCTGCTGCTGCCCTTCGCTTCTGCACCGGACAGAAGGCGACTTCTTCGCCACCCCTAGAGAGACCACCGTCGACTCCATATACGATATACGACGTACACAGTGGAACAGCAAACACATCCAGCCTCGTCTGTTGCAGACTCGTATCGAGGCACTTCAAACGTCCCTACGAGATTCCAGAACATATCAATCCATCCTTGCAGCCCTGTGTCTCTTCTGGCAAAGTGCCAACCCGCCCGGACAGAAACATCACTGCACCCTCCGACGCTCAGCTACACACACACACACACACACACACACACACACGTCTATTGACAGTCCCCCCAGTGCAGATTGACATTCGCTCAAAGCTTGTCTGCCTGGCCATGTGTCTAATCCATGTGGGGCATATCTACCCCTTGCTCGTCCTGCATATGACACCTGCGCCTATATGCGCACGTCCACCTTCCAGAAGACCACCAGGAATCCAACAGGACCAGATCTTGCCCGGTTGAAAGCAGGAAAATACCTGTACAATCAACCATTTCATCAAAAATGTCTTGTTTCCAATATGCTTCGCTGATCGGTGCCCAGGGGGCTGCTGAACCCCATTGCTGCAAATCACTTTAGCGTTGTCCTGCTAAGTCGGGGGCTTTTGATGCTATTGCAGCTCGCTGTTATAGCCCATTGGATTGCTTCTTCACATTATCCACGGCTACAGATGTGATCCCCGGGTTTATCATACCATGATGATGATTTTGTCGCAGAAAGGAAGGTTTCGTACTTCACCGATATTAACATTTTCTCAAAACAAACCCGTCACCTGAGCCATGCACGTCCGCCGTTTCACATTCTATGAGAGTTCCCCCATTTGGTTGATATCAAATCAAGCATAACGAACAATGCAAGAGAAAAAAAAAATCGAATATGCGCCTCCCCAACCAAAGCAAACGCTCTACACCATTTTGCCAAACAGATCCAACACGGCAGAGTACACGACCAGCAATACGCCACCTCCAGGACCAAACCTCAAAATCTTAGCCACATAGCCTTTATACAAGGCCCTAACCCCTTCCTCGCGCGCCACAACCCGCAAACTGGGCCACGCCCACTCATACTTTGCCCTCACCCCATCGACCCGCGCCACACTCTGAATCCGACTCTTGACAACATCCAGCGGCGTGTTGAACGTGGTCCCCACGACTCCGCCCACAAACCCAGCCACCAAATCATTCCCCATCTTCCTCGCTTTCGCGCCTTTCTCGCCGTCGTCGTCGACCGACGGCATCCTAGCCCGTACCTGGAAAATACACCCAAAGTACCCAGCGTTCCACACAATGTGCCGCCACAGCGTAGCCTCGAAGCCATTGTACAGCGCGCCCACCCCCTCGCGCCGCACCACTTTGGCGACGCAGTCCAGAAGCCCCGTGTATCGCGCCGCCGACGTGCGGTCCTGCAGCCGGATCTTGACCAGCTCAAACGGCACTACGACTAGCGACTCGACGGCGCCCGCGCTGGCTCCTGTCAGGACCGCGAGCGGCTGCGTTGGCGACGCCGCGTTGAAGAGCCGCTGGTACATCCCGCTGAAGGTGTCGTTGGACGAGAATTTGATCGCGCTGTACCATTTTTCATCCCGTGTTAATTTTTTACTTGCGCGGTTGCGTGGAGTTGGAAGGGAGGGGGTGGTGGACGCACCGTTTGGGTACTTCCATCAAGATGGGCGCTGTGATGCCTCTGTATAATCTGCTTACTCCTTCCTGACGGATGATTTTTCGGAAACAGTCGAGCACGCCCGTGTAGCTTGTTCCGTCTTTTGCGGTGCCGTGTTGTAGTTGGATCCGTGTTTTGACTACATCCAAGGGGTACCTTTTTGTCGATATGTCTCAGCTTGATCCTTCAACATCTACCATTCATATGATTCCGGATTCTCGGCAGAGAGTTAATCGGATACGTACATGACTAGAATCTGCAAAAGGGATGGTTTAGTTGCTTGCTGCGTGTTGCTAACCCACTGCTCTCACGTCCCCAGCAGGAACAGAACCACAGAAGAAGCTCGGGATTGGGTATTCGGAAGATAGATGCGAGAAAGTACTCACTTCAGACACTCCAGCGACAGCTCCAGCAGCGAACTGATACCGGAACGGTAAGCTGTTTGCAGGGTTTGAACTCCCGCCTGCCGACTTCTCCGTCCGTGACCCCATATTCGCAATCTTCTTATTCTTGTGTTGTCGTCTTTTCGGACTCAAATCTCCCAGGCTTTCCGCGATCAGCAAGCGCACAACCAATTCACTGTAGAATAAAAACTTGCGTCTTTCTATCCAACACCTCCCAGCCAGAGAGACTCCGTGCAAGGAAAAAGAAAAGTACTCGGCGGCGTGAATGGTGATGAAATCCTCCAACAAAAGTCTAACTCCCCTAATCCGAAACAATCACTTCTTTTTTTTTCTTTCTTCTTCTTTAACAAACAACAAAAAAGCTATGTACGCTCTAGAAATCCTTTACTGAAAAAAATATATATAATATAAAGCGTAACTTAGCAAGAAAAAGACAAAGAAAAAAGAGTAAAAAAACTAGTTCCACCACATCCCATCTATCAATCCACACACTCTCTCACACAGACACGCATCTAACTCGCATTTCCCCCCCTCCCTCCCCCCCCCCCCCCCCCCCCCCCCCACCATCCAAAAGAGAACAAAAAAGCGGGGAGGGAAGATCCCAAGGTCACTAGGGTCCCGCTTTAAGCCACACACACACACGCATATTCCATTTCCATCTCCTCGCAGCTGCATAAAGAAACCCTTGGCGAAAGGGGGCGCAAGGTGTCAATGTGGAGGGACTGTAGGGTGTGGTGTGGGGTTTTATGCTGTTGTGCTAAGTAAGTAACCAAGTATGTGGGGCTAGCGTTTGTAGGATAGATGCAGGGATGTTAGGACGCAGAGTTTCGTTGTGGGGTTGGTTGGAGAAAGGGAAAATAACAATGACAACAAGGACAACAACGATGATAGTGTATGTAGAGAGAGATAGAAGGGTTTTGTTTGTTATTGTTTAGCATTATTTATATATATTTTATGGGGGAAAGGGGAGGGGAGGGGTTTAGAGAGATTAATAGGTGTTTTTTTTTTTGGTGTTAACGTGAGGGTAGGAGGGACTTTTTTTTAAATAAGAATGTAGGAGTTAGGTTTAAGGGGATTAAAGGTTAAATGTTAAGGGAATATAGAAAAGGAGGGAAGGGGGGTACAAGAGAGAGAGAAAGAGATAGAGAGGTGTTTAGATAGATAGATTAATAGAAATAGACTGAAGTATAATTTATACAGGGAGAGTAGTACGTTTCTTGTTTTTCAATTGTACTTCTAGCACAGAGAGTTAGATTGAAGAGACGTAATATTATAAGGAAAAGCGGGAAAAGTTAAAATTAATTATGTAGAGTTGAAAAATTTGCGGTGTGAAGATGCAAGATGACCTAACTATGGCTAAATCCAACACGGAATATTGATTCCAGGATGCGTGACAGATGCGGGAAAGCGAGAGAAAAAAAAGGAAAATAATCGTCTTAAAAGAAAAAATTTATATATAAGCGACATGTATATTTCAAAGATTGCTATTGCATGTCTATGTTTTTTTTTTTTTTTTTGAAGTTTTTTACCTCGCACAGCTATTAATGCCGCAGACAATCTATGCTGTAATTCTTCTCGAAACAATGCCTTTGTCTAGATCTTATCAGATCTAATAAAACGGCGAACAAGCCACAATAAAGAGAAAAAATCGACCAAAGTTGGACAGGAGCATATAGTAGCATGGTCCTTTGGGGCTAACATGGGCGTGTCGCCTGACGAGACTACTTTCAAGCAATCGTCTTTCCCTCCCTGAATTGCGCCACTTCGTCTTCGCTGTAGTCTAGCAACTCTCGTAGCACTTCGTCGGTGTGCTGGCCCAGCATAGGCGGCGGCGTGCGGATCTTTGGCTCCGCGCGCGAGTATTTGACGGGGTGGTTGACGAGCTTGATCGGGCCGCAGACGGGGTGGTTGACCTTCTCGATCATGTTGCGGGCAAGTACTATTTTGGAGAAGTCTCAGTCAATGCCATGTGTCGCGGGTGGTGTGTGAGAAGATGAAGATGAAGAAGAGAGAGAGAGAGAGAGACCACATACCGTGTTCGTGGTTCAAAGTCCCCTGGATGTCGTTGACAGCCGCATACGGCATCCCGCTTCCTTCAAACACCTCCAGCCACTCCTTTGTAGTCTTGGTCTTGAGCTCGTCTTCGATGATGCGGTCGAGCGTGTCTCTGTTCTTCACTCGTAGCGCGTTGGTCACGAAGCGTGCATCCGTCTTCCATTCGGGCTTGCCGATCTTGTCGCATAAGATGCCGTATAGCTTGTCGTTGCATCCACCGACGGCGATGTTCGTATCTCGAGTCTTGTATGCGCGATACGGAACCACCGAAGCTGTAGCACCCAAGTCCGACACGTCAGCAAAAGGACTTGTTCCATCCACTCCCTCGACCGCTCACAGCACAAGAGCAAGACAAGATACAAGCAGAGAACATTAACGTGATACGAAACTCACCGTGAGCAGTCCCCCACCTCCCACTATCCTTCTTCCCCGAAATCAACCCCGAACTCGCAATATTCGCAAGCCCCGCAACCTGGCAGTCGCTCAGACTGGCATCAACCCACTGCCCCAGCCCCGTCTCCCGCCGAGCATACAACGCCGCAAGCACCCCAATCGCCGTGTACAGCCCCGTCGACAGATCCGTCACAGCGACGCCCACCTTCACCGGCGGGCCGTCCCGCTCCCCCGTGATGTGCATGAGTCCCATCTCCGCTTCGACCATGACGTCGTAGCCAGCGCGGTCGCTGTATGGTCCCGTCTGTCCGTAGCCTGTTACCGAAGCGTAGATGAGCGAAGGGTTGAGCGCCGAGAGCGTGTCGTAGTCTAGCGAGTACTTCTTCAGGGAGCCCGGGAGGTAGTTTTCAACCACAATGTCCGATTTCTGAGCCAGCTTGTGCAGGATCGATATCCCCGCGGGATTGTTGAAGGAGAGGCCGATGGATTTTTTGTTCCGGTTCACCTGCTCATCTCATCACGTATTAGACTTGCGAGGCTGAAGCTCATAGGGTGAAGCTTGGGATCTTGGATTAGGTATGTTGGCGGTGAAATGGGGATACGTACAGAAAGGTAGTACGCGCTTTCGCCCGGGAAGCTGCGCTCAACGCCGTCTCGATACGGCGCGTCTGGTGGACCCCAGGATCTTGTGTCGTCGCCTCTGGTCGGGTGCTCGACTTTGATGACTTCGGCCCTGCTTTTGCGTCAGCGCGAAAAAAGCCTACAGCAATACCATTCCCGTCTCTACTCCAAAACCCAACAACTTCCAGGCAGGAGCTATACGAAGAGCTGGAAATACATACCCTAGATCCGCTAAGATCTGCGTGCAGTAAGGCTGCAAGACTCACTACCCCGTTAACAATCGACCACTTTTTTCATCGAGCACCATTCACCACTATGTCCCTTGCGATATCTCCGATGGATGTATGGGGAGATTGAGGATATACATACCCCTGCAAGCACCCTCGTCATATCCAGCACCCTCACTCCAGCCAAAGGTAGCTTCTCCACGTCTTCCTTCCCTACCTTTCTCCCGCTGCTCGCGCTCGTCGCATTCCCTCGTGTCCACGTTGCGCCTCTTATGCCTCTACTCTTGCGTCCATTTGTGATTGTGACGGTCGCTTGGCGAGCGGGTATCAAGCGCGCGCAACGTTGCATAGTAGCTTGTCGTCTGCTATTTTTCAATCCCCTTCCCTGGGATATGGAAAAGATTCGCGTTCGACACACTTGGTGTCGAGGACTTGCGAATGGCGCTCTGCGTTTCAATCCCTCCTCTTCTTCGTGTCGCTGGTTTCTGTGCCGAAAAAACTTCCAATAGCTAGTTTGCGCTGCAACGTATGGATCCCAACACCTCCCCAAAAATAAAACTAGAATTCCGCGTGTTAGGAATGATCGCAAGATGCTTCAGAACCAACGCGACTCGTACCGATCGAGTCAAGAAAACAATTCCCCCGAATCCTTCTTTTTCTGTCTTGAACGCGTAGAAACGTAATTGATTGATGATACAATCTTGCAGGGTTATGCTCTCGGAGAGCTTCAAGAGTTGCTCGAGTGCTTTGTTTTGTTTATTTTTGGATTCGGCGGATGCGCGCTTCGAAGCCCCACATTGTGGTGGGATCTGAGTTCGGGATCATCGTTGGTGGGATGTGGGGGTTTGGTTTTTGAAGACGCGCGGATGTCGTTTCAAGTGCTACGGCGGGTAGAAATCGTCTATGTGGTGTTGGTGGTGATTGGTGTTATGCTGTTTTGTTTTTTCTTCGAGCGGTGGGTGTTGTTACGGTTGCTTCCAATCAACGAGTTAGAAAAGTGGCAGCGTAGGCAAGAAGAGTTTTGGGGTCTTGAGCAATTGTAGAAATATTTGCAAATCCATTATCAAGAACCGCAGCACAGAAGAGGAGAAACCTGGGATATAGAGAAATGGTGATGCTATAATGATGACTGCGACCAAAGTCTGACAGTAACGACACAACGGGTAGTCCCCCAGTAAATGACATGTGCAGCGCAAACCCTCAATTTCAACGCTCAAACTATAATCTCAAAACGCTCAAACCAGACAGAACCCCAAGCAAAAAAAAAATCTAATACGCAACACCCATAGGTTCCGCAGGACCCAAGTCAGCAACAACCTGCTTAACCTGCTCAGGGATGTTCCGGTTCTCAGAGCCCACAAACTCAGTCGGCGCGCCATTGACGGTATGAGCCTTTGGGATTCCATTAGTTCCGTTGGATTCGCTGACCCCGTTCACGTGAGTCGATCCGCTCGACAAAGTCACGCCATTGGTCTTTGGCTTTGCATCTTCCTCCAGAAACTCGCGCAACTCGTTGTAGTGCACGCCAGCGCCTGAATCGCTCGTGTTTGCGCCGTGCGCAAAACCGCCAATGTAATAGGGCGCGAGACGTTTCTTTTCGGCGAGCTTGTCGGCTTTGATGCGTGCGAGGAGCTCTTTTGCTTTGGAGTTGGCAGAGAAGCGGTCCTGTTATTTACGCGGTTAGAAACGGGAGAGAGAATATAATAGGTATATACGGGCTGGGAAGTGAAACTTACGGGAAGAGCATCCCAGACACTGTAGTCGGTGCCGTGTGTGGAGATTGTGCCGCAGCCTTTACGCGCGTACTCGGTCCAGAGGAAGAGACGGCTTGATTCGATCATGACGGTGAGTTGGTCTGGTGAGGTCTGCAGTTAGCACCAGGTCGTTTTGCGAAGTTCAAGAACAATGTATTATAGCCTTACCTTCGAGAATCCGTTCCGGTTGACTTTCGTGGATTCTCATTCCATGCTGGTATCCCTCGTGAAATCCACCATGTGGCGTGTGACCTCCCTCAAAAGACCCTCCACCGGGTTGGAAATCGTCACTTCGTCCAAGACCTTTGCCGTATAGACAGGCAAGGAACTCGGAAGCTGAATTGCGGTGGAAGTATGGCAGGCGAAAGGTGTTTGTTGCCACGTCCCATCGAGGTCCGAACCACAAGAAATCTGCGAGGGGAGTTACGGGGTCGCGCGATTTAGCGGTAAGCACGCAGAAGATGGAGGGATCGGTATGGTCGATGGAAGTGCTGTTTTGCGACGAGAACTTGGTGAGGTCGTACTTGTATGGAACGACGTTGCCATGCCATGCCACGAGGTCAAAGGGGCTGTGGTCCTGTTGGATAGCTTCGAGCTTGCCGTTCATCTTGTTCACAATCTCCCAGTCCACGTGCAAGTCATCGTCGATGGCGGCGACTGGAAACAAGAAGTCGCGCGGGTTGGCCAGTCCATGACCACCGAGAGGACCGAGATCAGGCAGCTCCCACATGGAACCCCATACTTCTGTTATATAACCACGAGCTTGCGGGCTGCCGGGAGCGAGATTGATGCAGAACCGGATGCCACGCTGGATCACGCAGATTTCTCCCGGTTGCAGAAAGATCTTGCCCATTTCCGTTTTGATGTCTAAGATGCCGAGTTGTCCACAGATGAGGAAGTCGCCATCTGTGTTGCAGTAGGCACGATTTTCCATGCTCGAATTGATCATGTACACGTACAGAGCGATACCCTCGCGGATGTTGGGATCGCCACTGCCGGCCAAAGTGTGCAGACCATCAACAAAGTCGATCTTTTCGTCATCTTTGGGAAGCGGGAAAGGATGCCATTCTGCTTGTTCGGGCAGAGTTTCGACTTTGGAGTTGATCGACAGGAAGCAGTTCTCAATATTGGATTTTGTCTTGACTGGCACATATCCCTCTGGTTTTGTCAGTCTACACGTCTGGGAGCACAGCTTGGTAGAACAACTCACTGTGTGCTGCTGACGGTCTACACCGGTACATATATGTACTGAAGTTGGAGTGTCGTGGGGCGGCGAACGCCGAATAGGTAATACCTTCAGTATACAAGCCAAATCGGGTTTCGTGGGGGTTGTTCTGTGCTACTGGAAGTGTACCAGGAATCAACTCCGACATGTGTCTGTTCCCCCATCCTGCTTGATACTCATAGGGATCATTCTCCCTGGTAGGCTTCAACCGCTGGAGGTCTGTATAATGAAAAGCCTTTTGGGGATCTGTGACGAGTTGGCGTTCCTTGAATTCGGGCATGTTGCACAATGTAAAGATGGATAGAGTATGGATTAACCTCCACAACTTTAGAATCCATCAAGACTTATATTAAACCATCCACATAATCCGAGGTTTAGCGGCGGATCTGCCGTAACTGACTGGTGTGGCGGTCATCCGATGTGGGGCGACTTGTGCTTGTCGGAGACACCTGGGGCCATGCGTTACCGATGTTGCTGAGCACAAAGCACGAAACGCACTCGAATCCCGTGTTTGATTAGCGAAAACCTGGTCACCGGGTGGCGATTGACATGAACAGGTGACAACTGATCCACCGCAGATTGTGCCATGACAACGCGAACGCCTGCGGTCTAGATTATCCGAAGCGAGGGTTGGAGGACTTTCTAACGGAACACTACATCCTTTGTGATGGGTATACAAGAACTAGAAAACTGTTGCCAAGCTATGAAATTGGTTTATCTATGAAGACCTTGAAAGAACTTCGTCCACCATTAAGCCACATGATCCCAGGTAATTCTTCGCGTCGCACAGCCCGCTGAGCTGCTCGTTGGAAATTTTGCTGGTAATCTCCTCCCGTGTCTGAAGAGCTTCGAGCAAACTGGTATCGTTCTCGATGCTCTCTTTGCAGGCTTCATATACCACATCATGGGCCTTTTGTCGTCCCACATGTGGAGCCAGTCCCATCATCACGGCCTCGGCTACAATAAGACCCCTGGTAGAGTAGAGGTTGTTCAGCATTGCTTTGGAGTTCACCACCAATCCTGACAGAGCGAAGTCGGCCTGGTAAAGAGCACCAACAGCAATGACAAAGCTTTCTGGAACCGCCACCCACTCCAAATGCCACGGGCCTGACGCTCGTTCGAAATCCGAGACCATGCCATCGAGGACCAGACCAGCGTTGGATCTCAAGATCTTTGATGCTGCGAGAATCACCTCGCTGGAAATGGGATTACGCTTCTGCGGCATTGTCGATGAAGCTCCCCGGTGAGGCACAAAAGGCTCCGAAACCTCAGAGAGCTCGTTTGACGACATAATGATGATGTCAAGTGCAATTTTACCGAGACTTCCACCAACGAGAGCAAGGAAGTTTGTGATCTCAGCGACACCATCGCGAGCAACATGCCACGTAATGGGGGGATCGGTCAGACCCAAGTCTTTGGCCATCTCCTTGCGTACTCTTATACCATCGTCGCCAGAACCCAGTGAGGCAAGCGAGCCAGCTGCGCCGCCAAACTGCACCATCAGCGTGCGAGACTTGAGCTGCTCCAGGCGTTCTAGATGGCGCTGGAACCCAGATAGCCAGATGGCGCATTTGTGGCCGAAAGTGATGGGCAATGCATGTTGCAGGTGGGTACGGCCAGCCATTGGAGTATCGCGGTGTTTCTGTGACAGGGTTTCGAGGTTTTTGATGACCGAGCGAAGCGTTCGTTCGACGATTTCCAACCCTTCCTTCATCTGTAAAACACTTGCCAAATCCATAATGTCCTGAGTCGTTGCTCCCCAGTGTACGTAGCGACCGGCATCTTCCCCAACGAGCGCGGACAGCTGTCGCACGAGCGGGAAGATGGGGTAGCCCACGATCTCTGTTTCTTGACGCAACCTCTCGTAATCCAACTCGGCGCCTTGCGATTTTGTGGTTACCAGTTCGCCAATATGTGACGGAATGACATTACACTTGGATTGTGCTCGCGCCAGGGCTGTTTCAGCATCGACGCAGCGATTGAGGTATGCTTTATCGTCAAAAACTTTGCGGATCTCCTCGGTACCAAAAAGAGTCCTGAAAATGGCGGAATCAATGGCGCTCACACTGCCCAAATTGCGTCTTTGTCTTTGCAACGCAGCGAGTTGGGGAATGATTCGGGTAGGGGCGCGACGGAAGAGAAACATGGTGAAGTGATTGATCAATCACTCAATTGGGCTGTTGAATCAATCAATTGGTGCCAAATGGGGGACGAGCAAGAGCAAAACGCCAGAACCTTTCCCAAAAATCCAAAACGCTAGAACGCTCACAAAATGCACATGCGGATGGCTCGCAGAAGAGGTGGGACTCGAAGGAATGGCTGCGGCGGAGTTGTGGGGAAGCTTGATGGGATTGAGATGGGGCTTCCTTGGGGCACGTGATTGGTTTCATTAGCGTGTCCATCTCGTGTCATTTGCTCTGCCCGTCTCCACATTCCCTCCCACACGTACACAATTTTATGCATTCATGGCTCTGGATTGTCAAACAACTTGGCATTTCTTCTAAACTATGACTCCCGAACGAAGAGCGATGCGACACCCTGGCCCGTGGAGGCGCACATACTCACAATGCCCAACTCTTTGTCTTGCCTCAGTAACTCAGCAAAGAGTGTTGCTGTCTGACGGGCACCTGTGGCACCAGTGGGATGTCCCAGGGCAATTGCTCCACCGTTGGGGTTGACCTTGTCTTCATCCAGACCCAGAGAGCGAATACACGCAAGCGTCTGGCTGGCAAAAGCCTCGTTCAGTTCGATTATGTCAATGTCCTTCAAATCAGTGCCAGTGTACCTGAGCAGCGCGGGAATCGCGTAGATGGGTCCGATGCCCATCTCATCGGGCGCACATCCGCTGATCTGTGTTCCAATGAAGCGGCCCAGCGGCTTCAATCCACGCTCTTCTGCCCAGGAACGCCTAGCGAGGATTGTCGAGGAAGCGCCGTCCGATATTTGTGATCTGAATGCAAACTTTGATTAGCGATTGAAGCCATACGCAAGAGTGAACGTCACCTACGAGTTACCGGCTGTGCTTTTGCCGTCCTCCCCGAATACCGGTTTCAACGTTGACACTTTCTCGAAAGTCAGGCCATGCCGAATGCCATCGTCTATTGTGACTTCATAGCCAGTGAGCTGCCCTGATGCCTCGTCCATGCGCGGAACTTTGACGGGCACAATCTCCCAATCGAACCGGCCATCCTTCTGGGCCTGGCTTGCTCGCGCGTGACTGCGAACTGCGTATTCGTCTTGTGACTTGCGGTCTACGTTGTACCTTTTGGCCACATTCTCAGACGTGATTCCCATGGGCATGAGACAGTCGCGCGCGTCCTTTACAGTGGAACCTAATAGAGTGGGAGATACATCTGTGGGAACACCGCGCGAACCATAATTTCTCGACATGCTTTCTACGCCACCAGCCAGGCCAACGTCAATTTGACCCACCATTATGGCGTGGGAAACGTGTGTTATGGCTTGCAGACTGCTCGAACATTGTCGATTGACGGTGTGGAATGTGGTGGAGTTGGGAAATCCAGCATGGTTCAGAGCCATCCGCCCCGTCTTTGCGAAACCCAATTCGGCCAATACATTCCCAATCATGGCATCGTTGACATCTTTGGGCTCGATTTTCGCTCGCTGTACCGCAGCTTGCATTACCTAAAGTTTTCTCTTGAGCAATGGCCTCCGCATTTGAGAGCGACGCTGCTTACCGGCATCAAAATATCTTCAGGGTGGGCATCTTTGTAGCCACCCTTGAAGCTGCGATTAATGGGAGATCGTACGGCTGAAAGCAAAACGACATCGTTCGGCGACTTTTGCAGCACCTTGCGAGCGACTCTGTTGAAGGTCGCCATCTTCACTCTTCGAATTCCACTGTTGTTGTCCAGACATGGTTCTTCGCAGCGGAAAGTAGATGGTCATGACAAGGATGTGGAACTGCCGCCTCGAGACGCGAGCTGGTCGCGGGGCTGAATGCTGCATCGCGGTATGTGGGGCGTGACCGGACCTGGGAGCTAGGGAGTTGACCCCTCCATGACGAATCACGACGGGATCGCCAATGAATTCTGGAAGAGGCAAAATAATTCTTATTCTTTGCATTCAAACACTCAGTATTCATCAAGTTTCGTCAGCAGGTTTCACAGTTCCAAGATGACACTCCCAAGCAAGTATCAGAATGGAAGCATAGACTCAAGCGTCAAAGGCGTATACCGGGCCTCGCCAGTCAAGCTTATGATCTATGGGAGAGGTAAGATTTCGAGACGTAACAATCCACACGCTAGCAACTAACATTTTTGAACAGGCATAAGCAATCAGTTGTCCGATGTCGTCGCTGAGTTGGGTGGAACAAAAGCTTTCATCATCACCGGACGGTCGCTCTACGAAAAAACTCCCGTTATTAAAGAAATCGAGAAGAACCTGGGATCCAAACACGGCGGCACCTTCAGCAAGATTGGGCAGCATGCGTGAGCAAACACAAACTCGAACTCTCAGGCACGCGACTGATGAGACTATAGACCGATCGGGGACATCAAGGAAGCAACTGCTCTCATGACCAAATCTGGATGCGATGTATTGATTTCTGTAGGAGGAGGCTCGCCTATTGACTCCGCCAAAGCTATCGCATACAACATCCACGAAGAAACAGGGAAATGGATCCCCAGTATAGCCGTGCCGACGACCTTGAGTGTGGCTGAGACGACCCAAAACGCTGGCTTCACAACAGAAGACAAGCACAAGATTGCTGTCAGCAACCCAGAACTGGTTCCGAAGGGTATATCTTTCACACATATAAACTCGTTCTCACTAACAATCTTCATCTAGCTGTGGTATACGATGGAGACATTGCGCTGCACACGCCATTGTCCCTATGGACAAGCACCGGAGTGAGTTCTATCCAGGATGCATCGTTCAAAGAATTCAGTCTAACTATGTCAAGATCCGATCGCTGGATCACGCCGTTGAATTAATGTATCACCCTCTAGCAGCCGAAATACCAACCAAGCGAATGAGCTTGGAAGCTATCAAAGACCTTTTCACCTACCTCCCTCAATCTAAAGAGCGGCCGGATGATGCAGACGTGCGCGTCAAGCTTTTCCTCGCCTGCTACTCATCTCTTTTCCCCTTCTTGTATACCGGGGGCGTAGGTCTCAGTCACAGCATCGGCCACTCCATCGGCGCTACGTACGCTATCCCTCATGGTATCACCAGCTGCTTGAGCCTTGCTCCTACAGTTCATTTCAAAGCGTCGAATGCGGAAGAGGCGAAGCAAATCGCGAGGATCATCCCGTATATCGGAAAGCAGAGCGCGGGTAGTGACGAGAAGGACGCGCATGTTGTCGGTGATGCGATCTCGGATTTGGTCGAGCGATTGGGACACAAAACCAGCCTGACAGCAGTAAGTTCCCCCGCTATCGATTGCGCGTTGCACTCGGCTGACTCTGTCGTCCAGTACAAGGTGCCGACTGGCGACGCGGAAGAAGAAGCAATTGCTTCACGCGCGCTGCACAGCAAAGACCACAAGGACTTTGCCAATTGTAAGTTCTCTGAAATGTTCTCAACATCGAGTTGTCGTCTTCTTCCAGGCTGACAGTTATACAGTGAAAAAGATCGTGCACGACTTGTACTAGAAGACCTGAAAACGGGCTTGTGTCAAACATAGAATTAGCACCTAAGGAAAACACCAACTCATAATATATCGATGTATATCCATCATCAGATGACGACATCAGATTGTTGACTTGCCACGCTAACTGGGCTAATAACTGTTGGAGTGAAAACAGTGGAAAACCACCGCTCATCTTCCGCGCCCCCGATTTTGCCCCGGATACTCACCTAGAATCTTGCAAAAATCTCGGAAACCAGCAGTGTTCCGATACGGCCTTGGATGTTTGGATACATTTCCGTGACTGGCATGTTCTCAAGTTCACTGCAGGGTCACCCAAAATGCCCCCGCGGAGCGTTTATCCGGCGGATAAGAGCTTATCCAGCGCCTCTTTGTGGAGATGTGCAAGGGTTCAGACTGGCGAGAACGGCTGGGATCCGGCCCACGGCAAGTGAGTCGGATGTGCTCAACACCGTCTAGCGGCAAGCTGCAAGCTCTCAAAACCATGTGTGGGGAACGCTGTCACTCCTCCACATCCACAACTTTTTACGATCACTTTCTGCTTGTGGTGCATTGAACTTTACAAAGTCTAGTGGAAGCTCGACCCTCTGCTGCTTCAGCTTGCGACACCTGCTTTTCTCTGATAAAGGTGGTTTTTGGCCTTGATCTCCGACTTGTCGCGAACTCAACAGGGTAGGAGGAACAGCAAGGCAACTTCACGAACAGCTTCACGAATCTTTTTTTTTCCTGCGAATACCCATCGCCAGAATTTATCTTGTTTTCAAATCAGTCTTGTACTACTGTCACCATGATGCAACGAACATTTCTCTTCGCGGCTCGCCGCAGTGCGCCAGCAGTCCGCTTCTTCTCCAACACAGCCGCGCGCGCCGCAATCAACAAAATCTACCCTTCAGCACAAGAAGCCATCAAAGACATGAAATCAAACACAACAGTCCTCGTTGGCGGTTTCGGCTTCTCTGGTGTACCCAACACTCTTATCAACGCTGTTCGCGACCGCACTGACCTCTCCAATTTCACTGTTGTTAGCAACAATGCGGGCATGCCAGGCGTTGGGCTGGGCCAGTGGTTGGATACCAAGCAGGTCGGCAAAATGATTGCGAGCTACATCGGCGACAACAAGGTGTTCGAGGGCATGTATCTGAAGGGCCAGTTGGATTTGGAATTGACTCCTCAGGGGACGATTGCGGAGAAGTGCGCTGCTGGAGCTGCTGGAGTACCGGCTTTCTACACTCCCGCTGCTTATGGAACGATAGGTGTGTTTTCCTTCAATTTTTCTCCACGTTCGCAAAATATACGACTTCGCTGACATAGAACCCTCACTTGTGCAGTCCAAACTGGCGAGCTCCCCGTGCGCTACAACACCGACGGCACCATCGCGAAAATGGCGCCACCAAAAGAGACCCGCGAATTCAATGGCAAAGCCTACGTAATGGAAGAAGCCATCTTCGGCGACTACGCCTTCGTAAAGGTCGCAAAAGCCGACCGTCTCGGTAACTGCACGTTCCGCAAGGCGCAGAACAACTTCAACGAAGCCATGGGCAAAAACGCGAAGATGACGATTGTCGAAGCAGACGAGATTGTCGAGGACGGCGTCATTGCGGCTGAGGAGATCCACCTGCAGGGTATCTACGTGAAGAGGGTGATCAAGAGCACCGAGGAGAAGAAGATTGAGCGATTGGTGCATTACAAGGATCCTGAAGCGCAGAAGAAGGCCATCTTGGAAGGAGGTACGCAATCATAATCTTGCCCAGTCTCCATCATCCCCCGCTCGACAAGAAAGTAACATGCTAACACCGCCCACCCCAGGTTCTTCCGAAGCCGCCCAAAAGCGCGAACGCATCATCAAGCGCGCCGCTCAGGAGCTCAAAGACGGCATGTACGTCAACCTCGGCATCGGAATGCCTCTCGCAGCCCCTGCCTTCCTCCCCAAAGGCGTCGAAATCATCCTCGAGTCCGAGAACGGTATCCTCGGTATGGGAGGGTACCCCAAGCCTGGCGAGGAGGACCCAGACCTGATCAATGCTGGCAAAGAGACGGTGACGTTGATCAAGGGTGCCTCGACATTCGGCAGCCACGAGAGCTTTGGCATGATTAGAAGTGGACGCATTGATGTGGCCATGTTGGGTGCCATGCAGGTTAACGCATATGGAGGTACGTCTTCTCATCACCTCCATCACCTCCCTACCTTCTCCCAGCAGTGAAAATTGAAGAATGGTTATGACTAACACTCTTTTTTTTTTCTCTCTGCAGATCTCGCAAACTTCATGCTCCCCGGTAAAGTCAAGGGAATCGGTGGAGCTATGGACCTCGTAGCCAACCCCTCGCAAACAAAGGTCGTCATCACCATGGAGCACACCGATAAGAAGGGCGGCCCTAAGATCCTCAACCAATGCACGTTCCCGCTCACAGGACAGAAATGCGTATCTACTATCATCACTGACCTTGCTGTCTTTGATGTCAGCCCTACCGAGGGTTTGACATTGAAGGAGGTTGCGAAGGGAGTGTCGGTTGAGGAAGTGAAGAGCAAGACTGAGGCACCGTTCAAAGTTGCTGACGACTTAAAGGAGATGGATGTCTGAGTGTGTTTGGCTCGAATGCAGGAAGGGGCCGAGGCAGGGAAGTATCCGCATTTGCATTCACATCTTTCCTTTTGGGTTGTTCCATTCACAAGTATACTCCTATATATTTTTTCTCCTTTTTCCTCATGCAATTGTTCATTATTCAGCGAAGCATTTGGCTCTGGCGCTCGAAGAAAAAAAATATTTACTTTGTCCTGGAATAGATACCAAACAACATCTTCCTCAAACATGTCTGCTTCAGCCCCAATGATGCTACACGCGTACATTAACGGAATTATAATCATGCGTCGTTTTGATCGAATTCATGATGGCAGAATCCATCAGAGCATTGGGATCCCAATTTACCAGCTTGACCAAACCCCCAAAGCTACCCAAAACACCTACGCAACAGCTAACACAGCTACACCTCCACGCCCCACATCCCCCCCCTCCCATCCCCATATAACCCCAACAACCCCAAACAAACACCTCAAACAAACCCAACATCACTCAACCCCCCATCCATCCATCCATCCATCCATCCATCCCTCAAGCCCCTCAACCCCCTCCAACCCCACGAAAATAAACCCCCCCCCCCAAAAAAAAGAATAAACACAACAAATGCCCCTCCGCGTAGCAGTCCTCGGAAGCACCGGCTTCACAGGCTCGTACCTAACCGTCGAGCTGCTTCACCGGGGGCACACGGTAATAGGACTCTCGCGGGACCCGTCGAAGATCGGGTCGCACGCGCGCTACGAACCGTGCAGCATCGATATCGCGGAGCGCAGTTTCACGGAGCTGAGGGAGGTCTTGGAGGACAAAGTTCGGTGCGAGGTTCTGATCGTCGCGTATGGTCCTGGACCGAATGGTGGTGGGGAGGACGGCGTGTATAGTAAGTGCGAGTTTCGAGTTTTGTATATAGACGTGATTATACATACCTAGCTATGTATGGATGGATGGATGTATGTGGGGAGGGAGATATGTGGCTACTTACTCTCTTTCTACTTCACTGGGGAGGAGAAAGAAGAAGAAGAAGAAGAAGAAGCACATTCCCTTACATTCTCTCCGCCCTATATAAAAAAAAACCCCCCGCCAAAGAAAAAATATATAACCCCTCCCTCCCCCATCCCCAACAGACTACCGACAAGATATTAAACAAAAAAAAATAGTGACATTCCTCGAAACCGTCCGCAAAGCCATTCTCGCCGTAAAAACAATCAAAAACAACGAGGGATCCGGAAAAAACAAGCGCCCTTATTTGATTTTTATAGGCGGCGCCGGATCCCTCCACGCCCCCTCAACCCACGAAGCCTGCATAGACACTCCAACCTTCCTCCTTGCCTACCGCCGCGCCCTCGGCACCTCCGCCGCGCAAATCGCATACATGGAAGCGCGCGCGGGCACCTTACTCCCAGGCCTCCACGCGTACCGCTCCGCCCGGATCTCGCAAACCAACGGCACCGCAACAGCAGCAGAGCTCTCCACCATCACGGCGTTTGACAGCGACGACGAGAGTATGAAAAGCGCGGTGCGGTTCATCAAGGCGGCGCGGGCGGCGTATTTGTTTTTCGAGGGGGACGAGGGGTTTGAGTGGAGTTTTGTTAGTCCCGCGGCTTTGTATCGGGCGGGGCGCGGGACTGGGGGGTATGAGGTAAAGGTTGATGAGGTGGTGTTGGTTGGGGAGAGGAGAGAGGGGGAGAGTGTTTTTGAGGGACGGTTGACCGGGGTGCAGGCTGGGGATTTGGCGAGGGCGGTGGTTGATGAGGTTGAGGGGAGGAGGTTGGTTTGGAGGCATTGGTGTGCTTGGGGGGATGTTGAGGGGGTGGAAGGAAGTGGGGAGGTTGTGTTGGGGTTGGGGGAGTGTGTGGGGTGATGATGGAGAGGGATGGGTGGGTGTTGGGTATAGATGTAGGGAGTGAAGGGATATGGGAATGAGGTAAGAAAGAGTAGAAGAGGGAGGAGATTAATGGCTTTTTATAACCTTTTCAAAACAACTATAACGTTTTTTATTTCGCTATTGGAGCTCTCAGATAGATGGCTTTAAGAAAGCATGTGCTTGATATTCTATATCTAACTTCTCACTTGCATCTATAAATAAAACCATTAGTCTTGTCTTCACGCCTTCTTGTCAACATCCCAACTCGTGCCTCCACTAGCCAGAAACTCCTGCCCCATCTTCAACACCCTACTGTTCTCCTCTCCCAACCACTTCGGTTCCAGCTCTTGAATCCCATCCTCAATCTCATACGCCTCACCCCCCGCAATCCACAGAATCTTCCCAGCAAAAGGTAACCTCGCACCTGGATGCGTCTCCCCCGCGTCCACCCCGCGAGTCGCGCTCGCACACAGCAAGAAACTGCGCGCCACATCTTCTGGCGTGTTCTCGGGGAGTCCGAGTTTAGCCCACCCATCTTCAATCCCCTTCACCATGGCGGTTTCTGTATCGCGGTGATCAGCGTCCATATCAATCTCGCCCCCTCATTCCGCTCCGCACCCTTAGCTCGGAAAAAAAAAAAAAGCAAAAGCAAAAGCGCCGAAACAATCTTGTAAAGAAGATAGAGAAAGAGGGGAGGGGAGAGAAGGAGAACGTACTAGTCATCCACGGACAAATGACATTGATGCGGATCCCGTCGTTGATAGCATCCCCGTGCAACCCCCTCATCAACCCGAGCACCCCATGCTTGCTCGCCGAGTAAATCCCCAACCCGCCGCTCTCCTTGAACCCGGCGATACTGCTCACAAGCACCACGTCGCCTCCTCCTTTGCCGTTCTTCCGCAAGTAGTGCAGCCCGATGCGAGCTGTGTAGATTACGCCTGTGAGGTTGACATCGACTTCGCGCATCGACGGCGCGACAGTGATGTCTGCGTCTGCTGCGAAGACGTCCTTGTGGTTTGCGACACCGGCGTTTGCGACGACGATGTCGATGGCGCCCAGCGTCGCTGCCGCGTGCGAAAAAAGCGATAGCACGGATTCGTAGGAAGTGGTGTCGCAGTGTTTGTAGTGGATGTTTTTGAGGGTGGATTCTGGGAGCGTCGTGGGGAGCGGTGGGTTGTGGATGTCGCCGTAGACAATCTTGCTTCCGGCTTCTACGGGGGATTGTTAATCCTCGTCATCTTTTCTTTCTCCATAAACCTTCTTGTTTTTATGGATTGCTGTTGTTTATAGAAAAAGATTCTGGGAGAAATGGTGAAGGAGGGAATGTAAGAAAGAATAAAAAAGATGATGCATACCAGCGAATTGCAGCACCGCGGCTCGTCCAATGCCCGTCGCGCCGCCCGTCAACACCACCACTTTATCTCTCAGCGTGCCCAGCAAGGCAGGCTCAAACTGTACATGCACCATTTCGCAAAGAAAAAAAAATAAACAAAACCTCTCTGAGCGAGTACTGAAGAAATCAACTGTCGCACTTGTGTCAATGAGAAAAAGCGCAAAATATGTATACCACCTGTATTGGCAGCTCCGTTGTTTACACCCCTCCTCCCCTCCCCCCGCAATGACATATCCCCCACATGGCTAGTTACCATTAGCTTCAAGCTATGTGGTGTGTGGGGTAGCAAATGGGCGTCACTAGAATGCACGGCGAAGGGCCGGACAGGGGGTTTCGGCATGTGTGGTATGTTTGGTTGCGGTGGGTCGGAAAAGGAACTTGTGTGAGCTTTTTGCTGCTTTGCTGGATGCGGACGATGATGCTTTGGTATGCGGGATACATGTCTATGTACCCAGCACCTAACTATATATACATGACCAGGCCAACGGAATGCAGCAGATAGAGTACAAGCATCGATATGACAGAGTTTTGGGAGCGAACAAGCTCTGGAGACATGAATATATAGATGTTATAGAGGTCGATTGTTTGGTTCGCTCGCATACATTGTAGATACTCGCACACAACTTCCATGTACATATCCTTCGCTTTTACGAGCAGAAAATACATAACCCCCGAATCCATCTATCTCCCCTGCAGAAAATTTATAAACACATCCCCAACCGTATCCAACCCAACCTCCTCACCAAGCTTCAACACGCGCTCACTCCTTCCGACTGACGTCGGCTCTCCAGACTCCACGTACTCGGCACCAACCCCTTGACCAGACGGGCCATACACACGCGCGTTGAACTTGCCCTTCTTCACCGGCGCCCACGGCTCCTCTCCGTTCACAAACGCGATGAAATCTTCGCCATACCGCCTCGCAACGGCCTTTTGCTCTTGGCTCAGCAAATCGTTGTAGTTCTGGAACAAGAACGCTACGTCGAGGATGTGCACTGCTTCGCCTTTGAAGCGTCCGTCCCAGGGGTTGCCTTCGTTGAAATGGTACAAGTAGACTTTGTTGTCTGGGGTTTTGGGCCATCCTTGCGCGAAGACGCGTGCCGAGGCGTAGAACGCAATGTCGGAGATGAAGCGGAGAATCGCGACGAGGCCCTCGTCATCTGACATCTCTTCGGTGATGCCGTAGGACTCGAGAAGAGTGGAGAGGGTGTTTGGGTGTGCGGAGAGTGTTCTTTTGGCCGAGGCGATGAATTTGGAAGAGATGCCGGGGTTCTGCGCGTCTAATGCTGCGTAGGCGAAGATGCTGCCCTAGTGGTATCAGGTCGTGTTAGAATCATGCAGGTCGAGAGAGTCGGTTACTGGTTAGATGGCTGCGCTGGAGTACTGGGCCTCCAGTGCCAAGGGAGATACGTACATCTAATGCGGAATCTCCGAGCATAAGATCAGAACACCACTTGCGCCCTGGGAGCAACGACTGCACGCTTTCATCCTCGGATGCAAAAGTAGCAAAAGTCGGGCTCTCGAGCATAGTCTCGCCATCCGCAAAGGGACCAATAGGTGTGCCCGGTGGCACTTTTTGCCACAAATCGTCGACAGGGAGTTTGAGCAAGGCTTGAACGCGCTCTTCTGGGGACTTATCCGCAAGCCCCAATGCCGCCACCACCTTTTGATACACGCCTTCGTTGGTAGCATCAGGGAGAGGCTTGAAGATGGTGAGCGCGCCGCCAGTGCAAAGGCAGCGCTTCATGAGGGGCTCTTTGGACGTGAGAAGCATTGCTACAGACACTGTTATCTAGTCAGTCCAAATCCCGTTGCACGAAAGGGGCAAAGCAACGAACAGCCTCCCGCACTCTCGCCCACAGACGTCATCTGCTCCGCATCACCTCCGAAGCCACCAATGTACTTCTTGATCCAGCGCATCGCGGTTCTCTGATCATGAAACCCGTTGTTGGGCTTGTACCCAGCTTTGCGCAATTCCTGGGACGTCAAGAATCCCATGACACCCAAACGGTAGCTAGAAAACCACGGCATCAGCCACGATCCAGTGTAGGTGCGTACAGGAGAGAGAGACACACTTGATAGTGACACCGATAACAGGCTTGCCTATCTCCACCGAGAGCCGGACCAAAGCAGCAGCGTCATAATGGGGATACCAGCTCGATCCAAACGCGAACCCACCGCCATGGACAAACACGTAAACGGGCAGTTTGGCATCAGATTGCACAGCACCGTCTTTACCAAGCGGTACGGTGATGTTGAGATTCAAGCATTCGGTGTCAGAGTGGGTTGGAACTTCCGGGAGCGGGAGACTTTGCTGGATGAAGCCGAATTCTTGGTTGATGGCGCCAATGGGTGAGACGGGAGGAGGTCTAATGTTCCATTGTCAGCGAGACGAATTCTGTTTTTTGCTTCTGTGGGAGAATGTAGGACTTACCCGAAGCTTGTAGCATCTAGTTTTCCAGCTGGGTCATAGCTGTCTTGAAGTTGAGGAGCGGAGAACCGGTCCTGCAGCGAAGCGTATTTGAGGCCGCGGAACTGGAGGACGCCGTCTGCAGGCTTCGCTGCTACCTCGCCAAGATCGGGATGATTGAACGTGGTGGACATTGTGTACAGATACTCAGTGTCGGGAAAGTTCCGAGGAAGATCAATGGCTAGCTGAACTGTGTTGAACAAAGTCCAGTTCGAAGCGAGGATGCATGTCACCGACCCCACTATTTGTATCCGCGGATGGACGGTGGGGCAGAAGCCCGGACGCCTGATTTGGCCCCAGACATTGAAGTCTGGTAGAGGCATAGCATGATTATTTGAGAAATGCACATGATCTTTCTCGCCGTTGACAGATGCACTATTGCATCTGTGTTCGTTGATAATCAAGGAGCGCAGATGACTGTTCGGCGACGAGTGGACCCTAGTGGGGGCGAAGACTACATGTAGTAGCTGACCTGCTCCATGGGGAAATGTACGAAGATTGAAGATGATATCAGACAGCAGAAACGTGCTTCGTCCAAGCTCAATTCACATGCAGGTCAGCAAATCTAGCTTGTGATTACTCATATTCCTACATTGTGACACTGCGGTTTGCGACATCGTGCGGATGCTGCAGTGTCCAGCAATGCACTAATCAGGTAGTTACTTGATCATATGTGTTGAGAGAAGCAACTTGATTTTTCCTTTGTTAAGACCAACACGGTGCTAGTTTTACTTCAGAAATGCTAGGGACAATGTTCTTCCTGCGGCTCAATAGTTATCCCGACTTATAGCTTACATATATATTTGGGATTGGGCTGTTCTATACAAAACGGTAACATCGATTTCATGACTCTGATCTTTGGAAACCATCTTGAATTTTACAATCTTGATAGATGGTCTTGTCTGGTGCATGAAGTCTTTCTGATTTGCCTTTTTCTATTCGTGACTTTGTGTGAACGCAGAACTTGTGTTTATGAGAGAGAATAGGGCCGATCTTCGTACTAAAGCATGAAGAGTACAGCACAATACTTCAACATCTGTTGTAACGATAGCCGTGAACTAGGTTTTCCCTGTCATTGGATGTGATGTTCAATTGCAAAGAATAAGTGGGCGATAATGATGCTTGGTGCAAAACCAATCTTACAAGATAATATAGTACGGCTTGCTTGATTCCGCCTGGAGTCCTTCATCATTCCACTGAGACTTCTTACATTCTTATCTTCTCGGCCTCTTTGTACCGCGTAGTTGTCCCAATCATACTATTTGGGTTCAGCCGCTTTGGATTGCGATGGCGGAGCCAATAAACTATCAAAGCAACTCACAACATTTTCCCTCTCTATGCCCAAGAGCAACACGTTCCATTATAGACGTACCACTGTAAGAACCGGGCAGCACACCATCTGCATTCAAAGCCAAGCCATACAGCAAACCATTCTCGAGGTCAAAAGTGATGACAGTTGCCGCTGATAGGGAGATTTCACCGCGCCCACAAGTGTCAAAACATTCCGAAAGGAGTGACGGCCATGTTTTCGCGTCGACTATCTTTTTCCGACATTCTTGTATATGCTCAAGAGACGCAATATCGAGCAAGTGCTCATGGCAGTCTTTGATGGCGACATTACGCGTATCCAGTTCCGTAAAAGCATCTTCCCTGTGCACATAATTCCTCGCAGTACGGCGGACATTCCCCAAGAAATATGCCGCACAATATCGAGAAGCTAGGATATGAAGAACCATAAATGCAAGCCAGTGTCGCACGTAGAACAACCTCGTGGGTTCCGGCAACTCATCGACACGATTGAATGCTGCGTACGCGGACAGCATTTCAGCGGACGGCGAAGTCGGCTTCCCAAGAGCCGCACATATAACAAGCGTATTCATCCAATCTCGCATGGAAATGTCATGGGCCAGACCCAGGATGTCATTGATTACGGATCCAAGCATACCGAAACCAACGGCATCGCTGAAGTCGAATCCAGAACACGTAGGCCAAAACCTCGCATTGGGGAACACCCCGGCATTGATTCCACGCCATATCAGACCAGTGGAGAGTAGCTTTTCCGGTGCAGCAATGTGCTGGCTTCGGTCTGTTTCGTCTACATCCAAGTCACCAACAGCATCGGCGCAGGTCAGCGCAGCCAGGCCCACATTCTGGGAAGAAAAGGAGCTCGTGGCACGAGTAGAGAATTCTGCTTCTTCTCGGACACGTGTCGCTACTGATGAGTTTAGTTTCTGGCGGTTGGTCGAGGCGAGTTCTGGACCGGACAGTGGAATGAGGTTGCAAAATGATGCATAGCTCGGATCCCCAGGCCCCGATGCGTAGGTGATTCCAACTATGCGGTGTTGGATAGATGACAACGCGACTGATAGCTCTCTGTTTGTTGAGAAACAAGAATTGGCAATGTCGCGCATGATGTCGGGGTCTTTTGCGCAACGGTGAGCAGTTGGTGTTGGCAAGCTGGCCATGTATTGCTTTGCAAGAAAACAGATATCAGGCAAGCCGCTGACGTACGAGCTTGGTGCCGTAATTGATTTTCCAGTTGCCAGAGAGAATAGAGTATTAGATGCAGCTCGATGAGAGAGCCCCCCTTTCTCAAGATTTCGATACCTCTGAACATGGTGGCAGACACAGGTTTTTGGTCTTTCAGTGGAATTTGGAGATCTTGGGTCAATAAGGATGGACTCGGATACCTCGAGTGAAGGCGTATCCGGGAAGATGCAATCAGCGCTCTCTGAGAGGAAATCCATTCCTGGCTTAATCGAGTCGCTCTCATAAACCTTGCCGTCATTTGATTCCAAAGAACAGAAGTTCGGTGGTGGTTCCAGCGACAACGGTGGTCGACAGTGTCGCATAGCTTCAGGCAAAGGAAAACAAGGCCTGTAAGATTCAGAGTCCGTACTCGTCATTCTGTCTTCGGCTGGCTGTTTCAAGTTGAGAGAGTGAAGAATACAAGGAGACGATAATGAATAGAAAGGAGGGCTATCTCTAGATAAACATGATATGTTGTTACAAGACCTAACACATGGTAACACGAATAGCGGGGTTGCGGTAGATTTATGTGCCCCGTAAGGGAAGTGACAGACCTCCACGTATCGTAACTCCCTGCGAGCCTTGGGGTACTCTTCTGAGTCTTCTCTCAACCCCATACTGTAGGTATTGTGGATAGATGGTTTTACTAAGAGGAAATGCCAAAAGACTCTTATTTCTATCAATATTGTAGTGTTTCGGTAGTTGCGGTTATACGCAGAGTTGAATATTTGAGGCGCTAGTATCTGAATCACCAGAATGTGAATCTCCTCGATATCAGTCAGTACAATAACCACATCACGCACCTTCAATCACGCAATCCAGCCCCCGCAAAAGCAATTCCATACGATCATCAAGCCCCCCCATCAAACCCCAGACCTCCTGCCTCTCCTGTACCATCTTATAAAAAGCCTCAACACCTTCCAGTCTCCCTTTATCGCCCATCATCTCCAGCCGCGCTTGACGATGCTTCAACCGCGCCTTCGCGTGCCACAGCGCATCCTCGATTCTTTGAACAGCCATGATGATCAGCGTTCTCGAGGCGAGCTTATATTCCTCGCCCGAAGCTCTATATCCTCCAATCGATAGATGGCGACTTTCGCATACCGTGTCAGGGTCTTCAGGTAAGGAGGATTCTCCTGTTTGGATTCCGTCGGAATGGGAAAAAGCGTGCCGCAAAGCACGGAGTAGAAATCGCATGCTCATGAGGAACATGAGGAATACGCCTTCCGTGCCGTTGTGAAGACATGCAGTACAGTGGTATAAGTTGTCCCATTGTTCCATTGCATGGCGGGTCGCTATCAAGGAGATATCGGGGGGCGATCTCTTTTGTGATTGTTCGACTTCGTCCATGTGAAAGAGTAGTTTGGCTTGTCTGTCTAGGCAGTCGCATGTGTTGTTGGTGGTACTGTGAGACACGATTTCGAGATCCGGAGATGAATTTTTAGACGTATTACCGAGGGGATGATATGTCGCTTGAATAGGAGACGTGAGAATATGCTTCTCAGCTGCGGAGTTATTTGTTGTAGGATCATCGTAGCGTGGTGGTAATGTTGCATCTTCGGCGTCTTGGTGCGAATCATCTCGTGGCTCATGATCCCTTTCAAATGGTATCGATTCCGAAAATTGCAGTTGTGAAGGTAGGTCTAACAGGACGTCATTGCCGCTGCCAGATTCGAGCCGTCGAGACCTTTCCAAAGTTCGTTGATTCTGGCTCCCTCTGGGTCGTCCCATTAGAGAGGGCTCACTGTACGTGCATTCCCTTCTTGCTTTCCAGCATAGAGTACATGGCGTTTCACCAGAGCATCTCGTTTTTGATTGGTGGCATCTATCGCATGCTTTGCGACGCCTTCCATGCCTCTCCGCGTACATTGTGAGGCAATGGACTTGATGACGTCCCTGGTTGTTTTAAGAGTTTGTACTCCGAATTTTACACTCTATGAAACTCTGATAGAAACATTAATTTTGATTTTAGGTTAGAGTTGAGGTTTTCCTACACACAGCGATGGTTTATAATAAGACAAGTAGAAAAATCAAGCAATTACAACAATTAAGACAACAAGCCTTGATACAAAAGTAAAGATTAGGGGGCACCCTTTAGCACTAGTCTAGAACAGGCTAGGGCTGGAAAAACAGTTTTTCCATCCTGTTCTATCTACGGGAGTCCTCTCCAACAAAACATAATCCATGTTAGAGAAATACAAGAGGTGGTAAGTGTGTGGTGTAGCTGTTCGTTGGTCGTGTGCTGTTGCTCCAGCGCATCCCCTGTGTTACCAGTTACATAACACTCGCGGCGTCAGACCCCTTCCATCAAGAAGCATGGACATCGAAAATCGGTCGAATAGATAGATCTACACATGAGTTTATCATATGATAACGGCCTTTCTGTGTAGCGTAGTTGTTGTGTGGCATAGCAGCAGAATGGATTGGTAATACCACAGTGATGTAGTCTGGGGGAAGCTAACCCGAAGTGGAGTAAGACTCCTGTTTACATCCATCTTGGAGACAGAATCCGATGAATCATCCAGGTGCTTGATATTCAACCTAATACTGAAGAACAATTTGTTCTAAATGCACTGCTGGGGATATTCCTATCTTATTACATGTATACCTCCTCTGAATCGAGTCAAGAGCAGGTTGGTAATTGGTCATGTGATCGTTAGCAGCCAATGTAAAATCATGACGCAACATGGCAATACGCTGGAAATATACCATAACGTCAAGCTACTACATTCTCTTGATTGCGAGCCTGGCATTAGGTTTAGACTTGTTCCGAATTGATGTTTGGTGTCAGTTCGAAGAATACTAAGAACGTAGAAGAACAAGAACCAATAAAAAGAGAATGAAAATAGGGATGGACCCCTTTACACACACTAGAAAAACTTATAGTAGGTTTATACATTGGGAGAGATCTGAAGGACTCTGTCAGATAGTGGTTTTATTCTCTATTATTCTTTTGTTTTTCACCGCGTACTTCTCCGCCTCAGCGGATCCGTAGACAGCAAACCCATTGAGAGTAGTACCGCGCCTCACTATCCCAATCCCCCACATTTCACAGAGAATTTTGAAATTATGAATTCCCCCCAGCCTCCCCCTCAAAACTCAAACTCGTTCTCAAAGAATTGCACAACCCCCTGTGCAGCCGCCTCCCCAAGCGCCCCCTCCAACTCCGTCATAACACTACCATCCATCTTCGCTCTCATCGCAAGAAGCATGACTTCCCTCAAGCTCCCAGCCATATCACTCAAGTTGACGACTTGTGTCTCAGTCAACGGACGACCAATCGTACAAGTAGGCAACAGTGCGTCGACAGCTCTCTTCGGAGGAATGCTAGATTGAGACGTGGAAGTGTGTGGGATGTGGACGTTTTGGGCTTGTGCAGGTCTTATATTCGCGCTTTGTGTCGGGGCATGAGCACGGGATGAGAGAGCGGGATGGTGGACGCCGCCCCGTGGAAGTGTGTTGGACGCCATAGGAGTGATGAGATTGTGGTATTGTCGGAGTGAAGGTCCGGTATTAGCGGCCTTGCCACTACGCTCTGCGGGATTGTTCTGCGTAATTATTAGGATTTTGCTGTGTGGGACATGTGGACAAGATGACCGCTTTCGTTCTTACCTGCTTCACTGGTCTGGCGGGCTCTCGATGAGCATACGTGTCGGGCTTGCGGTAGGCTGGATGCATTGATGCAATCACGGCAGTGAGATGGCTATAGCTTGGCCGTTGGTGGAAGAAAGATGTGGGTTGGTTGCATGGAGTGGAGTTTTCGAGGGCTGAACATGTTCCAGAAGGAAGGAACGAGTCCTTGTCATGCCCACTTCCTATTTAGTCCGACTCGGGGAATTGCAGTCGGCGACAAACAACATCGGTTGGAAAATTCAACTAGCTTCAGAGCAGGAAAATACAAAGTTCTTACATGGTGGCAATTATGGCCTCGTCTAATTGGAGTTGATACATTGCTATATGTACAAGTGGTAGAGCGTGGAGTAACGTCTTACAGTACAGGAAACCGATTTGGCCGGTATGTTTAGTCAACGCCTTCCAATGAGTCTGATTTAGTAATACAAGTGACGTATGGGTATCATAAGAGAAGTCGTATAATCTTTCCGCGGCGATGCAGAGGTGTTGGCGTGGAAGAGAACTATGGGCATTGATGTACCGCAGTGCTTGATTCTCCACTTATTTCCTGTCTGTTACAGGTGCCTCGATTGGTGACATCGATGGAGGCTGCATTGCATCAGTCGAAGTAGTCTTTGGTGAAGTCTTCTGGTCCGTTTGTGAGTGTTCTTCTGTCTTCTGCTGGTCACCCTTTCCTTTCCCTTTCCATAGGCCCAACAATCCGCCCGATGTTGATTCAGGATGTCGCGCTTTCACTTCTTCCAGCTCCGCCTTGACAGCCTTGAGTTCGGCTTGTAATTCTTCAACATCTTCCCGAATATCGTCACGTTGGTTTTGGGCCTTCCGCCTCTGTCGCCATTGCTCAAAGACAATGACACCAATCGCCACGGCAAAGAGAAACGACTCGGCGACAAAGTTGGCGCCTGTTTCAATTGCCTTCGCTTCTGATAGCGGGCGTATCCGCGGTTTACTTGCTGCCTCGATCTTCTTTCTGGCTGCCTCCCTTTCCTGCTTTGTCATGTTGTCTTCTGCTACCGTCTCAGCTTCCGTCTTGACGGTCGGCGCTTGTGATTTTTTCCGAGCAGCTTCTGCGGCTTTGACTTCTTTGGCTATTTGGCGGTCAATGACAGCGGGGTCCTGGAGCAGGCCGAGACGCATGCGCATGTCAATCCGGTGGAGGCCTTGTGCGAAGCGAACGCAAATGTTGCGGAAGCGCTCGTGCTCGTGAGCATTTCGTTTGATCTGGTTCTGAACATGGCGTGAGCGCGGGTTCACGACACCGGAACGGGCGAGCGTACGGCAATTGGTTTTGCCAACGTCCTCACAGCAAGAGACGTGACTTTGAGGGTGAGAGACATGGTTTAGGTAGCGGGATGAGGGTGCATGAACCCCGGGAAAAAGAATGAACAGCGGCGAACAATGTGGTGATCGATTCCTGAAAGAATGAGGAAATGAGTTAAAGAGAAGATGTAAAAAATGAAAATGATGAAATAATAACAACAGCTGAAGCTGCCTAGATGAGCCGGAAAGATATGACGACGGATTTTCTAGATACGCGCTAATGCGCGAGAGGTTAGCGTGGCTCTAACCAGACTCGAACTTAGCGCGCCGCTCACCGCGGAAACCACAACAGCTTCTATGTTTACTCACACGTCCAAGCGAGATTCAATTGCTTCACTCCTCCACAAGCATCTCTTGTGCCTCAACCACCCCCCCCCCTCTTCTCCCCGCCCTATGTCTTCCTCCTCTGTACACGCAGCCGCGCCGCCGGACGTGGTGCGCGATCCAGAGGGTTTGGAATATGAAACCGGACAACAGCTGGGAAAAGGCGGCTTCGCCATCTGCCACCGCGCCAAACTGTTAGGCCACGAGAGCCTCGGAAACACCACAGTCGCTCTTAAGATTGTCAAATCCAAAATGGAGCCTCCTAAGCTCGCACAGAAGGTGCGCTCTATTACATCTGCACCCTTGTTTTGTTTTGCATTGTTTGTTTTGTTTTGCTGACGGACGCGAACGCAGTTTGTAACGGAGCTTCAAATACATTCCAAACTGTCACATCCCAACATCGTCGAGTTTTATCGCGCATTTTCGTTCGCACCGAGCACTTATGTCGTCCTCGAGCTTTGCGAAAACGGTTCCCTTGCCGATGCCATTAAGAAACGCAAATACTTCACCATGCCCGAGATCAGACGATTCATGATCCAGACTTGTGGCGCCATCAAATACCTTCACCAGCGGAATATTGTTCACCGAGACTTGAAGACGGGCAATCTTTTTCTCGATCGCGACATGAATGTCAAGGTTGGCGACTTTGGCCTAGCGGCACTGCTGGTCAACCAGAGCGACTGGGGCGCGATTCGCCGGACCACCATGTGTGGTACCCCCAACTACCTCGCCCCCGAAGTGTTGGAGAAGACTGGGAAAGGTCACGACGAGAAGGTCGATCTTTGGGCTATTGGTATCATGATGTGAGCATGCCCCGTTCTCGCCGTCTTCTAGATGATGGTTTCTAATCTGTATAGGTATACACTTGCCGTTGGTAGAGCGCCATTTCATGCCGCGAAACGAGAGGATATCTACCGCAAACTGAAGGCACGCGAATACTCTTGGCCCGACATAGCCAAGTGTGGAAACGAAATCACCGACGATCTGCGTGACATTGTTTCCCTTCTACTTGTTCACGAGGACGAACGACCGACACCGGATCAAATCGTAGCTCACCCATTCTTCAAATTGGGATTCATTCCCTTGAAACTCGACAGCGGCTGCACTAGTAAGGTGCCCAAGTGGTCCAAGATACGGCCCCCGACACCTGCCACACTAAAACGAGGTTATACAGACGAGTGGTGGGCCATGTGCAAAGCCTCAGCTGTAGGAGAATACGAACCTGGGAAATCATTCGGAGCATATGGTAGCCGAAGAAACAAGACGGTAGCACGGGATTGCCAAAAAGAGATCGAATCTGGATTGCAACCGAATATCCCATTCGCAGCGGATCTCGTATACCTGCCGTTTCCCGCCCGCACGCAGTGGCCGTTCCAAGCAGCTAACGGTCTGAGCGATATAACAGAAGAAAAAGAATCCTCGTCAGAAGGCACAGCACTGGTAGAAACTACAGGCAACGATCGTGGGAGAGGACGTGCCCCACGCACCGTGAGAAGAGAAGAGCCACTGCCTGCCTTGCAAGAGAACGACGAACCAGAAGTTGCTCTACCTCGAAGAGTAGTCGATAAACAGCCCGCGAGGATAAGATCAGTGCGGAAGATATCGAACCCTGGCCGAGTGACAGCAGCCACAGCGCCGTTGGCAGTTCCCCTGAAAGTTCCCAAAGATACTCGGTCAGTGCAACGTACGAAATCTGCGAAAGAGTCGACAAAGGAAAAACAGCCAGAGCAGGATATCCAGGAAATCCCTCAACCGCGTCTCGCAAAATCCACTTCCCGTTCCTCACAGAAGAGTAATTCATCAGCCCCCAAATCAGCATCCCAGTCATCAAAAGCAGCTCGCAACACCCCAGTCCTCCGTGCTGTGAGTCCTGAGCTTCCCACGACTACCCCAGTATCAACACTCGCTCAATTGGAAACCTTTCGCGATAACTTGCAGCGCGCACTGGATCGAATACAGTCCAAATCACGGCGCGAAAAACCCCCGCAACTTCCCTTCGTTTCGAAATGGGTAGACTACTCGCGAAAATATGGTGTCGGATATGTACTTGACGATGGGAGTGTTGGATGCATGACGACCGCTACGGAATCATTTCCTGTCACTGTTGCATTTGTCACAAACGGTGTTCATCACCTCAAGGAGCTATCCAAAGATTCGGAGTATCTCAAAGATGTGCCCATACAGCTGTATGCAGCCCCTAGAAAAGACAAGGGCATGGCCCGCGTCGAAATTACCGACCAACGTCGACAAGACGATATACGATGCTACTGGCAGAAGTTCGCAAAGTACATGTGTATGCAATTAGGCGAGGAAGATATGCGTGTGAGAGACATCGAGCGTCCAAACTTTGTGAGGTTTTATCAACGTCTTGGTAACCTGGGCATCTGGGGTTTCGATGACGGTTCTTTCCAGGTGAGCGATCTCAAGTCACTGAGAAGATAGCGAAGCTAATATATGCTTGACAGTTCAACTTCCCCGATCATACCAAACTTGTCCTCTCGTCGGACGCTGGGTACGGCAAGTTCGTGTGCATGCCTGTAAAAGCCACCCAAATTTTACGAAAGACTGGCGACGTGCCCTTCCATTACGTTCGAGGCCGCGAAACCTTATACGGCTCCCTCCAACAACTCATGTGGGGCTCCATCGGCGGCGAAGATCGATACAAAGACCTCACCGAAGGAAACGGATTACGAAGCAAAATCGAATTCATTCGCGACATCTTCACGGAATGGATTGCTGGAGGCGGACTGGGGTGTCTTGACGAACCCAAGAGCTGGGAATGGAGAGGCCCTCAATTAGCTTCCGATCCCAAACGTCGCGATTGGTCCAGCGTTGGCCGTCACGGCGGTGACGTTTTCTAAGATTCTTTTCGTTTCTCGAACTTCCTTCTTTCTCCAGCATTGTTGTTTTTGTTTGGGTTTGAAGCGTTGGGGCGTCGTGCGAAGAGTGTTTTGAGCAAGTTCCCTTGCTCTTTCCACTCTTGTTTCCTTTCTCGCATTCATTCTTGCATCGGCATGGCGTCTTCTTCTTGTCACGAACAAATGTTGTCAGCCTCCAACCTGCTTGATTTTTTGTTTTTCGAGGCGTCATTTTCGCTCTCTTACGAATTTGCATATCTTGTTCGGCGTTGGGCAACTGGGGGGCTGGCTTGTGGGAGGTAGGGATGGGGGGTGATAACATAGCACAGACACATACACATATGCACGTAGCTGAGATTTGAAGCTTTGGTGAAAGCTATACTCATTATTAACGTTCAAAAGTTCATTGCCACCTTTTTGTAATGCAAGTTGTGGCGCGAAATATTAGGGATCAATGAATGAAATATTGTCTCAAGCTGTGTTGGATTTGGATCTCTTGTGATAACTCGTCTTTCATATTGTGTTGGAGTAGTCGAGCATCTTCCATTTACGATGTCGCAGTCATCTATAACAAGGGGTTCTTGCACTACCACTGAGAGCTCGAATTTTGTTTATCTTTTTGATATTATAATCAAGTAATCTTGTCGATTTACAGCCAGCTAGCGTCGTCTACACCACCGCATTTAGTCTCCGCATCTGTCACGGGCGAGGGATGGGGAACGTACAGACCAACGATCAAAGTCTCAGGGACTTGAACTCGAGCTGGTCAAGTCGGCGTCTGACTCGTTTATACCCACGGGATTTTGAATTACCTTTTGCAATCTTTAGTAGTAGCACTTTGGAGAAAGACTGCTGAAGGATCGTAGCACTGCTTGAAGTATGGACTTAGTCATCAGTTTCTCCCTAGGAAATAATCGCCGATAAAAAGTCGCCGTGATGCATATCTACATCAAAACATCGCCCTGGTTTGTAATTCACCACACCCGACCAAAGCATAAATATCTCAACATGTCTTTTCGCAGTCCTACTAATTCGAATCCCCGGCATCCCAAAACCAAGTTTCATTTCGATTGCCTGCAAGAAGCCCACATTCACCGAAAATGGCCAACTCGGCAGACACAAAATCAGCCAGTCCGCCCAAACCATCATATCCACCAATCCCTCTATGGAAACTCGTGATATTTCAGTCTGCCTTCACCCCCGAAGTCCTCGATCACACATACCCCGGCAGCGGAACCCTAGACGACCCTTACCGTGTAGAATGGCTCCCAAACGACACTCGCAACCCTCTGATCATGCCAACATGGATCAAATGGATGATCACCATCATCCAAGCCTTCGCCTTCCTCTCCATCACCTTCGCCTCCTCAGCCCTCTCAGCAGCTGACCCGCAGCTCGAACAGCGCTTCGCCGTAAGCAGTACGTTGGTCATCGCAGATACTTCACTCTTCGTGCTAGCATTCGCCATTGGTCCTGCTATATGGGCGCCGCTTTCCGAGCTCTATGGTCGGCAAGTGGTGTGTATTCTCACGTACGCTTTAACGACCTTGTTCAGCGGCGCCGTGGTTGCGAGCACCGATATCGCAAGTGTACTCGTGCTCAGGTTCTTCGCCGGTGCGTTTGGAGCTTCCGCCATCACGAACTCGGGCGGTGTTGTCTCGGATATGTTCGACGCTCGGGATCGCGCGGTCGCTATGCTGGCTTTCATTGGCGCTCCGTTTTTGGGACCCAGCATCGCGCCCATCGCGTGTAGCTACCTCGCGGTTGCTGCTGGGTGGCAGTGGGTTGCTGGGTTGATCGCGGTCTTCGTCGGGGTAGCTTTTGTGGGTGTCTTGTTCGTGCCTGAGACTTACCCCCCTGTTTTGCTGCGGCAGCGTGCGAGGAAGCTTTCGAAATTAACGGGGAAAGTTTATAAGAGTAAGCTGGATGATGGGACGAAATCTCCAAAGGCGGTGATCAGGATCGCAATGGTCAGGCCGTGGGCTTTGTTGACTAGAGATCCCATTGTGATGTTGCTGTCTTTGTATATGGCTATCAGTACGACCTGACTTGATTCCCATTCCAAACTTCTAGATTCTATTCACTGACCGGATCCAGTCTACGGTACCATGTATATGGAATTCGCCGCCTTCCCCATCGTCTTCGTCGGTTCCCGGGGATGGACGCAGGCAAACTCAGGCCTCTCATTCGTAGGCATGGGCATAGGGCAAATCATCGGCGTCATCATCTCCTATCTCGACAACATGCGCTACAAGCGCGTCATCGACCGCTTACCAGCAGGAACCACAGTCGCCCCGCCCGAAGCGCGACTATTCCCATCACTGATCGGCGCTGTGCTGCTACCAATCTCGCTCTTCGAGTTCGCGTGGACAAACTACCCTTCTATCCACTAGATCGCTTGCCAGATCGGTGCGGTGGGCTTAGGCATCTCGCATGTCCTCATTTTCCTAAGCGTCGCGAATTTCCTCGTCGATACATATACGCTGTACGCTGCGTCTGCGCTGGCGGCAAACACAATCATCCGCGCCCTCTTCGGCGCTGCGTTGTAAGCTTCTCCATTTTCCTCTCTTGCACGTACCGATCTCCTCGCACGTCAAGGACATGGCGATGCTGACGAAAGTTGGGTGTTCAAGTCCGTTGTTCACAACGCCCATGTACGAGAAGCTTGGGATTCACTGGGGCGCATCTGTTCCTGCGTTTCTAGCTCTGGCGTGCGCTCCGTTCCCGTATCTTTTTTATAGGTACGGGGAGAGGGTTCGTCGGAGTTGTAGGTATGCGGCTGAGTCGGCGAGGATTATGGATGAGCTTCATGCTGGGTCCAACAGGACGTAGGAAGCAAAGGCCGGGATGGTCTCTACTGGTGAGGAGTAGGAATCAGCGGGTTTTTTCATGGCACCGCAGGTAGTCGTTATGCTCGGAAACAGAGTGTGATTTCTGATGTTTTGTTGGCGATATTAGTTGCTTGCCTGTAGAGTCTCGACATGCTTGGTGAGATGAAAGGCTTCAGGACGATTTGGGTGTTTTCAAGTGTACCTTGAATGATGGCTATTGTATGTTCTTAAATTCAAGAGCGATAGACCATCGATACAGAATTGATGGTGAGGAGAGGCATCACTCTCAATGTGTATGAAATGATTATCACGTACATGCTATCTCTCCATCTACTATATGAAAACTCGATATCAGACACTACAAAGAGAAATATTGCAAAATCCAAGCAGTGCAGCCACCATCCTCTGCCCTCGACGAACTAGGCCCTCGCAATCGAACAACTCCAATCCACTGGAACACAAACATCCAACCCTCACTCCACATGCTCATCAGCCTTCACACTCCCCTTCTCAGTCGCCACCCCCGCCAAAAAAGCAACCCCAGAAGCCACAACCGGCACAATCAAAACCAGCCTCAGCGCCCTCGCATATGCCTCCCTAACATCTCCAACCTGCCCCCCAGCAACCCCACTCACCACATCAACCGGATCCTGGCTGACCACCCTATCTACATCCACGCTCGGTTGAATCTCCCCCAAAAACCGTCGTAAAGAAACATTGAAGATATTCTGATCAATGCTCAACGCCAAAGCCCCGCCAAATGACTGAAAGAAAATCAGCAACGAATTCGCAATCGCGCGGTCCTTTACCGGGATCTTAACTTGCACCGCGGTGAAGGGGACTTGGATCCCCAACCCAAGCCCTATACTAGCGATGAGCTGGTACCCGATCCATGCGGCTACGCTGGAATCCGTGGAAAGCGTAGATAGCGTTCCGCATCCGATTGTCAGGATTGCGGCGCCCGTCCACATGGCCCACGCGTAGGGTCCGAATTTGCTGATGAGCGCGGCGGTGACGAATGTTACGAGGGAGTTTGTCACGACGAAGGGGAGGATGTAGATTCCGGAGCGGCTGGCGCTGACGCCTTTTGCGGCTTGGAAGTAGAAGGGGAGGTAGTAGGATATTGTCGAGGAGGCGATGAGGAGGGTTAGGGCGTAGATGCTGCTGGTGTAGACTGTGCGGTGGCCGATGACGCGGGAGGGTATCATTGCTCTGGGTTGGGAAGTGTTAGAACTGTGGGGATTCTTTTCATCTTGGGTCGAGAGGAGAGAGGGGGATGGGCTTACCTTTCTCCCTGATGGATTTGGAGGATCACGAAGATGGTTAGTCCTACTGCGAAGGCGAGAAGGAATGGCCATACTTGTGTGCTTGACCAAGGATGTGTTACCCCGCCTCTCTGTAATGCAAAAAACAAGCATACAATAGTGCCGGAGAGAAGTAGCGAGGTGTGAATTTGCAGATCTTTCAATCTATCTTTCAGAGTTTTTTCCCCTCGATCTTTCTGTGGCTCTTTGTAGAAGAAAATCAGGATGACGCACGCGATAAACACCAATGCTATCTCAAAGTATAAGTCAATTACTGAAAGAGAGAGAGAGAGAGAGAGAGAGATGGTGGAAGATCAAGAACGCCCACTCACGCAAGTTGATCCAAAACGCAAATCTCCACGTCAACTTTGAATCCACAAAGATTCCGCCAATGACTGGTCCAGCCGCTCCAGCAACAGCATACACACTCGCGATAAGCGCCATGAACAGCGGGCGTTTCTGCTGTGGAGCAAGGTCTGCCACGATATTCAGCCCGCCGCCCATGATGCCAGCACCGCCCATACCCTGGACCGACCGACTGACAATCAGTGCGCTAGAGGAAGTGGCTAATGCGCAGACGATGGATCCGATGCCGAAGATGAGCAGGGCAGCTACGAGTGTCCATTTTAAACTGAAATGGGTGTAGATTGTGCCGTAGGTTGGCTGGAGCGCCATTACTGCGAGAAGGTAGGCGGCACCATACCAGCCGATGTCATGTAAGCTGTTGAAGGTGCTAGCGATACGCGGAACTGCAGTGGCTATGATTGTTGAGTAGAGTTAGATATATGATTGTGGTTTTGTGGAGTATTGAGGGAACACCGAGTTGCTCATACCGATGATGTTGATGTCCAGCGCGACGAGTAAAACGGATACCATGACGGCGGTAGTTATGGTGATCAGCCGAAACCCCCGGACATATGTATTCTGATTCGAGCGTTCGGGATCGTCTGGGTTGTTTGAAGCTTCGTTGTTCTGCGTAGCCACTTGCTGTCCTGTATGTGGAGACGTTTTGTCGTGTTTGTTTTCACTCGCTGTACTATCACGTTTCTTCCCAGACTCTTGGCTCACGATGGTATCCATTAGGTTTAGGGTTTTTGGTTGATTGAACTTGAGATTATTGCCGAATTCAGTGTGGTTCTCGACTTGTATGAGAGTCGCGGTATCGAAAAGCGTAAGGCATCTTTTCTTTATTATCTGTTTGAGTATCAGAAACGAGACTGCGACGACCGCGCCCTTTGCGCCCGATGCCGCCTTCTTGGCCACTATACAACAACCGATAGGCGTTTGGCTCTGTACCCATCAGTGTGGTTCGGGATCTTCAAATTGGTTCGGAAATTTTAAGTTTACCACAGCTGTAGGGTCGAATAGCATGCGTTGGAACAATGGGCAAGGTTTAGCGAGTACGGCCTTCTGAATATGGAAATGTACAGAACTCGTGGAGCGTTCACGGTACTGAATTAGGCTAATCAGAAGGGCGGTACTGCGAGCTGGAATCAGACAACCGCCCTTTGCATGCACAACCTCGAGGTTTGTATGTGATTGAGAGATGCCATGTACAGTGGGGTGCAAGTTTGTGGTTTCTCCATGCCAGCTTTTCCATGTGTGTGAGAGGCTGTTTTATCATATCTCGATTACCCTCGTCAGTGTCACTGGGTCTATAGCGTGTGCGGTACGATCCTGTTCACTGTGTATGGCGCTATCCGATAGATGTTGGTAGTTGCATAAAGTAGACATGTTGATAATTGATGCAATGTCTAGGACATGATCTCAATCAGTCGATTCGTATGAAAGCAAGGTTGGAAGAGATGTCGATCTCGATTCCGTCGAGTACAATAAGTTTTTGTCATACAGTTTGGGCGTTCCTACACACGACGATGTGTACAACGATCAAAGTACCAAAAGTCAGACAGTCCATACATGGGTGTATAATCAAAAAAGGCGCGTGAATTACGCCTTTACACAAGCTTTTCCAACATACATTCCGCCCAGTACATTCTGCACAACTGCAGCGTCTGAAATATCCTCGAGTGGCGACGGCTTTCTTAGGTATGACGAAGTTGGAAACAGTTGACGTCGAACAAGTGCAGATATTAATAGAAAAGAGGGTGTGGTTGCGCAAGCTGTGGCGGTGCACGTGGCTAACGGCTGGTTGGTTGTGACATCGTGCGTTCGGCATCCATCCATCGTGCGTGGGACATCAGCCAATGCTCCCTCGCTCACTTCACACTCGACGAACCACCACCCAACAATTCCCTCCTCCCTTCTCCCGACCTACGTACGTCCTCGCTCAAACCTACCTGCACCAGCGCACTCGCTTTCCGACTGCACACCACCCGCCAACCCCCGACTTTGGCCTGCTCCATCCCACCCACTACACTAGGCAGCGAGAATAGGGTTGGGCATCAAACATGGTAAATGAGGACCAGACACCCAATTTCAGGCCACCAAAGAGTTTCTGAGCGCCCGCTGACTCCCAGTGTAGAAGGCAGTATCAAGACGTGCCGGGCGCAAGAAAGAGGGTGGCGGGGGAGCCCCAAAGCAGCAGTTTGCGAAGAAGGCCGTTTTCGAGAGCACCAAGAAGAAGGAGGTCGGCGTCTCGGATCTCACGCTGATTAGCAAGATATCAAATGAGGCCATCAATGAAAACTTGAAGAAGCGCTTCGAGAATGCCGAAATCTACGTGCGTGAACCCCTCTTTCTGGACCCGCGCCCCTCAAGCAAGCGCTCGAGCTCATGATCGTCGCAGACATATATCGGCCATGTACTGGTTTCCGTCAACCCTTTCCGAGACCGTAGGTGCATCAACCTCCATCGTTTTCTAGCACAGCTAATCTTGCGCAGTCGGAATCTACACAGACCAGGTGCTGGACAGCTACAAGGGCAAGAACAGGCTCGAGGTAGGGCTCCCGCCATCCGCCCGGCAACGCTGGAGCTGACTTTCCCAGATGCCTCCGCACGTATTCGCCATCGCCGAGTCGTCGTATTACAACATGAACGCGTACAAGGACAACCAGTGTGTCATCATTTCCGGGGAATCAGGGGCTGGAAAAACAGAAGCGGCGAAGCGAATAATGCAATACATTGCCAATGTCTCTGGTGGCAACAACACTTCGATTCAAGAAATCAAGGACATGGTGCTGGCCACGAACCCTCTACTCGAGTCGTTTGGAAACGCGAAGACTCTACGAAACAACAATTCCTCCCGGTTCGGAAAATACCTCGAGATACAGTTCAATGCGCAGGGTGAACCGGTAGGTGCCAACATCAACAACTACCTCCTGGAGAAGTCGAGAGTAGTAGGCCAAATCACAAACGAGCGGAACTTCCATATCTTCTATCAGTTTGCGAAAGCAGCATCAGAGAGCCACAGGCGTAAGTTCCTATAGCTGCATCATTCCGTGGGAATCGTGGTCACCAATCAACTGACTCTTGCAGAAACGTTTGGCATTCAGCAACCACAATCGTACGTCTATACCAGCCGATCGAAATGCTATGATGTCCAGGGAATAGACGACCATGCGGAATTCAAAGATACTCTCAATGCCATGAAGGTCATTGGGTTATCACAAGCTGAACAAGACAATATATTCCGAATGCTTGCGGCTATTCTATGGCTCGGAAATGTGTCGTTTCAAGAGGACGATTCAGGGAATGCCGCAATTGTGGACCAATCCGTCGTGGATTTCGTTGCCTATCTACTCGAGGTCGATTCCGCCCATGTCAACAAAGCCCTTTCCACACGCGTTATGGAGACGAGTCGTGGAGGGCGGAGAGGCTCCGTGTACGACGTACCGCTGAACCCGGCGCAAGCAACGGCTGTGCGCGATGCACTTGCAAAGGGTATCTACTTCAATCTTTTCGATTGGATCGTACAGCGCGTCAACGTATCACTACAAGCCCGAGGTGCAATGTCACATTCTATCGGAATTCTCGACATTTATGGATTCGAAATCTTCGAAAAGAATAGTTTCGAGCAGCTGTGCATTAACTACGTCAATGAGAAGTTGCAGCAGATTTTCATCCAGTTGACTTTGAAAGCCGAGCAGGACGAATATGCGCGGGAACAGATTCAATGGACACCAATCAAATATTTCGACAATAAAGTTGTTTGTGAACTCATTGAAGAGAAGCGTCCGCCGGGTGTTTTCTCCTTCTTGAACGATGCGTGCGCGATAGCCAACGCAGATCCTGCTGCCGCCGACCAGACTTTTTCACAACGTCTGGGTGCACTCTCAACCAACCCAAACTTTGAGCCCCGCCAGGGACGGTTCGTCATCAAGCATTATGCCGGTGACGTAGCCTATGCGGTGGATGGTATGACGGATAAGAATAAGGATCAGCTGCTCAAAGATCTGCTCCTGCTCTTGGGCAATAGCTCCAATAGTTTCGTGCACACACTTTTCCCTGATCAAGTCAATACCGACGACAGAAGGCGACCACCCACTGCAGGAGACAAGATCAAAGCTTCAGCGAATGACCTCGTCTCTACCCTCATGAAAGCGCAACCGTCATATATTCGAACCATCAAACCCAACGAAAACAAGTCCGCCACCGAGTTCAATGAACCAAACGTTCTACATCAGATCAAATACCTGGGTTTGCAAGAGAATGTTCGTATTCGACGTGCGGGTTTCGCATCCCGTCAAACTTTCGAAAAGTTCGTGGAGCGCTTCTTCCTTCTATCGCCAAAGACCGGGTATGCGGGAGAATACACATGGTCGGGAGACTACCAAAGTGGCGCGAAGCAAATCTTGAGGGATACCAATATTCCCGCCGAGGAATTCCAGATGGGTACTACCAAAGTGTTTATCAAAACTCCCGAAACCCTTTTCGCGCTCGAAACTATGCGGGACCGTTACTGGCACAACATGGCTATTCGAATTCAACGTGCTTGGAGGAATTATCTACGGTATCGAGCCGAGTGCGCAACTCGTATCCAAAGATTCTGGAGACGAGTTAATGGAGGCATGGAATTCATCCAAGTGCGTGACGAGGGCCATAAGATTCTTGGTGGTCAAAAAGAGAGACGGCGATTTAGTTTGATTGGATCCCGCCGATTCATGGGTGACTACCTGGGTATCGGCAACAAAGGTGGTCCCGGTGAAGTGATTGCTAACGCTATCGGCATTTCTGGCGAAGAGGTGGTATTCTCCTGTCGAGCTGAGATTTTGGTGTCTAAGCTTGGCCGGTCATCCAAACCGGAGGCTCGACAGCTCGCGTTGACCAAAAAGAACGTATATCTGATCAAGCAAGTCTTGGTCAACCGGCAAATTCAGATTCAAGCAGACAGGACCATACCTGTCGGGGCTATCAAATTCATCAGCTGTTCCAAGTTGAAGGATGATTGGTTCTCCATTGGCGTAGGATCACCGCAAGAGCCTGATCCCTTGGTCAATTGTGTCTTTAAGACGGAATTTTTCACTCACTTGAAGCACGTTTTACGCGGCTCACTGACCTTGAAGATAGGCGACACGTAAGTTTCAGCCCTTGCGAATGCGAACAGTAGCCCCGAGATCTAACAAGTAGCAGGATTGAATACAACAAGAAGCCCGGTAAGCCATCACAGATCAAAACGATGAAAGATCCAGCTGTGCCACGAGACGACACCTACAAGAGTGGTACCGTGCATACCGGTCCCGGAGAGCCACCCAACTCGGTCTCAAAGCCTACACCCAAAGGCAAGCAAGTTGCAGCAAAGCCAATTACCAAAGGCAAACTGTTGCGTCCTGGTGGACCAGGTGGTGGGCCATCAAAGCTCGCCAGTCGTCCTGCTCAACCTCGACCTACACCCGCTGCCGCACCTCAATCTAGACCGGTACCACAGCCAGTGGCTGCGTTGTCAAACGGGTCATCGCATGCACGCAATTCATCTGCATCATCCAACCGGGCACCGCCCCCGCCGCCTCCCGCACCTCCCGCTGCACCACCAGCTCCAAAAGAACCAACATATAAAGCCATGTATGATTTCGCTGGCCAATCAGCTGGCGAGTTGAGTATCAAGCAAGACGAGATCATTCTCGTCACCCAAAAAGAAGGCAACGGTACGTTTGAGTGGTCTTTCACATGATGACTCGATTGAACTGACAACTTGCAGGCTGGTGGCTGGCACAACGTTTAGACAAATCGGCCTCAGGCTGGGCGCCTTCCGCCTACCTCGAAGAAGTCGTCAACAAGCCCGCTCCGCCGCCCGCTCCTCCCGCACCACCAGCGCGTCCTGGTGCCAACGGCGTGCGCGGTAAACCGGCGCCGCCTGCCCCTCCGGCAAAACGTCCCGCAGCAAAGAATCGACCGTCAGCGAACGGGACGAGTAGTCCCGGTGCTGGGGCGAGGGATAGTGGGGGAAGTATTGCGGGGGGGTTGGCGGAGGCACTGAGACAGAGGCAGGCTGCTATGCAAGGTAAAAAGGCAGATGACGATGATTGGTGAGGAAAGTTGGAGATGAACCAGCACTGAGGCGATTCGAGAGGGCGCAAGGGCGAGCTATGATGGTAAGACGGTGGAAGAGAGACTTGCTTATCAATTTGCTCGTTGCGTGTAGAGCAACCAGTATTCAGCATAAAGGCCTATTTTGGCAAGAGAATCGTCGGTGGCAAGCTTGGGAAAGCACAGCATCTTGGGCTATCATTCAGTGGGTTAGTCTTGGTGGTTTGCTGATATCTACAGTACGCGGAGCTGTGGTATGTGTGGGATTAGCCTTTGATTTCGTAGATGGCTATATATTTGTTCACTTGTTTGGACCCGGTCGCGGGGAATCTTTGCATGGACAAGGTCGTCTTATCATGGAGAAATTGATGATGGTCCAGCTAGGCCAGCGTATATCGATTGGTGGATTATTCACGGCCACAAATTGATGGATCCCATGTACCGAAAGGAAGAAGAGGCCACGAGCAATGTGGAAAACAAGTACCAATGTCTCAGAAAAGGCACCATGGCGGTTGGTAGTAGCTGTGTACCTGGCCAAGCGAGCAAGAAGGCTATTGAGACTGCCGAAGTGCGATCCGAGCAGGCAGATCATCGGGCTAAACCAAGAGCCTCGACCGCTCAATCGCCCACGCCTTGTTCCAGCAAACGCTCCAACAGCAACAGTAGCGAGCAACGTCGATTGCGCTGATACGGGCCATGCTGCCTATCCTCCCGCGCCGTCTATTCGGAATCGAGGCCCGAGCCCCGTCTCTCCATCCCGGTCAGACGCCGCCAATCCCCACTCATCATAACCGTTTGCCAAAATTTATCCGACCATCAGATGCGCGGGGAGCGTCCAACGCATTGCAGGTGCCGCCATGCGATTCGTTGCGCTTCTTGCGGGTCTGTAGCGTGCTGTGCCAAATCTAATTCTTCTCTGACTGATTAAGACTACATACCCTTGGACCGACCACTCAGCGCAGTGTAGGACCGCCATTACCGCCTTCTTCCCCAGCCTCCAACTCGTTCGAAGCAAGTTGCTACCAAGCATGGCTGTCGCCATGCACGACTACCCCAATTGTCCAGACTCGAATCGGCTCAATCTCGCTCTGTAATGTTGTCTGGCTGTCCTATCGCGGCAATTCCTCGTCGACGAAAGTGGGGGACATGGTGGATAGATGGATACTTACTTACATGTATGTAACCAACATCAGGCGGATGTGCAATTAATCCCTCCCAGTGGAAAGGGAAGGGGCCTCGCCACATCTGCTAATGATGAAACGACGCCTGGGTCACGCGGATGTACTCACTTTATGTTCGCGATCCTTTCTACCTGGGAGAAGCAAGCGTTTTTTTTTGGTTTGGTTTTTTTTTGCTGTTAACGTCGGTACCAGTCAAACTTAGCATAACCGATCTGCAGCGTTGCTCTGGGATCCCGTCACTGGGGAGGGGGTTGTTTTCGTTTTCGTGTGTTTGTGTAAGTGAATGGATGATTGACCCGTTCCCGTGATTGCGTTGTCCGGATATTCGAGCCTCTCTCCTCTTTTTCTTGTCTTGTATCAAGCTTTTATTTTGCTTGTGCTAACTTTATGTCCCTTTCGATCAAGTCAAGCCACGCGAACCTTGGGGATCGCCAAAAAGGTACTAATAGGAACCTGATGACCGCTTTCTTCTACCTCGTGCCGTTTAAATATCCTCTTGACATTTTCTTCTTTTTTTGATCTTCATCTCGCCGTTTCTCTGCTTTTGCTCAACACGCTCTTGCACTCGTTTCCAACATAGTGGCACTTTGTCCCACTCCAAACTTCCTACACACACACACCCTCTTCACCCGTCCCCACTATATCAAGCCCTCGCTCGAACCGCCGGGTCAAGTGACCAGGGGGGGTCACTATCTTCAGATTCATTAACTCCAAACCACAGTGACACAAAACCACAACGAGAAATATGGCTGGCGCGGAACCCACGATTCCTGCGGGCCTAGTAGAGGGAGAGGTGCAGCAGGACATGAGCGGGTTAAAAGAGACGCGAGTCCAGGTTCAATCCGTCACGGTTGCAGATCTAACACCTGCCACCACGCCCGAAGAACAGAGCCCAAACGAAGAAATGTCGAGCACGTTGACGACGGGGAAAGACGGCTTTGAGTCGCGGGATCCGAGGACGAGGGCGAGAGAGTTGGTCAAGGAGTTGACGCTTAGGGAACAAGTATGTTTTTGATTGATTCCACTTGTGCTTTTCCTTTCTCGGTCATCACCATGTCAAATCGAGAGAGCGGAATGGCACATGGCCTGTTTTTTTTTTCGATTGTTTTGTCATGTTCGTTGTACTGATCACCATCCTTCCCCCTTGCAGATTTCACTTTTGGCAGGGTCGGATTTCTGGAGGACGATGCCGATTCCTGGGAAAGGCGTGCCATCCATCAAAACTACGGATGGCCCGAATGGAGCTAGAGGAGAGTTCTTCACAAACGGTACTCCAGTACGTAATGTCTCACGTTCCTATATCAAATGTTATTTTTTTTTTAATGGAAAAAACCTCCAGGCTGCATTGTTTCCCTGCGGCGTATCGATGGCAGCAGCGTGGAACCTGGACATGATGGAAGAAATAGGAAGACACCTAGCCGACGAGGCAAAAGCCCGCGGAGCCCACGTTCTCCTCGCGCCAACAATATGCATGCACAGATCACCCCTGGGTGGTCGAAACTTTGAATCGTACTCTGAAGATCCGTTCCTGACGGGGAAACTGGCAGCATCGTACATCCGCGGGCTGCAGAGCAAAGGCATTGCGGCGACGATTAAGCATTTTGTAGGCAACGAGCAAGAGACGGAAAGACAGGCGTACGACGCCATCATCGCCGAGCGCCCGCTGCGGGAAATTTACTTGAAACCGTTTGAGATTGCTATCCGCGACGCCTCGCCCTGGGCCCTCATGAGCTCGTACAATATGGTCAATGGCGTGCATGCGGATGAACACTTGCATACCATGAGAGACATACTGCGAGGCGAGTGGGGTTGGGATGGTGCCATCATCTCCGATTGGACGGGGACTTACGCAACTGCGCCTTCGATCAAAGCCGGGGTCGATATCGAGATGCCCGGGCCGTCGAAATGGCGGAAAACCGATCAAGTTCTCGCAGCGCTTGAAAGAGGCGAAATCACGCATCGCGAAATCGAGGAACTGGCCGGAAACGTGCTGTATCTGGTAGACAGGACGAAAGGTCTGGACGATCACTCGCCGGAGCCTTCGGAAAAGTCAATCGATAATCCGAGCACTCGTAGCTTGATTCTGCAAGCCGGCATCGAGGGATTGGTGCTACTCAAGAATGACAAAAACGTGCTGCCAGTCACAGATGCGAAGAAAATCGCACTGATTGGGCCAAATGTGAAACGAGCCATTGCAAGCGGCGGCGGCAGTGCCGGTTTGGCTCCTTACTACAAGACCACGCCATGGGACGGTTTCCAAGGTCGTTTTGACGGCGAGCTCACATTTGCAAGCGGGTGTGACAGCTCAAAGTGGATGCCACTGGCCTCTCCCTACTGCACGACCCCAGACGGCGAGCCGGGTGTCCGGTTAGAGTATTATAACGGAGACCAGTTCAACGGTGAGCCGGCCGTGGTGCAAACCAAGGCTGGCACGGATCTTTGGCTATGGGATTCTGCACCAAAATCGGTGCTCCCGGCCTACTCTTTCAAAGTGAAAGCCACGCTTACGCCGAAATCGACCGGAAACCACACCTTCAGCTTCGCGTCTGTAGGGCCTGGTAGACTCTTCCTGAATGGCGAGCTTTTCATCAATATCTGGAACTGGACAGAAGAAGGCGAGGCCATGTTCTCTGCTTCGGAAGACGTGCTTAAGTCGATCCACCTCGAGGAAGGAAAACCAGTAGAGCTGCTCGTGGAAAGCACCAATGAAGTTCGACCTGCTTCCAAGGTTGCAATCATCCGCCGCAGTCATGACTATGGCGGATGCAGAATTGGATACCAAGAGGAAGACAAAATCGACCGGATACAGGAAGCTGTAGACACGGCCAAAGCTGCGGACGTCGCAGTGCTTGTGGTAGGGCTTGATGCTGAGTGGGAATCGGAAGGTTACGACAGACAGACCATGGACCTACCTAAAGATGGATCGCAAAACCGCCTCGTCGAAGCCGTTCTCCAAGCCAACCCTCGCACAATCGTGGTCAATCAATCAGGAACACCAGTAACAATGCCGTGGGCCGACCGCGCTCCCGCCATCATCCAAGCTTGGTACCAGGGTCAGGAAGCTGGCAACGCTCTCGCGGACGTCATCCTGGGCAATGCGAGCCCGAGCGGAAAACTACCAACCACGTTCCCTGTTAAAATCCAGGACAACCCGTCCTACCATAACTGGCCTTGCGAGAATCTGAAGACGGTATACGGCGAAGGCATCTATATTGGCTACAGACATTACGAGCGGTCCAAGATTGCACCTCTATTCCCATTCGGCCACGGATTAACGTACACGTCCTTCAACTACGGGGCAGCCAAATCCAGCAGCACAGTCCTGTCAGAGCCTGATAGGATATCGATCAGCATCCCCATCACCAATGCTGGCTCGGTGGCTGCGTCTGAAGTTGTGCAAGCGTATGTCAGGGATGTCAAGTCGAGCCTTCCACGACCAGAGAAAGAGTTACAGGCCTTTAGTAAGGTATCTTTGCAGCCTGGGGAGACGAAGGAGGTTACACTGGAGCTCGACAAGTACTCGGTTGGATACTTTGATACTTCGTTGACGGAGACTGGAGCTTGGATTGCAGAGGAAGGCGTGTTTGAGGTGCTGATTGGCTCGAGCAGTGTTGATATCAGGTTAGTTGTCGCCCTCCCATTTTTGGAATTTTTACTGTTGTGAGGTCATGGTGTCCGTTTTGCTAACTTGTGCTTTTAGGGAGAGGGTAAGCTTTGAGGTCAAGGAGTCGTTTACTTGGATCTTTTGAAATGGAGGTTGAATGTATTCTGTGAAGGGAGTTTGGTGTAGGATGGTGGTACATGCAGTTGGTACAACTTGATTCAGAATGATTTCATCTTGAAACAAATACTGTCCATATGTTATACGTGTTGCTCGACTATTTCAAAGTTAGTGTGTCATCGATGAAGGGGAGATGCATGGAAAGGAGAGGTATGTACCTGGCTAGCACCCGATGCGGTTAGTTGATCCCTTAGTCATCTGATGGTCGGGGCCGGAATAACTTGACGGCGAGCGAAAGACGGAATTTCCCGCGCGAGCCCTTTTGCCTTGCCAGAGCTCCCCCATTTGCTCCACATCCGTCACCATCATCAGCCGACAGACAGGTTTCTCCCCCAAACCCTCCACGCCTCTTTTTTTGCGGTCGCGTCGGGCTTCTCCAGCCGCAACCATTGTCGGCGTCTCTTCACCCCTCGGCCCCAGCACCGCTTCGGCTTCAGTTACGTAGCCCGTCCTGCTCTGCACAGCTGGACCCTCACTCGGTTGCTCCCCTTCCTCTCTTCGTGACAACTCCTTGTCCACCACCGTGTTTCGCCCCGACGACCGGAGCGAACCCTCAGACCATCGCTATTCTACATCCATCATACATCGTCGTCACTTGGTCTCGGCCCACATATGACCTTGCGCGCGCTGAACCACGTTCCCTACCTTCGCGAACGCGTCTGTTCTCCCGCCATCGTTTTCGCCCTTAAAGCCGATCTCCAGCTGTAACGCCGCCATGAACCCAGCGCACCGCGACGCCTGGCCGCCAAACCAGGCGCCTTTGCCCCCATCAGCTCAACAACAGAACGAACAACCTCAGCCATCACGGCCTATGGGCGCATTTGGGTATGTGCCCTCTACTGTCCAACTGCTAACCCTCCTCCCCCACATTCACTGCCTCATGCAAGCCCTCTTCACAAGCTTTGAGCCCTTAGACGCTCCCGTGCCATCAGTCGTGCGACTACATATGCTCTAAGACATACTGACAGTGATAGATCCAACAGTGCGAACCAACAACCGTCGTCACATCCTCCGTCGGCGCAAGGCAATGGAACTGTTCTGCCTCCCCCATCAGGTTTGTGCTTAGCCTTCACAATGCCAGCACGACGCATGCTAATAGACAGAAAAGGTCCATCATATTACCCATCAAGCGCTGCTGTGCAGCATAACCAGAACCTCCCATCGCTTTCGGGTCTTTCTGCCCAAGCTGCGCAGGCCTCACCTCACCAACCTACACAACCACCACCTTCATCAGAGCCCAACTCTCACCCACAAAACGTTCAGTCCGCACCGCAGGGTCCTCCTTACTCGTTGCCTGGCATTTCCCAGACACTCCAACAGTCGCATGGCCCAACAAACAACCAAGTCAACTTAGATCGCGAGCGCGAACTTCGTGAACGAGAGAGCAGAGAACGAGAAATCATGGAGTCACATGCCGCGCAACACGCCGCTCAACAAGACGACATCGTGAAACGAGAGGTTGAACAGCGCGATCGTGAGTTGCGCGAACGACAACAGCAGCAACAGCAACACGAGCAGGTGGCGCATGAAAACCACTCTGCACCGATTCAGATCCATCAGCCTGTGGCAGTAGCTCCTTCTACGAGGACAATTCACGGGCCAAACGGCCTCTTGGGTCAGGCCGGCCCTCTTGGTGGCCCCGCGATAGTTGGACAAAACCCACCAAACTCCATGTTCAGTGGTGGCGCTTCGGGGCCGCCCGTGCAGCAGGGAGAGACGACACCCCGGATGCAGCATGCTGTGCAGCCCCCCTCTCAAGCTTCGATGCTTATGCCGTTTACAGGTCCCCAAGGCCAGATGGCTATGGGCCAGGGTCAACAACCTATTCTCAATGTAAGTATCGCGAAGTATTTGCAATTTCGAGGCCAACTCTAATGCACATGATAGGATGCGTTGAGTTATTTGGATCAAGTCAAAGTCCAATTCGCAGATCATCCAGACGTCTATAACCGTTTTCTGGATATAATGAAAGACTTTAAGAGCGGAGCAATCGACACTCCCGGCGTCATTGAGAGGGTCTCGTCACTTTTTGCAGGCAATCCGAACTTGATCCAAGGATTCAATACTTTCCTACCCCCAGGGTACAAAATTGAATGCGGCACCAACGGCGACCCCAATGCAATCCGAGTCACAACTCCGATGGGTACCATGGTCTCCACTATGCCTGCTCCCAGGCCGCTGTCACCACCACGAAGCTCCGGGGTGAATGGAAACGCCCCCCCACAAAATGACCCTGCCTACTACGAGCAATCGGTAGCGAGAACGTGGACTGCACAGAACTTGAGGGACCTTCGGCCTCCTCAGCCCGAGAATCAGGAAGCTGCTTTCTCACCAAACAACCGCAATAACCTTGGCCAACCACTCTTCGGACCTCCACAAGGACCCCCAGTCCCAGCTCCACTATCGCCCGAAGCGAATAACCGGCCCCTTCCAGAGAGCGTTCCTTCTGCTGCTAGTATCGCGCACCAACAAGAACAACGTGGTGTATCTCAGCTGCAAAACGCCGTCTCTGCTGCCGCTACGGGGCGCACTATCATGTCACCTAATGGAGACGCCTCTACGACTCTGCCAGGTCAAACTTTGAATGGTATTGCCCAAAGCGCACAGATGGGCGCTCTTGGTGCTGAGAAACGCGGTCCCGTTGAATTCAACCACGCCATTAGTTACGTGAACAAAATCAAAGTGAGTCATGGAATGCAGACTTTCTAGGTCATCACTAACGTTCCGCAATAGAACCGCTTCGCTTCTCAGCCAGACATCTACAAACAGTTTCTCGAGATATTGCAGACTTACCAAAGAGAATCAAAGCCTATCCAAGATGTATATGCGCAGGTCACCGGGCTCTTCAGCTCGGCACCTGATCTCTTGGAAGATTTCAAGCAGTTCTTGCCCGAGTCGGCTGCACATCACAGGGCCCAGCAAGCCGCTAGACATAATGAAGAGGCCGCTATGATGGGCAACGCCCGGGGTGACCCTGCCTATGGTCAAGCCCCTAACCATCAACAAACCCCTCGAGCCGATAGTTCACGACTGCCTCCTATGGGCAACTTTGCGCCGACTCCTACAGCAAATCGTGAAAACAAGCGCAAACGCGGTGATCGAGCAGGCGAACGCGCAGGCGCTGGCACGACCGGAGCTGCACCACCCCCAGTCATGGCACAGGAGCCGCCTACTTCGAATATGCGCGGAAACTACCCACAAGGGAACATGAACAAGCGTGCCAAAACTGGACATACGAAACAACCCGCCGTCGCTGATGGACCACCAGTGTCACCCACGCTCACTCCAGCTCATCCTGAACCGATGCCTCCGAGCGCCACTACTACACCCAATCAAGACGAGTTGGCGTTCTTCGACCGTGTGAAGAAGTTCATTGGGAACAAAGGCACGATGAATGAGTTCTTGAAGCTCTGCAATTTGTTCTCTCAGGACTTGATCGACAAGAATCTGTTGCTTTATCGCGCCCAGTCATTCATTGGAGGTAACCAAGAACTGTTCTCGTGGTTCAAGAAGTTCCTTGGGGACGACGACGAACAGGCATATACACGCCCGAAAACCGTCAACTCACGTGTCTCACTCTCGAATTGCCGCAGCCTGGGCCCAAGCTATCGCCTTCTTCCGAAGCGTGAGCGCGAGAGGGTATGCAGTGGACGTGATGAGCTCTGCCGCTCTGTACTGAACGATGAATGGGCGTCTCATCCCACTTGGGCATCGGAAGATTCTGGGTTCGTGGCTCACAGAAAGAATCAGTTCGAAGAAGGACTCCACCGCATCGAGGAGGAGCGCCACGACTATTCCTTCAATATCGAAGCCTGCGACCGGACCGTTCAGCAACTCGAACCGATTGCTAACCAGCTGCTTCAAATGCGCCCTGAAGATAGAGTGAACTTCCAACTGCCATCCGGCCTAGGCGGGCAAAGCGAAACCATCTACAAACGGGTCATTATGAAGATCTATGGACGCGAAAAAGGCAGGGATGTGATCCGTGAACTCTTCCAGATGCCCTGGAGCGTTGTACCAGTTCTGCTTCATCGTCTCAAAGCTAAGCTTGAAGATTGGAAGGCTGCACAGCGTGAATGGGAGAAGGTCTGGCGCGATCAAACCCAGAAAATTTTCTGGAAGTCACTCGATCACCAAAGTCTATCTGTCAAGCAAAACGACAAGCGCCAATTCCAACAAAAGTCCCTCCAGAATGAGATCCAAGTTCGCTATGAGGAACAAAAGCGGCTCCAGGAGATACAAGAGATTCCCCAGCCCGACTATCAGTTCAAGTTTGCACTGAAAGACGAAGACGTCTTGTTCGACGTCGCTCGCCTTATCATCACCTTTGCAGACAACAGCAACACGATAGAGTATGGCAAAGTCGTGCCCTTCATCAAAGAGTTCGTACCACTATTTTTCGGCATTGACGCTACGCATTTCGACGAGAAAGTGCAAACCATGAGCCGCGAGTCATCCACCAACGGTTCAGGTGAAGAAACCGCAAGCGCCGATGATGATCTCTCCCATCGATCGCAAAAGAAGGGCGGGGATCTTCGCCGCAACGTCCTGGACCCCCGTGGCAAAGCGCGCAAGGACAAGGATGACAGTCTTGCATCTGTTAGCAGAGACAGCTCACCCGGTGTCACATCGGCCAATGACGACGAAGCCGGTGGAGAGAGCTCCAACTCAAACACACGGGACGGTCGCACACAAGCGCAGTGGGTTGAATACGCTTCTCGGCCATCTGCGTTTGATGATCGCGAGTATGAACACGAGGAACCCTACCGACGAAGCGAGTACAATATGTATATCAACTCCCCGATATACTGCTTCTTCCGCATGTTTGTCATTCTCTACGAAAGGCTATTGAAGCTCAAGGAGAATGAAGATGATGTGCGAAAGATTGTTTCTCGGGCCAAGGCCCCCAAGCCTGCTCATGAGCTGAAGATGTTGGACAAGGTACCCTCCGACTTCTTCAAGGATACATCCGACTCTGCCAATTACTACAAGCAAGTCCTCGATCTTCTCGAAGACCAGATTCTTGGTGAGGTGGATATGACGCACATTGAAGACACTATGCGCCGATATTACCTCCAGGTAGGCTGGCAGCTGTACTCTTTCGACAGGCTCCTGAGCTCCCTTGTTCGTTTCAGCCTAGCCGTTGTGGGCAACGACAACAAGGACAAAACGCTCGATATCTACAACCTGTTCAAGAAAGACCGTGTCAACGAGACAACCACGCATAAGAACGAGATCACCTATAGGAAGGCGGTCGAGAAGTATGCCAAAGATGCTGACACTTATCGCATCACCTATGTAAGCTCCATGCGGCTGATTGATTTTTGCAATTACTGACTAGTTGTGCAGGACCCCAATAAGGCGGAAGCTACTGTGCGATTGTTCAAGAGAGATGACCCAACATTTGAATTCAATCAGTTGGACAAGGTCAAGCGCTGGCGGGCATATGTGGCGTCGTACATGGCAGTTGAACCCACTGAGAGTCTGGACTACACCCGTCTTCGCTACCCATACCTAAAGAACGGCCTGAACAAGGCTGAAGATCCGGGCGAGGACGACCGCTTCGAGCACATCAAGGGCGCAGACAAGATCACCGTGCAAATCAACCCGCAGATGTACACGATGAAATTCATTGCGAGCGAACCTGCAGGGATCGGTGGTGTGCAGTACTTTGTCCAGCCTGATTCCATGCGATCCGGAGTCAGCGAGAGCGTGCCGAAGCCAGATGAAGAACTCGAGAGTGTTAAGGCTGCGAAGATTGATCGTCTTCAGGAACGCCAAGTCCGCAACAACCTTTGGATGAAGGATCTTAGTCGAGATGAAGTCGAAGCTAAGAAGCTGCCTTTTAGTCAAATGAAGGAAACGCCGAAGTCAGTGCAGCAGGATGATGAGGATGTGGAGATGGCTGGTGTGTAAGGATAACCGGTGGGAGGATTCCACGTAATGACTGTGTTATATCATTGTTTGATTGTTCTTTTTTTTTTCTTATTCATCTCCGGGTCCTGCAATGCCTGTCGGTAGCTGAGCTCCTTTTTCTTTGCCTGAACATTTCTTTCGATCGCGTCCAGCATCATCTTTTTTAGTGGGGGGTCGCGGGACAAGGTGCTGGGGTTGGATTTCTCTCTCTTCTGCATGGAGGAATCAAAAAACAACAAGAAGTAGACGACTTTGATTCTTTATTTTCTCTTCCAAGGGCGTTTTCCCGGGGGCTAATGTCTGTCGATATACCATGTTACAAGTATAACTATACCAATCTCCCTCACCCACCCACCCACACACACATACACTTTTATACAGACCACCCTCCCTGTGGACTATGCAACTCAATCTCGTCTAGTTGACCGCATGAGGTTTCAGAGAAAGCACCCAATCATACGATTCATTTCAAAACATCAAAGACCAGTTTGCCGCGCTAGCTCGTAAAGCAGTCAGTCAGTCCAAAGACAGATATCTAGTCGCCGTTCACACACCAGCGAGCAGTCTCTCTCCCGGACCGGTTCCGTCCATTAGCAGCGAATTCACAATTTGTCTAGCCGTTTTGCGCTGTTGTTTGGCGTTTGTGTCTGGATTTTCGCTGGTCGTGGTGGTTTTTTTTTTTTTCAAGATGGATGGGCCTGCTAGCGAGGAGTAGTATTTCAATAGAGCTCTTTGACGTTTTCGTGCTATCAAGTATGGATGGATGGATGTCTCAGATCTACCCGGAGAAGAAAACCACTTAGATGCTGCCTTCTCCTCCCCTCCCCCCAAGGAAAAGAAGAGAGAAGAAGAAGAAGGAGGAGAAGAAGAAGGAAAAGAAGAATTGAAATCTGAAAATAATGCCTTAGGATTACTTATCAACATTCTTCCCCAACCACTCCTCCCACTGCTCGACCCCCCACGAAGACCCAATCTCATCCCTCACCACGCCATCAAAAACAACCGTAGGCGTAACATGCACCCCAACCAACCGATTCGCCCTAACCTGCACCTTCACATCCGCCGTAACCCCATTCCCAGCATTCAAACTCCCATCCGCCCCAGGCCGCTCGCTAATCGCCAACAACTCATACACCTTCGCTTCGTCGACGCCGACGTCCCCCGCGAGCGCAGCAAGCCGTTTATACGTCTGGTTCCTAGTTTCGTTGACGACGTTTACGTCGAAGTATTCGGTCTGGCGGGCGAAGAGGGCGGCGGAGAAGGCGTAGAAGTGGGATGGGGAGAGGCGTTGGACGGCGTAGGCGGCTTCGTGGACGAGGGTCGATGACGGGTGCCAGGGTTGGATTTGCTGCCGGAAGATTGTGACGAGCGAGTGCGGGTAGGTTTCGAGGAGGGTGCTTTTGAGCGATGTGTTGTAGAGCGTGTTGAAGAGTTTGGCGCTGAAGGGGCAGACGTAGTCGAGGTCTGATGGGGGTGGGGGTGGGGTTGGTTAGTCGTGGGATACATGGGTTGTAGGAGGGTAGGTAGGGACTGGAAAGGTGCAGGTTACATAGTTCGAGAGTGTGGACGGCTTTTGGCTGGATGGACAGCTTTTGGCCTGCGAATTTGGGTGCGAGAGCCATGATGGTTGGTTGGTACGAGGTATACAAGGCTCGAGGGGATGGCGGTGATATGTTGGTGGTGTGTATAGAAGATGAAGACAAAATGGATTCTGTTTGACAGGATATCACAACAAAGGGCTTGCTTATTATAAAAAGACGGTCAAAGGGTAGCACGCAATGGCCCGCGAAGAAGACGTGTTCACGGATGTGGTGTTCAACAGTCTTGTTATGTGCAATGGTGGGGTAGCTTCGGAACATAAACCACGGTCGCTGCCATTCATGACGCAAGCGGGGTGAATTGACAGCTTCAACCTGCCCCAATAAGCAACTTCTATCTCTAGCCATGGAAAGATGAATGCGAGACATCGGTGATGTACATGACAGTGCACTTGATGTGAGAGTTTATATGTAATACATGAGGTGTCCTTTTTCATCAAGGTTGTTCCTCGGACAGAGACCAATAGCGCCTGCCACGCTTAGAAGCTCCAATCTATTGAAGATGGCTTCTCCTAGTCCAGTGATATATTCGGGGTATATTGTGAATCCTTTAGACCCAGGCCCTCACCTCACCCTCATATCTTGAAGTTCTCGATCCATTTCCGAGCCTCCTCGACACCTTCCTCAACCTTGTCTGGATTGGTACCATTGCCGATCGCAGTGGGCGCTCCGGGCTTTCCACCGGTCTTGCCTCCGACAGCAGGAGTCACGGCAGAAGCCCACTTGGGACCATCTGCACCCTGGCTCTTGAATTGCTGTCATCCAAAGTTAGTGTCTACTCTATACACACGGTACGATTGTTGTGCTCTTCGGGATAGTATACGTACCTCAGACACGTAGCAGCCATGCGCGACCCTGCCCTCTTCGGGGCTTGCAGAGAAGAGATAGACGCTCTTGTCTTTGATAGCGCTCTTTGGTCCGCTGATCGTCTTGATGGCCTCGCTGATTGCCTTGCTGACATTGCTCGACCAATCCACCTTCTGCACCAGGAATTTAGCCTCCTCGTTGCTCTTGAAGTAGTTAGTCACACTATCCAACACCCTCTTGTTATCTGCCTTCGCAAACGCCTTCTGCTCGTCCAGGATGCTCTTCTGGACCTTCGCAACGCGATCGCGAAGTCGGGCTTTTGTGATGGCAGAGATGGTAAGCTGACCGAGCTCGACCTGCAATTTCTTGGTTTCGGCTTCTTTCTCCGGGGAAAACTTGAGGTTCTCGAGGGGTGCGATACGCTCTTCGAACTCGGAGGCAACACGCTGCACGTCGTACGCCTCTTGTCCGGTTACGGCAATGATACGGCGAATTCCCTTGGCAATGCCAGATTCCTCGAGAATGACAAGCTCCTTGATCTCGCCAGTTTGCTTGACATGCGTACCGCCACAGAACTCAATCGAAACCTTCTCCCAGTTCTCGTTCTTGACATCCGCCATCAAGTCTTCGACGGGCACACCCACCGAGACCACGCGAACGGGATCTGGGTACGTCTCTCCGAATACAGCACGTAGGCCGCGGATCTCACGCGCAGTGGCAAGGGGTACATCCTTTGCGAAAACCTCCGAGTTCTGACGAATGTAATCTGTGCAAATCTTTTCAATCTTGGTGAGCTCTGCCTCGGTAACGCCAGCCTTGTGTGAAAAGTCGAAGCGCAGTTTCTCGGGTGCAACCAAGGAACCTTTTTGGTCGATGTCGTTGCCGAGCACTTCTTTGAGTGCGTAGTTGAGAACGTGCGTTCCGGTGTGGTTGTTGCGGATGGGATGGCGGCGAAGTTCGTCGTATTCAGCAATGACCTCGCTTCCTACGCTCAGTTCACCGTACTTGATGTAGCCAGTGTGAAGCACATAACCAGCATATACCTGCACATTCTCAATGCTAATCTCTGCCTCGCCGTCCACAAGTAGCCTTCCGGTGTCGTATTCTTGTCCACCCTGCTCGGCGTAAAAGTTGGTCTTGTCCAAAAGGACACCAAACTGCTCGCCTTCGGGCACTTCTTTGGTGCTGGTGAGGAAATTCTTGTCGTGGTAGATAGCCTTGATGGTTGAAGTGATGTTCTCCCGGCCGTATTTGGCGGAATCGTCCGTCTTGGGAACATCATTCATGTTCTCCAGCGCGCCGAGGTCATGTACGTCCAATTTGACCAGTGTGGCTCCAGCCTTCTTTTCGCCCTTGCTGGCCTCGCGAGCCTTGTTCTGCGCATCCTCGACGTCTTTGTCGTTGATGTTGAGCCCACGCTCCTCAGCCATGATCTTTGTCAAATCGACGGGGAAACCGTACGTATCGTACAAACGCCATACATCGTCTCCGGGGAGGTCGTTGGAGCCCTTGGCCTTGGACTTTTGCGCATACTTTTCGAACATGGCTTCACCGCGATCCAAGGATTTGGCAAAACTCTTTTCCTCTTCGTCGAGAATCTCCTTGATATCGGATTCCTTCTTCCGGATCTCAGGGAACATTTCGCCCATTTGTTCGACCAGGGTGGGCACAATCTTGGAGAAGAAGTTGCCGATCTCGACCTCGAAGTACTTTCTCGCGTAACGAGCGCCTCGTCGCAAGACGCGACGCACAACGTAGCCTCGGCCAGCATTGTTGGGTACACCGCCGTCGGCAATGGCAAATGTCAGTAAGCGGACGTGATCAGCGACGACGCGGTATGCGGTATCGATTCCATCGGGGTCTTCTGCACCAAATTTGCCTCGGTAATCCCGCGCGCCGGTGATCTCCTGGATCCTCTTGAACAACGGTGTGAAGACATCGGTATCGTAATTCGACTTCTTGCCTTGCAAAACACAGACGAGTCGCTCGTATCCCATGCCGGTATCGATGTGTTTGTTGGGCAGAGGTCGCAACGACCTGTCCTTTTCACGGTTGTACTGCATAAACACATTGTTCCAGATTTCAATAACTTCAGGGTCGTCGGCGTTGACCAGCGAGGCAGCGTTCCTGTATACGCCGTTCTCAGGCTCCCTCAGATCGTAATGTAGCTCGGAGCAAGGTCCGCATGGGCCTTGGTCGCCCATCTCCCAGAAATTGTCCTTCATATCTCCGGGCAGAATGTGGTCTTCGGGTACTCCGATGCTCTTCCACAGCTCCTTGGCCTCAAGATCGGGTTCCAGGTCATCGTTTCCCTCAAAGTATGTGACATACAGCCTCCTGGGATCTATGCCATAGACCTTGGTCAACAGCTCCCAGCTGAAGTGGATGGTCTCCTTCTTGAAGTAGTCGCCAAAACTCCAATTGCCCAGCATTTCGAAAAAGGTGTGGTGGTAGCTGTCCTTGCCGACATCGTCGAGATCGTTGTGCTTGCCGCCTGCGCGAATGCACTTTTGCGAGTTGGAGGCGCGCTTGAGTTGAGCAAAATCGGAGGCGGGGTCAACGGTGCCGAGGAAGATGGACTTGTACTGGTTCATGCCAGCATTGGTGAAGAGGAGGGTGGGATCGGAGAGGGGAACCACGGAGGAGGAAGGGACTGTTGGGAGCTGTCAATGGGGTTTGGTCTTGTCCTGTCTTGCAGTAACATGTCGTCGAGATGTATATAGATGTATAGCGGGGCAAAAGGAAAAGATGGAGGGGTAGCAGCCAGACTCACCAAAGGTGTGGCCATTTTTCTGATTGAAGTATTCGAGAAAGGTATCTCGAACCTTTTTGGCACTCCATTCGTGCTTTTCGTCCTGAAGAGCCATGGTGTTGTGGGTGGTGGTGGAGTGAGAGGGTGTGGAGGAAGAGTGAGGGCGGAGGAGGAGCGAATTGGGAGCGGCAGGTGGGGTCGTCGTGGTGCGGCGAGCGGTGCGGGTGGACAATGGAGAAGAGGAATGTGAGGACGACGAAAAGGAAGAGGAAGAAGAAGAAGGAAAAGAAGAATACAGTCGACCACAACTCCAGCCAGAAGGGGAAGGAAATAATAAAGAAGGAGATGTTGGTATGAGTCTTTGCCGCGCCCCGTGACTCAGACGAGCAGCGTTGGAGAGGTGCATGGCCAAACAAGCCGTTGCGCCCTATGGTCAAGAAGTATGTACCTAGGTATGTTGTGTGTGATGCGGCTTAATCATCCATCCATCTATCCATCCACTCATCTACTTTATCGGTGAATAGAATCAATCTGCCTATCGATCAATCACTCATCGTAGTCGTGATTCCTCGGATGATAATGATGATGGTGGTGGATTGTCCTGTTCTTTGCGCGTTGAGCTTCGAGAAACTTCGGTATCGCGACAAGTACATATAGCACACGGCACCACCCTATGCATGCCAATCAAGCAATCAATTGATCAATGTTCCTGCCACTCTTCATCAGCTAACCGTAGACAACACTAACACAAAGAATCCGCACCATCAACGTCACCACCAGATTGAATAACCTAACGCGCTGGCAGAAGACAAATAAAGACGAGTCGTGAAGGAGGTTAGGTCCGCGAAGCGCAATCGATTCATCCATCCATCCACCCATCTAACCATGGCCGAGGTCGTAGCTCACCACCACAACCAACAACAACAGCAACCTAGCGCAGACGCACCCGCATCATCAGAACCACATCTCCAAATACCATCACGGTCGCAATCGCAATTACAATCCCAACAGGAGCCCGCGACCACCAACACCGCCACCACCGTCCCCCATGGCACCAAGCGCGCGCACGACAACACCTTCGAGCCGGAGCAGCGCCTGAGCAAACGCTTCGACCTCTTGAACCTGGGTACGTTATCCCCCACCCGCCCACGCGATCCGAGTCCACTAACCACGCAAAACAACAAACAGAAGCAAACGGCGCACGCCTCTACATCCCCATCCCAGGCGCGATAGACTCGACACCACATCCGACCCCACCAAACAACGACGTCGCGCCAATCTCCCTCTCGTCCTCGTCCTCGAAAAAGAACCCCCGGGCACGCAGAACACCCTCGTCTCGGAGTCGCGCATCGGCATATACCAAAAGCCAGCAAGATGCAGCATCCACAAATAGCAGCAGCAGCAGCAACGGCGGCGACTTAGCCGTCGCAGCAGGAACCCCACGAGCCGCAGAAGATGAATTCATGCAAATCGACCCCACCCCGCATAAACTCTACATCCACGACCTCAACGCCGAACTCTCCGACGACCTCTCCTCGGACGACGAAACCCCAATCTTCCTCTCAGACATCGAGCGCCACCTCTCCAAGATCCCCCGCCACGTCCTCTTAGCCGGCACCGCCACTTCGGACCTCCACCGCGACCCCCATCCCGCCGTTCCCGAACCGACGCCTGATAACCAGGTCGTGCTGTATAACGTTCCGAGTAGCCTGAGCGTGCCGCAGGAGAGGGATAGTGTGAGGATGGCGATTGTCGAGGCTAGGGCTAGGGTAAGGGAGAGGCAGGCTGGTGGTGCCGGCGCGGGTGCGGGTGCTGAGATATCGCCTGCGCCTGCGCCTGCGATGGCGAGTACGAATGATGCTGCAAATGCTGAGATGATACCCAATGCGATCGCGGATGCGGATGCTGATGCGGATGCCGATGCCATGGATATCGATTGACTCCATCAGTTGCGCGCGCGCGATAGAGAGATGTATACTTGAATAAATAATATTCATTCATATAGGACGAACCTCTTACACTCTTCTTTTTTTTTTTCCTCCAACGGGCACAACCAAAACTAATCCCACGGAATTTATTAATGTATTTTAATCAGTATTCATGGCTGTCTCTTTCTTTCTTCCTTTCTTCCTTTCTTTTTCTCGAAGAAAAAAGAAACATGTCAAGGATTTCTCATTTCTTGCCCGTCTCTTAAAAATCAAAAGTTTATTTTATTTATTTTTGCTAAATCCGTTATATTTTTTGTATACAAGTCTAAGGGAAAAGCTCTAATACTTTAAAATGCTCTATTCTGTGAATGCTAATATAATTTTTTTTTCTTTTTTTTTTCTTAAATATATATACTGTTGTCATTAACTTTTTTTCATCTTTCAATTTTTTGGTTGAGGAACAAGGAAGGAGATCCTAGATAAGACAAAGGCAGGACAACAGTCGACGTTCTGTGCTATTCTGCTGTAGCTGTGCTGTGCTCTGTGCTGTGTTCATAAAAGAGGGGGGGGGGGATGTAATCGTGAATCCTCCCTTCGCTTCTATAAGTCTCGCATCCCCCCATCCCCGCCAAAAACCAAAAAATACATTTGTAAACCATGATCCAGTCATGCATGTCCTTTGACAGAGAGAGAGAGAGAGAGAGAGAGAAGACTCCCCTCCCCAAAAGTCGGGAGTCAACGTTAAAAAACACACGACTCCAACTCGATCCAGCGTTCTCCTTCTTCTTCTTCTCCTTATTTTTCTTCTTCTCTCAAACACACCAACCCAGCCTCTTATTTCCGAAACTTTGAAAACATCTTGCTAACCGCCAATTTTGCCTGCATCGGCGGTCTCGGCGGCAACTGCTGCTGCTGCTGCTGTTGTTGGGCTTCCACATCCTGCCCCACGATCCCGCTCTGCTGCTGTCCCATTGGCATCATCTGCGGCGGCGGGTACTGCTGCTGCTGTTGCTGTTGGCCCATAGGAGGAGGAGGCATGCCGTACGGCGGCATCTCGGTGCCGTACTGGTCCGGTTTCCCGGGCGTGTACATGGGCGGGGGCTCCGACCACGTCCCGTCAGGGCGCTGCTGCGGGTACATGGCCGCTTGCTGCTGCTGCTGCTGCTGGCCGGGGACGTAGGGTTGCTGGGCGTAGAAGGCGTAGCTGTTTTGAGGGGTTTGGCCGTATTTTTTGCGCTCGCTGTAGGATACTAGCCACTATTCCCACATATACACACATCCTTGGTCAGTATATGCATGTTTGGGGGTTTGAGATGGGGATAGATGAAGTAAGGTAGGGAGGGGAAGGGGGGGGAAGAAGAACGAACCCTGTGATACCCCAGCAACGGCTTTCCCTTTCTCATGCGCTGCCGCGCGTGGATGTAGCCTCCTACAAACCATCCGACGAAGAAGAGGAAAAAAGCAGCTAGGATCGCCCATTTGACTATTATGCCCGTCTATATTCCAATCGCGAAGTGACGGTCAGCAAACGTTCCCAGTTTCTCATGTTGTTTAATCGCGTCGTAGACCAACCACATTTCTACTTCCTCGTTTTTCATTTTTTTTTTTTCGAGAGAGAGAGAGACGGTAGGGAAGGAGATGGGTGAGGATGGAGACATACCGACGAATACCAGAACCCATCTCGGAAACACTCAACCGTGCCATCGACATACTCGACGCAATATCTCTTGCTCAGAACCATGGTGATGACGGTGCGCTTTAGCAGCGGTAGGACGGTTTAAATAGGGGTTTCTTCTGTGCGCGGTGTACGTGCCTCCAGAAAGCTCGTTGAAGACGGAAAGAGGAGACAGAGAGAGAAGCGTAGAGAAGGTGTTAACAACAAGTCTATCAATTAAGGTAAAGAAGGAGATGGATAGAGAGGAGAGGGGAAAGCAAAGAAGAACAATAAAGGTAAAGCTTAATCCTCTCAGAGGCAATATTGTTAAAGAGAAGAGAAAAGGAAGAAAAAAGAGGTCGTTGATAGAGTAAGAGGGACGTAAAGTAGAGAAAGAGGCACCGCCACAAAAAAAGTAGGAAAAGGGAAAGGAAGCAGTTGCAATTAATAAAAGAAACAAAAGCCACGGAACAAAAACCCCCTCACGAACGAACTGCGACAAGAATAGAGAGTTCCTTGCTTGCTAGCTAGCTAGAGACGAGAGGAAAAGAGAGGGATGAAAATGGAACGGGACTCGGAAGGATAAGTGCGTGTGGCGGTGGGGATGGGGGGTTTTGGAGAAAGTGGAAGTGATGGACGGGTGGATGGATGGATAGATGGTACGTGATATCCTCGGGGGGGTTGATGCGAACGTGTCGCAGTGCTGTGGCAAGTGTGCTCGGATGTGGTGTTGTGGAAACGCATATGGGGGGATTGATGTTTCACCGTGTCTGTGTGTGGCTCAAGTGTGCTTTGTATACTTGGCTAACATGGGTATGTACGTGTTCCTCCCTTTTCTTTGTGCTGCGCTCATCATGGACTATTGCGAGATACAGGGGGCTGATTGATGGGTGTGTCTTGTCCCTCTCCCCTTCACTGTATGCAAATACCATGGTTGTCTGGTGGTGAGGTTGGGGAATGTCAGCAAGGAGAGAGGTCTAGTCTAAACGCGTGACAGTGACCGAGGCTACGCCTGTAATGTGCATATCCCTTGCATGCATGCACGCAGCAAGTGGGTCTGAAAAGCTTAGCCTACAACACCATCCGATGCGACACGACGCCTAACAGCCGCTTGAATCGTTTACATACGTCCGAACGATTCCATGTCACGCTTGTCAAGGGCCGTCTTCCTTTCTTCTTCCTCCCTATTCTTAGAGCTGTAAACCATTGATTCCATCGTCATCATCATCATTTATCAATTCATCGCAAGAGTGGACTGAAACGCCTTCGAAGCTAGCATCGTGCTTGCATGCATTTCCATCGTCCTACTTCTACACCGGGCCTATCTACTCCCTTTGCACCGCCAAACGCGCGTCGCTACACGTCGTGATACTCATCTATCCACCCCACCCATGCCACAGAATGCAGTCCCGGAAGCCTTCTTTCCATCTCCTTTGTCCAAACACCACAGCCGAAACCGCTCCCCCACCCCAGAGTATCAAGAATGGAGAAGAAGAGAGAGAGAGATAAACAAGTAAACATAGTTGTGGTATCGTTGGTTTTCCAAACGCCATGAACCCAGCCACCACATGTGGCGCAATGCCCTCCCCACAATCCATCGCTTTGCCTTCTCCGCCACACGCATCCATCAACAGTTTGCGTTGCTGTTCTAGCAAGCGATAAGAAAAGCCCATCTCAATGGGCACAGGGCACTGGACATTCAGTGATGCAAGACATAAAAAACTAATGGATAAGATTTCGAAGCGAAGGGCTGGCGCTGGCCCCGGTGCTCACTCGCTCCGTCGGTGGTGGCAACGTGACAGCTGGGACGTCTCTCATGGCCACGTCCCTGGGTGTCGACGGCCGACCAGGCGCAGGACTGCCATGGTGCATCGGTGGCGGATATCCCATCTGAGCAGGTGGTCCAGTAAAAGGACTCTCCGTCGATCGCGACGAGTTGTGCGCGTGTGGGTGAGTAGGCGAATAAGGCACGTGAGACGAGTGCATTCCGTTCATTATGATTCCACCGTTGGCCAGATGTATAGGCTGAGAGTGACCGTTCGGTGCAGGCGCATATGGTCCACGAAGGGGCGCAGGAGGCAAATGAGCGTGTACTGGTGGTCCCGAATAGGGCGGGTAGCCATTTTGCTGATGCGGCGGGTGGTACGGCGCGTGGTAAGGCGGAGGTGCATGTACCATCGGCCCAGGAGGCGCATGAACGATGCCATTGGGATGAGGTGGGGGGCGGCCTGGAGCCACAAGAGGCCCGCCATTCAGCCAAGCAGATGGGGGTGGTGGCTGCTGGTTAGAAGGAGCCCAAGGACCGCCAAGAGCAGCAGGAGGCGGGGGTGGAGCGACGAATGGCTGTTGTATCTGCGGTGATCGGAGAGGGAGTTGTTGAGACTCGGCCAGCGCGGATGCTGACCTTTCACGTTCATCAGGCTCATCCGGTGCGTTGAGCTTCCTCCAGTGACACTTTTGACACAGATAAGACACCGACTTAGCAGGCCTAATATCCGTATCAACCCTCAGTCGGTTGGAATGCTCCTGTGGGGCATCTGGCATGGGATGGTCCACCGTTCCGTTTGTGGATGCTGGATGACCGGTGTCGCCATTAACAGCAGCTGGTCCATCGGGTACACGTTCCAGGGCTTTTGGTGTTTCTTCGTCTTTCCACCACCGAGGGCTAGCATCAACACGGCATCTTGCGCATTTCCTGTGGGGCTTGAGCGGTGCAGGATCGGCTGGTTCCTCTTCTTTCGTTACGATGCCTGCAATGGAATGCCTTCCGCGAGCAGAGATAGGAGTTTGTGCTGTAACTGTAGATGTACGACGATTGGGCTGGGTTGACGCAGTTGTAGGTGCGATGGTACGGGTTGACTGGTCTACGAGGTTTGCTTTACGTGCCGTACCGGTCAAGGTGAGATCTGCTTGCTTGAACTCGCGGGCAAACAATTGCAGCACGACCAGGTCTGTCCCTTCCACTGCTTCGTTCATCGGATGGAAAGCCGTCTTGGGGGAGTGCTCCTTGCACCAGATTGCGGCCATCATCGTGCCTGTCTCACCATTCAAGGTGACTGTAGGCACAGTATCGCGCCGTGTTGCCTTGACTGGCGTCATGTCGAAGCCGAAAGTATAGCCGGCGTTGTGTGCGCAACCCACATGGAAATTCGCGTGACACTGTAAACAAGAAACGCACGCGCCAAATGTACTTTTGCAGAGTTTGCAGGCCACTTCGTATCGCAATGTTGGCGCACCAATGCCTTCGGCCATGTCGAGTCTACTGGCGTTGCTGTACTTCAACTCGGGATGCCACAGCGCGCAGTAAACATGAACCCAGTTATTGTCGGCTGTACGCTTGAGCGGATCGCGGGGAAATGTTGGCCGTCCCTTCTCCTGCTGTTGAAGACGGTATTCATCCCTTGCTTTTTCCACTAGATCCTTCTCCAGACGCTCTTTCTCTCGCTCCCGGTCGGTTTTCTTCTTGTGAGAGACCTTTGGCGGCTCATACATGTCTGGCTCTGTAGCTCGTTGAGGGCATAGTACACATTCATAGTTCTATTCCACGGATTAGCCGAGTTTCAGGGCAAGTTCCCGATGTACTTACATAAGATACACTCTCCTTCTTGTCGTTCTTACACGTATCGCAGAACCATTTGTTAGTTTGTCGCACTTCCTCGACTCCGTAGCAAAACTTATGCACAGTCAACCTACAGGCGGCGCATTCCAACCGAGCACCCTCTGTTTGTCGACAAACAGCACAGGGTAAAGCTCGAAGTCGCGGTTGGGAAGGAACGGGAGGCGGTGTTGGCGCTTTGGGGGGTGGTGGAGGTTTCTCCTTTTCTTTCTCCTTTTCCTTCTTCTTCAAGACAGGCTCTGAGATCGGAGTGGAGGTTCCGCTGTCCGAGGCGGCGGCGGCGGCTGCTGCTGCTGCTGCTGCGGCCGTAGTCTTTTGCTTTTTCTTGGGGGGTTCGGGAGTAGCCTGCGCAGCGGCGGGGGGCAACTCTGCGTACTCCGGTACGTAGTTGGATGGAGTAGGATCGGCAGCTGCGGCATAGACTTCGCGCAAAAGCTCCTCGTCGATCCTTCTCTTCCAAGCTTTCCCGCCGCCCTGAGCCACTTTCTTCGCAATCTCGTCTGTGTTTTCCCACTTGACCGCATACTTGCGCCACAGGTTTGCGCAGCGTTGGCAAAGCGCCACCACATGGCCAGTGGATTTCTCTTTGCCTGCCCGACCATCTGGGGGAAACGTCTGCCCTGGAACAGCACCCGGCGCACGTCTCCATTGTCTTGAATGGCGCGCACTGCAGAACTTGCACTGGAAGGTTCGCTTCCGGTGATAGGCCTTCTCGTTATCGAAGGCTGAATCATCGTAGTCGTGGGCGATATCATCGAGAAGACGGGTCTGTGAAGTGTCGGCTTCCGCTTTCTTTGCCTTCCCTTTGCGATTCGTATACGAGCCCCAGATTTCTTTGCCCTTGGATGTCTTTTTCCACATGTAGTAATAGCGCACAGCATCTCCATAATGCATAGTCTTGCTGGTGTGTAGTCGAACACTACGGATCTCGGAGCCATACTTGGAAACACCCTCGTTCCATTTTTTCTCTTCTTCTTTTGTCAACTCCGGCTCCTTGAGGTCCTTTCTCTTATCAATCTTCTTGACCTGTTTCAGAGCAGCCTCAACATCATATTGGTATTTAGTAAGAAGCGCCAAGCATCTGTCCAGGAAATTGGTGCAGTGAGGCTCTACCCCCACGTGAGATTTTGCAAATGCTTTGGCTCGGGCCATATATGCTTCGACCTGCTCCGGGGTGATGGAGGGACCGTCATCCTCTCCCCGTGTAGAGTGCACGCCGAGCGGGGGCATCTTGAACATGAGCTCTGCAGTGCATTCCTTGTCCTTGTTGGGTAGATCTTCGCCTCGGCGGACATACCCTGGTGGTTCGTCCATTACCCACTTGGGTCGCTTAGCCCTTTCCACCTTGTCGGCTTCTATGGCAGCTACTGTCTCTTTGGACAGTTTGGTATCCTTTTTGTGGCCAGAAGATTTGACGTAGCGCTTTTTGATCTCGGCAGGCTTAACGAGCTCAACGGGGCGCCCATGCCAAACATATACGTTGGCTTGATGTCGCGGTCCCAGCCGGGAACTGGCACGAGGATAGATTGCTCGATCATCGTACTGTAAGGCGTCTTCCACGCGGCAGTGAATACCCAAGTAGCGCATCGGCCACATCTTGGCGAGATCTGATTCAGGTTGTGAACTGGCATGACTGTCGATTGGCCCATCATCGTTGGGAGTAGGTGCTGTCGTTTCAGGGTTCGGGTCCTCTTCTTCTTCGTCGACGATTTCCTCATCCTCGACTTCATCCTTTTCTGCTCCCACTATAGGCGTTCTTTGGGCTTCGAGACGTTTTTCCTGAGCTCTACTACAGGGACCGCAAGCCCAGGCGAAGCCACGAGAAGGTTTCTTTTGCAAAGGCGGGCGCACGCAGTTCATGTGGTATGTATTGTGACATACGGCGCACTCGACGGAATTGTTGGAGGCACAAAACTCAACACAGCGTTTACATGTTTTGACGGCGCTGGTCAGCTCCTTGAGTCGGCTGGTCTCGAGACAGATGAACTTCCATCGCTGGTCCAAGGCCTTCTTGACCTTGTCGGGAACATTGATGACTTGCGAGGTGGGGATGACTTCGTAGGCACGTTGGATGAATCGGTCCCACACTTGGCAGAACCAGAAGCTGTCCTTCATCTTGCGATACTCGTCCAGGTCGCCGATCTCGCTCCGGTGCAAGACTTTGCACTTTCCTCGGAGTGACGTAATTGGACAAAGGTCCGAATGCATGGTCGCGTAGACGCAGCGCGTATCGGTGGTGTGGCGCTGGGCATCCCGCGGGCGGTAAAACCAATTGACCCTCAGAGACTCGACGCGTTTCTTGGGGTCGTTTTGGACATGAATAAATTCCATGACCCGGCACAGGTAGTAAGGCTCTCCGGGCGGCTCGCACACCAGGTACACTTGGTCTGCGCATCCAATCAGAAACAGGCGAGATGAAAGCTGTGGCGCAGCACGGCAGCAGCAGGGGGGAGGGATCGCTTGTACTCACCATTGATGGAAACAGTCTGGCCATCGTCGGCCTCGAGGTGATCGCCCTGGAGGATCGCGCCAGTGTTTTCAAAGGTCATCATGGGGTTTTCGCGCGCGCTGGACGCTGCCGCTGCTGCTGCTGCTGCCGCAGCGGCAGCGCTGTTGGCACGCTTCCCGGCTGCCTGGCTTGGCGCGGCCGCATTTGCGCTGGCATGATTGCCGTTGGTGGTTGCATGGGCGGCGGCAGCATTTTTGCGTCGTTTGGGGGCAGGTGCCGGGGCTGGGGCTGGTGTTGAAGTCGAGGTCGGGGTTGCTGATGGGACGGGGTGCACGCTGCTGTCTTTTGAGTGGTTGGCCGGATTGCCCCACGGCGGCGCATTGCCCTGCTGTCCAGCGCCGGAACCTTTCTTTGCACTCACACCTGCCGCCTGCCCGTTTTCCGTGGCCACGGATGCACGCGAGGGCGGCCCCGAATTGTTTTCGTTGGACGAGGCTGGCTGGGCCATTTCGAAATCCATTTCCACGTCTTCGGCATAATTGACCCGTGATGCACGTCCCGTGCGGTTACGCGATCGCGTTCCATAGGGTGCTGCAGCAGGCGGCTCCTTGGGCTCCTTTGCTGTGGCATTAGATGATGAGGTCGACGCGGGCGCGCCGGCAGAGTGCGATTGACCTTCTGCCTCAGAAGGGCCCGGCGTGCTGTCAGTCGTCCGTGTGGAGTCGCGGGCGCCTGCACCGTCGACGGGTGTTGAGGTCCGCGTAGAAGATGCCTTGCTGGCAGCCTTTCGGGGAGGAGTCACTTCCGGGCCAGCAGTCGAGGTGGTTGAATTGGAGGAAGCGGAATTGCCAGTCCGTGTCGGTGCTGCACCGGTCTGATTTACGGCCTTGAATGCTGGAGCGTCGCCTCCATTACGCACCTCGACCATGGTGAGAACACCAAAGCGGGAGGGCGGGGGGAGGGAAAGTAGATGCAGGTATGTATGGTGGAGGTTTGGGGCTGGGGGTTTAGTCGTGGATCCCTCTTTTAAATGGCCGTGATGAAAACAAGTGGCAATGGAGAAAACGAGACCTGGTGGTGGATAGGCGGGTGGACGTGAGAGCGGACCCGTGAGAAGCGAATATCAAGGCAGCATGGGATGCGAATGGGGAAAGGCAGAGATGGATAATCAAGAAGAGAAAATCGGGAAGGGGAGGAACTTTGATATCTGGACGGGGAGGAGCTTCCAGCCCGCTGCAGGTAACAAGCCCAGCGCGAGTTACAGAGCGGGAACGCAGCAAAGTGGAGAGGAGGTTGCAAGAGGGGAGAGAGTAAGAGGAGGAGGAGAGAACGTTTGATGGGAGAGAGAGGCGGACGGTGGATGGATGCATTGGGCAGACCAGGATCCAGGACGCCAAGATCTTTGACTAGCTCGAATATTATAAGTAGCTAATTGGGAGCATCTGATGGTTATGTCTGACAGACGAACGGTTGGCTTTGCAGCCTCCGACACGCCCACGCAATGGGAGCTGCCGTCCCGAGAACCACCCTCTTCGCGGGGGCCGCCCTCAGAGAGACGTTTGCCATCATCTATCGCCATGCCCTGTGCTGTCGAGTGGCCCCGTTCACGCTCCTCGGGTCAACAGTCGCAACCAACATATGCTGCAGCGCCAGGCCACGGCGGGAGCCCATGAGCATCGCCCGTGGCCCTGCGCAGACGCCAATCGTCAGGGGATGCCCATTATGTGTGTACATGGAGTCGTCGGTGGTTTCTTATCCTGATGTCCATCTACATACTTACTCAACAACGTGTGGTGTGTGGTGTTTGTGCGGATGCAAAAGGGCCGCTGACTGATCGACTGCGGTATCTGATATCTACCCTTCCCGTAACACGCTCCCTCCACCGGCCAGAGGTCAGTACATCAGACGCTGCTGGGCAAACCAGTTTTGCTCTGCCAGCTGCGTCACAGCAGCCGTTGATTTCTTCCGCATTGATTTCCATAGCGTCCATCATATGGACCCACCCACCAGATGCCTGCCACGTATGTGAGAAGTCTGCTCCGAGTTTGCAGAGGAGGCCGTTTGCGCATCATCTGTAGCGACTGGGCATCTACGGGAGAAACGCTACTCGACACTGGGGGTTTTGATGGCAGGGCGCGAGGAAAGGTGAAGCCAGGCTTGCGTCGACGCGATAGGGGTGGTGGCCGACGAAGGTGGTGAGGTAAATTAGCGCCGTTTCTAACTGCAGGGTTTTGGAACGTCCTGCCTCTTACCTCAACGACCAGCGCTGACGAGGCCGAACGATCAAAGGCAAACACATGTCGGCATCCATGAATTGCATCGGCCGGACGATGCCATCCGATCCACGGGGCGCCCAGGAGCTGATTCTGCATCACGGCCATGGAGAATTGCGTGGGTTTCGCCGCCCTCTCCTGTTCGCGGCCTTCAAACCTAGTCTGACTCTACAGCCTGCCCTGGCCTGCCCTCTCCAAACGTGCGAGGGGAAACTCCCGAACAGCAGCCTCTCGTGCAAAAATACTCATTCATCGATCCTCAGGTATGTATGCAATTCTCGGCTACATTATACTTGGGCAGATTATCGACGTGATGGCTGTGTGGCTACTACTACGTACGCACGCATATGTATGCCTTGCCCTGTAGGCTGTCCTGCCATGACCTACTAGGTCCCGGCTATGGGCGCCTCAGCAGCTGTCTCAGACGGACCGACGCTTTTTTTTTCGCCTTCGTGCTGCTGCTGGATGGTTAATCCACCAGGCAGAATGCACGACAATGATTATATCACCACTGCTGTGATTGGAACACGGGCACCAGCCCCCGAACAAGCGAGAGAGAGAGACAGTGGAGCGTTCGTTTTTCCCCGTGCCATCCAAGTTACCATACATACATATGTACCTTACGTACATACATGGACACAGTACCATGCGCGTACACACACTCTCTCTCTTTCTCACCCTGGGTTCGTATATGTGCGCTATTTCGGATTCCTTGCTTCGGGACAATGCGCTCGCTACACGTCCGTCTCGTTGGCCAGCATCCAACCATTGAATGCATTCTCCCGCCACTCCTTATCGACAGGAAAGGTGCTTCAATGCCATCTGAAGAGGGAAAGAAAAAAAAAAGAAAAATGGTAAGCGTGGGGGATGGCGAAAACAGCACGAGGTGACGAGCTGGCGACGATGGAGGAGGCGCGCCGGCGAATCAGGCGACGTTGATGATTTGCTGCATTCCGGCCGCTAGGCCTGTTCCGTCCCAACGTAATTCGACCAAGCACAACCACCATCACCGCATCTGGTCCGCCAGCATGGCATGTCATGGCTACATATCGCCATGGCCGGCCGTGGCAATCAATCCTATGCATCGCCTGTTTGATGGAGATGATCCTGCTGTCACACATCGCATTATCCATCTGGGGTGGAGTCCATCTCCTGTGTCCAGCTAATCAGCTGCGGCCCCCTGTAAAAGAAAAAGCTCTCTTCGGCGGATTAACGTGCGTGCGCCCCCCGACCAGTGGTCGCGTGAGTTAGCCCCACCCCAAATCGGCACATCATCATCATCATCATCATCACCAGCACCAACGCCAGCACCAACGCCAGCACCAGTCGATGCTAGCCTTCACCTCCTCCGCATTGGATCCCGATAGGTACCATCGTCAGTCATAGTGCCGATGTGGCAGTCTTGCTGTCATCACGAGTTACACCCTGTCCTGCCCTTGCGTCCTCATTCAATTCTTGCAAACCACCTCCCTACCAGGGATATACCCCCGGATTCACGAGATGCCAGTGACACGCATACACATGCCCTCGTACATCACTTCGATTCACGCCTTGCAGTCATCTCCTAATTATACCACGCGTCTATACATAATCACATTGCGTTGCACGGCATGAGAGTGGTGAGATGCGTACGTGAAGAATGTCTTCATTCACAACCTAGGAACTATTAACTCCATGGGATACACAGCAAACAGCAACTCCAAAAACCCCTCGTCCCCCCCCCTTTCCCCCTGCACCATATTACTAACTCCCCCACAATCAACAAAAGATGCCTATTTACAAGGCGAAGATGGCCATGAATCCAGCGAGGCCGGCACCGGCGAGCTTAACAGAGTTGGAGCCAGCAGCATTTCCGGAAGGCTGAGAACCGGCTTCAGAGGCAGCGCTAGATGCACCGGAAGCAGCACTGGAGGCACCAGATGCGGCAGCGTTTGTTCGGGAAGCACCTATCATGAAGTATCAATATCTAGAGATCCGCCAAAAGCAGATGGGGGAGGCCAAAACTTACCAGAAGAGGCAGCGCTTCCAGCAGCGCTTCCAGCGGCGTCAGTAGCTGAAGCGGCAGCGCCAGCAGCAGTCGAAGCACCGCCAGGGGCAAAGGGAGCAATCGTCTGGGAAGAGGGGAAGAGGCTGTAGAAGCAGTCTTGCTGGCACTTGGCGTACTTGTCGGTGGCCTCGGGGGATCCGTCGCCCTGATCGCACTTGGCAGCGCACTCGTTGGTGTCGATGGCCTGGCTCTCGTTGGGACGGGCAATTCCGAGGCAAGCGGCCTTGCAGGTCACGTCGCTATCATCGCATTTGGCGACACACTGGAGCTCCGGAGAGAGCGAGGCCGAAGGAGCAGCGGGAGCACTGGTGATGGTGCTGGACTGGGCGAGGGCGCCAGCGGCGAAAACAGCGAGGGCGATGGTGTACTTCATTTTGAAATTTTGTTTTGGTTGATGGAGCAAGTTGGGACGAAACGAGCAATGGTATGTATTTTTTTTCGGATGATCAACGGACGGAGCGAAAGCGACAGTGATGTTGGTATATTAGTATAATAGTAAGTATGGAGGGGATTCAGCGAGCGAGTGAAGTGAAGAAAGCAACTTGGGAGGGGAGGGGAGAGACGATTGGGCGTGGACGGAACGAAGACTTAATAGATAAATTGGGTTCTCAGGGGACAAACAAGCCAATAACAACTATCCCCAGTCCGTTTCATAGCGTCATGTGCTGCGGTCTGGGCGCTCATGCAGCCCGGGAAGGAGCGCCTTTTAGAGGGACACACACTCAATAAGGTGGACACTGGGGGGCAAGGGGGGCAGGGATGCACTTGCCGAATTGGCGGAACGCGCTAGCCCAACCTGGACTAGCCTGGGCTGCTGCCCTACTGTATTCTACGCGTCCTTGTTGTCCCCAACGTCCCGCGTCAATCAATTTCCACGGTCCATGCGTGCAGACGCGGTCAACACTCCTCTCGCAACGCGCATTCGAGGCAGATGGCCGATAGCGATGCCTTCGACGACGACGGCTTCGACGACTCAGCATTCCTGGCCGCCGCCTCGCAGGCCGAGCAAGAAACATGTCCTCCATTCCGCCCATCGCCACGGCCACTGAAACGCCAGAAACTAGCCCAGGCCAACGACCCGATCCAGAAGATTCCGCCAAGAAAACAACAACATCGCAACAACCCCTTCATTACCGACGACGAAGACGAATCCGGGGAAAATGGAGACATTTCCACCACCGGGAAGAGAAGGCGAAGTTCGCGTCCCAAAAAGGATCATGACGTGCAGGATGACGAGTCGTCGACCACCAAGAAAGAAACCGTCGCAGACAAGAGGAAGAACAGGATTCACGTGCCCACTGTAAATCTGGATTTAACCGATGCTTTCTGCTCCCAACTGCCTCAGGAGCCCTCGCCCCCGTGGAAACCCCGTGGTGCGATATGGCAAAAGCCATCCACCAGTATTGGTGTGCACCAGACCACCTTGACGGCATCGCGGTCATCCAATGTAACCAAAACGGCAACCCTAACGGAAAAGGTCGTATTTCCACCTAAGCCACCCACATTGGCCAGCCGGCCTGCACCACCTCCAAAGTATGACCCAACACAAGATCTAGATGATCTGGGGGATCTGCCTTCGGATGCATTTGCATCGTCACCCTTCTCGTCTGCCGATTTGGAAGATGTTGTGGTCGTGTCGGAGACACGAAAAGAAGTGGTCGCTCCCCGGAACGGTCTGCGGCAAACAACGCTCTTTGGGCGCCCGACCGTGGACGGCGTGATTCCACAGTCGCAAGTCAACAAACGATACAACTTCGTCAAAGATCGAAAAGCGGAACCTCCTACCCATCACAAGTTGGACCCTGAAGCGATCAAGACCTGGGTGTATCCCACCAACTTGGGAACCATTCGAGACTACCAATTCAATATTGTTCATCGTGGTCTATATCACAACCTTCTCGTCGCTCTACCGACTGGTCTGGGGAAAACATTCATCGCTGCCACCATAATGCTCAACTATTTCCGATGGACTACCGAAGCACAGATTGTCTTTGTCGCCCCTACAAAACCCCTCGTTGCGCAGCAGGTAGATGCTTGCTTTCACATTGCCGGCATTCCTCGTTCGCAAACAACCATGTTGACAGGTGGTGTCACTCCGGCAACTCGAAAGGAGCAATGGGAGACCAAGAGAGTGTTTTTCATGACCCCCCAGACGCTGAACAACGACCTCAAGATGGGCTATGCTGATCCAAAAAAGATTGTCTTGCTGGTCGTGGACGAAGCACATCGTGCGACAGGCGCCTATGCGTACGTAGAGGTCGTGAGCTTCTTGCGGCGGTTCAATTCCAGCTTTCGCGTCCTCGCGCTGACCGCCACTCCGGGTGCCGATGTAGAAGCTGTGCAAACAGTCATCAACGGTCTTGACATATCGAGAGTCGAGATTCGTACCGAGAAGTCCATGGACATATCTAGATATGTCCATCAACGCAAAATCGAGAAGCATGTCTTTGCTAACAGCGAGGAGATGGAGATGTGTATGGACTTGTACGACAAAGCACTGGAGCCGTGCTTCAAAAAGGTGGTCGGAACTGGCATGTTCTATTCTCCCAATCCCCGTGATGTTACACCTTATGGGTGCACACAAGGTAGAAGATCTTGGTTTCAAGGGGCTGGAAAGGACGCCAACCAAGGTTATAAGAACATGGTCAACACCATCATAACGGTTCTGGCGTCAATATCACAGTCAATGGAGTTACTCAAATTTCATGGGATCGGTCCGTTCTACACGAAGTTGAAGGATTTTCGTGACTCGCAGGCCGAGAAAAAGTCCAAGTACAAGAAGGAGATATGCGACAGCGAGCACTTTAAGACGCTTATGAACAGACTAAGTCTGTGGATGAACGACGAGAATTTCGCAGGGCACCCCAAGCTCGAGTACTTACAACAGGTAGTCTTGGAACATTTTGTTAATGCAGCCGAAAACGGAAATCCTGCGGACGGCACTGCTGTACAAACCCGAATCATGATTTTTGCACACTTTCGAGACAGTGCCGAAGAAATTGTCCGGGTGCTAAAAAAACATGAACCGATGATCAAACCTCATGTGTTTGTTGGTCAGCAGAACTCCAAGAACTCTGACGGCATGGACCAAAAAACCCAGCTAGCGGTTATTGAGAAATTCAAGAACGGAGTTTACAATACCCTGGTCGCTACCTCTATTGGCGAGGAAGGTCTCGATATTGGTGAGGTTGATCTCATCATCTGCTACGACTCGAAAGCTTCGCCGATTCGAATGCTGCAACGCATGGGTCGAACGGGACGAAAAAGAGAAGGCAAGATCATCATGCTACAAATGCAGGGCAAAGAGGAAAACGACGCAGCCAAAGCCAAGGACAGCTACGAAAAGATGCAGGAACTTATCGCCAAAGGTGACAGCTTCGCATTCCATGATGACGTTTCAAGAAGAATCATACCGCCTGATGTCGAACCTGTCGTCGATCGCCGGCCAGTTGAGATTCCTTTGGAGAATTCCCAGGCGGATTGGCTTCCCGAACCGAAGAAGGGACGCGGAGGCAGGGCGCCGAAGAAGCCAACAAAGAAATTCCACATGCCCGATGGTGTTATAACAGGCTTCGTCACTGCGAATCGAATGGATGAGGAGGTCAAATTGACAGGGCGGCCCAAGAAGGCTGTCAAAGTATATCCGAGCGAAGAAGTGCTGCCATGGCCCTCGCTGGAAGAAGTTGTGCTGGACGAAGCGGCCACCAAAGATCTAGAACGTCGCTTTCAAACTGTTTATGACGACGATGAAGCTCCGATTGTGGGCCCAGTTGACTTCAATGCGCAGTTGGACCATCAGCGCGCTCTGACAAAGACACACATTCTACGAAAGCATGGTAGCAAGACGCAATCGTTTGTTGATATGCTTCAACGAATACACCACATGGATGATGATCGTATTGATACGTTCGAGCGAAACCTTCACAGGTCTGATTGGAAATCGATGCCTGAGCACGTAGTAGTGTCAGATACCGAGCCAGTCAGCATTGCTGACCCCCCAGTGGATGATGATTTGTGGGCAGATGATGATCCTGCATCACAACCAATGCCCAAAAAGAAAGCAGCAACGGCCAAATCAACAACCAAAGCCACTACAACATCCAAAAAACCCGCTGTTTCCAAGCCTATCGTTTCCAAGGCTGCCGCTCCCAAGACTGTCGCTCCCAAAGCCGCCCCTAAAGCAGTCCCCAAAGCAGTCGCCCCCAAACCTGTCGCTTCAAAGGTAGCAGCCGGTCCTGAACGCCGTAAAAAGACCGCACCCATCGAGGCAGCTACGCCTGTGCGTAAATCGAAGACGACGTCGAAAAAGACCAAAAAGCAGACGCCCGACTGGCGCGTATGTGATGCTGCAGGGGAGGGAGCTTCATCTTCACCACCACCCACAGATCCCCAAATGAGATTTGCATCTCAAGCTGAGACGCTGGGTTCCGACGATACTGTTGGGGGATATGAACCTCAAGATACCCAGGCTTATCGGTTAGACTCGGACCTCAACAGCTTCATCGCAGAAGACGACGAGGACGCGGAAGTGCAAATGTCGGACACGAGCCTCCCCGAACTGAATCTAAGTGGTGTTGGAAGCGGAACACAAGCGATTGTGAAAGCTAGCAAACCCAGACGTCAGAAGATAGCGGAGAAGATTTTCACAAGTGACATTACAGACAATGATGCCCGAGTCAGCAGCGACAGCGATGACGAGGTGCCCATCAATCCTAGAAGAAGAGTGCGAAGGGTGATTGACGATGATGACGACGATGAAGACGAGTAACGGATCGTCGCGTTTGAACTAATCTGGAAAGCTTTGGGTACTTTGGTAGACTGTTTTGGTGTCACTCTCATGTGACATGTTCTCTCGTATAATAGAATAATTGGGGGATCAACATAAATAGCGAAATGTTCATTAGACAGCCCCCGGGCGGTGAAATCGAGTAAGATGAACAATGGCATCCGATGAAAAGAGCGTGCCGTGATTGATGGATCTATTCGAATTGCTTCCAGTACGCAGGATCAAAGCCATGCATTGCGTTTGTGTACTTATCCCCGGCCTTTACCCATGCTTTGATTCCTCCCACCAGAGTCAGAGACTGTATATCCTTGTCGTCCTTGTCGGCTAGATAGTCTGCAAACCAGGCTGAACATCGCGGGCCTCGTCCACTACTTGAGCCTGTGCAGATGAATGAGAATTGCGGTGTAGAGTTGAAGTTAGTCGGGGGATGGATGCCACCAACATTTTCCATCAAGACAAGAAGAAAAAAATACTCATACCACAATAAAAAGCGACCTTCTTCACCCCAGCCCTTTTGCACAAATCATACAGCACAGCTCGGTTCCAGTAAAAGGACTGCGCGGGAATGTTCAAACTACCCTGGATCGTGCCGCCCTCGTAGTCTGTTCGACGCACATCCACGAGGAGCAGATTGTCTGATGTGGCGGGATCGGAGAGGGAGGAGAGGGCGTCGTCATGGGTGAGGAGCGCCGCGGTGCTGATGGGTGCAGGGAAGGCGTTGTACCAGGGCGGGGGTTGGGAGGTGGATGTCATTTTTTTTTTCTTTTCTTGGTGTTTTGATTGTCTGGAGGATCAATGTCAATGGGGTTGAAGGTGGTGGTGAGGTGGTGATGATTACTTAAGCATATAGGCGGGGGGATGGGACGAATCAGCCCTACGGGCGGTGGGCGGCGTGTCCGGACGAAAAGAGATGAGAACGTCACACGCTAACAAAGGCCACCTTTCACACGCCCTCAACAGTAGTAGTCCCCATTATGTATGGTTCGACCACAGCGTGATTGATGACAATCCCACACCTTCTCTCTTTCTGTCTCTTTGATTGATGATTTCTTGTCGCTGACTACCGTGTCCCTTCATTTATATTGTACATATATATATATGCACTATCCCGTCGCTCCTTACCTGCTTGCCTCGTTTGTCCCAAATTAAGCCCTGAATAGGACATTACTCCCGCCACTCCCCATACACCCCGTACCTACGTACATACCCATCTATCTACTTATCCGAACCACCTTCATACCCTCCGCCAATTGCCGCTGCGGTACAACTGGCCTCTTGGAGCCCTTGTCGTATCTCCATATATACATGTGCTGCGAGCCCGGTAAGTCGCATACCCTGCCTGTGTCGTCGTTGCGCGTCGTCGCAGATGTTTGCTGACCTCTCAACAAGTCTACCTCTGCACTGCCGTCATAGCTTCAAATCCCCTTGAACATGCCGTCAGCTGCCCAGGTTTTCTACTTGGCTGTGTTTTCGCTGCTGTGCGGCTCACACGCTGAGAAACCAAAGAGCGTCCCTGCAAACGTCTGCGATGTAAGCAACAACCACAACAAACCCTCCTGCAACCCTCCCAAGCACAGTCCACACCACAGTCATTCTAACATCTACCCCCAGCTTGAGCGTGGCGCCATAGTATCCGATGCCTGTGCGAGCTACGACACCCTCGAGCAACTCAACGATGCCATATACCCTTACCTCAACTCCATCACCCAGAATACCGACTTCTTCTCCCACTACCGTCTGAGTCTCTTCAACAAAAAATGCCCCTTCTGGAGCGACGAGAATGGCATGTGTGGGAACGTGGCCTGCGCGGTAAATACACTGGATAATGAGGAGGATATCCCGTTGGTCTGGCGAGCAAAAGAGCTGGGGAGGCTGGAAGGTCCAACTGCACAGCATCCGGGGAAGACGCAACAAAGGGAAAACAGGCAGAGACCCCTCCAAGGAGGTCTAGGCGATGGGGTTGACGAGAGCTGCGTGGTGGAATACGATGACGAGTGCGACGACCGCGACTATTGTATCCCGGAGGACCAGTCGGCCACGGCAAAGGGAGATTACGTGTCGCTTGTGGACAATCCCGAGCGCTTCACGGGGTACTCTGGGGTGGGATCTCAGCAGGTCTGGGAAGCCATCTACCGCGAGAACTGCTTCAGCAAGCCTCCGAAAGGTGTTTCGTCGAGCGTGCAATCTCCCTTTGGGGGTGCTTCTCCGTTCGGCGGGTTCGGCAGCGAACAGCAGCTGGAGGCCGCCAACCAGCTGCGCAATGTCATGAAGCAGCAAGGCTTCCAGCGGAATGTAAAGTCGGCAATCGCCAGCGGAAACGCACCGGCACGACTGGACCCTGTCGAGTTTGACGACACTTGCATTGAGAAACGTGTTTTCCACCGAGTGATATCGGGCATGCATTCATCCATCTCGACCCACTTGTGCTACGATTATCTCAATCAGACTACTGGCCAATGGCATCCCAACCTGGCCTGCTATGAGGAGCGTCTTCACAATTATCCCGATCGCATCTCCAACCTCTACTTCAACTACGCACTTATAATGAGAGCTGTGGGCAAGATAAAGCAGCACATCAAGGACTACTCCTTCTGCTCTGAAGACCCCGTACAGGACGAGCGCACCAAGAACTCGGTCCTTCGTCTAGCCTCGGCTCTACCCGACGGACCAGAAGTGTTTGATGAGACCGTCATGTTCCGCGACCCCGACGCCATCGTCCTCAAGGAAGATTTCCGCAACCGCTTCAGAAACGTGAGCCGCATCATGGACTGCGTGGGCTGCGACAAGTGCCGTCTCTGGGGAAAACTCCAGACAAACGGCTACGGTACCGCCCTCAAGGTCCTCTTCGAATTCGACGAAAACGACTCTTCAAAGGACCCGCCGCTCCGTCGGACCGAGCTTGTTGCTCTCATCAATACCATGCATCGTCTTTCCCATTCCCTGCGCGCCCTCCGGGAATTCAGGCGGATGATTGAGGACCGAGATGATATTCCCCGCATCCCTGCCAAGTCGACGCCAAAGACGGAAAAGGAAGTGCAGAAAGTCAAGGACGCTCTCGGTGACGATGTCGAGGATAAGGCGTCTGCCAAGGAAGACGATGATGGGGTGCCGGACTTCACTCGCGACTGGGATGCCTCCAAGATGACCGCCATGGAGGAATTCTGGGCTGAGTACTATCTTATACAGCGCGTCTTCATATATGTTTTGAAAAGCTGGATGGCGCTTCCGAAGAAGTTGTAAGTTTTTTTCTTTTCTTTCTTCCTTCCACTGGAGCACGACTTTGCGAAATTACATGATGATTAGAGGACTGACCAAGTGAAACGATAGGTCCGAGATTATGATCTTTGAACTCTCGCGCTTGTGGGATTGGTGGTTGGGATACCAGTCCGCACCCAGCGGCTGGCGATGGCAGTTCACCGTGCCTCGCGAAGAATTGTAGAGATGGATAAGATAAAAACGGAGTGCGTAGTTTTGTTGTTGTGAACATGGTACATAATCTGTCGTCCATTTGATATGTCATGTATTCACAGAGACATCTTACTCATTTGATAGAGATCATCGGCTGGGCGTTTTGCATATTCGTGTTGCGGCGTTTTGTTAGATGGGCGATTGAAGATTTGAGGGCAACGGAATATTCTTCGGTCAGTCCGTCTCAGATATCTAGAGCAAGCATTGCGTGTGGCGTTTTTTTTTCTGTCTAGGAATACAACAAGATCATCATCGTCATCCCAATATATCGATCCATCCATGTAGTCACAAAGATTGAAGACGATGATGGACGAGCAGCGAAACATGATGATGTCAAGCTAAACCACTTTAAGAGTTAGCGTTTCACCCTTTCTCGCGACCGACTTGGATATAAAACGAATGCGGTGACACCACACTCTCAACTGCCTCGAGACCCCGTCACACTGAACAGAAAAAATACTGAATCTAGTTCCAAAACTAGATTCATCGAGAAAATTCAGGTAAAAAAATGGCACTATCATCCAGTAACACCCAGGATGGAATATCAAATTGCTACATTGCGCGTTCCAGTGTCTGTGTGAAGGGTAGTAGTAGTACTACTGGTGGACAACGTGTGGGCAACGGCTTGTTCTCCAGCCACGACGTCAAACCTGGAGAAGCAGTCCTGCGTATCAAGCGTCCTCTCATGGCATCGCTGGAGTCGGAGAGGCTTAAAGATACTTGCGCGAATTGCTTCGTTTGGACCGAAGGGTCGTCGTGGGGTTCTAGGTTGTATGTGAAAGACGGCGTCACTGTGCAAACGTGCGCAGGGTGTAAGAGATTTCGGTACTGTAGCAAGGTGTGTCGCTCTTTGTTTTTTTTCCTTCTCTCTTGATCTGGTTTTTCTTTCTCCTCAATCTCATACTTGTTTGCTTATCGGGATGAGATGTAGGCATGCCAAAAGGAGGCTTGGGTTCGCGGCCACAAACATGAATGCAAGAATCTCAAACACATCAGTGACAAAGAGTTGCCCAAAGCCGTGCTGGGGTGTATGGAGCTTTTGGTCCGGAGAAAACACAAACTGATTCCGGATCAAGAGTGGGAGAGGTTATGCCAGCTGGAGACGCACATGGAGGATTTCAAGCGCAACGGCAGGGACGGCGGGATCGAGCTCATGGCCATGGGCACCAGCCAGTTCTCCTTCACGCAGGACACGTTCGACAAGGACTTTGTCGCCGCCATGTACGCCCGGATCCTGTCGAACTCCCTCACCCTGATGACGCCCAGCTTCGACCCGCTCGGCATCATGGTCGATGCCACGCTGTGCTACATCAACCACTCGTGCGATCCAAACGCGTATATCGTCATGGACGGCTCGCAAGTGCAGCTCCGCACGCTCAGGGCCGTCAAAAAAGACGAAGAACTCTTCATTTCCTACGTCGACCCTTCGAATCCTTCGGCCCGGAGACGCAGCGAGCTCAAGCAACGCTGGTTCTTCACCTGCGCGTGCGCAAAATGCGAATCAGGCCCTACCCAGCAAGAAGACGCTTTCCTCGTCGACGACCCAGCCTCGGCACCGCAACCATGCAAAGACTATGCCGATTCGCTGCTCGAGCGCGGGAAAAACTCGTCCTCTCCCTCCTCCTCCTCCTCCTCCGTCGACGAAGATGACGATGATGAAGCAAACTTCCTCGGACCCACCCTCGACGCCCGCCGCCTCGCCGCCCTCCAACGCGAATTCTTCACCGCCTACACCAACCAACAATCCACCCCGTCCGCTCCCCACGCCCTCGCCATCGCGCAAAACGCCCTCGCCACCGCCCGCTCCTCGAGCATCTGGCCAGAGCACCGCCAGCCCCTCCCCGCCCTCCGCGACGACCTCATCGTAAACCTGCTCGCCACCCACCAATACGCGCAAGCGTTTGTCCAGTGCGCCATCCGCTACCGCTACATCACGCCTGTTCTTTTCCCCGAACCGCATCACCCGCTCCGCGTCGTGCAGATGTGGCAGATGGGTATGTTGGCGCTGTATCTTGCCAGTAGCGGGGATGTGGTTAGGCCTGGGGTTGATATGGCGCGTGTTGCGGCTTGGTTGGTTCGGGGGACGTTTGAGGCTGCGGGGCGGAGTCACGGGGTCGACAGCGCGTTTGCTGTTAGTGTTGGGAGGAAACTCGACGAGGTTGGACGGCTTGATGGCGGTGCTGCCGCAGAGAAGGCGTTGTGGGAGATTGGGGAGCTGAAGCCATAATTCTTTTTTTTTTGGTTTTTGCTCTATCTCTATCGTCATCGTCACCGATCCGATACCGTGTGTATTCTTGGTTAGAAGCTCGATTTATAAACGAAGAGTAAGAGTGTGTGACGATGAGCTGGGTTAATCTCATACATACATAGATATAGGTATCCATTTCTAGACACCCCTCTCATCATCTTCGTCTATCTATCTATGCATACCTACATATTATCTCATATCCTATACAACCTCACCACCACCATCACTATCACTTATCCCTCCTCCAAAAACAATACAGCAAACATTCATCCATACATACCTAATAACAATGTTCTCATTAAAAAAAAAACTGCGTACTTGACAATCTAAATCCACCGCACCCACACACACACCATACCACCGCTCCATCTCATCTTCATCTAATGTAACAACCCCATCATCGCTATCTCGTATCCACAAACAAGTCATCTTACAAGCTAGCTACTAACTTACTGTGAAACATACATATCTACCATGTACGTGTTTTGAGGGAGGGGGCAAACGCAAACAAGGATCTAGACTACAAAGATCAAAGAAGTATGTAGAGAAGGTTATCTATGTATATTCTTTCTCGACTATATAAATTATGTATATCTACTTTTAGTAGTAGTATCAGTCCTTTATCTATTTGTTTATTTTATATGTATATTTATTTATTTGTTCCTGCATTGTCAAAACTTATTGTTTGCAGTTGTATGTATTTACCTAGAAACTTGCCAACTTATATTTTATAAATAAATTTATAGGGGGTTTTTAGTAACGGGTATAGGCTTAGAATTACATTTTTTTATATTCATTTATTCTAGAGGTCGGCTGTTTTTTGTAGGCTTAGACAGGGTTATTATTATTTTTGGTAGTGTGTTTAGCTAGGTGTATTTGTTTATTTATTTTTATTTTCATCTTTAATTTTTCACTTTTTACGGGTTTGTTGTTGTTGTGGTGGTGGTGTTTTGGATAGCTGATCATTCATCTTCACTTCTTTGGGTTCCTCCTGGTGCTCTTGTCTGGCTGTTCATCTTCACCTTTTCTTTTTAGCATCCTCGCCGTGGTCCCGCCAGGACGTTGGATTTCCCCTCCACACTTTCACCTTCCTCGTCGTGCTCTTGTCTGGCTATTCATCTTCACCTTCACCTTCACCATCTAGCCAAGCCCAGGCACTCACTCCCACACCCACACATATAAGACGACGCTCCTCGACCTCCCTCCCTCCATCTTTCTTCCTCTCCACACGCAGACAATCCATCTCCACGGCTTTCTCCAGCTCAACAATTGCTAGCTTCTGCATCCCTCCCTCCATCTCAAGACAACCGATCATCATCATCAACACCAACCCCGAGCTTTACCCCAACCAACCCACACCAACATCCACCCACTCCATCGCAATGCCTCCCAAAAAGGACGACTCCACCAGCAGCGGCAAGATGTTCTCCGAGAGCACCGTCGCCGTCCTCCTCATGGCCATGGGCACAACGTCCATCTCGAGCACGCAGTACGAAATGATGAGCGCACTGGATGGCGACAAGACGGCTTGTACGGTTCCCCATTCCGCGCTCTCGCACCCCCAAAATGCATTGCTAATCCCTATGTTGTAAAAACACTACAGCGTCGTTCCAGCACCAGTTCCGCACCGTGCTCAAGAAGGCCAAGGAGCTTAAAGACCGCGTCGACAAGGGAGAAAAGTTTGCGCCCGTTGCCGCGGTCGCGAAGAGGAGTATGTGCTCTCTTCCCTCCTCTTTCCTCCTTCAATACGCCGGTGCTGATGCTAATGCGATATACACAGGCGCCGCAGCAGCCCAGCTCACCTCGCCTCCCCAGACCCCGAAGAAGGGAAAACCCGGTGCTGCCGCAAAGGGTAAAGCGAACGGCAAGCAGCAGGTCAACGACACGAACGGCGACGGCAAGGGCGTGGTCGTCAAGCAGGAAGGCGGGGGCTTGGAGGGCGATGGCGAGATCTGAGGTTTTTTTTTGGGTTTCTTGAAGGTTCTTGCTTGTCCGTCTGTCTAGACGCATGTCTGGCACTGGAGAAGAAGAGGGGCCGAGATTTTCTCGTTCTCTGGATACTTGGCTGTGTATCTTGTTCGAGGAGGACAAGTCACATGATGCGTTGCTCGCTCGCTCACGGTGCGGCGCGCGCCTTTCTCTCCTTTTTTTTTTTTTTTGGTTGGTTTGTTTGCTGGTGGTGCTTGGGAGTTTTGGGGTTTATTTGGCATGCGTATGTATATGCGTACATGCATGCATGGGCATACACACTATTCTGTCTGCCTCCATGTGTGTCTGTCTAGGATGGATGGATGGATGGACAGACAGAGAATCCGTGCATGGATGAATGGATGAATGAATCGAATAATATAAGATAGCGTCACTGAGCTTAAGGTGATGCACTGTACCTACCCAAGCTAAGCTAACCTACGTACATTTTGATACCTAGGATATGCAGGCTCTCTTTTTTCCCTTGTACAATTTGTTGGAACTGATTTGTTTTGTGTAGATGGTACAAGTGATGCTGCTATGCTGTGATGGCAGCCAAGGAAAGCAAAGTATCCATGGGAAACAAGATGAATTGATGCTTGTCGTGGCAAATCCAGGGAAACATTAGACGCGGGTATTGCAGGCAGGCAGACAAAAGCAGCGTGCACGTGAGTTAGATATGTCTGTACATATGAAACGGCATCACGTGCACGGCGCGGTGTATGCCGGAGCAGGAAAGGGGATGGATGGATGGAATCATGCGATGCACACAACAATGTCGGGACTTTGCTTTGGTTTCCTTGGATTAAGAGTCATTCTATCGACATCCATCCCACCGATCCCATCGATCACATTACTATTATCCACTTGCCAGGCGGGTCCGCGGCGTGCACATGCTCGACTTGGACTCGCCAGAGCCATATGCGGGCTTCTAGATTCACAAGAGCACGGAGCACGAGCGATGCACACACACACACACACTACCCAGTACCCACCCACACATATGAATGAATGACAGACAGACAGGACGTACGTCATAGGCAATAGCGCAGCCGCCCAAACGCAAAGAAGGCGCACCGAAAAAAAAAAAAAAAGGAAGAAGAAAAAGGAGGGAGAGAGAGGAAAAGCGCGCAAAGGACAAGGGCGGGTGATTGGATGCGTGCAAGGATTCGGGGGGAATGTCAAGGAGGAAAGCGAGATTGCATTGTTCGCTAGACCGAGCAAGATTTCCTAGGCCGGTCGGTCGGGGGGGAGGCGATCCACTTGTTGATTTTGATTGAGATTGGATTGAGGCCTTGGGGCGCTTTCATCTCCGGCTGGTGGTTAGTAGGGCGATATTGGGGGGGATGATATGGTCGTGGGTAGGGGAGCTAATGGGAGGGGAGTTGGGCCTGACCGGGACCGGACAAGACATTGAGGGACGGATTGTGAATTCCAACAGTCGGAACCAAGGACGGACGGCTGTTTGCGCGCGCGGCGGCTTGAAGCGGATGCATCATGGGTGGGTGGATGGACGGTTGCGACGGAGAAGGCAGAGATGGAGGATGGTGGATGGAATGCGCATCCATGCCGCCATCCTTGTCGATAAGCAAGCTCGGTACGATGACGGAGACATGAGTGAATGATTCCATATGTGCGTACATGGATAGGCAGGTAAGTAGGTGCATGCTTTTTTATGCGTGCCATCCATGGTAGAGGGCTGTTTGTTGTTGTTGTTACTTACATAGTAGTTAGCTGGTAGTGGACATTGATGGCGGGCAGATGGGCGGCAGCGAGTGGCAGGTGCCCCTGAATTTCCCCGGATTATTGGGCGGCGCTGGCAGCTAACCTCGAAGCAGCCCGGCCGGGGGGCATAGCGCCGCGAGGCCAAGGCACCCCCCGGCGCAATAGGGGGGGCCCAAGCCTGCCATGAGCATTCCGTCTTGGTTGCCCTGGGGGCCGTCTGCATTCGTAAATACCACGCTCCGCCCCGTCATGGCACTCTTCCTTTCCCCTTCACCCTTCTCTACTCTCTACATATAGTACGGATCCGTCTCACCTGCTTTGCTTTTCAAGCACCCACACTCTTTACCTGCCTTTATATATACACCTACATACACCACCCTTAATACCCTAATACCCAACCTCCATCACCACCACCAACCATCACCATGCAGTTCTTCCAGATCGTTCTCTCGGGCGCTGCCCTCATCTCTGCCGCCTTCGCCGTCGAGTTCAACGACGTCCCCAGCTCCTTCGAGCCCGGCAAGACCTACACCATCACCTACTCCCCCAAGGACAACACCCCGACCACCATCAAGCTCCGCCAGGGTGACCCCAACAACTTGGCTACTCTCTCCACCATCACCAGTAAGCTGCTCTCGCTCAAAGACCATTCAATTCGCAAAAATACTGACCCGCTCCCCTCCAGCCTCTGCCACCGGTGGAACTTTCTCCTACACCGTTCCCCGTGACCTCCCCAACAGCCCCAGCTATGCTCTTGAGATCTCCCAGGCCGGCTCCGACCCCAACTACACCGGCTTGATCCCCCTCACCGGCTCCACCTACTCGGCCATCTCGAGCCTCAGCTCCGCTCTCTCCAGCGCCACCTCCAAGCTCTCCTCCGCTTCCAGCGCCGCCAGCTCTGCCAGCGCCTCCGTGACCGCCTCCACCACCATGGCCACCACCACCTCGGTCGGAACCGCCTCGGGCGCTCCCTCCAGCTCCGCCGGCTCCAACAGCACCATCGCCTCCAGCTCCAGGGTTCCCTCTGCTACCTCGGGTTCTCCTTCCAGCCCTACTGATGGCAGCGCTCCTCCCCAGCAGTCCGGCAACTCTGCCGCTTTCCTTGCTTCCAGCCCCATTGCCGTCATCCTCGGCGCTGTCGCCGCCATGGCCTACCTATAAATTTCACTTTCTTTTGAGAAATCACAACCAAAAAAACGAAAAATCTCTCTCTTTTTCGCTGTTTATGCTTTTTTTTTTCTTAATGGAAGAAGTGTCTTTTATGATATTACCCCCTGCCTTGCGTCTTAATGTGTAAGAAGAAAAGGGAGGTGGCTTTTTATACCAACAATGCGGGAGGCGCGTTTGTGCTTGGTCGAGAGGGAAGGGAAGTGGAGAGACGTCGTAGCTGAAAAACAACAATCCATACAATCCTTTAAAACAACAAAACTTTTGTTCTACGTGCATTTGTGTGATGGCTAACGAAAATCTTTCTTCCCCCGGGAATACTCGAGCAAGTCGAACGACCTGACATTTCCATTTCCATTTCCATCTCAACTCACATGTTGTCCGAGGGCGGAAATCAACCGACCTACCCGATCGAATCCTGCAAGTCCTTGGTAGCACGGCAGAGGCGGACAAGGCAACACAAGGGGAAGGAAGGCCTGACGCCCTCACGGACAGAGACGACACATGCACGTCGGACAAGCATCCAACATGACTTGTCGCACACACACACACACGCACAGCAGATGCATGCTTGCTTTGCATTTGCATTTATCAAACCCCGGTCTCGCACGGTACTCTCTCTCTCTCTCTCCCTCTCTTTTTTTTAACTCGGTACCTTGACAATCCTCGGTGAGAGAGGGACCGGCGTTTAGGGAAAAATCCGGGTTCCGCATCGTTTCAAACTCGTCTTTCTTTCCTTTCCTTCTTCCCCTTCCACATGTTATGTCTTGCTCGGTGAATTCCCTGTTTCAGATATTATCCTATTCTTGCTTTCCTTGCATAGTGTATAGGAGAGATTCTTGACGATTCGATTAATGGATTGGATTTGATTTGATCGTGTATGATGATGGCATGGGCATGTCATTGGGCATGGGGATCTACATAACATGTAATTTGAGCGAGCGAGCGCGTGCACATTTATCAAACTCGGGTACCATCAGCACAGCTAATATCTAGGAATCAGAGATCTACACACACACACCCATCCATCCATCCAATAAAGAGGTTTTTTTTTATATAATTGAAATCATGTTTACATCACCCAAAGATGCTTTTGATTGTGGCAAAAACGTAAGGTCAAGACGCTCATCTTTTTGTTGTTATCCTCCTATCTAATCTCTTTGACCTCTCCTCTTTCAAATCAAAAAGAAAAGAGAATAAAAAGTTGAGTGAAAAAGGCGGGGTCTGCTATGCTTTCAGCTTTCAGCTCAACTTTTATAAGGCAACTAAGTTATGCATATCTAATCAAGTTCTTTTTTTTTTAATTTTGTTTTGACTCTTTGACAATTGAAGAGGGGAAATAAGAAGAGGTCACACGCGCGCCGTTATTCTTCTCTTCTCAAAGGCCCTGCATATCGATCGTATACGAGTAAGCCCGGGTGTAAGCTGCTGTACCACGTACCAAAAAAAAATATATATCCCTGCCTTCTGTACGCCTACTATACCTAGTAAAGTGTCTAAAAAACTGCAACGAGTGGCGGGGTGGCAATATGCAAGCCAGCCGGTTATGCAGGGCTAATGTATGTATGTATGCATCTGTAACGGTATGACTAACTACCTACCTACCTACCTACCTACCTCAAATCCAGCGCCCAAGTAAAGCTAAAAAGAAGCGTACCTATTTACCTACACCCAACCATCTTTCCAACGACTAACCGAGGTGTATAAACCAAGGTAAGCAGTATGTACGGTAGCATGGCGGCGGTGTTATGGATACGCATGTTATGACACTGCTATGCCGTATTCACTATGCCCATGTTATGACTCTGGTTGTTTCTTGTCAGGATTACCATCGCTTTTGTATCGCGCGGACATCTTTGGCGATGGGCTGCAGCTGCAGTGAGTTGAGCTAGAATTAGAAGCAGTCTTACCTTTCTTTCATTTCTTTTCCTTTTTTTTTGGGCTCGGCTGCAACTCGTACGTAGAGTAGTACATTGTGTAACGTACGTAATATCCGGAGTTTGAAATCGTAAGGTGGGAACCCCCCCCCCCCCCCCCAAGTTGAATACGCCTCGTGTAGGTACCGTACTACCTGCTGGGTATGTAAGAAAAATCGTTACTCGGTGTTTGCAGACACATAGGATTTCTGTATACATCCCTACACGTATATCCTTACACGCATATATACATGTATATATGGATCTCGTGATCTCGTATACGAGTCCGTACTACCCATCCCCCAAGCCCCAAAACAAATTTATATAAGGGGTCATGTCGCGTCGTCGTGTCGTGCGGCTGCACTTGAGTGTTGAAGACGAAACCATTCATATGTAGATGTTTGTTGGGGCTAGTTGATGCTACATACCCATCCATCCATCCACTTACTGGAGTACAAATCTGCTCTTACGACGAGTGGCGGTTCTAGGCTACAGCTAGCAGGTCAGCTGGCTAGCCAGCCATTCGTATATCCAGAGACAGAAGGAAATAAACCGATCCCCCGCGCGCGCGCGTGCGTCTGTGGTGGTTTTCTTACATGTACTTGTGTACACGCATGCATGCATGCATAATATACTCGCAAGCGAAAATATGGGAAACCGGTGAGACGGATGGGGATATGCTAGTCTATCGAAAAGAAAAGAAAAAACAATTAACAACGACAGTGCATGCATGTAAGCAATACTTTTTAGTTCTCGCATAAGCGTCCCGTTTCAATCGCTTTCATACAAGGTTTGTCCTCGGATATGGCTAGATTGGGCTTCTTTGCCTCTTTGGAATCGGTGGGAAGGTGTATGTACTGCGTAAGATGCATTTGGAGGGGGAAAAGCGGTAGGTAGGGCTAAAAGAATTGATCGGTCTTGGGTTCTGCGAAAAGCGTGTATGCTTGTTTTCCTTGCCTTTTGCAGATTTCTTGCCATTGCAAATTTACGTAGGCCATGTACTTGCTACTTCGCTCTTTTTCCCCTAAAGGGGTTTATGGTGTAAGAAGCCGGGTTGTGTTGCGGTGAGCGGTGAGCTGGATTTTTGGTTTGGTGGACTCGGCTGTCTTGTCTTTTCTCTGTAGATTGAAACATCTCGCAGGAACTATCGAGTGCTGACGGTGGAAGCGCTGTCTTCAGTCAATTTGCGGTTTATCTCCTCCTTACTTAGTGAATCGGCCGCTACAGTCTGTACTTTATTATCAGCATGATTCATCGACTTTCTTCTCGAATTCGTGTTAATAAATGGATGTTTTGCCTGAGCGCATACGGTGAAACTGTTGGATAAGTACACTCCATCAGCAGTGCTTGCTTGAATGAAGAAGTGTGAAAAATAGACCAAATACCCATGAAGGGCTCGAGGACATAGCGATCATGAGATCTGGCACAGCAGTAATACGGAGCAAACACCAGTGAATTACCCAAAGACCTGGGCAAACACACGTCACGTGATGACATATCCCATCGAATACCACCACTCATCCACCCGACTTGACTTGATTATAGCAGAGAGAGCCAGCAGACTAAATAAATCTTCTTACACTTAATTAGAGCATTCTTTTCTCCTTGAATCTACTAGAAGAAAGCTCCTGTCTAAGATGCCATTCCTCTTCTCTCGTCAGACTTGGAAGTACACATACCTGCGGAGAGCCATGTTATATATACCAAATTCAGTCTGAGTTTTGAGAATCTTGCCAAGACTCTCTCTCACTGTCAATTTATAGACGTCTGCGTACGTATTGTAGGTGTTCATACTGTCACTGTGATTTCTAATTCTATGGTATACGTATATATTCATATACATCGAAATTACATCCATCTTGTCTACTACCTCCCACCACGGAGATGCGGACACGGATCCTCAAAAACTGCAAGAACAATATGCTAGATGTGTACTAAAACGTCTTTTTCTCTTCTTTCTAGAAAAACTACCGAGATACGAGAATCCATTAGTCTAATTAGTGTGGTTTGACGTCCTTGTAGGAACCTCCTGATCTGAAGCATTTTTACGTACAAAAAGGGGCCGCCGTAGTAGCCAGGTCGCGGGAAGGATAAGCGGCTGAGAAAGATTGTGGACATTTTCTTCCAGCAATTGGGGAAGCTCACGGAGAGCCACAGTTCGCGCTATGAGTAACGAAGCCCAAGACAGGAGGAGATGGCGCGAAAGGACGAGTTTATATCGTGCATAATTGCATCTTGCAATTCGTCCACTCAATGTGATGGGGTTTTACTTCGACTTTAGAGTTGAAATCGTTATTTGTTTCAACATGCTAGACTTGACAGTCGATATAATTTCGTTGGTAGTTGTGAACAGAGATGTCAGCTCTAGCTCAATAACTTGTTTCTCTCCATGCATAAGTAGACATATGTCCAAACAGAATAAAATCTAATAAACCCCTTCAAGTACTTCATCGACCTAAAGAAAAGTATCGAAGCGTCTACAGCCGAAGTAAATAGAGAATCTCACATGTTGACCCAGCATCATGATACTCGGACCGACGCAGGTACCAAAATGGTCTCCTTGAACTAGAAAAGAAGAAGAAAAGCAAGACTAAACAAGATGAAATAGACACGAAAATTCGGGGAACGAAAAAAATATAAGAACACGAGCATACACCCGTCACACAATAACCCCATCACATCCACAGAGACCCTAAAACATAATGACCCCGGCAGCCCCGGCAATCGCGCCCCGAAACCCCATGGTCGACCGATGCGGAAGCCCTCGTCCCTGCTGCTGCTCCCCTGTACTCGTCAAACGCGCCGCCTCCTCGTCGTCCTCTTCTGAAGCCGACACCGACGAGGAAAGCCCAGACGAAGTATGATTAGCCCGCGCAGACACGGGCGGCAGCGTAGAATCGTCAACAAGCGTATCCGTGGAAGAGAAACCAGAGGAGTTGTACCAGGGCGTCGGCGGGCTCAGCATCGATGGTGGTGACGATGCAGTTGGTAATATCATTGCTGTTGTTGTGGACATTGAAGTGGTGGTGGTTTGGGGGGCTGTTGTTGTTTGTGCTTGAGCCTGTGATTGGATCTGGGATCGAAATCGAGATTCAGACTCGGATGATGACGATGAAGAGGAAGAAGGAGAAGAAGGAAGTGGGCAATAGCAGCCTTCTTTCAACGCTGAATATTTTGATCGATTGGTTTTATGTTTGATGCGTGAGAGGAACGGGGAAAGTGAGTATTTGCCCATGGTTTCGCGGGTTGCTTCGTTCGTCTTCTTATTCTTCTTCTTCTTCGACTTTTTACAGGACTGTATGGAAGGCGATGAGCGGCTTGAGCTTAGGCTCCGTATACTGGGGAGAATGAAGTATTTTAGTAGATCGTTCGGTGGGTCGTAGATAGGACTGAAGGCGAAAAACATTGGATCTCGCGTGAAGATGGTTGCCTGTTAAGGAACGAGGTACGTATGTATATATTGAATCTGAACGAAGATATTTATCTGACACTGTTTTCAAGCGATATCGACAGAGACTGCAAAAAGTATGAGAGGAACTTCAATTATTTTTTCAACTCCGCCAAAGGAAGGGTTTCACGCTTTTGTATGTCGGTCTCTCTGCTGTCTATAATTTACCCCGCATCTTTCCTTGCTGCATATATCGCGATCTCTTCTTCTTTAATGAGCGAACAAACCTTTTTGCATGCAACCATGGACCTCAATCTCGCGCTAACAATGCTCCTGAGGCTCCTGTTGGAGGTTGGAGGTCGTCGCGTCGGCGCGAGATGAGTTGGTGTTATGTGTTAGTGGTGTTTCGGCTCTCCTCGCTGACCCGCGACTCGGTCGAGACGTCTTCAACATTTCAACGGTTCGATCTGTTCAAGACTTCTTTTTTCCAGCTCGATATTCATGAGTCGAAAGTACTGTGAGAAAGACCTCCCCGTGCTCATATATTTCATCCGTTGAGGTCTGAATATCTTTTGACTGGAGATGGCTTTCGTTGTTCTCTTGTCTTCTACTCCCTCTTTTAGGTTTCCAATTATCCTTTCACAAATCTACTTTCATCACAGCAAATCACTGCATAAGATTGGATTCTGCCGTGATCTTCCCTCTCGTACGCTGGGATAAGACGTGATTCATCATACAAAGCAAGTTCAGAAACCCTATCATGGAAAAGGATATAATGAGAATCTCCATAGTTCAAAACCCAAACACTACACAATAAGTCTCTCTTCCCTCGCTAGTTGACGAAAGTCTTCCTCAAATATCTAAAATAAATATAAAGGTATATGGAACAGCTCGTTAAACACAACGAGAAAAAAGTGGTTAATTATATCGGTTACCAAAATGAGCCGCGCACTGAAAGCTCGTTTCTTGATTGGTGTCATCGTGATGGCATTTCATAATGTCAGATACACTCAGAATGTAATTACGCAACAAACCCTATGACTTTGAAGTAGGTTTCACCATATCAGTATTTTTTGAGTGTAGTTAACATCTGGAAATGCGACAATTACATGATTTAGCAAGTCCAAAAGAATAGCGTAGCATGTTTAGAGTTCGAATCGTCATCTCCAATATACCCCACCCTGTCCGTTACTTCGGATTCCCCCACAGCCAAGATATGTAGCGTTATATTTCAATATCTACGTCTTCAAGATATGAACACAAGATATTTCGAAACCGCAGAAGAGCCAGAGGGGCGGCACACTCAGATAGCACGGGCATAATTCCGCATAGGGTGATCACAAGCAGAGACGCCGAATCGAAACAACAGCAACATGTATTGAAACCAAAAAAAGGAGGGGGTATGTGAGCTAGAACAGACCAAAAGGGAAAACAGACCACCGAATCCCATACCAAACAAAGCCTCTGAACTGGGGGGGGAGGGGGCCAACTCGCATGGCGACACTCAGGTTATGATTGATGGTGAGAGCGAAATCAGTTCCCATTCACACCTTCGCCAGCACCTTCCAGCTTGCTCACCAACTTCTTCACACCGCTCCATTCATCTCCCTTGGTCTCGACGCCTCCGAGGTCACCACCCACCTCAAACACGGTAACCACACCATCCATACCGCCAACGGCGACTCTTCTCCCCTCATTCTTCTCCCAGGAAAGCTTGTTGAGACTCCTGTTCATGTAGATCCGGCCACCCATATTTTCAAACGCACCCTTTTTGTTCTCACTCGGCGTCGTCTTCTGTACAGGGACTTCCACGTCCACATTCAGATCCCAGATCTCCAGACTTCCTGCCCCGTCGACCAGGCCGAAGACGGACGGCCTCACAGGAGACCATCGAGCATCATAGACGAGATCTTCGCGCGCAATGTCAAGGATAGGCTCTACCTGTTGTCCGAGCGGTGCAGCGGTGTTGGAGGGTCCTGTGGCAGCCGGCGGACGGACTTTCCAGAGCTTGACGCTCCAGTCTACGGAGGAACTGAGCACGAGATCGCCTAGATCGATTTGACCCTTTGCGGGGTGGAAGTCCAAGCTCATGACCGGTGCAGCATGTCCACCATGTCCTGCATACTTGACGCGACCGTCCACACCAGCTTTAGCACCAGCACGATCGTAACGATGGCAGGGGTAGATGGACCCTTCCTCTGTACCGGCAAGGAAATATGTGGGATCGGATTGTGGGAAAGCAATGGATGTCACTGCTATATCGTCCGTCTTCGAGGGGGGCGGGGAGGTGAGTTCGAGGAATTCTTGAGGTTGTGAGAGCATGTCTACTGTCCATCCGCATACTACGCCGTCGGTCGATGCAGAGATGATGTTGTTCGCGTTTTGTGTGCCAACAATGTCGATGGAATATACTGGATGGGTGTGTCCAGAGCCGGTGAGTGGCGTTTTCTGGACGGGAGCAGACTTGGCTCGTGTATCCCACAGAAGCACTTGTCCAGAGTATGCGCCACCAATGATGATGTTAGGGTGGAACGGGGAGAATTTGGCGGTAAGAATATCGGACTGAGCGTGGAAGATGTACTCGGGTCGGTCATGCATATGTAAATTCCAGACTTGGATCAGGCCATCCGGATCATGTGGAGCAGAGGGGTTTTTGGTGTAGGAGGCGAGAACGAGTTCGGGAAACTGTGCAACAATTAGCGGCACGACCATACATGATACGAATACTTGCATACCTTTGGGGAGAAACCTAGATCGGAGATCATCCTCTTCTTACTCCATCTATCGTCCCAGAATTGCGCAATCTCCTTTATCCTCCTACCCTTCTTAGCTCCGCTTGACCCATAACCTTCGTCTTCCTCGTCCACGTTCGAGTTCTCGTGGGCATAGTCTGCCAGAATGTCGTAGTCTAGTTGCTGATCCAGCGCCCTCTCCAGAACCTTTGTGCTTCTCTCCACAAAGTCAATAAAGACGTCCGAGCTCTCCACCGCCGTAAGTTCCTCGTCTGTGAGCGTCTTGAATGGAAAGTTCTCCTTGGACGTTGTCGGTACCTCTCCTGCCTCTGCAGCTTTGTCGGCAGCTTTGAGTTCTTCCTCAATCTCCTTTTTCAATTGTAACCGGATCTCCTCGTCGCGCTCTTTCTGCCTGCGACTCAATCTCTTGCTTCGCGGTGAGCGGGTGGGGCTTTCGTCGCGCTCCGAATCGCTCCCACCTACTCCACGATCCCGCGGCGGACTCCAGTCTATGCTTGCTTGTACACCCTTGCTGTATGTAATGACCTCTTCCTTTCGGGGGGGAGGTGCCTCGACTGGTTGACCCTCGTATTCGAAGACAGTGGACAGAGGCGCAATGGACAGGGTTTGCATCCCTTGATCCACCATGCCTAGCGGCGCTCGATAAGTTCCTGTGCCAGACTCATTGTCACTGCTCAATTGGCCAGCACTAATGACCGAGGTTGGGCGTGTCGTTCTACCGCCGGCTGGCGAGCCAGGCTGTGTAGAGCCAGGTCGGCTGTTTTCGTATATTCCGCTGATTATGGCATCAATGTCGTGCCCTTGATCCAGACCTCCGCGCTTCGGTGTTGGTTGAAGTATCTGCCCATATCATGTTAAGTTGAATGGCGATTGATAAATCAAGGGGAGTAATAATGTACCTCGGAGGGTGAGCCGGTTAGAGACTGTCTTGCAGCAGCCTGCTCTTTCCGAATGGCTCGCGCCTGCTTGAGTTCGGCGAGTTTGGCCTTCTTTGCGAGAATCTCATCGCGGCGCTGTTGCAGTGTTGAGTCCATGATTGCTCAAGGTTGTGCGTGTGTGTATGTGTAGGTGAGAGGGAGGTCGATCTTAGCTGGGAGGAGCACCCATACAAATATACAGCTATGCGGAATCAGGTATGCCCTGTGTATTATTATGAAGCAAGAAAGCTCTATGATTTGCGCGCAGAAGCGGGTTACGATGATGTGCAGGGTGGTGCGGTTTCCATGCGGTTTCCCCCAAAAACACGCCAAGCAGGCCAGCGCCAGGGACGCGGGCTTTCTCCGGCCTAAAAGGGCTCCGCGCAACAAGAATTCGGTCGTTCGGGAGAGAACGCTCGACTTGAAGCCTCAGCCATCCCGACGTCCATTCACCCCGTCCAGCTCTCCGAACCCTTTCCAACGCGGTCTGCCGTCGTCGCTCACTCGATCTCTCTGCCATTGGAATCACCGTCGACCGGCATCCCTTCCTGCGACGTCCTGCTTGACCAGCCACCATGTCTACTTCCGTCGGGGTCAATGTACGATTGAGAACCTCACCCCACGTGCTGCGGCGATAGCTTTTCTGCAGCTCTCCCGAGCTGCGAGGAGCTTCGCCATTGTCGAATATGTGCTGATGAGATGGATTGTAGGTCCTCCGATGGTCCGCCCTGGCCACCGGCCTCTTTTACGGCGTCTACAACCAAGCGTCGATATCAGCGCGCGAGCGAGCACAGGCCGAGAAGCACGCATACCAGCAAAAGGAGTCATTGATTCAACAAGCAAAGGCTGAATGGCAAAAGCAGAACTCTCCTGAGCAGCCAAAGGCATCTGGCGCAGATGCGTGATTAAGCTGTATGGTCTGCCAACCCCAACCCTGCCCTATTCTGTAATGTACGTTCAACATCGAACGCAAATGTTCCATCAGAATTCCAATCCAAACGCGACTACCGCTCCGAAACCATACCGTTACATGCTGACTGGCCGTACAGCGAAAGACGACCTCAACACTCTGCTCGGAATCACGGATGAGAAATAAACCAGCGTCATCTCCTATTTCATTTTGTTTGGCATGGATGTGTTGAGGAAGGGGCAGGTAGATGGAGAGCGGACGAAGCACATGGGATAAAAAGATGGGCGATTGTGAAGCCCGGTGCGCTGCGGAATCATAGTGCGATATATCATCTCTTGTGTGTGTGTGTGTGTTTCTTGTACTCTATGTACAGTATAGACTCTGACGGATGGTCACGTTTCAACATATAAGTTTACTCCTTGTTTCTACACACTCATGCATCTACATGCCCGTCTTCCTTTCTTTCGTGTAAGCGACTTGTTTCGAAGGGTCAAAAGTGAGTTTGTTGTAGTTGGTTCTACTGCAAAATGTGGTAGGTTGTTTGGCATCGTCAGTCTGATTTGCAGTGATATCACGCCACAGCGAGATGTTTGATCTGCATCTAGTATCTATCCGCTGGTTCTCTTCGAAAAGCATCACGAACACAGTCATCCCATCGAATATACAGCATCACGGGCAAAAACACGACGAGGTGGCATCTTTACGATAGAGAGAGGGAGATTAAGAGAGAAGAAATAAAGAATGGGAGCGGAAGATATATAAGTGTCGAAAAGCATAATCAGCAAAGAAAAAAAAAGTGTGTCAACGCAAGAAAAAAAGATGCATGATCCGAAAAGGATCTCGCCAAAACCAACACACACACACCCACACAAGGTTGTGCAGAGGACTGTCCATAAGGCCCAGCCTTTTGCCGTCGTCGTCGTCATCGTCCTTTAGTCGTCATCGTCCTCGACTTATCTTCTCTCATCTACCACCACAGAGACTCTCAAAATGCCCAAGACACACAACAGAGATCTCCCGCTTTTGCCCATGGCCCTTTTCAATCCCCACCTTCCACCCATTAAGATACCCCGTCGCTTCCTCTCGATTCCCATTTTTTTCTTCTCATCTCGTCTTCGTTGCATCTATCCATGCATCCAACAAACGTCTATAAGATATCCCTCATCCCCTCCTCGTTCAATCAATCAATCTCCCACGCTCTGCAAATCGACCCAAACAACCACGGGAAAATCACTCTTCCACACCATCATCGAACAATCAGACCCTCCTCTTGACCCCATTCCACAATCCCCAAAATCAAAGCCCACGTTTGAATTTATTTCTTCAGGAACCCAAAGAAGCCGCCCTTCTTCTTCTCCTTTGGTTTCGCATTGGGGTCCTTTGTCGCGAAATGGATCCAGGCGATGATGCCACCTTCCAAGCTGAGCCCGATGAGCACGAGGATGGTGGTGATGAGGGGTGAGGCGTCGGCCTGGACGGAGCGGAGGGCGGCGGGCGTTGTTATCGGGGCGAGGAATTCGAGAGCCATTTTTCTTGTTCGTTTTTCTTCGGTCGTTGTTTGGTTGAAGGGGGTGTTTTTCTTCTTTTCTTTGGAGAGAGAGAGAGAGAGAGTGGTGAGAGATAGGTTGATTGGTGAGAAGCGCTTTCTTGGTTCCCTGCGCGGGTTTGGATGGTGAAGAGGCTCGTTGCGGCTCACAGCAGCCTGGGCGTGTAGCGCAAGTAAGGGCGTATATGTATAGAAATATGGATATGTCGATGACGGGTAGTTGGATAGAAGAGTTGCGAGAGAACAGCCGGCTGTTGATGGGAAAGGAAGAGAAAGGAGCGTCTTGGAGAAAAGGGTATCTCTTTGGTTCAAATGAATGGAAGGGGTATAACTGATTCGATGCAACGCTACTGTCCAGCAGCAAGGAGGACGTCTATCCAAGATGGGGAGAATTGAAGAAAGTGTGGCGCGCGAAAAGAAAGAAAGACAGACAGACAGACAGGACAGAACAGAAGGCTTGGCGAACGAAGGTGTGTAAGTAGGGGAGAAGTGAAAGTGTTAATAGCAAGCAGAGCGGTAGAGCGACGAGGGAGTGGGGAGATGGGGACAAGGGAGCGTGTCCGATGCTGAAACCTTAGCCCGCCAGACGAAACTCGCAAACCACAACTGTTTGAAGTGTGGCGTCAGCCCTGGCCACGCTCGCGGCCATGTTTTGGTGAACAGCGCGTACTGTCCAGCCATTCACTGCCCTGGTTTCGGCTTTCTGGCGCCGCAAAGTCCCGTACGCTCCAATCCGGCCTGCGCTGTGTTTCCCATGACCAAGTCTTGTCGGCCGCTGCGAACACTGCCAGTGGCGCCATATCGCCTGTTTTTCCCGGCCGCTGAAACCGTTGCTGTCTGGGAGTTGGCCATATCGTAAGGTATCGTCACCTCATTCGAATGCCACTTCTCCATGTTCCACTCCAACATTCGGCATGCCGTCGACAACAGCACTTGTGAGTCTGTGTGTGAGTGTGTGCGACTGCATGTGCACCCCACTCCCCACGACATGTGTGCACTTGTACATATGTGTACATGACATATCCACGTTTGTACTGTACAGACATGTGCACTCGAGATGGCGGTATCCAAGCACTGCACCGAACACCAAGTCTGTACATCTGCACATGCATGTACCTACACATGTGCAAACGTGGATAACCCGCCATCTTCAACGTTTCTAGCGCGCGCCACGGGTCAAAAGAAGGAAAACAAAAACCCACCTTTTGCACACACTTTCAATCCCGGAATCTTCCTACGCATTAAGTGACGTGTGCACATCATACAGTAGAGACATTTATTCTATACACGCGCCGCATCTCTCATCAGACGTCGGCATTCGATATGATACACCCTACCACCACATGTCTTGCAATACGTGAAGAATAGAAGTGGACCCCCTTCCCATCCAACGCCAGCCCACGTTGCGCACCCCACTACCCTTCGTCCTCCTCCTCTTTGACATGGCCATGATGATGATAGAAAGGAGATGCAACGAAACTCGGCAGATGAGTAGAAAAGGTTCGCGCGCCCGAGGCCAAGAATAGTACATGTACACGCGCTCCCGCGGGAACCGGCCTCCTGACGCCAAAAACAACATGGCCCTAGTGTTATTCATGCCTAGGGCACTGACCAAGTAGAGAATGCCAGCTATTCACACAACTCTTAAACCTACACTGGATCAATTACACGGGACAATTCCCTTTTTGCTTCTTCGGCTGCCCCTGGCTGCCCTGTCTTCTATATCACTTCACCCACAATCTTGGCCGCCTCCTTGTATGTCGTGAGCAGCTTCTCGCACTTCTCGCGTTCGGCCTTGATCGTATCATCTTCGTAGAGCAGCTCTTCAAACAGGTTGTCCTTGTACAGCTCGCTGACAAGCCTGTTTTGCACCACATCCTTGGAGTGGTTGACGAGCAAGTGCATCACAGCCTTGGGTACTTGGTCTGCAACCGTTTCGCGAACAATGTTGAAGTACGAAGAGATCAGACGACGGATGAGCTCTGTTTCGAGCGCTTCTCGCTCCGTCATGGCCGGTGCTTGTTCGGCATCCGTGGGCTACATATGTAATCAGTACACGCCATGTTATTGCTACGGTGAAGAGACTTACAAATCCACCTTCTAAACTTTGACTTGCGTTGCCGATGGTTTCATGGTCATCTGGCATCATCTCCAGCACATGAGAAGGTTGCCGGGTGTCTCCTCTTCGGATGCTTTGAGCGAAGCTGGGCTCGCTGTTCTGCGACACGTGCCGACTGCCCGGTCGACTCTCAATTGCATTCTGCTGGTGCGGGTGCTGCTGCTGCGTATTTCCTCCGGGTGCACCATCTTTTCCGAAGAAGTAGTTCAAGAAGGTATCACGCGTTGAGCCTGCACCTCCCAGCGGCGGTGGTGAGCGAGCACGAGTGCCGTTTAGTGCGCTCGAGACACTGCCGTGACCCCCGTTCACAAGACGCCCAACAGCGGGCGACATGCTGCGGCTGGCCTGAGTTTGATGTTTCCGGAGTGGGAGAGCCTTATCCGTTTGGGTCTCGCCCTCCTCCTCGATAGCTGGAGTCTCCTCGCCGTTGGCCCCATTTAACTCCTTCAACCTTCTCCTCTCTCTCTTCTTCTTTTCTGCTTCCATCATCAACTTCTTCTCTCGCTGCTCTTTGTCGTTGATAACCGAGGACATGGCAGCGGCTGCGCCCAGGAAGTTGGGGTGGTTCGTATTGATGTAAGCGCGTTGGATGTCGATTAGCGAACCCACGTACTGTGCGCATGGGCCAAGTCGTTCCCTCAAAAGATCCGACACCACTTCGATGAGCTTTCCTTGAAGACGAGGATACCTGGTTAGCTCTGTTGAACCGCATGTATGGCATATTTTGATCAGTTCTTCATATACAAGTTCGACGCAACGTTGACTCGGGATTTCCAAAAGCTTGATCTGAGGCTTGACAAGCAGGTCAAAGGCCAATTCCGGGACAAACAGGCTGGCACGGGGACCAGTGGAATTCCTGATGGCTGTCCGGATATCAAGCACAGAAAGATTCTGTGTCGGATCCACCTGCTCGAGCGAGTTGCCGAAAACGGAGTTGAAGATGTAGTAAATTCTAGCGCCGCCGCAAAGTTCTTTGGTAGAGATCTCGGCAGAAGTACCGTCGATCGAGGCGATGAAGGATGACGCGAATCGAGTCATGAGCTGCAGGATCAGCGATCCTCTGTGCTCTTTGCCCAAAAATGTTACGTCTCCGTAGCTGGCGAGTTCTTGTTGCGTTTGTCCCATAAGAGTGTTCAATCGAGCCTTGATATCAGGTAGTCGGTCGCGAATGTGTGCCATAAGCGTTTGGTTGAGACTCTTGGCCAAAAATTGTGTACCACAGCGGTTCGCCATGTTCCTGTATGCAGGGTGGTGCTTGAAGAAGTCGCGTTCGGCCTCGAGCGCGTCGGCCAAAGGCTTGCCGGTTTGGATGTCCTGTTGCGAACGGTTGACGATACCAATAAATCCGAGCTTGAGTGGGTATACACGACCGGAAATAATGTCAAGAGCGTTTGTACCGTGATCCATCAAGTCCAACTTAGTGAGAACACCAATAGTCCTCTTTCCCATAGGATCGACATGACGGGCTAGCTTCAAGGCTTCTGAGTTGACAAGATCAACATTTGCGGGGGAGACGGCCAAGATGACACTGTTCGGCTTCGCGATGTATTCGGTGATGAGGTTACGCGTTTGCTTCTCGATGTCGGTTGGTTGATCACCAATGGGGACCTGCGGCGGTTAGCTTAAGCTTTGGTCTAGAGAGTACAATACAAACTTTAGTTAGACCGGGTAAATCGACCAAAGTCAAGCTGAGGACATGAGGAGAATAGATCTTGAGGTTGATGGGCTGGCGGTCGATACCCTTGTTGTTTCCTGCTATTCTCGCGGTCTCAGCCTCGATTTCCCGGCGGACATCGTTGAAGTCGTAGAAGCGTCGACCCTGGCAATGCAAAAACTCTCCCCATTCCTGCTGGCCGGCTACAGCAGCCGGGGTATGAGGAATGTGCACCTCATGGCCTTCGGGAACATCTTCGCGGTCGCTCGGAAGATTTATGAGTTGTAGGATCAGTGGGCGACGGGTGACGATGCCACTTCCTCGAGGGAGGAAGTCTCTGCCAACGATGTTTTCGAGAACAGATGATTTGCCGGAGGATTGCGATCCTACAACAACCTGCGTGGGTTAGCAGAGAGCTCGAGACCGGATAAATAAAACAGAATGAATGCATGCGTGCAAGTCATGCTGTGCCGGAATGGGGGTAGGTGTGACGTGGGGCTAACATACAATCTGGGGAAGATCGAGAGAATCATTGCCGATGGTGTTGAAGACGAGGTCCTGCAAGCGGTTGACGACGTTGAGCAGCTCTTCACCCAGAGACGCCATGACGCTGCGTCGGTACTAGGAATATGCAGGCCGAGAGTGTTTGCGAGCTCGGCTGGGCTCCTAACAAACAAACAGACAGAAGCGGCTTCGAGCGTCCGGGAGTGAGTTGAGGTTGTGGCGTGAGAGGTGATGGGTGATGGCGGCGACGAGTGCGGGAGGTGGAGGAGTAGAAGTGGGGAGCAAGAAAGGGGTGCTGGCTGCGGCCTAGAGGTGGTTGAGGTTGAGGCGCGAGATGCAACTTTGCAGCTTCGTCGTCATTTGGTGAAGTCCCCAATTCGTCGTCGGGCGAACAGGTTTCGGTTCGCCGCGCGTCACGTGCCGGCCGAGGTGCCCACGTCGAGTTATTAGACGACTGCATCTCCTTAATTTCGCATTGCTCGCTGCATCCACCCATCTTTCATGCGTCCATCGGCCAACCGCCATGCTGGACTGGCCAACCTTGTACCTTTGATGCAAACATTGAGCACTTGAAGGTACCCAGTAATGTGTACATCATTGCTATGTATTTCGGGTAGAACCGGCACGAGCGCGACTGTGACTCGAGATTGTCGTCGTTCGAAAAGAGCCTCTCACTCAACAATTGAAGTTGCCGAATTCACAAGTGACAGCAGGTAGCTAGGATTCAATGTTGACAGCAAACCGAATCTCGAATATATATGTTCGTTGTCAAGTCCATTTTCTTCTGATTGATCTTACAGGGTACATGCCCGCTCACATCTTTTGCGCGACAGTCCGGCTGCCTGTGGTATCTACCTGTCTTATCTCAGCCTACGCACGGCAGCCATCTGTCATCTATCGATAGGGCTTCCATTCCATAGGTCCCATGACCATACCCTTCACAGTGCTCCAGTGCCCGATGCAACCCTATCAGACGCGATAAAGTTCTTATCAGTTTCTTGGGCAGCTAACAAAGCGGTCAACCACAGGTAACAATGCAGTAATGACTGAAAAGTACAAAGGGACAGCATATACTCACACTTTTTTCTTGGACTCTCCGCATTCCACATTCAGACACTTTACTGGCAATTTGAATCATCTTGAACTCAAATATTGTGCTGCTGGATCTTTTTGACGCTGACACTGATTTCCATGGCTCCCAAAACAGAGACTGACACACTGGCCCAACATGACTGCGATTCCACCACAATCGGACATATCCTTTGCACAGCTCCCATCCCATTCGGGGGCAGCGACAGAGACGACCAATGGCTATACTATCCAGATACGAAACAATTCGACCTCTCTCGAGGAGCACAACAACGTCTCGCCGTGTCCTGCGACGAATCGCGCCATAACCACTGCGGCTTCGTTATCGACCCATCCAAATCCGTCCTGATTGTTGTTGACATGCAAAACTACTTTATTCATCCAATGTATCGAGATCACGTGGCTGGAATCGCAGCGGTAGACCCAACCCTGCGTCTTATTGATCGGTGTCGAGATGAGGGAATCCAGATCGCGTTTTTGAATTGGGGGATCACGAATCGTGACCTCAATATTATGGCGCCTGCTGTACAGCGCGGCTTCAGCAAGAGTCTTGGATGGCATGTAGGTCTTGGTGCCAAACTTCCAGACGATCAAGGCCGATGGTGCGTATTCCCGGTCCCATAATCTTCCAGGATGTTGTATAGTATTGCGATTTGATACTCCAATATCATGTGGCCGCGTCCTTGTATAGAATTTACTGACTTTGTATTTCTCTCATCCAGTCTCTTCAAGCGTACCTGGAACGCTGAACTATACGAACCCTTCAAAGCGGCCGCTCGACCGGGCGATTTATTCTTCGACAAGACACGTATGAGCGGATTATGGTCCATCAATGAACCCCTGCATGAGTACCTGCGCTCTTGCGAGAAGAAGACTTTGATATTCGCTGGCGTAAACACGGATCAATGCGTCGGGTCTACCATTTCTGACGCTTACTCTTGGGGCTGGGATTGCATCATGGTCAACGATTGTACGGGTACCATGTCTGACCGCAACGCTCAAGATTTGACCGAATATAATGTCGCCACGAATATGGGATTTGTTACGAACAGCGACGCTTTTATCGAGTCGCAGCTCATCTAACGAGATTGAGCTCACAGATAGATCAGGATCCGGGGATCTTTGTTGGGGTTGTTCTTGTGTGCATGTCTAGGAGTTTGACATGGTATTTTCTTTGTCGCAATACCTATATATGTAGTAGATTAGTCGCGAATACCCATACGTTCTTCACCACACGGCGTGTTCCTTAAAGCTGGCATGAGGGAAAAGACAAAGTGCATTAGTGAACTCTGGGGTGAGAGAAACGAGTGGCACGGAAGCATGATCACAGTATGAAAGTAATATACTGATAAAATATCGAGAAACTTAACAGGACTGTCAAAACGTAAAAGTATTGTGTCGATAAGATATATGAGGAATACGAAGAGACAGTCATACTGCAAAGCAACACGTCCGTGACAGAAGCGAAGAGAGCGGTGTGAGATATGCCTAGCTGCTATGAAGGTACGCTGTCTGTTCTTGAACTCTTCTGCCTTCGCCCTCGACTTACCTGCCGCCTCTGATGTAGTTCGACGTTACTGTTGCTACTTTCTTCCCTAACATCATTCCCGTCATTTGATGAGTATCATCATTTATTCTATAGTCAACGTCTCCTATTCTATCTGATACATGAACTCGTACAAGTTGACTCGTGAAACCCGACATCCAATATAAGTGACTATACGCACGCTTCGCGGCTATTAATAGTAATCTTCGTAATCGATTTTTACCACTACCCAGCTTTCCAATCTCTACCTCACTTTCCAGATATCCGGTTCTATTTGTCTTGTCTAGGGGGGCTGTGTATTGTATATTCCACTGAATCAGTGGAATTTCTACTAAATGAAAATGCATCGTAGCCATTTCTATTAGTAACGAGATCTAAAGAATGGTGGCCTAGAGATTCCGATACCGGAAGAGCTTGTATTCGTACCTACAATTCGGGTGCTAGTGAAACGAGCGCGATCCAATGATATATTCCGGACTACTACGGAGAGTTGTGGGACAGGGTCGCGGGATCGGTCATAGTGATCGCGTACCTGGGCGTCATCATCGTCGTCACGTGCAATGCTACGGACCTGCAGGTGTATGTATGGAGCAATGCTAGACTCATCTTTCGAACACTCTAGCATCGTACTGATATCTCCAGATACCAAATATTTCGAGCTTTAGAGCACCCGCAAGATTCATAACCACCGCAATGTGAGATAAAGGGTGGGTTGACAAAGGTACATACCTACATATGTAGGTATGCAGAATAGGCTTGCAGGATGTAACGCTGTAGTGGCAGACATACGAAATTCAACAAGTTCCGATATTTTCAGATGAGGCGGTTTATGCTACTGATTTCTCGAGCATGTGTGCGCATGTTTCTCCCTCGAAAGGTTGTCGCTGCAGTCGGAGAGTGGAGGATTAGTGCTGCTGTCATGTCTGATCACTGTTCTCCGAGGGCTGGGCTTTGAGACTAATCACTTGTGAAAAGTTTGAGTCCATGGCGATCGATGAGATCTGGCACAATTAGAGCAATTATGGTGTCGTCGTACTTATTATGTCAGATTCATTGATCGCGATGCTCTCACAGCATCATTGTGAGCTATCATGCGATGGGGCAAGGACACAAGAAGCGAAAACAGTAGTATCACAACACTGAAAATGGTTTATTCGTGCGAATTACCTCGTTTTGCTGGAGCCTCGCCCGCCCTAGGTCGCTCGAAGATCGTCTCTTTAGGAAGGAGAGTACACCATTTTTTCGTCATTGTACAAAAGCCAACGACATTGAGCTTCAGGCACCTACCAAAGGAGTTCTAAGACTGGCGCTTTCAAACAAAGCAGCAGCCGTGCTTCAATTGTCGAAGGCAACTGGGCCTGGGCGAAGCAACTTCAGATCTCCATCTCCCCACGGCGTAGCCGCGAAGCGTAGCTGAAAGTCGACGACTTGATGAATGGTACGCGTGGTCTTCTCAACAATTCTGATTTGCCAAGATGCAATGATTAATCTTAGACAAGTCGTTCTCGCGTGGGAGGCGAAACTAACCTATTCATTGTCATACGTCATAAATAAAGCACACTAGTGTAGTGTTTCTAGTGACATCCGACTCCAACTCCCACTCCAGCACCGGTACCACGCCCTTCCCAGATTCGCCCATGTTTTTCATTTCGAAAATATCACGTAACAGAAATGTCACAGTAGGACTGGAAATTCTGTGGATCATGGCATTGTTACTTTGCGATGAGTTGTTAATTCGCGAATGAGAAAACCAGCCGAAAGAACTCTCGAACACTCTGGGTCAAATGCTAAACATAAGTTCCTCAGCAAGCCCTTAATTCCATTGAGCCAGGTACCCCGTTTTACCCCACAACTCCGCTGTTTTGTTATAGTCCATCGCTCGGGGTCGAATAGCGTGTCTAGTCCCATGCTAAAGAAGCCTTTCCCCAACGTTTAGATTTCCCTGCCAGTGAAAATTGAACGGATGAGGGGAATTGGTTAGTACTATTGGCTTTCTCTAATAATATCACACCATCGGTCGGATGTATTCGCGTCCATCCCCATAATTTGTGAAGCCAGCATAGACCAGCAAGATGTACTTGTAATTGAATTCCTTCCAACGTTCACGTCACGGTTACAAGTAACGCATGCTTCTGCGTTCCCACAGGAAAATCTTTTCTCTGCTGGATAGATAGAGAGAGGCGCTGTAATGATTGAAGAAAAAAGCTGGAGACCTGTCTTCAACAGTACATTGTTGCATTCAAGTTGAAAAACACCTCACAGAACATACCATTGGAATGCTACGACGCAAAATCTAATTGAACATCACGAATACAGACCACTGGATTCTAGAACTCAAACTCTTCTTTTCTTCTACTGGGGTCTGTCGACTGAGTAGAGCGGTACAGCCGTACACATAGAGGGATAATTAGCTACTCACCATTTAGTTTGACAAGTTCTATAGAGGTATACTCCACACTGATGAAATATGTTAGCCATTAGCCACCATCCATTCTTTTGCCACCTTGACTCTCTATACTAGACCACACTACGGCTATACAAGATGTGTCTTTGGCTCTTTCTTCCGTGCCTAGTGACGCTCATAATCATCATCTTGAGTTAGTTGCTCTTTGCTGTTTGCGTTTCCAGCCAATACGAACCACGAGGTACTATTGAGAGTAACAAATAACTCTAGATGAATCTGATACTAAGGGAAGGAGGCAGTTCCGACTTACGCAATAAGCCGATGGTACCTGCTAGACTTGGTCCAGGCCTCTTCATCGAGTTCATCGAAAGCTTTACTCGTAGCGATTGGTTGCATTCAAATATAGAAAGTGCATGGTGTATTCAACAACTTGAAGACCTTCGAGTTATAAATATAAGTTATCTTATGCTCGGGGTATCATTATTCTTATATTCGAACATCTCAATCGTTTTGTGTTCTACAATCACTTCTTGATCTTCCAACACTGTGCTCCAAGCAGCACTCTTCCAAAATGAAATACGCTCTCATCCAGCTCGCCATCATAGGCGCGGCCACCGCTCTCGTTGTACGCGGAGGCGGTCAGCAGCCCGATGTGAAAACCCCAAGTGTTTATCAGCCCAAGCCAATCGAGACCCCACCTGTGGCGGTTAAGCCTTCGCCTTCTCCAGAAGAGCACAAACCTTCTCCAACACCTAAGGAGGAAAAGCCGAAGCCTTCTCCCGACCACGAGGAGAAGCCACAACCCTCTCCCAAGCCTGTCGAGCCCGTGAAGCCGAAACCCGACGAGCCAAAGCCCTCCCCCAAACCTGTCGAGCCTGTCAAGCCGAAACCTGAGGAGCCAAAGCCCTCCCCTAAACCCGTTGAGCCTGTCAAGCCGAAACCCGACGAGCCAAAGCCATCCCCTAAACCAGTTGAACCTGTCAAGCCGAAGCCCGACGAGCCAAAGCCCTCCCCTAAGCCTGTCGAGCCAAAACCCTCCCCTAAGCCAGTTGAGCCAAAGCCAAAGCCTGTCGAGCCTGTCAAGCCCTCCCCCAAACCCGTTGAGCCTGTCAAGCCTTCTCCCAAACCAGTCGAGCCCAAGCCTGTTGAACCGAAGCCAAAGCCAGTCGAACCCAAACCCGTTGAGCCCAAGCCTTCAGAGCCTGTCAAGCCGAAACCAGAGGAACCAAAGCCCACTCCTAAGCCGATTGAGACGAAGCCAGCTGAAGAGAAGCCAAAGCCAACCCCAGTACCTGTAAAACCCCATGACGACAACAAGGACAAGGGTCAGTGGGATGAGAAAGAGAACAACAACGATCACGACAACAAGGGAAAGAACGAAGAGAAAGGACACGAGCAGCCGAAGGGAGACGAACACGACAAGGACAAGAAACAGGGCAAGAATGACGGGAAGGACAGCAAGCCGGAGGATAAAGCGGGAGACCACAACAAGTCATATTAGGAGAAAAGTACTATTGTATCCAGTGTCATTGTGCAGATTGGATGATTTCTTTTGTTACATGATCTTTGGTCATAGGGCGCCATGATAGGAGCGCAGAAACATTCCTTAGTCGCTTTTTTTTTTGATAGTTTCAGAAAGAACTGTAATAACTAATAAATGAATTACATTGACTCATACTGCTTCATCGCCTCTGCTTTCACAGTGTTTTGGTTGTTTATGAGTTGATGGTGACGGCTTCTTGACAAGTCATTGAACTTTATCTACATTATTACTTTATTGATCAACTGTCTTTAACGTGCGATCTCATACTACCCCTTTATATCACACTCAAATCTTATATTGATTCGCGCGAAGCTAACCCACATTCGTTAGATGTCATACTATGCGTTTTATTCGGACTTCGCTGTTGCGCAATAAGACACTTCATTGCGTGACTTTTATCTAGCTTGTACTTGTTTTGGCTATTGCGGACGTTGAGGTACATCAGTGTGCATAAGGCTTAGACGTTCGGGGAGAGCTTGAGATCCAATCCTATTGAACCATTTCTGCTTGCACTTGGTAGGATTTATTCAACAGCCAGGTATCAGCGTGCACGTATAGCTACCGACTTGACACGAATCCTTCAAGGTGAGCCTTGTGGGAGTTCTTCTTACCCAAGATGCCGTGTGAAGCAGGATTGCAAGAATTTGAAAATCTAGTGAAATAATCTTACCTTGTATCTACAGTCCTCACTATTCGCGTATACCTGAAGTCTTTTTGAAGGTGGGTTATTATGAATGGTTGATTGCGGAGATATCGTGTATTCCCGTTTATACCTAATCCTTGTTGTTATATATGTCGATACGAAAGCTCAGACACCCCTTTTGTATGCACTCGTAACCACTTCCGCATCGGAGCTATGCAAAAAGGATGAATGCGGTCATCATTATATTGTTGTTCATTGTTTACCGATCGAGACACATGCAGATCGTATTACGCGGTGCCCCTAATGCTTCTTGAATGGAATCATGACCAGTCAACTCGAGCGGAGTCATGCTTGAGCGCTTTAAGCTCTCGTGAGAAGCTGCAGTGTAGATATTGCCATGTCAGTTTCGCTGTTACCTAATTTGCTCAACATTTCTGTTCTTTGATATTAGACTGTTTTTCAAAACACCATCCTTCTCGCACGTAGCTTACCACTAGGGGTGAAACAATATTGCGAATCCGAATTAAAATACTACTCTTTTTGTACGCACAGCCCCAACGATGAATGGACTATTTGTGCAAATCAATATCAGATCCTTCAGGAAGGGAATGCTTAGATGATTTCCGATTGACGCGTGGACAACCTACAAGTATATAATGAGACGTCAAGCCATATCATGCTCTTGTCCCTCACTCTAACTAGCCCCCCTCAAATCTTTTGACAACATGTGGACGCATCTTTTTACCCCGTCACTGGTAATGCTAGTACTCCTCGACAAGGCGACAGCGCAAATACAGATACCACCCTCGAACGGAAGCTACAGCATCCTCTACTCAACGGCAAAGCTCACAGACAAGACCAGAATCGATCCTTTCGATCCTAATCATGGAAACCGCTCAATAATGGTATCTCTAAGCTATCCCATTCCAAAAGACGCATGTACCCAACACTGCTCAATCCCCTATATGCCGGCATCAACCGCATCCTTCTTCGATCAACTTTTCGGCATGCCAAACGGCACAGCAAGCTCATTCCTCCTCGAAACCTGCTGCGAGACCAACCAAGACTACACCCCCAATCCACAAGAAACCCCCTTCGTCATCTTCTCCCCCGGCCTCCAATCCTCCCGCCTAGCCCACAACGCGCAAATCCAAACCCTCGCGGCATCAGGCTACGCAGTCCTCAGCATCGACCACCCCTGGGACGCCGCCGTCCTCGAATTCCCAAACGAACCACCGATCGTAGGCACGCTGATCAACGACATCGCCGACAACAGCACCGGCACCCCGATCCTCAATTGGGACGTCCTCGCCTCGGGCGTGCAGATCCGCGCAGCGGACGTCGAGTTCGCGCTCGACGAGTTCAACAAGCTGTCTACCGTTCAACTCCTCCTACCTGATGCGACATCGTCATTCAACACTACCCGCACCGCCATCTTCGGGCACTCGTATGGCGGCGCGACATCAATGCTATCTTTGACGCAGGACTCGCGTTTAATCGGGGCGCTTAATATGGATGGTGCCTTGTACGGCATGAATGATAGCCGTCCTACCAGTAGCCCGGCTGTTTTCCTCGGTACCAGCAGCCACAACCATACGAGTACCGACGAAGTTACGTGGTCGGATGTGTGGTCGAGATTGAACGGGTATAAGCGTGAGTTCTCGCTCCAGAAGGCAGCGCATAGTTTTTATATGGATTTTCCGTTGCTTTTTGAGCTTGCAGGGTTTGTGCCGGTGCCGGCGGTGGCGGCTCAATTTGGCGAGTTGGGTGTGGAGAGGGGGAAGTATGGCTTTGGCGTTGTGATGGAGCTTGTAGAGGCATTTGTGGATTTTGTGTTCTGGGGGAAGGAAAGCGTGCTATTGGAAGATCCTGAGTCCGTGTTTCCTGAGGTGCTAAAGGTTGAGGATTAAAGTGGGAGTGGTTCACGTATTTGCTCAGTTATTGAGGGATATGCTCAATTCAACTAAAAGAACGATTTGGGGGCGAAAGTGAGAAAAACATCTCGTTACCTTACGTACATACATAGTTATGTAGGTATATCGGAGAGAAAACATGTGAGCGCAGGTATTCTCAAGCCTACATATATCCGAAATATCTAAATGATCCAATAACTGCTGCCACATAATGGGTGCTGACAGAACAACTACAGACCAGATGCCAACTGACGCAATCCTCACAATGTGGAGCAGGATGGTAGGATATTTTATCTTGTTTTATTATTTGAGTAGATACATATCTCATCAAGGTTTTGGAGAGAATCTCTCCTTCCATTGACACGACATCTTCACGCTGGTCTTTTTCTCGACCGCAAGCGATATCGACCAATCCGACTCATGACTACCTGACTAATACACACCCGAACCCAGGGCCAAACTCAATTCGCATACTTCATTATCATAGGAAAGCCGCATAAAACCACCAAATCCCAAATACGCCATCCAATCCATTCATTACAAAGATCGCACGTCATCATCCACCAATAGCGGACGCAACATTAAGATCCACCCTGACAGAATTACTCTTGATAGCCTCTTCAAAGTACGGCAAATGCTCGCCATTGCGTACACTGCTGTTGCCGATGATATCTACCGGCAAAATCGCATTCTTGTATTTGCTCGACACGAGCCCGAGAATCTCGCGCTGATCGACTTTGCTCTGCATGGTGACGTTGTTGGTGCCGGGCTTCAACAGCAGGTCGGGCAGAAAAGCGGTGCCGATGGGCTTTTTGTCGACGGAGAGGTTCATGGTCACGTTCCCGAGATCGATGGTTAGGACGGAGGGGTTGGGGATGATGACTCTGCCTACGAGGTTGGAGCCGTCGGGGAGGATGTCTTCCTGCGATGTGAGGATCTTGAGGTCGGTGATGTTAAGACCGGCGAGCTTGTTGAGACCTGAATTCTGTTAGATGTCGCGATATGAAGATTTGGCAGAGAAGCTACTGTACCTTTCATGGTAATCCTCTTGTTATAGTCGACGGAGATGGCGCTCAAGCCAGACTGGCGGACCTTTGTCTTTCCAGAGAACAGCACAGTGAACTCCTCGCTGCCTATAACAACTTTGTTGTACTCTTTGAACGCGTCCATGTTTGCAATCTTGACATTTTGCCGGACTTTGATAGATGTCACGGCTTCGGCCTTGGTCTCTGGAATATCAGCGTAGACGAAAGGTTCTTGTCCTTCGAGGTAAAATGCAGCACGGAAGCCTTCGATTATGGGGTGGAAGCTGCTGCTACTTCTAGCTGTGCTATCCAGGGCTAATTCGACACTGTCTGGTGTGGGCTGCGTGACTTCCTGGCGATCGACCTCCAGAGTGGATGCGTTCAGGTCGCTCTGAGCCTTGTTTGGTATGGCGACGTAAATTATAGGCAGAACTATGATGAGAACAATGATAATGAGAACGAGGCAATCTGTACAGAAGTATTAGTGCCACTTCGTCCATCTCTGTCCGGCACGGCCACACATACCACACCACCAGAATTTCCTGCAGTGGTTCTTAATCCTCGGACCTGCGCCGGGTCGGGGTCCCGGGGGATAAAGTGTGTTCACGATACCGCCTTTCTTCCTGGGTCTATCCGATTCAACGTTGGCCACCTCATGGTGTGTCGCTGGTTCCACTTTGTCCGTCATGTCGAGAAGTATGTGCCGTGAGGCCGTCTATTTTGAGAGTAAAGAATGCGGAGAGCAGACAAGAATGATATAGTCGGCAAGATCAAACAGACTGCCAGGCTACATCTCAGGAAGTCGGCGATGAAGATGCGGGGAAACAACTTTATAATCAGGTACAGGGAGGGCGTAGCAACACATGCGCAGTTGAAAATGGGCAACCGTGGAGACTAGACGGGGGTCTTGCTGCCGATTTGGAGAGATCTGTTGGGTCGCCGGAAACGAAGAGGCGTGGCAACGATCCATGTCCAGTAGAAGAGCAAATAAGAAGATTGAGGCGCGACTGATCGAGGTAGGTCTCCGAGATGATAGCCATAATAAACGATTATGCCGAGGTTGGTCCTTTCAATCAATCAGAGGCACATGCTCACAGCTCCGTCGAGGTCGAGGTCGAGGCTGGAGTTGTCTGCTGTAACAAATGACATGGCTAGCGTTCACTGTCGCGTCTTCATCTATGGGCTGTGAGCTCCAGATGCAGAATGGTGCCACATGGAGCTAGTGCTGGTGTCGGAAGCTCCGCGCAGAAGTGCAATTCGACTCTCGAAAGCTGAGTCTCGGGAATCACAGATGGTAGGTAGGATGGAGAAACTATCGAATGATTATGTGGATGCTGACCAGCGACAGGGGATGGGATGGAAGGGGAGAAGGATGGGCAACCGGGGGAACGATGGTGGTAGCTTTTAGCGCGGCTACCCCGGGGAGTCATGGATGGATCGGGCTAGGCTGGCGGGAGAGTGTGGGGTAATTGGATGCTCCCATCCTGGGGCGAGTGAACACGATCATCCGGAACGGACATCAGTCTTCTTCTGGAAGTATTCACTCTGCTCGCATACACGAATGGAGCGCGGGGTCGTCTGCAGCATAAGCATTTGCTGCATGCTACATATGTACTCCTTGCACGTACAGTCACGTTATACGAGTCTGAGAGTATAAACGTAGCAGCTCGCGCTGGACTTTCACATGGAGCCTAGGTTAGCTATACTGATGGCGCTTTTCTCCTCACAAACAACTGCTGTACGCCCATCTTTTACAAGGTCGATGCGGATCCAGCAGTCTACGAGGGTGATGATCGCTACTCTTGCGGCACATGATATATTAGAAATTTGTTATACTTCGGCGCCATCACTCATTTCTGCCTGGTCGTGTGTGTGTGTGTGTGTGTGTGTGTGTGTGTGGCATCTGTTCGCGTATAGAGTGAGCATCCCCCTATCAATAGTAGTTAAGTATACATTAAGTAAATACTTAGTAATCGCACCTTACGTACGCCAAGACGCGAGCCTCGGTAGCTAGCGAGCTTAGTAGTGTGATCTTCAAACGTTGATGGCTCCTCGCCATTGCCGTGCCACGACCCTCTCGACTCCTAATTCGAACCACTATTCAAAATGCCCCAATCGGACGAGGAAGATGATTATATGAACATGGTATTCGAGGATGCGCCCAAGGCTCCGAAGCACGAGACCTCAATGCAACGCGCGGCGCGCAAACGCAAAGAAGTAGGTCGCAGTCTTCACGCGCCCACGATTCCCCCGCTGACATGCTACTTTAGGCAGAATCCAGGTCGAGACAGAAGACAAAAGCGGAGCGCGAAGCGGACGCGATCGCAGCACGCGAAGAAGCTCTGGCAACGGCTCTCCCCGAGGACAACAAAGGGTTTAAGATGATGGCAAAGCTCGGCTTCAAACAAGGCGACTCGCTAGGTAAATCAGAGGACGCAAGAAAAGAGCCCATCAAGATCGTCGTCAAGGAAGACAAAGGAGGTATCGGGCTCGAATCAGATAAAAAGCGGAAATTCCAAGAGACATTCGAGGAGGCCAGACAGGCTGCCAAACGAGCAAAAGAAGAAGAGGGAGATTTTCTCGAGGAGCGCAAGCAGCAACAAAAGGAAAGAAGTGCTGAAAAAGATTTGGACAATGCACAAAGGACGGCTGAGCGTCTGTTCGACAAGGAAGCCGAAGAAAAAGGGACACCCACTGCCGAAGACATCCCCCTTCAGCGCATTGACATATGCTGGCGAGGTCGCGTCCGAAGACGCATTGAGAAGCAAGCAGAAAAGCAACAGAAACGCGAGCTCAACAACAGCTTATCATCGCGGCTTCCAACGCTTGCCCATGAAGACGAGGACGATGACCACGATACAAAGACCGCTCTGGGTCATGACATCACGCCCTTCTACACAACCCTTGAGAATGACTTTGGGCATGACGATCCAGATCTTGCAGAGTTCGAAGCGCTTTCTGTGTTTGAGCGTCTGGAAAGAACACTTGTTTTTCTCAGAGACACATATAAGTATTGCCTCTATTGTGGTTATCAGTATCCGGACGCAGCTATGGATGGCTGCCCGGGTGTGACAGAAGGCGATCATGATTGATCTATTCTTACGGCTGTTACTAACGCGATACTCCCCATTCAATGATCCAACCATGTGTAATTTGTTCAATCGACCCTGCTATCTACATCTACCCAAGATTCAGACTCTGTGGGTATAGTATGTCTCCAACTGAGATCTCTGGAGCCGCGAAACCTGCAACCTTAGTCTGATAAAACATCTCATCCATTAAACCCGGATTATAGTAGTTTTATACTCCTTGGACATCCATTGCAATTGCGGAACACTGGACCCTGGTGCCAAAACACACATGTAAGCAGCTAGTTCGTAGATGCATGTCAACGTGCCAATAATATCTATTATCTCATCCCATAATCATTGGCTATCGTGCAGTGCTATCTGATGACACTACACACATTTACAACTACTCACATTGAGTGATATACAGTCGAGAATGTTGGAGAGTCGTGTCCAGATGTCGGCGAGAGGCACGGACCACGTGCCAACCCTCGGTCGATTTCGCGATCTTGCGTACCGCGTCTCTCTTCCCTGTCTACGACAAACCCAATGAATTAACGGACTCTCCAATCACTCAAATATGGAACACGAGAAATGCTATATATATGCACCACCTGAATCTAATTCGGAAGAGCGGCCATCAAAGCGTGTCCGAACAAGCAAGCTTCAATCACAACCACAACTCACAGAACGACTTTCGACGTATAGGGAAGTATGGGCTCAGCAAGAAGAACGTATTCAGGTAAGACTGGCACAACACGACGCGCAGATAGCATTGTTAATTCTAGGAAGCAAACGTTAGAGAATGCGGATAGCGTCACGCAGGAGAATATTGTGAAATTTGTCGCTGCATCAACAACGTCAGAGGGCGAGCCGCAAGCATCTATACCGACAGGTTTAATCGTCGCAGGACCCAGCATCGCATCGCATGGTTTATTCTTCTCTCGCTTGGGACAGAACATCAGAAGTGAGACCGACAGCGCATATGCTGTTCTCACATCTGGAGAATGCCCCAATCTCAAAACCTTGTTGAAATGCCTGGTAAAGAAGATCACCTCACTCAAAGATGACGGGGATGAGCATGATGATCTCATTAATTCTGGATTCTCGGCGAGAAATGGCCCAAAACTTCTTGATTTCGATCTTGGCCATGTGCAAATGTGGCAGGATAAGAACGAGACCCAAAGCATTGTTGTGGCCATACAAGATAGCGAGGCGTTTGATACCGCAGTGCTTGTTGAACTGGTAGACACTGTCCAGTAAGTATTCTTGCTAAACTCTGCTGGCTGTACTATGCAAAACTGACTTCATCAGCTCCTGGCTTGATCGTTTACCTTTCATTTTACTATTTGGCATTGCTACGTCTGCGGAGAACTTCGAAGACAGAATGTCTGGAAAATCGCTTCGATACCTGGATGGCCAAAAATTTGATGTCACTCAATCGGATGTCATCATAGAGAAGCTGTTCAGTGTCACAGTTGCTAACGCTGATGCGCGTCTCCGCATTGGACCAACCCTAAGCCATCGTCTTCTAGATCGGCAGAAGGACCATGTTCAGAACGTCCAAGATTTTGTTGATGGACTTAAATACGCCCACATGTCACACTTCTACGCGAGCTATCCATCAATCTTCTTGCGGAAAGGTTCGACTTACACCGACCTGCCTTCAGAGGCCTTTGAAGCCGTGCGAAACCTGCCATCGTTCCGAAGGTAACGTTTATCACCCTAGGAATATTGAATGTCCTAATGGACTAATGCTCATAGATGGATTGAAACGCTCCTACAAGACGGCAATGCTTCTGAAGTTCGCACATTGCTCCAATCGGATCAATCCCTGCACGAGGAAATAGCAAAGCATATTAAACTAGGACAGACTGCCCTCACATCTTTGAGTCAAGCAGCTATCTTGTTCCACAACATACGTGAGAGTCTCCAGATATCACCACCATTCCGGCTATCGACCATCTGGACCCGGGCAGCAGCAGGCGATCTATCCGGCAGCCCGTTATATCGCGAAACCATGCTCTCCCTCAAAAAAGCCTCCTCTGACAAGCTCAAGCAGCTACTGATATCCATGGAAAGATTGAACATGGAGGGATCTTCCATTGACTGGGCCAAGTTCAATCAGAATCTGCTGAAGCTCGTTCAGAACAGTGACGGCTCAGGTCCTTTACGAAGTCAAGATGACGTGCGGAACGACAGCGTCCGTACGACAGTCATTGCACAGAAAGTTTTGCTCAGCAAACACAAGGCTGCACTTTCTGAGCAAGACAAAGCGTACTCGGAGCTTGTTGCACAATTGCATGACGAGATTGACAGATATATGACATCGGCCTTTATCGATCCGCAGGCCATGTTTTTATCTGAAATCTTCATGTATGACCTAAAGTCGCCCCATGTTGAGGTTTTCCAACCCAAACCTCGCTTCGCAATCGAACGTGCCTTGGCTACACCGCACGATTACCTGGGCTGTAGCTGTTGTGACAGAAACCGAACGGAAGAGGAGGGAGTACTCGCAGCAACCCAGCCAGCCACGGCTATTCTATATCAGCTGTTTCTGGAGTCTGGAACTTTGATCAACGCTAGCGACTTGTGGTCTGCTTTCGAGGCAATCGTTGAAGAAGGAAGCGAAGAGAGTGACCCAAAAACATCGTGAGTCATTCATCCCAAGCGCACTTCCGGCTTGGAAACACACTGACTAGAAAGGGCCCTCATTCAACGTGCTCTTGCTGAGCTGAGATATCTTGGACTCGTCAAACCGAGCCGGAAAAAGACCGATCATATCGCTAAGATAATGTGGAAGGGTCTATGAAAGCCGGCCTTCGCCGCAACGACATGTCATGCATCCCGGGTATCATGGATCTTTTATCACTCTCTATTCTTGCGGTTTTGGTGCGGTATCGCACAAGGTCCCGCAGTTTTTACATGTCCGCGCCTGTTTATCGTTCTTGAAAGCCTCGACTCCTGCCTTGATTTGGGTTCCCAAGTCTGTGCAATGGAATGCTTTTTCATGCACTTTCTCGCCACACTCCTGGCAATACCATCTGAGTCTGTCTAGACTTCCTTCAGGTCGAGGTTGCTCCATTACTACACCCACTGTGTCTTTGAATCTCACTGGATTGTGTGGGGTATTCGCAGGCAGCAGAAACATGTCTCCCTCGTTTATGTGAATGTCGCGGAACTGTCCGTCGTCGACGATTTTGAGCAACATAGAGCCTTTGTATTGATAGAACCACTCGGGTGTCTCATTGATGTGGTAATCAGTTCGCGCATTGGGACCACCGACGATCATGATGGTGAGCGGGTCATTGTAAACGCAGTAGTTGTTCACGGGGGGTTTGAGGAGGTGGGAATTCTCTGAGAGCCTAGAACAGCATGTTAGCATTATACAAGAAATGAAGGCAATCAACTCAGATTTCGTACCATTTTGGGATATTGAGTGGCGGCGCAAGGAGACGGACTGAGGGTGTTTGAGAAAACAAGCGGGTTGAGGGCAACGGAAGTCGAGGAAGGCGATTCAAAGTTGGCGGAAGAGCTCGGAAGAGCGTCGCGGGCTGCAAATGGCGGAGTGTGGGACGAATGCTATTCATGATTGGTACTGCCATGCTTCCAGCATTTCTTGTGGTCGATATCTGTCGAATGACTAGCAGAGATGAAGACGAAGACGGTGGAGGACTCCCGAGCCCGCCGCACAGCGGGCGCCACATGGACCCCGCGATAAGCTACGCGCTCGGACCCTGAATGCTGCGACACCTACCTCACTAGTGCGACCGTATCATCCCACAAGAACGAGCTACCTCAGACTTCACTCCCCATTTACTCGCCTTACTGAAGCCTTTTCTGTTTTTTTGCAATGGATCACTCTAAGATGGACCACGGACACATGGACCACGGCGGTCATGGAGGCCATGACATGCCTGGCATGGATCACGGCATGAAATGTAACATGAACGTACGCGTCTCTCTCGTCCGGACTCTAGTGGGATCATAGAAGCTTACATGTCTTTGCAGATGCTGTTCACATGGTCCACCAAAGATCTCTGTATCGTCTTTGAAGGCTGGCATATCACCAGCACGGCGTCGCTCATCTTCTCGCTGCTCGCTATCGTTCTTATGACCGCCGGCTACGAGGCCGTACGAGAGGCATCCAGACGGTACGATGCATATGCAAAGCAACTCACCGAGGGCCGACGGAGTGGAGATGACCTGACAAGTAAGTCGTCCTTTCTTGCGAGTCCTTTTCTCAACCCCCTGCATACGCAGCAACTGCCCGGTTCTTGATGTGATGGAGAGAAGGATACAATGTACGGCTGTTGCGAGACTGCGTCCATACGTCCCTTGATCTTTGCAGACTTGAAGTGCGAGTCCTCATGCTGAGCGGCGGCTTGTCTATACAGACGGCACCGACACCACACAAGCAGATGAATCGAGCTCATTACTTGGACCAGGGCGACACGCAGGGAGGGTCAGCGAGCAACAGACCAAGATTGTCAAGGCGGCTCTATATGCTGTGCAGGTCTTCTACTCTTTCTTCATCATGTAAGTCATTCCCCATGGATATCGGGTGAGCGCAAGTTGATGGAGCGTGACAGGTTGTTGTTCATGACATACAATGGTTGGATCATGCTGTCGGTTGCTGTCGGTGCTTTTGTTGGATACCTGCTGTTCAGCAACTCACCATCCGCGAAGACGGCCGCATGCCACTAGTTACAGTCTCGGGATTTTCGCTATGGCTACATTGCCACCTTGGATGGAATCATACGTAGGATGTCTTGGACAGCTACAAAGACAGGGCTGTTGCGGCGGTAGTGCATGAATTTTAGAGCATTTCAAAGACCAGTGTCGGCTCCACCAGGGTTGACTCTGGTGAATTTTGTAGCATTGACACCGGTACCAATTTGCAGATACCTATGTCGAGACTACGAAATCTATGTTTACTTGATTTTATGTTTGTTTGCTTTGTGGACAAGACATGTCATGAAAATGAATGATTCGTACGTAAGGAAAGCTTTCTCAGATATTTATGTGTGAATGGATATTGAGACACGCCAGAGCGAGCGCCACAGCCGCGGCGTTTGCTCCGAGTCCACCACCCTTCCTTCGCGATCATGCATGGCTACCATCCACCGCCACCACCATTAGTAGAAGTTGAAGTACACTTCAGGTATAGAGTGTAGCCTTTCAAACTCCAGTAGAGTACTGTTCCGCAACTCGTTCCTCACTCTCAAGTTCGCTCTCTCAAGCATCCACCATATCTTCATCCTCGTCCTTGTCCTCGTCCTCGTCCCCATTCCCATCAGTAAGTTCTTAGTCATCATCGAAGTCCAAGTCAAGCTGCTCGTCTTTCAGGAAGAGATCAGGCGGAGCCCCGCGGCCATCTTCGACGACTCGTAGATCTCGAGCAGATCTTCATCGCCTTCCAGCCTAGCTTCTTCAAGCATGTTTTTTCAAACAAGCATCAAGTATTTTCCCATAAAGTTTTTGCCGGGCCATACATGCATTTTTTTCTGTTAGATCGCACATTTTTTTCCAGCAAGTCCTTTGCCTGCTTTACGCTCAACCCAACTCCCCCATCACTTATCCAACTCGCTGCATTCAACGAGCGGGGCTTTCCTAGTTGCTACGAGCTTTTTCCGAAGCTCTTCAGCTTTCTTCTGAGATGGTGAACTTTGCTAGAACAGCGCAGTGCATTACTAAAGGCCAAACTATAATAGATGTTTATAGGCGCTGTTACAATATACAAATACATAAGAGAACTTGCCCTCATTCCACAGGCTTTCCTTAAAGTTTTCAGCCTTTTTGCCATAGCTCCTAGCCATCTTAGGAGATTTTGTCCCTATAATCTTTCTTATTATGTCCTATAGCTTGTTAGTAGATGCTGTAGAATATAAGTGGGAGATATAGCTTACTGTGTCCCTGAAAAGCCTTGCCTTTTTATACTGAAAATTATGTTCTACGGTGTAGTACGTTAGGTTGTGCAGCTCGAATTTCGACGGGTAAAAATTTGAGAGCTACTAGTACTCTCCTTCTAAGCCGAAGTATAGCACGGTGCGTCCCGTCCATTCATCCTCGCAAATTTTAAGAAATATTTCTTCATCATCTTCGCTTAATGCAGTATTTCGATTCTTTGCTGGCTTGGAGGTTTCCGTACATATCGATGTTTGTTTTCTTTTTTGTTCTATTAGGGGTTTGGGAGATACTACACCTATCGATATAGTAATAACAACTCACAACTCAATTATGAAGTAGGGGAAATCCAACATGCGGTAACTACTTCCAGGATAATTATAGTGCATTATGTTACGTTCGTGTATAGTGCTATCAGATCTACATAACGTGCTTCAGACTTTTTGGTTATTGCTCGTTATTTTAGTCTATTTTGTTGTTGTAAACCCTTCGCTGTGCGTGGGATCACCTAAACTCCCACTTAAAAAGAAACATAACATAACGTGCTTCAGTACACAGCGATACTATAACAACGTATAGTTTATGCGTAATGTAGTGGAAATCTAACATGCAGTATATACTTCCAGTACGATATTGGTGCATTGTGTTACGTTCATGTGAGGTGCTATCACATCCACGTAACGTGAGCCAACACACAGCGATGTTGTAACAGCAATACAATTCTATTATATTGTAGAGGAAATGCAACATGCGGTAGATACATCCAGTATGATTTCAGTGCATTGTGTTACGTTTAAGTAAGACGCTATCACATCTACGTAACGTGATCCAATATATAGAGATGTTAACAATAACTTGCAGTTTATGCAAAATGTAGAGGAAATTCAGCATCTAGTAAATACTTCTAGTATAATATTAGTGCATTGTATTACATTTGGTTAAGGTGCTATCACGGCTACATGACGTGGCTCACGTTTTTTTATCTGCCTTTTTAAGTGTAGGAAACACTGTAACTTCTATTTATGTTTTAAAAAAAATAACTTATGGCCTGCATGGCATGGTGACGCGCTTCTGCGCCCTCTTTGGGCAGACTTGTGGCAGATATAGTACCATCGTTTGTGCCGTCTTCGAAGGCCTGCCTTTGTTCGTCCGTGAGCCTCTGGCTGCGAAAGGTTTTAATCTCCCCGTCCCGCGAGACGCTGAATTCACCCGGTTCGTACAGCTTTGTTCTTAGAGCTCGCTGGTAACTCAGAATGCCGTCTTTGGTCGCAACATCGTGGGAAATGCCGTCGATTGTGAAGAATCTTAACAGATCCGAATGTCCGTCTTTGAACTTCTTCTTTACGATGTCCTCGAGGATGTCGGTCTTTGCTTCGCTCAGACGGGTAATCCAGTCTTCAGTCGGTAGGCCCTCTTCTTTTCCATTCGCATTGTGATGGGCATCATTACTGGTTGTAGTCTCCGTTTCGTCATGGTATGCCTCGAGGCTTGGAGCTTGTCCGCCCTCAAAGATCTCTTCTCCTTCGGATTGCGGCCGCAGCAGCATTCAAAAAGCAACCTCCTCTCCTCCTGGACCCCATAGCTCATTTTGGATCACACCCCATTCTCCCGTCATCACGTCTGTTCGATTGTTGTTGGTGAATAATTTGAAAATCTGCACTTCGAATTCGTCCATGCTGAATACAGAACGAATCACATCTCGAACATACTCCCCGCTCATATTTGGGCTGATTTTAACGCTGGCATGGGGTAAAAATCCGAATCAGTTCTCGTCAATATGAGCAACCGCCTGTTGATTCATCTTTTCTTTGGAAAGGCGCTTCCATTCCACTACCACCGTTCTGGTGGCGCGGGAGGGAGTGGTCGTTGGAGTTGGCTGATCTGGGGCTAGTGATGATGACGCTTGCAATTCTTTCGGACGCATCCAACTAGGCAGATCTCGAGTTGTAAATTCTACGGGCGTATCCCAATCCGATCGGCCGAATCGCCCTGGCCAGATGTTGAGGGCATAATTGACGTAATTGATGGCATTGAACAGACGATTTGGCGTCTCCAAGTCGCTCTCTACTCGACTGAGGGCGTTGGTGCCTGTGCCGCAAAGCTTGTGAAATGGTGTGAGATCTGCTAGTTTCACTGTTGTGATATCGACGTGTGGGGGTTTACATCCCGTCAAAGCCTCGAATTCCTGGGCAACGCGGTCTTGGTCTTCTTGTGTATATGGCTTGAGCCCAGGTAGTGCCTTATCGATCCTTCGTTGCAGCTGTCAAATAGCGAGCGCCATGCGTTGAGTAAAATGAGCATACTCTTTATCATCTGCCTTTGTAGGAAACCCCTCAGATGGTTTCTTTTCGCTTTGCATCCTCGAATCCATATCCCGGATGTATTCTAATACGTATGAATGCCTCATTTGGTTGGATGCGCTGAGCCCTGTGTAAGAATCGAGGTATGCTTGTAATACGTAGACGCTCATCGCGAACCGCCTGAAGTCCTGACGGTTCCATACCCACAGTACGCGCCTATGCGGGCCTCTGCGGATTCAAATTTGACAAACGACTTGGTGTTCCCTCGAGTGCCGGGCATGATCTCTTTCTCATCCTTGGAGCTTGAGGCACGGCTGGTCTTTCGTGTATGTGGAGACTTTCCGGCCGACGATGCAGCGCCTGGTGTTGCGCTCTCATCCATGATTCGTTCAGTGTTGTGTACTTGCGCGGTCTCGAATCACGCGACTGGCGTCGTGAGAAGTTGCCGCTGGATGTGGAGTAGACGTCCGGATGTAGTTTGGCCGTGTGTTTGGAGGATTGCAAAGGATATAGAGCGTGGAAACGTAGAGTGGAGGTGCAAGGAGAGAGGGGAAACTCTGAAGGAGGGAAGGAGGGAAGGAGGTGTACGGCAGAGCTTTTTATGCTTAGCGGGTGAAGCAGCGGTCAATATCACCTTATCTGCTGCCTGATGTCACACGTAAAACAAACAATACTGATTGAACTCCCCAGTCACCGCCTCCGATTTTCTCACTTTTACTTGGTCCATTGACCGCAAAAACTTGGTAATTGATGATATGAGGCTATTGCGATCATTGCGATCCAGCGCATATACGAGGTGAGAAGAGGAATACCGCATTGATTCGAACTGATTATCATAACTTTCGATAGGTGAAAGACACAATCACCACTTCCTTGGTCAGGCTATTTCACTTGGGTCATTAATCAGTCATATGTTGAGCTGCAGATCTCTCACATTGCATCACTCAACCCCCTATCAGAACAAAATAACAACAATGAACAAAAAAAAAAACAGGCAGGTACTAAAAGAAATAAGGATGTTAACAACCTCTACATCATTTCAGTGATGCAAAATGACAGCCCAAAGAAAGGAAAGAAGATAAATAAATCCATTCTGAATAGCATCTAAAATGTACAGAGAATGTTTGACTTTCCCTGCAGTCTTTGGAATTCCACTGCTCGCTTGAACACATTTGTTGGTCTGGTCTGTCTTAAAGACAAGACAAGAAAAGGAAAAGAAAAAGTATCAGAAGAGTGTATTGTAGTGTGTGTACAAGGCCTATCTATTCATCATCGCCCAGAGAAAGAAATAAAGCACATATCCCAACATACCATACTAACCGCAGCCAGCGGAACCAGCAGACAGACAGACCCTCGCAATTCTTTTCCCTTCGATCGCGAGATTTTTTTTCCATTCATCCCCACTACCACTGATCAACTCACGAGGAAAAAAAGGGGGGGAAATCACCATCTCCATATCAACAAGAAATACCACGCAAAAACAAACAAAGCCACCTTCCCAACGCTCATCAGGAACTCATCCCAGAAAAGAACCAGCCCTTTCTTGTTATTTTTCGCGTGGTTCCTCGCAGCAGCAGCACTACTGCTGGTACCCCAGGTCTTGGCTGCGAATTTATCTTCCTCTTCATCACCGGCGGCAGCGGCGTCGGGGGGAGTGTATAGATGGTAACCAGGGGTTCTAGTATCCTGCTGCTGCTGGGATGGCAGCGCGTATCCGTAGCCGTTTGACGGAGAAACGCTGCGGGTGCGGGCTTGCGCGGTGCGGACTTGGAGTGTTCTTGCGGCGTGGTCCGAAGACGACGAGGAATTGGATGAAGAGGAAAGATGTGCTTTCTCTTGGTCTGGTGTCGCGTTGCTACTGCTATTGGTGAGTGGGAGGAGGAGGGTGGAATCTGATTTTGAAGAAGTAAGGGAGGGTTTGAGGATGCCTGTTGTGACGAGGGCGGCGCGGAAGCTGAGAGCGAGAAGAGTTACACCGAGGAGAGCAGCGTAGCGGATGAAGATGCCAAGTTGATCTGGGAGAAGGCAGAGGTGGGTTTGGAGGGTGGGTTGGCCGTTGTTGTTTAGTGGTTTCCCGTGCTCGTCGACTGGGTTCCACATGCTGACGAGAAGCACGCCCGGGTGGCGGATTCCCATGCACCATGATATAGACTTGACTGTGATTTCGCGGATCCCGCCCCCTGCCGAGGGATATCTGTAGTGGAGGAGCTCGCAATAGTCGTGGTCATCACCGGAAAAGGCGTATTGGATGTTGCCGACCTTCTCTGCAACTTCGGCCGTGATCTCAGGGTTCAGGACGTTCTGGTATTGATACCCCCCGCTCACAGAGATGGCATTCCTGTCATCTTTTTCAAGAGGGTCTTCACCCTTGCCTACTGGGGTAGGTGGCCAACGTTCTCTCAGTGGTCCACAGGGAGTTCCTCTCTCACGATACAATGGTACGTGACTCAGCAGTATAGTTGGGAACTCGGTAACATCATCATCTGCATGACGTATCTCCGCCTTGGGAATCTCCTCGGACTGGAAAGCCTTGTGTGCGAATCCAGGGTACGGTGTCAGTCCTTTCCGAACTCGGAGCTCCCTTTGCACCAGCCTCTTCCTTTGTGCCTTTGCCTTATCGAGGAAATCCGTGGTGGGTTGCCAAATGTCCCTCACTGTCTCGGGACTCGACTGGCCCTTCGCGCTCAGCGAAACGCTATCAATCGACACAAATGTGTGATTCCCCAAAATGTCGATTCTGTTCCCATCGCCAAAGTACGCATGAAATCTATCTCGAACACCAATTTGCACCCCTTTGGCGAAGCCGAGATCGTGGTTTCCGGGCAGGCTGCTTATAATCTTCTTTCCAGGTTGGCCAGGCCGAGGCTCCATGCCCGCATCGCGCCAATGTTCAAAAAATATGCCCCCGAACCTGCTATATTCTCTCAACCAGAAATTCTCTCCGTACTTTCGATATCGCTCTTCCGGGCTTTTGGTTGTGCGTGTCGACCATTCGCGACCCCCATCAAACAAATCTCCCAGGAAAACCACACTGTCCGGGTATAAAACATGCTGTATTTGCGAAAATGCTCGGCGAAGGTACACATCGACATATATCATAGTCAGGGAATCGAAAGGCCAGGGTCGTTCGGGGTACGTATGCGGGTCTATGAGTTGGGGGTCGGCGACGAAGACAAGACGGTGTGGATTTGCGCCAGCATCCTAAGTAGACAATCGTCAGCTGCAGCTTCTCTGCTCGCGAGGTTTGAACCAGATTGAGAGGAAAACATGTCCGAGATTCAGGGCGCCATACCCATTTCTCCCAACTGTCCCACCGACAAGCTTCAATGCTACTCGGTATCGCGCTGCGCTCACCCCAATACACAACCACCCACCACACAACTACACAGAACTTCACCAGTGTAAACCACCGCCGAAATCCGCCTTCCGTCCATCTTCTCCCCTTAATGTCTCTCCACCGTCTTTCTAAGCTCGGCTTCAGTCTGTAGAACGCAAAAGCCCTCGAGACTCTCCACGCCTGTTGGGGTAGGCTCTCGGGCTCTGCAAAGGTAACGCCGACGGGCACACCGTAGTCGTCGTATGCTGTCATTGCTGCTGCTGTGGTTGGGTGAATGAAGTGTGGGTTTCCAGCATGTTTCCTGGGAGGCGGGAGAAGAGACGAACCACCGAACGGCGGTGGTTGCGTTGTTATGTGGGCCGGATTACGGTTGTTGGGTTCAAGGGGTGGAGCATGGTTGGCGGTCGAAGTCGGCGTCCGGGGAAGCTGCACGATCGACGGCTAGCCTTGCAGGGCGAGCTCCACCTTTGCAGAGAAGCCACAAAGGGTCACGCGCAACCATGTCGCCTTCAAACATTAATCTTTGTTCTTCTTCAGCACATAGTCAATTGGATCGATTAATCAGATATCAAGATAATTCTAGTCATAATCACAGCACTTTCACCATCAACAGGGCTGCAGTTGGGGACGAACTTCATGTGTATATACCAAAAGTTACTGAGAATGCAATCAGTTGAACAAGCTACAAGTACATAGATTCCTAAAACGTTGCAACGCCTTTTCCATTCCAGTCTAGTATTCCAAAGTCACCTTCTGGCCCTTGACTTTTCCAATGACAATCTCGGGCGCGTACTTTGGAATCACCTCGTCATCGTGAAGCATTTCAAACTCCTCCGATGCATCCTTGCCCATGTGGCTGAATAGCGCCTGAGGGCCACCGGGGTGCTCGTCTGTCCAGTTGGTCACGTCCATGACGATACCCTTGACTGCGATCCAGAGATCATCCTTCTTGTTGTGTTTGGCAATCTCTTCAAGAGAAAATTCCTTGTCGGGAATCTCAAACTTGGCTGGCTGGTTGGGCTTGGACACCTTGCCAGGGTCGCTTGAGTCGCCATCCTTCTTCAATACAGGACCAGCCGACAGTTGCTTTTGTTGATCAATAGCAGATGATCCCGACGATGCGGTTGCACTTTGGCCATTGCCCCACTCTACCGAAATCTTGCCCGGTTGCGAGGGGTCGATGTGCAAAGAAATTTGACCGAGACGAGAAGCAGCTGAACCGCCGGCACCAGTGAGTGCCTTCTGGAAGAGGTATTTCGATGCGGAATCACCTGCTACACGACCGTATACAACGCAGCCAAGCAGCGAGGAGCCACCAAGACGGTTAGCACCGTGGACACCACCAGCCAGCTCACCGCAGACGAAGAGACCGTCAAAGGGCTTGCCTTGGGAGTTGAGGCACTGCGCCTGGTCGTTGATCTCGATACCACCCATGGTAAAGTGCAGCACTGGTTCCATGACGGCAACGTGGAAAGTGTCGTTAATGTCAAATGGCAGGTTGTGGAAGTACTTCTTGCCCCATGTATCCTTCTTCTCGCCCTTGGCAATGGCGTTGTAGCTCTGGAATTCACCGGAGAGTTCGCTGTCGCTGACACCGATCTCTTTGGCAAGCTCCTTGCCAGTCATCTTCTTCATGAGACCGCGGCCAGAGTAATGCCTGGTGTGGAAATCAAGCACATTGGAGGCCTTTGAGTTGAGAACGAGGCGGATGGGCCACTGGTTCTTCTTCTTCTCCTCCCACATCATGCCGGAAACGTAGTCGCGGTGACCAAGGTCATCGCAGAAGCGCTTACCCTTGCTGTTGAGCAGGATACCACCTTCGCCTCGAAGTGCTATCGACAGTTAGCTAATAGTATTGCAATTCATTTCTAGAAAAAGTTGTACCTTCGGCGGCCAAGAACTTGGTCTTCGCATGGGGGTCTTTGGGGTCAACCAAACCAGTAGGGTGTACCTGGACCTTGTCCATATCAATGCCATTGGCACCAACACTCATGAGCATCTTGTGACCGTCACCGGTGGCATGGGCACCGTTGGTGGTGGAGAGATCAAAGGTGTCGGGCCTGTGCTTCTTCAACAAAGAATCTTCTGTGAAATCAGCAGCATAGCCACCAGTGGCCAAAACTACGGGTCCATCTATCGAAGTCTCCTCGCCGTTGAAGGAATATGTGACACCAGTGGCAGTGTTGCCGTCCATGTTGACCTTGAGGACCTTGGCCTTCTTGACGAGCTGAACTCTCTCGGGCTCAGCCTCGGCGAGCTCCTCGAAGCGCTGCATCAAGGCGTATGTAATGGCCATACCGGGGAATTTGGCATCGTGGCCACGGTGGGTTCGTGGTTGAGAGTGACCGCTAAAGCCATAATGTTAGCGGGAGTCCAGAGGAGATGTGAGAGTTGGAACAGAACATACCCCAATCGTGAGACCAGAGTCAAGTCGAGGTTGAAGACGTCCATCAACCACTCGACAGCAGCAGCAGACTTGTAGGTCAGGACCTTGATGAGATCTGGTCGGGCCTTGTCACGGGCGGATTTGAGGGTATCATCGTAGAACTGCTTGACGCTGTCTGCGATCTTGTGGTCGACTTGTGTTCTCGTGAGGGCACCGTTGATTCCCGAGGTGGCCTTTGTGGAGTTGCCTCCCATGAAGTCTGGGGGGTTATCAGCACATGAGCTCTGGTGGCGCCAGTTTGGAAGCAGGCGACGGCAAACTTACTGTTCTTGTCCAGCAGCACTACATTGCCACCCGAGAGATAGATGGTGTGAGCGGCACTCAGACCGGACACTGGCAGACTGGTCAGCTATGCGAATTGCGGTTGAGGAGTTCACGTGGAGAGCTTACGGCCGGCACCGACGACAATAACCCGCTGAGACATGGTGATGGAGGCTGAAAGAGAAGAAAGAGGATGCGATGAGGAGGGCTGGAGAGGGAGGAGTGGAGGAATGGAATCGGGGTAGCGGGTAAGAAAAGTGCGGAGAGTTGGGGCTTTGTACGGGGATGGGGTGGATGACGGGCTGGGACCGGGCTTCCGACTAATAAGTTACAGCAGCTCGTGGAGATGATGCCCCAAGGTACCCAAGTTGGTTGCCGCACTTCACAGCGTGATGGATGATGAATACCTCGGCAACTCGTCCAACGTCGAGCTAGCCCGGAAACGGCGGGGTCAGCGAATCACAGGCCCGCCATTTGTAGACCGGCAGGCATTTGAAAACAGGCCCCAGTTTGCCGTTTTCGCGTGAAGCACCGGGCGTGTTGCAGTCCAGGTACAGCACTGTACAATAAGTCTATGCTGTGCTGAGCATGTGAAGGTTCGAAGCCTCGTCATGTGGTCTCATGCCAGACTACATGTAGTGCGGAGCGCCGAGAAGACCTCATGTCATGGAACTGGGGAACCCGGGGAAGCACGCTGGCATGTGAACGTGGGAGACTTGCCATCCATGTACCCATCTTTGCGCCAACACCAACATCTGGCTTGTCTTGAGATCATCCATTTCCCCATGTGCCTTTGACATTATTTTTTCTTGTCGTCTCTTTCTTTTGCCATTGGGAAATATTGCGTTGCCCCACTGCGCAGGCAGTGTTCCCTCGTGCCCGGGAATCACCGAGACTTCTATTTTTTAATAAAAAAAATAAAAAACTTTAACTTGACGTGATTCACGTTGTAACAACAACTTACAATTTATCAACGATTTAGAGGCAATTTAGCATGCGGTAAATACTTCCTGTATGATATGGACGCATTGTATTACGTTCAGTTGAGGTGCTATCACGTCTACATAACTCTCAGTGTATTCGTACAAGGACGAGCCAAAGAAAACTAATCCTTCTCCCAGACACCGGGGAAAAACCATGCAATAGCGCGCATGGCTCCTCCCATTCCTCCTAGCGCCCGGACTTAGTTGTACTGAGCGTACACCGCAGTGCTGTTGAACTTGAGGTTGCTCTTGATGACCTTGTCCACAGCGGCGAGAAAATCTTTCTCTGTCGCTACCTTTCTTCGACCACGTATAGCAAACACTCCTGCCTCGGTAGCCACGCTCCTCAACTCGGCACCTGTGCTGTTCGGGCACAGTCGTGAGATCAATTCCCAGCGGATATCGCGTTCCACACTCATGCTCTTGGCATGAATTCGCAGGATGTTGGCACGGCCCTCCATATCTGGCAGACTGAACTCAATCTTACGGTCGATACGTCCTGGACGCATCAGGGCGGGGTCAAGCGTCGATGGTCTGTTGGTGGCAAACATGACCTTGATATTGCCACGTGAGTCGAAACCATCCAGTTGCGTAATCAGCTCCAACATAGTTCGCTGCACCTCATTGTCGCCTCCGGCGCCGTCATCGAAACGAGCTCCTCCAATAGCATCCACTTCATCGAAGAAAATAATGCAGGCCTTCTTTGTCCGTGCCATCTCGAACAGCTCGCGCACCATTCGTGCACCTTCTCCAACGTATTTCTGTACAAGCTCGGATCCTATGACTCGAATGAAGGTGGCATCGGTTCGGTTGGCGACTGCTCGAGCGCAAAGAGTCTTTCCAGTACCAGGCGGGCCGTAGAGAAGGGCACCCTTGGGAGGATCGATACCCAAATTTACGAAGCGTTCGGGAGATAGCAGCGGCATTTCAACAACCTCTCGCAGCTTCTCAATCTGTTCTTTGCAACCTCCTACATCGCCGTACGTGACGTCGGGCTTGTCTTCAACCGTCATCATAGTGACCGAAGGATCAATCTTCGGCGGCAACGGTAGAAGAATCTGATACTTGTTTCTGTCTACGCCAACACGCATGCCTTCCTCGATATCCGTGGGCGACACACGTTCACCGAGATTGACGACGAACTTAGCGATCTGTTTGACGTTGATGACATATTTGCTCTTTTCCGCGTCTTTCTCGTCCTGTATTATCTTGGTGCAACGAGCTACTTGAAGAGGCTGCTCTTCTTGCATTCGCTGTCGATCGGCGGCGATGTCCCATAGATGTGGAGGTGCGAGACCGGTATCTGACTCCTACGCTATTATTAATTCAAGTTTCGGCTGAGGTCATGAATCGAGAGTTGTTACCTTGACACCTATGAAATGTTAGATATAGCATTGTTTTTCAGAACAAGGGAGAAAATACCAATCTTTTCGTTTATCGTCGACTGCTTGTCCTTGATCTCCTTCTCAAGCTTCCGGAGCTCGGCCGCATATGGTGCCGCCCCATATGTCTTCAACACTTGAATGTCCTCGTCTGAGAGAGGTGTGATCTTCTTCTCCTCTACTTCATCGTCTGCGAAATTCTTCTGGTACTTTTCCCAGCTCGATCCGGTAGCGCTCGGCATGTTTACTGGTGATAGGCGGCGGCGTGGCGCGCTGGGGACGTCGGTCGCACTGTGTCACAAGTGTAGCGAAAGGTCTGTTGATCGGAATTCGCAGAGGGTCCGGACAACTACTTGAAGCTGTCGAAGCTTGGGTTTAAAGATGAAAGGCTCGGGGAAAGGCGGGGGCGGCGAACGTGTGGTGATAACGGATGGTGCTGTGTGTTGCGTAGTCAAGTGAAGCTGCCCGGCAAAGCTTCGGGAGGAGGGTAAACGCCGATTCGCCGACGCGCGCCCGCCTGGTTGATTTTATCAATCGCGGGCAATCATTTTCGAGGAGGCAGCAACCCCCACGAAACTCGCCGCAATACCTCACACCTGTCTTTCAATCACCTTCTATACACATCATGGCGGCTCAAGTGGCAAGCAGTGGCAATACCGGCGGCGGAAATGCTGCATTCAAAGTAGGGACGCCGATCTACTGCTTCAAAAATCATACGCTGATGATAGCTATAGGACAAGGAAAAGCCGAGAGCTGTGCGGATAGCCAATATTGTTGCGGCGAGAGGTGAGAAGCTTCCCGAGTGGATTGTGAAAGCTGGTAGCTAATCTGAACAAACAGCTGTGGCCGATGCGATCCGAACTGTATGTTTGACTGAACGAGTGGGGTGTTGTTACTGGACACTAACTATTGTGTAGTCCCTCGGACCCAAAGGCATGGACAAGATGGTGCGTAATCATGGTCAAAGGATGTTCCTTCAAAATTCTATCAAGCTCACCCAGCCCAGATTCAAACAGGCAAAGGCGAGACGTTAATCACCAATGACGGCGCAACCATGTTGAACCAAATGAGCGTCATGCACCCCTCCGCGAAAATGCTTGTCGATCTAGCACACGCCCAGGATATCGAGGCAGGAGATGGCACAACCTCTGTTGTGGTGATAGCAGGAAGTCTGCTGGGAGCTGCGGAGCGGTTACTGGCCAAGGGTATCCACCCCACAGTCATATCAGAATCCTTCCAAAGGGCCGCCGCATTCGCAATCGAGATCCTTACCAACATGTCGATACCCATTTCCCTCACAGACCGATCGACGTTGCTCAAAACCGCAGTCACATCCCTGTCTTCGAAGATCGTTGCATCAGAGCCCAAATTGCCAGTTATGGCCGTGGACTCGGTACTCAAAGTAATTGATCCCAAAACCGCCGACAACGTGGACCTGAAGAACATCCGCATCATCAAGAAAGCGGGAGGCACAATCGACGAGAGTGAAATGATCGACGGCTTGGTGCTTAACCAGCCTGTAGTGAAGAGCGCCGGAGGACCTACACTGAAGGAGAAGGCCAGGATTGGTCTGATTCAATTCCAGCTCAGCCCTCCCAAACCCGACCTGGAAAATCAGATTGTTGTCAACGACTACCGACAAATGGACAAGATCTTGAAGGAAGAGCGAACATATCTCCTCAACATGGTCAAGAAGATCCAGAAAGCCAAGTGCAATGTGCTTTTCATTCAAAAGTCGATTTTGCGCGATGCTGTCAACGATCTAAGTCTTCACTTCCTATCGAAACTCAAGATCCTGGTCGTCAAAGATATCGAGCGTGAGGAGATCGAGTTCATTTGCAAGGTACGTCTAGACTATTGCTACTAATTTCAATCCACTAATATTTGAATAGAGCACCGGATGCAAACCCATTGCCGATGTAGACTCCTTCACGGAGGACAAGCTTGGTTCAGCTGACCTGGTCGAGGAAGTACAAGCGTCCGGTGCACGATACGTAAAAGTTTCCGGAGTCAAGAGTGCCGCTTCGACAGTCTCCATTGTTTGCCGCGGTGCGAATTCCCTCATTTTGGACGAGACGGAGCGTTCCTTGCATGACGCCCACTGCGCTATTCGCTCTCTGGTGAAGAAGAAGGCTCTTCTTGCAGGTGGTGGTGCGCCAGAAATCGAAGTGGCACACCGTCTTTCCTTGAAGGCACGCGAACTCACAGGCACCGAATCGATCTGCTGGAAAGCTTTCGCGGATGCTTTGGAGGTCATCCCCACCACATTGGCCGAGAATGCGGGTTTGAACAGTATCAAGGTAGTGACCGAGCTGAGGCATCAACACGCCAAAGACCAGATAAATGCCGGTATCAGCATCAAGAGTGGTGGCGTGAAGAACGACATCGCGGAAGAGAACGTGCTACAGCCACTATTGGTCAGCACAAGCGCGATTGAGCTCGCTGCTGAGACCGTCAAGATGATATTGAGGATCGACGATATTGCTCTCTCCCGGTAAAGGCAATATCTAGAATTGGGCCTGGCTGTGTAGAATCACGTAGGTTCGAAGAAAAAAGAACGCCGGTAAAATAATATCAAATGGTCAAAGCTGCCCATCCACACTGCTTCATTACACCAGGAAATACAGATTGATCGGTTGTTATCGCTATATCATGCCACTGCTTCGAACCAAGCGCCGCATCTCCTGAGATTCATAACCACAGCTGAGACTATTGACAAGACGCCTTCGCTTGGTCAATCAACGCCTTGCCTTCCGTATTGAGCAGATGCTAATTTGCGTGCATGCTGTGTAACAGTTCCTGATATGCCTCTCGTTTCTTGACAGGGATTACAGCTCCCCTCTTCTCCTCACTTTGACACTTCGACGTGGTCCCTTCTCAGTAGACCTGGTAGCACGCACTATCAATCCTCCCAAGGATGCAGTCACTCAACGAGGGATGTAGATGTCTATCGTCATGCTAATGAAGCGCGACGAAACAGGCTACAAGACCGCCCAAAGTGCTTCAAACGCACAATGCGTTGACTGCACGAGAAATCACCTGTCTTTTCTCGTATCCTACTTCAGAGACGCTACATTCAACAATGCTATGCATGTACGGTGACTATGTGTGTGTGTGTAGGCGAGTGGTGGTCGCTTATGCTTGTCGGTTCCCAATCAATCCATCAATCGTAGCCAGCCCCTACCTCTCCACGTCTACCGATCATGCAAGTGTACTATATGTGTATGTACGTAAACTGCACTACACTGCACGGATACATGTATGATTTTGGTGTTTCGTAATCCCGGCCTCGCCGGCCGACCCCCTTTCTTTTGGTCTAGGTTCCCCAGGATACGGAGACACGTGGGAAGGTGATCAAGCGAGGGGTATCAATATTGCTTTTCTTTTTTCGTGGCTTTTGCCTTCTTCTTGGAGTCTAGGCACGCTTCGCTGTATTTGCTTGTCAGGGGTGTGCAATGTACATAGATATGTAAGGGGGCACTGGGGGGTGCTTTGCGCCAGTCCATCCACATCAGGCAGATTGGATCGATGACGGAATCAAATATCAAAATTGGCGTGACGAGGAGCCACGTGGTTTAGAGGTCGGTCGGTTTGGTCTAGAACGGGGATGGGAGGAGCGGGTGGATGTTTGTATCAATCTATAGCAGAGCACTCGGCTATCGTATTTCGGGAGCGTGCAAGTCAGCTTCCGACGATTCGTATGTTTTTTAGAGTTTGCTGCGGCGATTTCGGGGAGATAGAGTGTTTCGCGGATTTTTGGGGTTGATCGGACGAATTCATTGATTGAACAATCGATCCGGTGGCACAAATACAATAAAGCTATTGGATTCTAGAGCTGTGGGTTTGCGGGTTTGGCTGATGTTACTGCAAGCTTGGTAGATTGAATTAGCTCGCACTTGAAGTGATGGAGATGGATGTGCTACCATCGCGGACATGTCAATTCTTGCCCATCATCTAGCTAAACGCGATTATCGATTGTTTGTTTGATCGATATACAGAGAGCAAGAACGATGAATCATGTATGATTTCCATCGAGTTAGCCTGTACCGACAAAGCAAACCAAGAGCAAAACCTCGGTACTGGAAGAAAGAAAGAAAGAAAGTGTATCTCTACACCCGGGAAGCACGCCTTCCCCCCAGCGTACTTGCGAGCAATAAACCTAAAATGGTGGTAGTCCAGGAAAGGAATGACGCGCGTATCGAGCTTGTATCCGGAGTTCGGGAAGGGTAAACAAGGGGGAGAGGGTGGGCATGGATGGACGATAACTTTAGTTCGGGAGATAGGATTCTTGGGGTGGAACGGAAGCGTGCTATGGTGAGATTACGTGCATACACAGTAGAGTAGAGTATTGATAGCGCGTTTCGTTTCCGAGGGACAAGAACGTCTACCATGTAACCCGTCAATAGTGCATTGTTTGTTGTACGGTCGGCTCGACGACCCAAGATAAGTCGAACAACACAATCAACATACCCGCGTGCCCCTTGCCGGCGTCATCATTGCGGTCTTACGTTAGGGGCAAATAAGACAGAATTCCAACAAACTTTTGAGTCTGTGCATTCTTGATTCCAAAAGAAACCGTGCGCCAAAGTGAGCCCAGCTACATGGTACACACGGACAAAAGGTAAGCGTTGCTGCTGCAAGGTACCAAACTCTCTTTCCTTTTTTTCTCCGGATCAAAATCAAAGATCGAACAAAAATGTTGGAGTTCCAAGGAGAGGATGAGTGGTAGCAGAACATCGACGGATCATTGATCCCGTTCTCGTTCCATTGGGTTCTCTCTCCCTATAATGTTGGATACTTACACAAGCACTTGAGTACAATACATACTTCCCGTGATACGTGAGCCCTGGTTTTAATTCTATGTGTTTTTGTTGGCCCCCTTTCTTATCCAACAACGCAACACAGCTTGCACGTGGCAATCAATGCGCAAAAAACATGACATAACCATCGCATCGAAACAAAGAAAAGGTAAATGCGCGCGTGTGTGTCTGAGGTTCGTTCGCAGAGCACGTGGCGCGCCGCTGCCCCTTCCTCATCCCTTCATCCCACTCAACCCCGACTCAAACGGTCTTTAGCACTCGGACAGAGAGACACACAGACATAGTCACACATACGAATACGAGACACAAATCTCCCCATTGCATGCATGCACGCACGCACGCCTGGCCTTTCTTTCGTAAAGCCCACGGGGACGGAACACTGTTCGTGCTTGCTTACCTAGACCAAGTAAGCCGGGGGGGGGAATCGAACCGTTTGTTGCGTTTTCGCAATACATTTTTCTCTCTCTTCTTTCCAAGACAACAAAATCTGTCGTCGTACATTAAACCATCTTTAGCTAAACTACCCATTGTATAAGTGGGAACTAAGCAAAGGGAAACGAACAAGGGAAGGGGGGGTAGCTTTAGTTTCGAATTGCACTTTACTACTCAATCTTTCACCGCTGCTGGCTAGACGACCTCAATTCAGCAAAGAGAACGTTGAATGGCAAATAGTCCCTCTTCCTCTTCCTCTCGAAATGATTTCTTGTATTGCTGGTTTTTTTTCTCTTTCTTCTCGTGTAGTACAACAACGCAGGCCAGTTAGTTATCTATTTCTACCCATAGATAATTTCCTAACTGCCGTAGCGCGAACTCTTGCGGAGACCCACCCGCGTACCGTACCGGGCTAGTTGATTGGTTGGAGCGAGTCATCCAGTGTCTATAGCTCTCTCTCTCTCTTTCTCTCTTCTCTGTCCGTTCTCTCACAATAAGAAATCGCAGCGATCCAGCAGTAAGTAGGTCGCCTAAATAAAGCTGTAGACACATACGCGCGCGCACGCGTCTCGAATTGCTGCTGCTACTGCCTCTTATTCCAAAGATAATCAAAGATAACTTCACGCTTTGCGGTTTTCTCTCTCTCTGTGTGTGTGTGCAACCTGCTGATCAAATGTCTCTCTTTCTCTCCCGCCCCGTCTTTCTTTCTATTAGAGATAGAATGCCAAAACACAAATCTCTCTCTTTCTGAGCTATTTTTAGGGGTGGTTTATCATGTGTAAAGACGAGAAGGAGGCGTTCGGCGTTGTTGCCCTGTTCCACTCTCTCTCTCTCTCTCTCTTCTTTCTTCCTTTTCGCGTACTTAGTCTTGAGACAGTGGGCGCGCGGTGGAACTGGGCTGGGCTGGGCTAGACTGGCTGGCTGACTTGGTTTTTGGTGGCGTGGCTTGCATTCAGCGTCGGTTCGTCTAATCAGTGCGTACAACTAAGGAATCGGTGGGAAGAATCCTCGTGAAATGCCTCGTCTCTGGTTTTTTTCAAAGACGTTTTGATAGGGAATTGTACATGTTGGATTTCGTATTTTTTTTTTATATAAGAGATTCGGTAGCACCTGTGGGGGGCGTGTAAGAAAAAGACTCCATGGTTGTTGCCTGGACGTGGTGGTACCGATAATCTTACGATTTACATACACGACCCTTTCATTCAAATGCCGACCGAGGCAGGGCTTACACATGATCCATATGCGACCTTTCTAGGAGAGTCAAGGACAAATTCATGCATCAAAGTCAGCACTGAATCGAGCATCCACGCGCTTCCATTTCCCAAACCACGCGAAGTGCTTGTTACAGAAGAGTACTGTTCAGTTGTGGTATTAGCGTGGGCAAATGCATGTTGTGATCAAATCAATCAACATGCAGATGCAGACAAGACGCACGCACGCCACAGGAAGCGTGCGTGATTGACTGGTATTACATGCTATTCATCTCCACGCATGAAAAACCCCGCCCAACTAGGAAACCGGGCGAAAGGAAAGTGTAGACGCAGATATGCTGATCAGTTCATGATTATTCGCCATGTTGGCTGGATCCTATCTGTTTGGATTGGGTGGAAGGCTATCTTTGTTAAGCTCTGGGTATCCATTCCTCTCTCTCGCTCGTCGCCATCAGCCGCACAAACAACGATTCTATAGGACCACGTCATGTTGATGTTTTCGCCTTCGACGAATCCCAGCGCTATATGCGCGCAGTCATTAACACAACTTGGAAAGATGCTAGTATGCTGATCCCCTTGATGGACAAAAAAAAGGGGGGAGATTTCATCTGATGGCATTCGAAAAGGCGCATTAACGCGCTGATGACTCGTAGAAAAAAAAAGTGGTATCATATCGTACATGTTTTGAAGAAAAGGAAAAAGACAAAGGAGATTAATTCGGTCCATCCGCGAGTCTCTTGGTAAGCACCAATAAAAATCAAACGCCCGCTGGAAAATGCTGCATGCACGTTGCATCGTTAAAGTCGTATTATGAACGTTGGGATGCTGAGAAGTGAACCGGAAAAGAAAAACACAAGACCCATCGTAGCCCCGCTGGACATGTCGTACGCAAGGTAGTGTAGTGAGTGCATCTACCGGCTTTTTCGACTTGCGCGCTTGAACAGGCGCGAAACGAGATTGCCGTGTGGCTTTGGCTTTACGTAGAATGGGCCCTTTGTTCCATTCATGTCATCTGTGAGTTGCAGTTCCTCCAGAGCAAATGGGTCGTCTTTTATGCTTTTGTTGCTTTGCCAGCCGTACAGTTGCTCCTCGTCAGCTCTCAGGTCTGGCCGAGTGAGGGTCATGCGCAAAGTCATCTCGCGATTGAAGCGGCTGGACAGGGGATGATGCGGAGGTAGACCGTTGGAGTCAATAGACGAGAAGTTGGACGATTGCTGGCGGGTATGGCAGCGGAAGGACTGTCCGCTGGAAGGAGTGATGGGCGACTCATCGTCTGCCATGGATCCATGATCGGATCTCAGGCTCTTGTCATCATCGTCCAGATCTTCCAGAAAGGAAATTGTGTCGTCCCTCAAGAATGTCTGCATATCGCGGCTGAAATTCTGAGCATCGGTAGCAATGGGAGGGAGCGAATAGTGGTTTGCTTTGCTATCCTTGTCTGCAATTGGTGCAAAGCCGAATTCCACAGCTTCATCAAACTTCTGCGGAGAAGTAAAGTAGGTGCGAAGCTTTTTCCTGGCCTCTGGATCCCGATAGTGAGAGGCCTCGGAATCGAATACGGGAGCCACTGGCAATTGCGATGAGCGTCGGCCGGATATGGACAAAGAGTAGGAATGAGAGCGCTGGTGCCAGGACAGGTTCGCGCGCGTCGAAGACTGCGAGCGGGGCAGAGAGTTGTTTGAAGAAATGGAGCTGCGGACGGGAGGTGGAAGGTGGGTAAGCGACCTGGCCCTTCTACTGCTTCCGGACGACGGTTGGATGTTGGATGCAGAACTCATCCTGTCCAAGTAGAGCACACTGCTGTCGGTATCTTCTTGGGCTCGCATGGAGGAGGGGTTGATGGAGGCTCGGGTGGGGGAGACAGGGGAGCGAGAGAGCGAGGCAGCCGATGACGAACGCCTCAGGGAACGACCACGAACGGGGGTGAAGTCGAACTGGAAGTCGGAAAAAGGAGTGGCACTTGGAGTCTGGTGCGGGTGTGGATCGTGATGGCTAGGAGTTTGAGGCGAGGAGCAGCTGCCGGCGAGGAGAATCTGCTCTTCTCTGGAGAAAGCAGAGCGTTGGACTTTTTCGGGGAGGGACAGGAAGAATTGAGCATCGGCCTGGGCGGCGTGATGGTTTTGGGGCTGGGGCTTTCTTAGTCGGCGACGTGCCCTCACGGTCAGAGTCAGGGAGCGGTGCAGAGCTATGGAGTTGGCACGGGAGGATTGACGCGACGAGGCACCATGCTCGTGCTGGCGCTGTTCGTGCAGGACGTGCTCCTCCTCAATGCGCAGACGCTCGACGCTCGAAAAGTATTTTCGCCTGCAGCGAGACGGGTCAGCATTCCTGGTTGGCTCATGCCGGTCATGGTTGACAAGGGGATGGAGTAGGCAAGTATGCAGCTGTCAGGTACGCACGCCATGCCGCTGGCACTCGTGGGTACGGGAATGGGATGGTGGGGTGGGCGGGAGAATCAATCATTTGCAGCGTATCTGCACTCATGATTTGCCGGGGGGTGTGTGTGATATTGTGATAGGGGCGCATAACTTAACACATACTTGAGCGGTTCTGGCAACGATTCATACTCGGCATGCGAGCATGGCGCTGTTGATTTGACCTTTGCCATGTGGGAGAAGAGCAGGCGGCGGGTGGTGCTGAAGCAGAAAAGGAAGACGACGGATGCAGTGCAGCAGCAGCAGCAGCAGCAGCAGCAGACGAGCAGCAGTACATGTGATGGCCGTGTCTTCACCTGCGTCGTCTTGTTGCTGTCTGTGCAGGGGTGCAAAGAATAAAACAATAAAAACCGAGAGTCAGAGGATCAACGAGCGTCACCGTGTGTCTCAATGGCAGGTTCGCGCCCGAGCCCTTGCGCGCGTCGAGCTCGTTGCACAGGAAAACGACAGTGCGCAGAGAACAATGGAAGCCAGAAAGAAGGGCCGGGGCGGGGAGGACGATTACACACGAGGGGGAAGTACTGTATGTATGTACTGTATGGATGGATGGGTGCGTGTATAAAAGCGGCTCGGGCGGGCAGGCCAGGTAGTTGGGTGGGTGGGGAGGATATGTATGGAATATAGCCAAAGTGGGGAGAGAGAGGGTCTGCAGTGCTGTATGTAGACAAGCAAATAAGCAAGGGAAGGATAATATAAAGAGGGTGGGTTGTTGAGTATGTATATATGTGATGGACCAAGGAAGGGAGTTTTGGCAGAAAGCGAGGAGGGAGGAAGGGAGGCAGAACAAGCAGGTTGCAGGCGGAGCAGATATAGATGAGTACATATGTATGTATCAACGAGGCTGCTGTCAATGTATGTATGCATGTATGTATGTTTATTTAGCTGCTGGTGGACGTGGGCACAGAAGGAAGAGGGAACACGATGCCGGCGGCTGCGGTGTCATGTGTGTACACGATTATAATTACATAGACCAGACAATGCAGCCAGCCAGCACGCCAGCAGCCAACATACATACGCCGCAGAATACATCCATCCAGCGCGGCTAGCCCAATCCAATCGAATCCAGTGCCAACGGCGTGCCTCACCACTGGCGGCCCACTCTGCCTGTCTGATGATGGAGCCAGAGAGCTCCCAAGTCCGAAGCTGAGCGCCGTCTGCCACCGTTATTCGCTCTGCCTGCTGGACGAGCATAGAGGAGCACAGTACATCCAGAGGTACCCACGATGCTTGAGCCAATCGCCGCCTGCCTCGTGGTGCAATCCATCGTGGGCTTGCTCAGGCAGCCATTTTCGCCATCTCACGTTGCTCAACATGGCCAAGCTACACAAAAGATTTTCTTCTTTTCTCTCTCTCTTCACATTCTACGCCTACTACGCCCTGCACCGCCCGTAACAGTGTGCAGTTGCCACGGGCTTGCGTTCGGCTCCTTGTTTGCCGCCCATTCCCCCCCAACGGTACCGTGTCTGTCGACGTACATTGGTCGAAACCGTCGCCTAACCCGTCACTATCGACTTTACATGCGTGCCTTTGTTTAGCACCGTCAGCATCCTGTCCTGTCCATGTGTGCACAGCACATGCTGCTGTCCCCGGCATCTTTTTTTGTTGTTTTTTCTCTTCTCTTTGTTTTTTGTTTGGCGTGTGTTTGTCCCTTCTCCTGGTTGTGTACCCTCGTCTATACAGTAGGTACATGTAACATATACGTATATCAAGTATATATCATGCCGGGGCAGACGTGCCCTCACGCCATCTCCACGGCAGCAATTGAACTCGCCCAAGTGCCCATCTTCCCCCCCAGTGGATATCGCTCTGCCCGGTACTCCCCAACGCCGATCCTCGCACCATCCATGTATGTACGTGTAATAACCAGGCGGTGGACCGTCAAACAACAAACCACCTCCACCCTATGCTCGCTCGCCCGCACGGACCCAGGCACCCCGTCAGTCCAGACTAGCGCGCTCCAGGCCAAGCTTCGCCCGCCCGCCCACTCAGCGTGGCCCATTTCAGCCCCCGATTTCCACCCCACCGCCCATCAAACACAACATGCCCTCCGCTAACCCTCTTACTCCACGCAACGGTAACGCTGCCCACCGCTTCCATGCAGCCATCCTCCCAACACTTGCAGTTTTTCCACAACCCGTCCACTCGCTAGCTGACCTCCTCACCAAACATTGCCTCCCCCCTGCCTGCGCTCGTTGCGTTTCATACCCCGGCCTCCATGCCGCCAATGTCGTAGTAATAGTCATCTTCCAAGCCCTCCCGGCTCGGAACCGTGGGCTCCTCCATGCCGATATCCTCAAATCGCACGTTGAGTAGTCGAATCTTGAGTCCGTAGCTGCCGATCAACTTGACCAGCTTGTTGGTATCTGATGTGATCGGCTGCTGGTTCAGCAGCATCAGCAGTCCGTCCAGAAACTCTGATGCCAGCACATGACTCTGCGGGTGCAGTTGCAGCAGCACCATCTCCCTCGCCGTGTGTTTGGACGCGTCTGACTTCTGCCGGCTGTGGTTTGCTCCGGGTGCCCACCCATGGATCGTGATTCTCGTCCACGTAGACGCAGCCGCAGGTTCCCGCAACATGGTAACCGTGCTGTCAGACGAAGACGACGACGGGGCCGACGCCGACACGTTGCTCACCACAGATGACACTATGGAAAGATCGACTACATGCGTCCCCAAAAGTCAGCCATGGCGCTTAGAGTAAATCGTCCAAACACGTACTTTTGTCCTGCAAGGCATCCAGCCTAGGCTCCGTCGATGTCCTTTGCTCAAAATCCGCATAATGCAGATAGCGCCTGTTATGTGATAGCCGTACAAATCGCCACGGTCCCACCGCGTTTCGATTCGAACTTTTGTTGGCCGCAGATCCTGCCTCGGTGCCGTTGCTCATCGGCTGAGGGAACCAGGCGCCCTGCAGAAGGCAACGAATGCGTTGTTCTTTGACAAATTGCAAAGCTTCGTGGTTGAGCTCATCGCGGACTTGTCTGCTGTGCATTAGTTATGACGTGATGAAACAAACGGCAAGCTACCATACCGCAGGTGGTGACCCCAGGCATCCTCGTACTGGTGCCCGAGTAACTCCATCTGGAGCTCTCGTAGCCGCCCAATGTCACATTCCACCAAATCTTCTTCAACATCCTTGATTTCCTTGGTGCGGGGAGCTTGGCCAACGACATGTTCGATAAGTATTCGCACAAGCTCCATGATGTTGCCGAAGTCGTCAGATTGCGCTCCTGTTGCTTTCCATAGTCGGATGAAGGCATTGAGGCCACTCGTGTGTAGTCTGGACCAGTGGAGGAGCAGAGGCTTGAAAGCTCGGTCGAAATTCGCTCGTGATACTACCACTGTATATCTATTGCTCTCCGAATCATCCGACTTTTCCACGTCGAAATGGTCATACAAGATGCTCGTCACGGCGAGGCTGGCACGAGCAACGGGACATCGTTGATCCAGTGGCTCGGCCGATTGCTCGAGCAGCAATTTCTGGAAACCATCCTCGTTTTTGTACACAAAGTCAGTCAAGTCCATGAGACCCAGAAAACCTGTGCTCTCAAATTCGGATGTGGGTGATTCGGTTTGAAACCCGACTCGTCTCCACTTGCTCGGGCTTGCTTTTTTGCTGCCCTTTGCATCAGCTTCTGCTTGATCCGCACTGCTTGCGACGTGCAGCCCCCGCATCGCTCGCCGGTGATCCGACTTTTCCAAGTCGACTGGCTCGTCCTTCCATTTTTTCAACAGCACCTTTGTCAGGGACTGGAACTCGAGAAGAGGGTGCGCCAGATCCTGCACGGCAGAGCTCTGCATCAATCCATACACGCTCTTGATGACGCCCAATTCTTGCAGTTGTTTTATGAACTTCGGCCATTCGAACTCGGCATCGTTTGCGACGGCATCGCGCATGAGGGAATTGATGAGCTGTAAAGAGTTGGCGCAAAGTGCATGATCAGCCGATGTCATCTTCTCGACAAGTGAAGGCAGGAACTGCGGATGCGATTCCACCACAGGTTTGAGACGCTGGAAGCCTGTAGCGCCTGGTTGCGAGTGCCGATGCGAAGGGTTCCCGACTATGGCAGCCAGTACTGACATGGCGCCGCGATTGACGTTCACAAGAGGCTGAGCGACGACGAGCCCGACAATCTATTCACGGCTCTGGTCAGTAATTGCGCGCATTGGAAGACGGCTGGCAGGCACGAACTCTCTTGATCAAGTCATCCGTGACATGATCCCAGCCTTTGTCGAGTTCAAGAAGGCGCGATAGGGAAGTCAAACAGTAAGCCAGGGTGTTTCCTGTCGAATGGAGAGCCAAAAACCGCAACTTGGGCAACCCGCCCTCTTGGATGAAGACATCAGCGAATGACGGGTCGCCAATGGCACTCTGCAGCTTGAAAACAGCCATTTTTCGCACTGATTCTTCATCGACGCCGAGGCGCTCCACCAACTCAGCAACGTTGGGGTTCTCCATGGCGGTGCAGTCCTTCTTGTGGTTCAATAAAAACAATCGTAGCGAAATCCTCAATTCCAAAACGGGGTATTATAGAAATCGTTGGTCAATTTAGGGATGCAAGAGTCCAAAACGCCCAATCCTCATTATCGAAAGGAATGAATGTTCACCGGATCCCGTTACTTGACAAATGAGCGTGGTTGGCGTGTGTGAAGGCGCATGTTGATGTTATGGTGGTGATGGATGCGGAGTGGGACTGGACCACCGAACCCCCCGATATCAGATAGGCTGGCTAGCTGTTCCCACGTGAAAGACCCCCCCCCTGTGTTGATGGTCAGTGCGGGTTTTTTGCTTGGTCTCGACTGCCTGCATGGCGCTAGCCCCGAGCTGCCTTTGCTATTGAGACGACGTCGAGAGAGCAACGAGAACAACAACAACAACTCCGTCCCCGTAACCACCACCACCAGGACTTCTGTCTGCAGCTTGGCCAATCAACATCGTTTTCGCTCTTGTTCTCTTTTTTCTTCCTTGTCCTTGTTATGTTCGTCTAGCGTACAAGCGTTGTTGCGAGTTACTTCCATCATCAGCACCCCGTCGCCACGCATCATACGTACTGTACGCTCCTTTTCACGAGGGATTCACATTGGATTCAGTCGCACCGCACCCTTTTACTACGACAACACCGCTCCACGTGCCTTGCCCCGCCATGGTATATATCACAAGAGAGCTTTTTGGCTCCGATCCTGCATACCAACGCTCGGCGTCGCCTTTGTGTACCATTATGAAAGATACCGAACATGCTGCGGCGGGCTTGGGAAAGAGGAAAAGGCGTATAGATGATGAATCTCTCTCAAGGGATATACAGTACGAATCAATCGATCACACCCCATTTATTCTTAATACTTATACAAGTCGCAGCAGCTGTTCCCCGCATCCTTCTCCGTCACACAAAAGCCCCGTGAAAGACTACCACCAGGGGTTCAATCCCGTATCAACACCCACATACGTCGATGCCGAACGGCGGCCTGTCAAACAAACGCGGAGATCGATCCCAAAGCTTGCGAAGGAGCCGTCCTACTTGATGGACGTTGAACAACACCATACATCGAACCTACTCCACACGAACGCCCCCAGGGTCAACACCAATTTCGACCTTAGACCTTGCCACTCGTGCTGCTCCGCTCCGAAACGAAAGCAAGATCTGGAGAATTACATGGAATGCAAACATTGTGATGGACGCACATGCTTCATCTGCGCAAGGGAATGCATTTCATGCAAGAAAGCCATATGCAACAGGTGTATTGTTGAAGTTGGCGAAGAGGGTGATTCGTGGTGCTTGGAGTGCCATCAACGGCAGATAAATTCATGATTCACGTTCCCGACTTTTGAGAGCACGCGAAAACCAAATTGATCAACCGGCCCGCCCTACCCACTGGCCTTCAGGCTACAAATATCAGTTCAACAAAGCCCACAGAGATGGCCAGGCGACTATGAAACTTCTTTCACATTGGCCACGGAGCGAGCAGATCGGCATGTGGCCCAGCCACGGGCGATTTCCCCGTATTCGCTCAGGGTGCGACTATTTGGCCCAGTACATAGTCAAAGGAGGAAACGGTTTTGAATGTAGCAGGGCTCCAAGAACCTGGGGATCTGGGGAGCTACGAGCGTTGGGTTAATGTCTAGGATCGAAACCAATAGTAGTCTATGAGAGAAACGGAACGGAAGGCATGTTTATATTATATAGCGAGCGCACTTGATACCATTATTATTAGCATTCTTACACTGTGACATATACCTCATTGAACGAATAGTTGTTAAGCTCGTCGCGTCTAGGCTAAACTCGTCTGTGGAAGATGTAAGGCACATTCTGGCCAGAACACATCATATCTGTGCACACATTCTTTCCCCTATTCCCCTCCCTGAACTCCACCTTTCTCTTTTTGTACATTTGTATCCGAGTTTACCTGTATAACTGTTTCAGGGCGGGTTGTAACTTGGAAGTACTTAGGCTGGAAATGACCCCGCCCCCACCAAGACCCTGAAAGACGTCCCTCATTGCGGAGCTCCATCGTACACCGCAAACCTCCGTCCAAGGATTCCCCCAAGCTTGTCTCTTTTGCTTTTGCGTGAAATCACGACCAAACATCTCCTTTTTCCATTTGTTGTCCTCCCCAAATCTTTTGTACTTTTGAATCAATAATCATCACTCAACCTTCACATACGTCATCGCCGTCTCCTCATCTACCTGCCTGGGTAGGTTCACGAACACCACCACATGTCCTCCCCAACTCCGCAAGATGATGCGCTGCTCGCCCGCCTAAACGCGCTCAAAAAATCAAGTGTCAGCTTCTCCAACGCATCCCTACTCGGTAGCCCATCAACCGCCTCGACATCACCGCCACCATCTGCACATCACACCAACGACCTTGCAGCACGCTTTGCTCGGCTCGGTTCCGCATCACCCTCGAGCTCGCCCAAACCCTCACGAACCCATTCATCCACTGATGCCGGTGCTCCTATTGCAGCGCCCGGTGCGCCGAGCTATCTTGAAGGCATAGCGGAAGGGGTCGGTGGTGGTGGCGGCGGCGGCGGATTGGAACCCTACAATGAAGAGAGTGAAAAGAGTCTGGAAGAATTAATAGCAGACCTTGGACCGAAAGAACAGTGGGAATTGAGCCAAGCGGAGATCAGGGATGTGAGGACACTGGCAAAAGAGATCAGGCAAGCGCTGCCAAGTTTGCAAGAGGAACATCGAAACCAGGGATCACCACGGCACGGCGGTCCAGCGCACAAGGCGGATGACTTGACCGACTGGGAGAACGTGGAAGTCGATGTTGGGAGGGGAGGTGTGCGAGTAGGCAAGGCAGAAAGCGATGAGGATGATGACGAGGATGACGAAGAGGGGCATGATGGGAACAGGAAGAAAAAGACGGACGAGGAAGAGGCAGATGATCTCATCGCGAGAGTCATGGCTGAGCTCGAAATCAGCAGAAAACACGATCCACCTTCCCCAGAACCAGACGACGACGACGATGATCCTGGCTCCAACAACGGCGACGACAAAAGCCACAACAACTCCAGCAATACTGAACAGACCCCAGGAAACCCCCCGCAGCGACAAGATCAAACTAAAGCCTCGGAACCGCAAACTACCCACGACCTAACCCTCCCATCAGCACCCTCGTCGATCCCGCAACACACTCCCCCCTCCCCCCACGAAGACGCAAATACCGCCGTCGACACCGCCCTCGCCGCGCGCCTCGCAGCTCTCTCCGCATCCGCAACCTCATCTCCTCCCTTCTCCCTCCCCACAGCGCCCTCCTTCCACCCAACCCAAAACCCAACCACCATCAGCACCAGTCTCCTCGTCGGCAAAGAAGCCCAAGACGACGAGGAATCGTGGTGCGTCATCTGCTCCGACGACGCGACGCTGAGGTGTCGCGGGTGCGAGGGCGACTTGTACTGTCAGCGGTGCTGGATGGAAGGGCATCTTGGGGAGGGTGCTGGCGCGGAGTTGAGGAGACATCGCGCTGTGATTTTTGAGCGGAAAGGTGGGGAGGGCAAGGGGAAGAAGATTGTTGCGTAGCGAAGGGGGTACGATGGTAGTGATGGGGTGTTGTTAGTGTATATAATTAGATACGGTACGCTATCCTTTGGTTGTTGGAGCTTGCAAGGCTTCTGGTATTTGGGGTATATGCGTTGCTGCAACGTTGAATATGTTGTACTGCTATGTACACATGCAGATACTATCACGAGTCGTCGGTTCTCTGGATGTACTTGTAATCATTTCCCTGATAGAAGAGTTCACCTGCTAAGAGAGAGGAAAGAGTAAGGCAGCGGAAGACAGTACATCGATACTCGATGAAAAGAGCACGTACGTCTTCAATCGCATTGAAGTAACTCCGATAGTCACATCAGACCAAGCTATAACAAAAAAAAAAGATATAGATACCGGAGAAAAAAAAAGTAATTGATGCAAAAACTAGAACGCTAAGCAGTGGGTAAATACATGTGTGGAAAACCACATCTAACGATGGACTTGAGCAGGGCATACATAAACCTGGTCAAGTCCCTCCGATTATTCCATTCTCTGGGGGTATATCCAAGATCGTCAACGACTACAAATTACATGAAGAAGAAAAAAAGGAGAGACGTGAATGTTTCGTTAAGACAAGAAAGGGAAAGAAAAACAAACAACCACCTCCAAGAGCCCACAGTGACTCTTTTAGGACCCCTCGATCCACACACTCATCATTAGTCATTGACTCGATTTTCTTACTTTGGTCGTTTTACAGCGTGGCTTGAGGCACTTAACCGTGCTTAGCAGGCGAATAAGTGTTCTTCTTCGCGCGCCTCGAGTGGGGCCCACAGCAGATCTCGAAGCTCCACACCAAAAGCGTGATGAACATCAAGCCGGTAGCAGCCCACGTGAGGGCCAGGAATTTGTTGCCGCGGTGTGCCTCGACGCCGACGGGATTACCCTTCTCGTTGACAATGTTGCCTCCCTTGACGATGAGAGCGGTGATGAGAGCGCTGGCGAGACCGATAGCAAGGAAAGCAAGGATTCCAACCATCCAGTTCAAACAGGCGGCGAGACGACCTTGAGCGAAGAGCGCGGGGAGAGCGGCGACAAGCGCAATGAAGATGAGGGCTATAGCGATGCAGTACAGCACGAATGCCGTTACGGAGACGACGCGGAGAGTGTCGAGGCCGGTCTGAATATCTTCAGGCCACTTCAAATCGTCGAGGGTGATGCCCGTTCCGGACTTGTTGAGTGCGTCTTCGATGATTTGCTGGGGGTCGAAGTGGAACATTGCGGTTTGGTTGGAGCAGCCCGTGACGTTCTTGTCGATGTCTCCTGCGGAGATGGTTGCGTTGGGAGACTCGGTGGGCGTGTATTGACCGTAGCAGAAGTCCAGGAGATGAGCCGAGTACCAGTCTTCGATTCCGAGCTCTTCGCCTATGGAACTGGCGACCGAGTTGGCAGCGCCCTCGATGGGGTCTTTGATTCCCGAGGGTACTTTATCCCACAGGGAGCTCAGAGGGCTCGAATCGGATTCAAGAGTAGAATTCACCAGACCTTCAGGCAAGCGACTCACGTTGAGGGTCATGATGGGGTAGTCGGTCATGAAGGACGGTTTGTGGCCTGCGAAAAGACATAAGAAGGAGAGTATCAGAGCTGCGGTGCAGCAGAGAATCGGAACGATGGCTAGAAACCGCATGGCTGATGGGCGACTTGAATTTGCTTGGGTATGTGCGTATGTGTGTCTGTGAGTTGAAGCAGCACCAACGGCGATACTGGAGGGTAAGGGAGATGTGGTGGTGAGTGGAAGGAGAGACAACGAATATATGTACAGAAGGGTCGGCTTGGCATTCCAGTCCCTTTGTGTACCGTCACGTCACCGAAACAAGGGTCTGGGAGGGCAAACAGTCAGGTACAAGCGCCAAACCCTGGCGGTTGAAGCGCAAACTTGCTTTGCACCGCCCAGAAGTGACTCCATTTTGCGAAGATCTTCAGCGCAAAATCTTGGTCGGTTGACGTGGTCTGCGAAACCAGGCTTGAGGTTATGCTTACCAGTTAAACGTCATTGGGGCCGGGGTGTGCAACAAGCGAGCAGGGGTGAGTCGATAAGCGAGGAATTATTGGTGGCTGGGCGAAGATTTACGTAGGCTGTGGGCCTGGCCTTTGAACGTCGTCGAATGAAGTCGTGCTGGGCGTCGATGATCCTAACAAACACTTTTCAACTCGTGCAGCGCCACAGGTAGCGCGCAGATTTCCTATTGTGTACGTGTAGAGCCACGCGGCCAGGCGGGGACGCCAGAGAGGCTGATCATTCACAAGAGGCCAAAAATAGAAAAGAGAATGGAGCACGTCTCCATAGTAGCAACAGCAGCAGCAGCAGCAGTGGAATCAAATACCCATCCATGTATTGCCTTTATTCATCATGTCTCCGTCTGTCTATCCATAGAACCTTGACTCTTTTGTCTATCGTCCATCGTCCATCGTCCATCACATGTCTATCATGGAGTTGCCGTTACCGCGTGAGTCGTTACATAGAGCAGCCTGTGCTTGATTATTTTTATTGAGGTGAGTCGTGTAGTGTCGTGGAACAGAGTGGTGTGTTTTGCTCTCCTTGCCATTCTTCCCTCCATTTCATGAGGGCGACTTTTTGGTACTCCTCCACGACTGTTGCGGGGCCTGGGGTTGGCTCAAGCTATCTGTGAAGGGCGAATAAGGCGCGGCGACAGCGTGGGGCGCCTGCTTCTTGCCCTGATGCGACCGCAGAGGATCGGTCGAGTTGGGATAGCGTTTCTGCTCTTCGTGCATCTTGTCCAGCGATTCGCCGATGACGTGGTATTTTGCCCAGTTGACGGGGGGACACCGCACCACATTCTGGGGCTGCGGTATCGAAGGAAATCTGGGCGCCTCTGTCACCGAGTTGGTGCCGGGGTCCTCGTCGTCCTCCTCTTGGTCGTTTGCGCGTGGCGAAGATTCGGATTGATGCAGTTCTTTCCTGGCATCGTTGGATATGTCGGAGAGGGTAGGGGCGAGAATGTCGGATTGAGAGGGCGGGGCGTTTGCGCGCTGAGTCTGCAAGGACAGGGCAAAAGCCTTGGGGTCGGCGACGGCTTGTTGCCTGAGTTGCTCGAGGGCCTTGAGGTCGCGTTTGCTCTTCTCCCGCTGCAGCTGGAGCAGGGAGATGGCGGAGCGCAATGCTATGGCATCTGGGTTTTCGGATTCATGGATGGGCACCGAGGAAGGCTGCTGCCTGAAGGTTGCGACAGGCGGCGGGGGTGGTGAAGGGGCGGACGGCGCAATGTTGTCGGAGGGAGCTAGTCGGGGAATGGTGTCGGTGTCGGTGGGCGTGATGGGTGACACTGGCGGGCGGTCTGGCGACCTCGAGCGGGACTGTGTCTTGGGCGGGTGAGCTGGCGGGGTGGTGGAGGAAGACAAGGAGGGCGATGAGGCGCTGGGGGATGTAGAAGAGGTGGTGGTGGTGGTGCTAGTATCGACCAAGAGGGCGGGCATGGCGGAGGTGGGAGAAGGGGAAGGGCGTGCAGGCACAGTACAGTACAGCACCGCACAGTACAGGCAGGCAGACAGGCAGTTGCGGTAGCAACGGTACAATAACGCAGGCGGGGATTAGTGGAGGCTGGCTAGGTATGCAGACACACAAAGCATGCATGCGTGGGACAGGCGGACAGAGGTCGAGATTTGCTTTGCCGTCCGTGGCTGGCTGGCGGGCTGGCGGGCGGTTGGCGTAGAGCAGAGCAGGCAGAGCAAGCAGAGCAGAGTGGGGGAAAGCGTGGTACCGGCGACGGGCCAGAGGGGCAAAAAAAATGCGGGCGGGCGCTTATCGCAGTCTATTTACATATGTAGGCATATATTCTTAGGTATGTATGCGGCGAATACGAACCAGTGAACTTCGGTCCAACAGCCGCCATGTCTGTTTGAGTAGATCTGTATATTCTAGTATTTTGGCTCACACTCACCCATCTTCCAAGATAAAAGATGCATCTTTCGTGCGGCGGTGGTGCTTCCTTCGTTGCCTCCCCCCGCAGCCGCCGTGGTGTGCCGAATGCAAGCGAGCGACATATGCGGGACCATCGGAATCCTGCATGCATATCTTCCACATCCGATGCTCCGAACACTCACACAACCCTCACACACACTCTCTCTCTCTCTCTTGTTGCACTGCATTCATGCATGTTTGTTTGTTTACTTGCGTGTCTGCTTACTTGTTGCCGTGCTTGTTTATCCCGTGACCTACCTACTCTTGCAGATTCATGCCGCTACAGGACTGGCTTTCGCCCTTCTTCTCCTTGACCTGCGAACTTGTGGGGCGAGTGCCACTACCATCATCACCTCACTACACTACACGCAATTAGTTCTCGACCATGGAAAATCTTGGGCTTCGTCTGCGGGCTACTATCCTCAACAAGCATTCTTCGCTTATCGCTCTGTCCATCTCCACCACCTCGTCCTCTTGCCGTTGATGCCGCCTCGAGCCTTCTCTAGCTCCCACTTGCAAGTAACGCGCCACGGCGACAAGAACCACCACCACCACCACCACCAACATTCAAATGTTGGATTCTATCCATCAAACCTCGCCCATCTCCCGTGGTTCGCCGTATCCACTTCAGCTCCGACGCGCCAGCCACTACCTTCGCGTCGTCATGCCCGCCTAGCCTTTGCGTAATTTGTTCCTTTTTTTTCTCTTTTCTTTTTATTCCATTTCCTCATCTGATTGGGCCTGGACCTCGACGTACCTGTTGATTCGTCTGCATACTCGGAGGCCTGCTTGCTCGGACGGCGCCCCGTCGCGCCTCTGTCCATCAACAACCCTTCTTCGCCCATGATCCCTACATGACCATTCGTAACACGTGCTGCCTCATTTCCATGCTCATTTCCCTACACTACCTCGTCTGTTCAATTTCGTTTTTCCCATTTCTTTCCCTTCTTCCCTCCACTTCTCCCTCCTCTCATCTTCTAGTAGCGAGTGCCAGGTATCCACTACCGGCTTTCCAACACTTGCCCGAGTCATGTTCTGCTCGCCGCCTGCGTAGTCTCTCAGCTATCCACGCTACGTAGCCCTGTCTAGCTTCAACTGGCAACGCAAGCGGCCGATCGCGACATCTATTCGCCATCATGGCTGTCTCAGAACCAGATATGGCCCTCCGCACACCCAGGATCCCCAAACTGACATATCGAAACCCGTTACCGCACTCCCACTCTACTGCTACTGTTGCTCAACTCGATCCTGCCGAAGACTCTCTCCACCACCACATCGACACCATCACCCGACATCCATCCACCCCCGAAGACTCCCACCCATCGTCCGACTCGAGAAGCGTCACTTCCTCAATCGACTCCAGTCTGGCTTCCTCACATGTCTCCACATCAAAGTCTTCAAAGACTTCCTCCAAAAAGAAGAAGAATGCCGTCTTTGGCTTCTTGACCGTCAAAGAGCCATCCCAGGCCGCCTTGGAGCAGTTCGCCAAGTCTCAGCACCAGCAACCCTCCCTCAAAAGCTCAACCTCCTCCATCAAGAGTGGTTCTTCCATGCCCGTGGGTGCTCAGCAAATCTCCAACCAGAAGCTCCCGTCCAATGTCCCAAGAGTAAATTCCAAATGGGATGGCCTACCTGATTCCGTAAAGTCGCCCCAAGTGTCCAAAACATCCAGCATGAGAAGCTCGGCATCCTCTGATGGAGACCGTTCGATGTTTGGTGGTAAATCTACCTTCGACACGGCTTCCGTCATGTCCGCGGCTAGTCGAGGTCCTCCACCGTCTCTTGCATCGACAGCCGCTTCGGTGGCTGATGCCATAGATGGTCCTGTTCTGGAGTCATCCACCGCTGTTTCTTCCAACTCTTCGTCGCAAATATCGTTACCCGACAGGTCTTCTTCGTTGCAAACATCGTTACCTAACAGGTCTTCTTCATTACAAGCATCGTTACCCGATACGTCTTCTCGCTCTTCGAACGATACACCCTTGATTTCAGGCACGTTGTCATCATCCTCGCAATATTGGGACTCATCAATCGGTTCACAAGATATAGTTGGGACACATGAGCTCGAGGACCCAGACCTCAACGGTGAAGCGGAAGCAATATTTCGGAAACTCCAGGGTGGCAATGATTCCTCATCCGACGAAGGGCACGCGCATGCCGAATATGCCGAGCATGATCTTGTGGATGGTGTGCCTGAGACACATGAGTTCCTGTTCGACTTAGCAACCCCTGTTGGTGCCTCAGCGTCTTCTGGTGCATCAGCAATGTCTCCATCATCCCCATCTCCGTCGTCATCATATCCCAACTCTTATGGGTCTCCGGTAACACCGCCGTCCGATGAGCATAGTTCGCAGTTTGTAGAACGACCAGCCCGTCTTTCGCCCTCAAGCTTCTCCCGACCACGCCCAGTCGCATCCAGAAGCCAATCTTTCAGAATGTTATCATCCACCCTGCCAACACTATACGAAGCCTCTGTTGCTAGCACAGACACCATCACAGAATATTCAGATGATACGGAGACAGAGACGCGACGTTCCATCGATACCATGTCCATTGCCGAGTCGACTGCCGATTCCCTTGCCCCATCCGTCATGTCGGCATCCTGGAGTCGAACCTCAAAAGACCGACTAGGTCTTGGTATCGGACGCCTCCGCAAGAGCGATACTCTGCCTTGGGAGATGGACGATAAGCCGGCATCGGGAAAGTTGAAAAAGGGCCGTCTTTCTGTCTTTTCCAAGTTCTCCGCCTAAACCCAACTTCACTCTCGTCCCCCAACTCTCTCGGGTCTAATCCGCTCACGACATGAAGACCTCTCTTTTCTTTCCCTCTTGTAGTACGTCGTGACTTTCGATCACCTTTTTGATACCCCGATCAAGCACTCCCAGCGCGCGCATCATGATCATAACTTCGATTCTTCTTCTCAATCAGGTGGACCCTAGGGAGGGTAGCCGGGGGCAGGGCCAGAAGCAGAATGCGGCAAATAAATAAGCCGGCCTCCGGCCACGAGTTGGCCTCGGCGCACGACATCAAAAATGTCCTCAAGTTCTTGTATATTATTCTTCCTGCACTCTTGTTAAGCGAAGTGCAATAGTTGGACACCCATTCCCGTTGCTCTAACGGATTGGATTTTGCTTTGTTCTGCATCCAAGCGAGCGGTTCTTGACTTTTGTATATATGTTTTGATTGCTACAATTCTTTCTCGTTCATCTTTTCCCTTGTTCATGGATAGAAACAAACGCTTGGGTGTCTTATATGAAGTTGGTCATGCAAGAGTCCGCTATATTTACGTGCCGACGATGCTTTCTGCTTTTTCCAGTTTTCGTGATGTACGTTTGACATATCGCGCAGTATAGATATTTTCTTTTTGAAAAAAAGGTACGGTCTCATAATGAACCTGATACTCAAGAGGACATGACGAACTAACGAGAGATTCTCATAGGAGATGGACAAGCCCAGTATATCATCCAAGTACACTACCCCCTTCTTGTACATAACACAACATGTTCCCAACTGACCAATGCCTTCCCGCCTTCCCTCTTCAACTCCCCCCTTCTCGCACCAACCCTAACCCTAACCCCAACTCCAAACCCAACCTAACCCTGCCCCAAAATCCAAACCTCCCCATTCGAAGAAGTATCACTGGTCATGAACAACCTCCCCGCCTTATCATACGCCAACCCAGCGGGCCTAAAGCACCCGGAACTCATCCCCGGTCCATTCCCCGCACACTTCGTCACATCCGGGTTCCAAAAGATATCCTTGGCGCCCGTGGTACTCGTAATAGGATCGACAGGCGCATACTTGCCATCGACGCTGCTTTTCTGAAACGGCACCGCAACGAGCTTAAACCCCGTGGTAGGCTGCCTATTCCAACTGCCATGGAAACTCACAAACATATTCGCGTTATCTGGATCGAATTTGCAGTCAATGGGCGCCGAGTGCGGGAACAGCGTCAGCGCGGGGGCGACGGCTTTCTGCGCGCACGTATCGTCGTTGAAGGTTGTGTTGGGCGCTTGCACGAACCAGTCGCCGACTTTGAAGGTTTTGTCCCGGAAGTCCGACGGCTGCCATACTGTGAAGCAGGATGGGTACCCGTACCAGTTTGTGTTGGGCGTCGTTATGTCCCCCATGTAGTGGATTTTCTCGCCCGGGTTGTTTTGGTGGACGTCGGTTGATTGGCCGTTTACGGTGCGGCGGAAGTCGTCGCCGCTGTTTTCTACGCCCCAGAGCCTGCGGGGGGGAGGGTGTTAGTATTGTGTGTGGTGTGTGTGGTGTGTGTGGTGTGTGGTGTGTGGTGATTTAGGGAAGGAAAGGGGGGGGGGAGGAGGGCTTTTCAAAGTTCGAGAGTATAGTAGGGAGGGTATGGATGAGTTTCATATAAGTCGTGATTCGAGGATACAGCTATGCAAGAACTGGAGGAGGAGGGGAAGTGTCGAAGAAATGGAAGAGTGAGGAATGATATCAACGTACATGTTGTTATTGTCAAAACACATGCCCACTTCATTGCGCTGTCCATAGCCAGCTGTGTATCCATCACTCGCATACTTGTAGCCTCCGCTAGGGACTTTAGTCAGATCAAAAACCTTGATAATGGCACGGCCAGTGGAAGGGTTCGAAGTAGCCGCGTCAATGTTCGAGTTGGACCCGTGAGACACGACGAGCAGGTTAGGCTGGTCGGGACGAATCGCAAGGGTGCGGGTGAGGTGAGACCCTCCGTTAACCATACCCGTCATGATAGTTGCACGGGTTCCCACGGTGCCAGCGGTGGCATCGTATGGCCATGAGTAGGCCTGCGTCATGGAGCTCGCATAGAGCGTCTTACCGTCCGGGCTGAGGGCGATGCCGTGGTTGAGACTGTTCAGAGAGATGAGCGTCTTGGACGACGTGATGCATCCATCGGCTCCCATAGCGTGGTATGTGATACCCAGGCCAGACTGGACCACGAGCATGTTGCCGGCAGTGTCGAACTGGATGCTACGAGGGCTCCGGAGGCCGCCTAGGATCTTGGTAGCCTTCCATCCAGTTGCCAGCTTGCCCTGGAAAACCGGATTTCCGGCACCGGAGCACGAAGCTGGAATGGTGGCTTTGATGGCGGCCGATGTCGAGGATGTTTTGGTGCTTGTTACGACAGTGGTAGGCACCGTGGTAGGGGCACTCGTCACTACGGGCGGGGCAGTCAGCAGATTGGTCTTCACCAACGAGTCAAAGTCATCTATGCGAGCGGCATTCAGATCATGAGTCCAGTGACCGACGGCACTGTGCACGCTGAACGAGGAGTCGTTGCTTTGGGGAGTGGAGACGGCCGTGGTTCCGTATGCCCATGCGAATTGCGTGGTGCCGGTCGCATTCAGGGCGTAACGTTCGTCTTCGTTGGATTGCCATCCAGTGCAGCCTTTGCAGAGAGCATTGATTGTCCAGTGCGTGCTGTTAGAGCCGGTCCCCTTGAGTAGGAAATGCTCGGCGCCATCGTATCCTAGTGGCATCCCGGTGGAACTCTCGAGTCTCAGTAGGTTTGAACACACATGGAAGTGTTAGAGAAAACTTACAAAGCCCAGCGGGCTGATGCAACCCCAGAAGACCCATTGGGCCATGCGACAGTGAGAGGGTCCCACACCATTTGGCCACCCCATGCAAAGCCGACCCATTGGCTAGTTACTGGTGCAGTGATCTTGATGATTGCATCGTAGGGATCGGTGGCGTTCTTTGGAAGGGCGACTCCATATGTAATGCCAGTCTCCGTGTGGGTATACGAGGAATAACAGATCTTTGTTGCCGCATCGCACACAACTTTAGATTCAACCTCACCTTGTGCAAGGGCTGCAATTGTCTGTCAGCGGCATGTACATCTCGAAGCACTCCCAAGGTGTATATACCATAACCAGCCAGTGCAGCGGCACTGCCAAGTAACTTGAGAGATGGCATCATGAATGGTTATGAAGACAACGAACCGGGCAATCGAGTCAATCTTGTCACTTCCAATCCCTGGGTGGAGGTCTCTTTATGCACTGATATCCTGGTTTGAGCATCGGCGCCATAACATGTCACCGGCCATGCCAGATCCCCCTCGAAAGTCGTCCAGTCCAATCTGTGGCCACCACATTTTGGTATATGGTTGATGAAGGATCGTGTGGAGCATGTGGAGCACATGAGTGGAGAAGTTACAATGAGTGGTCGACCCCAATCGTCGAAATTGCCCTATATATGGCCGGCAAATCCGAATTGAGATGCCATTTAGTCCACACAATTTGCTCCCTGGAAATGCTTCAAGTTGCGCACGGCAGTATACAACGTTTATAGTGTGGTCCGGGATATGTACTAATCAACGGCTCGTGATTGGTTGTCCCGCCTGAGGGTGAAGCCGCATGCTAACCTTAATTCCATAATACCAGGCCAATGACAGTACTCTGAAAGTTGTCGAGCACCGAGCACGCGCAGCATGCAGTGACGGCAGTTATTCTACATAGTACATGCTTCTAGCCTACAGATCAGCAGCCTGTCATATTAATTTGACGTATACGCTGTGGTGGGGAAACCGTACTAATCATCTCATTTATGCTTGCTGGTGAAGAATAGGACTCTGTAGCCCATCATGAAAGGGTCTAATTACAATAACGTGCGGAACGATGCGTTGCACCATGCGCGATGGTCAGCGCCTTCCTATGATCTGCGTTGATCTACATGGATGATAGCACCCGGCTTTGCAAAGAGCAGAGATCGACAATAGTAGAGATGCGACTGATTTCTTGATTGCTCTCAGCAATGCTTGTTCTGACCAAGTTCTCATTCGACTGCTCGATTTCAGCGGTGATGGTTCCCCATGATTCCACTCCTTTCGCGCTTGATGGAAGCAAATGGCTTTCTCCGGCAAGCCTCGAAAGTTGCTCCGCAGTCTCGTCGTCTGCAGCATTTATCTGCGCCTGGAGGTAGATCAAGTGCTGTAGCAAAGCTCTTTCGCCGTTGTCAATGTGCATGAGACTTGGCAGGTGGGGTAAGAACTTGGTAAAAACATTCGACAGTCGCTTTTTCTCGTCGTCAATATCCGTCTGTTGAATTGTTGTTTGAGGTGCACCAGTGGCTTCCTCTTTTTCAATCGGTTCCTGGAGGGAGACTTGGGACTTGATGGCAGCCAGACGAGACACTGTGTATGCTTCGTATGTACTCTGGATTCGCGATTCAGATGATGCGAGGTCGGCAGGGGAGAAGGGGTGCGTCGCGCGTTTGATCGGCGAGGCATCTTCAATGATTTCAGATTCCACTTCTATCTTGGCCAGCTCAGTTTGCACCCACTCTATCATTTCCTCGCGGGCGACACCGAGGGCACGAATTTGGTCTTCCAGTTTGGGAGACTCCTGTGACGCCGCTTTGGCATTGGCCCGCGCAGATCTGGTTCTTTCCATGCCCGAACTCGCATCGATGACTTCCTTCTTCACTTTGAGGGTAAACGGGCTGTCACCGCTAGTCGCCAAAATCTGATCTAAACGTTCTGCAGGTAGGCTGGGCTGTTCCCCAATGGCGCGGGTAACAAGGGTTTTTGGATCTTGCGATCCATTGATAGGATTGACATCGAGAAGCTTTTCTAAAGATTCTTGAATGATCTGTAGTTCCGAGTATCCACGCCGCTGCCGTAAAAGTGCTATGTAGCTTTGTGTAGTGTCATCGTCGTTTTTTGGTTCGGCTTCTACAGGTGATTCTACCAAGTGGCGGTTCTGTAATTCATCCAAGGAAGTTTGCAATTGGCGATAGCGTGTTTGGGCTGCGCTTTGGTTCCTTAACTCGTGTAAAAACTCGCTCCGTAGACCAGCAAGACCCGGCGGGTTTTTACTAGAAGCGGTAACACCCTGAGGACATTCCTGACTCAGATGTTGATCACGAGATGGGGAGTTTACAGGACGTAAACTCGCGGCCAGATACTTTGTAAGTGTCTTGCGTATTTTCAAGGTCTCTTCGCGCGAGTGGACATAGGAAGACAGAGCTCGATCAATATTCAGAACGGGACAAGGGGACGGAGCTGGCATTGAGAATGGAGTCGCACAGGAAGTGTGATATTGTTCGAGGCAATGAGAAAGAAGGTACGTGTAACCAGAGTTGGGACATTGATTGTTGTTAGTGAGGCCAAGGGACACAAACCATCAACTGAAAGACGCTAAGCTGAAAGAGGTCTAGCATTAGCTAAACGCGTAGTCAGCTGTCAGGGGAGAGTCGAGGGGAATCCAATGTTGTACATTCACATTGGGGGAACCTTCGATTTCCACAATTTTGTTTCTCGACAGTTTAATCGTGTCTTGTACCTTCAATCTTGTATTCGGAAATTTCGCCGAGAGGACATGTGTGCGAGTCCACAATGGCAAAAAGCAATGACGGCACGGGTAGAAATTACATTCGCGTGGAAATGGGGCAAGGGTCCGCAGTCAGCCAGGGTCTTGTTTATTTTGCTTTGGATGCTTTTTGTTCTCTCAATAGATGAAGACCAATAGCAATGGCAATGACAGGGACAATGGATGAATACAAGAGTGCGAACAGCAACCAAACACACCGATTCGCGGTGGGGACAAGGTGGTACTATGTAGCATGTACCTGGTTGTGTGTCTGGTAGGGGGTGACGGACGCATTGGATATCAGATGTATACAGACTACCTATGTAGTCTGTATGCACGCACACACAGCAGCCGGCGCATGCCCTGACGTGCATGTGAAGGAAAGACAGGCAGAAGCAAGCTGGCGTGCTGCTTATGCAGGTCCGTACTCGCTTCGGGTGCTGTGCATGTTTGGTTTTGCAATTTGATATGTACCATGTTCGGAGGCATGGTGCACGTGTATATGGAAGGATCCGGTACATGTGTGTTCACGGCCCCATTCGGGGAGCTTGGGCATGTGAAATAATGCATTCATATGCCCGCGGTCCAAAGCCGGATGGGCATGACGCAATGCCGGATGGGTACTGGATGGATACTCAGCTATATGTGGCGTATTGGCTGAGGAGCAAGTGAGTAGCAGGCGGAGGCCGGAAGCAGCGAGGCCATGATGACGATGGGAGGTGGAATGCTGTCATTGAAAAGATGGTGAAGCGGTGACAAGCACGTTACAGCGTTTGATTGGGGGAGTGGGCAGGAGGATGGCCAACGCATCTCTCGGATGGCGAGACGCGTAGCAGGGAAGAGGTCGAATCAGCCCAATGGCGAGTAGGCTTGGTCGGCACGCCGTCGAGCATGCTACGTACTGTGCAGGTGGGTAGGTAGCACCGAGCAGTGCCGTCCTGTCTGGTGGTGGTGGTGGTGGTGTTGTTGTTGTCAATTGTTGGTGTTGTTGGTGTTGATAATGTTGTGGAGGTGGGTGGGCTGTTGATTCTTCTCAGAGGCATGCATGTACACAGGACATGTAATTTTACGCGGGCGCATGAGACCGGGTACCTTGCCTTCTGCTCGCCCACACGCCGATACCACCCACGTTGCTTGCTTTTCCCATTGATCGGATTGATCTGGCAACAGCAGCAAAATAGAAGAGAAGAGAGGGAGAACAGCAGGAGAGCAAGACAGCAAAAAGAAGACGGCGCGAGCGCCACAGGCACAGGAAGAAGCATTGCAAAGTGACCTGGTGGCGCTGCGCTTGGCGTTTCAAGAGGACCAGAGCGCGCATTGGGGGGCATCAAGGTCGTCGACAAAGACCCAATTAGTCGCAGCAATTTCACTAGTCGGGCGGCATCGTCGACTGCTGTCCCATCTATTTCTCTCCTGCTTCTTCTTTGATTGATTGATTGCTTGCTTGCCAGCCTACCTGCCTGTCTCTCCCCAGAACGACAGAACGACCACACTGCTTGGCTGCCTGTCTATCTGTCTATCTGCTGTCCGCCGCCCCGACCGTGCCCTTTAACCCTCCTCTCCCCCTCGTCGTTCCGCCTTGTCTCCGCGACCCGCTGCAGTGACCCAAAACATCCACCTCCACCACCAATATAATTCCACCACCACCACCACCAGGACTGCCTCGACCCACCACCAGTGCATGGGCACCCGAAGCCTCGACAACCTCCCCGTCGTCACCACCACCGCACAATTCCTCGCCTGCCTCGCTGCATCCATTGCACCCCCAACACTCGGCACCCTGTTCTCCATCCACACTTAAGATACCCCCCTCTTCCCTCCTTCTTGCGCGCGACCTCCTACATTCTCGGTCTCTCCCCCTCTCCGCCACCGCCGCCAGCGGCACTCTGCATGCCCGCGGTCCCATTGAACCACCATGCCCTTCTTCAAGAATGTTTTCAAGTCCAAGGATGCATCGCGAGCCGGGAAAGCAGACAAAACAGACCAACCCGTCGCACCCCCAAAGCCGAGGTGGGAGGAATCCTGGTCCCGAAAGGATGTAGACGTGAATGAGATCCAAGAGCTGGTGCATGTCTGCACTCAAGAAATGAAGGCGAGGGGTATGTACCTGCACCTGCACTCATCAATTGGCACTGCTAACCCTCAGCAGCACTCGATACTCCCTTCATTCTGCTTCCCTTTCGCCCCGCCTCCGACCAGAGCGCCGCGCGGAACTTCATCCGTAATTTCTTCAAGTCCGCATACGAAGGGTCCAGGCAATACGAGGGCGAAGGTTTGGCACAGGAGTTGCGCCTTGCTGAACCATTGGTGGGTCTGATTCCTGTCCTTAGATTCGTCGCGCCGTCTCACTAACTATTCTAGACTCTTTGTAGCATAATCAAGTGGTGTTGGAGTAGAGTTCCTGGCGGTGTCGTTAGCTGGGACGTCTATGAGCTTTTCCGAATCGGCGAAGCCGGTAAGCCACCCTCGCACACACAGTAGAAAGTGCGCCATCATGTTACTGACCCTTCTCTTAGATTCAAACTTTGCCAGGCATGCGTTCGACACTTTCATCCCCATGAGTGTAGACTCGGACGCCCGTCGGCAAATCATATTCGACTTTTTCGATCTTCTGGCCACCACCGCCGCTCGAGGAAAGACAAATGGCATGGGCGGCAGGAAACTGTCGCGTTTCGCAGGATGGTGGGCTTTTGAATTTACTGATGATGGCAATGGTTTTGCCGAAGGTTATCGCGCTTGGCAAAAGTAAGAATCCGCTTGCTCCTTACAGTTTACAGAAACTAACTTTGCCAGGGCCGCCGATGCTGCTAGCCATCTGTTCTTTGCCTATCTACGCTCCCTAGCACCAGACCCCAATCTGATGGGCGTCATATCCAACCTTCCGCGATCTCTTCAATCTCTCCTCTCTCAAACGGAATACCCACCGCAGACACCAACCTTGATGCAGACATCAACAACTCGAGTTGTCATGATTGTGGACTCGGTTTCACCCACCCCATTTGCTCTACTTCGGCGTGCCAAAAATTTCGAATACCGTGACGATGACCGGGCGCTGCAAGCTTTCTCGGCCTACGAAGATACGGTGACCGCTTTGACTGATGAATGCCGAAGAGTGCTCCAGTGCATTTCGTCAGTGAACCAATCCCACGCAGATCCTTCGACTGCAGATCACGACCCGTCCTGGTCTCGATTCGAGGATCTTGGATTTGGAGGACTTCTGGACAGCTCGACGTCTACCACGGGAGGAACTTCGCAATCGAACGGCTTGCGAGAATTCTCCTCTGCAAACGGCGGCGCCCATTCCAGGAATAATGATTTCGGTCGTCCGACAACGCCGTCCTGGGCCGATTTCCTCTCGTCTGGTTTCCAGGACGAGAACAATCCGAGCGCCGCACCAACTCTGTTGGCCCCTTCTGCCAAGCTTCCACCTATTGGCGAGGGTTCTCGTGTTCATAGCTCGCAGTCTCACGTCCGGAATGGCCTTCAGACCGGTGAAGATCTTGAACCCGGAGAGCTCGCTAGTATCACTCGGTTCGACCTGGATGATACTTTCTGGTGGGTCTGGATGACTAGTTTAGCGAACGAAGAGACAGTTGATCGCAAAGCTGCCTTTGGACGCTGCACTTTGATCGAAACCAAGATCTCGGGAGCGAAATGGCTAGTTGTCGAGGAACAAGTGAAGGGAGCATCATCCGGTCCAGAGGAAGGGGCTTATATCGCCGAGAAAAAGGGCATGTTCAGTTGGACCAAGCGGGGACGGCTGGGAAGAAGGAAGTCAACGGGAAAGAAACCTTCCAAGGAGCCGTACAATCGCACAACGGCAAATACACCCATGAGCAAAACCAGCATTGGACCTGATCAGCAAGCGCGCGTACAGGCTGCCGCTGCACAGCTAGCTCAAAGTCAAAGAGAGAAACAAGCCGCTGAGGAATTCGCTCAACGCCGTGCACGAAAGGACGATGCGATGTCGACCAAGACCAATAGCGTCCTCACGTTGCAACCTCATCTCCTGACGGATGCAGCTCCAGCGATGAAGTGGGACAAGAGGTTCGGCGAGGGCGCAAAGCACCGAGACGCTCTCAGGGCTCAGTATCTAGGCGACATCAGTGCCGGGAAAGGAGGTTCGACTAACAACCTTCTGGCGGCTGCCAATGGAGACACATCCGCTTTATCTCGCAACCAGTCTAACCGCGACCTTCCCGCATTACCGCCTTCGGAAAAGGACGCACATAGCACCAACGGACAAGCTGACGACTTGATCCAACAGCAGACTGCAGGAGCTTCTTCTGGTAGCAAAGGAAGGAACTCTCCTATGCCACCCGCCGCCTTCGATGAAAAGCCCGCCCCTCAGAGCCAAGTAGCACCAGCGGAACAACACCCAGCATTGCGCAAACCGGTTCCAGAACGTAACCCAGAGACTGAAGCTCAGCAAAACGATGACCAGGCCAGTGTCCCGGCCCCTGAAACTAAAAAGAGTCCTCCAAAGAAACTGAAGAAGAAAGATGGCGGCGGTGGAGGCTTCAGAAAGCTGTTCGGCAAGAAGAAAGCTGAACCTGCTCCAGCAGCCCCTGCTAAAGAAGAGCCACGAAGTGTTTCCCGCGTCGACGACCATGTTGAGACACCAGCACGTGCTCCTTCGCCAAGCATAAGCCTTGAGAGGCCTCCTCCGATCAGGGCTGATTCTCCAGATATCAAAACCAGTCCAGCCATGTCTGCGATATCCGCTACGTATAACGAACCAGCACTACAGGTTGTACCTAGCCCCAAGCCGGAGCAGGAGCCAAATGCAGGCTTCGGCAGATTCGATCAAGGTCCAATGGAGGAAATGCCAGCTTTTGTTCCCGATGACACTGATGATGAAGATGACGCAGCACCCAACGTCCCACGCCACGGTCAATCATCAGGGCTTGAGCAACCACCATCTGCAACTCCATATCGCCCTTCCATGGACGACGTGTCTGAAGAATCTGTTGACCTCGGGCTTGAACCCGTGCAGACCCAAGATCGATGGGCTCAGATCAGGAAGAATGCTGCCGATCGTGCGGCGAGGCTTAGTGAAGAGCAGTCCCGCCGGAGCCACAGTCAAAGCGTACGAACCGATGAGGGTGAAACCAGTGGTGAAGAAACAATTGAGAGCCGTGTTGCCCGCATCAAGGCTCGCGTCGCTGAGCTGACCGGTAACATGGACGGACAGCCTGTCGCTGCCGAACCAAGGCGATAGGCTAATGATGCTCTATTGCTTTTGTAGTAATAAGGTTTGTTCGATCTGCCATTCGTCCAAGTGAAATTTATTGACCGCCTGGCAGAATCATCTCGCGTAATACCCCTCCTTGCTTTTGAAGCATACTAAGCGCTCTGATACCCTTTTCCATTCTCTTTACGATTAATACCCCACTTTCAATAAGATTCATACATGTTGGTGGAAGCGGTTATGGATCTGTTTTTTTTCTTTCTCTTCTCTTTCGTCTCAATTTGATCTCTTTACCTCATCCTTTTGGAACAGCGTTTGTGCTACCTACGTGACAGGCACAGGGAACGATGATATGTCTGGTCATCTGAGCGTCTTTAGCACAGTTCTTGAAGATTATCAAGGCAACCTCCGGCACAAACCTCAGAGCATACTTTTCCGAGTGGGTAGTTGGCTCCAGCAAGGTGTTAAACATCAGATGGAACAACATCATGAGTGTTGGGGTGGTTTTACATATCATCCACAAACACGTGCACGGATTCTTTTTTTTTTTCTCTTTAATTCGTTTCCTGCTATACTTCGAGAATGAAACCCTCTTTTTCTTTCAATTACTCTGTAATACCCCCAGCTTAATCTCCTCTTTTTCCAAAGAATCTAGATATCCTATCTCTCATACTTTCTCCCTCTTCTCATCACATGACACTTTTTGAAGACTCGCAGAGTATATCACTTCCGCGTGCCGCTTTCTTTGTGATCATTTACCTACGGAATGGAAATTTCAAAAGGATCTTCTCTCTGTTTCTTGTTGTCGATTGATGTGGTATAGCAACGTTTGTGTTCTTTCCATTGGTCTAAACTTGCATCTATTTGGCAAGGGCAAGACCGACAATCGATACGTTCCTTACATCTATTGATATTGGTACTTCTAATCTGATCTATGAGGTGCTGGGTTCTTGTGCATCAGAACATCCCTGAACTTTTTTCTTCTTCTGTTTTTTGACTTTTGCTATACCACGGAAATCCATCGTGTGACCTCTAGTTTTTCTTATTTATTGAAAGGTGTGAGACGAGACGATTGAATAGCTATGGAGGCGGGCTTGTACATGTACATGTATCGATTATCACGTCGCGGGCTACGGATGAAGAATCCTCACTCTCCCCCCTTTTCTTCCCTTCCCTATCCCACATGACGTGTAATTGGGAGATCGCAGCAATGAGACCACGCAGAAAAGAAACAGTCATTCCATCTCACCATTCCTCTCGTAAGCCCTCACATGTAAACATCGACAAGACACTCCTCTTCAACTCGACCTTGAACGCATCTGTTTACGCACATGCAAAAGGTCCGTTGGCGATCTAAGAATAACACTATCTGTCTACGAAAATACGCCTGCCCTTGAATACATACATACGTACGTACAGCATGCATATATCGCACGTGTGTCTATGTGCCTGATGTCAAAACGGAATCTCGGTATGCCGGAATTGGATCGCTCATCCTTGCACCTTACTGTCAACTGTTATAACGTATACGTATAGTTCTAAACCAGTATCTGATATTCACAAGGGTCTATGTATATATGTGGGGGAGGAAGGAGAAAAACAGCTATGACGTTGGAGCGAGCGTGTATTTGTGTACACGAGTGGAAGAGGGGAAGGAAACAGATGGTGAAAGCGCTTAAACAGGTGTTGTGAGAATTGTAATCTTAGTAGTCTTTCGTTCACTCTGGATCTCCAGGCGTATGAAAAAAAAAGGTACTAAGAATATATCGGAGAGGGGGTGGGGATGTGTGATTGTTGTCATGTCAGGTTATGTATAGTAGCTGTACCTGCATATCTGATCTGCATCTGATAGACGAGAAAGAGAGGGAGAAGGTCCCGGGCTACTGTAAGACTGGCGTTTAACATAGCGTGTGTGTGTATATGTGTGTGTGACATGGGTCGTCGGGTTTACGTGTGGGGGAAGGGGAGGGGGAGACGTCAAGAACCGGTATCGAGTGGCGCCAACGCCTCTTGCACCCGAGGAATACCAAGAACACGTTCCTACACGAACGGTCTGAGGCAATCGTGGACCTAGAAATAGGACCGTTCAGTTCAGGCCTGTTATCTCCCCTCGGGGAAGAGACAGGGGCATGGGGGTGGGTCGGAGGGAACGGGAAAGGAAACGGTTGGTCCCGACTGTGGGATATTCCAAGGTCGGGGATCATTGCTTTGCTAGCGGTTGGATGTTTTTTTGGGGAAACTGATTTGTATTTACGAATGTGGGTGAGATTGGGTGGGGGACGCTTATTTTGGAAATGCACGAGGAGAGTAAGGGGAGACGAAACTAGAGCTAAGGATGGTGGTTGTGATTTGGAGCAGAACCACTCAGAGAAGAGCAGACGTGGAGAAAGCAGAGATGGCGAGGATAAAAAAAATATGTTTTCGGGGATATAAGGCTGGACTATAGCACAACAGTTGATAAGATACGAGGTCAGGGCGTTTAGGCAAGTGAGATGATTGCTCAAAAGTACGTACATGTCAGGTGGTCATTGGGGACATTACCAAAGGCTGGACTTCTAGGCCCCAGATTCGCAAGAGAAAGGGCAAAAGTGCTGGAGAAAAAAGAAGGAATAGTCGCGTCATTGTCATCAGTCGTGCATATCAAATAATATGCAGGTCGTCGCGTAAGTGATGCAGGTGTGGGAATTCCAGAAGACCTAAAAATAAACAGGTGGAAGATCGGCACTAGCGCGAATCGGGGTCATCCGTAATCCTAAACCTACATCGAACGACAAAACGTCAACCGCTTGTCGTTTGGCTGTTGGCACTGGAGCCGAAAGTCAAATTTCATCTGGAAGTAACGTCTCGCGCGCTCTCGTTGGATGAGAAGCAGAAGGCGGGAGGCCGGCAGCGGGCTTGAGTCGACAAGGAGTCAAGCATTGGCCAGCTGGACAGAGTCGTGAGGGTCAGCCCGCTTCCGGCGTGCGTGCCACGACGCAACCACCTCACCCAGCACTCGAATACCGGTGGCTTCCAAGGCGAGCTGTGGTGTGTGTGATGGAGATTTGAATGATGTAGGCAGGTAGGGTACCATCAAAACAATTGCCAAACGCTTCCACGGACTAGCTCGTGCCTCGGCCAGGGATTCCCCATCTTGATCGAGGTCAACACCGAGCTCTGGACCCTCATCCACTTCTCTCTCCTTCAAGGTAACTGCAATTTCCCGGTCGAGGTGGTGGTGAGGGTGAAGGCCAAAAAAGGATTGACTGGGCTGGCTGTTTACACAAGCACAGCATAACGGTACCGCATCATAGCACAGGCACAACCAGAAAAAGCAAGTACAACATTGAACATGGGTGAAGATCATGTACAGTCAGGTTCACCGGTGCAGCCGAAGGCAGCGCGCCTGGCACGACCGGCAACATGTTTGTCAATCCATCCGTCCGATCTGACCCCGGTCCGGTTCCTCGCATCGCATCGCATCGACGCCAATGTGAGGGTGTCGCCGCGGTGCTGGCAGGTGGTGCCTGGCCAAGACTATACAAAGGAGGTCTGTCTGATGGGACATGGCATGGCAGTGAGCTGAGGTGATGCAGCAACGGCAGACGGGATGCTGCAGGCAGTCGAAGCAAAGGCTGTCATGTGGGCTTTGACACTCGGTGGGTGTGTGGATGCAACAACTCTCATACGTGCCGAACGTGAAGCCTGGGCATCACCATCATGTCGTCCCTCGACGCCGTCTGGCAGACCCTGTCCAGGATGCTTCACGCCATGCGGGTCGCGGCAATGTTCCTTAAAATAACCACATGGAAGCCGGCTAAGCTTGTTTCGCGAGTATTAGCAGCCTTTGGGGCGCGGCTTGGCGGCCAAGCGGGCCAGTAGGACGGGGGCTCCCATGCGCACACTCTGGTAATTAACGGCCATTTGCACGGTCCGCCTGTGTTCTCGTTTTTTCCTAATAATAGAACGTGTCCACCACGCTTTTGATCCTCCAGTCTTGGTTCCTTCACTCGTCGAGAGCCTCATCAGATCCTCACCATCGGACCCCCGCAGCCTCGTCGCGCACCTTCCTGCGACATATAGATATCGTCGCCGCACGCTCCCCGACTGCCTGTTCCGTCGTTGACTGCCTTCTGTCTGTCTCCCGCAGGCACTGCCTGAGACCCTCGACGTGTTCCACCTCCTCTCCTTCCTCGTCGCCGCCTGCCCGCTCCAGCCAGCCAGCTTTCTTTTGTTTGTCCTCGGCTGTCCTCGCTCGCCCCTTCCAGCCACACCAGACCGTCTTCTACCCATCCTCTGGCCTATCTGCCTGCTCTGCTGCTGCTAGACACACCTCTAGCCTATGCGCTTTGACTGCTAATCGCGACCCCCTCTCCACAACGCCCACGCCAGCCACACGACCATCATGGGCCGAAGAAAGATCGAGATCAAAGCCATCAAGGACGACCGGAACCGTTCCGTGTAAGTACCCATCCATTGCGCCCGATCAATACCTTTCATCTGAACGTGCATAGCACCTTTCTCAAGCGCAAAGGCGGTCTGTTCAAGAAGGCGCACGAACTCTCCGTCCTTTGTTCCGTCGATGTTGCAGTCATCATCTTTGGCCACAACAAGAAACTCTACGAGTTCTCCTCGGGCGATATCAACGAGACCATCGGCCGCTACCAATATGTAAACATCCCCAACTCCTGCCCACAGCCCAGGCATTGTTCAATGAGGCTAACTGCGACGACTTAGTATGGCGGCGCGCACGAGCACAAGGGCCCCGAAGACTTCATGGGCAAGAAGGACATGGACGACGATGACGATGAGGATGCCGGTGACCTGATGGGATCTCCTCCGCGTGATTCTCACACCCCTCCAGAGCATGCCATGATGGGACATCACATCCACAACAACCCTTCTTTCCAACACATTCGACACGCTCCATCCGCTTCGCCCCCTATGCACAATGGTCTGCCATTCCACGCCCGCCATGCTTCCCCTCAACCCGGCTCCATGTCACGGCCGGATTCGCGCGCCCAGGTGCGACGGTCTAGCTCCAACCTCATGCCGCCGCAACATCACTCCCAAGCACCTCCCGCCCAAAACAACTATGCCTACATGCCCAACCCGCCCTTCTTCAATCCACATGTTCCCCAAAATATGGGCCCCAAACCCCAAGCAACACCTCCTGCACCTCACTATACATACCCTCCACCCGCCCACCCCCAAGTCCACTACATGCAACAGCCGGATCAACGAAGACAGTCGGTACCCCCAACCTACCAGCAACAGCAACAGCAGCAGCAGCAGCACCAACAACAACATCAACATCAACAGCAGCAGCAGCAACAGTCACAACCGCAGCAACAGCAGCCACCTCAGCAACAGCAACATCAACATCAACAGCAACATCAGCAGCAAGAACGCTCCCAGTCACAGTCCCATGCTCCTCCTCCTCCTCTTCCCCAATTGAATGTTCCATCTCCTCCAGAACAAAACACTTTCCAAAGCCCACCGCTGCCACAACCCAAAGCTCTGCCTGCTGCTGCTAAGCATAGTATCTTCACACCCATCGACGACAGCCGATCTATGCTCGCATGGGGTCCAGAGCCTCCTAGAAGTGAAGTCAAGCTTGAACCTGGCCTGCGGTCTCAATCGATTGATGTGGCTGCTATTCCCCGGACCCAAGCCGGCGAAAACTCACCTCCCCAACCACCTCCCTCCAACGTGGCCCCTCAACCACCGCAACGAACGCAATCTACTTCATCCGTTCCTGCCAGTTCGCTTCCTTCCCGCACCAATAGTATAGCCAATCCTAGGCCCAGGCTCAAGGTGCAAATTCCCAGTGAACATTCGGATGGCGGAAGTCAAACCGCAGACTCTTCGCCCAAAGATTCGAGTACTACGGGAGCAACACCAGCAAGGACCAGCACCGAAGCATCGCACTCCTCAACAGGCGTCGTTCTTCCTCCACCCTCACCCAGCGCGAACTCGTTATTGAGTGCTGGTGCGACTGGACCACCCAATCCCTTCGCTCGGCCTGCGCCTCCTACCAACAACGGGTCATATGGTAGCCGCGGTGAGATGGATACGCCCATGTCAGCGCTGCCTAGCCGATTTGTTGAAAACAACCTCCTCCCTTCACCCTCCAGCTTTTACCCCGAGTGGGGTTTTGGCAGGGAATCCAACATGCTGCCGAGTCCACTGACATTCCAAACTCCGGTGGCCCCAAACGGCCCTAGCTTCAGTCGCGATGAGCCTGCCGACCGGAAGCGAAAAACCTCTGACGAGGGTTCGGATGCAGGCAGTCAAAAGCGGCTGAAGGCTTGAGCCAACATCTCCTGACATTGGGAGGTGAGAGAATGTCCTAGCCTTCTTCACCGAGCGGAAGATGAACAAGGTCCTGTCCTTGTTGAAAAATACTAAATTCTACAAACTGTACTTTTACCGAGGGAAATTATTTGTTTTCATTCAATTGTTGTCAGCTCATGCTGGGATGCAAAGGCAAGCGGGCCGATTATTCGGTACGTTGGCTAGCAAGCCCTTGCGTCTCTAACGGGCCTTATGAATCTGGCGTTTGCGGATACCCATGTGCATCTGTTTGGCCTTGGAAGTTTCTTTTTCTAACGGGGAACTGTGGATTGTCTGAAGAGAGAAAAAAAAGTCCTAAGTTTTCGCCGAACATTACCTTCGCTTCGTCTGATGCATGAACCATTTTCAGTATCGATAGTTTACCACTTCTTCTTGTTTTTTTCTCTTTTCTTGGGCATCTATATCTTTAGTGTTTGTGTTTGGGCGGTCGACTCGTACTTTGGCATGATATCAAGGCAATAGGGTGATGAGGAATCCATCAGGCGGAGCTTTTCGCTGTAGATATGTATTAGCAATACAGTTCTTTATCCCACATATCGACTGTTGCATGACACGAACGCAAGACAAGAAAAACCGGAGAAGGTGGTGGCTTTGGCACGATGATTCCGACCGATCCGATCAGAGTGGCTGCTGGTGCCTTTGGTCCCCACGAGGTCAAGGCTCAAGTCAACAAAAGCGCGTCATAGGGCCAAGGTGCCCCGCTAAGGAGTCAGTCAGGGCCGTCGGCCTATCATCAGCCGCACGGTTGTGCGAACTCTCACATTGGGCACTTGATTCCGTTGTTCCAATGACTTGTTAAACTATATCTGCCAGTCTGTCTTGTGTGCCCTCTCTGTCCTCATTCACTCCCTCCCCTCTCCTGCTGCCATTTCACAAACACCTCTCCCCTTCTCTCGCGCGCGCCATCTTCCCACCCCTCCACCCCTCCACTCACATCGTCCTGCCATGGCATACAACACGGGATTCAACCCAGATAGGCTTCCTGCACACGCAGAGCCTGAGCAGGTACCTCTCTCTACAGCTGTTGCTGCCCATGGACAACATTGCATACTCACCTCTCTCTCTTTAGGCCGCCGGCCGTCCGCATCGGAACTCGAACGCGCGCCCCGATTACAACAAGCCGCCCCCATCAGCACCGTCGCGACAGGAACTGCGCCCCAATGACCGCTATGCCGGCGGTCCAGCTACCTATGAGAGCCGCCCTCCACCCGGCGCATACCAAGAGAGCCGTTACGAAAACCGCGCAAACGCAGCAAGTCCTCGATACGACCAGGTCCGCCATGACTCCAGGCTCGATGGCTATGGGAGTCCGCCTCCCCAGACCAACTATGGACAGGGCCCGCCTCTTCATCACAACCGCCCACCCGTACAACGACCACCTCCTACACCTGCCCCACCGAGAGACGGTAACGATAGGGATGCCCTATGGAGGTTGTTCGGCGCTGTAGACAAAGACAGGAGCGGGAACTTGACCGAGGCTGAATTGAGAACCGCGCTCGTAAACGGCGATTGGACTCCTTTTGATTCTCATACCGTCCGTATGATGATTAGGTGCGCTCAAAAGACCCCGAATGCGACATTAGGCTGCCTGATAGAGGTAGTGTAGTACAAGAAGCTGACTGTGCGGAACACAGAATGTTTGATACCGATCGCTCAGGCTCCATCAATTTCGAGGAATTTTGGTGAGTTCCCTCACATCTACCCCCGCTCTTCCCTCGAGTCTCGCAAGGCTCTCTTTGCTAACTTGGTTTGGAAGTGGTCTTTGGGGCTTCCTTTCCGCGTGGCGCGGCCTCTTCGATCGCTTCGATGCCGATCGCTCGGGTAGCATATCCTACAACGAATTCAGTGAAGCGCTGGTGGCCTTTGGATACCGCCTTTCTCCCAATTTCGTGCGGCTCCTGTATAGCACGTACGACCGCCGCGGCGACAACAACATGAGCTTCGATTTGTTTGTGCAGGCGTGTATTAGCCTGAAGCGCATGACGGATGTGTTCAAGAAGTACGACGATGACCGGGACGGATATATCACATTGAGCTTGTAAGTCCTCTTTTCGTTTTCGCTCTCTGTTACTAGGAATGGCCTACTACACATCCTCCGATTCTACACTGTCCTTTTCCTGTATCTGATACCAGAGGCTAACCAAATCTGCTACAGCGAGGAATTCCTCACAGGTGCGCAAAGTCTTTTCCTCTTCAATTCCATATCGGAAGTAACCGACATTGGTCTCTATTAGCTATCATCCGCCAGCGCTGAGCAACGATAACTATCCAAAACCCCACATCATGGGTTCAATCACAATGGAATACCGAAACTATGGCAACCTCAAGAACCTGGTCCACCCTAGCAGCACCTCCAGTTTCAGTGAAAAGGGGAGTTGGTTCCACGAGAGGATAGAGAGATCTATTCGATGACCCCCCGAATCCGGAAACTGGATCACATCATTTGCCATTGTCTGCAATGACTATTGGGGAAAGAAACACGCTAAGAGATATCTGATATGCATTTACGACCTTTTGACGATTCCAATTTAGTGTGCGTGTCTGTATGGGAGGAGGAAGTATTGAACTGGAAAAGATGTGGGGGGGGGCCAAGTCGAACGAGTAACATGCAGCACATTCTCAGAGGACAGAGAAGACATTTTTGCCCCCCAACCCTTTCCCAATATTTCTTTCTTGGTTTTCCGGTTTCCTTCTATCCAAGCACCTTTACCCCGCTCTATATCAGTGTAGATACCCGAAATTATGACATACCTTTTTTTTTTCTCCATCTATCCACCTTTCTTCCGTCCAGTCTGCGACTTGATTCTTCATCTCATTATTGTTCTTCTTCTCATCTTCTAAATATGTGGCTTATCTGTGGATTTTCTGACTGATGATGCGACTTCCAACAGAGATTGAGCTCTCGTTCCCAGTTAATGACCATCTCGTCTACTTCGTCGTAGTAATCAATGAACGATCAAGTCGATGATAACAGCAAATTGAAACCCACTCAAAAATGTATCGCTGCAAACATGTACGTTTACAAAAATATAGAGATTAACTCTGCCTGTCGTGATGGTTAGCGGAGAGGGAAAAGGCCATGCTTGCGATGTGATATACATGTAGGTACTAGAGACTGGATTCTGAGACTATTCGCTTCCATCGTATGCCATGGCCACTGGTTGGATATATGTGAATTGGGAATGTGAAACACAACAAAGTGTGGCTGACATCAATTGACCTGGACATGCCACGCAGGCAGCCTGATTGCACGTGGCCTAGTTTTTTTGGTTTTCAGATGTTTCGCATGCATGCATACATAAATGTGCTGCAGATGACAGCCACGAAAGAGAAACAGGAGATGGACAGCAATGATCGTCCGAACAAGAAAGATAGAACAAAAAAGAAATGAGCATTTGTGTATATATAGACAATCTTTTTTTTTCCCTTCTTCTCCCGCAACCTACCAACACTTGTGATGGGAACACGGAAGAAAACAAAAAAGAAGCACAATCTTCGAAATCCAACGATATACATAAATTACAAAGATCGATTCGCAACGCTTCCACCACTTGCTAAGTTCACTCTCCAGTGCCATCAACTTGTTCCAGCAGCCGTGACTTTTCTTCTTCTTGGTCTTCTGCCACACCCTTCATCACATCACCTTGCTATGCACCCATCATCAACCATACCGTGTTTAATACGTTCGCTTGAAAGGAGGCACGGCCTTGCACTCATTCTCATCAAGCGTGTTGGCCACGACACCTCGGTATCCCAACTCGACCTTGCCATGTGGGTTCTTTTGCCATGAGAGCGTGTGCTTCATCCAGTTCTCGTCGTCACGCTCGGGGTAGTCCTCACGTGCGTGAGCACCTCTCGATTCCTTACGGTTCACGGCAGATTCGGCGGTTTGGACGGCGCATGTGAGCAGGTTGCGGAGCTCAAGGGTCTCGACAAGATCAGAGTTCCAGATCATGCTGCGATCCTTGATGCCAACGTCCGCGAACGTGGAGTCGACCTCGTGGATCTTGCGTACGCCCTCCTCAAGGGATTCCTGGGTTCGGAACACAGACACGTCGGTCTGCATGACTTTCTGCATGTTGTTGCGGATCTCGGCTGTCGATTTGGATCCACTCGATGTCCGGACCTTGTCGATGACTTCGAGAGCATCGGCACCGGCATCGGCTTGGATGGGGTCGGCCTTCTGTCCGGGCTTGAAGTTGTCACGGATCGTGTGGGAAACAGCACGACCGAAAACGATGAGGTCCAGAAGAGAGTTGGCTCCCAGACGGTTAGCGCCGTGCACGGAAACGCAGGCAGCTTCACCGCAAGCAAAGAGACCCGGAACAACCTGATCCTTGCCCTGCTCATCAACAGTGAGAACTTCGCCAGTGTACTTGGTAGGGATACCACCCATGTTGTAGTGGACGGTAGGCAGAACGGGAATGGGCTGCTTGGTAACGTCCACACCAGAGAAAATGGCTGCAGTCTCCGAGATACCAGGCAGGCGCTCGTGAAGGATCTCGGCAGGCAAGTGGCTTAGTTGAAGGTAAATGTGGTCCTTCTCAGGACCGACACCACGACCTTCACGGATCTCGAGAGTCATAGAACGGGAGACAACATCGCGAGAGGCAAGATCCTTGGCAGTCGGGGCGTATCGCTCCATGAACCGTTCACCCTCGGAGTTGAGGAGATAACCACCCTCACCACGCGAACCCTCGGTGATCAAGCAGCCAGCGCCATATATACCTGTTGGGTGGAACTGCACGAATTCCAGATCTTGGTTAGGGAGGCCGGCACGAGCAACCATAGCCATACCATCACCGGTGCAAGTGTGAGCTGAAGTGCAACTGAAGTAGGCACGTCCGTAACCACCAGTGGCCAAGACGGTGTTCTTTGCAATGAACCTGTGAATGGTACCGTCTTCCTGGTTGTACGCAATTACACCCTTGCACTGACCATCCTCCATGATCAAGTCCGTGGCGAAAAATTCAATGAAGTACTTGGTGTTGTGGCGAAGCGACTGTCCGTAAAGGGTGTGAAGAAGAGCGTGACCAGTTCGATCGGCGGCAGCACAGCATCGGTAGGCTTGTCCACCTTTTCCATACTTTTGCGATTGACCACCAAAAGCACGCTGGTAGCTGCAAACAAGTCAGTATTTCCGAATTTCTAGACCATGTTGAAGAGACGTACATGCGACCATCGTCGGTTCGTGAGAAAGGGCAGCCATAGTTTTCGAGTTCAATGACGGATTGCGGAGCCTCGCGGGTCATGTAGTGGATGGCGTCTTGGTCACCCAGCCAGTCGGATCCCTTCACGGTATCATACATGTGCCATCGCCAGTCATCCTCGTGCATGCTAGAAGCGGGTGAGTATTTTTTTATTATGTCAAATGAGCTGTAGATTTGAGAACATACTTTCCCAAGGCTGCATTAATTCCTCCCTGGGCAGCGACAGTGTGCGATCGAGTGGGGAAGAGCTTCGAGATACAGGCAGTGTTGAAACCGGCTTCGGCAAGACCGAAGGCTGCCCGCAGACCTGCTCCACCGGCTCCGACTACAACAGCATCGTATTCGTGATCTATGACAGGGTATTTTTTCGAGATGAATCCGGATGCCTCTTTTGCTCTGAGATGGTCGGTCGCGAAGATGCGGGCCGCGGGCTTTGTGGAGGAGAAAGCTCTTGAGGGAGAGCGAACGCTTTTCGAAAGCTAGAAAGAAAGATGTAAGCCATTGAACGTCTTACTGGAAGCACGCGCATGTTTCTAAGCGGGAGCAATATGACCAATAAGTGATTGTGGCATCCGCAATGCTTGGAGGTTGCGGTGGCACATGTTCCTCACGGAGTATTCCGGGTCTGGCTGTTGCGCACGCGATAGGTAAAGACGGTGCAAGAATACGTACCTGGCTCGCAAACTGCAGACGACGCATCTTGAGGCAGCTCATGACGGTGACTGGGAGGAGTGGAGAGGGGGTTGTGGAGGGTTGGTTAGATGAATTCGACAGCTTCGATGATGCCGTGAGGTATTGACATTGCCACGACGTTGATTGGCCACTAGTCTCGAGCCAACCTCGGTCAAAGCAGGAACGAATCCGATCACCCATTGAGCAGCTTCCGGGTTTTCTTCTTCCACGACAATCAACTCTCCACATGATCTGGACTCTGCTCGTGCATTATCGCCCGTTCAACGTTTGCTAGTTGGCTTCTTTGGCTGCTGGAAAAGCTATAGGTCACTGCATGCTGTATCTTGACACCCAAGTTATATTGTATATCAAAATGAAGAATTTGCGTCTTGTCTTGTATACAGCACAAGCAGGCTTCAATTTCTATCATATGCTTGATGAACCCTCGTACATTGGGTTGGAGTGGTTTCGTCATAGACGAGATTCAATGGCTATTTGTAGGTCTGTGGCAACATGTCAAAAGCCGTTGTTCGGGTGCACGCCTGTGGGATATTTTCAAAGCGTGCGTGCATGTGATATTCATTCCGCTTCTGTTTGCGGCGACACCTTGCATGAACATGCCCATTTCAGCAACCATGATCGCGCAAGAGTTTCGACTTTGAGGCACATGGGGATTTGTTATTTACAAAGTGAGAAAAGCAGTCTGGTCAAACAGTGCGGAATGATACCAGAAGTTCTGTTGACCCCGGTAGTGCGCGAGAGGAAATATCCTTGTTGGATTCTTTAGCGATCGGCATCTCAGAATCGCCCTGCAGGAATCGCACAAATCGAGCCAGATTAGTTGGTAAACGGTAGACATCTAGGGGCAACGGTAATGAGTAAGATTCTTCAAAGTCACTGCATGCATGCACCCAGGAAATTATTGGTGAAGTGGGAATCATTTATTTTATGCCGTGTTGCTCATCAAGCCCCAGCAAGTCGTGATACCATTCGCCTGAAAACCTCGAAAGAAAGATGCAATCGCCAAACCCAGTCCTTTATGAGGACGCAAGGTCCTTCTTGAGCGTACCGATGTATTGCTTCTTCTCCGCCGGTGTCTGGTAAGCACCGTGACCGAACTTGGAAGACGTATCGATCCATTTGAGCTCCACCTTCTCCAAAGCCCTACGGCTAGTGTGCACGAACATAGACTTGCGCAGAGTGACGACCCTCTTCTTGACACCGGGAATGGCACCCTTGATGAGGAGGAAGTCGTTCTTGACCTCACCGTAGCGGACGAAGCCACCAAGACTAAACAATGTAAGCATATCGAATGGATGCACTGGCGAAGGAATACTGACGGAGTGATCTGCTTCTTGGAGACATCGAACTCGGTGGAGGCGTTGCCCTCGTCGGTGCCCTTGCCAACACGGTAGATCTTGTGGTTGACGGAGGTACGGTGGTGGTATCCGTCTTGACCAGCACGGGCAACAGTCCACTGGACGTGGGACGGATGCCAGGCACCGATACAGGCGACCTTGCGGAGACCCTTGTGCGTCTTACGGGGAAGCTTCTTGGTGCCCCAACGGGAAGTGACACCGTTGAAACCCTTACCCTTGGTAACAGCGATAACATCGATCATCTCGTTGTCCTCGAAGATGGAGCTGACCTCGATGGGCTTCTCGAACAGGCCCTGGGCGAAAGTGACCTTGTCGGCAATGCTGCCACCGTTGACTTGGATCTCCATAAGGTGGGCTTTCTTTTGCTTGAGAGGAGTCTGGGAGATCTGGGTGTGGGCGAGCACGCGGACGACCTGGGCGTACTTCTTGATGCGCTCGAGCTCCTTGGTGATGGAAGAGCCGTTGTCCTCGGAGTGCTTCTTGGCGTACTTGGTGAAAGCCTTCTTCTTGCTCTTGTACCAGCTCTTGTAGAAGCGACGCTTGACCTCGTCGCTCAAGTGCTCGGCCCAAACGGTGGTGAGGGAGCGGAGACCACGGGGGGTCTCGATGTAGCCAACAACACCGACAGCGATCATCTGATATCGAGTTAGTCTGTGAAATCCCAATTTTCCCTTTTCGTGTGCGAAAATTCGCGGTTCGTGATGCGTACCGGAGGAGTCTCCACGACGGTGACGGCCTCGACAATCTCCTTCTTGTGCAATTTGGCACCGGGACGGTCCAAGTCGCGGACAATGGTGGACATGCCGGCCTTGTAGCCCATGGAGGCCGTCAAGTGAACGGGCTTCTTGGGGTCATCCTTGGGGAAGCTGGCAGATTGTCAGATGGACGTCTCTTTTCTTCTGAAGCTGGCCAACTCTAGCAGCCACCAGCAGCGGCGTCGCGACATACCTCTTGACTTTACCCCTGTGCCTGGCGGCGCGCTTGCGAGGCAAGAATGCCAATGACCCGTGACGGGGGGCTTCGAACTTCCTGTGGGACATGGCGGAGGTTCGATGTGCTGTTGGTTAGTGTCGAAGTTTCGCAGTAAAAAGAGCAGAGGAAGGGAATCAATGGATGATTTTGGTGGTGTGTGCGGTCTAGCCGGCTATCGCCTAGCGCGCGCCAAGAGAAAACCCCACCCATGAGAGCAGTGGAAGGCGGTACCCAAACGCCCACGATACCTTGCGTGCGCTTTGTCTTCTGTAGTAATCACCGTACCTGCTGCCGCCGCCGCAGCTGATTCTCCCGACCTCAGATCAAGCAAGCCGACTTGCATCCACTCCGTAGCCTGCCTCCACTCGCCTTCACTGTGCCCGCCCGCCCGCACGCTCCACCACCGCTGCCACCGCTGCCACCGCCATCCACCATCGTCATACTGTACCGCCGCCGTCCACCTCACCGTCCACTGCTCACCGTCCCCCCGTTCCAGCCCATCATCCCGCCTCACCGTCGGCGGCGCTCTTCCGCAGTCCAAACTTCCATCCCGCCTCTATTGCCTGCTTGCTGCTGCTTCGCTCGTTTGCTTGCTGCACACCCAGACTCGCTCTCCAGTGACACTGCCGACTCGCAAGACGTTTTCGTCGGATCCACATTCATCCCACATCCCACAATCCCGCCGCCGGAATCATGGTAGAAGCAGAGGGCAACCCCACGACGTGGAAATTCACCCAGTACGTTCCTCACCTGCTCCTTGCTTGCCACGTGCCTGTGTTTTGAGCCATTCTCATACCACAATACTTTGCACTCTGCGTGCCGCCGAGCCAGATGTCGTCAGATCAGCTAATTCCCCGCCCAGATGTTTCGGAGACAAAGGCGATGTCGAAGATATAACAGAAGGTACGAATACCATCGATTCTTGTCCGTGAAGAAATTATCTTATACTCCACCCATGATGTAATTGCTGCTGACATCAATGGTACAGCCGACATCATATCCACTGTTGAGTTTGATCAAACGGGTAATTATCTAGCCACTGGCGACAAGGGTGGTCGTGTGGTTCTTTTTGAGAGGAACGAAACTGTGCGTATCAGCAGAACGTACATGTTGCTGCAACACTGCTAACTTCTATATAGAAAAAGACATGCGAATACAAGTTTCACACAGAGTTTCAGTCACACGAGCCTGAATTCGATTACTTGAAGTCCCTCGAGATCGAAGAAAAGATCAACAAGATCAAGTGGTGCCGAAGACAGAATGCCTCACACTATCTGCTCTCGACGAATGACAAGACGATAAAGTTATGGAAGGTGTTCGAGAAGTCGTTGAAGGTTGTGGCAGAGAACAATCTTTCACATGAGTTGACGCCTGGGGGTGGTGTAGCTGGTGCAGGCGGGCCTGTGAGGAACCCTAACGCACATTTCCGTACCGCCTCCGACCTGAAACTACCACGCCTGACACACCACGACACAGTCGTTGCCGCTGTACCTCGAAAGACTTACGCGAATGCACATGCATACCACATCAATAGCATATCGGTCAACAGTGATGGGGAGACCTTCATCAGTAGTGATGATCTACGAATCAATCTCTGGAACCTAAACATCCAAGACCAAAGTTTCAACATTGTCGACATCAAACCAGCAAACATGGAGGAACTCACTGAAGTCATCACTGCAGCCGAATTTCACCCCCAGAGCTGCAACTGGTTCATGTATGCGAGCTCAAAAGGCACCATCAAACTAGCAGATATGCGAGAAAGTGCATTGTGCGATCAGCATGCCAAACGTAAGTGATTGTGATCCATCACCTCCAGACCATGCTGACTAATTGTCTACACAGAATTTGAACAAGAGGAAGACCCCTCATCCCGCTCATTCTTCTCCGAGATCATCTCCTCCATATCAGACGTTCGGTTTTCACACGATGGACGTTACATCCTTTCACGCGACTATCTGACAGTGAAAATTTGGGATGTCAACATGGAACGGACGCCGATCAAGACCATCCCAATACACGAGCATTTGCGACCTCGACTATGCGACACCTATGAGAACGACAGCATATTTGATAAATTCGAGGTGGTCTTCTCCGGCGACGCTAAGAACGTCATGACTGGAAGTTACAACAATAACTTCATGATTTACCCATCTGACCCAGAAAAAGACACGGAAGTCGTCTTGCAAGCGGACAAATCGGCTTTCAAAGCGAAGAAGGTCGGCATTCCTACGCCGATGAACTCGTCGACGAGTCCAACCAGCGCCTCGGGCAAAAAAGGGGGGTCAAGAGCTAGCAGCCCCGCCGCCAGCGCTGTAGGACAAGGCCAGCGTATGAGGAAGGAAACAGATGCCGATCAGATCGATTTCAACAAGAAGATCTTGCACATGAGCTGGCATCCATTCGAGGACAGCATTGCGATTGCTGCCACCAACAACGTAAGTTCCAGCCCGACCTAGTGAGATGACTTACCCACTGACACCAACCTAGCTCTTCGTTTTCTCTGCCTTGTAGAAGCCGTTGCGTGACAAAGCGAGACTTTAATTGCGAGCAAATGCACACTAGAAGCGGATAGGCCCCATTCTGTCAGTTTGACCTCCCTCATTCTTCCGGGTCCTTTCGATCTCTTTACTGGTCCGGTGACGTTGGCGCTGGAGGGATAGATAGAATCTCGGATAGGCATGGTGGGGAGTGCGCAAAGATTGTCTGGTAGCCTGTATAGTGCATGCATCGCGAGCGAAGTGGTTGCAATGCAGCTATGTATATCCCACACAGCGATATCATCTGCAATAATGAAACTTCAATTTAATAATTTTCATGTCATCGATATGCAGCTGTCCGTCCGTTGGACGATCTACGTTCAATTTTAGGAGAAGAGGGCCGGGGTCTTGCAGGGTTTCAGATGCCGGGAGACTGTCAGCCTTATTAGGTATGAGCGCAGAGCCGCTGACTAGCGTCACCCATTTTCCCCTCGAACCTCCACCTGTCTCTCCGAATTGAGTCCCACTCTCTCTCTTTCTCCGCCATGAACTATTTCAGACCCCTAGAATAGTAGATTGAGCTTATTCGTTATACGTTGAATGTGAGTAGGTGCCAACAATATTTGAGACAAGCGGCGTGAACACTATCCTCCTCTTCGATTTGTGCTCTCTTCATCTCAAAATTCGTAACATTCAAAGAAGAGTTGGGCTGTACTGAGCACGACGACTAGATTCTTGTTTGTTTTTATTGCATCGAAAGCATTGCATTGCATCTTCGAAATATCGCATCAGTTAAAGGATCCCTTTGCATACACTCGACCTGCGTCCGTCATGGCAGCCCTCGCGCCACTCGCGGGAAGCTTCGCCCTCATCTTTGGAGGATGTTGCTCCAATGTACGTATTCTTACAGCTTGCCCTATGTTCCAATTGCTGATTTTTACCAGGTTTACTGTTTGGAAGCTATCGTCAAGTAGGTTCCACGTCTTTAAGATGGACAGACCATTATACCGAATGATCTGACATATAAAAAGACATGAGCCAGACAGTGGTCTTCTTATAACACTGTTCCAGTTCATCTTCACTTGTCTTTCGACTCTCCACTATCAGTTTGACCCAAGGAGTCGTTACTTCATCAAATCGTCGCCCGTTCCATTTCGCAAATGGTGTGTCAGTGCTGTCCTGTTTTTCACGGTGAATATGCTGAACAACTGGGCATTTGCCTTCAACATCTCCGTCCCTGTACACATCATTCTACGCAGCTTTGGCAGTGTGACTACGATGGTTGCTGGATGGCTCCGAGGGAAGAAGTACTCCCCACTGCAGATATTCTCTGTGGCTATTCTAACGCTGGGTGTGATGGTCTCGGCTTGGGCTGATGCAGCATCAAAAGTACGATACTAGCCTTGCCCGGGAAATACTTTTCACTGACATTTCCAGGGAAAATCTATGGATACATCAAGCATTGATCTAACCAGCGCTTCACTTGAAAAGGGGCTCCTGATCCTACTGGTTGCACAACTTCTTTCGGCTTGGATGGGTGCCTACGTCGAAGATGTGTACATAGAGCATGGTAATGACTGGAAAGCGAACCTCTTCTACTCCCACCTGCTCTCTATACCGCTCTTTGCCAGCTTTACTCCGATCATTTACAGACAATTTGAGCGCCTCCAATCGTCCCAGCCATTCCAAGTCTCGCCAGCAATCGCGGCCAACATCCCCCCAAGTTTCAACAAAGCGCTTGCATCAACATCTCAACATGTGGTCTATCTCACAGCCAACGCCGTCACTCAACTGCTTTGCATCACTGGAGTCAACATTCTTAGTGCCAACACGTCCGCTGTTACTGTCACCGTTGTACTTAACATCCGGAAGCTGGTTAGTTTCCTGCTCAGTATTTGGCTGTTTGACAACCAAATGGGCCCGATGATGATGGTTGGAGCTGCGATGGTGTTCGGCGCAGGTGCGCTATACGGATGGGAGACCTCGTACCGTATTCCCCAAAAGAAAAAGGCAGCTTCACAGACGACTAAGAAGAGTCAATGAGAACTACATCTTGGGATGAACATACTGAGTCGCGAATTACGAAAAAAAAAAGACTCGACTGTCTCTATTTAGTAAGGAGTGGCCGGCTGGCGGTTGTGGAAATGTTGGGGGATGGGGGCTGCGATTGACCCCACTAACCACATGGGGATGACATACGCTTGGCGCGTGTGCAAGGGGGAGGGCTGTAAGGCCGAAGATTATGTGTCTCTTAGACAGCCAATTCTATCACCGACAACTGTTACTCCCTTTCTCACATTCTCTACCATCTTTGCGTGAGGTTTTGCTTGGGTGAGTTCCCTCGTAGATGGACACATCTCTCTGATGACCCTATCGTATATATTAATTGCGATACAGGAACCTCATATCGTTGAAACCCACGATGTCCTCCTCTCCGGCCGGCGTGCGGCAGCGCGGTCCCAAAGATAAAAAGCGACCGACTACACCAAATACTGAAGCAATTCAGGAGAAGGTCTACGATACCGCTGAAAAAGTCAAGAGAGAGTTCAAAGCTCAACAAGGCGGAGAATGGGACTATAAGCTGGCCATCACAATCATTACCATTCTTGCGTTCGTCACACGATTTTATGGCATCACCTACCCCTCAGAGGTTGTCTTTGATGAAGTACATTTCGGCAAGGTACGCTGTGTCAATTGCTCTTGTGCGGAAAAGAAAGCGAAACTGACAAGCCACCTAGTTCGCATCGTATTACCTCCAACGACTCTACTTCTTCGATGTCCACCCTCCTTTCGGAAAGCTTCTATTCGCGTTCGCAGGCTGGCTTGTTGGATACAAGGGTGACTTCTTGTTTGAGAACATCGGAGATTCATACATCACAAACAAGGTGCCCTATGTGGCCTACCGCGCGATGCCCGCTACCATGGGTGCGCTCACTGTTCCCACTGTCTTCATGATCATGTGGGAATCGGGCTATTCCTTGCCTGCCTGTGTGACTGCTGCTGGGCTTCTTCTCTTCGACAACGCTCATATCGGTCAAACCCGGTTGATCCTCCTCGATGCTACCTTGATCTTCTTCATGGCACTGTCGGTTCTGGCCTATATTCGCTTCTACAAGCTCCGTCATGAGCCATTTGGCCGCAAATGGTGGAAGTGGCTGCTTTTGACTGGTGTCTGCCTGAGTTGTGTGATCTCCACCAAATACATAGGAGCATTCACTTTCTTCTCCATTGGTGTACCGGTCTTGATTGATCTGTGGGATCTCATGGACATCAACCGCCGTCAAGGGGCTTTGAGCCTTCCTGAATTCGGCAAACATTTTGCCGCTCGCGCTGTTGGGCTCGTCGTCGTCCCCTTCTTCCTCTACCTCTTCTGGTTCCAGGTTCACTTTTCAATCCTCACCCGTTCCGGCCCTGGAGATGATTTCATGACACCAGAATTCCAGGAGACCCTGAGCGACAATGTCATGACGCTCCAATCTGTTGGCATCAACTATTTCGATACCATCACTCTTCGACACAAAGAGACCAAAGTGTACCTTCACAGCCATCCGGATCGCTACCCATTGCGATATGACGATGGTCGTATTTCCTCTCAGGGACAGCAGGTCACCGGGTATCCTCACAACGATACGAACAATCACTGGCAAGTTCTACCTGGCTCGCCACTTGACGATGCGGACAGTCAGCGTGTGCAGATTGGAGATACCATACGCCTACGCCATCTAGTGACTGACACTATCCTCCTGACGCATGATGTTGCCTCGCCCTATCATCCTACTAACCAAGAATTCACTACAGTTGGACAGGAAGACGCAAGCGGTGATCGTTTCAACGATACCTTGTTCGAGCTCAAAGTCGATGGCAAGACCAGCGGAGACTTCAAGACGATGTCCACTCACTTCAAACTTGTTCATGTCCCCACAAAGGTCGCCATGTGGACTCACACAACTCCTCTGCCTGATTGGGCTTACAAACAAGCCGAAATTAATGGCAACAAGAACGTCCAGCAAAGCAGTAACACTTGGCTGGTAGATGATATCCCATCTCTCCCAGCTGAGGATGAGCGTAACAAGAAAGAGGTCAGACAGGTCAAACATCTGTCTTTCCTACGCAAATACATCGAATTGCAGCGGGCCATGTTCTATCACAACAATGCTCTTACAAGCTCGCACCCGTACTCTTCTTTCCCCGCTTCGTGGCCGTTCCTTCTGCGTGGCGTGTCATTCTGGACTCAGAATGATACCCGCGAACAGATTTACTTCTTGGGTAACCCCATCGGCTGGTGGTTGGCCTCGTCCCTCCTCGCCGTCTTTGCCGGTGTCATTGGAGCGGATCAACTGGCTCTGCGTCGTGGAGCAGATGCTCTCGATCAACGTAAGCTCTTCTACTCTCCAAATACTGTAATGTGCGTGCTAACATAATTTTTCCAGGCACCCGGTCGCGCCTATATAACTCAACAGGATTCTTCTTCCTCACCTGGGTGGCTCACTACGTTCCCTTCTATATCATGGGTCGCCAACTGTTCCTGCACCACTATCTCCCCGCCCATCTCGCATCCGTCCTCGTCACAGGTGCCCTCGTCGAATTCATCTTCAACATCGAGCCCGCTGACCCCGACGCGCCGTCTGTTAGCAATCCAGCACCAAAGGGCCATCGCCGCACGCTCTCTAAACCCGTCCGCGAACGCATCGCGACGCAGAGCATGCTAGGCAGCTGGATCGCCACCGGAGTCATCCTCGCCGTCGTCTTCTGGTGCTTCTTGTTCTTTGCGCCTTTGACCTATGGCAAACCTGGTTTGACGGTGGACCAAGTGCAGGCCCGGAAATGGCTGGCATATGACCTGCATTTTGCGAAATAGATAAACATGGCCGGGGGTGTCAAGGATACCAAAGCGTGGGGCTTCGAGTCTTGGTATCCCTGGGATGCGATTTAGAGCGGTTGATCGGCTGCGGTTCTTCTTCGTTTCAGTGCGGTTCAATACTTTCGATAAGTAGGTTGATATCAGGCCATCACATACGAGGGGAACTCTCGAGATTGGCTCTTTTGGCTGCGATTGGTTGATTTCAGTGTTTTGGAACGCGGAAAAACGGGCATGGAGCTTCATGGGGGAAGGAACAAATTTTTCATTTACCTCTACTTACTTACCTACTGGTCACTCCTCTCTTCCTTTGTAGTTCAGCGTGAAAAGAATTCAAAATACCATCTGAAAATACTCTCTTGTCTTGATTTTGTTGCTCGCTATTCCAGTTGGCCACACAGGTTGCATTCAAAGAGATTGGAACATTTGAAGCCCCCTCTAGGGTCAATTCGGAGACATTATCTTTCCCTTGTGAATAAGTAAATCCAGTAGCTTGATTCAGTTCATATAACTTGTGTATAGAATTCATGACCCCAAGGAGGAGGCAAGCAGTGTTCCCTGCGCCGGAGTAGGTGGACGAAGATTGAATAGCGCAAAATTATGAACTTCAATGATGTAAATTGGGGAGAAGAAAAAAAGGCCGCGCCTAATACTACAAGTACAGTCCATCAGTCTGCCCATTCGTTTCCCTCCAATCGTGTCAGACCCCGGTGATACAGGCCAGTCCGAACGCCTCTCCTCGTCTTACCACATGCACACACATACAGCTTCTCAAACACGTCTCCTTCTCATTCCGACTTCCAACGCAACCGGCTTCCTCAAGAACCCCTCTCTCGTCTCCATCTCGCCCTGCCTGAGCTCGAATTCATATCGGCGAAATACAGTCCCTACTATCAGCGCCAACTCCATCTCCGCGACATTCCTGCCTACACAAGACCGCGGGCCATGACTGAAAGGGATAAACGCGGCTTTTTGCTGGTCTGTCACGGATTCCCAGCGTTCGGGACGAAACTCGTCGGCGTCGGGACCCCAGATCTTGGTTGAATGGTGGATTGTGTATGCAGGGACAGAGAGAACAACGCCCTGAGGGAAATGAAGAGAAGAATTTGGCAGTGTGATACCTGGACCGGGAGGAACCACACGCGGTAGGCCGAGCGAGGAAGTCGAGTGAATGCGCATTGTTTCTTTGATGACGGAGTCGAGGTAAGGAAGATCCTTGACTTGGCTGAACGTGGGGACGGCGTCGATATCCGGCAGTGCAGCGTCGAGTTCCTGCTGGAGCTTGCGGACTACGTGGGGGTTGCGAAGGCAGTGGTAGAGGAGGGCGCAAGAGGTGTTGCTGGTGGTGTCGGAACCCGCGATGAGTTGAGTCAAGGCTTCTGCGGTAAGTTCCTCACGGCCCAGTTTGGCTCCAGTTTCGTCGCGACCTTCCATGAGGCGCGCGAGGAGGTCTACACGGTCGCTGGGATTTTGGAGTCGCTCATTTACGCGAGCAATAGCGATACCGGCAAGGTTTTGTACGGCTGCTATGCCTTTGGAGAAGAATGGGTCTGGAAGATGGGCCGCGTATGGCTTGATTTGGGGTAGGCATCCGATGGCTCTAGAGTATGTTTGGTAAGCGGGGAATGTTCAGTTCAAACGAGTGGTATGGGAATGAAGGACTGGGAAGGATTCTGTAACATACCCTGAGACTTCACCTCTCCTGTTCAAGACTTCAATTGCGGGCGCAAACGTAGGTTCGCTGTCTGGAGTCTTCCTCACTTCAGCAACATCTTTTCCGTTTACCAGCATCCCAAAAGGAGCCCCGAAAGCTAGATCGCCAATGACATCGAAGGCCAAATAGTTGAACCTAGACAGAAAAAATGCAGAGTTAGTAGAGTTCGAAGGAAAATATTTCAAAGCAGTTTCAGAACTGTAAAACACTCTACGAGGTCTCGAAATCCCACAACCTTATGCCCCGGTAGATATTATAGCTTTACAAAACTTACCAATTCAAAGCGTCCATGTGGTAGTACCCGCCCTTGTCCGCGGCTGATTCAGCGGAATCAGCACGACGGTCCCATTGCTTTTGCAGCTCCTCTAGGTTGTGGTGGATGTACTGTTCGAATTGACCGACCGATTTCGCCGAAAACGTATGAGCAACGGTCTTGCGTTTACGAGTATGTTCCGCGCGATCCCGCGTGTTGAACAAGCCTCGGCGAATGGAAACAAAGGCATCGTAGTACTCGCTCTTCAGAAACCCATTTCCATGTCCGTATATGACAGGTATGGCATCCGCATCTGCGACACTGACGTGGTTCGGCTGGATTCTCACCAAGGTCCCGTATCTCTGGTGGGCTTCGTGTACAGCGAGGTAGCGCCTGCCGCGCCTACACTGAAGCATGAGCCATAGATTTGTGAATGCGGCGGGGAAAGGTGCAGGTATGGGACGTATGGACCAGTTGCGGATATAGGGAAGAAGGTAATAGATGACAGGAAGAAGAAGCAAAGTGTACGGGGTGATGAGGTTGGCGAGAAACATGGCGGACAGGTGAGCGTGATGTAGAAGAGTGATTGTCCTGGTGAGTGGCTATGGTTATTGAGATGTCCTAGGCGTCCTCTTTATATCCTATGCCTCAGTGCCCGGTCAATCGGTCCAAATTGTGCACTTGCAAAGTGAACGATGCAGTTACCATGACCCAGCCGTACCGAGAGCTTAGAAGCACAGCTTCCCAGAAGTTCGAGACGTATCCAGGTCAAACGCGACGTCAGATGGCCATCTCTGTCGCCCTACAGAGCATAGTTCGCGCTCCCTGGCCCAATCACGTTGTTTGCTATGGAGCTGAGTGATCCGAAAAGAGATCCGACGGCATTGAAACGCGGGGTCCTGCGTCCGAGTAAGATCCGAGAGTCGGATGGGAGACGATGAACCGTCGCGGAAATAACCCGTTGAGCTAATTGCCATCCAGTATCGCGTAGTGAATCTGGAAAGTCAAAAGCACAAGAGATAGATCAGGATAGATTGCCTGGTATGGAATACTGAAAGTGCGCATGTCTCTCTAGGGATCAAAAAGGTTCACACTGGTAACTAACCTACAGAGGAGTGGTGTACACCTGACGAGCATATGTGCTTAGGAGTGATTGATGGCGCCACTTCTATGCATATGCAGGGACTTCGATTGCGCAAGTGAAAACCAACAGATAGTTTATGATCACAGACATAGAGTGGATGCAAGTCAGTTGACCTGGGTTGAAGTTTTTTTTTAAAGCAAATCGAATTGAGAGACTACAATTATCGTAAACCGTTCATCATCCTCATAGACGATGCGAGAACCGGAAAAGAAGACTACTTTTGTTCCTGTAACGCCGAAGCCCATATCAAGGAGACATACAGTCCATGGTCCGTTCCTTCATCTTGGTCCACATATAAACCAGATAAATGGCATGACGACGCATGGAGCATCAGTCCATTACTTACCAACCCTCAGCGGGAATCATTTACAAGATATCGGGTGAAATACAGTGGCGGTCAAACTTTAAAAGGTGACCTTGCTTCCCTTGAAGTCGGAGAAGCCGCCGCGGTTGGTAGAGAATCCTCCACGGGATCCTCCACGACCTCCACGGCCACCACGATCGCCGAAGCCGCCACGGCCTCCACGACCTCCGCCGCGACCGCCACCGCGACCACCACGGTCGAATCCGCCACGGCCTCCACGGCCTCCTCCACGACCACCGCCGCCACCGTTGTCCTCACGGGGAGTGGCATAGTCCACGCGGATGTTGCGGCCATCAACATCAGAGCCGTTCATGCTCTCAAGAGCGGCCTTGGCCTCCTCGACCGTGTTGAAGTCAACATAGCCGAAGCCCTTGGGGTTACCGGTATCCCTGTCGGTAGGCAGAGAGACCCGAGAGATCTCACCAAAGGTGCTGAAAGCCTCGTGGATGGAGTCGTTGGTAGAATCAAAGGACAGGTTGCCGATGAAGAGGGTGTTGCTTGGGTTGCTGGGCTTGTCACCAAAGCGAGCGGCGCGGTTGTTGGTCTTGTCCGGGCCGTTGTTGTTCTGGCGAGGAGTGCTGAAGTCAACATTGAGAGGACGGCTGTCTACCTCCTTTCCGTGCATCTCAGCCTTGGCCTTGGCGGCAGATTCAGCAGACGCGAACTCGACGTAACCAAAGCTATTCGGGTCAGTATGTTTCCGAGATATGTAAGGTGAGTTGAACTTACCCCTTGGCACGACCAGTCTCACGGTCGGTGATGATACGGCATCCCGTGATCTCACCATAGCCCTCGAACTCGCGAGCGAGCCAGTCCTCATCGATGTTCCAGCTAAGGTTGCCAACGAAGAGGTTCTTGACGCCCTCCTCCTCAGTCTTGGCCTTCTTGACAACGGGCTCAGCCTCATCCTCGGCCTTGCGCTTCTTGGAGGGAGCTTCGGTCTCCTCACTGGCGCTGGAGTCGGAATCGTCGGAGTCGGAGTCGGCGTCAGAGTCGGAAGAGTCGGAAGCCTGATTGCGTGAGCATGTGTAACGAAGATATCATGGAAGGATATACATACCTCGGCCTTCTTAGCCTCCTTCACCTTAGCGGGAGCCTCCTCAGAGTCGGAGTCGGAGGAGTCGGAGTCAGAGTCGCTGTCAGAGGAGTCCTCCTTAGCAGCAGGCTTAGCGACGGCAGCAGCCTTTGCGCCATTTGCCTTGGGGGCCTCTTCTTCGCTGTCGCTGTCACTATCGCTGCTATCGGAGGAGTCGGAGCTCTCAGCAGCAGCCTTAGCAGCGGGCTTAACAGCACCGTTGGTCTTGGCGGCTTTGACAGGAGCCTTGGTCTCTTCCTCCTCCTCGCTGGAGGAAGAGGAGCTGTCCTCACTGTCGGACTCGCTGTCGCTTGACTCGGGTTCGGGAGTAGGCTCCTTCTTCGACTTCTTGGACGACTTCTTCACCTTATCGGCGGTAGACTTGGCGATATCCTTGCCCTTTGACTTGACAGATTGGGCAGGCTTGGTGACGCGACCTTCCTTGACGGAGGTGCTAGGCTTCTTGGAGGGCTTGACGGCAGCAGCCTTGGTGGACTTGGTCTTAGACATGGCTGAAGATTATATCCTAGAAGGTATCAGTATTTTGTAGGGCGGGAGATGGGTGGCGAAGCAAAAAGAGAAAATAGGGAAAACAGGACAGCAAAGGTCCAATCGCTCGTGCGCAGAATCTCCCAAGGAGGATTCGATGCGCTGATAGCCCACTTCTTGGATGTCTCAAACGAAAAGCCCACAGGTATCTCTCGGAGCCGCGCAAGGCGGTATTCCGTCAAGCCCACGAAAAGCCCACAAGAACGAACCCACAGAAGATTGGCTTCAAGGCGCAGTGTTCCCACAAATGCCGAGAAGACAATGCAAGTAACCCTCAGTAGCGAAAAGCCTCTGCTAGATCTGAGCGCGCCCTCAAGAGCAGCGCGCGATCTGCTTGGTCTGTATGTGTAAAGGAAAACAATGCCGCAATGCCCACTGACTTGATATTTGATTGGATGTGTAGAGAGTCGCAGTTTCTCTCTTGTGTGTACGAAGTAGCCCTCAGTAACCCACAAAGCCCTCAGAAGCCCTCAAAAAGAGAAGATGGAGGAGAAGATGTGCCGGTGTAGAGAAAGAAGATGGTAAGGCGGGTGAAGAAGAGAAGAAAGAAGAGAAAATTTCAGAGGCAGGCCGTCGCACATATACTTTTCTCTCGCAGGCAGAAAAAAATAAAGCGGGGCTGGGCGCTAGTGGCAGGCGGTGTGGGCTCGGCGAACCACGTCTGGCGGATTCGCAGGGTCGCAGGCTGGGTGGCGCTAACCCAACTGGGTGTGGTGTGGCTTGGGCCGGCAACGTAGACAAGTAAGATTCGAGACGAATATCAATGTCAGTGGGAGCGTAGGTCGTGTGTGTGTGAATGTCTGTCCCGTGAGCGTGTATCCATCTTCATTCAAAGGTCACCACCCTGCGAATACCAGCACAACATGGCTTCTCCGGCCCACAAGCCCCGACGGAGAAGAAAGATTGAAGAAGGCTCTCTTGCCCACATCACCCACGGCACCGTCGACATCCAGCACTCGGACGTACGCAAGCCTGCCTTCCCTCTCGTTGCCTTCCTCTGGCCTGCCAAAGGCACCGTATCCCAATGGGTCACCATACCTCTTGTCCTCATGGTCGTGGGCCTGTTCCGCTGGACTACGGGATTATGGGGCTACTCGGGCTTCCAGTCTCCGCCCATGCACGGCGACTTTGAGGCCCAGCGTCACTGGATGGAGATCACAAAGCACCTTCCTGTGTCTCAATGGTACTTTTACGATCTGGATTGGTGGGGGTTAGATTACCCACCTCTCACTGCCTATCACAGCTGGCTGCTGGGTACCATGTAGGTTTTACTGTCTCTGGGAGGTCTCGCGTATTGCCATTGCTAACATCTTGCTCCAGTGGCTCCGCCATCAACCCTCAATGGTTTGCTCTCTACCAATCCCGAGCTATCGACGACCCTTCTCTGAAGATTTACATGCGGGCAACCGTTTTCTTTTCCGAATACCTGATTTACGTGCCTGCCATCATTGTGTGTCTCCGCCGATATTCGCGAGCTGAAAAGGTCAATGTGTGGGAAGCATCCATCGCCCTGGTCGCTGTCCTGATGCAGCCGGCCAACATGCTCATTGATCACGGGCATTTCCAGTACAATACAGTTATGCTTGGCTTCGCTGTGGCATCCATATCTAGTATGCTGGCAGGGCGTCCTCTGTGGAGCTGCGTCTTCTTCGTTGGCGCTCTGGGCTTCAAGCAAATGGCCCTCTTCTATGCTCCCGCCGTTTTTGCTTATCTCCTCGGTATCTGCATCTTCCCCAAAATCAATGTCGTCCGTTTTCTCGCCATTGCCCTGGTCACACTAGCTTCGTTCGTTGTACTCTACCTCCCATTCATTGCGGGAGTTGTATACGACACATACGACGGCGTATCACAAAAGAGCTTTCCCACTCCTCCACTACTCACGTATTTGCGAGTCAGTCTGGACGAGAACGCATGGTACTACCCAGTAGTTCTCCAGGTAGCGCAGTCAGTACACAGGATTTTTCCCTTTTCCCGGGGTTTGTTTGAGGATAAGGTCGCCAATATATGGTGCTCGATTCATACATTCCACAAACTACACCAGTATCCAAGTACACTTCTTCAACGAGCCGCTCTTGGCGCCACATCTCTCGCAATTGCGCCGCCATGTCTTATCATCTTTTTGAAACCCCGAAAGGAACTGGTACCACTTGCGTTAGCAACGACCTCCTGGGCGTTCTTCCTCTGCTCGTACCAGGTTCATGAGAAGAACGTTCTGCTTCCTTTGCTTCCCATGACTCTGCTACTCAGTGGAAAGGGAGGGTTGCTCCCATCTATCCGCGCTTGGGTTGGGCTGGCGAACATGATTGGTGTATGGACCATGTTCCCATTGCTCAAAAGAGACGAGCTTCGCGTCCCTTACTTTACTCTGTCGCTGCTGTGGGCATACCTTCTCGGTCTTCCTCCAGTCTCATTTTCGGCATATCAAGAAGGAACTTCAGGCGGGCTCAATCTGGTCACGAAGATTCTCCATTTGAACATCTACTTGGCCATGGTCGGATGGCACGTCGTGGAGGCGTTCATAGCCACACCAGAAGGCAAGCCGGATTTGTGGGTAGTGGCAAATGCAGTGATTGGGTGTGGTGGTTTCGGACTGTGCTACCTATGGTGTCTGTGGACGCTGTTATGGAAGAGCGAGTTATTTGGAAAGTCTCCGGTGGCGAGGAAGAACAAGACACAATAGAAATTTGCTTTTGTCGAGCTTTGCAAAGCATAAATCAACCTGTAGCTTATATACCCAATATGAAGAAAGGAATGAAGTATGCGCGTGGACTCTGCTGTGTAGGAGAGGGAAGATGTGAATTGGATCACGCAGCCATATACATATTTATCCCATAAGCCCGAGACTGATATCGCAAACGTCATTATGAGCGGATTCTCTTTACAGATGCAATCATGCTGGCGCCGGGATCTATATCCATTATACAAACACACGCTAAACACTCTTATCATGCATGTATATCTTCTTTCCTATTCGTACACATGATTTACACTCTATCGTACCATTGCTTGATCCCCTTCACTCATATCTTGAACCCATACCCAGCCATGCAATCTTTGTATTTTGTCACCAGGTCTTTGCATTCTGCTTGCGGATCGCTCGAGTTGGAAAACAACATGCACTCGTCGCGCTTCGCCTTTTCGTCGGTGCATACACAGCATGGCTAGCGATTCGATTTCGTCAGCGCGAGTTCATCCTCGACCCCAAGTTACGGGTATCATGATAGGGAACGTAAGCGTGTGTATATCTCAGCGCGTACCTTTGGCTTCGCGGGTGGGGTGCCGGCGGTGTTGGATTTCAGGTCTGCGGCCATGTTTGCGGCGGTTGGTGGAGGAGGTGCGGGAGCTGTGTCGTTGCAATCGAGGGCGTTGTTAGCTTGTTGCCTTCAATCCGATCCGGCCTGTGTTCGGCGCAGGGAAATGAACACTCACATGATTGATTTGAACCCATTGCGAGAATATGTGGATGTGTGTGCGTGCGAAGTGAAAGAATTGGTGTTCCGAAGTGGTCGGTTGGCTGATGTTGTTGAAAGATGTCGGGTTCCTTTCGCCTGGTTGCTTAGAAATTGTTTAGATGAGCGCGAAAGTACAAGGTACCGTCATGCCATGTGGGAAAGGCTTGGCACTTCCGCCCTGCTCCGACTGACTGACTGACTGCTTGCTCCTCGGGGAAACTTTGGTCTAATGCTCGACAGAATGGATATGCACGAAATAGTTGCGTCCTAATATTCTTTTCCTGCGCACTATATAATTCGCTCAGGTCATGGATGACAATGCTTCTGTATGTTTTTCAGCCCTATAAAAACTACTCATGCAATAGCAGTCGCCAACCTAGATTATCTCTCCATCGCACTTTTGACCATATCGAGTTCATGAAGTCAAAGTCTAAAAGAAAACATGTGAACACATAATATAAGAACACGGGTGGCTTGTTGTCTTTTGAAGGCTTGTGGTTCCAGAGAAAATACCCAACCAAACAGATGCAGATGACAATGCTGTGTTGTGCAATACTTACCAACAGCAAGCCGTTCGCTCAGGGTCTCGCCCCCTCCAATAGAGTTTGGAGCCCCTCCTTCTGCAGCAACGCGGCGAGGCGCATGCCACACCAACCACAAACAAATCTTTCTCTCCCCTGCCCCTCCCCCACAATCACCCACTCTGCTCTACCACCCGACATCTTTATTTTGCTTATTAGCCACCCTTTCCTTACCAACTCGCCATGTCCGCATCCAAAGTCTTCTCCCTCAAGGGCAAGGGTCTCAAGCTCACGACCGCCGAGGACATTGAGCCACACCTGAAGGAGTTGCGCGAAAACAACGATGTCGAGACGGTCGAGTTTCTTGGAAACACCATAGGCATCGGGGCGAGCGAAGCGCTGGCCAAAGTATTGGAAACCAAGAAGAAGCTGCAGGTTGGTTCAACCCCCCTCACCACCTGCCTCAACCCCTCTTTCAGTCTACTGACCAACTGCGATGCAATAACAACAGGTCGCAAACTTCGCCGATGTCTTCACCGGCCGCCTCCTGTCTGAAATCCCGACTGCGCTTTCCCACCTTCTGACCTCCCTCCTCACGCTCCCGAACCTCTACACCATCGATCTCTCCGATAACGCCTTCGGTTTGAACACCCAGGCGCCCCTGGTCGACTTCCTCTCCCAGCACGTACCTCTCCGCCACCTCATCCTGAACAACAACGGATTGGGCCCAGCGGCCGGTGTGCTCGTTGCTGACGCACTCACATCGCTCGCCGAGAAGAAGGAGGCCGCTAAGAAAGAAGGCAAGGAGGTACCGGACCTCGAAACCGTCATCTGCGGCCGTAACCGCCTGGAGAATGGCAGCATGGCGGCATGGGCCAAAGCATACGCGGCACACAACAAGGTCAAGAAAGTCAAGATGGTGCAGAACGGCATTCGTCAGGAAGGCATCACGCACCTGCTCACCAACGGTCTCTCGCATGCGACCACCATCCAGGTCCTCGACCTTCAAGACAACACCTTCACGGCCATGGGCGCAAAGGCCCTCTCCAATGTCGTAGGAAACTGGACTGTGATCCAAGAGCTCGGCGTCGGTGACTGCTTGCTTAGCGGTCGCGGTGGCATCGCCCTCGCTGCCGCCCTGGCAAAGGGCAATAACGCTAAGCTCGAGGTCCTACGCCTCCAGTTCAACGAGATCAACGCTAAGGGCATCGCCGGCCTCGCAGCTGCCCACGAGAAGCTCCCTGCTCTTCGTCGCATCGAGCTCAACGGCAACAAATTCGAGGGCGAGGACCCTTCCATCAAGACCCTCCGTGACGTTCTCGAGAAACGCAAGGATACTGCCGGAGATGGCGTTGGCGAGGACGACGACGAGTACTGGGGTCTTGACGAGCTGGACGAGCTCGAGAGCGACGACGAAGACGAGGACGACGACGACGAGGAGGCCAAGGCCGGCAGCGACGATGAGGAGGAGGGTGTTGAGGTCGAGGAGAAGGCTGCCCGGGAATTGATCAATGCTGATAGCGCTGAGGCGCAGAATGTGGCACAGGACAAGGATCCCAAGGTCGACGATTTGGCCGATCAGCTGTCCAAGACACAGATCAAGTAGAAGACAGGGATGGAAAGGACTGGTGATGGTGTTGGTACATGACTTGTTTGTGATTTGGGATTGGGACCGGTTTGGTGGTCGGTTAGGATAGGATAGGATAGGATAGGATAAGGTGGTAAAGGATCACACGACACACATACAGGCCGGTAGTGCTGGTGTTGTACCCAAGTACAGTACGCACTTTTTTTCAGGAGTAGATAGATACCATAGATAGATGACAGTATAATGAGATACAGAAACAACTCCAAGTCTTGTCTCGTCCCTCGTCTTCTTCTTTTGTGAGATCTCGGACATCTTTCGAGTTGCCTGCTTCTGATTATTGTGCACGACTTTAAAATCACGACTACCGGTGGATCCAAGATACCAAGGGGCAACATGATACTAGGGTAAAAGATGTATGATCGAGCATACGATTGGGATCCGTCCTCCTCGGATCGCGGTATGATCTAAAGTATTCGCATATTCGACTACACATACTTGTTTAGAATCTCGCTCAGCCATAAGAGTGTCCTTTACGGTGGCACCATGAAACATGTTTCGCTATCAGAGCGCGGCCTTGATTCCATCAACGAATGATTCATGGGCAGCCCTCACACAGCACCTATCACCTCAACACTTGTCGTCAAAACCAAGCTTGATGAACTTGGCTTGCACCTGATCATCATCGGCAGCTAAGGCTTGCGCAGTGGCCGTCAATCCGGTTTTCTCTGTGAACTTGACGCCGTTGCTGTTGCCATTGCGCCGGGCAGACACAGACTGGGCAGCGGCCGTCAAGCCACCTTTCTCTGTGTGACCATGAGCGCGAGCTTCAAGAGAATGGAGGTGATCAGCCTCTGCCTTTGTGACGGTGCCTTGCTCGACTTTTGGTTCAATCTTGGCGTACTCTGCTTGAAGTTCGCCTTCTAGCTCCGGGTGAGGAGCCTTGACTTGACCGACCGCGCGTTGCATCTCTGTAGGTTGCGTCAGCATCAAATTTGTCCAACGGCATTTGACGAGGGCAATATTGACCAAGGAGCTAATCAATGGGTGTGACTTACTGCTTACGATACTCTGGGTAATCTTGAGAATTTCGTTGTTTACATCGTCGGGGTTGTTTTCCACAGCCGCCTTGAGGTCGTTCACGATGGTGAGGAGCGAAGTTTTCGGCTCTTGACCCATGGTTGGGACTTGTTCGTGGATATCTTGAGCGGCCACAGCAACGGTCCCACTGAAATCATGGGTACCAAGTCAGTATAGCTCAAGACTTGTCTCAGAGCGCGGGCTATCAGGTGCCCGAAACGTTGTCGCGCGTGGCGTATTGTAATGTGGTGGGGATACACATACACGGCGGAGATGATCTTGGCCGAACTATCGTCCTTTGCTACATAGGTCTCGCTAAAGCGGCGGGCATCTTCAGTCGTGATGCTGAGGGGATCTTGGGCGAGCTTTGCCATGATCTGCCAATGCAGTGAGCCAGCTTGTCGTTGTGTGGTGGTGTGAGCCAGTCTACTTACCTCGCCCTTCAGAGCGTCGGTGGCGGTCATTGTAAGTTTGAGAGAATTTTTGAGGTGAGATCTGGATGGAGATTATACTGGGGGTGGCACAAGATTCGGGGATGAGGTGGGAGTGGAGGTTGGGGTGAGATTTGAATGTGGTGGTGCCATGTTTGCTTCGACGAGGTTTGAGTGTAGCAGTGGTCTGGAAACAGAATGAGGCAGGCACTCCAGGTAGGCCTTGTGGCAGATATTCGCGGCTGCCAGTTTTGCAGATATGAGGAAGGCGCGGCTTTGAGGTTGGGTGCTGTGTACCACCTGCTCTATTCTGACCTGCTTGATTCACAAATCAACATTACAGGGCACCCAAGGATAGGGCATTAACTGCTCTTTCTAGTTCAATACCTCATTAAACAGCCTCTTAATGTAGTTTCTATAGGTTGTTAATAGGGTCTAGACATACAGCAAAGCCTTAAGTGAGTGTTGATAGATGATTCTAGGCTAGACCCAGCCCCGTAATAAATCAAGATTACAACGCATCTGAACAAATGTTATGTATGGTTGTATGTGTCTGTCTACATGTTTGGATTGGTTATACTGCTTTGAAGAGAAACGAGAAATTGTACGGTGCCCGGTGATTATGGCGATGTTGTTTGATTATGGCGATATTGTTTGATGGCTGGGTTCATACGAGCACTCGGCAACATAGCTTCAGGCTGTGCCCTATACCTACCTAGGTACTTGAGCAGGTACTGGCGTCATCTTGCGATTTGCACATAACAAGTGCAGAGATGGATAAAGGGCCCCCAGCGTCATAGATGAATGTTGCACACAAGCGTCGATATCGATAGTTTGGATAGTTTGATGTAGTCGGAGATCTAAATATAGTCAGGCATGCACCACTAGCCTATCTTGGTACTATACGGACGATAGTTCATGTACACCTGTATGGGATGGTTGGAGGGATTCATGTATTTTTACTAATCGAAATGTCTTTTCTCTGGAGACGTGAAGACAGACATAAAATTTGCATAATAGCAGCACAATGGTAAGTAGACCGAGATTTGCATATTGCTTGCATTCTTGTGCACAGTGTTGGCGGAAGACAGACCCGCAAGTTGACCCCACAGTGCAATGGTCTAGGGCTCTGGGTACATGAGCATGGATGCGCGTCACGGCCGATGGAGATTCTAGTGTGTGTTGAGTCGCAATCGTGATTGGCATAAAAGGCAGATGAAGATGCGGAGAGATGTGAAAGAGAGAGAGAGGGAACAAGACAAGACAAGACAAGATGATGCGGGGGTGGAGCAGGATGTGAAAGTGGGAAGTGGGAAAAAGCTGGAGAGTGAGACACGGTGGATGAGTTGAGATGAGATGGACAGGTATTGAATGAAGACAAGGAAGACTTGATTTGGTGGTGGTGATCGCGATGCAACCCCCCACGCAGGCGAGAAACAGGGGAGATTTAGGGCGTCTTGGCGGGATCCGTCGGTTGCCGTCAAACGCCCTTACCGCAAGCCACGTCCATGTCCCGAAGCGCCGCGCGCCCATATGCGATAAGAAAAATTAAAGGGCCCAACGTCCGATGGAGGAGGATGCATGTGAAGACGATTGATGATGGAAGGCAATTTGGATGATGATGGGGCGGGGCGCAGGGAGAGATGCTTGCGCAGGTGGTTCTGGCCTCCAAGAGACGCCTGGCTGTGCTTCGATGCTGTTGAGTCTCTCGCTCCCCTTTGATCCATCCATCTCTTGGCCGGTTTTTATGGGACCTGCATGCCAATGACGTGTTGGCTGCCTGCTTCTGGCGGCTCCCGACAGCTGCCACACCGGTCCCAACATGGACCCGCCAATGCGCCCAGCCATTCGCCAGGCTTTCTGCTGAGACGCGATGGTTTTTGCTGTGCTCCGCTGCTCCCATCCAACGGCCTGTCCTGGGGCGAATGAAGATCGCGGGTGGGTCTTCGTTACTCTCGCCATCCCAGGTTTCTCTCTGCACACTGCCCTCGCTGCCAGCCAGCACACCAGTCCCCTAAAACTAAAATTACTCGCCGCCATCCATCACTTAATATCCCCCGTCTCTCCACTTCCACATGCCTGCCGTCCGTTGCCCTCTGCCAATCTGCATTCCTCTCCTATCTGTCCTTTCTTCCACATCTTCTTCCTGTCGTTCCTGATTTCCCACTATCGCTACTCGTTTCCTAATCGTCCTTGATACCCGGTCTTTTGCGGGAAAACAAGATCAAGTTTGGCTCCAAGCTACCAGCACCCTAGTTAGTCCCGTCGCACCACACCCCGTAGGTATCCCCGATTCAACGACCCAATCCCAAATTCCAAACAAACCCTGATTTACACCCTTAGGCACGCTTCTCAGAGGTGTACCACAGCCATGGTCACCCCAATGGATAGTGACCGGCCCGAGCCCATTTTCGAAATGCACAGCAACACTCACCTTCCCCCACCACCTCACACTCGCTCCTCTGACGATGATGGCACTTTTATCGGAGAAGAATTGAGCCAGCAGAATTCCCTCCCTGCGCCTGCCCCAGGTAGACCTCGCGCAGGGAGCCATTTGACCGTCGACACTATCCACGACAGGCCAAGATCAATGACTTCGGTTTCCCAGACTCGCGAGCAGGCCAGCCGCCTCCATGATGATCTGGCCATGCTCCAGGTCGAGCGCGAGATCTCTCAAATCGAGGACATGGACAGGTTGTCCACCACTCGATCCATGCGAAGGCAGCGATCCCGGAGAACCGAGCCAGTCGATGATTTCGATGAAGCCACCAACCCCTTGCACGAGAAGACTGCCATGTACAAACCCCCGGAGAACCCAAACACAAAGTTCTCGCAGTTCTTCAAAAAGGTCCACAACTCGAGCTTCCTTATCCGATACCTCACATACATCGTCCCACTCGTCCTAGTTATCCTCATTCCACTGCTGCTGGGCGTTTTTGTCTTTCCAACTGCCCATGTCGGTCACGTCAGTTTGCTCTGGTTTTGTGTATGGCTTGAGATAGTCTGGCTGACCCTGTGGGCTGGCCGCTTGCTAGCCAAGTGCTTGCCCTGGCCGATTGGTCTCGTATCCAGCTTGTTCACCAACAACAGCAAGAAATGGCGGGATATGGGCAAGCAGCTCGAACTTCCTGCCACCCTCTTCTTCTGGTGGTTGGCCATCGAAATTTCCTTTTTGCCTACCATGACGAATCACAGCGTCGATGGCAAAAAAGACGTCAAGGACTGGCAGCGCACGACCAACAAGGTCCTCGTGTCAATCTTCGTGGGAATGACTCTGAACTTCATCGAGAAGATTATTGTTCAACTCATCGCCATCAGCTTTCACCTTCGGACGTATGCGGATCGAATCGATCTCAACAAATTTCAGATCGGTAGCTTGGTCAAACTGTACAAGTATTCCAAGGAGCAGATTACCGAGGACGATTCAGACTTCGAATCCAAAGCACGACCAGCTTCGGGAGTCCGCACGCCCGGTCAGGTTATCAAAGAAGCACAGAAGAACACCAAGGAGGCTTTCAATAAGTTTGGTGATATCGCTGGAAAGGTGGCTGGAGACTTCACTGGCCGCCAGGTCACTGGTAGCAGGCACCCTCATCAAGTGGTCCTGGCATTATTGAGCAGTACAAACGGCAGTCAAGTGCTGGCCCGTCGCTTGTATAGAACCTTCAATCGCCCGGAAACCGAGACCGTCCACTCTGACGACTTGAAAAATGCTTTTGAGTCGGATGACGAGGCCGACGCCGCGTTCTCCATGTTCGACAAAGATATGAATGGGGACATCAGTATGGAAGAGGCGAGTCAATCTTTTTGTTGTTATCACTATGGCTATGTGGCAAGTTGGCTAACGATGGGTGTTGAATGTAGTTGGAGGCCGTATGCATCGAAATTGGCCGAGAACGCAAGTCCATCACCGCATCACTCAAGGATCTGGATTCCGTCGTCAGCAAACTCGACGACGTCTTCATGTTCATCGTTCTTGTCATCACCATTCTCGTTTTCGTTTCCTTGATCTCCACATCCGCTGCCGGTGTCTTGACTTCAGCAGGCTCAACCGTTCTGGCCCTGTCTTGGCTTTTCTCTGCTACCGCGCAGGAATTCTTGCAATCCCTCATCTTCGTCTTCGTCAAGCACCCGTTCGACGTCGGTGATCGTGTCTCCATCTACGGAAATACGGGTGCCACTGGTCTTGGCGACGACTACTTTGTAAAGGAAATTGCTCTGCTTTACACCGAATTCAAGAAGATGGAAGGTCACGTAGTGCAAGCCCCAAACAGCTATCTTAACACGCTCTTTATTCTGAACCAGCGACGCTCTGGTGCGCTGGCCGAAGCCGTTCCAGTTGTCATCAAATTCGGAACAACTCTTGACCAGATTGATCAACTTCGTCAGCGCCTGCTCGAGTTTGTCAGGGCAGAGAAGAGAGAATACCAGTCCAACATTCTTACCGAGTTGAGGGAGGTCAAAGAAGTGCATTCGCTCACATTGAACGTCGTCTTTTTCTACAAGTCCAACTGGCAAAACGAACTGCTCCGTCTCCAGCGCCGTAACAAGTTCATCTCGGCCCTCATGATCAGTATGCAAGAATGCGGCATCGAAGGCCCGCGCATGCGCTTCCCTGGTCAAAAGGAATCGTTCCCGCTTTACATGCAAAACCTGCCTCATCAACCAACACCTGGCGTGGGTCACAACGGCACACCTGATCAGCCTAGCGGCATCATTCACGATCAACATCAGGACGAACCCATGATTCCGCCTCACACAGATGATACCACCGACTCCAATGCGCCTCCCAACCGCAACCCTTCCATCCTCCGCACTGGCGGTGGACGAGGTCGCGCTGAATCAATGGCTGCCATGGGACGCCGCGTCGACTTCTCGTTGGGAATGAAAGACATTGGTTTGGGCGATATGCCTGGCGATGTCTTTGACGACAGAGATTTTCACATTCGGAACAAAGCCACGGTTGTCAGATTAACATCTCCCTCTCGATCCGTTGAGAGAGCTGGGAATTCACTGGATGTCGGACGCTCAAGCTCCATCGCCGATCGATCCTTCAAGGGTATCCAGCGTGTCAATACCGACAGCTCCGGTGCCCGCGACCGTAGTAGCCATCGAAACCGTTTCTTCGGCCGTAGCCGCCGCAATGACGAGGAAGTGGGCATGGCGGATATTCCCGAGGCCGCTTACGATTCTTCACAGACTGTCAATCAGAAATCCAAGATCGATCCTCGCTCTGGACTCGTTAGCCCGACGGCCATGAGGATGAGCGAGGAAGGTTCGCGCCCGCCACCCCGCGGATCCATGGATCTACCCCCCAGGGCTCCCCACCGCGCGGTCACCGAGAATTTCGAGATGCGACACCTGTAATCTGGTCTAGCACTCACCCTTTAAAAGCAAAACATATTCGTGTAATTATATTAGAATTTTTCGAGAGAACCGGGGAACCAATTCCTCTGGTAGGGAGGAGCCGTCAGGTACATCTTTGCTATATTAGCGTTCATTTCCTTCTCGTGAGAGCGAGGGGAACACCACATAGACTTATCACAACATTTTCCTAGCGTTTCACAATTAAAGAAATTGAAAAGTATGCAATTGATATGCAGTACCTACTACTTCTTCCAATTCAGCCAACTTACTCCTCCGCGTGAATACACAGGTTATCTAATGCCCCCCTGCTAACCACATCTCAACGTAATTGCGATGCTCTCTCCATCACCCACTACGCCGCTACCCCTGGATATGTTGCAAGCTGTATATAAATTCTACACAAGACCTATCGCAAAACCTCTAGATATGTGGATTTATCGCTTTTTCTGTTCCAGCTGTGAAGGCTTCTTTAATCAAGTCTAGATCATAGTTGTCATAACGCTTTATGCAAAGTATCTCTAGTTCCTAAAAGGAAGGATGATTTGGTGTGGTAGTAAGAGTAGATAGTGAGGTCAAGGAGAATAGTAAAAGATGCAACGAATTGTTACTTAACAAGCAGTTGCACTACATACATGTGTACTTGAGTACTTACCACTCACGTATGACACAGCTAGATATCTATTTACTCACAACTCCCACAATACACACAAGCAATAATCACTCTCTTCCAGATCAATCCCATCATCTTCTTCCTGATGGCGTCTTTGATCTTACGGCGTTGAGCAGACATCTTCAGTCAGCCCACGACTTGATATCTTTGTATCTCGAGAGCGTCCAGTCAAAAAGGCTAGTGAATCTTTAAGAGCATGCGCTTTAAGACGTAGAGCATTGGTCAGCATATCAGTACTTAAAAGAAAGGTCAGTAAAGATAACCGCGAAGGGAGCAGCTTCGAGTACGACACATCCAGCAGGAGTGACTCTTCCATTGCCCCGAAGCCCGCGGTCCTATCGAAACGAAGAAAAACGTCCATGGAAGAAAAAGAACGGAATTTATGATAGCTACAGCGTCAGATATTTACCACCCGCGATGTTTGCAAGAAGGCAGAGGCAGACCATTCCACCATCAAGCTTGATAGCACAGCAACCATCTTGTATCAATTTGTACACATTATGCAAGCTCAGATTATCATGTTTCTTACCAAATCTGGATTACACACTGAATTTCACCTGCACGGTGGAGTGAAGCAACTTTTGGTGTGTTCAAGGTCTTCCACTTCATCACATTGCATTCGCTGATGGCATGCCCGGTGCTCCGGACAACCATCAACTTCATTGGTTGATGTACATGCAAGATAGGACGTATGACCCAGACAATTTTGTTTTTCGGCGCTCGGCCTATATATAATGAATTTTGTGAATCCAGGCAAGTATACATGAGATACTGCAAGGCTTCACGCTACCCCCAATTGAGCATACCCACATTGTTAGCCAACAAGCCAATAAGACAGCAGAAGCCCCTGACACGCTAAAACAAGCGTCTCTCGCCAAAAGGCCCCAATGCGCGCGCACCTTCCCCGCTAAAGCGTTGCCAGCTTCACCGCTTGAACAACCTCTCCCCCTTCCCCGAAAGGCAACATCGCCATTTGAATCTTTTCAAGCTCTCTGGACAGAGTTGGATCATCAAACATGCGAGGAGAGGTACGTATCTTGTACGGTGGCTCACGGAGCTGCTGTTGTGATTGAGCATAGTGGGGGGACCGCCCCTGGGATAAGCGTCTATGGCTAGCCACCCATCGCACCGCGTGTACGTCTGCGAACATGTACTTACCGCGGATGTGGCTAACATCACGCTTGATGTCGTTACTGTCGAAGGGTTATTTGATCATGGAATACGCGCTGATAATTTGCCTTACAGATCTGTCACCTTCACATCGGCCAGGCTGGTACCCAGCTAGGCAACAGCGCCTGGGAGCTGTATCTGCTTGAGCATGGCCTCAAGGCTGATGGACGTCCCGACCCCGAAGCAAAGGAACTGAACGAGGGGGGTTCCCACGACGTGTTTTTCACGGAGACTGTTAGTCTATTCCACCGAGATGTGTTTGTCTGGATCGTTCTGACTTTGTACTTGCGACTGTAGAACTCTGGCAAATACGTCCCTCGCTCCATCTTCGTCGACTTGGACCCATCGCCCATCGACGAAATCCGCACCGGCCAGTACAGGCAGCTATTCCACCCTGAGCTTCTCATCAGTGGCAAGGAGGATGCCGCCAACAACTATGCCCGCGGTCACTACACAATTGGCAAAGAGATGGTCGACAGTGTCATCGAGCGTATCCGACGCGTCGCTGGTATGTGGCTTCTGGTTCCAATCGATCAAGGGGAATGAAGGCTGATAATCGCAGACAACTGCTCCTCCCTACAGGGTTTCCTGATCTTCCACTCGTTCGGTGGAGGAACTGGCTCTGGGTTCGGTGCGCTGCTCCTCGAGCGCCTTGCCACCGACTACGGCAAGAAGTGCAAGCTTGAATTTGCTGTGTACCCTGCTCCTCGGAACTCTACCTCCGTAGTAGAGCCATACAATGCTGTCTTGTCTACCCACAGCACTATCGAGAACTCCGACTGCACTTTCCTGGTCGACAACGAGGCTGTCTACGATATCTGCCGTCGCAATCTGGACATCCCCCGCCCAGATTTCCAGCACTTGAACCGTCTCATTGCGCAGGTCATCAGCTCGGTCACCTCTAGTCTGCGATTCGATGGTGCTCTCAATGTCGACTTGAACGAGTTCCAGACCAACTTGGTCCCATACCCTCGTATTCACTACCCTCTGATCAGCTATGCGCCTGTCATTTCGGCCAAGAAGAGCTCCCACGAAAGCTTCAAGGTCTCCGAACTTACCTTCCAATGTGCGTAACTTGCCTGAGCTTGCAAAGGCTATTGTTATCTATATTCGTCCGGCCGTGCTAACTATATCAGGTTTCGAGCCAAACAACCAGATGGTTATTTGCGATCCTCGCAATGGAAAGTACATGGCTGTGGCTCTCTTGTACCGTGGTGACATCGTCCCCCGTGACTGCACTGTCGCGGCTGCACAGCTCAAGGCCAAGTCTTCGTTCAACCTTGTTGAGTGGTGCCCTACTGGCTTCAAGCTTGGTATCAACTACACCAAGTAAGTTTTCCCGATACATCATGACTGGTATGTGGGCAAATTGACTGATACCTTTTAGACCGATCAGTCCCCCTGGCAGCGAGCTTGCTGCTGTTGATCGCAGTGTGGCTATGCTTAGCAACACCACCGCCATCGCCGAGGCTTGGTCCCGTCTTGATCACAAGTTCGACCTCATGTACTCCAAGCGTGCTTTCGTTCACTGGTACGTTGGTGAAGGTATGGAGGAGGGAGAATTCTCTGAAGCCCGTGAAGACCTTGCGGCTTTGGAGAAGGACTACGAAGAGGTTGCCAGTGACTCCCTTGACGAGGATCTTGGTGAAGAGGCTGAGTATTAAGTGATATACCCGCACCGTGAAGCAGACTCAGAATCATCTGCAGGCTTTGAAAGCCATGCATGTTTTATGGTTTGCGAGCACGCACCTGTTGGGCTAGAATTAGGGACCCTAAATTCATCAACTTGAATCCAAGCAGCAATGTCAAGTCGCACATTCAATCTTCTAAATTGAAGTCGTTAAATACAATTGTGATGCAAGTTCTTGTTTGATATTGCTTGGAAATGGTGCAGCTCTCTCCTTAGAGTAGGCACCACTAGTTTGTCCACGGCAGCCTATGATTTAATATCATAGCCCAGCTACTGCGTGACTTGTGGTACTGTTCCTCACGAATTTGAATCGAACGACTAATTTAAGAGCCGTCGGGACTCAATGAGTCCGCCGTCGGAGCATCACGTACCCCGATTGGGTGCGGGCACGGACCGAAAACCACCCAGATGATCTCTAGAGCTTTCCCCGCAACTTGATTTTGAGCTTTCCAACACCACAACATATTCGCAATAATTGTACAATGTTTAGCCTACCATCATTCAAAATACCGTCGTTTCTCGGTTCACAGACGGAGAGCGGCTCTCGTGTTGATATTGACCCTGTGGAGATCCATAATGTCGAGACCGCGGCAGATAAGCGGCCCAGAACATTGAAGCATCTCTTGAAGGCCAATCACGTCAACCACTCAATCATCTATCACAACCTCACCTTTCACAATCACACACCTCACGTAAGTGTTATCAGGCTACATATTCATGGCTCATGAATACTGAAGTTGCGTCCAGATTTTGGGATCGGCCTATATTCTAGGCGGGACGTCTGAGCACTTGAATGCAATCTATGAAAAGGAGGATGGAGAGCTCGAACCCTGGAAAGATTCTCCCGGAGAAATATCACAAGACGATTGGAGAGAGTTCTTAGGGCGACGAGAGTATGGAAATCGCCAGTAAGCGATAATGTCTACTGACTTTTCCCAGGTATCAAAGGGCCTTCGTAGATTTCTTCGAAGACCAGCTTGTGTCCAAAAGATATGATTGGAAGCTTTTACTGCGCCAATACATGTTCGAAGGGGAAACCCCATTGATAAATGGACTGATATCAGGACGTGAGCACGATCCTCTCTTATCCTGTCTCCACGAATTTGAAGCTGATTGACACAAGTCGGTCACCCCCTGATCCATCTCGGATATGCATACGAATTGGACTCTAGGACCGTTGCTATTGAAGCTCTTGCGCTCGGTGCATGCTTTTATAGTTCCCTTCACAAGTACATCGACGACCCAATATATACCAAGCCAAGCCCTCACCAGTCTACGTCCCTGTTTGAGATTCTACAAGGAGTCAGAGAAGATAGACGATTTGATGGACTATATGAGCACCGCAGTGGCGATATATCCAAAGTGTTCCAAGAGCGCGAGGAAGCTTTCCTGGAACATTGGAATGCGTGGGGGCTTTCGGACCCGAGGAATCAATTTGAGCAGTCCCAACAGTTGGCGGCTGCTGTCTTGATGGGCACGGAGCCGCTCGAGAATTCCAGGTTCGACTTCTTCCTGGTCCATCTGTTGACTTCATCACATGCCGTGCGCATTCTGTTGCCGTTGATACCCGCCAAGTTCCACACGAGCCTACTCAGGCAATGGTGGTTGTTCACACTAGCCGTTTACATTGCGCAAACGCGACCGGACATCGATCTCGACAGGATCAACGGATACGATATCAAGGACAGAGACTGGAAATTCGTTGAGCATAGAGCGCTGACCTCTTCTCACTCGATGGACGCACACTTTGTGAAGGCATTACGAGCGATGAAAGTGGCGTCAGAAACATGGATCGACAAGGACCAATTCTACCTCAAAGCCGCGGTCAAATTTGCAGACGAATTCGAAGGCTGGGGTGGATTCAGCAGCAATGACGTATCATATGCGTACCCGGAGCACACATTGTAAAGGAAAGAAATTCGAGGGACCGGCGGCACGGTTTAAAGTTTGATGCGTGGCAGTTGTAGAATTATTCGAAGCGTAATGAATGCGTAACTCGAAATGAGATGGCCAAATTGTGCATGTCAAGAGGGACGGAAACCGGATTTTGAGTGCGATGTGAGAATGCCATGGGCGGGCATCGCGCTGTTTTGGATATATCAGAACAGAACGAGGTAGCCGCCGCACCGTGCATTGCTCTGGCTCACCTGGTACACGGGCATAGGTTAGATTGAGCAAGGGTCCCGCATCTTGAACCATACAACAAAGCGCACATCCATGCTAGTATAGAAGGGGTGGACATATGGGAATGTCTGGCGCAAACAGGACTTTGTGGAGCAAAATACGGATAGGGACAGGCCACGGCTGGTCTGTTAGGTGCATCGGCGATGTGCTTGGAAAAGCTTCGATTGTTGAATTACGGCACCTTGCAGGCCCACAGCGGACCGGCAGCTAGGCCGAATATCCAACACGTATCTGTATCATTCAGTAGGCACTTGGTTAGCTATCTTCTTCTGACGGTCACGGAAGAGAGATGGAGCGAGGTTCCATGGCCAGAGGGCGCAAAGAAGCGGTGACTGCGAAAGGATTGGATATTGAATGTGTGGTCGTGTATCCAGGCTGCTCGAATTTCGCACGACGCACTGTCAGCAAGACACATGGCATGAATCATCCATGGCGCAGAGTTCTAGATTGAAGTGGGTGGGTGGTGTTGTCGCGATTTTCTCGGTACGTCATTGCGGCCGCATTGTTCACGCCATGGCATTCCTGCTCGCCCGGGCTGCGTTCAGCTTTACCGCAAATTTGTCGGCCAACTAAACCGCATGCCCCCAAACCAAATTGGCTTCGGTTCTGCTCGCTACGCATTTCGTCACTGCCGCCAGCCCGGACGCTGCAAAGGAACCACGCCTCTGTCTGCTGCGTGACTGTTTTCTCTTCCCTCTCTTCCTCCAGACTATACCTTGCGGCGACCGCCCCCCCCTCTTACTTCTGTCTCGCCCGCTGCTTTCCTACATCCCTAATCCCTAGCACAAGGCAGAGTCAACCGCCATCGCAGCGCCCTCTCCCCCACCACTGCGGAGGCTAGCCCCACCTCCCGTGTCTTACCCAACGACACACCACCATCATCCCCGCCATGTCTTCTCTCAAGAAGGCCCTGGGGAAGCTCAAAACGGGCGTCCGCAGCAATCCAGGCTCCGACGATGAGGGCGGAATCATGTCCCCCAAATCTGCCAATGGTGTTGCATCCCCCAGATCATCCAGCGCGCTTACGCGATCCAGCATCGACGTGAAGCGCAGCAATGCTGCCACGGATAAGAACGAACCCAGTTCCGCCGTCGATAGCAAAACCCCTACTCTCGACAAGGCGAGGACTGAGTCTCCCCGCAACAGCGGAATCTTCCACAGGCGCACCGAGAGCCCCAGCCGTAGCCAGACCTTTCCTTCGAAGCCCCGCTCCGGCTCCATCTCCCACAGTCCCATCCGAGCTGTCAAGGAGAAGTTGCACATAGGTGCCAATGACTCTTCTAGCGATGGCGAGACTCCTCTCAATCGCGATGGTGAGAAGATGTCCCGCAACCAGCTCAGGAAGTACGAGAAGCAGGCTCAAACCGAAGAGCGAAGGAAGGAAGTTCACGAGAAAGAGATGGAGATCGAGAGGCGAAAGAGAGAAATGGAGGAGCAGGCGGATAAAGAACTGACTCCCGAGCAAAAGGCAAAGTATGGCGTTCTCGATCCCAACAGCTACGCCCGTGACTGGAAGCATGAGGCGCGCATGGACATCAAGACCTTCTCGGCCTCAGACGTCGGAAAGGAGGTCGTGTTCCGTGCCCGAATCCATCACCTGCGAAAGATGAGCGCCAAATTCGTCTTCTTTGTGTTCAGGCAGCAGCTGGGTACAATCCAAGGAGTTCTGCTGGAGCATGGCGACATCTCAAAGTACATGCTTTATTGGGCAGAACACCTCGATGCCGAGAGTATTGTGCTCGTCCGGGGTATCCTACAAGAGCCCAAGGCTAAGCAGGGCGAAGTCACTGGCGCTACCGTTCACGATGTTGAGGTTGCTGTGCATGATCTCCACGTAGAAGCCTCCGTCACTGAACACCTCCCCTTCAACGTGTATGAAGCAGAGGTCTCCCAAAAGGATGTCGATGAGGAGATCGCTCGAGGTGATCAGAACGAAGGACACCGGGTCAAGATCGCGGATCGAACGCGCTTGCATAACCGTGTCATCGATCTGCGGACGACCACTTCTCAGGGTATCTTCCGCATACAGTCCGGTATCTGCAGGTTCTTCCGGCAACAACTTGACAAGGAAGGCTTCATTGAAATTCACACTCCCAAGCTGCAGGGCGGCGCAACAGAGTCCGGTGCGAGTGTCTTCAAAGTAGAGTACTTCGGCCGTGGCGCATTCTTAGCTCAGAGTCCTCAGCTGGCTAAGCAAATGTGCATATCTGCCGATTTTGGCAAGGTATACGAACTAGGAGCGGTTTTCCGTGCGGAAAACAGCAACACCTACCGGCATTTGACCGAATATACGGGTCTCGATCTGGAGATGGCTATCGACGAGCATTACCACGAAGTTCTACGTACTTTAGACCGCACCTTCAAAGCCATATTCACAGGTATCTACGAACAATTTCGCCCCGAAATTGAAATCGTCAAGCGTCAATTTCCCCACGAAGACCTAGTCTGGCTGGAAGAGACTCCCATCATTCCTTTCGCGGAGGGCATTCGAATGCTGAACGAGTCCGGCTGGAGGGACGAAGACGGCAACCCTCTTGACGAGAACGAAGATATGGGTACGAGGGACGAGGTACAGCTCGGTCGCGTGATCAAGGAGAAACTGGGTACGGATTACTATGTTTTGGATAAATTCCCAGTCAACGCTCGTCCTTTCTATGCCATGCCCGATCCCGATAACAAGGCCGTCACCAACTCCTTTGATATCTTCCTTCGAGGTCAGGAAATCCTCAGTGGCGGCCAACGTATCCACGACGCAAACATGTTGCTCGAGAACATGTCGAGGTTGAAGATGGATCCCCAGACTATGGAAGAGTATATCCAAGCTTTCCAGTGGGGAGCACCTCCCCACGGCGGCGGTGGAATTGGTTTGGAACGTATCCTTATGCTTCTCTTGAGCCTTGGCAACATTCGACATGCCTCGCTATTCCCCCGTGATCCGAAGAGTTTGCCGGAGAAGCCCATTGTCAAGCAACTGCGTCACCCAGAGGCGAGCACCATGCATCCTCCATGGGAAGGTCAGGATCGCGCCGCCGCTGGTCTTGACTACCAATCGATTGAGAAGCTCATTGCGAACTACGGAGATGCCACAAACACTTCCTGGCTGGAGCCCCGCACTGAGATCTGGCGGGACGACTTCACGGGTGCGGCCGTTGGATTTGTTCCCCAGGATGGCTTTGCTATTACTGTCGGTGACCCCCTCTGCCACCCATCTCAGTATCTCAAGACAATGGCTGGGTATCTCAAATACATCAAGAAAGATCGTGGACTGAAGCCATTGTGGCTTCTTGTCGGTAAGGAGGCCGAGGAAGTCCTCGCTACCAAGTTCAACTGGCGCACTTTCTCTGTTGTTGCTGAGCAACGTCTTGATCCCGGTCACAATCGTGCGCTGAACGATTCTGATCTTCAACGCAAGATCCGCCATGCTGAGAAGGAAGGCGTTAAGATTATCGACTACCCCATCGGCAGCCCACCACCGCAAGAGGTCAAGGCCAAGGTCGATGCACGTGTTGAGGATTGGTTGAAGAACAGGAAGGGCCGTCAAGTGCATCTGACCAATGTCCACCCATGGCAAGATGAGGAGCATCGCCAGTACCATATCGCCCAGACTCCTGATGGCACCGTCGTGGTCTGCGTAGTCATGGCACAACTCAGCCCTGACCACGGCTGGCAAGTCAAGCACACGCTAGATTTCCCTAATGCGCCATCCGGATCGATCGAGTATGTGCTCACGCACGCGCTCAAGGTGGCGGCGCAGAACGGAGCGACAACTGTCACGTTTGGCGGTGGTGCCAGCTCCAAGTTCACACCTGGACACAATGTCAAGGGCACGCGAGTCAAGGTGCTCAGCCGGGCATACCACGCCATCGCTACCGAACTCAAGCTCACCAACAAGACCGAGTTCAGAGAGAAGCTGGGCGCAACGGATGACCCGAGCTACATCTGCTACCCGCCGCATGGGCTCGGGCCAATGGCGATCAAAGCTATTCTGAACTTCTTCGAGGACGATGACTACTAGAGACATGGTGGAGCAGGGTCTAGAGAGGGACGGATCGTATATGCCGATGATGATGATGATATTTCTGAATAACGAGAGGTTTTGTGCGACGGAAGGAAGCGTTTGAATGAATGATACCACGCGTCTGGAGTAGAGGGATTTCAGACCAATTCTCCAGCCATTATACCTTTTTGCTCCCGAATTTCTGATTATTCTTCCCCCCCCTTTAATATAATCTCCTTCTCTCCTACGAGAACTTGTTTGGTCCACGGGCTACCTATGCACATGATAATGTTGCTGCGCCGTGACTCAAACTCAAAATACGACTACAGATGTAATTACCCATGGTCTTATGGGTTTTGGCCCGACACGACTCGCGCAAGACGCTTGTGGGATCATGTATAGATTGCAGCTGGCATGTATCCAACCATGTTGGTGACGTAGATAGTGACATGTGGATATGTATATAGTCGCAGAATAGGTGGGTTGTTGCAAGTACGTGTGGGCGGCACAGGGAGAGGGTTCGGGGTTTAGGCAAAAAACCAATAAAGAGGCGGCAGCCTATGGCAGAGTGGCGGCAAGTCCGTAGGCGGCGCTATCGCCCAAGCGGGCGCGCCCAAGGTCTCAAAACAGGCGGCGCGGGGCCAATGGGCGTGTGCAAGCAGGAGCACGGCCGTTTCATCATCCCATCTGGGTGACTGCAGGAACGACGCCCCCCCAGTCGGGCAGGCACACCCCTCGTTGCCGTGCGTGCCATGTCCGACTCCCTCGCCTGTCTGCTCTTGTTCCTCCAACCTCAACTTCCTCCACTCGAGGGCGGAGCTCTTTGCTAGTCTTTCCTTGACACAGGTCGCTTCAGACCTCTTGTTCCTTTTCTTGTTCATCGTCACTCTCTCAAGGCTCACACGCCTACAACCCATCTACAATCATTACCATCGAAAACAGGGGAAGACACGCCGGTTCGTGCTCCCACTTGCAAGCTCATCGCGAGCAACGCCAATCGAGTCGAAACATATCGAATCATCAAACCAATACATACCAATCCACAATTTCATCATCAATCTTCTTTCATCTATCAAACCGTAAATATGTTGGGCTTTCACAGAAGAACACGCTCCTTAATCCCCGTCAAGGATCTGGGCAAATACGACAAAGTGCCGCTGGACGAGGCAGAGTCGGACGCAGAATCGAACGCTGGCGAGATGGAGATGGAAATGGACATGGGCAACGCATCTTCCCGTCCCGATGTCAAGGCTCGCCAGCTTCAGCTCTACTTGGTCTATCTGGTGTTCCTAGCCGAAGCGTATGTTGTTCGCGTTACACTCCACACCAGGGTCTAGTTGAAGCTAATGCAGGGACGTGTAGAATCATGGCCTCGAGCCTTCAACCTCAACTCCAGATGCTCATTTCGGGCGACGAATTCTGCGGCAACATTTCGACCAGCTACCTGAGCAGCATCCTCGACTGCGCATATGCGTTTGGCGGCACAACCGGCCTTTTCTGGGGTTATCTGGCGGATCGCATGGGGAGACGCCGCGTCACGCTCATGGGACTCTGGGCCATGCTTGTTTGCTGCTTGAGCATGGGCTTTGCGACCGATTTGGCAACCTGCACCATCTTCCGATACTTTGCGGGGCTCGCCAGTTCCACCGTGGTGGTCACAACTTTGGCCATGCTCGGTGATCTGAGCGAGAGCAGCCAGGAAAGAGCTGAGAACGTTGCGCGCTTGCCCATGATTGCCCTGTGTGGTTCCATGGGTCCCATTGCGCAGAGCATGGTTTCGGAGAGCCTTCGTGCCTCAGGTGCCTTGTGGGAGAAGTTCCCTATCCTCGGATCCCAGCTAGTGTGCAGCAGCATTGTATTGACAATCGCCACTGTAGCTTCCATCATGCTCAAGGAGACGCTGCCTATGGATTTCAACCGCCACCAGAGTGCTGTGGATCTTGATTGCGAAAAAGCTGCCTTCCTTACCTCGAGCGATTACGAAGATCCAAGCGTCGAAGTCGTTGACTTTGTTCGCCCAGATCGCATCTCCATCAACCAGTTTCTTTCCGCGCCTTCCTTCATGGTCCTCCTGGCTTCTTTTTCGTTGCTTTCTCTCCACGCATCCACGTTCGACGTTTTGCTTCCCCACTTGGGTCACAGTGACTCTCAGCATGGCGGAATGGGCATCTCGTGCTCGTGGCTAGGTCTTACAGTGCTGGCAGTGAAGGCGGTCGCGGGCATTACCCTGGCGTGTGTTATCCCAGCACTTATCAAGAAGTTCGGTCTGCTCAAGCTATACCGCTTGGCTTCCCTTCTGTTCCCTGCCGTCTACTTGGCCACCCCGCTCTTGGCCATCGCAGCAGCGTCCTCGTCGGGCTTTGTGGCTGCTACTTCCACCTTTGCGCTCCTTGTGAAACACCTCCTCACCGGTGGAACCACCATTCTCGTGGCTCTGTTGGTGCTCAACACCACACCCGACGCCTTCTCAGCCGGCACTGTGGTCGGGCTGATGCAGGTTGCCAGTCTCTTCAGGGCGCTTGCCGTAGCCGTGTCCGGAGCCAGCTTCTATCTTAGCAACGACATGAAGGTATCGACGACCAACTTTGCTCTCTGGACGTGTCTGGCGCTGTTTGGCGCGGTCGGAGCAGCATTGGCCTACTTTGTGCGCGAGCGGCCCAGCGTCGAGCGTGATTTCCCCAGCGAAGTCCTATGCTGGGAAACGTGCTTCGATGCAGACGCCGAGAAGATTGCTTTCGATGACTGATTATGCGTCTCGTATCACATTCTCTTGTTTCCACTCGAACTATATGTTTTGATTACTTTTGTTTTTTGTTTTGTTCCAGTACGCCTTCTATGTTCTTGTTGAACCGGAGAAGCAGAGCGTTCGCTACCGATGTATCATGGCGTTGGAGCATGCACGCCATGTTGGTCTCATATGGAGCAGTGTTTCTGCACTGATATCTGCCATATTCCTCTGTGGGTGGCGCTGCTGCTCTTTACCAGATGCTCATCTCAATTCTACCCACGACGCAGGATTGAAGTTCACGGGCCAGGGGTTGGCACAGAAGGTGGGTAAGCGAGAGTGGCCCTCCCAATCTGAAACACGCCAAACAAGGCGAGTGTTGCTAAAAGCCTCTGCTACATTTGGGGGGGCGAGGGGGATGGCAGGTGTGTGTGTGGAGAGGGAAGTATGGATTGGTGTCGTAGAAGAAGAATATCACCATTGTCGTTTTCCACATGGATTGTCATCGTGCGTGGAACCAGCGTGATGACTGCAGAGTAGAAGGTTGACTAATGCTGTAGCAGATGCAGGTAACTTTGGAGGGTGGGTTCGTGTCGATTCGACTAGGCGGAGGCCAGATGGATGGTTCGCGGCTTTGATGACAGCCAGACCAGACTCAAGTGGGGTCGGGGTTGCGCCCCTGCATGTCCCGCAGAGTTCAATTTCCAAAGTCACATGCAGCCTGGCTGTGCGTGCGCGCGCCTGTTGTTTACCTTTCTTGTTGCCCAGACCAGATCTCAGTCCAGCACCTACTTGCTTGCTTGCTTGCCTGCTTGCTTCGTCGTTGTTATTGCTATCCTTCGCGCTTTCCACTCCTAGCTGCTGTCATCTTACTCCACTCCCCACCACAACACTTGACCACGACCTCTATTCCACCAGACATTACACGGAACATCGATCCTCTGCGCATACAATACCGCTTGTATATAACATACGTCCCCCCCTGATCGACTGCTCTGCGCTCACCGCCCGCACGCAATGTCGCTCTCCACCTACAAGGCCTTTCTCGCCTCGCTGTCGCCGAGCGCACTCGCCGATGACGCCTCGCTGCACTATGTCACAACTCTTACGACCCTGCAAGGTGCCACCGCGATAAGCAAACACTATGCTGTTCAGGACAAGCTGCTGAAGAGAAAGGGCGACAAGATTCTGAGCGTGGTGGACGGCGGAAACTCGTTGTCTGTCGACGTCGAGACCACCCTGGAGTTCATCCATGGAGGTGGCGCCTATCTTCCAGGTCTGGACGACAATTTCGTGGCCGATCGAGTGGTGACGTTTCATATGGTGTGTCGATTCGCGTCACTTTCTACCTCACCATGCTAACACAATCCCAGATCCACATTGTTCACTTCAACGAGCAAGGCAAGATCCACCAAATCCGTCTGTATTGGGACCAGGGTTCTCTACTCAAGCAGATCGAGGTCATTGGCGCGCGCGCTCGCAATTGGCCCATTCGCGATGGTAAAGATCAGATCCGCCTGGTCGCTTCGAGCGCCAAAATCGTCCCCTCGGCCGACTCTTCCAAGGCAGGAGCTGCTCGAGGGGAAGACGAGGTTTCGGTGCGCTCGTCGCGCTCCCGCGGCTCCACCACTAACGCCATGAACGATCCGCACGCGAGCCTGCAGCTGTTCCAAGCTCGTGACGTAAACCGAGAGTCTTCCGAATCGCGCCCTGCAGGACCGCGCACCCAATCCATGAAACCCCCGCCCCGCGATTTGGGCGAGCTCTTCGTCGACGAGGCGTCTGCCGCGGCCGCCAATCCAAATGACTCTCCTGCGAAGCACGGCATCCCCACCAAATCAGGTGGCGGAAGGAATTTCAAGAGCAACCGCTTGTTCGACGAGGCCGGAGAAGAAGAGACTGCACCGACTCCTATGAGCAGCGTCAAGACCAACGCGAAGAAGTATTCACACTTTGAGTTCGGCGATGGTGAAGACACACCCAAAGTCAAAGAGGGCCATCGCTCATCGAGGTCGCATCACCAGTCCAACTGGGATTTCGAAGATTTCAACACTCCCGCGAAAACTAAGACGAAGATCTTGAGCCAGAACGTTCGTCACTTTGGTTGGAGCGATGACGAGGTCAGTGCTCACTATGAGCCTCAGTCGGTTGAGGTTATTTTCCTTTGTTTTTCCATGATCCAGACGATGGACGCTGACTTTACATGTGCTAGGAGGAGGGTTCCCCTATCCGTCGACCTGTAGTCCACAAGGCGCGCCCCGACGCCGATGCGCACTTTGACTTTGAAGACGAGGCTACGCCAGAGGGCCAGCGCAAGTTGGTTTCGAACAAGGGACGCAATGCGAACAAGGGCATGGGATTGTACAAGGACCATGTGCTGGGTTCTTCTGGCGAAGAGGAAGGTGCAAACCCAGGTGACAACAAGCGCGGCCACAACGACGTGACGACCCACGTCAGAAATGATAGTCGCAAGAAGGATTTCGCACCCCACTTTGAAATGGCAGACAACAGCCCCAGTCACGGCAAAACTGATACTAAGGCTGCGGTCCCGGAGATCAAGAAGAAGGCCATCCAGACCAACTGGAAGCTGTATGACGACACACCAGGAAACCGCGGGGGAATCAATGTTGCTGGCAACGGCATGGGCGGTCGCAAGGGTACTGAGTTCAGCCTGTACGAAGATGAACCCGAAGACAAAACGGAGAGTCGGCACATCAAGTCGATGGGTAACGGCATGGGCGGTCGCAAAGGCACCAAATCAGGCAACTTTGACTGGGACTTTTAGGAGGACGACCGGTCTTGTCGAGTGAGGATGTCGAAGAACAAGGAGAATATAGCAAAGGGAGAGAAGGATGAGGAAGGCAGCCCATCACCCCCCAAACGCAGACGGGAGGAGATCATTTGAAGGGGGGGGGCACGGATGAGGCACGAAACACCGGCCGGCCAACCAGCCAATCGACAACGGCCCTTGGCTTTGTCTTGTAATGTTACCATTGTTTTGATGAGACGAATCATGGAGGAGTGACCAGAGAGACTTCCGAGTGCGGTACTGGATGGGGGAACTCTGGCACCATCTGACCGAGTGGTATTATAGTCAGTGGCAGCAGGAGTAGTGTTTTGCGTGACACCATGAACGAATGTCATGATCTTGGAAAGGCCTCTTTTTTGTTGGTTTTGTCGCTCTTTTCGCTCTTGATATTCTGATCGGGTCCATATCGTGTAGTGTAAAAGGGTGCATGGGAAAACAAGACGTTCAAGACCAAATACAATAGAGACGTGATGAAGATTGACAAGATTGACAACAGAGCAGATAAGGAAATATCAAATCCGTGAGATTGGATCGGATTTGATACCAATCGATTACCATCTACTTTTTACTCGTGTTTCTACTTTCTCTTTGCTTGCATCCCGTTTCCCATCTTTTTTCTTCTCCCGGGCTGATCCAAAAGTCACATCTGCGTGGAGTAAATGGATAGATACTTTTCATACACAGTCAGGCACACACACACCAACAGTAATTCAGTCAACAGACAATAATGATTCTAAAAAGAACCGAGAGCAAGAGTTCGAGAGGCGTGAGAACCTCATCGTTGACTACTCAGCTATCTCGCTACTCATTCAACAGCACACATACATGCGTACATACATACATAGCGCCTGAACCACCTACCTCGTGACAAGGGGGGGAAAAAGACAAGGGTAATGCCCTCTTCCTTTTTTTTTCTTTTCGTTCTCCGTCACACCCTCTCTGAAGCGAAACATGAAAGAGACCTCCCGAGGACATGGCAGTCCTTATCCACCTTTTCTTTTGCGTCCGTCCTTCCGTCCGTCTTGTCTCACAAACCCTATAGAAGAAGAGAAGAAAAAAGAAGTAGAAGTAGAAGAAAACAGTAAAACAGTAAAAAAAAAAAAAGAAGGAGAAAGCTCCCTTCCGCTTTTCTTTGAAGCAGTAGTGGAGATATCGAAGGCAAGACAGAATAAAACCCTTCCACCAGTCATGGTTTCCTTTCTTCGCCATTATTTCCTCGCCCCTTCCCTTCCCTTCCACCCAAAAAGAAGACATTTCTCTGGATATATTGATTGTAGCCGAAAGGGGACCATACCCTTAAAAAATAAACCTGAAGCCAGAGACCAACCAACCAGGTAATGGTCCCCATTATCCCTACGCCAAAAAAGATTCCCAGATACCCACCAGTCGCGTCAGTACCCCGTGTACGATAACATGTTTAACAAAGGAAAAGAATATTGTCCGTGAAGAAACCTGGACCGGATTGCGGAGTTCGCGGGTGCCATGGTTGGGGTGAAGATTAACGTGAGATATGTGACGCGATTCGGAGATGATGCAGGGGGTATGCTATTATACAGAGGACACATTGGATGGACCAGAATGTCCTGGAAGATATAGGCACAATGATCGGACGCGCACTAACGGTGGGGGTGCTCATAGGGTCGAGGACCACCGAATTCGACGCCTTGCATGGCGGATGGCGGTGGTGCTGGCCATGGCTGTGACTGGGTTGGGGTCTGCTGCTGCTGCTGTTGCTGCTGCTGCTGCTGTTGTTGTTGTTGTTGAAGGGGCGGCAGGACATTGGGTGTAGATGCAGGCGCGTTGCCTTGTTGTTGTGCCAGCATACCGGTCATGGAGCCATACACGTGAGGGTTGCTGGGGTCCATGCGACGGAGATGCTGCCAGACAGCGCCAAGCTCGCTACGCAACAGCTCGTTTTCTTCCTGAATACGACGGGCATACTCAGCTTCGGGCCGTAAGCGTGCAATTTCAGCTCGCGTGCTTTCGTAATTCCGCCCAAGGTTTTTGATGTGATCGATGGCTACGACAGAGTTAGTAAATCAGAGCCAGTGATGGCAATGATGGGGTCTCACATTTTGTCAGGATTTCCCACTTGCTGGACTTGCTTCCGGGACTGTTGGGCAAGATGTTGTTCAACTCGTCAAACAGCGACTTCATCTCGCTACGGCGCTTCCGTTCGGCCATTTTGTGGCTGACACGGAGTTCGGGAGTCCTGCTGTAGTTGCCTCCGCCCGCGGCGTTGGCTTGGTCGGCCGTTTGAAGGTTCGTGACGCTCCGATGCTGCATCGAGTGATGGTGGGTGCTGGGAATGTCTGCATCGACAGTCAGCCCTGCTGGTGTTGGGCAGGAATCAAAAATGGGTGGCATGCCGTCGTCTAATCTTTTCTGCCCTAGGGGCAATGAAGGGTCTTGTGCATAAATGCTGCTTGTGACAGAAGCAGCGAAGCTGTTCTGACGGGAGGGCATAGAATGTCCAACACTAGACTCACCGCTGCTGGAACCTCTCCTTTCCTCATCAGGTTCCGCTGGAAAAGCCCAGGCATAGCCTTTTGTGGGAGCAGCGGCCATGGGATCAGGCATTCCGGACACGCTTCGGGGGTTTGGGTTAATAACCGGGGCCCTTCGCGGGGTCTGGTTGTTGCGAGCTGCTGATTGAGGGCCAAGGGGAGAAAGAGGCGAAACGCCGATGGGCCGCTGCTCAGCAGTAGTGATTCCGCGTTGCTGCTGGAGATTGGAGACGAGGGACACGCGTGAAGCATTTTGGCTGTCATAGGGAGAACCGGGACTAAGGGTTAGATGGGTCATGCCGGCATTCATACGGCTGTCTACACTGCTGCGACGTGACTCAACTTGGTCGATGCTGAGCCGATTGTCGAAGGCCTGATTCAGCGAAGGTAGGGCATTGGGCTGTGATTAGATTAGATGGGGAATAATGATGAGTGTGGCTTGGGATGAATGTACCTGCTGAGCACCAACGCTGGAAACGGTCGACAGGCCAGAAGGATATCTGGCCGAGGAAGGTGTGTCGGGCACAGAATGGCGTGATGGAGAATCTTCAGCATTGAGGATGGTTTGAAGCTGCAGACCCATGGTGTTGGAGACGCCCGAAGAGTGCTTGCTTTGAGAGATGGACCAATTGCCCGAGTCTCGGGCTTCGCGAGACTCGGACTGCTGCCCCAGGCGAATGGGGCTCTGTTCGGCCGGAGACAGATTACCTGTGAGGGAGGCAATGGAGGGTAGGGCAGGAGGCTGAGGAGGTTGAGACATGTTGGCCTGGGGAGGCGGATAATGCTGAGAAGCCGTATCCATGGTGGTGGTGAAGCGGGTTGGGAGGTGGTGATGGGATAGCAAAAATAGAGTGGTCGTGGATGGGAGATCGGATCGGAATCGTGAGCGAGGGAGAGGTGAGTGGTATTCACGAGGGAATGTGCTGATGTCGACGAGAATAGAGTAGGTAGAAGTGCAAGTGCCAGCGAGCAGGTGGGAAGCAGGACGGTCGGAAGTTGGGGGCAGGGCAGGTGCAGCGCGAGGCAGGCACGAGGGAGCTCGCGAGATGCGGGATAGCGTGGCTTCCTCAAGAGGTAAGAAAGAGACGACGGGTTGGGTTGGCGGGGCACAACAAACGCCTCCGTCTTTTGCAGAGTGCCACGGCGGGACCGTAGAGCTCTCGAGGTAGCTGGCGGGAGGATAGAGAGGGGGATAAAGGAAGGGCAATGTCAAGGGGGTTTCTTGTAGAGGCACAGGCAGGCACTATAGCTGCACCATGGAGCTCCTGGCTTTCTCTCGACGCAGCACAGCCAAATCGGAAGTGGCTGCAGTGCTCTTCTCCACGCGCGCCCAGGAGAGCAATTGCAGGTTTGCGACTTGACTGGGATGGGATTGATTGTCGGGACCCAGGGTTTGGCGTGTGCAACCAGCAGGCAAGCAGGCGGCAGAGTCAGAGTCGCAACAGATTGTGGCTTGTGGCGTTGGGGCGACGTCGTGCAGACAGTGATGGGATGGCACGAGACTGGGTAGGTCTATGTGCAGAAGAATAACGGAGAGGGTGGGAAAGAAGTAGAGAAAAGGTGTCGTCGTCGCAGGTGATGGCCGAGAGATGACGGGATGGCGGGTGAATGGGTGGGAAAAAGGAAGCAATGCAATGCAAAGGAGAGCAGCAGCGCAGGGGAGGGGAAAATATAGGATGGGGAGGCAGAGTCGAGAGTCAATTCAATTGACGCTTAGGGAGATCGCGCACCCAAGGGCAAGTCGCGGTCGCGGTTGCAGTGGTCGCAGTCAGTCTCTCTCTCGCTCTCATCGGCCGGCTGAACTGGTTTGGGCGCGCCTTGCATGGACCAGACCCAGGAGAGGAAGATAGTGGTAGTCGAGAAGAGGCGACGAGAGGAGAGACGGCGGTCGAGGGGATGGTTCGCAGGCGGAAAGCGGGGAGTCGAAGAGAAGAAAGTAGTGGAGACGAAGGGGAGAGGGATGGAAGTGTGGAAGGATGATGATGTTGACGACGACGACGACGACAATGGGGACACAGGTCAGATACACACGGACAGACACACACACGCAAACAAGCAGGCAGGCAGGCGAGCACACGCGCGTGCGCAGGTGGATGAATTGGTGGGTGGTGGACGGTCGGGACTTTTTTTTTTTCAGCGGACGGTCGAGTCGTGGTGCGGCGAGCCAGGCAGCATCGAACGGGTGGTGAGTTCGTGGGTGGATGAGGGGAAACGGGGACGGAGACGGAGAGAGGTCGGTGGGCAGCGAGCAGACAGGCAGGCAACGAGTGAATGGATGGGTAGATGGATAGATGGATGGATGGGGGTGGGCAACAACGGTTCAGCGTCGTCTGTCTCTGGTGGGTGTAGTCGGTCAACGAGCGATGGATGGGTGGATGGAACAGAACAGACTGGTCTGGTCGCGGAGCAGGATCCGCAAGGGCAGACGGAGCAGGGAGGGAGCCAATTAATGGCGCAGCCAACGCCCAGAAACGCGGCGGGCGCACGTGGGAAATGGATCAATCAAGGCTTCGTGTATCTCACCAGGGCCCTTGCCGGCTTAGCTTGTCTGCTTTAATATGTCCATGTATGTACCTACCCATCTTCCCTTGGGTCAGCCCGTCCGTCTCACTTGGCCGATGACTCGCGCCGCTTCTTTTTGCAGCCTTTGAATGATTAATTCACCTTTTCCCTTTGCATCTTCTACCTGGTTTGGTTTGAGAGGGGGGAAACGGGCAACGGGGGCACGGGGCACGGAGAAGGGAAGGGGGGGCGCGGTAATAATACGTGATGCTACCACTACCGCTGCCAGTCAACAGCTACCACTGCACACGTTGTACGGTAAGATCCCCCTCTTGGTGATACGTATCATTGTCAGGTAGGATATTGGGTGGGTGCATGGACGGATTGGTGGATTGCAGCATCATGGATCATGGTAGATGGCTACATAGATGCTATGGCCGACGCGGCACGGGATCATCGTTCCTCGATCTGCCAACCCCCTACCTGCCTGCCTGTCTGCTTCATCGCTCCGCTGCCGAAACCAAGGGTGGGCTGTCTTGGAGTCCCATGTTCCCTTGATAGATACATATAGTACATTCAAATGTGTACAGTACAGTGTACAGTGTGTGTGTATGGGTGCATGTACCCAAGCGACAAACGCTCGCATACATGCAAACGGGCACCCCCTCACCTCCTTCTCTTCTCCGTCATGGTCCCCAGCCGGCTGATTCATGCTGTTAACATTTATGCCTCTCCTTCCTCCGACAACCTGCCACTTGACCATTTGCCTCCATGCACCCATTTGCTGCGTGGGCGGCGACGATCCCCCATAATCGCCCGAGACTAAGACTCGTCGCGTGCCCTCCCGCATCTAGTTTCGCCTGCTTTGGACAATGTGGCCTCCCATGTGCTCCAGGCCTGGGATATCCCCTCCCCCCCGTCATGTGATTGATCATGCTACCTGTTCATCAACATTTGCTATGTTCAAATGTTCTGATGAACCCACCCCCGCTTGTCCTGCCAGTGCAGACACTGCTTGCTCCACCAGAGCCCACGCACGTTTTCCCTCTTTGCTGCCCAGACCGACCAACCGACCGACAGACAGATGGACAGACTCCGAACTCCCTCCCCGAGCCTAGCGGCCTCGACACAAGCCCGCTGCTAGCACCAAACCGTGCTCAATGACTCGGCCTACCCACACGCTCGCGGATGCAGCCCTCTGCAGTCGGCCCCCGCACGCGCGCCCCCAGCGCCTCCGATCCCGGGCTGCCGCGCCTTAACAGCTCGCTCTTAATTCCATCTCGGCACCTTATGGTTGATGCTATTGCTTACATGTACCCTGGAACCTTCCTTCTTCACGTCAATTGAAATGATATGATGCCAGCGTCCTTTTGCTCACTCATGTCCGCACAATTTACCATCTTCGCATCTTATTCCCGTCCACAGCATCCCTGCTGTCTAGGCCCACAGCGGCTCGCGTTCCTGATGTGCCCAAAGGGGAATGCGAGGGTGGGCCGTCACACCAGGAGTCACGTTAGTATGATGCCACAGCAGCAGCAGCAGCAGCAAGAGTGGTAGTAGCAGCAAATTAGTACTGTAGTGGTAGTAGCAGTAGCAGCACCATGTACTGTGTGTACATTGCAGTGGGCATACTGGAATGCACCCATGCATTCATTCATTCATTCATCCATCCATCCATGACTGACTGACTGACTGACTGACTGACTGACTGACTGGGTCGTTCCGCCAGTCGGATCTCACCCAACCATTCGCCTGCAACCCACCGCTCTCCTGTCGTCACTCATCAAACACGGTGCGCGGTACAGTGACGCCTGGCTCGCCTTCATGCCCGTCATGCCCGTCCTCGATGCCCATGACGACACTTCAAGCGCTTCCGTGGTTGTTTGGCGACGCAAAACGTCTTCAACGTTTGCGAACGCGAGCCGTGGTAGCCCTCGAGCTAGCCAAACTTTATCGCACCGCTCACATCACATGGTAACATGGCGATTCCAACTCAGCATCGCAACGGCTTTGGGCGCACCAGATGCCGCTCCGACCGTGTGTATGCAGCCGATCAACGCTACCTCTTCACCATGACCACTCTCTGCTTCGGGCATCGACTGTGTCTGCTCGCAGTCTGGCCGTGTTTCTCTCTCGTACTCGCATGTTTCGCCCCCGTCGCTAGTTCACGTCCGGCATCGTACCCCGTTGTGGCCCTCGGATCCAGCCTCTTCACGCCGTGTCTATGCAAAGGCACCCTGTTACGCACATGGCGCGTTGCCCTCGTCACCACCATCCTACCTATCTGTACATGACTTAGCACCAAACAGTGTTCCCAAGCACAAATCCGACAACCGGGTCCACCACCAAGCCTCTGCTCCCCGTCCATGGTGCAACGGCATGCTGGTGTGCTGTGCTGTGGTTGACAAACTCCAACTAGCTAGCTAGCTGGCTAGCTATTGCGTTGCCCTTGTAGCATACCACCTCCTACCCCACATCTACAACCCAATTTACCATTTCATCTCTGTTCGTGAGCACTGTGCGCCGAGCTGCATATCTTGAAACTACGCAGAGAGGGAGCACGACGTCGGTAGCCGGCAAGACGTTCCAGCCATTTGCCAAGCACAAGACTGTCGTGTCTCTTTCCCATCAACTGCCAGTACGAGTATGGTCGTCCGTCCGTCTCCACTCGCCATGTACAATCGACCTCGACATGGTGGAGAGAAGACTAAGCGCCGAACAAGGCCACTCCACCTTCTGCATGCAGGAATCAACCCTCTCTTGGATCTTGGGCGCGGCTTGTCGCACAGTCCACCAACTCTGATTTTTCTTTTTCTTTTCCTGCCTCCAAGCCACCGCATGTCCTGTCCTATAAATCTTATTCACCAAGCCAGCCAGGTGTATCGTAGTGCAGATGGGAGACACGTTCCCAGCGGCATCAGCAACAGCAGCAATCACCGTAGCCGTCACCGTGTTCATTCCAAACGTCAAGCAACCCGTGCAGTGTGCATCAGCGCGCCAAAGCTGGCAGCAGCAGCTGTGTACGACTGTTGAGGTATTACAACCGCGCTGGCGGGAATCTCCTTGTGACAAATCACCCCATAGTTACGCGGTCCAATGTGACATGACTTCCTTCATTCTTGTCGAGTTTTAAAGGCCACAATCTCCACATCTCAGCAGATGGCGGACGGTAGTAATTTAGCCGTCCGTAATCGATAAGGGGTCCAGACGCAGTGGTGCTATGTCAGCCTCGCAGGCTGGCTGACCTGGCTCTGCCTTGAACGTCCAGCGTCGAAACTCCGTGCGTGTGTTGAATTTCACATGCAGAAGGATGACCACCCATGACCCAACTACGCAGCACGGAGTACGCTTCGCTTCGACTCTACGCGTCCAAGACTCGAACATGGCCCTGTTGGAGATCCGGACATGTGGCCTAGATGCGGCAGCTTTGAGTAGCCATCGGGCATTCCCGAGGCAACACTGATGGCATTCAGGGAACCGTGGGCCATGGGAATGTTGATTGATATGCATGCAATGGCAGTGAAACAATTGATGATGCCAGGCCTTGCCACTGGTAGGTCAACACCTCAGGCCCAGCCTGGCCCACGCTGAGATGGGCCTGCCACGTATGCACACACAGTATCGTACGTACCGCATCGCTCGGGTTTCGAGGAAATGGGAGAGCAAAGACAGGCTAAAATGGATACGAAGGAGAGGCAAAGTCCGGCGTCTCCAAGACGTGGCATTGATGATCAGAGCAAAAGTCGCCGACGGTGATTGGCACCCGGTAGCCGCGTCCGTCGCCGCCCGTTTTGCCTCTACCGCCACCATCTCGCTTATCGATCCGTCCGTCTGCGAGTGGCAGGTGGGGGATCACGTTAGTGAGTATCAAATGCAGCCTCAAGGCTTGAAGAAACAAGTCATGTTCCCAAGTTGAGTGCTGTCGCCAGCCGCCTGTGAAAAGTGCCATGTCACGTGTGCGGCCCGCTGCTGCTGGTGCCTGACATTCACATGCACGCGTGCATGCATGCATACATGGAGCGCCCCATATGTTTTTTGTGGCGGGGTAGCTAAGCACACACCGAGAGGCGTGGCGTGGAGGGGCGCAACGCGCCATCATTCAGCAACGCCCCCCGCGAGCTGTACACGCACGATCGATATCATCATTATGGGCATAGATTCAGCGAATGCCTATTTCCCGTTCCTTCAGCTCCCGCGGGAACTGCGTGACCAGGTGCGCCATGTGCAAACTCCCGTGTAGAGCCAGCGGCTGACCGTAGCATCCCAGATATACAACTACGTCTTTTCCATTCCGGACAGCCGCGGCGATCGCGCCCTCCGAATCGAACGTCGCCATCTCAAGCATTTCAAGCCTTCCGTGTCGTCCATCATTCTCGTTCTGCACCACGAGTATTTCCTCTTGAACCGTCAAGTGTGTCGCGAAGCACTCGAGGTGCTGTTCAAAAACCATTCCATATTCCTTAGCGGGGGACCTTATGTGCTCAAACAGCTGCTCGCGCGCATCGAACACAAGGGCGGCCCCTTCAAACAGTACTTGAGATGGATCAAGCAGATCGAGCTCGATTGGGTCACCTTTCCAAACTTGCGCGCCTACCCCCCGGAAAGGAGTGAAGGGAGGGATGAGTGGTGGTGGGAAGCCGACAACCACGAAGTCGACGTTGACTACATACGGGGGGCGCAGTACAGTGGATACTACGATGAGCACGACTATGAAGGCGGTTACTATGATGATAATTTCTATGAGGCTGAAGATGAATCACTGTACCCGAACTGGCCTGAACCTGCGTCGAGGCCGGGGCCCTCGGCGGGTGACGTTTTTGGCTTCTCCTCGCTGTACCCTTTTACCGATCCCTCGAGAGAGCCAGATTATGATGTCGCGGCAACAAATGACATAGAAACTAAACTCGATCTCCTCATCTCCATGGAAGTTACGCCGCTCTTCGATTACCTTGCGACACCCACATTCACCATATCCAGCATTGCCCTCCCACTTTACTTCATTTCCAAACAATCTTATCATGGACGCAACATCTCACGCCCAGGATACGCTCTGCCGCTCAAGATCAGATATTGGGTTCAAGTCTGCGTCCATGCTCTACTCATGCTACACAACTCTTCGACTTCCTTATCATCATCGCCCAATCTTCAGGAAGTCCGCATTAAATACATGCCATGGGATATATGGGCCTCAATGGACCCTACTGATGACCTCTCGCGCATGGTAGACAAGGGCATATGGTTTCGACCTGGCGAGGATCATAACAACGAAAGAGAACGGGAAGGGGAGGCGTTCCGCGCGGTGTGGGCGACCCTACAGGACACATATGGTCTCTGCAAGGGCAAGGATCGGATGGGTCTCCGCGCCGATATAAGATTTGTGAAGTGGGAGGGTGATTTGGATAAGTGGCGTGTTGGGGATGAGCTGGAAGTTGTATTTACAAAGTCGGGGACAATCTCTTGAATAGTAGTTGGCATCTGTAACAAGACGTAGCGCTACGTCTTTATGGGTTTCTGCTCCATTCTCCGTTTACCAGCTTTTTCATAGCTTCGCTCTTGTCGCATTCCTCCACTGTCACCCTCTCTAATGATTTGTAATGCTTGTTGGGTAGATTAATACGCCGCGGTGGTGGTCCAAACTCGGGTTAGCTTGGCTAGTTGACCGCTACGCTGATCGACTTCCACATACACCCAGGCTTACGTATTCTACATAACTACTCTTCACGCCTTGGCTGTTTACGATCGGCTCAATCCATAACCCATCTTTCATCGGGTGTCTGGCATATGGTGTAGGATGGATGATAGACTTGTGCAGTCTTTCTGCTGCATCTGCGGCGGCCCTTTCGAAAACATTACGGACCACCAAGAAGATGTCCGTTTCAAGGTATTTGACACCTTAAAGGTTCGCGCATGGGATCCCAATATGTTGGCAAATGTATAGTGGTTGGACTTCCATGTCGTTCTAGGGCTTCCCGAGTCATTTGCTTCTTTTTCTTTGACGGCCACTGAATCTGCCATCAACTACCCTCGTTCCAAGCGCACAGTTCCAATCTTCCAGACGGCTTCTCATACTAACGGTTCCTGGTTTGATATTGATTCCAAGTACGGCTCTGTTGGGACTGACACAGGTCAAGCTTTTTGGCCGAATGAGAGGGGCGATATGCTCTTCGCTCTCCACTCACATTGCTCGCAGATGATCCAAAAGGTCATAGACTTCCGCCAGCAATGTCCCGAGAAAAATAACCTTGTATCTGCGGGTCCTTCCACTCTACGGCAGTTCTATGATATCATGTTAAAAGCCAGCATCGATAAGCACTCCATTATCGGCATAAAATGGGATGGAGACTACCGAGGAATCAGCGAATTCCGCTATTATCACTACGCTTATGAGTTCGGAGAAGGCGGCAAGCACTTCCTGGTTGACCCTCTTTTGTCTATCGACGTCGCTGGATTTACCAAAGAATTGCTTCAGGGTGTGGAGAAGCCAAGTTCTGCAAGCCACAAATCGATCATCATTTCATCAAACCCTCAAACTCCACCTCCCATCGTACGACACCCGCAAACACCAATTCAACCTACGCCCGCAAGACTCAGTCTCGCATTCTTACCCCCCGAACTCCTCGAGCTCATCACGCTCTATCTACCCCTACCTTGTACGCTCGCCCTCCGGAGCACCTGCCGTCCCCTTCTCTACAAAATTCCTCTTAACCAGACATTCTACCGCACCCACCTTCTCAATAACACCGCTATACCATTTATATGGGACCTGGACTTATCATCAACCAAAGACTTCTCGTCCGCAGAAATGTGTTCGGGCGCAGACGCTGCACGGGACTGGAAGAACACAGTGCGTATACTAACTGACCAAGAGGGGTTTCTCGAGTCTTGGAAGCCGTCCAGGGACGATGATGAAGGAAGCATCAGTGTTGGGAAGGCACCCCAGAATTTGTGGAACCGGGTTAGGATATGGAATATCATTCAAGAAATCTCTGGTGAAGTATCCGATGTACCTATTGCAATGGAGCGCAATAGATGGACTACGTGGTGGAATCTTGGGGTCTAATACTTTCGAATATGATAGAAGCTGTCTTCTTTTCCAGTATTGGACGTTGTCCGGAATGCATTTTTCATGTTCACGGTCACTGACTTCGTGCCTATGTGTTCTTTCTACACAAGGACCTTGTATGGAAAACAACTGATCTGAAATTCCATTGCTGAACTCGGATATATACATACCTAGGTAGCTTTGAAGAAGCGCATCTGTTTGGCTGCTCAAACCATTTTGGCTTAGGCTAGAGGGCTATCGAAATGAATAAACAATATCGCAATTACCAATCGCGATCAACTAGAGTATTATTTTTCCCACTCGGCTATTGATTGCTTTAAGCAGAAGAACTCCCAATGTGGGAATCTACGAGGACGTCGATCTATAGTATTGCGTCTGCTCAATTCATCAGATTAACGGTTAAAGCGGCTTCAAGGCAGCCCTTTTAGCAGAAGCCATTCAACTTTCGATTTTACAACTTGACGTTGCGTTTGGCCGTGCATGATGCTACGGTTACTATCGCCACGTTCACATCCCGGGCCGCTCTGTATATAGTATATATAGTATACAAAGAACTCTCATACTCAGTACCTTCTCAAATAGCATCATACAGTTGTTCACTCCTGTATCATGGCTCTCCGAAATATCCTATGCAGTCTAGCATTTGTTTCATCATCATGTACAGTCATTGCCAAAGAATGTCTGCCAGCTGCAAGCGGTAACGAAACCGGGGATGACTCCCTGGGAATCAACAACGCCATCAAAGAGTGTGGTCAAAACGGTACCATAGTTCTCTCCTCTCCACAGGGATACATGCTTCGTACACCGATTGACCTGTCGCCCTGCAAACACTGCGACGTTCAGGTCGAGAGTCTACTCAAGGTAGGGCCAGGCCAGCCGAGATTTTGGATCGACATCGGCCACTTGATCTATATTGCGAACACAACCGGCGTCCGCCTAAGAAGTGTGACGGGGGATGGTGTTATCGATGGCAATGGGGAAGAGTGGTTTAACAGAACAGAATGGGTGACTACCAAATGTAGCCCTTATACACAACACAACTCAAAGCTCACTGTACTCCAGGTCCCACCGCAATGGAACGGCCCAGCGCTCATTAAAGTCACCAACCAAGCCAACGACATAACCATCCAGAATATTGCCCTCACAAACGCCCAGTCCCGCTACATCCAGCTCCTCGGCAATTCAACCCGCCTCACCCTTTCTAACCTCACTATGCACAGCCGCAACGTTCTCCCCCGCGAAACCGAGACGACGCCCTTTGGCATCGAGACTAGCGAATCTTCCCTCATCACCATCTCGGATGTCCTCATGGACTTTCGCAGCAAAACCAGCCCATCTAGCCCAAACAGCCTCCCCGTAGGTAATTGCGCTGCATTCGACCTCGGCACCCACGACCTCTCCATGCACAATGTCCGCTGCAACAATGTCTGGGGTGGTGCGCTCGTTCAATATGGTTCCGTCTCCGCCTCTCACCCTCCCGACATCACAATGTCCAACCTCCTCATATCGAACTTCACGTTCTCCGGTGTCAAAGCTACGGGTTTCCAGAGCCTCGGTGTATGGGAGCCCAAGTACGTCGCGCGCAATATCTCATGGGATGGCGTTACCGTTTATTCCGGTACACCCGCGGAAATGAATATCTGTTATTACAGAACGCATACGAATACGCCGTATCCGAATACCTGTCCACCGCGGGTCAATACGTTGGTAACGGACTTGTGGTTTAAGAACTTCAGAGGTAAGGTGGGCGTAATGCCTACGGATCCTGGGTGGGGGAATTGGAATAATATTAGTCATGTTGAGGCGCATTTTGAGAATTGGGTAGATGTAGGGGATGGAACTGTTACATAGGGGAAAGCTAACCGTTGAACCTGGATGTCTTCAGTGGAGGACTGGAATTAGGAAGGTTCGGTCGTTGGTGTCCCGCTACAGACCACAGTGTATGAGGAGATATAAACATGTTGCGGGTTTTTACTTGAAAGAGCCTATGTCATGTTAGACTTGGGACCCGAACAATCAACAACACATAAGCCTTCAACCTAGCATGCATACTACTATTTGGGGGAGAGGGACGCATCAACTATCAGAGGACTGTTCCTGGACGGCAGTAAGATTGCATTGTGCTAGTAACTGAACCTATTGCCTCCCAGACACCCGCCTTCTTACGATACAGAGAAGAGATCGGACAAAAAGCGGGCATAAATTCCAGCTCAACCTTTCCGTTAGTATACTACGCAGGTTTGTATATATGTAGAAATGAATCCTTCCGTCTACACAGACATCCTTCAATTTTGCGCTTTACCTCTTCGGGACTCGTGCAGATAAGCAGAGTGCATATTTCAGTATCTAATTAAGTCTACACCAGCATCTTTTATACCTCGATGGTCGAAAGTACATCCAGATTGGCAAGAAGCCATGCTTGATCAACAAATATGACCCCGAGCTCGTATTTGCTGTTGCTGATGGAGCGCACTAAAGATGGACCGATTTCCCGGCGGTGAAGTTCAGCGCAAAACCCAGTGTTGATCTTCGACGGGTCCGGACGAATAATAGCTTCTTCTCTCTCATTCATGGAGTTACGACGGAGCTTAGACAACTTTTTTCAGTCGTTCCTATCACTTTAGTTGGCATGCGGTCATGTCATACTATAGCCTTTGCAAGGAAATAATTACAGGGTAGTTTAGGAGGACTTCACCAGCTTTTCACCGGAAAAGGAATAAGCGGTAGCTGATGGCTTTCGACGACTTGAAACCAGGGAATGGCTCTAAAGACCATGTGCTTATGCCCAACTCCAATAATATTTAAACGGGCCCTCTGGTCATTCCAGGAATTACTCTTACTCTACATTCCAATACCTACGTTGTCTCATACCACAATGCGTCTTTCATATTCTCTGGCGTTTCTCTTCTCAATAGGAGTGGCAATATCTCAGCCAACTCAAAATGACTGCTCTGCTCTGGCAAGCAAAGTTCAGCTCGACTTACCTTTCACCGTCAACTTCGCTCAATATGTGATGCCAAATACGACAATTGATCCTACAGCCGAGGGGACGAACATCACCTGTGCCTCGGGTGCGCCGCCTCCACTTCCTATCCCAATCGCGTTCTGTAGGTTGAGCCTCAGAGTCGAAACGACAGAAAGCAGTGAAATATACATGGAGACCTGGTTACCAGATGGCTGGGAAGGACGAACCTTGACCGTGGGAAATGGTGGTTTGGCTGGTTGTAAGTGACGGTACAACCTGTATGGGAAAGTCTTCGCTGATGTTTGAACTCCAGGCATTCAGTACTCCGATCTTGCAAACGGGGCATCTTTGGGGTTCGCCAGCATCGGCAGCAACAATGGTCACAACGGAACATCTGGTGGAGCCTTCCTCAATCAGCCGGAAGTGGTCAAAGACTTTGCTTCACGCGCAGTGTACACCAGCACTGTAGTAGGCAAGACGATCGCAAAGCAATACTATGGACGTGAGTACGATAAAAGCTACTACATAGGTTGCTCGATGGGTGGCCGTCAAGGCTGGGAGGCTGTACAGAATGCCCCAGAACTATTCGACGGGGTCATCGCTGGAGCCCCTGCAATTAATGCCTACGCACACACTGGCTACTTTGGATACGCCCTCCAAACTCTTGGTTTTAATAGTAGCAGCATCAGTCTTTCTCAGTGGGCTGCTGTTCAAGCCGCAGTATTCGAGCAATGCGATGGTCTTGATGGGGCTCGAGACGGCATTCTTGAAGACCCATCGGCTTGCGAGTTTGACTGGACACCAGTCATCTGCGCTGAAAACTCTGCGTCTCCATGTCTTACCCCAGAACAAGCCAAACAAGCAGCCACTCTATTCGCGCCCATCAGCTTCAACAACACTCCGATTCATCCTGGGTTGCGTCACGGTTTCGAGACCGCCTTTGTTTCCAACGTTTATACCAACCTCGTTCAAACTTGGCTACCAGAGATCTTCCGTTACCTCGTTTACTCAGATATCTCATGGGATCAGACAACATTCACGCTGGAGGATGCTTTGAATGCTATACAATCCAACGCCGGCGAGCTCGGTACCTTCAATGCGCAGATTTCTGCCTTCCGCGATCGTGGGGGGAAGATCCTCCACTGGCACGGACTAGTTGATGAATTTCTCTCGGAAACCATCTCCACTCTGTACTACAACAACGTCCAGAAGGAATTGAACGCGACTGTTGCTGAGCTCGACAATTTTTACAGATACTTCCGACCAAGTGGCGTAGCCCACTGTTTCGGAGGCCCCGGGGCAAACGTCATGGGGCAGTGGGGTCAGATGGGAGCAAGCAATGACCCGGATGACAACATGCTTGTCAGGATTGTAGAATGGGTGGAAAAGGGTCATGCGCCTGAATATGTACGGGGGACGAAGTTCGTCAATGATACAATTGCTCTGGGCAAGCATTTCTCCCGGAAACACTGCAAGTATCCCAAAGTCAACCATTACAGAGGAAATGGCGACGGATTAGATGAAGAGGGCTGGGAGTGTATGTAATCAAAGCGGTACATTTAATTAGATGGTGTCTGCGTCAAATAATAGCCGACACTTTGTTTTGTCAAGGGGCATCTTGATATTCTATGGACCTTCTTCGATTGCATGACACCATGCGCTACCAACTCGTCTCTCTGAAGAAAACAATTGTAATATCACGCAAACAACCAAACTACTTTAAAATGGCGTATAAATATAGTTTGCTTACACTCCGTCCGCCGAACGACATGTTTAGGAGTTTTCATGAACAGTCTAGTTCGGAACCGCAATTTCATGGAAAAAAAAAAAAAAAAAAAAAACACGAACAGATCTCTTGGTTTGCAGCACTGGAGATAATATTGCATGATATCTGTCTTTTATGGCAGCTCTATGGCAGTTCATTGTGCTCTCCACTCCAAGCATTTGTGCCGCATCAAGTACGTGATAAAGCTTGCCAATATCAAGGTTGGGGCAAGGAATGACTACATAAACCTGCAGCACCACTGAGGCCACGCCACAGAAAAATAAATTTTGATATGTAGACTAGAAGTAACAAGACCTTTGGTGATCTCTGTTGTTGGTGCATTGCAAGTGTTCGTGACGCGTCAAAATGCGATGACTACGCAACACAAGTTATTAGTGCATGGTGTTTAGCTTACCGTAGGCATTTCGCATACTCTTTATTCAGTCGTACGAAAGGTAGGGAAGAAAACTGATTAGTTATCATGCTTACTTGGAAGATGGATAATCTCAATGCTGTGTTTCATCCCTGCCAAGACTTTTAAACCTCGAGTTGACATTGTTAGTAATTATTCAAGCGGCAGGGTGCCTGGTCTCAGATCGTGAATTATTAACTTCAGTAATGTCTTCGAGATTGAGTCTACGATTCTCGGAATCATTCCGCTGGCGAGCGATATATAGTACAGGACATAGTTCAAAAGCCTAGATAACAAGTACAATTCAATCATTGCTCCGATCTTCATTCATTATTATCTCACTTCAATTCTCAGGTTTCTTTTTCTGCTAGATTTTCAAAACTGATTGTCGCAAACATGCCACGATTCAACGAAATACTGTGCGCTGCTGCGTCTCTGTCAAACATTTTGTTGACAGTCAACAGCAGCCCACTGCCGAATGGCTTCACTGCCCGTACCTCTTGTCCTGATCTGAATGGGACCTTCTCGATCGAGCAACTGGGCTTGTATCCCGAGAATGTCGACTTTGATGTCAATTCGTGCTTACTTTACATTGGGTAAGGTTTACGTTAGACGCAAACTTGAATGTTACTCTACTGACAACGCGCAAGTGTTTTATTCAATGCAACACTCGGTATTCATGATCCGTACCAGAGCACTACAGAAATCATCTCTTTTCCCGACATAACTGGTACGTATGATTGATAAGTCCGAATACCGACTTCAAATTTCAAACCGTCCCCACTTGGCTGACTATGATGCAGGCAATCCTACCTTTCACCTCAGTGGCGTGGCAACCAATCCTTATACCAACCTTACATCTATTGTTGTGAACGCAGGCGCAGCGTTCGATTCTGGCGGTCAAAATATCGCCGGTACCAACCTTCTCCTGCTCTGGGACCCCGCAACCAAGGAAGAAGTGTACCGGGTCAATCTTACCGAAACAACCCAAGGCATATACGGAGGCTTCCAAGATGTGGAGTTCGATAGCGAAGGCAATGTATACGTTGTCGGCACTTTTCCGTCGAGTATCCTCAGGGTGGAAGATAACGGTGCCAATGTGAACGAATGGTTCAATAGTAACGGGAATCATACTGTTACTGGGTTCCAGCGCTCCCAACGTAACGTAATCGTAACGTAGTAGGCCACATACGGTACGATTACGATGGCGCCCCCCATACTACGATTACTTTACGTCGCCTTTACGAAATTGACGTCGTAAATGCGTCGTAATCTGGGGTATTGTGAGAAATCCTAGTGTTTTGAGCTCTGTTGTCCGTCTGTATGGTGTTTTGAGCTCCGTCGCGCGTCTGTATATAGTCAATAAGCTTGACAATACTACTAGGGACAATACGTCTCCGGATCCAATTCTTCTGGAGTTGAGTCGCCTCTATTACAGCTGGTGACAGTGAGTTGCGGTCACACGTAATTGTACGTTTTGCTGTACTAAAGGCTCTCTCGCAATCGCACGAAGTTGAGGGTATCGAGAGGTGATCCATCGCCATTTTGTAGACAACAGGGTAGCGGTGTTGTCCCTCAATAATCCACCATTTGTATGGATCGTCTAGCAATTTGGAGAGCTCTAGGGACAAGGACGCTGCGCGGAAATCCTCGTCAATGCTATCTAAATACTCATCCAACTGGGATACCCGTTTGTGGCGCTTATACGACTTACGCCCTGTAAAAAGGCTGACGTCAACCGCCATTGTACGCTGTCGCCGAGCGTCGTCGGCGTAGGCGCCTGGGATCTTACGTACAGAGGGCTCGTCGTCGTCGATTTCTATGGTGTTGTTGTCCTCGGCATCCAGGTATTTCTTGAAGACGGCGTGGATAGACGACTCAGCCTTTCTGTGCCAAATCTTGTGGTGTTTCCAGTGCGTTTTGAACCAGAGTAGTCGTAATCGAGGATGTAGAGCCGTCGCGACACAATATAGAGAGAGCGATGGGTAGATTACGAGCTTTTCAAAGTACGTAATAAGCTTCTCCCGCGCCAGGTTGATACCCTGCGTCAAGTACGTAGAGTGCTTAACGCCTTCAATCAAATTGACGTCCTCTGTAAGGACCTCATAGATTTCTTGTAAGTTGACGATCGTCTGCCAGAGACTGCCAAATCCACTCTGGCTAGTGTTGCCCTCCAAGGATTTACAGTTCTCGTAAAACAGCTGTAGCACTTTGATAATGGCGGAGACCTCATCCCAATCGTCACCTGACAGGGCGTCAGTCGCAGCGTCGTAATCGTCGTCAATTGTCGCGGCGTCAGTGCGCAGAGCTTTGAAGTATTTTCGAATCGTCTCTTGAAGCTCCTCGCAGCGCAGGAGCATTAGGTAAACGCTGTGCCATCGTATCCCGCCGTCTTTCACTAAGTTAAGGGTGGCGAACTCGATAAAGCCTGCCTCGTCAAGCACCTCGCGTTGTATGGAGTGGAAAGTGCGACGGCGTTTGTGTGAGTTGCAAATCGAATTCACGAAGTTGTGAAGCTTACCAACAACGCCGTGACGACGATAAAGCTTGTATTGCTCCTGCGGCGATGCCCTGGCCAAATCTTCCTCAAATTTGCTTACGCCGTCGCCGTAAATAAGAGCCTTTGCCAGCAGGTTGAGGATGTGGCCAGCGCAGCGAATTCGGTGGTTGTTATCCATGGAAATATCAGGTTCATTTCCAAGGGCGACGGCGAGGGTGTCGTTATTGGCAGCATTATCGCCCACAAAGCAGTGCAGCTTTCCAGTAATTCGATAATCGCGGAGAACATGTGCGACGATATCAGCCTGGGCAGCGCCCGTGTGGTCTTGAAACAGGGCTTGAAAAGCAATAAGGATGTCGCGTTGTTGGTGTTTCTCATCTATCGTCAGTTAGTATTCAGTCGATTTTTAGTCAATATTCAGGTGCGTTAAAAGCTTCAAAAGTTCCGTCGGCTAATCCCCGGCACTACTCACCTACAAAATGAGCGACAATCCCTAGAAAATCTATATGATTTGGAGAGCTCCATACGTCGCAACTCACGCTGATTTTGCTTTTAGACTGCTGGAGGAGCTTTGAGACTGTCTCCTTTCGATCCGTCAACTTCGAAACCACGTATTTAGATAGGGTGGTGCCGCTACTGGGGAGGGCGCGCAGCAGGGCAGTTCGATTCCAGGTCATAAGGCCCCTCGTCGAAGCGTCAGCTCCGAGCTTGAAGCTCAAATCGTTCAACACCACCCAGTCAACCAACGCCGACAAAAGCTCCTCCTCCTGCCAGGGAGCGTGATTGACAATTGACGAGACACCAGCGACGCTGGGCGTACTGGGCGTACTATTGGCAAGACTATGGCCTGCGGCATCCCATGGATTTGAGGGCACTGGGGCTTGTGGCATCAACCCTACGTCAGGATCAATTCGGTGAGCGTTTTTCAGGTGAGTTTTTATATGGTTATAGCCATCAACAATCCAGCAACACCTCTGTTTCTTTTGTAGGTGACACTCACTACAAAGAAACAGGATACAGGCTTTCAGGTTGAGATCGCCGCCATATTCGAGCTCAACGCCGTAACGCCAAATTGTCGCCATCCTACGTCTCCCCGCTAGTTGGGCGTTGCTCTTCACCCGACGCTGAACAAGCTCTCTCTGGATGGCGACGCCTTTTGTAGTTGCGAGCCTATCCCAGTCAATATCCAGTTCAACACCAAGAGGGCCCTCGACGCTCTCTCTGGGCGACAAATACGTGGGATCCTCATACAAAGGACGCCCAGCCATGGCGATAGCTGCCCTCTTTGACCCGGCATGGTGATAGGGCTCATACTCGGTGGCGAAGCTCGCCTGCGACGACGACTGCGTAGAGAGCTGAGAGTTACGGGTAACGTAGTTATCCATGGCAATTACAACAAAAGGATGCGTACAGCAACACCAGGCGTAGAGAGCTGACATAATTTATTGTAGAAATCTCTGCTCTGCAGTGTCACGATACCTTACTGTTTCAGTCGTAAAACGTGACCGAATCGGGCCAGGCGATTTTCAACACCAAGGATTTGACGATACCAGCCAATAAACGCCTTTTCGCCAGCCTCACGTGTTTTCATTCGTATTTACGACGTGAAGGTTGAAAAAACGCTACGATTACGGCGACTTTACGACCTCCAAAACAGCCCTACGATTACGCCAACTTTACGACTACGAAATCGTAAATACGCCGTACACTACGTTACGTTGGTTACGCTGCTGGGTTCCAGGGACTTGCAGCTGCCGGCGATATTCTACTTGCCAACGATAACGCACTCTCTTCGAACGGATCGCTGGTTAAGTTTGATATGACGGCTTCGAAGGGACTACCCACTGTTGTGCCGATCAATCCACCTAGGTCGATCAAGGGTTCAGATGCAATATGTGAGTCTTCCTCCTATCCGCTGTATATCTCGTACATCTAGGGGTATTGCATACGATATGATTCCGCTAGAGAGCTTGATCAGCTCCTCTAGATGGAAAAACATATTAGGCTATAACGCTGACAGCACTGTTCAGATCTTCCCCCCAAATACTCTAACACCGTTCTCCTCCTAGCCGTACCAGCCAGTGGTGTAGAAGTCCTGAGAAGCAAGGATGGCTTGTGGAACACAGCTGAAGGGCTTGGACTGGTCAGTAATGGCGTGCCGGCCGCTAATGGAGGGAACGTGACTGCGGTTGTGCAGATAGGCAGCAGGATTTATATGAACGAAGAGTTCTTTGGCGACAGTCAACCAGGGAATAGATCCGTGTTTCCCTGTGTAGATATCACGGAGGATGTGGAGAGATTGTTACTGGATTGTTGATAGACTCGTAGCACGACGGGCTGACTTCGTTTTCATCTGCCGCGAATATGAATATTGATCGAAGAAGACGTCGAGGGGTAGTTTTAAATATAGAGGATCTGAAAGATGCACTAAGGCGTTTTCTTATAGACCAAGGCCAGAATAATAGCCATGTATAGTTTGACCTGCCGCTCTTATATATACAGTAACAATCTTAGTGAAAAGAAAACCCTTATGAAAATGGTCGTTGTGGCAATTAGTAATTGTGTCGTCCTTCATGACAAGATGAATCATTTTCTGCAAAACTATCCTTGAATAGCCTGCCAATTCCGCATGTGCATGGACCGGGCTGAGATAGATCAACTAAAAGTTAAATGTTATCTTCAAAAATGTCTCTAGGTAGTGTCCTTGGTAATTCATGAACATGCTGAGGAATATAAATACACGTCTTGTGAAAACCTAGTCTATACCCTATATAATTGAGAGTCGGTCCATAACAAACAGTGACCCCGAATCTAAGATTTGAATACTCTACACATGTACTGTCTTTCATGAAAGAATCAGTTGATACCCTCAAGAAGTTTATCCATATCCCCATCAAGAATTACGGTAACTTTCTCGCAGACACTGGGGTCGCATATCTCCTCATATGCCTGATTTGTGATTTATTAGATACCCTGAGCTTTTGCTGACACGAAGAAGAACTTACGATCAGTTTACCGGGTCTGTTTGTACAATCATCCCTCAAGGGGATACGACGGATGATGGCCTCACCGAACGAATCGGGACCCCAGTTAAAAACTGTTGGGGCATTGGGTGCCGATTTTTGAAATTGATACAGATTATCTAGGCAATATGCTGTCAGAGAGGATTGATTGTCTGAGATATTAGAGGGAAGCTACCTTCAAACACCCTGGTGGCTGTCGCGTTTCCATAGCCTCGGAGACCCATTCCTTGGGCATCAACATCCCACCTTGTGCCTTTCATTCGGTCGGCGATGTTGGAGACGGGCTGTTCGGGACCTTGGAAAAGAACTAGATAGCTAATGAGACCACACGTCTACAACTGATAAGTGCTTGCTTGTGAACTTACCGCGGACATTGTAGCCAGCTTTGATCAGACTGGCGGTACCGTTCCTCAAGCGTGGATCAACCTCAGCACCTTGAAGACCCTGGGCAAGCACATAGGGATGATCTAGAGTCATAGGTACAAAATCAGTTTCGTTCTTGCAAACATGTCTCGGTGGCAGTGTGCAGAGTTGTTAACAACAGGTGGTGTCTTGGGCCGCGATCGGTGTACATCTAGATTATAGTATGCTCTATTTCAATTCCATATCGATGGGAGATGTTGTTTCGAATAAAGGAGATGTCGCATCGTCGTGGTTCAAACTACCTGGGACATACGTACATGCAGTGAAGCCACTATGCATAATGTCAGATCGGATTTTCGGCCTCCAGATTTGAGAGGATATAACTTACGTATAGAAGACATTGACCTCTCCACAGGTCACATTGGTGGGGAATTTTGGGCCTGCCCCAGGTAGGAAGGGAAGCCCTTGGGGGTGTGGCAAAGCAACAGCACCCCCGATGAACGCCAGAATTGCCGAGTAGTTGGTGAACATCATTGTCTGCAGATGTACGAGAGTAAGAAGTGGAGGATATTTGTAGTCGATTGTAGTTTGAGTGGGTTCTGGTGAATACGAAAACTTGTGAATTGGGAAAACCTGTGAATGAGAGAGACCTGTGAATATGAAAGACCCGATGCGTAGCTTTACCGGCTACTTTTATATGCTTTGACGGATGTAAAATTCAGAGCAAGCATAATACCCGGTAATGACTACATCGTTGTCTGCTATGAAGGTTGCCTCCCTTGAAACTTCCCTTTGACATGGACCAACTACAGAGGCCTTGTTAGCCGCCTCTCGTACGTACAAAATGATGGACGGGAAGAGCCTTATAAATCCGCATTTACTCTGTGTAACTCTGTATAATTACCACAAAGGCGCAATCTTGCGAATGCGAGTAAATCTTCCAAGCATTTAGAAGCAACGGATCTTATTCGTTGTATGGAAATTACAGAATCTCGACTGGATGTCGTATCAAGGGTACACGTGATGTTTTCCAATATTTCTGTGAATGTGATCCTAGCGTTAAAATTATTTGCGCGTACGAGAGCCGTCGTAAGCCGCAGTTCAGTGACGTTTCGAAATGTCAGATGCGTTGGTTGGTTGTGGATCAATGCGGTTTCGTGCATCAAGCGGAGCGGCAATTATTGCACCCAGTGATAGATCGTCATTGTTTCGAGGTTTAATATTACTTGCCACCTGAGCCGGCCCTTTCTATAAATGCCGTAGAATTCTGCGTACAATAGGCATGCCGTTGCTTTTAGTCACATGAGAGGGTAGCTATGACATATAAGTATAAGTCTTAAAAGTAACAAGAGCTACTAGACATCCGTAGAGCCCCAAAACTACTATGCAGCTACGTTTCCTTGGTTTGCAGAGCTCTTTCTACCTAGATGCTATACTTGTTTCAGTACGCCTGCTATACAGCTAACATACATGGTGTGCCTATTGAATCCTAGGATTCTACAATGTGTAGTGGTGTCGTGGGGTGTTCGTGCATTTGCTTATCGTCTGGACCGGGTATTTACGAAACATCGTTGGTAGAACGGGGAAAGCTTACCTTGGCTGTGCAACTCCGATGTGGTCATATCCTCGATTGTTTCATAAGCCCGAATACTTTGTCTGCCGTAACGAATGGAAAGCGATATAATTGCACCTAGGAGAGACTTTCACACCTACATAGAACCATGCATCAACCACAGAGTAACAGAAATTCATTTACTCATATCGTACAAACAGATTGTTCAACCATCGGTCAGTCGACTAACGCATTAGCTTAATCAGATATAGCGTATCTTCGCGATGAAACGGCAGCCCTATCTATGAAAACTGCGCGGTTACAGGTATTGATGAAAATGGCTTGAATTTGGTTGGTCGATCTATCATCATACTTCTGGATATAGTTCTCTGTTTACCTCGGGGAAGGTGTGACACAAGACCTAAGTCCTTGATATATGCTTGCTGCCTCTCGGGCGAGAGAACCCTGCCGGAACATCTATTTGGCCAATCTTTGGGCACATCTTCTCATCAATCAATAGGAGGGCAGCCTTTACTTCAAGGCTTACAAAGCTCAAGCAAGAAATTTCATTGTCCGCTCTGCATGGGCAGTCTGTGACGAAATTATGTCGGCCAATAAGAGATTCCTCAATCATGGTTTCGGTAGTGTTCTCGAACATATTCAGCGCGATATCAGTGGCGCTCCGCGTACATATAGCTAACTATTTCTAGCAGAGACGACGGCATGACTTCGAGGACGTCTAGTAGGTCCGCGCGAGTGCTTTTATGAAAGCCGGTCAGGCAACCCACTGTGAAAGTGGCAAAAAACTCAGCATTTTATGGTAGGACTGTGCTGGGGTAAGATATAGGGATACAGTGCACGATGGTTTGCGACATTGACGGCGTTTTTGGGACTAGTTGACGGCTGTGTTCACGGGTTAAAAAAGAAACTTGTTGACTCACCAGAACTTAGTTCCAGTTGGGTTGCCAGTGATGAAAACCTTCCAAATTATCAGGAAGCGGCGAAGGTATTTTTCGCAAGTTCTGCGATGATTTTGGAAGGACAATCGGTCGCAGGGTATGCCACGTAAAGTAGCAGCAAGGGTCAGGTTCAGTGAAGACTATGGTTGAGATCACTCAGCATATACAATATACCCCATTAACTTCTGTAATGCTACTCGACGTCAGGTCGTGGTCGTCCTTTGCCAGTCGCTGAACCTTTTGGGATCCAGACCGCTAATATTCTTAGTACTATCAGCACAAAAAAATGTTCGATAGATGAGCCACTACATTATCTTTGTAGGGTAAATTGAAAATCTGTCGAGTTACATATTATGCGCCTTCGCAAGAACTTATTGTCGAATATTTCGAGCTCAAGTACTTCGAGATATTTGGGAAGGCTTATAGGCAATGCATCAACACATAAGTTTGATCCAAGTAGCGCTGCGTAACTACAAGTGATAGACACTATGTAGATGCTGGAGGGACAGTTATATGCGCTAAAATTAACTACTGGTTGAAAGGTCACGGAAGTCAAATGAGTACACGTGCCTACAATCCAACTGAGATGGGTCTGCATTGTGGAAGACCGAGGGGCGAGGTCTGATAAATAGTCGGAGAAGGCAAAGAAGGCAATCAACCACCCTACGGAATATGCACTCCCCTGCGCATCTTACATGTAGCGAACCTCCCAGCACCTCTGCTGACAATCACTTCGAATAGTCTTCCCAGATTGAGGTTTGATTTGAACTCTTTCGGGGGAATTAACGGTACGACGTGAAGTGCGATTTTCCATGCAAGGCCTTAAAGACTCAGAAACCCGAGAGCATTTAATACTTACCGAATCCGAATTATTTTACCACCGCATTTCCTTTTCGTAGTTCAGTCGGGGTCAACTGAGAATTTTCAAGGCTGCTAAACGAGACACTATTGTGGGGCGTGTCTTGTTCCGCGAAGAGGCCTAATATCCCTAGCCACGTTAGAAAATTATACATCAACTGGAGTCTGAAGATGCAAAGCGCTCATGGTCCTTCACTTCACTCAGATACCCCGGCACCGCACTGTATCATCAAACACACCGAAAATCCCCTCAAAATATGAGCGCTAATTGTATTATAATTCGAATACAATGCAAGATGGAAACATAGATCCCAAAGCGACATCGGTCTTGTTGATCATGTTACGGATAAGCCTGAATATGAGACCCTCGTAGTTCCCGATATTTTATAACAATTTCCTGGCGCTACGGAGCCTTTCTCGACTTTTGGTTTGCGGATTCCGGGAACAAGTGACGGGTAAGCGTGCCTTCTGTTTAGGAACTGCGAAGAAAAACACGAGCAAGTCAACATCGGTAGAAGTCTGTTCGTTAAGACCTCTTCGTCCTGCTTAATTAGATGCATCATCTGAATTCAGGCACGAAAGCTGGGGTGTGCGAAGTGGAGAATGCTATGCGTACAAACCACCTTTAGGGCTGACTCTGGCTGCACGATAGCCTCGTTCGACCGGTAGACCCAATATGAAGCTTCAAGTGACATTCAGCTCCCTACGGCCTTCATCTTCTCGGGGATTTACCACAGAAATTCCAACAATCACCCAAGTCAACCTGTCGATAGCGCTAGAATCATCACATCAAGACCTATTGCTACGTTTCTGGGCTCCAACATTACAAGAATTGCACAGCCGTCCTGATATCTATAAAAGGTTCTGGCTTTCTCCCCGTATTTCATCATTCACTCTTCGAAGCAAATCATTCATTACCTCCCCATTCACTCATTTGAAACTCTTATCCACACTTCAACGTTCATTACCCGGCTACTACAACAAAACCTGATCAAGATTCAAATCATTCTTTCAACATGCAGCTCACCCAGATATTTTCTATCATCACCTTTGTGCCATTCTTGGCCCTCGCGAACCCAGTTGCTATCGACAATAGCGCTATCCTCGTTCGCCGTGGAGGCAAGGACTTCTGCGGGTCCGATCTGAAAGCAGTCGGTCAGGCCTGCTCTTTCGGCAGTAGCGAGACCCAACCACATGCCTGTGATATCAACAATGAAACCCATGTTGTAAGTCTTTCCAATTGATGAAGAAGAGCACCAATCACTAATGAGGGTAAAAGCTGGAATGCCGAGATGGAAAGTGGGCTGTCGACCACAGTTGCCCCGTGAACAAATCGTGCAAGTGTAACAGGGGTACTCCTCTGAAGGGTGACCTTGTCTGCAGATAATTTGACGAAGATTTGCCGATTATGAAGTACAGTGGAGGGGAAAGTTCTGTTTTTCATTCGTCTCACTATAGTCACTCATTTAACACATTGCTTGCTTTCAGTTGAGAGTCAATATCAATTCTTTATTACTCATCAGAGTATTAAATACCTCCTCAAACTTGCGCGAGGTGCGAATCCCCGGATCGGATCCTCATAACAATGTTTAAGCTCAGCGCAGTGGCAGCTGTTGCCCTCTCGACAACTACCACATTTGAGTGGTTTTCTGAGCATCATGGTCAATATATCCGACACAACACACGTAGCTACCATGTTGAAAAGTTTCAAGTCTAACGCAGTCCTGGTAGCCCAAAAAAAACAAAAAATTCTCAGCTCAACATTGCAACAATACTTGCAAGCAATGAGCATGCGCAGAAGCTTTTATTACTGTAATCCCATACGATGCTACAATCTACGGGTGACTCGCACCACTTATAGTAAACAGAATTCGACCGACTACGATATTATCACTCGCAGATGATGAATTCAAAATTGTGTGCACTATCATGACGCGAACCGGTGCGCTGTGACCAGAGCGAAGAATGCGGTGGGATCATAAGGATCATCAATAGTCAACGACGCCACCAAGATTAACACATTCATGGTCGTTTATTGCGGCCAATATTTTCTCTACATTTTAATGCGTATATTATTATAAACCATATTACAGAATCACTGGAAGACAACACGCAATCGCCATTCGGCTTCGCTTTCATTGCTTCGCCCTCTCTTTGAGGTCCCAGGGTTGAGTGTAAGGAAAGGTGTCAAAATAATAGCCAAAGATTGAGTAGATTCCCATATATGTTTGTTCTTGATCTGTGTTGGCGTAGGAACGCTATTTAGTGGGTCGTTGTAGTAAAGTAGACGAGTTTGATTTTGAGTGCGTATCATGCACCCATATGACAGTAAACGTTACAGCAAGGTAGGACAAGCTTAGTGGCAATAGCCATTCGTTTAGTATCTAGTCATGTATCTGAAGCTATTCCATGTGTAGCTGGTGAGCACAAATATTCATGACCTTGAGTGTAGCCATGGCTGACATCTTAAGCCAGGTTGATCAAAGACCATAACTACACTGTGTTCTTCCACCACCTCCTCTTACTCGCCATCGGAACCGGCATCATCAACCACGTCGAACCATTTACCGGTCCTCTCACAGAACCATTCGCCATTTGGATGGTAGCGCCTAAAGCGTGGATCAACGTTAGCAGGATGAGTCGCACGTCGTCGCGATCCGTACGGCCGGGAACGATCACGTTCATTAGGGTAATGATCTCCGTGTTCTCCCCGAAAAGCGTGTGAGCGGGATGTGTGGTGCATATCAGGGTGTGGCTGGCCATTGACGAAGTGCGTAGTTTCAGACACCCAGCCCGGACCGGATTGTCGAATAGTTCTAGGGCGTCCAGCATCTGCTGATTGATTGAAGGGAGGTCTACCGAAGGAAGGTCTACCAAAGGGAGAACCTCCGAATGGTGCGTCTCCGAATGGAGAATCTCGGAACAAGGAAGGACCAACGAAGCCAGAAGGAAAGATGTCAGGTATATCAGATCCGAATTCAACATCGCGAGGGTGCATCATTGGGTGGTGGGACCTAGCTAGGCGCAGAGGGTCGTAGTTTTGGCTAGTATCCGCCCTAGGCTGTTCGTATCGAGTTTCACGAGGGATTCCATAACGATGGGATCCGGCGTGATCCTGGTGAGCTTGACGCATGCGTGCATCTTGAGCATAAGCGCGAGCCTCACGATACAGTTGCAAAGGGTCGCGTGGGCGCGATCTACTAGAGAAATCGCCACCAGAACGCGATGGCCCAGTATTGAAGCTACGCCAGCGGTTGGGATCACGGGGATACATTGTGTTGATACCCAGGTATGAAGGGGTTGATTTTTTGAGGGTAGAAAGTTTGCCTGGAAGGTGAAGGATCTTGGTTTCAAGTGCTGAACAGGACTTATATTTCACCTCGAGTATAGCTAGGTGTGTGTGAAAACGTGCATTTCGACGCTAATGGTTGTAGTCTGAGAGCGTTAGCAATGTTTTCTAGAGTGATTACACTGTGAATGTACATGTAACCGAACCTTTCACAATGCCGAATTCCAACATCGGACAAAGTTCATCAAGTAGTCACTCGTTCAAGTTCATGTTTACTACGGAGAAGGTTCTGTAAGAATATCGACTTAAGATAGAACTGGCCATATATCTTTGGTCACCAACCTGGCTTGAAAATAATAGCCAAAAGCAGTAGATATATGTGCTGCATCAAATCTGTGATAAATCATACCAAATTCAACAAGAGTCATTCCAATTTTCCCGGGACAGTAGAATGGTACAAGGACATAGGGAGATGCTTGATACGCGTCGATCTCATTTTGTATCATGGATCTGTAGTGTCAGATCTCAAGATATTGAGCCCCCCGAGTGGATTTGCGGGACACAACGTGAAGCCATTGATCTTGGGACGTTCAATGGCAGACAGAGAGCATTCGCGTACCAGAGCCATCAGGCTATAGTTGTTGTGTATGGTGGGTTAGTCCCAAAAAGGCAATAGTGACGTCAAGACGCTAAGATGCCCTTATCAAAGCTAAATGAAGGGAGTCGGGACCTGCAGCGAGACAGAATTAGTATAGCAAGACGTTGAGCCGAGATAGGCACCACGCATACATACCCACACCTACTAGGCTTCTGGTATGCCGCGTCACACCTTGTACTGCATCACATGTCTGCCCCACGCACCTACATCTGCACGAATCAAACGAAACAATGGTACCAATATGTCAGCGCTACGCCGTACACAGCCACGTAGTACCCCTACAGTAAAATCCACATTCATAGGCATAGGCATACATATACCTAGGTATGGACACAAGACTCTATCCATATATCAGAGAACCATTGGAAGACTTCACCCTAAGAAGTCACGCCTGTCTGATACCACATCTAAAGATGCCTGCTTATGCCCGTTCTTCCAACAACGAGAAATTGTTCACGCGTCCCTTGGGAGTCAACGAAAAATATATACATATCGTTTCGAAGTTAACACCGTCACCTGAGCGCAGAGGCTGGTACATCAACTCCTTTGCTACACTCAAACCACGAGGTACCCTTACTTGCAGCTCGCTCCCCGCCATCCTCCGCAAAGCCTGGTGCCATCTTCGGTATCAACAGCCTAGCATCGCAGCATATCTCACTGCTGACGAGCAAAATCTTGCATACGATGTGCCCGACGCGAAAGATCGGGAAGAGTGGTTGAGTCAAAGTTTCATTGTCGACAGAGAGTCTGAGAATGCTCGAGCAGTCATACGATCGCCAAGAATCCCCTTGTACTGGACTTGCACCTTTGTCGAGAAATCACAAGAGGTTTTATGCTATACAGCGCATTGGCGTAGCGACGGCATAGGAGCCCTGCAACTTCTCGATTCTCTCTTTGCTCTCGTTGCCAATGCCGGACTGCAGGACCCAGAAGAATTACCATGGGGCGAGGAAGTTGGCAGGCTGGCGCTCAACATTGAGGACATCGCAGAAGTTCCAGTAGATGCCAATGCCGAACACACACAATTCGCAAAAAAGTGTTTAGAGACCTTCGCGCTGACGGAGGGCGCGGTCGGAATTCCTTACCTGGATGCGGAAATGCCTGGGGGAACGCAGCTTGCGCGTACCACTTTTTCTGAGGAGACTACAAAGAAGGTGATAGCAAAGTGTAAAGAGAAGGGGTTCAGTGTTACCTCCGCAGTCAACGCCTCCGTTGCAGCCACCAACTGGTCTTTTGCAGCCGCCGATCGAAAGAATCAGCACTACACTTCTACGGCACGCTTCAGTTTCAAGCCATATATTCCCTCGCCGTACAATGGCCCCGCTTACGCTTCCGCTTTATTAACTACAGGCTGGATGATATCAGTATCCCCCGATCAGTCATGGGAAGACCATGCTCGATACTATCATACCATATACAAAGCTGGTTTATCTCGCAAGTTCATTGATTCGTATCGCGTATATGCAGGGGCTATCTGTGACGCAGTCGCGCAAGCCCCCAAAGTAGTGAGTGCTGCGGCTGAAGTCGACATCAGCAGTCTCGGAATAGTTGAGAAGTATCTGGAGAGAGATTATGGAAGTGGCGATTGGGGACTAGAGATCCTCGATGTTGGCGAGGGCGTTGAGACTTTAGGACGTTCTTCAGGGCTCTTTGTGTGGACATTCGGAGATCGACTGGTATTTAGTTTGGCTTTCAACGAGCGATTCCATGAAATGGAGCAGATGGAGGCATTTGTGAAAGCAGTCGAAGAGAACTTGGTAAGGGAATTGTTGATAGATTGATGCAATAAGCATTATGCACATGATCCTGAAACTCATCCGTGCCTCGCAGCGAACACAGCTTTGACTTGCACGGAGTTGATGAAATTTTGCACAGATGAAATTTTTGCTATTTGGTGTTATGCCGCAACGTGATACTGACTTGAATTTGCATGGCTTGCACATGAGACGCAATTACCTATATACACCATCGCCAGTGGCCAGAAGCATTATATTGATCTCACGCTATTACTTCTTATGAAGAATTATCCTCATTCGGAAAATCGCATTGGAACTGTTTATCGACTGGCGAAAAAAAAAAAGGTTTTTCTGGATCGCGTTTCAGAGATGGACATGCGTGGGTACGGCATGAATAGAACTTTCGCCGTACGGTTGCTTCAATTTCGCGTATATCGTATCGTTGGATTCATCCGGTAAGCAGCACATGTGCCCACATACATGCACCGACCTATTTACCAATCTGTGGCAGCCGCTTTTATGGGGCCGTTATGAGGGCGGTTTCACTTATATCCTGTCAACTTTGCCCTGATACAATTGCAGCCCAACAGCGTTTCATCAGGCGTAATGTGCAGAGATTTCCAAATGTCAATTACTATTATTGTATGTAAGCCGGCCTCGCTGCCGCGAGGTTATACAGAGATACTATGCTACTTCGGCATATCGGACGAATGTTTTGGAGGCGGTTGAGGGGGCTGCGATAGTGGTAGCTCCATTGAATCTCTTTGGTCTTGAGATCGCGATTTGAATGATTGGAGCTGTATCCGCGCTGTAGACAGAGGGGATGGGAAACTCTTTTTATTCGCCCGCGATGATGGTTCATTCGAGCGAGGGTATGCTGAGCGCCTCGTAGAATCGTCGTGTGTGAAGAGGCTGCGCAGAGAGCCTATGCATGCAACGATGATGGCTAAGAGTGTTAGCAAGCCGGATATCATGTCTCTCTAATTCAGGATCCCGGGACCAAAACCACATACCAATTTCCGCTTCAATGTGTACTAACCAGCCAAGCCATTTCAACTGAAAATCTTTGTCCTTTATCATGCCTCTGGTTCCAATAACGCAACGGACAATGGATACGATGATTGTAATTACCTCCAAAGAGAAAAGCGCATAAAGAATCACTTTCTTCTTTCTTTGGAGCTGTCTGATATTTGAAAGTATGACGAACGGTATGACAAGTACTGTAGAGGTTATAAGCAAGTACCCATTAAAATACACCCGAGAGCTTACTAAGGATGTCCGTCAAGGTAATCAAGCCAGTTGCCACACTGAATGAAATGGGCCTCCCCTTGATTACACCGGGGTCTCGCTCACACAATGTCAACCCCTTCTGTGCCCAGCACTTGTAAGGATTTACTCCCCATACTCCGATGTAAGCCATGATATTAATGGTCAAGGCGACTATCCAGTAGTTCCTCAGGCGGCGCATTGAGGTCGGAATTAAACGCTTGAAGAAGATCAAGAATGAAACTTTGACAGCCCAGAGCGCATTGTAGAAGAAGAACTGACCGATCGGTCGACTAAGAAAGACATTGGTCTCGCCGACACTCAGTAACTTTCCGTGGTTGATCGACATGTGATTTGCTACCTAGAGTCATAGAAATAGAGTCAGTGGAGTTCGAAAAGACGAGTGCCAGTGGCTCACTGTAGTCGCGCATCCCGTCGAAAGGTGCTCTTGGTGCTACTGAACACACGGGTTATACGTACGGCGAGTGGAATCGCATTTGCCCAAGCAAATATAACCCAGAAATCATCCCAATACAATTGCTTGAATCTTCGATACCTTGCGAAGACTTTACCACCCAACACGACCGTGGACAAAATCGCCATGAGCCATATAGATGCCTGTTTCGTGGTGAGTTACTAGAACAGTCGAAACGTATAGCTTCTCTACTGACTATCAGCGCTTTGTCCTGTCCTCGTTCATCTCGAAGAACTAGCTTGAACATAGTTCGGCAGGAGAGCAAAAAGCAATGTGGAAGTTAAAGATCATGAGGTTTCGCAAACCTACCAAGAACGCGGGGCTTCTAATCTCCGCTTTTAATGAGCATTAGTTCATAACGAGATAAAGCTGGGTCTGAGCGGGCGATGCCATACATTTAGGGGGAGATCGCCGGGGTTAGATACTGGTGTTGGGCGCGCAAAAGTGATTGGGTGCGTATTGCTTCTTTTTCGGACTTTCTGGCATTTCTCGTTTGGTGTCAAGCAAAGATTGGAGGGTTATACGATACGGGACGGATGGGTACGGACCTCTAACCCAACGAAGCGAAGGATTCACGCATCTTCGTCTTGCGGAGGTAATACGCCGGTAGGTCCGCGCGATTCAGAATACTTATCGGTTCGCAACAATCTATCGTGCATACAACAATTACATTGGGACCAGTCTTCGTTCAACTACACTATATTTGGGTTGGGGGCGTTGGCTATGAGCAGCTCGGTCGCTATGATTTTGAGAAGCCTCTCCATGCGTGCTACTTTAGTTTCGGCCTCAAAGATAAGACATTGACTGTTGTCAGATGGCAGCAACCATGTCGAACTCTCGGTTAGTCTTGATGTCCGTCGGTCTTGAACGACTTCAAAACACGTGGAGACAGAGCTGAGATGATTATGCCCGTCGCTACGGGTCTTGGCTGCATGGTATTGCTACCTCCACAATTCCCGCGGTAAATCTGAGCCACTCTACGCTTGATCCAAAGTGGTGGTTTTTGGCGGTGGCAAATGCCAACAGCAGGTTGTCTACACTTTCACTTCTATCATTTGGGTATTACGCGGGTTGATGAGATCTGAGAAGAGTCCAAGGAGTGCCTCTACGCTTTTGGAACATGATTCAATGACTGAATTGCACCGAGAATATGAATGGTTCGGGCTATACACCGAAGACGATGGTGGGCGATAATCATACCGAGCAGTGTGTCATTTACTGTCGAGAAAGCCTGGGCTGCGCGCACGCTAAGAGTAAAAAGATTCACGTGAAGCTTTGAAGGTATGAAATATGGATCTGCATTACCCCTTTGTTTTCGACATAAATGCTATCGATCAATGCAAACTGTGATTTTGGTCAAACTCGTAAGTTGATTAGGCTGAGTTGTGTGTAGGTTCGTGTTAGACAATGACCCTACGTCTCTGTTTTGCTCTATCTTATTGATCGCGATGGCCTTGACTCCTCAACGTCTGCTTCTTGCAGGCCAACATTGTGTTCCATTCCCTCATAGCAACTTCTCATATCAGAGCTCAAGTTTGGGTGCTTCTCTATCCCCTGTCACTTCTGCTTAACAATAACCCAGTTCAACGGTAACAGCCCCATGTACTACCTCTGAGTGCACACCTCATCCGATCGCAATGGCCTCATATCAGCGCAAGTACCCTCCTACGAACATTGCTTTCAGACGGGCACTAACTTATCTAGGATAGCACGCTAAAGCATGTCATTGACAACGTGCACATGTGGAGATGCTGCATGCTTGCCATATGGGAGTGCAATAAGGTGAACGTAGATGCTAGCCGCATGCATTCAATGCTAGAATGTAATCTACAATCCTCTACCCCGTCGAGGGTAAAAGGCGGATGGAGTTTGGTGAGCTTCTTCAATCTAAAATCGCTACTACACATAGATATTTTGGCCGGCTCACGTATTGACATTATCGAGCAGCATAATATATGGAGATGTATACAAACCTTGCAAGTCCTATCTGGGATGGAGCATCGCAACGGTCTCAAGATCGAGCCAAAGAGTAAGGCGGTTTGTTCATTCTCGCCGAGATTGTATTACTAGTACCGTCTGGCTTATGATGTTACAAGCAGGGGTTACGTTCAGTGGCCAATGACGCATGCAATGCTGCATGACCTTCAGAGTTCCTATTGGTTCTGGTAGAAGATGTAAACACCGTGACTCAGGTAGTCTAAAGACTCGTGCGTCAATTCACCTATTACATGTGAAAAGTGGCTACATAAGCACAAGGGTGATCACAGTCCTAATTCGTCTACTGTTATGCCCAGATCCGGTCGAAAGGCTACATATTTCAGGCAACCACAGCGCTCCATCCATCTCCCCTCCACACCAAGCACCAGCTCGTTTGCAAGTTTGCCAAAAGTATCAGAACCACAGCACTCATCGATTCGAAAAGGAAAGAAAAGAAAAGATGCCTGTCACAATCAAAGTAGCGCAGCACGATGCTAGGCCGTTCGGCAAGTGGGAGGGGTCGGCGGGAGTAAAATCCTCACAACAAGTCCTCGAAACCATCGCGCACAAGGACAAAAAGGACATTGGAGACATTTTAGTGACTGACCGAGGCATGGTGCAGACCTCACTGACGGATGAACGACTCCAAGAGATGCAAATGCATCCGCAGGAAAATGGACTGGTACGCGCTGCATTCCACGCCTACTCGAGCCATCAGCATCTGGTATTGCGCCCCGAAGATATATGGTTCGCCATCTTGACTCAGTTCAGCTTCTACGTGAATGCAAATTCGGAGAAGCTTAGGAAGTATTTCGTGGCGCACAAGGGGAAAAAGGGACTGATACTAAAAGCCCCGGGTGAAGACGATATGAGTCTGATGTGTCGTAATATGACCAAGCTGATGGACGAGAATGTTGTGGATCCTGAGCTGAGGGAGTGGATCCTCCCTTCGTTCTCCACCACCAAAGTTGAAGACGAGTCTGTGGCAGCTATTATCATGATGGGAACACTGCAGTCTTACTTCGAGTATGTGTTCGATTGCTCCTGTTGCGGTATTCCTTCTGTTACCCTACTAGGCGAGAAGGAAGATTGGGAAGATATCGCGCGACGCATTGAGAGATTGGACAAATATGGCGAAGAGCCCGCTCGATTCGGGACTTTGTTGAAGCCAATACTGCGGGAACTGGTCGCCTGCTTTGATGATGGCAATGGCAGTATGGGAGCCACTTTCTTCAGTCGCATCGTCGACTATGAAGGTGGGAGTGGAATGGATACATTGTCCGGGTGGATCACGGTATTCTGCCATTGGACTGTAAGTTTTTGTGATGAGACATGGGCGCTTTTCATAAGAATATTTCACTGATTCGAATTCTGCTATTAGGAGGAAGGCAGACTGGTGGCACCACTGCCTGCAAACGATGCTAATCCATGGGAATCTCGTTGGCCACTAAAACCTGACAGTACTCTCCCGGAAAGACTGAGGGATATCAAGAGTGCAAGAATTGAAATGAGCGAGATTCCATGCAGCTTTGTCTCTGTGCCTGTGCTCTACATCGCTCCGGACAAGACAATGATCGAGACGAAATTGTTAGCCGGGTTTGCAGGCTTTGAAGCTACAACACCGTCGCCAGTGTATTCAGCGCGGAAACCTTTACCGCTTCCTACTGTGTCAGAGAAGCCAGAGGCGAGGAGGAACAGTATCCGGAGATTGGGGACTAAAGTCTTGTCATTGTGTGGAATCACCAGGGCGGAGGGCGAAACCAATGACGATGCTGCTTTAATGCCAGTCGCTACGACATCCTCATCAGCTTTCCCTATAAATGTGACTACAGACAAGAAGCGGATATCAAAAGGATCGTTATCCACGTCGAATACCATGGTTGGCACCGATAAAATAGCGGAGGGACCGCTTCCGCACAATACACTTCGACCAGTAACCGCGTGGTTTATGTTTCGCAAGAGGAACCCAGAGGGCACGGGGAGCAAGAGTCTGGCAGAGTTTTATGAAGATAGGTTGGCCAATGATTGGGAAGGTGGCGCGAGCACAGGATATGTGCAAGCTGATAGATCCATTGTGAAAGTGGAGCAAGGTTTGCCCGGCCAATATTAGGGTCTCCCTGCTCATGTGCGATTGGATACAACTACACTACTTGTTAATGCTTCCGCCAACCATAATTATATGGATCCGAGGCTTCCTTAGCACGGTCCTCAATGTAGTACTCCCGTGATCCTTTGTACCCAAATTGGGATCTCCTGATCTTCCTCTTGTCTCCGACGATTTCTTCTTCTTCTTCTTCATCATCATCATCATCATCATCATCATCATAAACTTCATCTCCATCCGTGGCATATTCATAATCAGATGCCAAGCAGTCATCAGAGGGTATTCCTCGATCGAGATCACACCTAGATGAAAAAAGGTAAGCTAGAATACTACTAAAAGAATGAAGACAGAAGTTCGATATCCGGGAAAAGTTATTCTGCGTGATGCTTCACTAGATCTGGATGGTATACGGTAAACGGATCGTACTCACCCTTGCCCGTCGTGACTAAGATAATGTAGCTCCAACTCCCAATCTAACCATTCTTCCCACCCGTGATACACACTCACAAAAAAATCACTCAGCGTCAAGAAAGGCATTTCGGCGCCATCTTTATAAGTAGTGAGATCCCGGAGCCCGTAGTTTTGTTCTTGGTCAATGGAGGAAGCGCTTCGTTTCACGCAATGAGAGATAGTGGTCCCAGACTGATCAGAATCAGGTACTGTTAGCTCGATACTTTGGATATGAGGCCTGTAGAGAGAGATTTTTCCCCATCTGTTTTCTGTAGGTTTATTCTTTTCGTACCATTGCAGAAGCTCACGCAAGAGCAATGGAGGCAAAGAAAGGCCATCGAGAAAACCATTCTCCTCAATGCAGAGATCGGTGCCTAAGGTATAATCGAATTCGTGAGGAAACGTGTCCAATACCATTTTCGCTATGATGGGATGAAGATGCTTAGTGATGTTGTAAATAAATCGATTTGCTTCGTATTCTGTTTCCCGGTCGATGTCAAAGCTATGATTGTCGTCTGATGCGTTCAACTCAGGCATTATGTCATCGCTCCGGACCGTATGGGCGGCATTTGGCGGCTCGTTGCGCGACCATGTCTTGTATTGCAGAGTCGGGGAGTCGGTGATGAGCCTGTTCCATGTACGATTAACCCGTTTGAGACGAATGATATCCCAAGGCGGAAGGCCAGAAAGTATATGTTCGAGGAGTTCAATGATCGAGAAGACTGTATGCGTTACAGACATGATGAAGAGTCAACGCCGGTCTGAATTGGAGTGTACTCCGATCCTTATAGATGGGCCCAGATGGGTGCGGGCGACACCAGGCTCTGTTGGGGATGCTGCCTAAAGGGAACACGTGTCAATCACCCTGAACATCAACTGACTCGTCTAAAATGTAAACCAAAATCTATCGCCTATCACATCTATTCGGCCCTCGAAATTATCAGAAGCCTAGCTTAGCTGATGGTTGTGTATGCACGAGAGTGCAGTTGCGTATTACTAGTCAGCACCCGCAAGTCATTCACAAGATCCACAATCACAGAATTTGGACAAAACGAGATTTGTTCCTCTCATCATCCCTCTCTCTTTGTATTTGTACACTTTGGGATGAGATAAACTATACTACTCTTCAACTGATGACCTCGACCACATATCCTCCATGTCAATTTCCATGGGGGTAAAAGAAAGGGGAGATCAAACCAGGCAGAAATGACAAGCAATTACTTCACTGTTCCGGGCTTCTTCATCGTCTTCTTCTCGTCCACCGTGCATCTCCCTTGCTATGTATTCCTAGCCCGCGAACCTGCGCCAAGGGAAAAAAAATCAAACAAACAAAAAACAAGCGAGCTTTGTTTTTTTTTGTGGGTTTTCTGCTATTCTAGTGGTGTACGCACTGAGAACTCAGATGTGGAGAATCGCTATAAATACCATGATATTCCGTCAATCGTAAGCACAAAAACTCGAATCAGAAGTCGAGAAGGTTGTCGGCCGTGTCGTCGCCATGAAAAGCAATAGAGGAAGAGAAATAGCAGAAAAATAACGTGATCGCTCAATCGTATAGGGGGGAATGCATATGCAGATGATTACTGTGGATTGCCAGTGCCACAGTCCAGGAGATCGTCCAAGGTGGTGGTCGGCTCCACATACATATTGTCGAACTGTCCTCCAAACTGGTTGATGTCAGGGAAAAACCCAGCTGTCCCCAACATCGGATCATTTGGACCAGTAGACCCAAAGAGAGTGAAATCCCCAGTAGGACGAGAGAAGTTCATATCCATGTCCATGCCGTCTCCAAAGCCCTCATCCAGAGGCATATGAGGCGAGTACAGAGTCATGTCTGCCTGACCACTGGGTGAGAGGTGAGGCACATTGCTCGACGGATTGGCCATAGTGTACTGAAACGAGCTAAAGTCAAACGTAGTGTTATCCATTGGTTGCTGAAAAGCGTCGTTAAAGTTTGTGTTGAGTGGTGGTGCGCAATTGCCAAAGACATCACCATGGTTGATAGTTGTGTCTTCTGGTGTGACCGCATCTTCAAAGGAGGTGGGTTCCACTGGAGAATGACCGGAAGAGAATGTCAACGCCGAACCATCGGAGGTGTTTGTGATTGAATCTCGTCGGAAATCGTCCGAGAAGGCCAGTGTAGGCATCGCTGGAGTGCCAAAATTGTAGGGATCGAAAGCATTGTCCAACGGCATTGAGGGCGAGGGAATGAATGGTGTGATGGGAGTGGACAGTGTGGCGGACTGCGGGGTACTGAGGAATGGTGTCAAGGGAGTAGGTGGAGCTTGGTCGCTACCAGCAGACTGAGTCTTCTTTCGACCGTTGCTCTTGGAGCGAACATACTCCCAGCCATGGGCTTTCTCCATGTGCTGTTTGCAATTCGACTCCCGTTTGGAGGCATAAGTGCAAGGCGGATACAGGCACTTGTACTGAGCGGGAGCTGACGAGTGCTTGTCATTGATGTGTCTGTCGCGCTCTTTCTCAGTGGGCCAGCCAAGATCGTAGTACTTGCACTTCTCAAAAGTGCACTTCCAGGGGCGAGAATGGGTTTTCTCGTGCTTGGTGAGGTCACATGGTCGCTTGAACTCTTTCTTGCAGTCACGGCACGCGTGCATCACATCGCCCGGCTTGTCGGACTTTCTTCTGCGGGCCATGGACCGGGTAACCTCATCGAAGTCCATTTCATCGTCAGCCAGAGCTCGCTTTGTTGCCGAGGATCCATTAGGGGCGTCGTCAGCAAGAGGAATGGTCATCCCATCCTTTTCACGGACAAGCTGAAGTGGGTGGCCATCATGACTGAGACCACCAGACAGCTTGAGAGTCTCCTTGCTTTGAGGAGTCAGTGATGTTCCGAAGGCGAATCGATAATTGGCATACCTCGAGTAATCCATTTCGTCGAGCTCTTCTCCGTTCTCTTCTTTTTGACGAGTGGCGGCCATGATTGCGGCGTATCGGCGGATCTGTTCAACCAAGTCGAGGAAATAGTTAGAGGTGTAAGGTCGGTCGGATGGTAGTCGTTGGTCGGACTCGGAGAGGCTGTCGACAGTCGTATACAGAAGTTGAATGGATCGCTCGCAGAACGATAGATACGATGCCGGGGAAGCCGAGAACTCCTTGAAACCACGAAGAATGCAATAAGTCTTTGCACGCTCAGAGAGATAGCGGATTCCACTTACAGGTGCCAGAAATATAAGGGTCTTTTCGAGATCACGAAGATTGCAGATGTTTTTCTCACCTATGCGCCGTGGGACGTCCCTGATCAGAGGATGAAAGTCTTTCAAAGACTCCTCCCGGAGGATGGGTTTAATGATGGACTCGTGAATCTGTCTGCAAGCAAATTCTCCCAGTGTGTGCTTGTCTTCACTCTCGCCGATTGCAGTGAAGGAACCAGTGATGGCAGAGGCAGTAGATGTGACTGAGGTGCTGACCGAGTCGCGGGCGCTGGAGCGACCTTTATACATGTCAGTTGAGGGTGAACCAGGGTCATGTAGTACATTCGTCTTACCGTCTTTGGAACCCACGCTAGAACCGAGTCCGCTATCAGAAGCGTGATCGTGCGAGGTCTGCCGGGCGTCTTTTGAATCGATTTCCATGGGAGAGAAATCGATGGTGGTGTTGTCCAACAGAAAGCTGGGGAGGGGAAGGACTTCTTTGTCTTGCAGGATGCTGGCCGTGGAGTCGGATGAGGACTTGGTGCCGGTGATCCTCTGGTCAATGTCGGCAAGAATACTAGTCATGCGAAGTTTGGAGTCGTGCAGAAGAAGCTCTTCCAAGCTCTCAGGGCTGGTGGGTGAGCGACGGGGCATGTGGCGGTGGTTGTCCAGGTCGCAGATGTCTGAAGAGATGGACTTGGGAGAAGAAAAGGTGCCACTCTTCCGGAGGGACATGGCGTGGGTAGATGAGGATGAGTCCGACGCCTTAATAGGGCGGCGGCGGGGGTGGGTGTGGGGTGAAGACATATTGGCTGTGAATGGCTGATGCTGCGACTGCTTGATGTACGAGTGCATGGACTATGAGTCACGGACCAAGGCCAAAGTCACAGCGTGGTACCCGGTGAAGTTGAGAAGAGTCACCGAGCAAGAGGCCACCCTTCCAGATCGGGGCGAGACTGGCAGGAATGACGCGGTCCGGTTGGCCAGCTTCAGCTTGAGGCGAAAGGTGTAGTGTCGTCCGAGGTGCAAGACTTCATGAACCGGGAAGATGCACAAGTGGGAAATCAATCAAGCAGTAATGTAGGCGACGAACAAGGTGTGGAAGGTCGAGAGGGAGTGCAAAAAGGGCGTTGGAGGTCCACTTGCAGAGTGGACGGGGGGAAAGGTGTATAAGAGGGCGCAGCGTGAGAGGGCTGTGGCACGGGACAGCCAGATGGACAGTCCAGGGATCGGGATGGGTTGGCAGGATTCGGCGTGGGCGGATAAATTGCAAGACAGGCCAAAAGCAAGCAAGCTGGTGTTGAGAGGCCTGAAAGAACAGGCGGGAGCAAAGCAGATGGGAGAGATGTTTGAGGATTGGAGTTGGGGGGGAAGGGCAAAGATGTGGTTGAAGTTGCTTACTAGAGGTGAGGTTCGCTGCTGCCTGCTTGGCGCTCGCTAGTCCGCAGATGCGTAACCCGAGCGGGACAGTCAGGACAGGGCCCGCGATCCTACCGACTATTGGACAATACAGCCAGCCAGACAGCCAGACAGCCAGACCACCTTCACCTACGGTGCATGCATACGTCCAAAGTGCAGAAACCCCCCGAATCCCGAAATAGAGAGAGACGGGTTTGCTCGATTGGGCATGCTACGATTACGTTGCCAGTCGACGCGGTCCTCTCAGGCAGGCAGACATGCACGAAGTCGCAGACCAGGAACACGTCCACTTTGCTTCCCACGACCATCATCCAACTAACAAGTGGCCATCTGCCCGCCGGTTCGCAGCCAAATAGCGTGCGGCCGCCCTCGATGCCCATTGACCAAGGGCGGTCAAGCCCGTCGGTCGATTTGCTGCTGCTCATTGTCTCGCCGCTGCACCGCAATGCCACACACCCTTGTAGCAACGTTGGGAAGCGTGCTCGCCAGACAGCGAGGCGCGACCGGTGAACCCCAGATGGGAACGCGTGCTGCGGGTGCAATCAGTCCATGGCAGCATTTCGTTTGGGCGAGCAAGTCCACATGGAAGGATTCTCGCGCCGCCCCTGTCCTACCTTTGAACCAAACCGCCGGCTCTCTGCCGGTCTCTGTCTGTCCTTTGGCCTTGAGGCTGTGGGTGGGTTTGAACTGATCCTACGGCTGCTGCGCCCTCTGACTGACCCGCTTGGACTTGGAACCATCAAAACGTTGTTTGGCGTGGGCAAAATCTTCCAAGGTGAAGCCCAAAACTTCCCTCACAAGACATTCTGTATACGCCCCCATGCTGGACCAGTGTGCATATCCCCATTGCAACGGTCCAACATTCGCCGTGCGTGGTCTTGTCTGAGTTGACGTATGCGTATTGCTTGTTCTGGTGTGGCGAGTGTAGCTGCTGACCAATTTGGCTATGGGGGGCCAGAAAGCGGAGTCCGGTGGGGCGGCACTCTTATCGCACGAGAACGTAGTATTGGCTATTGACGAGCCATGCTTGTGCGTGATATTAAGGCTGTGACGTGTAGCTGTAATCATACCGTACATAGTGCTATTGATACATAAGGTGGTGACCTTTCGTCGATCAATCAATCAATCAATCAGTAAACCATGAAACGATGCAAACGCACGTACCAGACCCATGCTTTCTTTCACTACCATTTCACCAGTGCAATCATTCGTGCACATTATCCCTCATCCGTTTCATCAGACACCTTTTTTTCATACATTTCATTGATACACATGGGATGATTTGGGAAGATGGATAACTCCATGCCTACGCCACCACCACAGCAACAGTCGGCAACTATCAGCTCATGTACTTGCCCCAAGCCGCAATTCTTGTTTGCGGGTTATTTTAATGCCCGAGAATCACAACTAAATAGACCGTATGTTGTAGTTGACTGGTTCATTGTACACTACTCTACCCTGCAGGTGATTCCATTTCGAACGCTAAGCTAAAACCCATGTCTCACCTGGCAATGTTGAATCTCAGGGGATGGCCATCTCAGGCCTCAACCCCAAGATTCTCAAGCCGCGGTAGACGGTGAAGTATAACTCCAACGACTTCGTGGGCAATCTTGCGTTACAGAGGATGGCCATTTCAGGCCTCGACCCTGCAACCCTCAAGCCGCAACGAAACCATGGAATCGACCAAAAGTACTTTTCCAACCAAAACAGAAAAAAATCCCATAACGCCATTGTCCAACCCCCAAAGCATGCTCCCAGCGTCCGAAAAATCTTGAAAGCGAGGGTATCATTGAGAAACAAAAAAACGCCAAATCCAGCTCATCATTCATCATGAATGGCAAAAGCAACTCCGTAATTGATATTTTTCATGAGTGAAACTGCCCATAGACTTATGCAAAGTAGGATAATGTAGTCATAAGAATGATTTACCACACCTGGCGCTAACGGGGGCGGCGGGTTCGGGCAGCGGTGTGATTGTTGTTCTCCTTGGGTGAAAGGATGCCGGCGACCAAGGGAACTGCCTTTCTTTTAGCCGTTGCGCGTGTGCTACGGGTCGCAGGTGCGGCTTCGGTGACAGATCGGTTAGCGGTGGTGGGTGCCAACGAGTTCTTCCTGGTCGTTTTCGTGGTGGTATTTGCGGGCGCAGGTTCATGCTTAGGAACGGGGGCGGGAGCAGCTGCCTTGGCGCGTTTCCTGGGTACATCCAGCTCGTTCTCTTTCTCACCATCATCAGATGGTCTTTTCTTTGCTCGAGTAGCAGTGGTGGTCGAAGCAGCGGCGGCTTTGTTGGTCGACTTAGCTTGGGTGGTCGCGGCGGGAGCAGGTGCTGATTTGGCAGCTGTTTTCGATGGAGCAGCTCGGGTCTTTCGGGCGGCTGGTGCAGGCGCGGCAGTGTTCATCGCACGCGTAGGGACAGCGGTGGTGGTTTTGGCTGCTGGCTTTGCAGCGCGTGTAGCTGGTTTCGCAGCCGGTTTAGTTGCTTTCGGTGGAGGGGCAACGGATGCGTCGAGCAGATCGACAATATTCATATTTCGTTTGCTGGGTGGGATGCGGTTGACGCGTCGCTCCAGGCGCGACCTAAGACTTGCAACCTGCGCATCGCACATGGCGAGCAACTTCTCTTTTCGCGCATTCACTACAGTACTGTCAGTAAGCTTGCAACAACCCAGAGGGAAGGCACTGACACTCAAGCTCGAGGTTGGCGCGAATGGCGGCTTTCGCCTCTGCCGATAAGGTGGGTTGCGACATTGTTTTGGTGTTTGTTTACCCGCGTCTGCACACTCTTGGCGGGCGATTTATGAGCAAGAGAATAAGATCGGGTGGTTTACCAAGCTGTTCCTGGAGAATTGAAAGCGAGGACGAGAGCGTGCGGGTGTTCTGGATGTGAATTCGTAACTGCTCGCTGGTGGTGTTTGGGAGAACAGGAAGGTGTTGAAGCAGAGGTTCTTACTTTCGTCGTTGGTGCGCACAGACCCTGTCTGCTTGGCGTTGATCCAACGCGCGATCTTGTGATTGCCCCTTCTGGCCAAGTCGTGTCGTGACGTTCAAATATTTAAATGTTTGCATGTTGTGATGAAGTCAAATGTTTGAATGCTAGAAGATGTGGCTTTGTGTGATTTATCTGTGTAGTACCATACAGATCTATGGGAGCCCTATATATGGTGAGCGTTCCATCAGTCATTCGATGGCAATATTACCTTTCAGCAGTCAATAGGTCATGACGCTCCGGGGCGCAAACGCTCGAGTGCTCGCTTCCCCTCCACGTGACCTGAAACTGATTACCTAGCTCCGCTCCGCTTCGACCTCCGCCGCTCTCACTTAACTCCACTCTCCACTATCTCACGCATACCCAATCTCTACCAACCGTACTCACATATAACTGTTCAAGATGGTGCTGGAGGCTTCTATGATAATGTAGGCCTGCTCGACCCACATGAGACCCCGAGCTAACCGTCAACAGTGTCGACAACAGCGAAGCCAGCCGCAATGGAGACTATGTGTATGTTCGCAACTATGAATTTGGCTGGCTGCTGCTAAAATAGACAGACCCTCGCGATGGGAAGCTCAGGCTGATGCCGTTAACCTCATATTCTCCGCAAAGACGCAGGCAAACCCCGAGTCGTCCGTCGGCCTCATGAGCATGGGAGGCAGCACACCAGAGATCCTCACCACCTTGACAACGGATATTGGCAAGATACTCGACGGTCTCCACAGGACGAAGATAAGAGGCAGCCTGCACCTCTCGACGGGCATCAATGTCGCTGCGGTACGTGGTCGATTACGACTCGACCTGGTCTTGGAAACGCAGACTGACCCTGTGTACAGTTAGCATTGAAACACCGACAGAATAAGTCACAGAAGCAACGTATAATCGTGTTTACGTGCAGTCCGATCGATGAAGACGAAAAGGAGCTAGTGAAATTGTCAAAACGGATGAAGAAGAACGGCGTCAGCGTCGATATTATTGCGTTCGGCGAGCTAGGGGAAACGACCACGCGGAAGCTTGAGAAGTTCAGCGAAGCATGCCAGAGCTCTGAAGGATCCCATCTCGCCATCGTCCAACCCAGCTCGAACCTTCTCAGCGACTCTCTGGTCACAACGCCCATCCTTGGTGGAGATGGCATGTCAGGCGGAGGGGCCGGGTCGAGCGGCGCTGGCGGGGCAGCAGGTGAAGGAGGCGATGCTGGTGGAAACTCTTTCGAGTTTGGAGTCGACCCGTCAGTCGACCCCGAATTGGCGCTCGCGCTTAGGATGAGTTTCGAAGAAGAGAAGGCGCGACAAGAGAAAGAGAAGAAGCAGAAGGATGATGCGGAGGGCAAGTCGGAGCTTGAGCAAATAGCGGAGGGTGACGAGAAGCAACCTCTACTTGATGACCAGGGCCAGCCGAGCGGGAGCGGCAGCGGCAGCAAGGACAAAAAGGATGATCCGGACAAAATGGACACGGCATGAGGCTGAGTATGCGATGACTTGCAGCGGATATATGGTCTCTCGTGTAAGCATGTTCGGCGTTCAACGGCGGAGCAATGTTTGTCGCATTCCAGCATACCGTGTAGCTACACGGCCTTATAGATGCTGCTCTCCAGGCTAGAATTGAATCTCACGATGACGCTCAATGCGAGCAATCTGAAGGCACGATAACATGTGAACATGGTATATCATATCTATTTCTGAGAACATAGAACTCCTACTCTACGCTCATCAGCTCTGCCTATTGCTGCACGTATTCGTGTACACTTCCACCCAAACACACGTTTGGGAGTAGCTTAGCAAGTGGCTGATGTTGCATCTTTCCATGCTTGGTTGCCTTCCCACATGGTTTCCTGATCCCGTGAAGCCGCGACTCAAGACTACTTTGGGCATCTTGACGCCGATGACAGACTTGGGTAGTCAAGATGGGCTAGTGCGTTTTGATTCTTCTTCCGGCTTTGGAGCTTCTGCAAACAATCATTCTCCTCGTCAACTCCTGACCTTGACGAATCCATCGAGCCCTCTATCAAACTTCTCGCATCGAATTGGCATTTCCACCGTGTAGAATGGGTTCTTCATGACGAAGTCGGCGTACAGCTCGTATATTTTTTTGATCATGCTATCGATGTTTGGCTGCTGGGGCTCGGTGAACAAGAGAAACTTGACGCCGGTGAGGGTCTGGAAGCATTGCATACGGAACTGAGAGGTCTCGAGAACTTCGAGACCGGTGGGACGAGTGACCCAGGGGGCGGGGGCGAGACTGGTAGAGGTGTTGGAGGAGGACGCGGACGCTTGTGGGGGATTGGGACACAGTTGCTTGGTTATGGCGTGCATACTGAGGTCATGGTCAACATCAGAAGAGAGATTGGTGGGGTGGGGGAAGGGGTGCATACCCGTGGAAGGAGCCGGCCACCATGAGAAGGTCGTTGCTGGAGAGCTTATTCATACCGGTGTGGAACTCGCGGTTGTATATAAGACCTCCCGACTTGCTTATTATGAAGAGGGCGAAGACAACCCTAGCACCATTATGAGCATTGCGATCCAACAGCGAAGATGCTTCATCTCACATGGTGGTGGTGGTGGTGGTGGTGGTGGTGGTCCAAAGGCCGACGGGGCAACAGCAGGCTGGGGAAGCGCAATGCAAGAGGAGAAAGTAGCAAGTTCCGATCAATGATTGCAAGCAGGCGAGATGCAGTTGGAGTAAACAGTCTATCGGGGTTGTCTGCCAAGCAGCCCGGGGATGTGGGAGGTTGAGGTTGAGGTTGAGGGTGAGGTTGAGGGTGAGGATGGGGATGGGTATCGCACAAGGCGAGCCCAGGGTTGGTTGCCAATCGCGGGGGCGCCTCTGGTGGTCGAGGGGACTCTATGGATGCAATCGATGTACATGTACATGGACATGTACCTACCTAGGTATGTAGTTGAGAATGTACATCTGCGTCAAGGCAGTTGGCAGTGTGCTTTACGTGTCTCTCGCGCACGGTTTCCTCACTCCCCAAAGCGGCACAGCAGAACAGGGTTCGCCTACCTGATGAGCTGTTTGCTATTAGCTTCCGATCCGACCACCAGGCTACACTGCAGTGTCCAGGACAGTCCTGTCCGTCTCTACGCTCCCGCGCACAGGCAGTACTTTGGACTGACCCGCTCACCACAGCTTCATTCCGCACGGCAGCGGCGCTCGTATTCCTTTTTCTCGTTTCCTTCTGCATCCATCCTCGACTGGACAACGTACGTGTGCCTGCCTGCCCGCCTGCCTGCCGTCCACAGGCCGTCCTGTTTCCCCCGCCCCGCCGTCGTCACCAAACCTACCCCTCGCTCCCACTCCTCCACGACCCCGCCGCATCTATACATACCCCCATACCGACACACTCCTGCTGGCCGAACAATTAGTCGGGAAAGCCCTGGCCGCTCTGCACCATGTCTAACCAGTCCATCCTGCGCATCACTCGAGTATGTGCATCCATCCATGCCAACCCGTACCGTCTTTGACAATAATGTTTGCTGCAGGAACTGGGCGAGATCCAACGCGGCTCCGACCTCTCACTTGCTGTGGCATGCCGCGACATCGACGTGCGACACGTACGAGCCCTCATCATCGGCCCGCCCGACACTCCTTACGAATTTGGCTTCTTCGAATTCGCCGTCAAGTTCACCCGGGACTACCCTACCAAAGCTCCGTCCGTCACCGCCATTACCACCAACAGCGGACGCACCCGCTTCAACCCCAACATCTACGCCGGGGGACGGGTATGCCTCTCCATTCTCGGCACGTGGCGTGGCGAGCGCGGCGAGGAGTGGTCCTCTGCTCAAGGCTTGGAGTCCATCTTGATCTCCATCCAGAGCCTCATGTCGGGGAATCCATACGAGAACGAGCCCGGCTTCGAGGACGCCAAGTCCGACTACGACAAGAAGAACCAGCAGCTGTACGTGGAAAAAATTCGCCATGAGACCCTGCGCATTTCTGTCATCGAGAGACTGGAAGACTACCTAGGCATTGAGCGAAACAAGGTGGCAGGCGTTACTGCCTACAACGCAGAGGAAGAATACCAGTCTGGTGCCGTTGAATCTCCGTTTGAGCCATTCAAGGACCTCTGCAAGCGACGATTCCTCTGGTACTACACTTCCTATATGGCGAGCATCGACACGGAAATGGCGAAGCACAAGACTTCCGCTCGTTTCGAGAAGATGCCATTTGAAGGCCCAGGAAATGCTATGGAGGGCGTCTTCGATTATCCTTCCCTCAAAGCGCGCATGGAAGTCATCTTCGACAAACTCAACCAAGAGGCTCTTGGCTGGGCTACAGAGGGTTTGGCTGCGGTGAAAAAGGAGAGTGGCATTGCCAGTAATTTGCAGCGTCAATTCGAGCAGATTATCGAAAACTACAGGAAAAATCATGATGCCGTGGCCCTTGACTTGGAGCTGGTCGATAAGAACCCATTCGTATGGAGGTTGGTTCTCTTCGGCAGGCCGATGACCAACCTTGATGGCGGTAGGTTGTCTATTATTATTCTTTCTCGGGTGAATCCTAATTTTCGAGCCCTGTTGTACTGACGTATCCAGGAATGTTCGGCATCCTCATACACTTGAGCCCTAAATTCCCAGACGTCTTGCCCCGTGTCAAGCTCGAGGTGCCATTGTTTCATCACCGAGTGTCTCCTGCTGGCGTATTGTGCTATGACGCGAGCCGGAAGGACGATATGCGATCGCATATAGAAGCCATCATCGAAGCAATGGAGGATGAATCGCCTGCGTACGATCCTCGAACCCTCGTGAACCCAGAAGCTGCTAAGCTATTCTGGGGCACTGCGGATGATAAGAAGATCTACAACCGCCGACTGAGGAGGTCGGTTCAGGACAGCATCGAGTGAGTGTATCCGTACTTTTCGTTGTTGGACGCACTGTTGACTCTCGCGCAACAGGAATGCCTAGGCTGACAGTCCCCATGCTACTAAGAGTGCTATGGTAATCGACAAGGAGTTCAAATGATAACGTCTTTCATCACGGAATGAAAAGGAGATTGATACCCGGATCTAATGGCGCTCAGCCAAGGTTCACGGATTGCATATATTAGGCGTTTGGGCTGGGGTCTCGTGAGAATTGTGTTCCTTGTGAAGCATGGCGCTGGACATACAATCGGCGCAATTAGCATGGTACTTTTATTTAATTCACTTGTATCAACAATCATGAATTTTTGCGCCATTTTAAAACTTGAATTGCCTCCCTGTATCTTGATGCTGTTGTTGATGCTGAAACAGGCAGAATGGAGAGCCAAGCGTACATAGATAATTTAGCAGCTCGGACCTGGCTGACTTGACCCTTGCTTTCTCCGCAAACAAAAACCCACACCATTACATCTCTCACCCCCACATCCGCACACGTAGCAAACACAATGTCAGGACCGAAACCGATACCATCCTTTGGAAAAGCGCTAGTTGTCGGTGGTTGTGGTTTCTTGGGCGGTCACATCGTTTCTCTAATTCTCAAACGTCACCCGGGAACCCAAATAGCTGTTCTCGATCTCCGAACGAGCTCCAATCGCAATGCCAGTCCCAGCGTTTCATACCACGACGGCGACATCACCGATGCCACTACCATGCAGTCGATTTTCTCAAAAGTCAAACCAGACGTAGTGTTCCACACCGCTTCCCCACACTTCGATGCGCCCACCACTGTACACGACAAGGTTAATATTGAGGGGACGGATATTCTCCTCAAAGCAGCACAGGAGTCAGGAGTCAAGGCTTTCGTGTATACGAGCTCGGCGAGTCTGGTCATAGATTCTTCCATGACGGTTGTGAACGCGGATGAGACGTGGCCCCTGATAACAGGAGCTGCGCAACCAGAACATTACACCACCACAAAAGTAATTGCGAAACACGAATCTCGGTTGCATTCTATCATGGCTAACTTTACCACTAGGCTTATGCGGAGACTGCGGTCCTGAGTGCCAATCGCACACCTGCGGGCTTCCTCACATGCGCGATCCGCCCCGCGGGCATATTCGGTGAGGGTGACGTCCAACTCCTCCCACCAATGATTTCCGCTTGCCGCAAAGGTCAAAACAAGTTCCAAGTCGGCGACAACACAAACCTCTCCGACTTCACGTACGTGGAAAACGTTGTTTACGGCCATCTCCTCGCTGCACAAGCCCTCCTCCAAACCCACAACATCATCCCTACGATTCCATTGGACAACGAGAAGGTCGACGGCGAGGCCTTCTTCATCACGAACGGACAACCTGTCTACTTTTGGGATTTCGCGCGCGCAGTGTGGCATGCGGCTGGGGATCGCAAGACGGCGAAGGATGTGTGGACGCTAGACCGGGATTTCGCCATGGCGATTGGTACGGTTTTGGAGAACGCGTGTTGGGTTTTGGGCAAGAAGCCAAACATCAACAGGAAGCAGGTCCGCTACAGTACGATGAATAGGTACTACAACATCGACAAGGCGAAGAAACGCTTGGGGTATGAGCCGCTGGTGAGCTTGGATGTAGGGATCAAGAGAGGTGTCGCGCAGTTGGTGGAACAGGAGCAAAAGGCCAGTGAGAAGAAGGGCCAGTAAAGGCACCAAAGTATTATTGGCTTGTTCAGTCTTCGATCACGTATGATGCTGGGAGTTTGTAGATATCGATAGCTGATTGTAATAAGTTGCCGTCGCGTACCGCTCGGTGGGAACAATAAAAATATGTTTTAAGAAACTTTTCTAATATTTGCAATGCATGGTTGCGGAAAATGTTCATTCAAACTCTCAAGCGTGATCATTGACTGACATGTGTACTGACTCAGCACTAATGGCTTTAAAGTCGATCTTCGAGCTTGGCTCTTCGACCGTACACCTCCCACTTTAACTATGGCACATCAACAACTACCATGGCACAACCTACGCTTCCCGCGTCCGCCTACGAAGCATTGGACCTGCCACTCGAAACCTTGAAAATCCTGACCACTCCCAAATCCGCGATCGATGACTCCGCTGTAGCAGCGCCTAATCTCCTACAGCACGAGGGCGACACCTCGGAACAAACTTCGCTCCCGCCTAACAAGACTTCCATAATACTATACGCTGAGCTTCTGCTGCATATTCGAACTGTAACTCTGTATGCCTCGCTGCGCACTTCCCATACCCGTGAAACCAAGGCGAAGCTGTCCACCGATGGGTACAGCATTACAGTGACTCACGAGGGGGAATCAGCCACGATTCGTATGCCCATACAGGTGCAGGGCGGAGGCGACGCTGCTTTATCACTGCCTGCACAACCCCCTAGCAAAGACTTGACAGTCCGGCTGCAGGTGAAAGAGAAAGAGGGCACCGATTTACTTGGCACATTGCAAACCGAAGAGCGAAAAGCAAACATTGTACCGTGGGATGGCGCTACGCTCAGTGGGTTGAAAACTGTCACAGTCTTCTGCAAGGCCTGTCGCAATGAATTGGTACCGCCGGAGAAGATCAGAGAGTGGAGAGACCTGCCCAATGAGAATTGGGCGGAAATGATGGATTTCTGGCATTGCCATAAACCCGATGAGCACCACCTCCACGACCAAGCGCATGATGCTGCAATGGAAAAGAAAGGCTACGCTGCTGGAAATCGTCTCGAAGCCGCCCATGGGCTCGCTTTTGTGGATCTATCAGGCTTCCTCTTGAAAGAGCAGGATTGCCCCGGTATCAAGGTAAGTAAACCACTTGTTATAATCTTCCCTGTGATGCCATGTGTACTGCGCTTGAGAACCAAGAGAGCAGAATATGGGTGCCAAGAAGGCGACCTCAGCCTGTCCGTGGCACCGTCGTCGATACAATCGCCCTAGAATAAGAATAGACTCCTCACACACACCTCAAATCCTCTTCTTTGTGTCGACGGAATTGTGCGTGTCGTGTACAGGAACGGCCGGACTGTTCTTCTTAGCCCAATCCTCACCTGAGACTCTTGGGAGCGAGTGGCAGTATATGGTCCGACTACATCTTTCACCAATCCCCCTGCCCAGAGGGAATCATTGCAACGATACATGTACATGCACCTACTCTTACTAACCTGATGTCAAGATGTTTCCTTCAGAAGGCAATTCGTTAGTTTGCAAACAATGCCACCATATCCTCGGTATACCCGATGCAAACACCCAAGGCTGGCGCGTCTGGAAATGGTGCCTCAGCATCGTGGGTAGTAGCAGTAGCAACGACGACAGCGACAGAGACCACGCCATCACTCCTCAAATAACAACAACGACAACAATGACGTACAACGTGCAGAAGTGGATATCCGCACGCCTTCTCTTCCTTGCGGAAAACATGGGTGTGCGCAAATTTCACATCTACTCAGAGTCCTCAACGTCCCCTTCACCATCACAAACGCCAGTCCCATCTCTCCTCATATGGCTCTTTACCCCGGATCTTTTCTATTCTTCCTCCATCACTTCCACCTCTCACGCGGCAGGGACCACCCCCACGCGCGCACTCAAAATCTTTTACAGGCACCAGACATATGCGCCGCCGCAGCCCGGGGACATGGAGTCGACGTCCATTGAAGACGTCGGTTTCCCTGCGCTGCTGTGGGATGAGCTTAGAGATGGGCTAGGGCGGAGCCAGAGGGTGCTGCCGGAGAGTGCTAGGGTGTTTCAGGGCTGGGAGGTTGGGCTGCTGGAAAGATTCGATGGAGGGGATATCAGTCAGTGAAGGTATGTGAGAGGTTAGCTGTTTATACCAAGAGGGACGGCTAGATTGAATGAAGAGTCGACACGTGCCTATGGATGGTCCATGTTGGAGAGAGGCGCTCACGTTTCTTTTTGTAAGGCGAGGCCTCGTGATGTACAAGCTCAACGAGTGCGCGATGATGGGATTGGACAAAGGAGGGTAGAGGCGCTTCGCTTCGCACCGCAGTAGCCTGCCTTTTTAGTACAGTTCAGCTTGGCTCTAGCTACTCGGTCAGTAGATTCAAAGGTAAGTACATTATACGTACCGAGGAAAGCTAAAGGCGCGGATAGCCGAGCCAAGCCAGAGCGTGTAGGAAGCGAGAAAAATTAAAGGCAGAGCGTGTTGGAAGGAGGATTGGAATTGGATTGGATCAACTAATTACACTACCAACGACGAAGGTCCAATCGCTTTGATGCTGGTTGTCTTTGACCCAAGTTTGCAACTTTGAATTCTTTCCATCCTTGAAGTGGAGCTCTGTGCTCTCTTCTCATCATTTCCACGCTGCTGTCTGCCCTTAGCAAGAGTCTATGTTTACCTAATAGAAACGTGCAGAGAATGCAGAACTAGCGAGTAAATGACAATGGGGCATACTAGGTTTTTTTTCCCTGGTCTTCCCCTGTTTGGGTCATAGTTTCTACCTATTCATTTCCAGGCTGTGCTCTGCAAGGGATCTGGAGCTTATGCGGGGTAGCGCAGCGTAGCTTGGGTTACTTTTTTTAGGGCGTTGGGAAATCCGGGGGTGGCAGATGGTTTGAGGCTGCTGATGTGTTTTGAGGCGAAAGGTATGGCTAGTGAAAGGGAATGTATCACTTGACCCTTCGGACTCGGGGTCCTTGTTTACGGCGGTAACATGGGAAATTGCCAAACGATTCATTGGCAATGCTGAACGGGGTGATTGGGTGGTTTGCGATGTTAATAATGTTGAGAAATTCTTCATGGACTTGGATTGCTACCGTGTAAATAGACGAGAGCCAAAAGCGGAGGCAGCCGAAGCTGCACCCAGTTCGTGTTACCACATGGCGATGGGGACCAAGCGAGAGAGAGAGAGAGAGAGAGAGAGAGAGAAAGAGACGGATTGTGCTAAACTAGTTGCCGTGCAAGAGACGGCGCTACTGTGGCAGCAGGCAGGCGGGACGGTGCATTGGTGTTGGTGTTGGCGAGGCGGGGACAAGGAGTTTTCAAACGTAACAGAATATCAACAAGTTGGCGTGAGGTGGAGAAGTTGTATGTCAGCAAACAGACGACGTGCGGACCTGCACGAGGAGAAAGCAATTTTAATAAACAAAAGAGTTTGCAGGCAAGCAAGCGTCATGTCGTGTTGGGAACTGGCGTGGCAAAACGCGATATCCGATGGGGGGAGGGTTCATTGGATTGATGTTGAGTGGTCAATCCGTCGACGCATTTCATCATTCAACCATTGTGCCATTCAATCAATCGGCCCATCGGTGAAGACGGCAGGAATAGCCCTTGGAGGTGAGGGTGGTGCGGCGTGACGAGACCGAAGGCGTGAGACGCGTTATTGATGGCGACAGGACCGTGGCAGTCGGAGCAAGGCGGTGTCGGGGTTGGGGACTGGGGAGAGAGCAGAGCAGAGCAGCGCAGAGAATCTGTTACGAAACGATTGAGTAATGGCTGGGCCATGTGACTTTTTTTTTCCTTTGGCCAGGGCTGCGCTAGGCCGCATCCGAGCTTCCCCAGATGTTCTTGGCGGGTGATGTAAGGTCGCTCGCGCCAAACGCAAGCACTGCGACGACCACGCCTCCACCTCCGTCGTCCAAATCATCCACCACGAGACCTTCCAGCACTGACTTCAAGCCTATGTGTCATTCCCCAATCCATGCCCGTCTCCACTTCGGCTCCAGGGCCCAGCGTCTTGGTGTCTGTGTCTGTGTCTGCTCTGCATTGCATTTCCGGCCCTGCTGAAGCTTTTTTTTCCCCTTGGGTCGTCGGTTGGTTGACTAACATCGTACCATGACTTCTTTGTCCCCTTAAAACTCTGTTGTCCAACTGTTGCTATCACCCATCTCCAACCCCAGTATAAAACACCCCTCTCCCTGCTCCCCTCCGTGCTTTGCCTCACCTGTTCTTGCTGCTCCATGACTTCCTGACTCACCCCTTCACTCTCCCGTTTGCCACGGTACCATTCGTCACTTACCCACACAGCTGTACACCCTCCGCTCTGCTACCACCACAGCACACCCTCCAGGCTCTGAGCACACACTTACCATTATAATCCAATGCACCTCAACGACCTCCCCTTTGAAATTCTTTCCAAGATCCTCGAGGAAGCCGCCCATGCCAATATACGCAATGGCCCGCAGTACACCTTCGGCCTGTCCCAGCCGCCCATGCCCTACCAGAAGGCGGCCCTCCAGCGCTACGTGAGGGGCCCCGTTCCGCCCGAGATGCTGCGGTGGGATGCGACTTCGGCTTTGCGTCTGGTGTGCTGGCGCTGGCACGAATGGACCTTGGAATATGCCCTCAAGGATGTTTATATCCGCCGGTGGAAGGGTGGTGAGGTAAGTTATGAGTTCCCCCACAGTATACTTTCACGACTAACACCCTTCAGCGATGGGCCGAGCTTTCCCTTCGCCGCGAGAACTACGGACTGTACGAGCTCGTCGACAGGCCTACTGGCACCGCCGTTTATCGCGACCCCTTCGCTTCCCTCAAGCACACCGTCGACACCTTCAACAGGTTCCCCGGGGTCGCTGCTAAGATCAGGCGCATGTGGTTCCATGGCTTCTACACGGCCGAAAGCAACCGAATGGTCTTTGAATCTCTCCAAAACTGCACCAATTTGACGTCGGTGTCGCTTCCCTGGACCGCATTTCGCCACCTTGATGCACGTGCCTGGCGAAATCTGCTCGTGGGCAACGGCAAGCCGCTGCAGTCTCTGGAGCTCCTCGCCGTCGATCCCACATCTCAACAAGCTTCCGAAGACGCCAATCGGATTGATCTGCAGCCCCTGCAGTCAGTCAACTTCGGCATGCTCCGCCGCCTAAAGTTCTTCGGGGATACTATTTTTATGCCCATCACGGATGACGACTTGTTCGCCATTGCGCGAACCGCGACCCAGCTGCAGGAATTTCACTTGACGTGCATCTCTACCGTCACCATCGACGGAGTCATGGCCATTGTCCGGGCTTCCCGGTCGACTCTGCGGGTTCTCGAGCACAGCCCACGGTCCCAAGACGGCTTCTGGCACCCTCACCCCGGATCTCCGTCCGATTCCGAGCATCTTTGCGAGCTTTTCCGGGATTGCCCCAAGCTCGAAACTCTCTCCATTTCTCTTCCCTCGGTGTGCGCTGATCTGTTCTCGAACCCAAACGCCAAATTCAACGGCGATTTGCAGGTGCGCGCATTGCATCTCTGCGGGCATGAACACGGACGTTCTACCCACGAAGCGACGGATGCTCTCCACAAGCTCCTGCATCAAGCGCGCGGCCTCGTTGACGTCAAGGCGAGAAGCGTCATCCCGCGCGAGCTGTACATTGAACTCTTCTTCGCCGATTGCATCTTCGAACCAAGCTTGAAACTGGTTCACGGCGACTTTTCTCCTGCGCAGGTAGCAGAAGACCAGGCCTGGTTGGAAACTCTTGGCCCTTCCGGAAAAGGACCGTTCGGCAGCACCGGCCTGTACGAGAAAGAGGAGGAAGGCCCTTTCCAAAGCGTGGCTGAAGACGATTTCCTTACGGGTGTTCGACGACGATATCTTTCCATTTCAACTTGAACGGCCGACGATTGACGCGCGCAACCCTCTCCACTATGACCTGTATTATGAATTGCGATGCACGATTACGATTGCTACAGCCCGGACAGTAATGCTTGTTTGTTCTGTTTTTTTTTTCTACTGCGTTTAAAAGTCTGCAGGTGGACTCTGCATGGGGGAATGATGGACATAGCGATGATACCACAAAAAAAGTTTACCAATAGCCTGCATTACTGTATTATCATATTATCAGGCATGCATAGATAGCATGATGGAAATGAAGGATACCGTTTTTTTTTCTGGAGAATGCTGCAGTCCACAATGATGAGCCACGCGAGAGTGAAGGGGCCTTGCAGTCTGAAAATTTTCTCTTTGCTCGATGATCCAAGGACGCGAAGTTCCCCACCGCGCTCGTTCACAGGGAAGTTGAGAGGGGCAAGGTGCTGTACAGTGCTAATCAGATGCAGCTAGCGCGGATGGGGAAATCAAGAGAACAAAGTGCTTTGTGGTTGCTGGACAGGTTTGGCTGTCTCGTGTGCTCGGGGATGGTGTAGAGGAGGCGTCGGAGCGGAAGACTGGAGTGCTTGGTAATGAGGACGGAAGCCGGGGCAGCCAGTTGCCGCTGTGCCACACAGGCAGGTGGCTGGCCAGGGGCAGAGCAGAACAGGACAGTGGAGCACATTTGCACATTAATAATGGCTGCGAAATACATACATGGGCAGAGGAGAAGACAGGAGGAGGCTGTTTGGCAGCAGCAGCAATACAGCTAAGCTTACGTCCTTCCCCTAGCCGCCTAACAAAGCCATTACCAATGGTGAGATAAGCAGGGCAGCAGAAGCTACCCCTCCACGCCAGGCCGCTTTGGGCGGCTTTGGACGTCGGAGCATGCAGAAAGGCAGAAACGGTGCTGTTCTAGCTCTCCAATTCCTGTGCCAGCTTCATTCATGCCATGTCTCGTTGCATGCAGCCATGGCTAGCCCGCGTTGCCTGGCCAATTGCGCATTCCCCTTCTACTCCCCTATGGCCGCCGTCTGGTAGCGGTATATAAGGACTGCCCCTCGCCGCCATGCCCTTCTCCTCCCTCCATTTCCACATCTCCCAATCCAACTCCTCACTCAGCTCATCACCCCCCAACCAACCATTCGCCATGGCTCCCAGAATCGCTATCATCTACTACTCCATGTACGGCCACATCAAGCAGATTGTATGTTCCTCACCCCACCCCATATATACAACACTTGACTGACCACCACGTCCAGGCTGAGGCCGAGAAGAAGGGCATCGAGGAGGCCGGCGGCTCTGCCGATCTCTACCAGTACGTTTCCCCCATCGGGTCCCCGCGTCCGCACCCCGCTGACAAGACGTGACTGCAGGCTCGAGGAGACCCTCCCCGAGGAAGTCCTCGGCAAGATGTACGCTCCCCCCAAGCCCACCGACATCAAGGTTCTTTCCGACCCCGCCACCCTCACCCAGTACGATGCCTTCCTCTTTGGCATTCCCACCCGTTACGGTAACTTCCCCGCCCAGTGGAAGACCTTCTGGGACAAGACCGGCCAGCTCTGGGCCACCGGTGCTCTCTACGGAAAGTACGCTGGTATCTTCGTCTCCACTGCCGGTCTCGGTGGAGGCCAGGAGACCACTGCCAGCAACGCCATCTCCACCCTCACCCACCACGGCATTCTCTACGTCCCCTTCGGCTACGCCAAGGCCTTTGGCCAGATGTCTGGCTTGACTGAGGTCCGCGGTGGATCCGCCTGGGGTGCTGGAACCCTCGCCGGTGCTGACGGTTCCCGCCAGCCTTCGGCCCTCGAGCTCGAAATTGCTCAGATCCAGGGCAAGTCCTTCTACGAGACCGTCGCCAAGGTCAACTTCGCGTGACTCAATGGCGGTGGAAACGGGGACGCTGTGGAGAAGGAAGAGCCCGCTGCGAAAGCGGTAGAGGCGGATAACAAGACAAAGGATACTGCTGCTGCGCCAGGCTCGGGCCCGCAGGAGCATGAACCAAAGGATAAAGAAGGGCCATGCGGACTGCCTGCGAAATGCACGGTTCAATGATCCCACTACAAACGTATTGAACAAGTACACATAACGAAACTAATGCAATTCAAACAAACTTTTGGAACATGAGCGATCGTACTGCTCTTGTAGTGATGTGGTTGCGTCGTCTGAATTCCCCATGCTCTCATCTCCGCCCCACCATGGAATCAAGTATTCCGCGGGGTAAGTAAACCGCATAGATTGGTGGACGTAGAGCGTAGCCCATTGGCCAATGCACCTTTCTCTGGTATCATGCGTGATCAAGGACTCCAATGGCACCTCCTCAGCACGGGATTGTTTTGTTGATCTTGCAATCCAAGTTGGTGGAATTAAGCTATGCATAGTTCGCCAGCCCACCTTACCCAAACTAGCTTTAGCACGCGCATGACGTTGTCTGGTCAGCCGCGTTCGAATATCCCTGCACACGTGCACGTCTATTCAGTTCAAGGGAAACTACAGCTAGAGACATTTCGGAAAAGAATATCAATTCAAGTCTTGATTGGAGCTCAAAAGGAACGAAGAGGGAGGGGAATAAGCTTTTGGACCAATAACCAAGCATCTGCGTTGGCACAGCAAGTTACTAACTCAAGCGTATGACGTTAGTCGCGTTTGATGTCTTAGGTCTGTGCAGCTTTGACGAAACATCAAAGTCTCCCTTCTTCTCACCACTACATCTTCTCCTTTTTTTTTTCTTCCTGTCGCATCTCTCTCGATGAAGTCAACGCTCCTTTCCTGGAGCCTCATGGCCCCTGCGACACTAAGCTTCGCCGCCGTCGCATCAGAATTCACCAACCCGACATATCGCCATGGCGCTCATTCTCCCTCGCAATACGTCGTAGAAGACGCAGCAGCACACGGGATCCTTCCCCTCGAGGTCGGGGTCGGACACTTCAGCGAGTGGAGTCGAGATACAAAAAAGCGATTCTTCATCGATTGGCAGGATTCCAAAGAAAATGAATGGGTCTTTGTCATGGGGAACGAAGGTGGAGATCTGGACAGTATGGCCAGCGCGCTTACATGGGCGTATCATCTGGAGCATTCGACCATGAATTCTTCGAAGCCGCTTAAGGCTATCGCGTTATTGCAGACGTCTATGGATGCCCTTGATCTACGCCCGGAGAACAAAGTTGCGTTGAGCAACTCCAAAATGACTTCGGGTCATGAGGACTTGCTCACCATGGATGAACTCCCTGAAGACCCGGAGACACTGAGTAGGAAGCTCAAGGGGATAATTCTCGTCGATCACGCAAGTACGTATTCCTGATCCACCTGGTTGACACAGAACCAGCTTAAAAAGCGTAACATCATACACATATGGCTGAGAAGGTTTGCTAACCACATGTCTACCAATTTCAGCTCCTCTCCGTAAATGGGAACACGCCAAAATCCTCAGCATCTTTGACCACCACGTCGACAAAGGTGCCGCGCCCTCGGCCAAGCCCCGCGTCTTCGAAAAAGTAGCATCATGCACCACCCTCGTAGCACGACAAATGCTCGATGAGCTAGAAGACCTTCCTTCCGAATACCACATGCCGCACGAACTCCTCGAACTGATTCTTAGCGCCATCGCAATTGACTCCTCAGGTCTCGACTCTGCCGTTCCTGCCGACTCAAAAACTGCCGCCCGCGTCCTCGCCCGCAGCCGCTGGGCCGACCGCTCCCTCTCGTCCGCCATGTCCTCGCTCGCCCGCGAACTAAAAGACGCAAAGAAGGACCTTGACGGGCTATCTGTTCGCGATCTTCTCCGTCGCGACTGGAAAGGGGATCTCGTCGATACGCCGTCGCCACGCACCCCGACTGTCAGCCTTGGCTTTGCGTCTATTCCGTACTCGCTCGATGCGCAGATTCGCAAAACTGGGTTTGGAGAGTTGTTCCACTGGTTCTCGATTCACGCAGCGTGGACCGCTGCTACGGGCGTCGATATCGACATCTGCCTTAACAAGTACAAAACGCGTGACGAAGAGACGGGCAAGAAGAAGAAGATCCGCGAGATCGTGCTTACAGTACGCGATGATGTAAGGATAGATGAAAGGCAGGCCGACTCGCTATTCCGGCTTGTGTACGAGGCGTTGGAAGCGGATGAGGGTTTGAAATTGAAGAGGTGGGCGAGAGCTGGGGAGTTGGGACCGAGACAGATGGTCTGGACCCATGAGAGCGGCGCGGGGAGGAAGGTCATCAGGCCTATTGTGGAGGAGGCTGTTCGACAATGGGATATGTAGTTGACCATCTTCTTCTATTATGCATGGACATCAGTGTTGTTCCAAACAGAGCATCGTAGGTTCTCTTTTTTTTCCCTCCATCTCCAATCTCTTGTGGGTGCTCCTTACTTTTTGCATCGTGTCACCCCAAAGACAATAGGGCCAAGGACGTCACTCTGGCGTAGTAGGTATAGTTGTCGGGTATCAGACATAGGGTAGGTCGATGCATAGTAGCAAACAACCCCCACTAGATAGAAAGGTGTTCTTGAGAAAGGTATCATGATCGAAAGACATAGCTACCACACTCGCCCCGCCCATAATCCTTCTCTAGCAGTGATATCTTATTTACTCGCAAATATAACATTGAACCTATCCTACCCAGATCTCTTGCTCTGCATCCCTTTCCCCTCAGGTACAAGAATCAAGAAAGAAAAGCACTCTTCTTCCTCCCCAAGCTGAACCGGTTCTTCTTCTCTTTATCTTCTTTACCTCCATCGTCACCACCCTTCCCACCACTCCCATCCGCATCCGGATGTTGTTGCTGATGTTGATGATGTGACGGCATCTTCTCCAAATCCTCTTTGTCCGTCGACGACGACGTAGACCAAAACTTTGGTTTATGCCGCAAACTCATCGACGTATGCCGGAAACGACTCAGTGTCCCCCCGCTCTTGGCTCCGAGACTTGCGAAACCGTTGAGCTTGCCACTGCCATTACCATTCCCAGCTCCATCCTTTTCTGTGTTGTTGTCGTCGGCGCCAACGTCAGCTTGTTGTGGGTTTTGGTTTTGATCAGGATTGGTATTCCCACGCTTCCGATTCTCCTCGGTAGCAGACGCCCGCGAAGCCTCCAGCGCGAGTTTCAACTCCTCTTCCTGCCGACGATAATTTTCGCGGCGCTGGTTATCCATTTCTTTTCGTTTGAGCTTCGCCTGCTTCTCAAGCTCCTTTTCCGCAGCCTTACGCTCCGCCTTGTCCTTTTTGGATGCGGAAGAAGAGGTGTTGAGCATGCCTGCGAGATTGCTTTTACGCGTACCGAGCTTGGGTAGGCTCGTCGCGATGTGGTCGAGGGTCGTGGGTTCGGAGGACGGGATGGTGGAGGGGGCGGTTGCGGCGTGGTTGAGGCTTGCAAACGGTTCGTCTTGCTCTGCAGAGGGGGTGGTGGCGTTCATAAGGGGGTGGCCATTCGTGCTGCCGTTCCCGTTGGCTTTTGGAGATTGGGCTTCGGTGGATATGGGCGCGTCAGATGATGATGCTTGTTTTGCGGCGGCTAAACTTTCGGCCTCCTGTTCCTTCATCATGGCTTCTTCGGTAGTTTCTTGATAGAATAGGACGTATGCGCATGCGAGCTCGTTTTCGCCACCAAAAAATCGCCGCACATATGCTTTGTCGACTGGCTCGACCATTTCGTCATCGAAGAGGAGCCATCCCCGCTCTTGCGTTTTGATGATGGATACGTAATGCCCGTGATATGGGCCACCCCCTATATGAACGACTACCGCGTAGAGTTCGTACAGGCGATCGGGGTCTTCGGCATCGTCGGTGGTATTGAAGAGTCGCAGATAATACGGATATACTACGCGATGGAATAGCTTTTGTAACCGTTGCAAATCTTCGGTGTATTTGAATCGTTTTAGATGGAGAGCCAAAATACGAGGTAATCTCTTGATCTTCATCCTCTTTTCCGCTTCTTGCAAGCCCCCACAGTTGTCGCAGTGAAACTTGTTACGCTCACAAAGCATTTCTTCTTCAGAGAACTTGCGCAGACAGCTCGTCACCGAGGAGTGCTGGTCAAGATCCACCGATAGGTCCAGGAATGCCTCATCCCGGTGTGATGTATTTTCACACGTAAGACATCGTGTTTCCGACGTCAGTGTGCCCTCAAACAGCTCATGTACCCAGCCAGTATTCGTCGACGAGGTCGCAGGGACTACCGCGCCTGATGTGATTGTTTGGTCACCACCATTGACAAGTGTCCCAGCATCGCCCGGTTCGCGCACAAGGGACTTGGAAAAGGATTCGACATTCTCAACCACCTGGTTTAGAAGAAGATTCAAAAATTCGTGGGCGTCTTGGTGCATTGGAGTCCGGAACATTTCGTTTTCTTGCCTTAAGATCTCAAGGAACTTGTGGGGACTGACGACACCAATGTGCGATCTGTGAGCTATGACAGCCTCGAATATATCTTTGAGCGCGCTAAAGAGCGATTCCGACATGCCGTATGCCTTTGAGTTCTCATAGTCCATCTTCAACACGGGACCGGCAGCAAACGCCTGTTTTTTCTTGTATTCGGGGGAGTCTTTATTGTCCTCGGGCTTGTTCGCGACGGGGGCTGCGGTGCCTGCGGGGGCTGCGAGCGACTTCCGCGGTGAAGCGCCGGCAGGGGTCGAAAAAGAATTTCTCCCTTTTGGAGAGAGGGCCGAGTTTTGTCCATTGCTCGCGTTAACAATGTCGGTGTTTAGACGGGGCAAGGCTCCCACGGTGGACGATTGGAGGGCTTCGATGGGGGATCGCGAGGGAAAGTTGATGACTTGTTCCCGGAAGGGAACCGAGTAATATAAACATTGGACTATGGAATTGCAATAGCTGGAGGGTGTGTAAGTCAAGTCGGTTCCGGGGTGGGATAGTGAGTGGGAGTGCATAATCACCATGTGCTTCCAAACTGCAAGCGGAACGTGGTCAGTGGATATGGTGGCATGGAATCGATGGGGGGAGCGGAGGGGAGAAGAAGCTCACATTCTCGAAACCAAAGAATTTGTCGCTTCCATCATCACGTACAGGGCCAGCATCGGCCAGCAGCTTCTCGAGTGGTGTCAACTGGGGGGCATTGGGGTCTTTTTTGGCGGGAGTTTGGCTGGTTGCTGGGCTGGCCGGGCCCTGAGGTTGATGTCAGCACGAAGAAACAGGCAGAAGAGGAGAAACCAGGTAGGCAAGTACTGACCGTTCCACCTTTGATCCGGCTGAAGAAGGAAGTCATGGTCTCGCGAGAGGTGAGTGGAGGAGGGGGGAGAGTTGTGCCGGGAGGGCGAGCATGCGGGCGCGGTGTCTAAGCGGCGCGGCAGGGTTGGCGGCGAGGAAATGCGGAGGTGGAGGCGGAGATGGACACGGGTGGTGAGGCTCGGGTGCAATGGAGTCGTGGCAGCAACATGGGCATGGAAGGCATTCAATAGCGCAGTGTAGTGATATCACGCAGCAAGGGAGGGAACTGGAAACCGGAGGAAGGAAGGAAAGACGGAAGGCAAGACAGGCAGGCGCGCAGTGAGTGAATGGAGGAGATGCAAGAGCGGACGACGGCTAAGAAGAAGGAGCGAGCGCGGGTCGGTTGGTCGGTTGGTCGTTCGTTGGTTGGCTCGTTTGTTGGTTCCTTCCTTCTCCACAAATTAGCGCCGCTCCACGCGAGACTCAGTCCATGTCGTCGGTAAAAGACGAGACGACACGCCGTTATGTCACGTCCGCTCCGTTCTTTGGTGTACCTCAATCCATTCAATCTTGACTGATATCCGACATCTACCTACTCAAGCGCTCGGATAGGTGGAGTCTGTTCGTCCCCAGGGCTAAATACCCAAGGAGAGCACGCGGCAAGCCAGCCAACCCGAGAAAGGCGGGGTCGCATACACCCACACTCACGCTCACGCACACGCACATAGACACCCTCGTCACCCCAGATCCGCCGCCTCGTGGCAATGAAACCACGCCGATCCATCCATCCAGCCAGCCAGCCAACCAACCAACCAACAGCAACGTCCGATCTGCAAAAGACTGGATAACCTTGCTTTCTGGTCTTCCATCTCCTCTTCTAGAAGTCATGGCCTGAGCAGCCCAGCTGGCCATTTGATACCACCAAGCGAGACAACCATAACCACATAACCAACCTACCCTAGTCAGCCAACCAATCCCATTTTAACCGCCATGTGCCGTGCATACTATCCATCACACCAGATATGCACCTAAATAGCTCCATCAAGATTAACTCTTTGACTGGTCTTTCTATCTGACTCCAGCGGAGAGGTAGACAAGTATATGCAAACATAAATAAAAAGACTCCGCCCAGATGCATACAAAGAAAGTATCCATGTACATTCGTACCCAGATACATGGCGAGACAAGGCTAAGTACAAGTAGATGGACAGACTGTTGGGCACAACACTCGCAAGAGGTCTGGTGATGACAACAAACCACTAAACACTACGAATGTGCATTACCCGCATAGAGAAACGTGCATGAGAATCTGAAATAATACACTTTGCCGAAGAAGAGAGAGAACGGAAAAGAGGAAACAGGACGGAAAATAGTGGGAAACGGGGTCATCGTAGTAAACCACGACACCACATACAGGGAATGCGTATACCAGCCATTCCTTACCTTCGAGGCCGCTTCCCAGCACCCAGTTCGATCGCCGTGCGCCCATTCATCACCATATCACCCTCGCCATCTTCCGGCGGATGATCCCTAATATACTCGACCCTTATCCGCTCAGCCTCGCGATCCCAAAGCGCAACAGCATCTTTGAAGCCCGCCGTGCTAGCCGCGGCATCGTCTTTTGCGCTCTGAGTTTGATCCAGGTACGGCTGGCGCACGGCGGGGTCCTCGGTGCGCCACTTGAGCCCCAGTGCGGTGCGGATCTCAGTTTTGGACGCTTTAGCATTGACGTCGCCTGTGGCAGCCCGTCGTTTGGCGTCGCAATCGTGCTTAACTGTGTACCATTGGTCTTTTGTGTATAGTAGGAATGGGTTGACTCCCGTACGGCCTGGTTTGATGGGGCGTTCGCCGAGCTGCGAGAGAATCTCGCCAATGATGGAGGCTTCGTAATCTTCGTCACGAACTGCACGGGCGGTTTTGTGGATGCTGTTGTTACTGGCAGTGCTACCGCTGCTCTGTAGCGGTGCATCGGATGAAAATTTGCGTTTCACGTCGGAGATGGTGGGTGGGTGAGGTGTCGGGTGTTCGAGCTTCACCTTCTTCTCGACGAGCGGAGTCGGGACCCGGATGGGGCCGATCATTTTTTCAACTACTTCTGCTGCTGCCCGCAAGCCAGACAGATATGCCCCGTGTACAGTAGCCGGATGCGTGCCACAAGTAGCCTCGCCTGTGAAGTGGAGCGGCCCGTGGGGTCTAGCCATGACATCGTAGTCGCCTGTTTGGGTCTCTGGTCCTACGTACGAATAACTTCCGCAAGCAAATGGATCTTTGCTCCATCTGGTGACAATCGTCTCTGTGGGTAGTGGGACGCGGTTGGGCGCGAACATCTGGTCCAAGCAGTCGGTGACTTCTTTGATCAACTGATCATTCGAGGTCTCCTCGGTGTAATGTGCCGCTTCTCCCGCCATGAGCGCAATAAGAGTCGGCTTGCCGCTGGTGACGAGGCAGTTCCAGAAGAGATAGTAGCGACCCCTCCTGGAAGCGTAATCTTCTGGGTTGAGACTGGCTTGGCGTTCGGCTTCATTCAATAAACCAAACATATCACGATTCGGCTCCCAGAAGGCTTCTTCGTAGACGAGTATCACCTGACGCCGACGGTCAGTAAAAATCCGGCGAACTAGATATACCCGCACATACCTTGTTTAGGAGGCCAAATCCCATGCGCTCAATGACGCCTTGCTTCCAGTCTGGCAATGGGGGCTGGAAGTCAACGGATCCAGACTTTAACACGCCAAGCGGAGTGCTCAGGACGATCTCGTCACCCTCAAAAACTTCTCCGTTCGCGCACTCAACCTTGACGGCCTTGCCGATATTCTGCTCTTCCGTATTGTACTTGACAGTCCTGACAACGCTTTTGAACCGCACATCTAGCTGAGTGGGGCACTGCCACAAGCCACGAGGCACCTGTTGATAACCACCAATAATTTCCGTATGTTGCCCCTCAAACTCATTGCCAATATCTTGATCCCAGCCACTGAGGCTGAGTTCATTGACACTGACTGCGTTCGCGTATTCAAGGTTGGCATGGTGCCAGTTGAACATACGCAGGTCACGAGGTTTGATATCGAGGATTCTCTGGTATTGTCTGATGCCTTCGTCCATAATCTTACCTAACGTGGGATATTCCGAGGCCTTTGCGGCTGTGTCAAGATCGAGAGTCTGGAGATCGGGCGCCCCTGGTTTCAGTTGCCAGCCCATATCTTGCACAGACTTCGTCACTGGAATATCAGCGTTGAAGCCTGCTGTGAGCTGATATGTGCGGCCTGCCCTCTTCTCCACTCCCGTTGAAGGCATTTCTTCAAGTGTCGAGGCAGTAGTTGTCGCATTGGTAGGCAATGGCGTGCTCGATTGTTCCAGTTCAGCAATGGTCGCAGTAGCCGTATCGCTGGGCTCCCGTCCAAAAAGCATCAGATTACGATCACCTTCTACCGTTCGGAATATCGCAGGTTTGTTTCGGAACACGCTCGCACGTTCGAGAACGTCATTGTAAAGTTTTTCCACCAGCATGTCCTGACTTCTGTCGACCACTGTTCCGTCATAATCATACAATATAGTGTTGTCTCGGAGAGCGTGATATGGTATGCCGAGTTGACCACGAATGAGAGCATTCATAGGGTTGCCGTGTTCGTATCCCGTCACAATCTGTGCGCCCATCTCAGCAGTACATAGATATCCTGGAGGGAGAGTTGACCCTTGTTGATTGAGAAATTTGTGTGAGTATACACGGCCTCCGATCCGAGGGCGAGCCTCCAGAAGAACTACTTTGGGTGGTCGCTCTCCCTGCTCAACCCAGACATTGCCGAGCTGTGCGAACAAGCTTTCTAAATGTCGCGCACACCCAAGTCCGGACATTCCAGCTCCGACCACGATCACCGTACGCTGTACGCCTCGTTTGACCTTGGTGTATGGGATCGTGGCCGCAGTATTCGGGGTTTCCACGCACCCAAAATTAATGTAGCCATTCCTCATTAACCAGGTGTATGCTACCTTCGCTAAGTTGAAGTATCGCTTATCCCGTGCACAGCCAGCAGCTTCTTCATGGCTTACATATACCAGCGGGTTCCGTGTCCACAGTCTGAGAATAGCGTTACGAATATTAAGGTAAATTGTGACCTGGGCGTGAGTTACGTGGTGTCGCAAAATTTTGTACTCTTCTTGATGAAGAGCAAAGGGGTTCAGCCGTGAACTCTCTGCTGCCAATATACACTGACGGCCAAATTCTGCCCACGACATTTCGGTGGGTATGGATGCGTTTGCTTTCAACTCAGTAGGCTTCCCTTTGACGGATTTCAGCTGTCTTCTTGTTTCTGGACCAACTTGGTTCGGCGTTAGATTTGATTCAGGCGTCGATGAGGCTTTCGGGGTGCCTTTAGCAAGCTGATGGTTCTGCGTCGCATGGCGACGGTTTACGGCGGACCCTACATGCGATGTATCGTTCGATACACTGTTGTCTAACATCATATCTGGCTCGCCAGTACTATGTTTCTGATATTGTCCAGATTTCCCTGTTGATACTTCGATGGTATCTGATGCTCGGAGAGGGTGAGGCTGGTACGCGGTGGCGGAGCCGTTACTGATATCGACACCATTCACATGACCGCTAGAGGGTGACCCATCTCGATCATTCACCCCACTTATATGCATCCCATTGATATAAGATGTCCCCTGATCATCGCCACAGTGTACGGATGACGGAATCGACTCTGTGTAGTTTAGATGACTGTTGAGACCATCCATGGGGGCGGAGGGAGAGGATTGTCCTTTCAAATGGTCGCCATCTTGGGGCATTGGTATTGATAGGAGTTCATCGTTTGAGCTATCAAAGAGATAGTGGTTCTCATCGAGCCCGCCGGGATCGGTTATCGAGGCGAGCGGCGAATACATGAAGGCTGGAGACTCGGCATGGAACCTGAGGTGTGCTAGCGGCAGATATCAAAGTAACTCAGCACCACGCGAAAAACCGCGAATGAATCATCTGCCGATATAGAGGGTTGAAGAGAAGATGCAAAATTCTGGTATTCGATTGCGAGAATTAAGGGGGTTTTGATTCATTGAAGGTCGATGGGTGGTGGACTGAGGATTTTGACGGTCGATGAATCGCCCCCCCAAGAATCCATCCATCCAGATGTCAGGTTCAACTTGCACCGCGCGCCTTACCCCATTCGTCAAGCGCGAAAGAGCCACCAATTCACTCACCATCAACTTCCAAACGTCCAGTCTTCCAGTCTTCCATCTTCACGACTCGATTTCCGGTTTCAATCTATCACTGGGTCTTCATATTAGTTTGTGGCGTTCTGGCATACCAACTTGATGTCTCCAATGTTGCTGCAATAATCTTGGGCGATGTGTGGTCGGGGTTCCGGCTTGATTGACCCTACAACCGATGGCCAGCACATTACTGATTCTAGGCAGTTAGAATCAGTTCTATTCGTTGAGTGTATCCTTTGTTAATCACTACAACTCATTCTGGATGCGCACGAAAACGATAAGGCGCATACATTCAGCTGACATATCCCGCAAAACACCAGTACGATTCGAATGGCATGCACCATGAAAACCATCAGGCGATCAAGCCGTTCCTCCACTGCGTCATGTTGAGAATCACACATGCAGAAACTGCTATATCTTGTGTCAAAACAACGTCTCCGGCATCTGGGTGGCATATCATGGCAATTTGAGCGTAGGGTGAAGACAATCAACGCTGGGTGGCAGTGTGCTAGACGGACATGGTTTTGCTCTCGGATATGGCTTGGTAGATCTTTAGACATACTGCTTTTGGGTTACAGGGCAAACAAATGCCTGCCTTGCTCTTTCTCGTTGGGGGTTCCCATCAGAAAGCTAGGTCTTGGCATGTGCGTGTACTCAAGTAGCTACTTGTTTACTGCGTTATGTAACGTGTAAACTCTCTGATGATCCCCACATACTCTGGCGTGTATATTTTAGCGTATGCCTGGAAGCCAGTCAATGGTCATGAATCTATTGGCTACCGATACCTATGTGTACATTTACATCTCGCGACATTGAGCTATCCAGAAGCGAGGTCCCAGCTTTCCTCACGTGCTCTCGCGGAACTTAAGGTTACATACCTCCGTGTCGTGAAACTTGCAGGGAATACCACAATCCACCACAACACGGCGATCCCGCCAAACTACAATGCGATGGCCCTGGTCGGGCGATAGAGATGATGGAAAGAGAGGAGACCTTTCATCGTGGATCGAAGATTTTCGCGCGACCGACTGGCGCTCGGCGTTTACTGATCCTCGCATCCTCGGCCCATCCCTTGTGTTAAGTGCGACTACATTTGCAGGCGTGCGGTTATACAAGTCATATCTGCGGCGCATACCCAGTGTGAACCACATCAAGCCAGAGTACTTTCGCAGGAAGAGCTTATACGGTCAGGTCACCAGTGTGGGGGATGCAGACAACTTTCGCCTATATCATACGCCTGGCGGCAGGATAGCAGGATGGGGCTGGCTGCCATGGAAACAAATACCGGCCAAAAAAGCAGGGTTGGCAAACAACACGGTGGGTTTTTGCTTGACCTTGGGGCAACACTCGCATTTTCTGCTTTGGGAGAGATGAAATTACTCACACATGACAACAGATACATATCCGGATCGCCGGGGTCGATGCTCCCGAGCTGGCGCACTGGGGACGAGAGGCACAGCCATACTCCAAGGAAGCGCTTGAGTGGCTCACGGCTTATATCCACAACCGGCGCGTGCGAGTATACCTTTTCAGGCGCGATCAATATGACCGGGTGGTGGCTCAAATTTATGTTCGCAAATGGCTAGTGAGAAGAGACGTGGGGTTGGAGATGTTGAAGAAGGGATTGGCAACGGTCTACGAGGCCAAGACGGGGTCAGAATTTGGGGACTTTGAACAGAGATATCGAGAGGCGGAGACAAAGGCCAAACAGCAGAAGGTGGGCATGTGGACAAGCCCGGGTATCATGGGGCGGCTGCGTGGAGCCACAGCAAAGAAACCTGAGAGCCCGAGAGAGTACAAAACGCGACATGCAGCAGCTGGCAAACAGAATCAATGAAAGGCGGAGAGGTTGTTCACCGAGAGGGAGGAAGAACGAGATGACGCAGATGGCTGCAGTTGCATGAACCCTGTATATACATGGATATAAAAGTACAATTGGTGTTTTGTGGCGTTGGTAAACATCAATTGATGCCTCCAAACGTTGGACAAACAGACGAGGGTTGCACGGCCACAGTTTGGAGAAGGCATGCAGACAGCAACACGGCAACAGCGCGTGGGGACTAAATATGGGCCGGCTGCTAGATGCCGCGATCTAGGGATCGAGGATGTGTAGTTCACAGTCATATTCTGGTCCGAGGGTGGAAGAGAAAAAAAAAAGAAGAGGAAAAATTTCTGCCACTCAGACGCCGTTCCGGTTATCGGTCCGCTGGCTTGCTGTTCCTGGGTAGCTCTCTTGACAGGTGCCATTGAGCAAACAGTCCGCCGGAGCAGATACTAGCTGTGACGGATGCAGCAGCAGCTTGAGTCATCGCAGCACCAACAAATGAATACTTGGATACTTCACCAAGGCCCATTTAGTCACCCAGTGGACCGTGAATTTTTTCGAGTCAGAGCGGATACAAAGTAGGACGGCTGGCTTGTTGACCGCCTCTGATTGCAGCTTATCATCGGCCCGACACGATTGGCTTCGTCTCGCGAATCTCTAGAAATTTTGGTCACCCTTCTCTCCTCCCCGCAACTTGCTTGCAGTCAACCATATCCTCGTGTCTACAGGCAGGCAGTCAGTCAGCCAGTCGCACGACAACTTGCACTGCTGAGCTCGAGCTTCGGCCGTTCCTCAATTGAGCTCATTGTTCCTGGAAGTGCCCGTCCGCCCGCCTTTGTGCACACCCCTGCAGGCCAGCTCTGAATAGATAGGTAACCCATCCAGCGAGTGAGCTCCGCAAGCTCCAACTGCTTCTTCCCTCCACAACCTTCCGTCGCCATGGCTCTCTGTGGGCGTCTGGCACGTCGCGCGCCTGCTCTCACAGGCCAATTCCGCTCCATTGGCCCCTCGCTCGCATCTCGATCTTTTGTTTCTCGCGCGTCGAGGCCTCTGACCGCCCTCAAGACTCCAACTGAGTCACAGCACGCCGCATACAGACAGCTGCGTGCCTTCACAAAGGTTTCGGCCTCCTTCAACAAGACCCAAGAGGCCCCTAATGCCCAGGCCTACCTCAACAGCGGCGCAATCGCGGGCGCTCGCGATCTCGTTGACGTCAAGAAGGTTTTGGTCATTGGCAGTGGAGGTTTGAGCATCGGTCAAGCTGGCGAGTTCGACTACTCTGGTATGACTCACCACTGTTCCAATTGCCCCCGACAACTTCATGTACTGACTTTGGTCAAAAGGATCCCAAGCTCTCAAGGCTCTCAAGGAGGCTGGTGTTCACTCTGTGCTCCTCAATCCTAATATTGCGACCATCCAAACCTCGCACGTGCTCGCCGACGAAATCTACTACTTGCCCGTTACCCCCGAATATGCCGAATACGTCATCCAGAAGGAGAAGCCTGACGGCATCTTCCTCAGTTTTGGTGGGCAGACCGCTCTGAATCTTGGTGTGCAAATGAACAAGAAGGGCATTTTCGAAAAATACGGCGTAAAGGTCCTCGGAACTAGCGTGAAGACGCTTGAGACCAGTGAGGATCGTGACTTGTTTGCGCGAGCCTTGGATGAGATTGATATTCCCATCGCCAAGTCCATTGCTGTGTCCTCCATTGATGAGGCTCTTGAGGCTGCCGAGAAGGTTGGCTATCCCATTATTGTCCGCGCCGCCTACGCCCTCGGTGGTCTTGGATCTGGGTTCGCCAACAACGCCGAGGAGCTCCGTGACCTCTCTGCGCGGTCCCTCACTTTGTCTCCTCAGATCTTGGTCGAGAAATCACTCAAAGGCTGGAAAGAGGCTGAATATGAGGTAGTCCGCGATGCAAGCGATAACTGCATCACTGTCTGCAACATGGAGAACTTTGATCCACTTGGGGTACACACTGGTGACAGTATTGTTGTTTCTCCTAGTCAAACGTTCAGCGACGAGGAGTACCACATGCTCCGTTCGGCATCTATCAAGATTGTACGACACTTGGGCGTTGTGGGCGAGTGCAATGTTCAGTATGCGCTCCAGCCTGACGGCTTAGACTACAGGGTCATTGAGGTCAACGCTCGTCTTTCTCGCTCTTCTGCGCTTGCTTCCAAGGCTACCGGTTATCCTTTGGCATACACCGCTGCCAAGATTGGCCTCGGCCACACTCTCCCTGAATTGCCCAACGCGGTTACGAAGACCACCACCGCCAACTTTGAACCCAGTTTGGACTATGTTGTCACGAAGATGCCTCGGTGGGATTTGAGCAAGTTCCAGAACGTGAAGAGGGATATTGGCAGTTCCATGAAATCGGTCGGTGAAGTCATGGCCATTGGACGAACTTTCGAGGAGTCGTTCCAGAAGGCATGCCGACAAGTCGACCCCAAGTTCCTGGGTTTTGAGGGCGAAAAGTATGGCGAGAGTCTAGACGAGGAACTCAAGAATCCCACCGATCGCCGATGGCTGGCTGTTGGCCATGCCATGTATGTCGAGCGCTACACGGTCGACCAGATCCACGAGCTGACCAAAATCGACAAATGGTTTCTGTACAAGCTTCAGAACATTGTCGACTGCACCTTTGAACTCGAGGAGATAGGCAGCTTGTTCGGCCTCAAGAAGGAGGTCATCCTAAAGGCCAAGAAGATGGGCTTCTCCGACAAGCAGATTGCAAAGGCCGTCAACAGCACCGAGGACGAGGTGCGCGCCCGCAGAAAGAGCTTCGGCATCAGGCCCTGGGTCAAGAAGATTGACACCTTGGCTGCAGAGTTCCCGGCCAACACGAACTATTGTTGCCCTCCCCTCCCCCTCAGTTACGTTGTATTTGCTGACTTTTTTTAGTATACGTGAGTTAAACTTCCGATTCTTGTTCATTTTTGTCGCGGTGTGGGGAGTTTGGTGTCAGGGGGGACGGGTCTCTCCTCCCTCCAGAACGTCCATGGTGCCTTCTCCCCAAGGGCTCTTTTCCCATGGTGTCCAGCGCTTTCCTGTCAGGCCTCGACGCTGCCCCTCGTGGCTCAGCACCTGTGGGTGTCCTAACATGAAACGCGTTGTACTCGTGTCAGCCGTCTCACGAGTTATTATTGATGATAATACCTGCTTTCTAACACAACACTTACATTTTCATTCATAAGCGAAAATGTAATGATTTGTAGTTTGCTGACAATACTTCCAGACTACCTATAATGCATCGTCGCACGACGTTACCTTTGACGATCACGGTGTCTTGGTTCTCGGCAGCGGTGTGTACCGAATTGGAAGCTCTGTCGAGTTTGATTGGTGCGCGGTCAATGCTGCGCTGTCGCTGAACAAGCTTGGGAAGAAAACTGTCATGATCAAGTACGTATCCCCCAAGCACATCCGGACCCCTCGTGGGGCGGCAGTTCGACATGCTGATAGTCCATTGTGGCACCTGTGGATGAACTATGCTAACTTAATTGGCAGTTATAACCCCGAAACTTACTCGTAAACAAACCCTTATTCTGCCTCTGCCTGCCACAAAGACTAACAGTATACAGTACTGACTTCGACGTTGCCGATAAACTGTATTTCGATGAGCTTAGCTACGAGCGTGTCATGGATATCTACGAACTCGAGACTGCTAGCGGAGTAGTCGTCTCTGTTGGAGGCCAGCTTCCTCAGAACATTGCCCTCAAGCTCCAAGAGTCTGGAAAGGCCAAAGTGCTTGGTACAGATCCTGTTGATATTGACAAGGCTGAGGACCGCCACAAGTTTTCTTCAATTCTTGACTCCATTGGTGTCGATCAGCCTGCATGGAAGGAGCTTACCTCTTACGAGGATGCTAAGAAATTTGCCCAAGACGTCGGATACCCTGTAAGTACCTCACAGCGATGAAGTACCCCTCGCGTACTCGGGATGTGGCACAAGGGCCTTCCCATAACCCCTGCTGGTATGTTTGGATGTACTATACTAACTCTCTTTCTCAACTCTAGGTCCTCGTCCGTCCTTCCTATGTTCTCTCCGGTGCTGCTATGACTGTCATCCGCAGCGAATCTGAACTTCAGGCCAAGCTCACGGCTGCTGCCAACGTTTCCCCTGATCACCCTGTTGTCATTACTCAATTCATTGACGGAGCACAAGAAATCGACTGCGATGCTGTAGCCTCCAATGGCCAGGTTCTTGTCCACGCTGTCAGTGAGCACATAGAGAATGCCGGTGTTCACTCTGGCGATGCTACGCTTGTTCTCCCTTCCGTTCATCTCGAAGACAGCATCAAGACCCGCGTCAAGGAGATTGCAGACAAGGTCGCCAAGGCGTGGAATATCACCGGACCCTTCAACATGCAAATCATCAAACAAGATGTCGAGGGTCAGGAGCCCAAACTCAAGGTCATTGAGTGCAACCTTCGCGCTTCTCGTTCATTTCCCTTCGTCAGCAAAGTCCTCGGAACCAACTTCATCGATGTTGCTACCAAGGCTCTTGTTGGCCGTGATGTCCCCGAGCCTGTGGATCTTATGGCTGTCGACCGTGACTACGTCGCTACCAAAGTACCTCAATTCTCCTGGACTCGTTTGGCTGGCGCCGACCCCTTTTTGGGTGTTGAGATGGCATCCACTGGTGAAATGGCTTGCTTCGGCAAGGACCTAATTGAAGCCTACTGGGCGTCAGTACAATCGACCATGAACTTCCGCCTTCCTCTTCCGGGAGAGGGACTCCTGTTTGGCGGTGATGTTGAATCTGGATACCTTGTCCAAGCCGCCAAATATATCCAGCCTTTGGGCTACAAGTTCTTTGCTGCTAACCAGGATGTCAAGAACCTCCTTGAGACCAACGTTGAGGGTGCTAACGTCGAAGTTATTGAATTCCCCAAGCAGGATAAGAGAGCACTCCGCGAGGTATTTGAAAAGTACGATATCCGCGGTGTCTTCAATCTGGCCAAATACCGCGCCAGCTCCTTGGTGGATGAGGACTACGTGATGAGGCGCAATGCTGTCGACTTCGGCGTGCCCCTCTTCATGGAACCCAAGGTCAGTACTCTACTCTTGACTACTACAGGTCGAAGACAGTAAGCTAACATCGATTACAGACCGCTGTTCTGTTCGCTCAATGTATGAACGAGAAGCTGCCCAAGAAGGGTGGCATTCCATCTGAAGTCAGGTCTTGGAGTAACTTTGTCGGTGGCCGACCATTGTAAACAACACTGGCTGATTCCGACAACGGCATGATGTCATTACTAGTTGACGCAGTAAAGAACCAGTAAACATGTAAAAAAAGTGCGGTATTGTGCCGAAAAACCGAACAATCTTACCGTAGCTATACAGCATAACAAGAAGATGCGGACCACAGCATCGCAGATCTGCAAGAGAGAAAGCACGGAACGGCGTCGTACCCCTGTAGCAGAGTGGGTGTGTGTTTTTTACATCATGTATGAAGAGAAGAAGGATATTCTGGTGTATTTCTGATTTATTGTGCGGCGAGCGATGTTATACTATTTCCCTTCTACCTACTCTCTATTCCACTCCTCTGTTTGATCTATGTAGTCTGTCTGGGTATTTTTTCAAAAAAGCAAAGGAAGGCTGGTTTGGAAAACTTGGAGTTTCTTCTTTACATTTATTGGCTTCCTACCTCATTTTAGTTCGCAAGTACTACAGAGAAGAAAGGAATGAAAATTGTGATCAAATTAATCAATCAATCAATCGAGTATTAAAGTCCTCTGTCGGACGAATGATACACAGTCGCCAAAGCATTACCTGCATAGACTGGTTCTCACCGTACCATCCCATCCCCATTTGTGTATATATTCGTCGGCAGCTACATTTACGGCTACAAGTAATTTCTGCTATTTCTAACTTATCAAATTCCACACGCGTTGTTGTGCATTGTTTACTTCTTTGTGCGGACACATCAGTTCCGTTATCATCACTCAACATGTGTTCAGTCTTGGGTCATTGGACAGATCGCTATGTTGTGGTAGCTGTGTAGTGCCGAATCTCATAGATTGCGATGAGTTTAGATCCCATTAATTTTTTCATGCGTTTGTAGATGTAAAGTTGCAAACAACTCTGCCTTGACATCTGCCTCTTACCGTTACTCTGCCCGTTCACGAGCCTAGACTATACTTCCCCTTGCTTGCCCTGCATTAAGGGCACGTATGATGCTCGAGAACATGAAGGACTTGTCATTCCATCTTGCTCACACTACCGCCGTACTTGACGATATAGTGAGGTTCAACTGCAACCACTCTGTGGTAATGCTCCCCATCTCTGTAGACATTTGAGGACCCAGTGATTTGTTGGGAATCTGAAAGAACAGTGAGAAGGCGGGAGGGCAATCGAGTAGGCTGCCAAGATATAATTAACCTGTATTGTAGGGCTCAAGATTGGGAACACGAGATGGAGTTTGTGATGAAGATTGAACAATATACAAAAGTAGGAAACGTTGATGTATACATTACAGGAGTGCGCTAAACGTGCTGTCCATAGGCTATAAATGGGATTCAGACGCAGATTAAAGCCTTGATAAAGTGTTGATAGCTTACTAAGTACCAAGGTGCGGCCCCCTTATAATGTAGAGTCGCATATGTCTCTAGATATGCGTCTGGAAGATGGGAGAAACCACCCGAGCTGCTGGTCATTGGCACTCAGCATCTACCGACAACTCATCTCGGTTCGTCCCTCAGGTTCGCGCCCATTCTATATGCTGCATAATCAGCTCCACAGAACTCACAGAATACTTCTACATTGAGCCACACAAAGCTTGTAATAAGTCACCATCGGAGAGCTTTTTTGTGCAAGCAACGCTCCCAAAGCTTGCAAATGTCACATCGTTCACGCATTTCGCATGGCCAGGCAGAACCTCCTCTGTTAATCGAATCATCAAACGACAAGTCGACAGACCAAGTTACCAGTTGTCATTAAAATTGAAGATCACAATGAAGAATGTTTTATCCCGGCTCACTATTGATTTGCGATGTCACTTTTCGCCAGCATATATTTATTCTCGGGTGCAATAATGGGTGGGGACTGAATACAATGCTGAGCATTCATCTTTCCAATAGTAAAATGCTGTCCAAGACTAGTGTTAGCGGAATACTGAGAAGTGTGCTGAGCACAGCATATTTGTTAGAAATGCTTCATCGTGCCCATATCAAAGAAACGATATGTGCTCACCCTCTGGTGACTTATAGCGCTTAGAAGGATGCAAGTCATGCCCAATCCAATCACTGCTCCCAAATCCCGTCGAGGCCGTATCGCCATTTTACATGTTATGGTGTTGGAAAACCAAGCCAAGTATGTGGCCATTAGCCAGTCTATCGGCAACGCAATATGAATCACAGATGCAGACAAAACATGGTGCGGATATGTCCAATGAGACTCTTCAATTGCTCGATAGGTCGAATTTGGAGAAATACACTCAAAAATTCATCCCTGACTCTCCTTCCTTCATACGCAGAGTCCTAGAAGATGAAGAGGTAAACGTGTGTAGAAGCTCTATGTCCAACCGAGTGTTTTGCTGGTGACAAGAAGTCACTCAGAGAGTCGGTAGACAGCAACAATCCTCGGCTAGCCGCCGAACAGTTGACGGCGGCAAAGAAACCAAGATAGTCCAACACGAAAGGAAACAGCAGAGCTAAAAAAAAAAAAGAAGCCGAAGCTGGCTGGATATAAGATTTCTTACAAAGGGGAAAAGAGTCAACGCCTAATCCATGCCCGTTCCCGGAGGAAAAATTGAACGCCCACATCACCCCACACCCTGATCCTCCCGCAAATACTTTTTGTGTACCCCGCTGCTCCAAGTAAAGAATCAACCGGAAAGCTCCTAGGAACAAGGGGCTAAGAGACGCAGAGGCTAATGGCGGATCAAAGAGGGGCTTAACCTACCGCAAACACCATTCAACCCTAGTATCCACCTACTCACGAAAACTTCCAGCGATTTCCGCAGTTCATACACTCGCAGAAGGTTGTCATGGGCTCGTCCGCGGACCGGGTTTGGGCCTGGGTGTACGAGACCTGGCGCTGCCTGCACTTTCCGCACTGGAATTCCTTTGAGATACTCTTCTCGACCTGGGCGACCATGGCATTGTTCATGTTCTCCTTCTCGAGCTTCTCGTCGGCAGCACGACGCTCGTCAGACTTCATTTCATCGTGCGTCATGGTGACGAAGCGCTTGGGCGTAATGTCGCCGGAGTAGACGCGCTTTCGCAAGGCCGGGTTGGACTTGTTCTTGAGGTTCTGGAAGAGGGAGCGGATCTTTGATTTGTAACCGTCATTGATGTTGGAGCCGGCGTTGGCGTACGCGGCGGCTTCTACCGCCTTTGCAACGCTGAAAATGTCTTCAGGCACTTTTCTATCAGTTAGCGCGTGGGTTAGAGACGAGCGAAACGACATGTGAGCTCACATTCTTCGCTCATGAAGGCTAAACCATCATAGATGAGGCCCAAGCACGCATCCCGCTGATCATCTCCGGTAACCTGGTACTTAATGTTGTCGGTCTTCTTATTACGCTTGTCGGCCGGCACGGTGTGCTTCTTTTTGGTCGGAGCTGGCGAAGCAGTTCCCGAAGCCGGTGGTGCGGGTGACGAGTTCCCGTTCGCTGATGATGTTGCGGCTGCCGCAGCTTTTGGTCGCGCGCCTCCCTTCTTGTTTTTATTGACTTCCTCTTTCCATTTTGAAACCATTTGATTCGCAAGCTTGGCAATGTTGGGGTCGTTGTGCGTGCGCAGCTTGTTGATGGTGACGCCGATTCGCGTGGATCGCAAGAGGTCCTCGGTGGGCTTCAAACCAGAGTTGAGTTCGTTGAGAAGCTTAAGTACAGAGGCGCTTGGCTCTTTCTCGCTTATGGCTTTGGTGATGGCCTTGCCATGCAGCTCGACAGCTTTGGCATCCATGATGGTTGCTTCTTCTTCAAGACAGACAGAGAGCTTGTAATGCAGGTGTAGATATTAAGTCGCAGCCTGGAAAGCTTGCGGGGAGCGGGTGGTATGCGTTGAGACCCCAGTAATGAGGGAGAGGTTGAAAGGTGGCGGAGGACAACAGGTTGCGAACGGTTGCGAGGTCGAAAGCGTCGCTTTTGATGAGTGAGGTTGTTCGTTTGCCCGTTCCGGTCGGCAGTTCCGCCAAGAAACAGGGTCCGTGCCCAAGCTGTCGTTCGGACCAGACAACGTTTTAGTGGGAAACCACGACGAAAACCACCGAAACTGCTATACTTCCTAGCAAACGACGTGCATCCAGGACTTGAGGAGCCTGGCGGAAGCCGAATAAATACATCATGGCTGAAAATGCGCCTCCTACCGCCGCGACCGGAAACGCGCCGTCAGACGCGTCGCGAGGCATGCCATACTACGAGCGGCTGCGACGGGATCTCAGAGACTCTCTTAACAAGAAACGCCAGCTAGATAACAGTCTGGTGCGCAACGGTTCTGACCTTTTCATATGCACGTGCTTAACATGCTGATGCCCCATCGTTGCAGGAGACACTCGAGACTAATATTTCCCGTGCCGAAACCACCTACCTGGAAGAAACAAGCGCTGGCAACATCATCAAGGGCTTTGATAATTACATCAAGGGCGCTGCGGTGACGACAACAGCAGGAGGCGCAGGCACGGCAGCAAGAAGAAAGGCTACAATCAGCGACGCAGACAGGATATTCAGCCAGAGCTCGAGAAGCGTCCCCAAGGAAGCGACTACGCCGAACTCGACGCAGACGACGCCGTCGCATGCACCAACTCCAACCTCATCTTTTCCCACTCGCGAATCAAGCCAGCCCACTTCCAACGGCACAAACAAAGCTGGTACAGGTAGCAAGAAGAAGAAGGCTGGGGATGACGATGATGCCGACAACAGGCTAGCAAAGCGAAACAAGATTTCCTATGCCGCCAGAGAGTGAAAAGGATATAGTATGCTGTGGTCATGGGACGATATTGTCCGCCTGTACAATGGATTGCGATACAATGCTTGCAAATGGATTGTGGCAAGAGTAGATCGGCAGAGGAAAAGCTGCTTCTCCAGCAGTGCCTCATTGCAAAGTGAATCGAAGATGTCGTCCCTAGAAGATGCAATTTTCGACTATCGAAATTCTTTGGACGCGAAATAGGTGGAACCACGAATGCTCTTGAGGCAGCGGCGGCAGTAAGACATTCTCCCCCATCCGTCTACTCCCAGGCTGGGAGCGGCCATTTATCTGTATATGGATCGCATAACCGCAGCTCCGGCCTATAGAAACATCACCCGTTCCGCCTTGTGGTGGAACCACAGATAAATGCACGGGATCAAAGGTTTCATTGTTTGGCGTGGGACGCCTTGCACTTTTGGATTTCCAAAGCAATGGATAGACTGCTCGCCATCCCTTGCATGAATAGTGTACACGCGTCCACCTTCATATACCTTCCGTCAGTTAGATTGGAAAAGTCAAATCGTAAATGGATGATGAGCTGGCGGGATTGCCGATTCCAGAAGGTGGGGGAGAAAGCAGGTGGGGTGGGAGAGTGTTCCGAACCCCAGTTGACGCTGTCTGGGATGGCATGAATGGAAATTAAAGAGCAATGCAATTCTCCAATTGTGATGGTCATGAATGTTGAAGGATGAACGTGGTTGGGATTGATGTGTTGTACCTGTGCTTGCCCCCCTTCCTCCACCCGTGTTGCAAGACGCCAGCTGCAGGAATAATCACATGGCAACTGGCGTACTCATCTGTTTGTATTGATTACCCGCGCAATCGTACCAAGTCTCGCTTTCATATACAAAGTCTCCCATTGATTTCAAGTATTCACCATGTTCTCGTGATGGATTTGCTGGCTTGCTGTACTGTGTCACGCGCGTTAGGCGCTACCTTATCCCACCTCATATGGCCTCTTGTTCCATCCATTCATTAATTCATTCTTCTTCGTAGTCGACAGTTTATGAACGTTTGAACACATACGTAGTCTAGTGTATTCGTGTTCAAGAACTGAGGAATCGTAAAAACATATTTATGCATTCTGTTTGAGTTTGAGTGAGATGAAGCATAGCAGCAGACACTGTGGACGGCTTAGTCGAAGCGAATGCAGTTACACAATACGATGGTGGATGAGATAAGGGGCAGGGATCATCCCCAGAAAGCCGCGCGTCGTAAGGCGGACAAGGCATGATGACGTAGCTGGCGGGCAAACGAAGGAGTCGAGCCTTGGCGCTGGACCCTGAGATTGCTGTCACTGTTTTAGGAAGGCCCGGTTAGCGTCACTTCTGCAGGTGTTTGCAGAACGCTCTTTCGTGTACCTATCGGTTGTTTGATTATTGTATCAAGATAGAGACAGAGACATGTATGCACAGTTGTAGAAGAAGTGATTTGATGATTAGTCTGATTTTAAGCAGTTGATTCTGAACTGTTGTTGGGGACGGTAATGGGAACTTGGTCTCTTCCCATATATAGCTCAAAGATACGAGAGTGGCGAAAACTAGCCTCATCCCCACGTCCAACAATATGCCACAGTTCGCTCTCTGCCGCAGTTGTTTCGACAGTGTATGCCCAATCAGCTGCTGATCCTAGAGCGATGATTGCTGCTCCCTGTGACCAAAAAAAGAAGAACAAGAAATTGAACAGAGACATGGGAATAAGATTCGTGATAGATGATAGAAATTGAAAGGTCCCAGCACTACTGGCTGACTACTATACAATGGGTATGGCATTGGCACATGGCCGCGCTCCTCGTCTCAACTGGAACGCAGCGAGAAACTGCCTAAGTAGAGGGAGAGGCGCAGAGGGGGCGCAATGCTAGCGAGGGTCTAAAAAATTAAAAATCATGATAATGATAAAAGCGAAAGTGGTATCTGGTGTAGTAGTAGAGGCGAAATAAACGACGGCGGTATGTCTAGAATCCCAAATAGGTTTTTGATGGGAATTCGAGTTCGTGATAGAGTGATAGGGGATCGGAAACCAGGAGAATAGACAGCCAAAACCAAAAACAAAGGCGCTACCCAATAAGGAAATAGGTATACAAATACAAGACGGATAACTTTGGGGGAATCGTTCGTTTGGGATAACAAATGGTTCGCAGAGCGGGAGTACTCGAAGGTAGAAACCGACAACGCCGTCGTAGGCGAAAACACGCCACGAGAAAGAGGTATCTCGGAGGTATGGGATTAAGCATAGTGCACACCCAGGGAATGTTGGCAGCGACTGAGAAGAAAGCAAGGAAATTCGTCTCGGTATCCCATCTTCCCGAGATCGTCGTGGAAAATGACGCGATTTTCTACTCTCAATCTAGGCCACTTTAAGCTCTGAATAGAGATGGTGTGCGGCGGCTAAGTTCTCCAAAAGGAACAAACGCGATAGTGGATATCTCGAGTGCACGCGTCAAGCGATATGATGCCGAAAAACAATGATGCAGGTAATGCGATAATATCGTTACGAAATCAATCTTGCTTATACATCTTCGGGGGAGGGGTGGTCAAGGCCCTCGCCCTTGTGTACTTTCCGATGCCGTCGCAGGTTCGAGACGACGGAGAAATGGCGGCCGCAACCCTCTACTTCACATGCAAAGGCTGAGTGGAGATTAGTGATGCGTTAATGGATAAGAGAAGGTATAGACTCACGTTTCTCCCCAGTGTGACTGTACATGTGCGTTTGTAGTGAGCTTGGGCGGGTGAATCGCTTGTCGCAAATCTTGCACTTGTGCTTCTTCTGCGAGCTGGACGACACTTTTGAGCTGAATTGACTCATCATGGACGAGGGCGCCGGAGGGATGTTGGCGCCCATGAGGGCATTCGGTCGCGGCAGCGTGCGTGAATTCGCCAGGTCAACAGACTCGGAGGCAGAGCTGTAGTCGGTAACGGATCCTTCCCCGCCGTAGTAGTTGCCGCCGTTGTAACTGGCAGAGGATATGGATGAATGGGCGGAATGGGCCGAGGGAAAGCCATAGGAATCGGTCGAGCTGCGGCTAGAGCCTTGAGCGCCGTAGATGTTGCGAGGGGTAATGTCGGACTGGCTCAACGAGACCATTCCGCGACCAGCGTCCATGGCATCGCTGAAGCTATTTCGCTGTGGCTGTGGCATTCTGTTAAAGTCAACTAATGAACTCTGGCGTTGGCGTAGCGTGTCCATGGCGTCTTCTACGAACGGTATTGAGGGTACTGACGGGTGAGAGGAACGACGGGAGGAGTCCTGCTGATATGCATAGGGGTTGCGCTCGCTTGTGCCATATTCCACCTGAGAGTAAGGGGCCGAAGTGGGTGCGTACGTGTTTGTGTTGGGAGAAGCAGAAGTAGCATATCCACCCGTGTAACTTCTCGACATGATATCTTGCGGCGCATCTAGTAAGTTGTCTGCTACGAATGAACCATCCGGGAGAGTAATACCTGATCCGAGAGGGGGCGCCGTGACTTGGAGGCCATGGTAAGGAATGGCGATACTCGTAGGGCGCCCTATGGGCTGAGGCTGCGAGGTGGCATGATTCTCGAGGCCGGCGGATACATTGGGAGGGATCGAGGTCGGGTACATTGGCTGCGACGGACCCGGGGCCGACACCCACGGATTGGTGAATTGTGGGTGAGGGTAACGCAGAGGATCGTAGCTCATCCCGTTGAGTTGGGACTGTTGACGATTGTCGACAGCCATTGCCATATCGGACAGGAGAGGAATGCAAGAGGCGAAGAGAGGGAAGGGGGTGGATTGTTTTCAACAACGGAAGGGATGGGGCTTGCAAGCAAACAACAGACAGCGACAAGAAGGTGTTGGACAGTGGTAGAAGGCTGAAACACTCGACGGTGACGGTTGGAGGGACAAGCAACGTGGGGAGAGACGATCACTGGCAGGCAGTGTGGGATCTGCGAGCCTTTTGAACTTGAGCCTGACACTGGGGACACCCGTCCAGGAGGTTTCCGTGAGGAGTAATGATGAACGCTTCGGGGTGTCGATCGCAGGCCGGTTTCTAGTAGGTGCCGTAGAAGTGGACCACCGAGATTGACTTTTGGACCCTGCCTGAGCAGATGACGGAGTGGCAGTAAGCTCGAGCGTTTCAAGTGCGCAGCGCAGAGTGTGGAGAAGATTGATGGTAGGGCAGGCGCACACGCGTACACCAAGACACACGATGGGCACAAGATCGCCGAGTTGCGGCGTGCTCGAGAGCAATTAAGACGCTCTCGGGAAATGGGCAGCAACGGGTACTATAGTATACCGAAAGTACTGTACAGCGCTGTGCTGCTACTGTAGGGCGGATGAGAAGGCTGAGTGGATGGGTGAGTCGAGATGGGCCAGGACGAGCAACGGGCGCCAGCAGCAAAGAGGTAAAAGATTCGCCGTCGGGTGAGCAGGCGAGGATGCAAGAGGTATCGATTGACTGACGAAGCAGCAAGCAGCAGATGGCAAACGGTTTTGGGTTGAGAGACGACGAGAGGGAATGGGAGAGAGGCTGGAAGGGGGCAACAAGTGGTGATCAGCGGAGGACAGCAATTGGGAGAGGTCAATGGTTGATAAATTGGGCATTTGGGAAGCCTCGAGGTGCGTTACGTCGTTTTGCCTCCAGCAGCACCACATCCATCATCATCATAGGCCGGCGGCGGGCCAAGGACTAAACAGAGCTTGAGCAGGCAGCATGGATGGGCTCAAGCCACCACCGCTGTTCAGACTCGACGCAGGCAGGGGTCCCCCTGCGAGGGCGATGCAGCATGGGCAGGGGAGCACCCATGCTGAGAGCTGCTTTAAGCCCTTCCCCCCACCCCCCGCCGCTGCACGCCCCCCCTCGCAGCAGTCAATTAATCAATCAATGCTGGCTGGCTTAGTCGCGGGATGCCTTTTTTGCTTGCAGTTATGTATGTGTGTGTGTGTGTGCTGTTGCTTCGTTGGGCGGCATGGGCGATGAAGAGGGGTAAGGCAATCTTCTCACCAAAAAAAAAAAAAATCAAAAAATTAACGTCAAGCAGGAGTTGTTTATTTTTCTTTAATTGCCTGCCTACCTTGCTCTGCACGGGGCACTCGCAGAGCCCGCACCACCACCACCACCACCAGCAGCAACCATATCCAGGTCGTGTATAGTCGCCGCTACGTGGGATAGTGAGCAACGGATTGGCATATCCACACAGAGGTCGAAGGGTGTGAGAGGGACAAGAAAAGGGCGGGAAGGAAAGCAAGACGAAACAGCGGTAGACTAAGCCGTGCTACGGCCTGAGGCAGCACACGACGCATCACGACACGGCCCGCCTCCACCAGGTACTTGTGTGTGTTTGTATGCTTGCTTGGATCAATGCCGTGGGCGTGTAATGCGCCTGTAGTGTCGATGAAACAGCAGACGTTTACGTGGGTAGGTACCTTTGTAGGCACGTAGCATTGGATGCCATCAGGTGCGCTCGCTCAACATATTGTGCCATCGTGTGCCTAGCAGTCTCGCGGCAACGAGGAAACAAATCAATGAAGCAACCAGTCCATGCTTTTCCCCGAAAGAAAGGGTAGAAGAGAGAAAAAAGAAGAGAAGAGAACAAGGCCCTCGCCAAAGTTTACCAATCCGCCCGCCGCATTGCCGCTTCGAGCGCTTGGCTAGCTGCAGAGTCCGTCTTCAGCCAGGGCAGCTAACCCCATTCGCAACCACAGCATTCTTCATCTTGCCAAGGCACTCTGGGAGAGATTGCAGCTGGCCGCCTGGCTGCCAGCTTAATTCTCCGGCTCAGCTGACGGCTGGCTTTTTCTCCACCCTCGCAACGGTCCCCGTACAGGCCAGGCCGACTTGATGACTGATGACTCTTGGAGCATCTGACGGCGACTGTGCACCGCACGGCCATGGCAAGCAAGCGAGCGAGCGAGCGAGTGAATGAGGGAGTGACGGATTGAGTGGGTGAGTGGGTGGGTGGGTGCTGGGTGGACGAGGCGGGAGACAGCAAAAAGCTAACAAGCACCGCGAAATGACCGTATCAAAGCTTGCTTCTGTCCGCTCAACAACAGACGCCCGCCAGCACGCGGCGAATATCGCCAGACCATGGTAGAGTTTGGCAGCAATCGGACCGCTGCAACAGCACCCATCCCTCCGCCGACCATACAATACTACTCATCCATCTGGATATCCGTGCACCGTGGTCCCTTTTTTTTTTTTCCTTCTCTTCCTTCTTTGCACCCACGCCAAAAGGCGACTCGCTGGTTTAGCCTCTGCAACCGGCTACCCCTAACTCCATGGCAGCCATTTCCAAATGTCATTGCGCCTGGCGGTGGAAATTGCCTTAGCGCGAGTTGTCTGCACTATTGGTAAACGAACAGCGACGGGGCAACCCTGACGGGCCATTGAGCAATGGGCAAGCGTTTGATCGCCGTCCACTTTTGCTTTTCGGAGCTACACCCTGAGGCCTGTGGGCCGGCCGTGCTGCGATCCGAGCGCACGTCACGAGCCGGGGCTCCCATTCGCGGGCCCGCCCACACTGCTAGACTGACACATAGGGAAAATGGCAGGTAGTCCCGCTCCCCGGCCAATGGCGTCAGTCTAGCGCTGAATGAGACGGCTCTGCTCCGTTGTTGGTTGGATGGATGGATGGATGGATGGACATACAGCACAAACACCGGCCACTATCAAGCCAAACACAGCAGTAGTGTATACAGCACAGTGAATTGCATCGTCTTCCTCATGCTGCTGCCCTGGCGTTGTAGACGGCGGCTCGCAGGCTCGCAGCAAAGGCTCCAGGGCCAGCAGAAGCAGCAGCAGCAGCGCAACTCAGTCAACGACCTCGGCGGAGGAGTGACGTCGATGTGGCCGGTACGGCAGACGGGCACAGATTGCGGTGCCCCGAGCTGCTGGAACCCTTCATTGCTGATGACGCTGTAGCAGCGGTACCATGGATGGTGTTGATGTGGTACTGTCTCGCTCGTGCTCACGATATGATGAGAGCCAAGCTCAGCAACCGCGTGAATGAGGCCGCGAGACGGATGGCCATGTCGTCATTGCCGCTGTAGGCTCCGCTCTTGGCTGACGCTGGCCCGTCGTGATTGGCCGGGCGGGCTGTCAGGGTGGGCTGCAACCGCCCGCTCGGCTTCGACCTCATCGTCATCGTGCATCTCCCGCTCCACACAGACCCTTGCCTTCTTCTTCTTCGTCCCCTTCCTCCGTAAGCCCTGAGGCGTGCCACGCTGCTGCCCTTGTGCCCCAAATCCGATGCTTCCCAATTCTGTGTTTATTGCTATTGCCTACTTACTTACTTACCCATTACCACGTATCCATGTGCCGTTGTCATCATCATCACCCGCGTCATCATCATCATCGTCGACCTTTTTCCCGTCGTTGCCTGCGGTCGGTCGCTGGCCGTGCACTCGCTCGCACCTGCATGCCGCTGGCATTGACAGCGTCACCGATGTCTGGTTGATTGGATTCTGCAATCGACTGTCGCCCCCTCACCGCCTACTGTCAAACCGTTGTGCGTTGTGAATGGCCGCCACCCTTGGGGCCCGCAGCTGGCCAGCATGAGCCGTCGCTGTTACGGCCTCCAGTTGCTTCTGCTCGTTTTTTGCTCCATGTGCTTTGCCGTGCTGTGCTGTGCTGTGCTTCGCGTACCCGCTGCCCACACCCGCATCTGCTGCTCATGCAGGGCCGCCGATGCCTGTTCGATAATGCATCCATCCATCTTCCATCCTTATTGCTTTGCATCCACTATCTCGCGGGCGGAACAATAACAGCACTCGATGGATACATGTATCGACTATCAATCTATACCATCCCTTCTCAACGTCAGTTTCTGCCAGCGAGCGTTTTCAGACCCCACATCGGCTTCATTCTACTCCCTTCCCCCCACCCCTCTTCGCATATCTTCGAGTTTCTCTTCAACGGGTCTATGCTCTCAGACCTAAAAAGGAAAACGAGTCCCTTGCGTTCCGCCCTGCACTCGACACCTTCCTTGCTTTGCCTAGCGAGCTGGCTTAGGGGGGAACGCGAAAGAAAGTGAATACACCAGATGAAATAAAAATAAAGCATGGAAACCGCCACCACCACCTTCGCAGGGTGGGCCGTCCGCGACATGGTTGGTGGACCCTGCATGTTTTGGTGTGCGTCCGTGCCGTCTTACCACGTCTCGCTCCTTTTTTTTCTATTCACCCTCCATCCCCTACCCTCACCCCCTTTGCGACCAATCGCGGTACGACGCTAGCTTAACCCTTCCCTCCGTATCACCGAAGAGATGAGGTACTCGCCGGGAGGACACCGCCTTCGTTTCCTGTTCAATTTGTTCCTTCCTTGCCCCGGGACGTCTCCTTGTACATTTTCTGCCCCGTACATTCTTGCAACTTCATATCTTGACGCAGGCTCGCCAGGGGTGCTATAAAGCCAAGCTCCTCCAACACCACCGTACCCCGCGCTAGCTCCGGTCCCTGCTTATTCCCGCGAGCATCGACTTTTGTCGCCTTCAACATCGACAATCTCATCGAGTCCAAATCATTCACATGGTTGAATGTCTGTGTGCGCGTGCGTTAGTATGCTAACATGTGGGGACAAGCGCTCGCTGGCGATCGATTGGCTTCTTCTAACAGGACGACTATGTAGCTGTTCCTTCTCTCCAGCTATCCCATCTCCCTCTAAATCAATCATGCATGCCACATTGAAGGCATATACACCAGACCTACTGCGCACAAAACATGCAGCACCCGACTCTCACCACCATAGAAGACGTCCAAAATAAAACAAGTACTGGCCCCACCTGGCGCTGCCTAAGTAGAGTATTATGAGATTTGCTGCGCCAGTGGACACCATAGTCGTTCCAGAAGCGCGTTCGACCATGGTCAATTGACTCGTGCGCGGATAATTGTCATGTTGCCATTGACTGACAAGCCCAACCACCGTCCTTGCCAGTCCTCGACGAACAGTCACGACTCGGTACTAGAAGGGGTCAAAAGTGGATTGCACGTGTTTGGTATGTAATGGGGGGAGGGGTAGCGAAGCAATCCTCAGGCAAGCCCCCCGTCCCCGAATTCCAAATCATCAGATAAGACTTTTGGCGAAGCAAAGCAAAGAGGTGCTACGGAGTATTCTGCCCGGCGACTCGTGAGTTGTCACGCGGAAAATAACATCGGAGGAGACAATGACTCGGCAGGGAGTCGAGGTGGAGTCAGGTGAGTTCGGCGTTGGACGGTGGGAGGAGAGGAGGAGCGGGGAGCGAATCTAAGTTTGATTTGATGTCCCCTCAAGGTTTGTTTGCATCTGGCATAGCGTCAAGCAGCCGAGTAGGGCGAAGACGATTGGATGGGAATTCGAGGCATGGGGGATTGACCAAATGGCACTCCGCCCGATTTCTGCGGTGACCAGAGGTTGGACGCGTCACCCCGCGCAAGCAAGTAACCAGCATATTGCTATGGTTGGTTCGGTCGATAGGCCTGCCCTATGCATGCTGTTATCCCCCCCCCAAATTCTTCCCGCACCCGCACTAAGCTCCCCTCAGCACAGCTAGACTAATCAGTATTGAGGCTGCATGGTCGCCGACCTCAAGGATTATGCCATTCCAAGCAAATTGTAGGTATAGCTTGGACCAAAGTGTCGGGACTGCACAGGTGCAGCAGTCTTGACCAGCAAACCAAACAGCCAGGCCCACGACATGTTGTTGTTGTTGTTTGTTTTTTTCTTCAAATCATGTGCCCTGTGTATGCATGTACGTACACTGCTCTAGTTCAGTGCGACAGGAACAAAAGCGGCGGGCAACGAGGGGTGCATCTTTTAGCGAGGAGCGCGAATCCGCAACTGGTAGGTGCTTTGCCAAAGATGTGCCGTGGTACTGCTTTCCCACGGCGGAAAAAAAAGGTGAAGGATGAGCTTCAGGTACTTGTCGGGGATCTCGCAAGGACAGTCTGCTGGCTGTCGCGAAGCCTGGTGTCCATCAACGAGGGTCTGACCTGGGTGGAAGAACGCGTAATGCTGTCGCTCCGACTTCGGGGTTCTGGGGCGTTGGAAACACGGTCGTCGTTGGCCTGACGCGATTGGCGGTTGGCCACGGGCTCCGCAGCCTTCTCGAGCTTCTGCATGTTCTCCTGCGTCAAGGGCAGCTTCGGTACAGAGTCGCGATCGCTCAACAAGGCCAGCTCTGCCCCCGTCAGCGAGAGCAGCTTGTCGTCGCGCAGCGTGGAAGCCATCTCTTCGGCGTGAATGCGTCGCAGGGCACGGTCGACATCGGTCTCGGAGGATTTGGCCAAGGCAGTGTCGTTCTGGTAGTGCAGGCGGTCAAGCTCAGCCGTCAGTGCGGGAGACGCCGCCGTTTCAGATTTGAGCGGCTGAGCGATTTGCGGGAGGTGATCAGGAGGGTTTTGGGCAGTTGCGCTGGGGCCCGCATCATCGGTTGGCGCGCCTCCCCGCCGATCCCTTTCGTTTGCGGCCGCCTGCGCCTTGGCACGCACCTTGCGCCGGCTGCCCTCGACAGCCCATTTGACCACTAACGCAATCAATTGTTAGCCCTCCAAAGTCCGTCAAATGAAGCCCATATTGAGTCGGGGGAACGGGTGGCGACTCACGCATCTTCTCCAACAGCTTGCCCTTGACTGGCTTCGACAGGTAGTCCTGCACACTCTGTTTAGCACCGCCGTCGTCAAACCGCACACCATGGCGAGTCGCTTCACACTCACGTCCATTCCCGCTTGCTGGCATTTCTCCCTGTCTCCTTGGATTGCCGACGCTGTCATCGCAATGATGGGCACATTGCGCACCTCGGGCACCTGGTCAAACTCGGTTCGAATCGCCTGCGTCGCGCTGTACCCGTCGCGGATGGGCATCTGTCCCCTCAGCACATCAGTCAGTAAGCATGCCTTGTGCCAACATGCCCTTATCACTGCACATGGCTGCACGAAGGGGGGTCCTTGCGCACCTGAACGTCCATGAGGATGATGTTTGGTCGTGGGCGGCTCGGAGATGGTTTCTGTGATAGGTAGTCGAGCACCTCCTGACCGTTCCATACCGCATTGACGCTGAAGTGCAATTTCCTGATCGTTTTAAGCGCAATCTGCTGGTTGATTTGACTGCATTGTCAATGAATGGTCAGCAAAGCACACCGCTTGGGTAGGAATCAATGCGTGGGGTATGCGTCGACGTACTTGTCTTCCACCACCAGGATATGAATGTGCTTCCTTTCACTCTCGGGCAGGCTCATCAAGTGATCTGGTATACTGGCGTTGAGGGAAGGGGACATGTGTAGCGGTTGCGCTTCCCCTCGCCCAGATCCTAATACTGTGCTCCCGTTGGAGTACTTGGGTGTAAGCGGTGGTGTGTGATCGGCTGAACTTGAACAGGATACCGAAACGTCAGACTGTAGTCGATCTGGAATCGATGCCAAATCGATCAGAGGGGAGTTCCCGTTTGGATAAGGTGCCCGGTTGAAAGGAATAGAAAATGTCGCCACTGTGCCGTATCCCAACTTTGACTCCAGGCTGATAGTACCTCGCATCAGTTCGACAAGCTAATTCAACTTCAGTACATGACAATAGAAGCACATGGTCCGAGAGAAGGCTTACATTCTTACTGATCGTAAGACCCAGGCCGGTCCCGCCATAGCGTCTCGCCGTACTAGAATCCGCCTGGCTGAACGGGCGAAACAGGCGTTTGCGCACTTCTTCCTCGATGCCTATGCCACTATCTTTTACTACGAAGCATACCGTAACTGTGTCTTTTGTCTCTTCTGTCACTGATACCTTCAAGTGAACATGCCCTTCGCCTGTGAATTTGATGCTGTTGGTCAAAAGATTCGTGAGAATCTGTCTCAGCCGGCCGGGGTCACCCATAACTCTCAGGTCCCTCTCTACTTCGGCTTGAATGAAGCTCTCGTAAGCAATATTCTTCCTTTGCGCAGCGAAAGACATCATCTTGTTGACGTCGCGAAGCACGACCGATAGACTGAATTGCACCTCCTCGACGTCTAGTCGCCCTGATTCAACCTTGGAAAAGTCCAAAATGTCGTTAATCACTGTTAGCAACCCATTCGCCGACCGCTGAATGTTCTCTGCACATTCTCTCTGTTCTGCATCCAAGTCCATATCCAGCATTAACTCGCTCATTCCAATCACACCTGCAATGGGAGTTCGGATCTCGTGGCTCATGTTGGCGAGGAATTGACTCTTCATCCGACTGGCTTCCTTCGCCGCCACGGCATTCGCGACCAGCTTGCTGTTCTCTTCTTCTTGCTGCTTCAACTGCATCTCCCTTTGCCGTAGTTCTGTGACGTCCATCGAAACCCCAATAACTCCGTCGATGTAATTTTCTCCGTCCACGCCTCCAACTCTTGATCGGCTCCACATTGGCACAAGCCGCGTTCGGTAATATCGCCCATCTTCGACAAATTTTTCTATTAGCTCATTTTGGCCCTCGCCCATCAACATCCCGTCAATCGATTTCCGCCAGCGTTCCATGTCACCGAAATATTCGAATATATTCCGACCAATTGCATTGTGGCTGGCGAGACCTGGTCTTATCCCTTCGAGGAGAGTGATTTCCTTCTGTCTATCCACAGCCCATAGAGTGACTTTAGCGTGTTCAATAACCCTGAGAAGTTGAGCTTTGGTTTGCCGCGCGGCTTGACGGGCCTCGACGAGATCGTGAATATCCGTACAAGTCCCGAACCATTTCAATATCTTTCCATCATCGTCATAGAAGGGCACAGCTCGACCGAGCATCCATCGCCAGGTGCCATCGTGTCGCCTCGCTCGATATTCGGTGTTGTACTCTTCTCCAGTCGCCAATGATCTAAGCCAGCGTTCTGTTGTTGCTGGCAGATCTTCGGGGTGGAACGCATCTCGCCAGCCTTCCCCCAGCGACTGCTCGACGGTCTGTCCGGTATAGTCGTACCATCGTTGAGAGTACCAATCGTGAGCACCTTCGGGGGTCGTTGTCCATATCAGAATAGGTATGAAGTTGGCAATATACTCGAATTGTCGCTCGTTCTTCTCGACCTGCGCTGCGATTTTATTAGTGTATTCGGTAACATCCTTGAAGACAACAATGCCACCCAGAAATTCTCCAGTCGTGTTGTGTAAGACGGGCTCCCCTACTACGTCAAAGACATGGTTTATTCCAGTGACAGGGTGTGACATTCCTAAGCGGCGACTGGCCTGTTTTTGGCTGCGCACTATCTTCATGACTGGAAACTCGTCCACATCTAGCTCTCTCGAAAAGTCTTCCGTATATATTGTGAATTGGCTGAGGAAGGCGCGCTGGTCAGAAGGATTATATGTTTCTTCATTGGTGATAAACTGGAGAAGGGCTTTGTTGGGAAGACCAAATGATTCATCTTTCCACATAGCTACAGATCGGTCAGTATCATGATGAGGGTTCAGACATGGTTGGTGACAAACCATAGGCAGGCATGTTGATGGAGTTGAGGATAGCGTCCTTCATTTGAGATGCCTTCTGAAAAATGGAAGCGGTTATTGACAAATCGTTCTTGGCCTTGAGAGGAGGACCGCGTGGTGGAAAGTCGACCGGGGCAGTGTTGGGGCTGGCAACCTTGGAAGCGCCATTCGAGTGAGATCCGGACCTGCGACCGGAAGACGAACTAGTTGAGCTGTGCGACTTGCTCAGGTTAAAGCTTGTGGCTGTTCTAGTTACAAACCGGCTCGAAGGACGCGAGTTGTGGGGCGACTCTGCAGGCTGAGCGCTCGTGAAAGTCAAGGTAAAATATTGGGTGTTTTCAATGCTCCAAACAGAGATGATGAGTGTAGCTTGAAGGGCATCATCACCAACAAACGGTTTACTCTGTCCTGGTGGGCAGCGACCACCATCACGACTGTAGGGCAAAATGACCACATCGACAGAGATATCGCGAACTACAGTCCTGGTCAAGTTGGAACTGCTCAATCTGGGCAGCTTAGGCGGTGTCTCAGTAGCCGTGGGTGTAGTTCCGCCGCTCTGGGAAGAACCGTCAAGACCATCACCCAGGTGAACTAAGCCCGAAGACGAATCTTGTAGCAACGAGTCCAGAAAGTCCTGGGATAGTCAGCGGGCATGAACAAAAAGCAATCGGGCCACGAGCGGCGAGATACCTCCCAGGACACCAGAAGCGGAGAGCCGTTTTGCAGTATATCGACGCCCAGGTCGGCCATGCCCTTGCCCTCCAATGCATCGCTGACGGTTATGCCGTCGGTTGCCGTACATTCAAATTCAATGCCCAAAAGGCGGCCCATGGCTTCATTGGCCAGCACGACGGTTTTCTGATCAGACAAGACAAGCATAGGTATGGGCAAATACTGCAGAGCGGTAAGGGCTGCTGTGGTGGGTGAGGGTGTGGAGGGCATGGCTATTGACATGTCTTCGCAGCCATTGGATAGGCTCGGGGAATCGTCCATGTCCTGCAAGTCAAAGTAGTCGTGGGGTGCTGTCTCGGTGGCCGCCATTGTTGGATGGTGGAAGGCGCACGTAGGCGTCGCGGAAGGAATGAAGGAAGGTCGAGGTCGACCGGGCCGGTACGGCTTCAATCCGTCTCCAAGGAATTAATATTCGTCGCAAACATTCTCTGGGCAAGAGAAGGGTTCCGGACAGGAAAGGGTCGAGTACGACGCTTCGAGAGCGAAGCACGAGAGGAGGGGAATGACGGGTTTTTGTTCGATCGGCGGTAGCGGAGATGTGTACAGCGTGGAGCGACGATCAAAGGGTCTAGACTGGACGTTTGATACCGATGGGCAATGCAGGGTTACGGCAATACCAGGATGGTGAGAAGGTACAGTACAGTACAGGGCTTGCAAGGAGCTGCAAGGAGGAGGAGATTGCTGGGAAACGTCGTCAAATGAGAAGGAAGCAGGCAAATTGAAGGGTAAAAGCGAAGAAAGGCAGACAGGCAGACAGAAAGAGACACAGAGAGACACAGACAGAGAGAGAGAGAGAGAGGAAGAGGGTGCGAAACGATGGACGGGTTCTAGAACGTCACCGCCCGATGCTCGGTGACGCAGGTGTTGCTGACCTGACGCTCGCCATCGGCCACTGATGAGGTTGGAGCGTCATGTGGGTGTGTTTATGTCTTTGCATACAATACATGCGCATATGTTACAAATAGAGTACCCGATCAATGTACATGTGGCAAGCAACTGCTTGGGTAGATACATATGTAGGGAGTTGAAGAATCGAACCCACCTACGCACTGTACAGTACAGTACTGTACCACCCTGGCTGGCTGGGAAGCTCGGTTATTAGCCGATCCTGATGTCGATCATGACTTGGAGCTGATGCACGCACTCGTTCACTTGCACGCGCATCGGCCTGTTCAGGACTCCACATGTGCAGACATTTGATTCTCCCCTGTTCCGCCTGTACGTCGGACTGCACCGTGGAGCACTTCTTTGTTCCATGCATGCACAATAAACAAAACATGCGCATGTACATATGTACCTAGGTAGGGATACTGACTGCATCGCTGGTAAAAGTACAGAGCATTGTTGAAATGCGTGTGCAAGTAAGAGAGCAAATCACTGCATCATTCGGAACCAGCACGGCTGACATTCCTCGCCGTTCAAGTATCAAGCCTCCACCATCAACCTTGTATTCAAAATGTTGATGCTGATGGCCACGGGTGTTGGCGCGGCGCGGCGGTGCTCTCCAGTCACGTGCTCGGCTGTGCCTGGACATCTGGGGCGGGCAACCACCAGCTGTCACTTAGGCCGCCTGAATCTTGAACACCACCAATCCAGCCCTGTGTCTACTTTCCCTCTCCTACCACTCTGCTGTTCTCGCACTTGGCCTCCAGGAAAATGGTCTTGTTCGGTCTCGGCAGCCTTCTCTACGGTATGCCTTCACCCACACAAAAATAGACGGTGCCTCATATCCGTCTTCGCCAGAAAGGTTGCTGACCGACCTACCCGCACTTCAGTTGCTCTGCTTCTTGTGAACGGCATCGCCGTCCTCTCCGAAGACCGCTTTCTCGCACGCAGTACGTTCCGCTCCCCGCCCGAGTCTGTCCCGCCCTCTGTACCTACTTGCCTATTCCCGCCAATACAGCAATGTCTGGCTTCCCCGCGCATTCCAAGCATGATCAGACTGGTCCCGTGCAATTCACCACCCACTAACGTAACCTCAAGTCGGCTGGACACCGTCCGCCGCAGAACCAGGTTTCGGTCAACGTGATGATGCTGGTGTCAAATCACGCCTCATCAATCTCATATCCTCGGTGCGCACCTTAATGCGAAGTACGTATACCGAAACACCCTCATAGTATGCCTGCTCGCTCCAATGATCGGACGCATAATCAGCAGAGCTTGCAAAATGGGATAGAGTGGGGAGCGGGATATACACGAAGAATTGCAATCACTGATTTCATATTCACCAAAAGAGAGAGAGAAGGAAACGAGCTGGGAGTGTGCTTGCTAACAAGGAACTAGTACCTCTGATAGCCATCAACACCGTGGTAATTCTCTATCTTCTCGTCACGCCCGGCTAAGACTCGATCCGTCACTCCGCATGTTTACGGTTTTCTTCTCGCAGACGCCGTCTCCAGGGTCAATATTCCCCACCTCGTCTACCATTCATCGGGCCATAGGACTCCATTCGTAGTAGCTACCTGCCGAGTAGTAGAATGCATTGGATGCAACATCCCCAGTGGCCATGAAGCAGGGAGATGCCCGTTGATGGGTTGGTCGAAGGATAATGGACGGAGGAAACAATGATTTTATTGAATATAGCAATGTGTTCTGCTCACCCCTATATCTATGCTGCATCCAGTGAGCATATCAAAACAGTTCAAAATATCATGTAAGGCAGTATTTCGCTACCTATATTTCTCCGTGTGCACACATCCATGCATCTTCCTGCCTCCGACGCATTCCAGGCGCGTTATAAGCACAAATGCGGATTTTGCGTCTATCAACATAAATGATATATATGGAAATCTCTCCCATCCGCTATACTTTTCGTCCCACGAAACAGGCTCTGCTTCATTTGAAGTTGTGTAATGGAAGCCTGTCTTGGGACTAAATTTCCTTGCTTCGCTATCATTCATATCATCACTAGTATTTACTCAACTACATCAAATGGGGGAAAAAGTCTACGATACTCATTGGAAAATACCCATAGACACATGTTGCATGGAGAAATTATATGCCATACACTAGTGTGAGAAAAAAAAAGACAAGAGGTAAGAGATGTTGATGAGTGGGTTTTGAATGAGGAGGTAGCCAGGTGAGACAGGATACCTATATGTGCTTAAGTAGGCTGGCATCAAATTGCAAGACCTCGCAAATGTATAACTATCACACAAAGGCCATTGTATAGAAAAATGTTGATTCTGCTACAGGCTGTTGCATTTTGAATAAATAAACCAAACTCCGACTTCACGGCTACATGCACCAAGATCATTTGGCGTTTTGAGACCTATCACAGTAAGGAGAAAACTACACCTTTTTCAAGCACTACACCTCCATGTCGAACCTTAAGCAATATCTACAAAACCCCTCTTCCTCCTTCCTTCCCTTTTCTCCGCCTCCTCCCTTTCCACATCTTCAATCCTAACAATGCCCTTTTCATCAACTCTCTCACTTAAAAACCTTACGGCAGCAACATTAAATCCAACTTCATCCTTGCCCTCGGTCAAGCGCATCCGAAGTACATCCCGCATACTCGCCAACCTGACTTTCAGATCCTTACTGGCAACAAGCTGCCGTTGATGGGTCTTCAACATGAAGTACAGCACACGACAAGTCAACGTAGTATTCCACCCTTTCTTCAAGAAGAGGGATAGGAATGTGAAGAGAGCGGGTAGAGTTGAGAAGGGTAGGACCAGGAGGGCATCGTGAAGTGCAGATGCGGGGATGGAAGAAAGAACGGAGAGGACGTGTCGCTCAGCAGAGATATTATTAAGGGCGAGGAAAAGAGGGTTTCGCTGTGGTGGGGCAATGGATGGACTTTTCTGTTTCTGGAGGATGTAGGCGGCCATAAGGTGATGGTCTTCGAGGGCAAGATCGAGGGCCTCTTGGATGCGCTCACCAGCTGTAAGGGTTGAGGATGTCTGTTTGGAGGCGGCAGCGGCTTCGGAGGATGGGTCAGTTGGATCGTCGTCGAGAGAGGTGGCAAGGGTGGATTCGTAGAGCTCTTCAAGGTCGCGCTCGCGCTCTTCTTCGAGGAACAGGGGCTCGTCTGTTTTGGCCCACACGCGGATGCTCTTGTCGTGGCTAGCGGTGACGACAAAGTCGCCTGTCCGTGCGATTGCCATTGCCCAGATCTCGCCATGGTGGCCTTTCAGTTTTTGGATTTGCTCAAATTTATCGGCATCCCAGGATTTGAGGAGCTTGTCTTTGCTAGCGCTGAAGAGGACGTGCTTCTCGTCTTGTTCGACTGGGTGTGGGATGAAGCCGACTTGCATGATGCTGTCCTGGTGACCGAACAGCGCTTTATGGCAGTCACCGAAGTCGAGGCCCCATATGCGCACATTCTTGTCGGCCGAGCAAGTTGCGATGAGTTTGCTGTCGCTCGAGATAGACATACTCAGAACAGGGAGTTTGTGGCCGTACAAGTTAAGGAAGAGTTTGAGTGAGTCGACGAAGAAGACTTTGACTGTATTGTCTAGCGTGGCGACGGCAAGGAGGCGAGAGTCTGGAGAGAATTCAACGCTGAGGACATCGTCGCTGACCTTGAGGATACGCGACTGAACGAGTTTGAGACGAGGCATCGTGCGCTTCGTCCCAGGGATTTCCTCTTGCACAATGTCAAAGTTCCAGAATTTGACGCTCTTGTCGGCGCTGCCCGTGATAAGTGATTTACCGTCCGGATGGACTTGCAAGGTCCAAATAGCGCCCTCGTGCGCTGGAATCTTGTCGAGCAGCGAGGATGCCGCGATATCGTATAGCTCAATGTCTCCTTCCTTGGTCCCCACCACGACGATCTTGTCGCCCGGAAGGAAAGCTGCACATAGCGCCTTGCCGCATTCGAGTGTCCGTAAGCAATTTCGAGTCTTGATATTCCAGATTTTGAGGCCACCGGCCGGTCCTTTGCCGCTTGACGCAGATGCTAGCATGCGGTCATCAGAACTGAGGGCGAGAGCTCGGATGTCGTTCCTGTGGCCAGCCAATTCGACCGAAAAGGTCCGGGTGGGTTCGGGCTCTTCGTCGCTCTTCAGTTTGCTTTTTTGCGGGACCTCATATACATCAATCACATTGCTGTCCGTGCCAACGAGAAGTTTGAGCTTCTTGGAACCTCGAGAATGCATCCACGATATGGATCTGACCCTGCCACCTCCAGACGGTATCCGAATTGTGATGTAGGGCACGAATACGTCGCGTATTTCTGCATCTACAATGCTGACTCTGTCGTCGATTGGTTCCGCCTCGGCCGAATCGCCCTTGTGTTCGACTTTCGCTTTTTCCCTTCTCCTCTTGCGCTTTCGTGTAAGCACTTTCTGGACTTCGTTTTCACTTCGAATTCGCCAAAGCTCAATATTGCGGTCTGACCCATGCACTGCGATATAGTCTGACCGTGCGTAGAATGATATCCCCAACGTCCTGTCCTTTGCTTGTCTATACAATATGCCTCTCTCGCACAGGAAACGTTGGTCTGCACCTTCCCCTACAGATGAGCCCATCTGTCCTAACCCAGGCAAGTCGATAGCCCAGACCTTGAGCTCTCCATCGTTACCAGCAGTCATGCAGCCGCTACCGTCCGGGGCGACGCCGAGAGACCAACATTCTCCGTTGGTTTGAGCAATGTGAGTCTCGATACAGTGTTGTGAGTTCACGTCCCAGATCTTGATCAGCGCATCCTTGCTGGTGGATAGAAGAAAAGCTTGATCAGTGTCCATCTCCCCATCCTTACCGTCATCGCTTGTTGAGTTTGAAGGGTGAAGAAAGTGTAGGCCTGTGATTTCTCCTTTGTGCCCACGCAATTTGAACATGCCTACCTCGGAGACAAGGTCCCAAATGATGATGTCTGTATCCTTTGCGCCACTAGCTAGGCGCACGCCAGATTTGTCGAAAGCGAGGGTGGTGATGGCGGATTTGTGGCCATTGAAGCTTACGACAACGGTAGAGGTGCGGGCATCCCAGAGTCTAATACTGCCATCGGCGTAGCCAACGGCGAATACATCCGGTTCCACCTCACTCCGACATATTGTTGTGACCTGTTCGGTGCATGTAGCCTCCCGCCAGCGACTCAGCAGTTCGCCTTTTTTTATGTCCCAACATAGAACTTCCTCGTTCGCGGCGGCGTATGCCCGTCCCGCACCTGCAGCGCGACTCGACCCAGGTCGGGTGAAACTTTCCGGGGACCAGACGATATTGGAGGTAGTGGTGGCGACAACGCCGAAGCAATCGGACTGCTCATATTTACTGTAAGTACGGAATTAGCAGGAATTGCGTGAGAGATTGTGTCTACAGCAAGGGTCGATGCACTCACGTGTAGGAGCGCACCATGTTGCGCCGACTACGACTAAGATATTGAAGATACCGGGGGTGTGTCTGGGATGGAGCAGTTAATTTTTCTGGTGTCGCATATACTGAAGAAATCTGGCTGGCGCAAGTATAGAGCGATTGAACTGCGCTGCGTTGTTTATGTCGATTGCTCGAAGAACCAGCTGCAAAGATGATGAGAAGAAAAGGCGGCTCCAAACTTTTTGGCCCGAAAAGCGAAAAGCTGCCCGCGCCCACCAGCCACGCAGGTGTGGCTGACAACACGACCGCCAACGACGCTCCTCACTCTCCCGACTCGCCGCACGTCTTACTACCTTCATACATGCATACCTAGGTACCTGGCTCGCATCCAGAACAGCATTCAACACCGGCCGCGTGTTGCGTCTCTACATAATACAATCCCACGCCCGCCATGCTTCTTCTCGACTACCAAAATGTCCTGATCGAGTCGCTGCTCAGAGACCGTTTCGTGCCAGGGTGCGTGCGCTTTCATACCCCGCGGCCTCCTCCGCCACCACTCAGTCGGTCGGCCAGTCATCAGCTAACACACGCACAAGAGCATCGCCCGTATCAATTGACCAGGTCGTCTCCGACTTCGACGGCGTCACCTTCCACATCTCCACCCCGGAGTCCAAATCCAAGATTGTCGTGTCGATACACGTGAAGTGCTACTCGGAGCTTGTGCAGTATGGCGCCCAGGCAGTGCTCGAGCGGGAATATGGTCCCTATATCGTGGACCCGGAGTCGGGATACGACTTTTCTGTGCAGATTGATCTCGAGAACCTACCCGAGGACCAGGGTATGCGTCTGATCCGGACTCTGTGGGATGGAGCGGATGGGCAGCAGGCTGACGTTGAACAGAAGCCAGGGACGACCTGATGCGCCGCATATCCCTCCTCAAGCGCAATGCTATGGCCGCACCCTTTGAGCAGGCTTTTGACGAGTTCCACCAACTACAAGAGGAGGCCTCCAAGTATACTTCGGAATCCGCACCACAGGGTGTCAAAGAGGGCGGTGAAGTCCGTGCAATCCACTACCGAGAAGAAGAGGCCATTTACATCAAGGCCAGCCACGACAGAGTGACGGTGATATTCTCAACCATTTTTCGGGAAGAGACGGACAGGATTTTTGGCAAGGTCTTCCTGCAGGTACATCTCCGGCTTTATTTGTTTGCTTCTTACCGCTCCCCCATGTTGATAGTAACTGTAGGAATTCGTCGACGCTCGACGAAGAGCAATCCAGAATGCGCCTCAAGTCTTGTTCTTGAACGAACCGCCTCTAGAACTGCAAGGCATTCCCGGCGTAAACACTTCCGGCTCCGGCGAAATCGGCTACATCACATTTGTCTTATTCCCCCGTCACCTGACAAATCAGCGCCGCGCCGATGTCATTTCACATATCCAAACCTTCCGCGATTATTTTCACTATCACATCAAAGCTTCCAAAGCATATATCCATTCACGCATGCGGAAGAGGACTGCCGATTTCCTTCAAGGTATGCTCTAGCTCGACCCAATTGCCATGTGTATATTAATCGAGATGTAGTTCTACGCCGTGCTCGACCCGAAGCAGAGGAAAAGGAGCGCAAGACAGCTAGTGGAAGGACATTCAAGGTCCAATCATGAGCTTAGCAATACATGATTTATGTTGGAACGTACAGGAGGGTTAGTGCGACCAAGCCGCCAAAAGGCGTTCTCGGATTAGGCGAGCTGGCGAGCACTGAGAAAATACAGAGTAGCCGGGTACGAAGACCTGGTGGGATCGGAGATGTGTTAGTGGGACAAGGTCAATGTTAGCAAAACATCAAGCCAATACCCCGTCGGGACCTGTTGTAACAACCTACTGTGACTTCGTTTTTCCTACTTGCATGCCTAGGTATGTACACGGCTCTTATCCGCCAGTCTCCAAGTGTGCATACGGGCGTGGACGCACAGACCATAGTTAAACGCGCCCTCGTCTTTCCCCAGATTAATTCCAGCACCGGCGTGCAACCATCAAACCAACCTCCCGCACCCCACCCCAAGATTAATATTTTAAAATCTTTTGGAACTGACTTTCCACTCCCCAAAATCATGTCGGAAGCGTCAAAACCAAAATACGACAGCCTCCCAGGCATTGACACAGCCCCTGACGTTTACGAGACCCCCGAGCTCGCCGAAGACGTGTCCACCATCCAGGCCTCTACCGCTGTTTCCGAATCAGAAGAGGAGGAGTCAGACAATGCGGCTTCGCAAGTACGGCACCACCGCTTACAGACCGACCAAGCGCGGGATCGGTTCCAGCCTTCGCGCGTGGACGCGGACAACGTAGACTTTTCAGATAATATCAGCGGCCAGCAACGGCGCTCGTACCGGACGTCCACACGAACACAGCGGCGACGGGGCGAAATGATAGGCGACGACAGCGATGAAGAGGAGGAAAGCTTTGAGCGGAAACTTGCGCGCGTTCACCAAGAAGCACTCGAGCTGGAGCAAGAACACGCCCGACGCATGCAATCCGGCGATAAGACCAAAACTGAAGAGCGAGATTCAAAAGAGATAATGGAGTTTATTAGCGATAAAGTCGACTCGATCTACACACAGCGCAGAAGTGGCGATAAACCCACCAGAAATGGCGCGGAATTCTACTTCTCATCCACCATTCAAAAATTCAACAACTACACTTCCTTCACGCCTTCCCCGCGTATTTCCAAAGCCATCGCTACCCAACCCCCACTCCCTGGCTCGCAAGTTCAGCGTAGCCAACTCGATCACGTCCTGAGCCAGGCTGGCGACTTCGACACCCGCCTGACCCAGCTCGAGCAATCCCTCGGCCTCAACGGTGCCACAATGCCCGACACAAGCTCCGCAGCACCTCTTCCCATATTTACGACCCTCGAGCGCATCGAAGAATCTGTAGGACTCGTCACAGACGCCTCAGCAGGTACCCTTGACGCCGCAACCTCGCAAATTCGCCGCCTTATCGACGAAGCAGAGCATCTCAAGGATTTGCGCGCCTCCAATCACACATCCTCTTACCACTCCTCAGGCCACTCCTCACCCTCTCCTTCCTCTCCGTCCTCCCCATTAGCCGACAACACGAAACTTGATGAGACGACTCTGACGCATGCACAAGAAACTAAGATCAATGCTCTCTACGGCACCCTCCCTTCTCTAGATAAACTCACCCCGCTCCTGCCCCTCGTTCTTGATCGTCTACGGACGCTGCGCCTCGTGCACACTAGCGCGTTTCAGGTCGATGCCGTTCTCACTGCCCTCGAGACGCGGCAGGCGCAGCAGGCAGCGGAGATTGAGAGTTGGAGGACCAAGTTGGGGGAGGTTGAGGAGTTTGTCAGGGATGCGGAGGAGAGGACGGAGAGGAAGGTACAGCAAGTTGGGGGGTGGGTTAGAGATGTCGAGGGGAGAGTCAAGGGTTTAGAGGAGTGAGTCGTAGGGAAACATGATAGGGCCTTGATAGTGAGGATCCTAGCTGAAGCTACGTTGCGTAAGCTGAGTTATAGCGGAATCCTTTACACCTTGCCGTAACTTACCTGATATAGGGAGCTGGCTTGCATAAAGATACTTGTATGTACATATTGATACCTAAGTTATATAATTCCCCCTCCCCTCATCTTAGTTCTTGTATTCAAGTTTCACACACAACAGCTATGTACTTGTGTACCTACTTCTTCACCAACATAACGGAAAAGAACGAGCTCGAGGTTGAACTTCTGCTGGTTGATATCTTACGTTCATCCTGATATACGGCAGTCAATTCGATTACCCAGGAGATAATCTAGAATCAAAGTCCCCGTCTATCTACACAAGAAAAGAAATGTGCGGGAGATAAACAAGGGAAGGCGTGACGAACCCCAACAGAGCATATAGACATAATTACATTGTACCTCGACTTGCAAGTGACGCCCATCAAGCTGAACCTCTGCGCACACACGAAATGAACTCTAGTACCCTGGAAACCGTAGCAACTAATAATGGCACCAAAGTTCCACAGATAATATTCAACCAATGGAATAAAGAAGAAGAAGAAAGGCAGCGTTCAATACACCTACCCTACTCATCGCCTCCTCGGTCCCCCCTGATAATAGCTCTCCACATTATTCGCATGCGCAAGCAAAAACTTACAGCACGTAAGCGTATACTTACAAGCCTTCGTCCACGCCTCCTCCTTATTCAATGCAAGCTTGATACTCTGGTCATGAATCCGATCTTTACGGATCTCATAAGGCAGTTTCATGCCGCCAGTGCCCGAAGACGCAGCAGGGCTGCTAGTGGTGGAGGAAGGGGTAGGACTGCTACCGGACGCCTCGACGAACTCACCGAGCTGGCGCAGACACTCGAGGAACGCGACCATGGCGTTGTCAAACTTTCGGTGCAGGAAGCCGAAATTGATAGGAAAATCGCCAGAAGAGTAGAGTTCGAGGCGTTGGGGACGGGCTGCTGGAGATGACGAAGAAGTTGCCGCGGCTGACGATGCGACGGACCTCGCGTCGGTTGTTGTGGAATTTCCGAGGGTGGTTCCGCTTTTGCCTTCCATTTTGACGATGACCGATGTCGAACCCATGGGGAGAAGCTCGTAATTTTGGAACTTGAAGCCTAGGCGCTCGGCGAGTGTGGCGAGCAGGAGACAGGTCTGGCCCCATGCAGCGTTGATCTCAGGCCAGTCGACGTACGGAGAGGGTAGGCGGCCGAGACGTAGACCATTGATGGTAGCGAAATGGGAATCGTGGCTGATGTTGAAAGTATCGTTGTACACGCTCCTGCGTTGAAGCTGAGTTAGGAGGTGCTGGTCGTGGGCATGTTTGGTGACGAGTGCGTCACGCTCATTTTGGAAAGAGGAGAGTTTTGAGGAAAATGAGTTACGGCGCTTCCAGAAGTCGGATTCGTCCTGGTCCAACTGGCGCGATTCGATCTCAAGGGCAGCGAGTTGTGCGTCCAACTCCGTCTTTTCCGTCTCGTACTGCTCGAGCCTGATGATGCCGGCGGCTTCAGCTTTGCGTGCTTTTTGGAGAGAGGCTTCCGCAGCTTTCATTTCTTCGGCGCTTGGGACATCCGTGTTGGCGCGACGAAGGTAGTCTACATATGCATCCCGCTCCCTTGTTGCGACTGCTAGTCGTTTCTGCAGTCCACCCACTATTAGTTCTGTGCACTCAACACATATAGGATGGTCGATGTCAGATCGCGACGACAGAATTTCAAACATGCGATTTGTTGTCTCCAGAGCATCAGCCATGCTTCCCCCTCCCACTGTGCCCGAGGAAGCACCCGTGATGCTTGCTCGTCTCGTCTTTGTCTCCTGGACTTTTGGAGGCGTCTCTTCTACGGGAACATTCTGTCCTTGTGTTTGGACGCCGGTGGAGGACGTAGAGGGTGGGTCTATCATGGATTCAGACATGTGCACGTCGACGAAGGACATGGCGGGGTTTTGGGCCGCATGTTGGGTATTCCGTGTCGGTGGTAGACTACGTTTGAAGGTAGGATTGCGTGCAGACTGAATGGCGGTGTCGTATGTTTGATGCCGGGACGAGGGATATGTTGGCCTGGATTGGCGGGGAGCGTGCTTTGCTGGTTGCTGTTGACCAGGGACTGTTGAATCTGTAGCAGAAGTTAGCAGGCGCGAGACCACTGGGGATGGTTGACATGGTCTCACCAGTCAGCAGCTTGAAGGCGGCGGGGTTGAGTTGGTCGATGGAGACGTCTACATTGATGGGAGTGCGACATTTCTGGCAGTACAAAGCGGATGGGGGCTCGTTGGCCATGTTCGCGACGATGTTTCAAGCAACCAACCTGGGAGGGGAGGATGTCGATGCATGCCATCAATGCCATGCCATGTAGGTATGTAAGTAAGGATGCATGTATGCCTTGATGTGAGCACGGGCTCCCGCAGCTGTACAGGCAGCTGGATTGCAGGGAACAGGGGCCAGATACGCGGGGAAGGAATAAACGGCCGACTCAGTTACCTAGTCAGTTGATCATGGTTCAGCGCTAGGCCGAGTTCACCAGGCGCGTCTGCGATGCGATTCACTCGGGTGTTTATTTACCATCATCTCTCCAACCCCTCCTCACCCTCCCATCCCCACCTGTTCACCGCCATCGAGCCCCGACTCGTCCGCTCGCTATGGCGCCGCCCGCCAAACGGCTACGCATCATGCAGTCTGTCGAGGTCGATGAGGCGGATCCCGACTATTTGGCCGCCAGAGCCAAAGCCACCGCGAAACTCAAGAACAAATTCGAATCCATCTTCGCAAAATATGAGGCCATGCCTGAGGCTATGACCGATGAAATCAACATGCGCACTGGAGAGATTGTGGTGGATCGAGGCCATTTGCGGAAATTGGACAGAGAATACTGCTCGAGGCGCAAACAAGGCGTTTTGGATGGTTGGATCGCAGATCAGCTGGCAGACGAGGTGGGTGATGATGGCGACGAGGAAGAGAGCGATTTGGATAGCAGAGATGAATTGGCGCCATCCCTGTCTCCAGAGCCCAGAATGCAAAAGCGTCGCAGGGAGACCAAGCCGGCCGCCAAAGAGATGGAAACCACCACTCCACGCCAGCCAACACAACCGATAGACTTGGAGCCGAATTCAGTACACGTGAACTCAACAAAGGCAACGGTCCCCGTGACAACCTTTCCGAATCCTGTTGCCGACTGGGCCGAATCCGTACAGTTTCCTCAGACGCCAGAAGGTCAGCTTGCACAACACACCTTCATGATGCAGATCACCGAAGCCTTTCAGAAGGCTGTGGCCCCTATAATCTCAAATTTGGTAACCAATACGCCGGGTGTATTGCCACAGAAGACAACCCCATTGCAGACCCCTATCGAACGCGCCATGGAAAACCAAGATACCCCAGTCATACAGTGCACCCCTCCGAAGCTGCCGCCACTTCAGATATCGGGAATTACATTGCATTCTTCATCAAGCCCCGTGCCAGAGAGATCGAGAGTCTTTCACTGCGCCACACGGACTGCTCCCATAAGGCGTCCTCGAAGCAATCATGACTCAAACGTGCTAGCCGATAAGGATTACGGTATAACCTCTCCAGGGGTCTTGGACCCCCCAAGGGAAATAAGGAAGTTATCACCGGAACTGCCTTCCTCTCTCATTCAGCCATCGAAGTTCCCAGATGAGCTACATCATCTACTCACACCAACCTCTATAGAGCAGAACAACACCGCATATGAGGACGGAGAAACAGAAGTAGAATCAAACTTGCATGAATTGTTTGCCTCCGGTGGTCATTTCGATGACGACGAACGAGACCTCTTATCTATAGCAGATGGACGGGATAGTACGGCTGATCTTACGCAATATAGTACAGGCCATTGTGATCCCCGAGAACAGGAGCCAATACGAAACGCGGAAGAAGTCATTCTCTCATCTATTGAAAGCGAAACACATGAGCCACAAATCTCGCCTCAAGTGGCATCGCCAGTCACCGTCAAACGGCCACCTTTCTCGACACCGAATAAAAAAATCCCGGTATCATCCTTCCCCCAATCTGCCAATGAATCCAAACCTCAGAGATCACTCCCCAAGTTCCAACTCGAGTCCGACTCAGACCCGGAATCCAATTTTAGCGATCTACGCTTCGCTGATTTATCCGATACCCCACTTTCCAAGCGCAAACTCAAGCAAACATCTTCACCACCTCCCCTTTACAAGCGTCGTTCCCGTGGCCGCCCTCCCAAAAACCGTGCGAACGGAGACACTCCACAGCAGTCATCCTCCATCTCACTTGACAGTCTTCATCCAACCTTAATCAACGGGGATACGCTCAGTTCCACTCCCGCTAGAACCACTTGCATCAAATGCGAGTCTAAGACCCCACCCTCTCTGTCTCTACTGCCATCATCACCGCGGCTCTCCACCATCACACCCACCGTCACCAATACAGCGGCACCTCATCCAACTCCTCAACATACAATGCCCCTCAGCGCAGTGTTACGTCACCCTGTTCCTACTGCTTCTACACCACGCTCTGCACCTCAATTGCGCAACACAATAGCGTTTCCTTCCACACCCTCCGTTTCCTCTGCTACTACGAATAAAGTGAATATCGAGAGTCAAACGAAGTTACCGCGCTCAGTATACTCGAGGAGAGTCAGGAAGCAATGGGCTGCGCAAGGCAGGAGAAGGAAGAGTCCGAGTTCGTGGCGTAGTGGTGTTGGGGCCAATGGTGGGGGTACAGCATACGGGGGTTCGCCTGCTGCTGCTGCTGCTGCTGCTGTTGTTGTTCAAAGTATCGAAGGAGATGAGGATAGTGAGGATGAACTTGCTGCATGAATGAAGGCCGAAGTGGACAAAAGTATCCTGGCATTCTGTCACACATGTTGAGTGCTGAACTTCTTTACAGCCTGACTATCGAAGATTAGAGCTTCGTGGGAGCTCATCCAAAAGACTATTGTAGCAGTAGATGAGGGATAGTAAAGGAGTTGCCAAAAATTGTTGGCAGCGCTAATGTACTAATCTACCGCATTTGCTACATATCAGTTTCTCTCTTTTAGAACTTAGTATTCCCTTGCCAAGCTATTGGATTCATGCATACACAAGCAGATGATCTTCTCCCCTCGCCTGTATGTTCCCGCAAAAACAAGAAGCACGCCATCAGTACCTATACTAAGTAGACGACTTTTGACCACGAACAGCTCAATGAGCAGATCTGGGGCTGAGGCGAGCACGACTTATTTTCCGGACTATCAATGAACAAGATTGATAAGACCCACAGCCAGCTATGCAAGAGACCTATAACAGTAAGTAATAACAAGATAGGCTCGACCAGATGGAATCTGATTAATTGGACCGAAGAGATACGCTAATGCCTATACGGCTAAGAGAGCAGGTGACTAACGTACCGTCAGCAGAGCCGTCACTTCCGCGTACTTTGTGTCTTGACTGTTTCTAGACGTGTGCTCGGTTCAGCTATCATCCAATTGATTTTTAGTAAGCTTTTCAATTACCCTATAAAATGCCACCCGAATGACAGTACAACATGATACTTCCATGATATTCCTTTCCCAGACTTTTATAATGCATTCTCGTTTTCTCATTGCCGCGGTATTTGCAACTGTAGGATGGTCATATCCTACTACGTCTATCTGCACAGAGGTCGATATCCCGGTCTCCGTTGCTGCGACGCGCTTTCTCATCACCACGACAATTGAGAATGACTGGGATGCTGTTTCATTGACATTCAATCTCACAAGAAGAGATAGTGGAAATGCTACTACTGCTCCTCTCCCGATAGCAGGAACGACCTCGAGTCCTGTGAGAAGTGACTTTGTGGTGGGGGTACGTATTCGGATTGAATCTTTTTTGTTGCAAGACCAATGAGACACACCACGATGTGAAGACTCTCAAGAACCCGAGGTTGGATTGATAGAATATTTTGGTTGAACCTGCCTAACTCTATCCGCACCTCTTCTTAGGCTACGTTGTGTGGGAACGGGAGCACTGTGCTAGTGTTGACTCACGGGATTATCGAGTCCAAATTGTACGTTATGTTGCAATCAGTGATAGGGTATATGCTAACTGTGTTCAGGTACTGGCAGCCTACGTTTGAGAATGCCGAAAGGTACAGCTTTGTCGATGCTGCTGTTGCTGCAGGCTACGCAGTGCTCAGCTATGACCGTATTGGTGTTGGATCATCCTCAAAGTAAGCCACGTGCCAAAACACAACGCTGCGTAGATAAACTGACATGCACGGTATCTAGAGTGGATGCACTTCAAGATGCCCAGTTTCAAGTGCAAACAGCAGTTCTTGACGAACTAATAGTCTACGCACGCAAAATCATGAACGCAAAGCACGTTGGACTGATCGGCCACAGCTACGGCTCGTACCTATCTGCTGGCTCCGCAAACCACTCCGACGTAGATGCAGTTGTTCTCACTGGCTTCAGTGGTGCTTTCGACTACTTCACACCATTTGTTGCTGGCGCCGGCTTCCGAATTGCCAATCAACAAAACACGAGTCGTTGGGGGGATTTGGATTCGGCATACCTTACTACCTCTGATATATACGCGACTACTTACATATACTACAAGGAGCCTTACTTTGAGCAACGTGTTGCTGAGTGGAACCATCATGTAGCTGCAGAGCCTTTTGCGGTAGGCGAATTGCCATCGCTACTCGCATCCTATAACAACTTCCATAATGTAACAGCCCCGGTATTGCTTCTGCAGGGTCAGTTTGATCTTTCTGCTTGTGGAGGAAATTGTTTAGGCTTTCCAAAGTTGAAGGATGAAGCGCTTCGAGATGACGTCTTTCAGAACGCAAAGTCTATTGAGGTCATCAATGACCTCCCTGCAGGGTAAGGTTTTCTAAAATCTAGTTATCTTTCTATTTATTAGGGCTAATATAAAGGGACTAGGCATAATATTAATCTTCATGGAATTGCTGCAGAAGCATTTCAAATAATCTTTAATTTCTTAGAGAAGGAAGGATTTTGATAAAGCATAGAAGTAGTTAAGAAAGGTCTCAACTCGTTTGTGTGCCTTTTGCTTCTTCTTTAATACCCTAATTACGCGTTGCTTTATTATTATTTTTTTTAACTATTAAATATTATGCTAGTAAGTTACTTTTAAATATTAATTACTAACTATACTAAGCCTATATAAGTACTAGCTACTTAGATAAAGTATTTCATAGTAATATGCAGTGCTTTATAATAATAATTTTTTTTAAATTTTATTTTATTACTTTTAACTTTTAATATTTTAGTCTTTACTTGCTTTTTAGTTTTACTTACTTTTTTAATATTATACTTTAACTACTTTTACTTTTAACTTTTTTAAGTTTATTTAGCTTATACTAGTATTCCTGCATTTAATATTTACTTTATTAAATAATATTTTTTATTATAAAAAGTAATTTTTAATACTTTTATAGCTTAGTTTAATTTTATTAACTTTACTATTTACTAAAATTTAACTTTTATACTTAAGTAAAAGTAAAAAATATAGCTTTAAATATAAGCTTTTTTTTTATACTTCTAAGTGCGCAACTTATATTTAGCTTTATAAATAAATATATACTAACTTCTTTTTAGTTAATATTAAAGTAAAAGTTAAAGTAAAAATATAAGTTTATTTTATTTTACTAACTAGCTGCTATACTATAAGTAATATTATTAAAAATTTAAGCTTAGTTTTACTAAAAAAGTAAAGTTATTTATAAATTTTATTACTAGTACTAAGTATTTAAAATATAGTAAAAATAAAATAAAGGAGTACGTTATAAAAGTTAAAAATAATAAAGTTTACTATTACTATAAATTTAATAAATAAGTTTTTTATATAAAATTAGTTATAGTATAAAAGTAAGAAAAAAAAAGTTTTTTATATATAATAGTACAGTAAGCATTAACACTGTTATAAGTTATAAATATTTACTTTAGTTTTCTTATATTATTATATATTTTAGTTTAAATTCTAGCCTTTTTTAGCATATAGCAGTTGTAGTAGTTATACTACTATTTTACTTTAAGTATAGTAGTTAGTTAAAAACTTAAAGTTAACTTAAAATAAAAAACTAAACTAAAAAAACTAGTCTTTTAGCGCTAGTGCCTAATTAAGGCTAGTACTAAAAAGTACTTTTTAATTTTTACTTTTAAGTAAAGGTAAAAATTATTTAGTCTTTTTAGTTATTGCTTATTTTTTAGTCTATTTTTTATTGTAACTTATTACTGTGTATAGAATTACCTAAACTTCTTCTTAAAAAAAAAAAAAAAAAAAAAAAAGTAGTTAAGAAAAAAAAAACAGATACTATAAAGAATTAGAGCTACTTTTAAAAATTCTTCTTTTTTATATATTAGAAAAACTCTAAATACAAGTATTATTTATTAAAGTTCTATTTTTACTTTTTAAATACTTAATTCTTTTTATTTTCATTATTTTTTAAGTTAGAGCTTTAGTAATTTTATATATAGTAATAAGGTTATAGTAATAAAATAAACTAAAAAAATAAGTAATAACCAAAAAAACCAAAAAATTTTACTTTTACTTAAGCTTATTATACTAGTAAAATTAAAAGGCACTCTTTAGTACTAGCTTAATTAAGTACTAGTACTAAAAACTATATTTTTCTACTATAAAAGCTTTTTCTAATACTATAACTATTATTTACTAAAATAATAATAAAAACTATAACTACTATTTATTTTTATAATAAAAATTTTTATTTAAAAACTTATAATTTATTTTTTTTATTTTTTAGGTTAAAGTGTAATTTTATACATAGTAATAAGTTATAATAATAAATAAACTAAAATAATAAGTAATTACTAAAAAGATAAATTTTATTTACTTTTACTTAAGCTTATTAAGCTAGTAAGATTAAAAAGCACTCTTTAGTACTAGCTAGTTTAAATTATAATAGCTTAAAGCTAGTCTTAATTAAAGCTAGCACTAAAAACAAGCTTTTTTTCTATTATAAAAGTTCTTTTTAAAACTATAACTATTATTTACTATAATAGTAGTAAAATTACTATTACTATTTACTAAAATAGTAGTAAAAATACTATTACTATTTACTAAAATAGTATTATAAACTATAAATATTATTTATTTTAATATAAAATTTTTAAATAAAAACTTTTAGCAGAAAATGCTACCGTTATATATATAAAACTTTTTTTCTTTATTTTTATGCTATATTTAATTTTATATAAAAATAACTATTTAAACTTAAACTATTATAACTTAAATAGAATTAATTAAAACTTGAATTAAATCTATTAAAATACTAATAATTAAGTTTAAATTTAATAATATCTTCTTACACTTAGTGCCTGTAATAATATATAACTAATTAATTAAAAACAATAACTTTACTTTTTTAACATAAATAAATCTACAAAAATAATAACTATTATAAAAAAACTTATTAGTAAAATTAAAAACTTTACTTTAAAGCTAATAAAAAATAAGCTACTTTATATATACTTATAAAAGTAAAAGTAAGTTAAGTATTAAAATACTATAAAAGAGACTAAAGAAATATAGTAGATAATTTAAAACTATTGTATAAATTAAGCTTTTTAAGAAAAAGTAGTAATAAAAGGGCTAAAGTAAGCATAAAATTTTTTAAAAATTACTAATTTTAATAAAAGATATTAATTAGTAAAATATTAATAAGCTAAAAAAACTATAAGCTTAGTAAGAGAAACACTAAAATATTATAAAGTAAAAGTAATAAATAGTAATAAATTAAAAATAAAAAAAAGTTATAAACTATATAGTTATAAACTTATAAAAATCTTAAAAAACTCTAGTTAAGTTTTAGAAATAACTAGCAAGTAATACTAAAGTAATAAAAGTAAAAGTATAAAATAATAACTAGATTTTATTTTCAAAAAGTAAGTTATAACTTAAAGTAGATAAAAAAAGCTATAAAAGCTTTTTATTTACTAATTATATATATAAAGTTATTTTATTTTTTTTTTATTTTTTTTTAAGTTGGAGTTTAGGTAATCCTACACACAGCGATGGGTTTACAACAATAGAAATACTAAAATAACAAGCAATAACTAAAAGGACTAAACAATTTGCCTTCACCTAAAGGAGGGATTAGGGGGCACCCCTTGCACTAGTCTAAATTAGGATAGCTTAAAGCTTGTCCTAATCAGGCACTAGTGCTAAAAACTAGAACGTTTCTACTACAGAAGTTGTCTTTAACTATTTGCTAGAACAGTAGCATAACCACTATCACCATTTGCTAGAACAGTAATAAAAACTACAGCTATTATTTATCCTAATAATAAAAAATTTTATCTTAAGACTTATAATACTGCTGCCTTCTACACGCTTAAGTATAAGACTTGTAGAAACCCCCCTAGGTAAGTTACCTAGGATTCCAGCACCCTACTTACAATTACTTAGGAACTTTAAACTACAATACCCTACGCTACAAGAACAAAATACTATCTGCTATAAACAAAACTACTTAACAATTATTAAACAATTATTAAAATAGCTAACACTATTAAGGTTAAAGTTACCTGCGTCCTTCTTTACCTAGTGCCTGTAATAACTAAGGACTAAAGGGCTGAGGGCGTTGCTTAACTCTACCTGCCTAACGTAACTAGGATTAGATATTTAAGGACAACAGCTATTGTATAGAACCTAGTTAGCAGACTAGTACAAAACAACTTTACTTTACACCTAACAGAGGATAAGCTGCTCTATATATACTTGCAGAGCTAGATTTAGGTAGGCCTCTTGCACCTAGATAGGGCATAGGAGAAGATAAGGATACAACACTTAATTTAATTCCCTTAGCTAAATTTAGGTTTAGGATAGGAATTCTAGCAGAAGGTAACAACAGAGGGCCTAAAGTAGGTAAAAAGGGTCCTGGAGATCGCGCACATAAACGCGACACATAGACTACTAAAACTAGCTCTAGATGCGGCAGCAGCAGCAGCCTAGGCCAGGTAAACCTAAGGATGTTAAGGGCGTGAGAGGAGGAAGATGTTAATAAACTAAGGGAGACTAAAGGTTAAGCAAGAGCAAACTAGGATATTAAGAGGCAAAAGGCGATAAACAGCAATAAATTAGAAACAAGACAGTTGTAAACTACATAGTTGTAAACTATTATCTTGCCTGTGCAGGTACAAGCTGCGCGGGCTAGTATATTAGTAATTAATGCAATTTAGAATTACTTACTAGGTAAAATGCCTAGCATATGTATATTTATTAGCAAGGAAAAAACAGAAAAGCAACGCGTAAATGGGGTATTAAAAGAAGTAAAAGGCACTCGAACAAGTCGAGACTAAGTTATTTTATACTTACTAGCAAGAGCGCTTACTAGTAAGTATACTTATTAATAAATATAATATTATAGAAAAGCTAGTATAAAGTTAAGCTTATTACTTACTAGTAAGTAGTTATATACTAAGTTATAAATATAGTTATTTATAAGCGCTAGTAACTTTATTTTTTCTATTATTAGTATTTATAGTAAAAAAAGTAAAAAGCTAAATTAAAAGTATAATATTACTATATAGAAGTTAGTGTTAAAGAAGATTAATATTACTAAAGCACTACTAATTAGCGTAGGCAGCTTAGTAAAAGTGTATAAAAAGTACACTTAAGGCACTAAAAAAAGATAAGTATTATTTTAAATTATTAAAAAAGAGTACTTTTTAAAAGTAGCTATTTTTTATTATTACTAGTAGTGTAAAGTAAGCACTATTGCCTATAACTACGCTTTATATAATAATACTTTTAGTAAATAGCTAAAAATAGCTTTTTTAACTTAATTTTAGTAGCAGGCTTTTAACTATAAAAGCTTAAAGCTTAAAAAAAAACTTTATAAT